ACTACTACTACTACTACTACTACTACTACTACTACTACTACTACTACTACTACTACTACTACTACTACTACTACTACTACTACTACTACTACTACGAGGTATCTCGACTTTCCATGCACCTCAAACCCGGCCTCCTACCTCGTCAATCAATGCTCTTCAACGAACACCTCACGTACCACACAGCAAGCTTGACGAGCGGTCGCGACGTGAGAATGATGTCTACCTACCTCATGACTCCTTACCGTTCCACCAGGTCTGATCATTTCTGTACCACCGGCGCGCTCTCGACGACAAGAACCACCAAAGTACTTTGTACGCCGTGGCTGGAATTCCCTCCTTGACTTGCTCGCGTAACAAGCCCTCTTTGCATACCACATCATCAGGGAACCCATCTTCGACACTTCTTGATCGAACTACGTGGACCATTTCGCATGCAGCTCAGATTCCCACCATCTCTCTGGGACACCATATACCTTTACACATTTCCCCCTTATACTTTCTTCCATTCAGTTGCCCATCATTACTCTATTTACAAATTCCTCATTTGCCCAGAGTAGCATCGTCGATCGCAAGGTGCCCTCTTTACGTCAGACCTAGCTGCCTGGAATGCCCAGAGCTCTTTTCTTGAGTCTGACTTTTACGCACCCAGGCTGTTTTGGTTTCATTGAGCCCAGCTGAATATGCTTCTCTCCTACTCGCGCCATCAAAGTCCCTGTTTGGTATCATGCCCTTGAGGAGATTGGCTGGGCTGGTCAGAAATGGATAAAACCATCATTGTGGCTTATGAACCGTAAAATTGCCTTTGCCGCTCAAGATTTGGTTCAGGTCGAAAGTACAAACAACAGGCTCTACAGCCGGAAGAGTTGCTCTTCAGATGGATCAAAGGTTGGTAACCCAGCAGGACGTATCGAACAGCTTCACCTCAATTCACCACTTTCATCCCACGACAGACTACCAATTGCCTGTCGCCCGCTCGATGCAGTCATAACTTGCCTGTAAGCCATGATGCTGTAGCACCAAAGGGTCGGTATTCAATCACAGAATCCCCGAAGCCCGTTTCCTCTCTCATCCAAGGCCATTGTCACCCATCGTAACTGTTTTCAGCCATGGCTACACGAGAACATCAATACCACCCTCGACAATGTCTCGTCATCGACTTTGCACCAATCTGCCGAAGAACCGTCTTGTGGAACCTGTACAGTTATATCAGGTGGTCAGCTGGTATACGCCGTCTGTGACCTCTCATAACAAGTATCAGTGTCGAACATCTCGCTTTAGCGGCTTCGGCAGGGCCGACCCGGGCCCTTATCAGAGGGCGCCGGCTCGATGGGCCAGAACAGCCGCCGACTTCATGTCAAGTACCAGGTGCATGTGCCAATCAGCCATCTCCCCAGCACGCTGCACAAGTCAATCACTGTCATTCAAAATGCGACCTGTCAAATGAGTTCTGCGTGTGGCAGGCCATTGAAGACAGGGGTATCTGGATATAGGACCCCCTGCAAGGTGGATCACATCTATTTGCGACGTTCAACTGAGCGAGGAGATCTGAGATCATCGCTGATTCAGGCGCTCTCAGCTATTACTTCTCTTGCCCATTCGGAAATGCCTTGGTAAACCAAAAGACTTTGTGAGACGGCCCGTGTTGCACTCTCACCGACCCTGACCCCTGGCGAACATGACGATCAGGTGCCTTGATGAATGCAAAATGTATCTAAGATATCAGTGGTACAGAATCATTTTTCGATTTGATTTGTCCCTCCACGTGTACCGTTTTGGCTGACCGCGGATGTCAGAACATGTGGCATATGCATGGCAAACGTGGCATATAAAAGAGGCCTGCAACTCCGACGATGTCGCCCTACAACTCTCGTCTTGTAAGAAATTCGAGCCCTTCGCAAGAACTATATTCTCCGATAATCTTCGACAGCTTCCAATTTGCACTGCAGCCATCAAATCGGTCCAAAAATGTGCTCACATCCGAAGACCTGGGCAACGTGTGGTGGATGTGCTGGAAATCCTCCACGGTAAGCAATCTGTAGCATCATTTGTCGTATTGAACTATCCATCATTCCTGCCGATGCGCTATCCAGCATATGCTGACGGCCTAAGCAGCAACAGTAGTAGGTGCGGCCGATGCAACGGGACCGGCGTGGTGGCAATCCCTTGTCGAACCTGTTCATCAAAAGGTCGCAATACTACAAATCCCAGGGGTCAGTCAACCCCTCAAAAGGATTATGCGTCCGCACGTCGGACCATTGATAGACAGCAGTCATCAAGGACTTGATATTCAACGGGTCTAAACAGCATGTGTGGTGTCGGTACAAGTGCCATGGGATGATTTGGTGCCCACTGTCTTGATTTACGCACGGTTCTCTTGTTTGGAGGCAATTTTCAGGTCCTGAACGATTACCAGATTGTACGAAGTAGTAAGAGAACTACATTTATGATCGCCTTTACTTTCAGTTTCACAATGCCGAGTATACAGTACTGTCTTGTCACGAATTGCAAAAAAGCGGCAAGACATGGCTCGTCCAACCTTGGGGAACTTCAAGGGTTCAGAACGGCGTTCTCTCTCATCCTCCGTGCTCAATTCAGTACTGCATTTTGCGCATACCAGCTCAAACCCAGTTCATACCCCCGGTACTTTACGAGGTACAAAATGAAAGGGCTGCATGAACCCAGCGTGCATAAGTGGTGTCCGGGAGTCGATCCGGCGGACCTTTTCTGTGTGCTTGTGCAACTTGCAGTCTACTTGAACCTGTCACTTCTATGGTGAACCCATGACTGGGCAATTGATTGGACGAAAGGAGAGGGATGCTCTGAAGCTTTGCCTGGCGAAGGGCAGTCGCGAGATCATGCTATCGGCACTGTCGTACGGTCGACATCTCATCTCGTGCTAGAATCCTAGCTACCGCCAACCACGCATTATGACGCTGACCATGTCGACAAGTACATCTTCGATCAACTAAGGTGAAACCGAGTGTCACCCCCGACGAGTACCGGGTGTATGCCTGCCTCGCTTCAGATCAGTTGTCTCCTGCGTCATTCTAGACTTCCAAATACCTTGAAAATCTCCCTGCTGGCGGGTCTATGGGCCAGCCGAACATGTCAAGATTAGCCGGTACTTTTGCGTGGCCGTTCTGGACCTTTGATTAGATCATCCCGTCGACAGATGTACAATATGGGCCTATACACGAAAGATCCCCACTGACTCTCTCATGTCGACTTCCGTCAATTTGAGTCAACTTGCGTACAGCATCATGCCCTGATGCCGGCAGACTGGGTTATCGTCTCTGCCTTAATAGGTTATGATGTTTTGTGTCACACGAGGCTTTCAGGGCAATCATGACGTCGCTAACAGGTCCTGTTGATCGAATACGCCACGTCGCAGCACGAGCCTCTACGTCCAACCCTCAATTTGCGTGCGTATTCTAAAATGTGTTTTAACATTCTGCCAGCCGACAGGTTTATAGATTGGCTCGACCTACTAGATGCGATGACTGGACGAGCTCGGCACACTGCCTTTTTCTCGAATCGTTCCATGCTTCCGAGGCAATCACCAGTTTTCCACCATGTGCAACGACCTACCGTTTCATTTTAATCTGTACACCTCAACAACCACGGAAGATCATGAGATGAGGATGGAACGGTCGGACAGTCCTATCTGCAAGGTTACAAAAGCAGGCTCCCAGTCTCGGCCACAATTTCGGGCGAATTTCGATAAAGGACGCCGGAAATGCACAAAACTGTCATTATCTCCCAAGGACTTCTCAACTTGCGACCTCGGGGTTCTCGTATGTCTCAGGGACGTAACTGGAGTTTCTAGAATTGCGCTGTCTGCTCCCTCACCACTCGTTGAGTCTGATGACGTGGCTGTCCTTGTACTCCATTCGAAGTCATTACAGTTTCTCAAAAAAAAAGCGTGACAAAGAGCACGAACAAAGAGTCCAGGAATAATGAAACTTTGCGGTGCAACATCCGGTTTCCACGTCGACATTGGCAAGTCTTAGCTACCTTTATCTACTCGAATTTTCGAACGACCGTCTTGAAACGGTGAAGGGTGCCGAAATCAAGAACTGTCGGTGAGAAAAGATTCAAATCAAACCGAAATCACGCTTCTGCCTGTCACAAAGTGTCTTGTCTTGAGCCGAATGGAAAATTGTTGAGAGGACCACCGCCGTGAGATTGGCTTCCTGCCTTCTCGGAACGATCGCTCTATTCGTCTACCAGGCCGCTCGAACTCTCGCTGTCGGAGCAGTTCTTCTCCTCGCTATCGATGACATAGTACACAATGGTCTTTGGAACGTACGAGAGCCCAGCCAGAATGGTTTTCCGGTAGCATGCATGGGGTACCACGCGCGTGGAAAAACGCCGTGGAAAAACGTATCAATCTACGTACATCTCTCTCTACTTTCCCTTCAAGTGACGGCGGAAAATGAAGACTAAATATTTGGTAACCCATTGTGATGTTGGATGGATTACTAACTAACACTGCTAATCAAATTTCGAAATAGTCTACGGACGCTGGGTATCAAATTTGAGTAAATCGAACGCTGAAGAAATTATAGTATAGTACCGTACTGTGTCCGGAAGGTCCGTTGAGGTTTATAATTTAATTGGTGAGTCGTCTTCGTCGCCGAGGTAGATGTTTAACCGTTGACCATCGGTCCCCATCGCATTTTTGGACTGTCCGGAGTGAAGGGTATAAGGAGGAAGATATGCGCTTGCTTGAAAACTTGAAGCCGAGATTGGAGAAGCTCCGGTTCCTCCGCGTTCAAGATTCGTAGGTGTGATTGTGTGTTTTGTTTCGTGGTTCAGGGTGTTTTATGAAGACCAACCCACACCACTCCTTGCAGTATCTCGACGAGGCTGTTCGGAAGTTGGGTGTTATGGTGGGGACGGGAACAAGACAATCGATTTTGTCTCTGTGTCCGTCTCTGTCGAAAATGGGCATCGATGCGGTCTTTATTCAGTATCGCTAAAGTGCTGTTTTGTTCCGATGCCTCTGTCATCTTTTGGATTGGATTGCCGTCCAGGGGGGTGTTGGGAGGAGTATCGAAACATGACTGTATCCGATCCTCCCGTATTTTAGTCTGATGTATTAAAATGTGTCGGGCGCTGTTGAGCGAGATCAATCGTCGTCATCATTGTGCATCGTCATTGTCATCGTCGTTCATTCGTTTGTTGTTCCTTGTTCGTCGTCGTGAGTCTCTGACATCTCTCTCTTTCTTCTCCTTCAACCCGCGGCATAGGTGCTCTTCTCGCGCAACATTTGTCCAAACTTCCACAACAAAATCGGGGCGGGTATACCCAAGACGATGGCGATGAACCCCAGCATCGAATTTCCCCAATTTAACCCCAGTGCTTGGTACATGTAAGGCGCGAATAGTGGACTAGACATGGTCAGTTTTGGGCGCGTCAGTCGTAAAAATTCTTTCTTTCCTAATCGAAGGATTTTGTTTCGAACGGGGGAATTGACAAAAACTTACAATCCAAATCCCGCCAAACTCCTCAAGACGACCGCCGAGGCCACGGCGGAAGCGGCGAATCTCGAATAAGCGTCGACGATGTAGGTTTGGGTACACTGGAAACCCATTATCGTGCCCGCCGCGAAGATGGCGGCGCCGACATTGGGGACGACCCAGTGGGTGCGTTCGTAACTCGACCAACCGTAGACGAACAGACCGATGGGGACCAATATGGCGCCTGGGATCATCAAGGGGACCCGGAATTCCGGCTTGCCGACGTTGTTGTTGCGCAACTTCAACTTGCGGTAGATCCGGTCGTTGATGGGGGCGCAGATCTGGGTGCCCAGGAAGAAACCCAACCCGAGAGAAATGTAGTTGAGGCCGCCGATTCCGGTCTGTTCGTGGTAGGTTTCGGTCCAGACGGTGGGGAAGGTGGAAAGAACGAGATACATGAGACCGTAGAGGTAGGCCCTATGGGGTTGTCAGTGAAATCTGGTTGGATTTGCGTACTCACGTCCAGGTACGCACGTGTACTTGTTCAGGATGTACAAGGGAAGAAGAAGTGAACAAACGACAAAAACTAAAAAAAACTCACATGTATATCGCCAAGACTTGAATGATCAGTTGAGTACCGAGAAGGCGAAAGGGTCGGATCAGACTCGTCCTGAGGACCTTGCCCAGTGTCCTGTCGGGGTGTTCCCATTCGGTGTGCAACTCGGAATTCCCGGTCTGTTGTCGGAGTCTCTTGGCCTTGACGGCGAGTAACTTGGGGGCGTAGGTTTCTCGAAGGTAAAGGACACCCAACACCTGGATGCCGGCGTCGACGATCGAAGTCGACCAAAAACACCATCTCCAAGTTGTCTGCGAAAAAAAAGGAGGGGGAAGAGGTCAGTACGAGTCATGTCGACCAGAAGTGTAGGAGAGATCTGTCTAGAGGAAAATACCTTCATCGCGATGAAACCTCCCGCAATCGGCCCGACTGCCGGGCCCAGCAAAGGTGCCAACGAGTAGATACTGATGGACTTTCCTCGTTCCTCTGCACGCCAACAGTCGCTCAAGACTCCTCCACCGAGTGCCAATGGTGCTGAACCTCCCAGCCCGCTCATGAATCGAAAGGCGATAAGTTGACCTTTTGTCTGAGCGAACCCGCAACCGATGTTGAAGGCGAGGAAGAAGAGGTTGGACAGCTGTAGGACGATCACGCGACCATAAATTTCCGACAATGGCCCCAGGAACAATGGTCCGATGGCGTAGGCCAAAACGAAAATGGACAGCATCAGTGACTTTTCAATCTCCGAGTTGACTCCCAGGTCCAGTCCGATTTTGTTCAAGGCCGGGGCGACCATGGACGACGACACGGGTGATATGAAGGTGAAGGACGACACGATCAGGGTGGCAGCCCATTTCTTCTTGTACGTCCAGTTTTTGGGATTCTCGGGGTCTTCAGCGTCCTCCCATGTGACCTGTGCAGTCGTAAAAATTGATGGTCAGTTTTCAATGATCCATCAGAGCCGTCAGTGTGGCATTTCCGAGGGGGGAAAAAAACTTGCCAAGTTCGGATCTTTGATCGATCTGGCAGACTTTTCCTTGATTAATTCAGGCAAGTTCGCTTCGACGTCTTGAACGTCCCTCGTGTTTCTCACGCCGAACCGTACCTCCTCCACCGACTCACCGCTACTCGTCGTGTCGTCGTCGTCGTCCTCCTCCTCATCCTCGTCCGGCGCGGTCGACGCCACACTCAGATCGTCCCGGGTCACGCCGTGGTGGTAGTGGTGAGCGCCGTGGTCATCCATGAATTGAGGCGAGTACAGTTGGTGTGCGTCATCGTCTGGGGTCGATCTGGCTCGTCTTAAAGGACCTCGGGTCCTCGAGACCTGTCGTGCTGGCCGTGGCCGATTATCCGGGGCGGTCCTAGTTCTGCTGATACGAGTAGACATGATGGGTCCCTGATGATGGAAAAGGACATCAAAACTAGCGAGAAATGCGACGGTGGACTGCCGCTGCGCTGTGTTGGTTTTAGTGAAAGAGGGGGGGGCGGCACAAGTATAGATAGTAGGTAGATATAACCCGAGGTTCTTATTTATCTGGTTCAGACAGACCCACGAATGGACGCAACGGAGTTAGTCATTAGTACCGGCCCTTTCTTTTTTTTGGGATGCGCGTTCAGATTTTTGTATGACTTTGCATACTGTATGGAGTGTAAAAGACACCAAAAGGACAAACAACCAATGTGAACTGCGCCACGCCGGTCAGGAAGACCAGGGACAAGGGTGTCCCGGGTATCGGCACGGCAAACGTTGAGGATTTGTGCTTGAGTTGACGACGACACATTGAGAAAGCGATCACACTCTGCGAATTACGTGCCGATTAGACCGGGGGAGATGGGAGATGGACCAGTGACAATCCATGCCGTTACCGGGGACCGGCGGACATGATCGCACCAACACCACCTCCGTCATTGGTTGAAATCAAAACAAGCAGGTAGCGCCACCTCCGGAACAAGGAAGGAGGACTCTGCTTGCGATGCTTGCGATGCTTGCGATGCTTGCGCCTCCATGTCAAATGCGACGTCCCTAAGTATATAACGTGAGAGAAGGTGAGAAGGCGACAGAATCATGTTGGGGATCGACTGACATTTGAGATTATTTTGTGCGCCGGTCAAATTCACGTGACTGCTTTTATGTTTTCAGGCGTGATTTACGCACCACAATTACAGTAGAAACACTGTACGAGTACGAATACGAATACCTGAAGTGCGCCTCCAGATGTCCCGGCCATGGACTTTCCGAAGCATTTCTGCAACCGTACTAAACGCCCATTTACGCCCGTTCTACTACTACAGTGTGGACACAATATTGAGGACACTCGACAACGTTTACACTGTTACTCCATTTCTTCCTTGATGAAGATTAAAAAGACTCACATCGAAAGTACCTGGGTGTCTTGCGACCCTCTTTAGGCCAACCACGCCGTCTCTACCGTAAAATATCTTTGTTCTTACCTCAGCCTGACACTCTACTACTGCATGATCAACAATTCTCGCTTCTCTGCATAAACATGGATTCACTCATCGTTCAGCGATGGGAACATTCGATCAGTTGCTAGGTTCACGGTTTAACTTAACCGAGAGCTGTCTTGACTCTGAACCACACGTGCACTTGAGTGGTGCCGAGAAGTCGATCATCATACTTACTGACCAGTACTGACTGACTAGAATATATCTAACCTAGCCATGGCCATGGTATCCTTATTGTAGTGAGGGATAGCAGCCTAGGGGCTCGACCTTGATCCGGCCCGGAAGTAACATCCCCTTCTGCTGCTTGATCAATGGCAATTCGAAACAATCTCAAGACTGCTATGGTGAAGCATGCCGACCTTAGTTGATATACTCAACCAAGTCGAGATGACCTAGACTCACTCCGTTGTGCTCGCAGGGTACAACTATGTATGTATGCATCCAAGCCTAAAACTCCGCGGGAATTGAACCTGCGAATCGGAGAAATGCGGGCCTCTCAAGTGCTGGCTCCAGGCATGAGGGTGACTTCGCTTAGGGACTCTCATCACCTATTCAGGCATGGTATACGACTCCTAACCCTCTTAGCATCGGGCATGGCCAGCTCGGGTAGAGGCAAGTGCATCTCAGCATTCGATGCCGAGCCCATCATTGCGAGTCTTTAAAACTTCTACTGGAACCCCCGCGATGTTTTTGATGTGTCTGCTCACGATCATCGCTTGGAAGGATGTGGCAGCTTCTTTTGCCCGTATATACGCATCCAGAGCGATGCTGAACTCGCGAGTCTCGAATCTCTTGTGATGACGGACAAACGCCACCATCGCCTCGGTTGAAAAACGCCCGAATTCCGACGGAATGGCCGCGGAAAAAGTGTCAGACGAAAAGACGTTCGATGCTAAGAATACGGATGTCGCTAGAACTGTGTCGTCGTCTCACGGGCGAGAAAACAACGCTCACATAGTAAATATCAGGATTCGAAATGTGTCTGTCAGAGTCGATCCGGCCGCTGGGCCACTCTTCTCTTCAACCGATGCTTTCAAGGCAAAGATCCTCCGCAGCAAGGACAAGCCGGCCATCAAAGACATCTTACGGAATGTATCAGCAGACCTATCCAGCCAAAGTCTGACCGCCATCGCTGGAGCCAGCGGATCCGGAAAGACTACCCTCCTCAATGTTGTGGCTAGGCGCGTCAAGGATCAAAAGTTTCAGCAATCCGGCAGTGTCACATATGACACCGCTAACAAAACGACTCATGATGCGGACTTGTCCAAGGTCGGGATAGCCTATGTGCTTCAGCAAGACGTACTCCTGCCCAGCTTGACCGTCCGGGAGACTCTAAGGTATGCAGCTGATTTGCGTTTGTCTACCATCAAGACCAAGGCAGAGCGATATGCAATGGTCGAGACCGTTATCGATGAACTCGGCCTAGGTTCTTGCGCTGAGACAAGGATCGGAGACAATGTTCACAAGGGCTGCTCGGGCGGTGAGAAACGACGAACCAGTATTGGCGTCCAATTGCTCGCAGACCAACCCGTTCTCATTCTGGACGAGCCGACCACGGGCCTTGACGCCGCCTCAGCGATTCACGTCGTGCAGACGCTCAAATCGCTTGCTCAGCGGGGTAAAACGGTCATCATGACAAGTAAGTAATCCCCTTGACGAGCATCATTAGGCACTAACATTTGGTTCAGTCCATCAACCTCGTTCAGAGATCTGGAGACTCGTTGATAATCTCATATTGCTGTCGAGAGGAATTCCAGTCTACTCAGGACCAATCGGACAATGCCTATCGTACTTTGATGAAGTTGGCTATAAGATGCCTCCATTCTCCAATCCTTTCGACTTCGTCATTGACCTCGCTGCGATTGACCTTCGTTCGCAGCAGTCGGAGCGCACATCGTCGGAACGAGTTCAAGCATTGCAGGAGTTGTGGAGAGTCAAGTCAGCAGACTTCATCGACAGGACCGTAGACATATCTACGGGCAAGAGCTTTGATGGAAAGCAGATGGCTCGTTCAGGGAACTGGCTCAACGAACTTTTCCAGGAAACGCTCGTGCACATGCGCAGGACTTTTGTCGTGACCTGCCGCGATCGACTCGGTCTTCTCGCAAGTATGGTAGAGTCGCTGAGTATGGGCATCATGAGTGGTTGGATATTCTACAAACTGGGTTCCGATCTGGCTGGGATCCGATCACGAGAAGGAGCAATGTATTCGGCCTGTGCTTTGCAGGGGTACTTGATTCTGCTATTTGAAACCTACCGACTAACGATTGACATTGAGGTCTACGACCGAGAACGGATCGAAGGGGTCATTAGACCCGTCAGCTTTATCTTCAGCAGGAGATTTGCACGGCTCGTACTTGAGGATCTTCCCGTCCCATTCTTCTATTCTGTGATCTACTACTTCATGGCAGGATTCAGAGCCGAAGCCAGTCAATTCTTCACCTTCTTCGCCATCCAGCTCCTGCTTCATTTAATTGCGGTCAATCTCGCCACAGTGTGTGTTGGCGTAAATCGACAATTCATGATTGCATCTTTGATTGCCAACCTCAGTTTCACCTTGCAATCGATGGGATGCGGCTTCTTCATCAACACGAGAGAAATCGCAGTGTGGCTACGCTGGATTAAGTGGACGGCATACGTCTTCTACTCATTTGGGGCCCTGTGTACGAACGAATTCCGCGGCCATTTTTATGACTGCCCTAGTCCAGGCGGACCCTCCAACCCGGCGTGCAAAGAGTACACCGGTGCTTACATTTTGGCTTCGTTGAATTTGCCGTCAAATTGGCTATGGAGGCCGATCATCGTACTGGTTGGGTTCGTCTTGTTCTTTTTCATCCTTTCCGGGATCATTCTCCAGGTCCTCACCACAGAAGTCGAAATGGCAAAACAACATGATAGTGAGGTTACGTATGAGGCTGAGAGTCAGCAAGCGATTGTGAGATCTGGAGACGGGGACAGAGGTATCACCGTGACCCTGGACCATTTCGGGCTGGATCTAGAGACGCAACGCCTGTTCAGGGGCAAATCAGTCAAACATATCTTCCGCCCCATCAGCACCCAGTTCGAACCAGGAGTACTGAATGTTATCATGGGTCCGTCAGGCTCTGGAAAGTCTTCGTGTCTGAATGCAATGGCACGTCGACTGTACAATTCACCTATGACAAAATACTTGCCGTCTGGGAAGATGCTTCTCAACGGGATGACAGCCACTGAGGACGTTATCACATCAGTCTGCTCTTATGTTCCACAAGACGACACTGGCCTCCTCTCGTCCCTGACGGTGCGTGAAACTCTTCATTTTGCCGCACGTCTACGCCTGCCTCCGTTCATGACGAATGAGCAAAAGATCCAACGAGCAGAGAGAGTCCTCCTACAACTCGGGCTGAAAGACTGTGCCGACACCCTTGTGGGAAGCGACATGGTTAAAGGCATTAGTGGCGGCGAGAAACGTCGCGTGACGATAGGTATTCAGGTACTGACTGATCCACGAGTTTTGCTCCTGGACGAACCAACATCGGGCCTTGACGCGTTCACTGCTTTCTCCATCATTGAGGTCCTCAAGGGTTTAGCAGACGAAGGCAGAACAATCATCTTCTCCATCCATCAGCCTCGCTCCGACATGTTCAAACAATTCGGTGGTGTGCTCTTGCTCGCCAAAGGGGGCGACGTAGTCTACACTGGCACCGTCGAGGACATGCTACCACACTTTGCACGACAGGGACACACGTGTCCTGAATCAGCCAACCCAGCCGACTTTGCACTCGACTTGGTGTCTGGTGGCCCTCTTGAATCGTCGTCGTCGCCTACGCCGTCATCGACCAAGGAGAGAGAAGTCGAACAGCCGCCAATAACACTTGTGTCCACGACCACCTCATTACCGGCACCAGCACCACAAGATCCCCACCGCCCATCATCGGCATCACACCTCTCCTTACCTGCGAGTCTGGGGATGCACACGCGCCGCACGCTTCCCTTCCGCACGTCATACCCCATCCTCCTACACCGCGGCCTCATCAATCTCCGGCGCCAACCGAACCTCCTGACCGGGCGCGTCACGCAACTCGTGGGTCTGGGTATCGTGCTCGCCGCCTTCTTCTCCCCGCTCAAGCACGACTACTTCTCCGTCCAGACGCGGGTCGGGTACATCCAGGCCATGAGCTCCATGTTCTTCGTCGGCATGCTCAACAGCATCGCCATGTACCCGTCCGAGCGGGACATTTACACGCACGAGTCGCAGCGGGACAAGACGTACCCCCTGTCGGCCTTCTACCTCTACTACCTCACGCTCGAGGTGCCCATGGAGGTCGTCGCCAGCCTGTTGTTCTCCGTGCTCACCGTCTTCGCCGCCCACCTCCCCTACACGGCGGGCCAGTTCCTCCTGACGGCCTACTGCGCCTTTTGCGTCGTGTCGTGCGGCGAGAGCTTCGGCATCCTGTTCCTCACCATGTTCCGCCACACGGGCCTCGCCGTCAGCGTCATGTCCGTCGTCCTCTCCGTCTCCATCCACCTGGCCGGCGTGCTGAGCATCGACGTCGACGCCTTCCTCCGCGCCGTCAACCACGCCTCCCCCATCAAGTGGCAGGTCGGCGCCCTCCTGAGCTACAGCCTCCGCGGCATCCGCTTCACCTGCACCGCGGGCCAGCGCCTCCCCGACGGCCCCTGCCCCATCGCCACCGGCGAGCAGGTCCTCGACCTGTACCGGCTCGACGTCGACACCGCCACCTACGCCATCGCCCTGGGCGGCGTGACCGTCGCCTACAGGATCCTGGGGTACCTGGGTCTGTTGGCCAAACGGACCGATTGGAAACTGCTCTTTGCGAGCCTTTCGTCCCCATCTCCCGAAAAGTGAAGGCGTCCCTCTCTTCCGCTTGGAGAGGAGAAGAGAAAGAGACAAAAATACGACCACTGTCTGACTCGACTTGACTTGACCATTACCCAAAGTAGTGGCGCCGACCCCCAAGTACTATACAATGTATCTCTGTTGGCTCATGCGCGCATGTCGTGACCTGCCGCCTGCCACCCATTATCATTGGGACCGTTCGGATTGTTTGCATGGACATTTTAGCTGTGGCAACGACACATAGAACACAAACACCTGGCGTCTGAGAATGAGAATGCAATATATTGATATCAATTCCATAAAACTCCTCCATGGAGAAAAAAAAATCCATAACCTCTATATACGAGTCAATGCAGAACCAGACGTGACAGGTGTTTAAATCGTACAACCAAGTACATGTCGAACGCTCTAGGAGAAAGTGGAGTGTCTCAGAAAGGAGGTATACATCGAATTGTGTTTGTGTGCACGTCGCTCATGGACTTGTCACACTCACTTCCCCCTTTTCGACGTGTCCTCCTGAATCTTCTTCTCCAACACGTCCAAGCCGGCCATCTTTTTGAACATGCCGTCAAAGGCGCCCACGGGGAGGAGACTGGACAGCCAGACCAAGGTGGCACCGCCGCCCCTCCAGATCTGCGCGGCCGGCCTGTTTCGCGAGAGGTCGCCGACCACGTTCTTGGCCCACTTGTCGAGGTCCTGGAACTCGACGCCCTCCATGTCCCCGTTCATGACGCCCTCCACCTTGTCCTTCAGGGCCAGATAGGGACTGGTCGGGGGCAACCCGCTGCCGGACCGCAGCGCCGCGTTGTCGAAGAAGGGCGTCTTGACCGCCCCCGTCCTCAGGTCGACGACCTTGACGCGGAACGGCATCATCTCCAGCCTCAGGCACTCGGTGAGGTTGGCGATGGCCGCCTTGGACGACCCGTACGCGCCCTGGAACGGCACGGTCGCCACGCTGGCGCACGAGGTCTGGTTGACGATGACGGCGTCGGGCGCGGCCGCGCGCAGCAAGGGGAAAAAGAGCTGCGCCGTGCGGATGACCGAGAGGACGTTGAGTCGGTACAACTTTTCCATCTCGTCCAGGGATATGTCCATCTGTACGAGAGACCCGAAAACGGTCAGCGAGGGGAGGGGGAAGAACTAGAAGGTCAAAGCGGGGGAAGGTGGGGGAGCTCCGTACGACTGGCATACTGTAACCCGCTCCGGCGTTGTTGACGAGCATGTTCAATTTACCACCCGTCAAGGCCGAAACCTCCTCCACGCAAGCCTTGATGGATTCGTCCGAGAGGACGTCGAGTTTGAACGTTTCGATCCCGAGCGCCGTCAGCGATGCCATCTTGGCCGGATTGCGAGCTGTCGCAAAAACTCGATCACCACGTTTGTGAAATTGAATGGCCAGTCCCGCTCCTAAACCGCCGTCCGAACAGCCTGTGATGAGAACGGTGCGAGCCATGAGTGCCGTATGTAGTCTCAGACGGGGATGAGGGTTATGGTGACAATATTACTGTCTCGAGTCGTTGGCGAGCTGGATTGATATCAAAGGATCAAGATCACACATTCGCCCTGGCTCAATCGACGTTGAAAGTATAAGTGCAAGTAGAACGGAAGGAGGAGCAGACCATCTTATATCATGCTGCTCATCGTCGGCACCCCACTTATTAAAGGCCCTTGTAAGATATTGTGCTTCTGAATTATCAACCCTTGCGTACCGTGTCATACTCGCATCTCGATTGAGTAGGTGGACTACGGGATCGAACCGGCCGAGAAAAGAGTCGAAAATAGGGTGCTCGGGCCGTCATTGGTTGGTGTCTGTTTGGGACTGTGACTTTTTAGTTGTAGAAGCCAGGGCTACCGGTACCAACACAAAAGAAACAGATTTGTCGTCGTCCGTGTGTAGACTTTGGTCCGACCTGGCAAAAGCCACCAACAAAGCCTTGTGAGATAGAGTGATATGATTCGCTGACAACGGGGCGAGGGAGTGCGAATGAGGAAGGTGGAGAACTGAAGGTCTCCGGCCATAGCCTCGCCATGTCTGGACGAAGACAAAGACAGAGAAATTTGTCCGAGTCTCGAAGAACTTGTAACATGAGATTATTAGACTCGGCCTCTCCATCGCTCGGAAAAATAGCGTAGACTGGCCCTAGCTGTCTTGGTCATTTCGCCAACCTCTGTCCTGGTTTCAACACGCCTCTGTCGCCTCCACCACCCTTTCTCCAAAGCCAGAGTGCCTCAACAGCGTGGGCTTTTGCACTGGCGTGGCCAGACTGCCTGTTGGCTTCTGCCATCATGACTTCGAGAGGTCTTTCCCTTTCGACTACTGACCATAAGGCTTCCTGCAGCTCGCCACCTCTGGGCCCAAAATCCCCGCGGCCGAGCCGGAACAGGATTCTGCCCAGTAACTGATACGCCATGCATCGCTGATTTGGCAAGGTTGACCGTGCAAGTATTGCCAGTTCAGGGATTGTGTAGCCAGCGCTACTAGGCTCGTCACCGTGGTGGTGAAGACCTCGTTTCACGTCTATTTCTAGACTCTCTTTTGGAGGTATCAAGCGTCCATTGAAGCCGAAGCGCAGGGCAGAGGCCAAGAATGACTCTTTTTCCGGGTTATACAGTGATTCCTGGTTCTCTTCTTCTGTGGGATCTTGCAACCAAGTCATTGTAGAGGGATCATGAGGAGTGTTTGGAAAATAATGAGTCCTGAGTTCGGAAAAGAAGGAAGGGTCGTTTGGATCTAGAGGGATGAAATCGTCTTTAGATCGAGGAGGAGCGGGAAAATGAACCGAGGGAGCAGATGGAGTATCATCAGGTGCACCAGCCGGCATCTCTGTGGCTTCTACGGAGTCCATCTCTTTTCTAGTATCGCCATGGTCATGCTCATCGCCCTCTTCGGGAGCTTGTGGCCACCGTTTCTGTTCTTGCTGGTCATCGTCAATGTTGGCACGTTTCAGCAAACGTTCCAGGAAGGCAGGGTTTAGATTCCGCATTAATTCGGAGCGGGCCTCCTCGATATCGTCTATTGACATTTCAGCAATTCTTCTCTTATTTTCCTCGCTGATATCCGCTTTTTGCTGGCTCTCTAAATCCACTCCGTACTTCTTGCCCACATGATGGGCGATTGCTCGGTCGGAAGGTTCGACGCGAGTAGGTATAGAGGGACGCGGCGCAGAGGCGGCTGCCTGTTGATTCCTCTTGAAAGTAGAAATATTGCGACGCTTGTGCTCAGGGAATCCAGACCTGGATGACTTCAACGACGGCGCCGCTGGGACTGAATCCGTGTCATGCTCCTGAATTTCTTTCACGGCGGAAATCGAGTTGCCATCATGCTCATCATTGTCTTCTAGAGGTGTGAATGCAAAGTCAGGAGCATCGAGGTCTAGGTCAAAGCGTTGCCCTGGAATTGCCATTCTGTGTCTTGACCAAGCGCCGGGGATTCTGCCAAAATTGTTAGAACGCGGAAACTGCGTACAGTATTTGGACTGGAAAATATGTTGGGGAAAGACACTACGACCAATTAAGTTGCAAGGATCTCCGAGAGAGGATCATGACTACGTCTGACGGGGTTTCAAATGCGCTAAAGTGCTTGAATTGATGGGTCAAGAGTCGTCTGACAGAATTGCGGTTGAGGCTTTCACCTACCGAGTATTCTGTTCAACTGCTGCAGTACCTCTAATAAATTATTGAAGATCTAAGGATATAAAGATTTTGTTCATGGCCTGCTTACACATTTGCTGAGCAACAAAGGTCTTCAAAGGCAGAATAATGTGTTGGGCAAGATAGCAACCGGTGGTTTAGCGTACAGCTGGTCGTAGCGGAGAAGGTGATCCGAGGCTACTGTAACCCCCAAGTTAGTAACAATACAAGTAGTGCTGGTGTCCATCAGCCACAGGCAGGGGGGTTGCATGATCTCGCAGATCACCCGATCTCACAAGTACTGTATCCGTACAGTAGTGATTCAGCCACAGCCACCTGTGTTTGGGTGATGTCGATGCTGCAACAGAGTAACCAAATATCAGTCATGGCGACAATGTCAAATATGCAGACTCTGTATCATGTAACTACATTGATTTGTTGCTGTTATACGGAGGCATCGAATATGAAGATATTCCAAGGCCTCTGGGGGGATCAAGGTACAACAAGGGAAGCTTAAACGCAGCAAGTTAAAACACATGAGCCAATCAAATGCACCGTCCCTCGTCTCGCATCTGGGACCCAGAAGCCGCACTTTTACTCCGTAGTACTATTTGTATTACACTCGGTAACTGTTCTCTGTAACTCGTACTGTACTTCCGTACATAACAACCTTGAACCTATTATTGTCTGTCTCGTACTTTTTCAGCTTCTCCATCAGTGGCTTTCAGGAATCACCATGCAGCCCCCGGACCATCCGTTTTTCTGCCCTTACACACTTGTCACTGTATTCACACATGTCCATGTCCCGGCTAGAATGGCCCTTTTTCTCCTTTGGCCACCACCTGCGAGTCTCGTCTTTTCACTCTCGCCCTGCTGGTCACACACACCTGATGCAGGCCTGATGCCTGGTTTTCATTCCCTAATTGTTGTCTGTCTCTCTCCCTTTATCTGCCTCGTCCTGAGCCCCCTTCACAGCTTTCTCCGCGCTGGTCTGCTCTTGTCCTGCCGTCGCCCTCTTCCCTCTTTCCTCCTCCTTGGCCGTTTGGATGCCTTTTGTCTTCACCTTGTCGCACCTCTTGGTGGTTCCAGTTGTACCCAGTACTCGTCCTGATCTATCCACTCTTGCCAGCTGTCAGAGTGACTGCTTTTTCCGCACGCGCTACCTCCCTTCATGCACTACCATTTCCCTCTTGTCGTGAATTACATGTCGGTAGCCCTTCCACGCTCTCTTATATCTCTTCTCTTCCCTCTATCTTGTTTTTCCCTCTCTTCCTATTCTTCTCTTTATTATTCCTGTCTCTTCACCGACCTCTTTGTTCTGCCGACTTGTCGCTTGGTGGTCTCTTCAATTTCGACGTTCCTTACTCCGCTTCACCACTTTTCCATGATCGCGACGGTCAGTGTCAGGCGCCAGCTAATAATTTCCAATACTTATCCGACGTCTACCACAACCTGAGGTCTTGAAGAGTCACTCCGCACATTCACCTCATTTCCATCCCCTCGTCTTCATCTCTTGTTATACCACCGCGTCATCAACCTCTTTTCTCTTTCACAACATTACCCGCCACCATCTTCACAGAACGTTGCGACAAGTTTTTCTACAAGTTTTTTTTCTCAACACTGTCATTCCTTTAGCCTTCTGACTGCTGCCCAATCCTTGATGATCTTCACGATTTTCGCAATAGTCCATCGGTAGACCTGTTGGCTCAAATCAGCAAGCCCAGCGCCGACATGGAGACTCTAGAAGTGAGAAGTTCATCCAACGAATTGTCCAGTGCACCACCCAGCGATGCAGAAAGCACACCAGGCCCTCTGAGCTATCTCACAGCTCGTCGCGACACACTACCACCCAGCAATTTAGGCATGCGCGACTCTGTTACCTCATCAGCCACACCTGCAGGCCAAGCCACAAAGCCTACGCCACAGCCTGCTTCTCAGGCCGAGGTCAAACCAAAAGCAACTCGCAGAAAGAAAGATCCTAATGCTCCAAAGCCTGAGAAAAAGGAAAAGGCCCCAAAGAAGCCCCGTGTCGCTGCCCCCTCTCGCAAGAAGCAAAAGCTTGAGCCGGCAATCATACGCGACACCATCGACATCGCTCCTGCATACAATCCGAACCTCCAGTCATCCACCTTGAATCAACCATTTTCGTACTCTCCTCCAGCAGCGGCACATCACTCACAACCACAAAACAGTGCATACAATGTACGTCCTTCGGGCCCTGACTCAACTATGTATCCTCAACAAGCTCCGCCACCGAGATATGATCAAACACCGCCTGTGCCTCCACCCGCTCCTGCTCCGGCACCGGCACCGCGGTCCATGTATGATCCTATTCGGTCGATGACTATCTCACGACTTGTAGATCCCGTCCCACCTGCCCCGATCCCCCAAACAAGCCAGACTACACCTCCTCGGCCTACATACAATCCAAGCACATCGCCCGCCATCTCAGGCATCATTGATCATCCCGCCATACCAGCAAGGCCGGCATCATCAGCTCCGCAAATCGCTCCGCCCAGCGCACCCTCCCCATACGATCAGACTAATGGCAAGGCAGCGGCCACTTCTCCCCGTGTCAATGGAAGCCCAGCAGTCACCAAAACCGAAACAATAGATTTGGATCCCGTGGTCAAGAAGTCTGCTCCCGCGAAGAAACCCCCGTCCGAAGCACCAACACGCGTCACATCACCCAAACCCGCAAGAGCCAAAGAACAGCCACTACCGCCTCTACCGGGCTCTGGTCTCCTATCTGCCAGCCTTTTCGGGGGAGATTCTGGCGCTGATGCCAACCAAAAGGATGCCAAAGGCCCCAACATTGTTCTCCACATTGACCTCAAAGACCCTAAGAACCAAATCATCAACTTTGCTCGACTGGCTGAAGAGAAGTATGGTTTTGCTGCTCTCTATCCTCGCCAAGCTGCTCAGAGGGAGCGCCTGGCCAAAGTTGCAGCGGCTGGGGCAGCCCTGGAGCGGTCGGCATCAGGTAGCAAGGCTGGAGGCACTTCTGCTGGAGAGAGCGGTGATGAGGACCTTAGTGTTGATATCGATCGTGACTCAGACAACGACGGTGATGTGGCCATGTCCGGAGTCAATGGTCACGATGCGATGAACAGTGGCACTGACGCTCCCGAGCCAAAGAAAAAACGTAAGAGAAAGGTGGAAGAGTATGACCAGGATGATCCGTTTGTTGATGATAGCGAACTACTCTGGGAGGCGCAGGCTGCAGCTAGCAAGGATGGTTTTTTTGTCTACTGTGGCCCGCTTGTCCCGGAGGGCGAGAAGCCTGCTGTCGAGAGGTATGTCTCCCGGTTCATCTTCCCCCAACAATGCATACTGATTTTGTCTCCAATAGAGCTGATGGAACCATCAAACGTGGCCGAGGTCGTGGTAGAGGTGGTGGACCCGGTTCACGAGGAGGAAGAGCGGGAGCTGCTTCTGATCGAGCTGCCGGACGGGGCGGTGGACCGGGATCTAGAGGCGGTGGAATCACACGCAAACCTCGCATCACCAAAGCTGAACGTGCTCAGATGGAGTCAGAAAAGCATCAGCGAGAGAAGATTGCGCCGCTCGTGGCGAAACCTCCAGCGTATCCTGGCTGATTGTGCAATTGCAGCGAGATTTGTTTCAGGATCTGTATCATTGGCGGCGCATCCCATTACGGAATTAATGTATGTTGTCTACGGCGGACAAGGGCAGAATTAGTGAGGCGTCCTGGCAAGGCTTGTGTCGACTGGGAACTGCGATTTCTATTACTCGAATTGAAAAATTCATTCGTGCTTCATGAGTGGAATGTAACGGCAGTCAGCATGAGAAACCGATACCCCAAAGGCGTCTTGTATGTAGAATTATGCAGAAGGCTTTCCAATCAATGATCATGGACCTTCTTGAACCCTGAATCTAGAATTGTCCATAAACGGACATATGTGGCTTCCTTCACCGGAGTTTTCCACTACTCGTGATGCCATCTTCGACGTCATTCTGCATTGGTGTACGACGAGAAACAGGACAAGATTTGGCTCGGCAAGGGTCGGAGAAGCTGGAGGAGCAAGTCCATGCACACATGTTCTTCAGAAACAAAGTAGGAAAGACACTGGGTAAAATGTGATAATATGATTGTGCGAAGGCGCCCGCGCAGATTGTGGCCGTAGACAAGAGTACGGTATGAAAACCGGCATGATCCTTCTGGTCCGAGTCGAGTGGCCATTCGCAAGATGCCCCGTCCTGCTGATCTCGTAGATTTCGAGTTCGGCGAGGAACCGAAAAGGAGCAAGCGTGGAAATGTCGATGGATGGGATTCTTCAGTGGCTGACGCACCAGGCTAGGCGGACCTGGGGCCCTTAGGCTGACCTTTAGGGCTCGCCTGTGCCCGCTAAAGCGTGCCTAAATCCGCCATTGACGCCCTTCTATTCGCGGTGCGGATGAGAAGACAGAGGCTGCTAGGCCTACTCCGTAGTGGCCCAAGAGCCCCCCAGTGGCCCGAGGGTCAGAGAGCTGTCTTGCTGGGTGCCGATATCCCCAAAATCCCACTCTGGCTGTGTCTTTGGCATATTGCGAATTCCCACATCCACAAGTCATCAAAGCCATCAAGCCGTGTCTGTGCGTCCCTCCCTTCCTCGCAGTCTTGCCCGTCTCTGTATCTCTGAAATCCCTGGACCACACCTTGCATTGCATCTGCGCTAAACTCCCCATTGTACCGTCCTATCTCGACTTCCCTCTGATCCATCATCCCAGTACGAGAGAGTCCCTTCGATTGAATCTAGCAAGACGCCTCATCGCCAGACTAGCGCCAACAGTGACTGCGCACCTCGGTCAATAGACGCTGTCTAACCTCACATCGATTCCTGCTGCTGGTGCTGGTGCTGCCGGCTGCAAGTATGCAGTTCCTACGGCCGTGCCTGTTCCTCTCATTCCGCGCCCCACGGCCAGTCTAAATACAGCTCGACCGCCTCGAAATCCTGACGACTCTCGTGGTCGATAGAATCCTTGCCTACTGTTGCAAATATCCCCTGCCGAATGGTTCGCGGGTGACACAAAAAAAAGAACGTGGAGATAGAGCGACGATGGACGGCATGCAGGGCTTTTATGCCCAAGGCTACCCGGGCATAGACCCTCAGCATTCCATGGACGGGTACGCGCAGGATGATGGTTTGAACACTATCTCCCCCGATACCATGGATACAACCGGACTTGGCCAGGCACAAACGCTCCACCAGATCATCAACCAGAACAACGAGGAGTTGATGCGCAGGCGCAACACTTTCCAGTCACAATATCGTCAAGGTCCGCATGATCGAAACCGTCGGGCTTCCATGCTTGAGTTTGGCTCTCCTATGAATGCCGCTGACCTGGCAAGCTTTCAGTTCGACCCCAACCCAAACGAGTCCGACATGTCAATGACGAATTCAATGTCACACTTGGTTCCCATGAATAAATCTCTTGAGCCGCGAAGAGTTCGTTCCAAGGAAGATTTGTCCCTCAACACACGTTTCTCCCAGATGAACACCAGTTTCGATCCTCTTTCTGCCATGGACACCTTCAATCCATCACTGATGGCCAGCACATCGGCGGGAGTCGAGTCCGGTTCAGCGTTCATGAACATGCTAGACTTCGACCCCATGGCTGGACTGACAGATTCCGGGTCAATGCAGGAACCCATCTTCACCGATTCGCCCATTGACCAAAACTTCACAATGCCTTACCAGTCGAATGGTCAAGATCCTGGCGCAAGCTCGATGCGTTCGCAATTGAATAACCCGATGGCCGCAATGGCGCAAAACATGTCTACGATACCCCAAGCGTTTTCCAACACCGCCCCACAAATGGGAGGCCATACACCTCATTCTGCAATGCAGGTCGGACCATCTTCAACCATGGCCTCGCCTATGCACGTGCCCAGTAGCGCTTCCAGGAGAACTTCTGTTGAAGCCCAGCCCTCGTTTCCAAACAGTGGCAGTACGTTCTCCTACGAGCCTCATTTACATGTATTGACAAAAAGTCAGATATGACCCCAAACTCGAGGGCTATGAATCCGCCAAGTCTACCACACATGCCACAGGTCTCCGGCCCCCCTGTGCCCCAGCCTACACTATCCAAGTTTACAAATGTATATTCATCTAGTGGTTTTGATATGCTTGGAGTTTTAGTATGATCATCCTAATGAAGACTTGATTGATTTGGCTGACATGAGGCTAGATGCGTGTCGCCACGAGACCACACCCTGAAATCAATATCGGCCCGGTCGATTTGTCTTGCGCTTTCGTCGTCTGTGACCTTGACAAATATGACCTACCCATCGTTTACTGCTCTGAAATGTTCGAGCGCCTTACTGGCTATACGAAACACGAAATTCTAGGGAGAAATTGTCGTTTTCTACAAGCACCTGATGGCAAAGTACAATCGGGTATCAAAAGAAAATATGTTGACGATAACTCTGTTCTATATCTCAAGAACCAGATCGCGAAACGAGCCGAGGCTCAGCTTAGCTTGATCAATTACCGTAAAGGTGGACAGCCCTTTATGAACCTCCTGACCATGATACCCATACAGTTCGACTCGGAAGACTACAAATTCTACGTCGGCTTTCAAGTCGATCTGGTCGAGCAGCCGGGTTCAGTGTCCAAAAGAAACCCTGGTAAGGCTCCTTCATTAATTGTCCTGTTTTATCATTGCGTTGGCTAATCTATTGAAAAAGACGGGAGCTATGAAATCAACTATAACCGAAGTTCTCTCCCTGCCTATACACTCCCTGCTCCGCCCGATTCAGCCCAAGGACTACCCGAGATGGGCCAAACAGTTTCCAAGGATGAAGTCTCGACAGTACTTGCTACGTTTGGTCGCGGCGATTCCGAGCTATCGAGACGAATATGGGACAAAGTACTGCTGGAGAATACGGATGATGTTGTCCATGTCTTGTCATTGAAAGGACTTTTTCTCTATTTATCACCAGCTAGTCGAAGAGTTCTCGAGTACGACCCCAATGAATTGGTGGGCACTGCTCTGTCGGCCGTGTGCCATCCCAGTGACATTGTTCCAGTCACTCGAGAGTTGAAGGATGCCTCTAATGGAAATTCTGTCAATGTGGTCTATCGAATTCGACGGAAGTATAGTGGCTACACCTGGTTCGAAGCACACGGCTCAATACATTCTGAACAAGGCAAAAGCAAAAAGTGCATCATCCTTGTTGGGCGTGAGAGACCAGTCTATGCACTCGACAAGAATGACCTCTCGTCTGAAGGCGCAACGGGTGAGAGTGAGCTGTGGTCGAAGATCTCTACATCTGGCTTGTTCCTACATGTCTCGTCAACATCGCGGGTAATGCTTGATCGTCTGCCGGAAGACCTCATGGGGACGAGTATGCAGGCTCTGATGAGACCAGACTCGAAAAAGGAATTTGCTCGGGTCCTAGAGATGGCACGGTCTGGAGACAATGTGACGTTTAGACACGATCTTCAGAATCGTCGCGGCCAAGTCCTCCATGCGCAGACGACCATTTACTCAGGTGATGCAAGACGGGGTTATAAGCCAACATTCCTCCTCGCGCAGACAAGATTACTGAAGATGACGCGGGCCGCCTTGCTGAACCAAAAATCGAGTACACAATCGCCCAGAACTGATCGAGCATCTATGGGTTCTGCGACACCTCTCACAACCACCTCGAGTAGGTCAGGCACCAGGCCAACCGAGTCGTCGTCTCTCTCTTCTATCGCCGACGGAGCAGTGACCAAAGCAGGCAGTCACGGACTTCCACTTGGCAATCAAGATGAATCCTTGGCTTCTGAGGATAACATTTTCGATGAGCTAAAGACCACCCGAAGTTCCAGTTGGCAGTTTGAGCTACGACAAATGGAACGGAAGAATCGTGTTCTTGCCGAAGAGTTGCAGGCTCTGTTGAGCCGTAAGAAGAAGCGCAAGAGGAGAAAGGGTCTTGGACAGTTGGAAAAGGATTGCGCCAACTGTCACACAAGAGTGACACCAGAATGGAGAAGAGGTCCCAGTGGCCAGCGTGATTTGTGTAATAGCTGTGGTCTTCGATGGGCCAAACAGGTGAGTTGTTGAGTTCTTTTCTCCCACATTAGCTTATCTTTGCGGACTATCAATCGTGACTAACCAAAATATTGTGTACAGCAAGGACGAGTCTCCCCACGAAAGAACAGTGACAAAGGCTCTACCTCGCCTGCTCAAGGATCAACACTTAAAGCCAGCATTTCCGTTGGCCAGGTGAATGGTAAGACAGGAGATTCATCATCCACTGCAACAGGCATGCAAGCCCCTGGAGTTGTCAATGGAACGATTGTGAATGGACAAGCAGCGAAAGCCACGAAAGAGGAAGACAACACAGTGTGGCGAGGGGCGATGCCTCCAAAGATCGAGGAGGCGGAGGAGCCACCCGGGCCTAACGTGCTTCCGACTTGACACATCAAGATGAATTCACCCTCTAACTAAGAGTCGGTGGGCACCTAGCTGCTCGATTCTACCAATTCTGCCCACTCCATCAATGCTCCGCCATTTTTTGAGAAGTATCCTGGCTTCTCGCTCATCCTTGGCAATACTCATCCAGACGAAAGTTGAAGCCGACCACGATTTCGACCTGCAGGACTTTCCGTTCGACAGATCAAGTTGATTCTAAATTCAGCACTGCCCTGGGAGCGTGCGGTCTACTCGCTCGGAACAAGCAACACACATTCCGGTGACAAATCACCGGTTATGATGACAACCAGATTTGCCGATTTCCGGCATCGATCCGGGGTCTGATCCAGGGTCTCGAGGATTTCTTGTGGTCTTTAGCCCTGAATCTTGTTCGATTCAGGATGCAGAATGCATGATCATTATACCCATCACGACATGTTACAAATCATTCATGATGACGGCCAGAGTACGACTTTATACATGAACAATCGGGAGGTTGATGATTTAACCCTCCCATCATGTCTGTCGAATCTGTCACTTTTTCCCCACGTCCTATCTTCTCTCTTAGCGAACACGACAATTATAATGTGAAATGGTACGAGATATTCTGATTGACTATTTTGTTGGTCTCGTTGAGTCTCCTGAACAGACTTCAAAACACGATGACGGTTGCGTCTTTCTTGGGTGGTCCTTTTTTGGTGTACTCTGGGCATTTATGAAACGAAAGACATTTTTTTCAAGAGTCAGCCGGGCCGGATGCATGATGACCATGTTTCGGATGTTTTAGTGTACGTCGGTACCTGGCTCGAGATCTACATAGTGTCTCTTTTTGTTATTTGTGGGCTGTGGGCAGTGGGCACCATGGTATATGATCACGATGACGAAACAAGATGTCGATGTCGGTCTCCTGGCCTCTTTCGGATGGGCTGGGTTTCTTGATTTTTCCACCAAGATAGAAGAAGTGGTGAATTGCCTTTTTGCTCTTCGACGTCAAAGAAGGCAAGGCGGGCTCCCATATCAGGTATATACATACAGTGTTTGGCGTTTTTGATGAAATTTTTTTTGAAGTGAAACATACCATCCTAGGTAGGTATGATGATGTACTTGTTGTGTACTAATACATTCTAACATGAATCATTCACCTCTCAAAGAGAGTACTTTTGTTTTCTGACGTTACTGGTCAAATGTGAGTGTCTGACCCACGAGACAATCTTGTGGTCATCCTCTCCACCAGGTCGCCTCCTCCTGGACGTGACGTGCGAGATGTGGCGGTGGGTGTGTCTGTCTCGGCTGTCTGTGGTGTCGGTTTCGTCCCTGTCTGTGACCCGATCTCCGCCTCCGTAGTGGCAGGTCCGTTCATGTGCTGCACACCCTCGTCGTGTCTGTCGTGTGCCGCCGCCACCGACACCGACCCGAGGATCCAGAATGAATCTCGACGACACAGTTGGACTCGTTCGGCGGCCGCTTGTGTGACGATGGAACTTACTCGGTTCGAATTCGGCATCGACACCGCCGCCGCCGTCGTCGTGACGGACGGCCGCGGGGGCTTGTTCGGTGACGACTCGGTCGACTCGGATGACTCATCACGACGAGGAGGCGGATCAGGAATCGTGTTTGAGAATGTAAATGTTGTATGTGCCGGTGGCGGAGACGAGTTGGTGTTTGTATCTGTCGACGATGTGGTTGGACCGTCGTGCGTCGTCGTTGTCGTTGCCTTGGACGCTTCCGCCGTCCTAGTACTACTACTCTTACGACGGTTTGTTGTCCGACGTTGGATTTTTACGTCACGGTCATAATCGCCTGTACATTTACTGGTACCGGCACCGGCACCGGCATATCTGAACAACAATGGTAGAGTCGACTCTTTCCACACGGCCATGTGGGCGGCGTGGGTGGCGAGGATCGTCAAAGTCAGACCCAACGCCCCCAAGGCGAACAACGACAGGGGGTAAGATATCCAACTCCACCTCACGACGACGATGGCCCGAGCGTGTAAGGCGGTCCCACGGGCCGTGGTGCTCTGGAGTTGTTGGAACCTCCCGGTCAGAGCGACCCCCACTTGAGTGGCAATGTCGGTGAAATTCCCGTTGGCGTCGATGGCCTGTTGACCCGCCGACGACCAAGGACCGTCGGTCTGGGTGAAGCCCGTGGCGTCGAAGGTCGAGTCTTGACCCGCCTCGGAAGGGTCGGCGTACCAGTAACCGCTGTGGATGTAAGTCGTGTTGCCCTCCAGGGCGATACGCAGGGCTTGAATCAGCAAGAACGCTCGGCCCTGCGAGTCGCCCTGGGCCGAATCGTAGATCGAGTACGTGGTTCCGTTGACCGAGTCGGTCCAACCCGACTTCAAAGAGCCGTCGGGCTGTCGACGGTCGATGATGACGGAACCGTACGACGTGGCTCGGACGGTCGATTGTGTCGTCCCCGACTGCACGTCCGTCAGCATGGTACGGACGCAGGGCGTAAAGGAGCAGGCCGTCGCTCGGCCCACCACCAAACGGGACGAATCGGAAGACAGGGTCGTGTCGAGGTAACCCATGGCGAACAATGGCGAAACGGGGAGAGAAGTGTAGGATCGGTTGTCCCAGGAGTACGTCCACAGAGAGTCGGGCGCGGCGTCGACGTTGAGAGGCCACACCGTCCTCCGAGGGTAAACCACCGACCATTGAACCGCCGACCCCAACTCGAGTTCGAGACTGACGCCGAGGTTCACACCGTTGCCGTGAGGGAAAGAGTACGTCGGTGTCCACGTCGACGTGGTGTCGGATCCATTCCCCCGACTGTAGTACCGCTCAAACCGTGATGTCAAATTCACATCGTAGACGTTGCCCGACACCTTGACTTGGTCCGTCATGTCTTCGCACGCCGTACACAGGGCGAGCGTGTCGTATAGAGGCCACGTGCAATTCCCCGTGGGACAGACTGGGGTGGGGACCGCGCCGGACGCGCCACCGAATGCGCCGATGAGGGCGTTCAAGGACAGGCTGGAACCGCCCAGATTCCCAGACACCGGCTCGTCATACGAAGTTGGTGTGCGGATCGTGGCAGGCTCCGAGTTTGTCGGGACGTTCACCACGTTGATCTGGACCAGTTGTTGGATGAACGGCTCGAACCCTAGAGCTAGGATGGTGACGAGGGCGGCGAGTAAAGCGCGGAAACTAATCATTCAAAAAAAGTGATTAGCTGGGTCGTATGAAATGTGTCATTACCATGCAGCAAGACATGAAACTCTTACCTGCCCTTCCACGTCAATATCAGTTCCAAAGACCCGTATGGCCCACGACTGGCTTCTTCGAAAGAGTCCACAACGTCCAAAGGACGTGGTCGATCAATGAACCACAACCATTTTTCTTGACGGATGGAAGCTGCCAAAATGACCATCAAACTTGCCTTTGCGAGGGACGCGAGGAACGAAATGATGGCGTTGATCGATATCCCTTCTGGCAAGTCGGGAACGGCGTGGTTATCGTACGCGATGAGGATTCCTACAATACTCGCGAGGACACAGAGACATAACGTCGCCGCCCCCAGTTCCCACAACCAGTTGTCGAGACTTATTCGATCCCACCACGATGGACCTCTCTCGGGAACTGTCTGGATTGGATCTGAATGTTGGACATCCCTCGTGTCCTTCTTCTGTGACCGCCCGATTGAAGAAGAGTGAATCATGTCGAACGTCATAGGTCCGTCGTAACGGTGGGTTTGGATCTGTTGGAGAGACATCATTTTGCCATGGCAGAGGGTTCGTATATATCAGACCTCATGATATATGTACATGTCAGGCAGCACTTTACGTGCGACCCTTGTGATAAAAACAAAAAGTATCGCATAACAACTTCCCTGAGATCAGCGACATTACCAGACGCCTGGGGACAGGCACTGGCTGGCTTGATGAAGATCGTATAATGCACGAGTGCGAATTGGGGCCATTACCATGCAAGAATAGGCCACACTTTTTTGGAATACACCGTAAACACTTACATATCGCCACCAGCCTACAGTAGGGCCATTGAGGAGTCTTACTGAATCAAGGTACGGCACGCGGCTCCTCTGGGCGATTGTGCCCCAGCAAGCGCAAGGGTTGAAGACGACCTGAGACGCCTGTTTTGTATGTTTGGTGGAAGGCCTTAAAAAACGAGGCTGAGAAAAAGTCGAGCCAGGGGTGTGTGGTTGGGAGGCCTTAAGGCATTGAACTCTTTACGGAGCAATAACCTTTCACTTTTGAAGGGGCTTATTGGATCGAGTAGCGTTGGATGGCAAAAAGTCAGCGCCCAAGCGAAAGACGGCCATAGGAAAGTTAACCCTTGTACAGTATGTATTGGATGATGCGACCTTTGTTGTTTTGACAGCCCACGGAAATTTGTAAAGGAGGCGTGTGTTCGACGCCACAAAACATGCGGTGGACAAGTGAAATGAGGTTGCAGGGTATCTTGAAGGAAGGCGAGCGAGATTTGAAGCCGCCTCGGACTAGGCATAAGGTATGTCGTAGTTATCATGGAAGTTGTCGCAGGTAAGATGAATAGACAAGGATGGAGGAGGAAATCGACATGGATTTGATGCTGAGGGTGTATACGGATGCGGAATAGATATTTAGAGGCTGCTTTAACTATGAGTACCCCAAACCACAATGGCTTAGGGAGGTTGTGGGGCTGCTATGGGCTTTATCGTAGAGGCAGTCTTAGGCGATCCAGGCCCGGAGGAGTAGGCTCAGGTGGCGGTACTCTTTGACAGACACCGGGACTCCTCTCGCTCTCAGTACTCTCAATCCAGAACACAAGGTGTCCTGGCTATCCAAGTACTCTGTACTCAATCCAAGACGGCAGGCAAGACTTTGCCTCTACATTCACCAAATCCAAGGAGAACTTTTCCAGAAGCTTTATCCTTGCACCATCCTTGCAGGATGACTTCATCGCCATCCTTGAGGAACGTATCTACCAAATCCGATGGCATCGACTTGAGTCTTGCGTCAGGTAGGTTTCGCTCAAAGAGACATCCGAGTCCAATCCTTTCGCCATCGGCGTTTTTACGCTAAGGGGGGATCGGAAGTGTTAGCGAGCTGTCAGTCTTGATGTAAAGAGTCAAGCAGAGGAGGGAGGCTCAACATACGGAACTGGAGATTGTGCCCGTGCCAAACACATCTCCTGGAGAGAGGCCCTCTCCTGCTGCAGACAAGTGTGTCATTTGTTGGTATGGTGTCCAATGCAACTCATTGAGATTACTTTCGCACAAAGTGTAGGACTTGCCATCTCCTGAATCATCACCGTCAGCCGCGCATTCACTTCATCTTGACATTACCTAAAAGCGGACAAAAAAACTTACGAAGCAAAGTGACGCTCAAATCGATGTCGAACGTCGCCTTGTCATCCTCTTGCCAAGTCAGATGAGGCGGCGGTGCAGGCTCCTGCTTGGTCTTTCTCTCGCATCTCGCAGATTCGAGGGCCTCGATGGGCACGATCCAAGAGCTCACTGTGGTACAACTGCCCTTGGAGTGGAATGGTCCCAAAGGTGGCATTTCGAAGCCCTGAATCTGCCGTGCTGACCAGTCGTTCAGCAGCGTCAGACCAAAAATATGGTCTCGCGCATTTCCGATTTTCAGTCGTTGGCCCTTGGGGACAGGTTTGGATAGCCAGACTCCCATTTCTAGCTCGTAGTCCATATGCGACTCTGGCTTGAAAGAGATTTGGTCCGAGCCTCGTGAGTCGGGATACATGCCACAAGGGCGGTGGAAAGGGGTTCCAGATACGGCGAGACTCGAAGTGCGGCCATTGTACACTGACGGCATCTTGAACCAGTTCGCCTGAATAGTCAGGTTGAAGACGTCGGAACACTGTGGACTTCTAGTTAGCTCTGGGAGACGTTCCCATGGACATGGTCAAAAGGAGGACGTTCATACATTCTTACTGTGCTCAAGTGAGCAGTAGAAATCCGAGAAATTGTGTATGTGCATAGGTAGATGATTCTGAACGGCAGCCAACGGGATCATTGCCTTCTTGACGCTGCCGTTGGCGATTCCAGATTTAAGCAGAGCTCGAAAGGCACTACGCACGCTTGTTGGTAGGACTGCAAAGGCATTCCAGTTGCCCTTGAAGCGGTGAGATTGAGGAGGATTTAGTCAAGGTACCAGGAACGACTTACGTGTGCAAAGACATTATCCTTCAGCTCGGCGATGGAGGAGAAGAAGCCTTCGTTGTATAACTGGTCGATGTCTATGGCTGATTCTTCAAACGCAACCGCACATCGCTTTTTGGGCTTGTCGCTGGTTGAGATGACTCCATATGGGAGGTTGTCAATGGTATATGGGCTGACGGAATCAGCCATGGCTATAATTGTACTGGTGATGTTGAGAACCGAATCTTTTTCTGGTGAGAAAGATGATTCTTGATTGAGCACAACAAACACAAGCAAGAGGTCAACACAGCCTCCAGGCATTTGTGTAAGAACCACACGTCCTCCGCATTCGACAATTCCGTCCCACAGTCAGGCACTGAACTAGTCGTTCAAGGTCTGTATTTCCCGACGGCATTCCCCGGAGTCTTCGTCAAGGCTGATGGTGGTTGACCTCGGGCCCACTGACTCTGTTCCCCTCCAGACATTTGTTCTCCACCGATCTCTTCTCGCACCACTAGGGGGTTGGTTTTCAGAGTTTGTGGGTGTCCAAGCCTCGGTCGTTCGGGATATTAAGGTCAGGCTTCCCTCCATTTCCCGAACAAGTTGCGCTCTTGAATCCTGTTCCGTGGCTTTTGGAAACAGGTGGAGAGGTAGAGAGAATCAATGGCAGGAAGACCTAGAAGATCCTGCGATAGTTGTAACGCACAAAAGGTACAGATGTTGGGCTTCTGCAAAGGTTACAGTGCTGACTTTGCTATCTGCACAGCTGAGATGTGGTGGTGAAAAGCCAAGCTGTACACGGTGTACACGCTTAGCCCGGCCATGTGTGTACAAACCCGTCGGGGCCGCGACGGTGGCTCGCCGTCGAGCTTCCAGCATTGCCTCATCACACAGACCGGTACCAGTAAGCGAATACATTGGCTCGCCTTCACGACTACACATCTCAGAGAAGAAATACTTTGGTGTGCCGTCGACACTTTTACCGACCTTGATTGATCTGTACTTCAAATGCATCTACAATGCACGGCTTCTCTTCCACAGGCCGTCTCTCGAGGTGGCTTTAGAAGCTCAAAGCGTAAGGTCTGATATAGTGCTATGCATTTGCGCAATGGCGGCAAAGTAAGCTCCTGCTCTGTGCATTCGACCGTTCCAGCTGACAAAAGGTGAACCAGATTTTTCAAAGACCCCAACGGTAGTGCAGTTCTTATCGACAATGGTTTTTGCCGCGAGTGGGCAGAAGAGGCCGGCAGGTTGGCTTTACGGGAACTTGAGTCCCCGTGCTCAGAGAATATTGTCGTCTTCCTCAATCTGAGCCTCTTCTGGTACAGCATGGGTGAGTATCGAAGGGCGGCCATGCAATCAGGTAGGACAATATCAGCCACTTGCATAGTGGGCCAATTGCTAAATGACATGACAGGTATTGCCTCAACCACAGCATGGACAATCGGTATACCCTTCGCTCGGCAAGAAGGAGTAGATTCTCTCGAAGCTGAAATTCGCCGAAGGCGTTTCTGGGCTTGCTATCTCCTCAATACCTTCCTCCATGACAGCCTCTTTCCCAAGGTGCCGACAGAAGCCATGCTTCGAACGAGCCTTCCTTGCTGGCAGGAGGACTTCGACACCGGGAGACCGCAAGGAGGCGTCACTCTGAAGTCAAGTCAGAGCAGTCAAAGCATCTACGCCGAACTCATTCGAGCAATGTCGTTATGGTCCGCTGTCGTCACCCTAACTGGGCAACCCGAGTCAAATCTGGCGACACGACTGAGCGACATTCAAGCTCTCGATGGTCGTATCCACGATACATATTCTATGCTTGCTCCGTGTTTTCAACTAGATCCCACCAACATATCACTGGTGCCTCCCAATGACCTAGGTAATCTTCTCTTGCTGCATATCATATATCACCAGTGCTGGTGCTCTCTCCACTCCTCCATTGTCCCGTTGTTCTCGTGGAGTGCTTTCGACGACTCGTGCGCGTATGCACAGCAGTTGTCGGGTCAGACGGCACTGGAACACTCATATGCTGTATCATCGCTCTTAGAGGCCACCTTAGCATCGGACTGGGACGCAGAACGATTGCCGAGCTTTATTGGATATGCTGCATACGCAGCATGTGCCATACAGACACCGTTCTTATGGTGCTCGAAACCGGATGTTAAGCAGCGTGCCGTGCGTTGTATTCTAGCAAATCTTCAGACGATGCAAGTGATGGGTAGACAGTGGCAATTCACCAAGATCTTGGTAGGGCTTCCTGCTGCATGAGATGGCCTCAGATACTGACATTGTGTCTTACAGGGACGATTCGCACGTGGTCTTTACAAGCTCCACGGAAGCCGCGTGGTTCCGTTGACAGATGAGCCCAAGAACATGTCGCCAGCAGCGTTGAAGGGGTTCAAGACGTCCAACCCACGAGCGCGGCTTTCGATCCTGACGCATAATACCATCATTGTCAGTGAGGAGGGTTCCTTTGCCAGAGGAGCAGAAGATATTGGCGATCTTGGTTTGGACGATCCAGAAACCAGAGACTCAAATCTCGAGGAGGAGGGAATAGCGGCCTTCATAGCGCAGATCTCTCGGGAGTGCAGAGAGATGCACGGCCAGTTGCCTGTGATGTTGGAGCCGTTCTTACCGTCAGAGAACCTGAATTACTACGATTTTGGTGGAGGTTTCGACGCTGACAACGAAGCGGCGACTCTGGATTCCATGGGCCACATTGAGGATTGGATTTCTGAACTTCTGCAGCAGGGGGGATGACATGATGTCCTATAGCAATGAGGTCCAAAGATCCATGTATTGCCGGCCAATGCTGTCAAGTATTTCGGGCCATCGTTGGTGCTAAGGCTGAAAGTTCGCTCACATTCTTTGGGAGTCTCAAGGATGCCGTCCTGACTGCTCGGCAGTTCGGATACCCCTCTAGAGACTGGCAGTTGAAGTTGTCGTTGGATGCATTCCGCAGGTGAGTTTGCAGATATTCTGCATCGGGCATGGAAGTCCTGCGTCGAACTCCCAAGCCTCAGCATCTGGTAAATTACTCCAGTACCGGAATGATGGAGACTCACTGACCACCTGATCTCTGGGGGTAAGACGGAGGAGTGTGTGGGGGACAATATGCCATATATGCCGAATACCCACCCATCCCTTAGCTGATTCCATTCGGATAATCACAGACCACCGTTGTATATAAAAAGTCGACATGGCCGGAACGGTCGCGGGAAGAAGGCGGTCATTCATTCTATCGAAGACGAGTCCTGTTGGGTTTGCACAAGGATTAAAACATGTCTTCATCTTTACTCCTCAAGAATGCCACAGTAATTAGTGTCGATGAGAAGATTGGCATCAAGGAGAACTGTGATATCCTGATAGAAGATGGTGTTATCAAGGAGGTCGGGCCAACTCTGAGCTCTAAAAGCTCGGGAGAAGTGATTGACTGCACTCATTGTTTGGTCTCGCCAGGCTTCGTTGACACTCACCACCACATGTGGCAGCAATTGATTCGAGGGGTGACGACAGACTGGTCGTTGGCGAACTATCTCGAGCACATTCGGCTGGTGTATGGTAGTATTTTCACGCCAGAGGATGTGTATACTTCCAATCATTTTGCAGCTTTGGATCTGATCAACAGCGGCGTCACAACAGTCATCGACCATTGCCACATCCTGAATTCGTCTGCACACAGTGATGCAGCCGTCAAAGCTTTGAAGGATGCTGGTATTCGGGGAACCTGGTGTTATGGATTCTATGAGAATCCCAGTCAGGCGGACCTTCCCGGATCAAACCACACTATATCAACTCCGGCAGGCTTTGACAAAGCTGCTCGCAGGGAGGATGCAAGGAGGATCCGACAACAGCATTTCCCGAACAACGATCCAACCAAGCAGCTGTTGACGTTTGGAGGAGCCCCGGCGGAGGCGGAGGGCATGAGTCCGGAGGCCCTGCAGGAAGAGATCGATTTCTTTCGGAGTATCGGGGCTCGGGTCACCACGATGCATGTCTCACTGGGCAACTACGATTTCGACCATCAAATAGTCCAACGGCTCGGAGACGACAAATACCTTGACAAAGACCTCTTGTTCAGTCATGGGTCCTCCTTCACTGACTCCGAGATCAGTCTGATCAAAAAATCTGGGGCGGGCATTTCGTCGACGCCCGAAACCGAGCTTCAGATGGGCATGGGCCACCCGGTGGCATTCAAGGCTGCAGCAGCTGGGTGCCACGTCGGCCTTGGGATCGACATCACCAGCAACCAGAACAACGACATGCTCGCAATCATGCGTCTTCTGCTTCAGGCGGAGCGGGGACGGCGACACCTTGAAGTGTTGGGTAAGGCGCCTCCTCCGTATGACATTCAGCCCAAATCCGAAGAGGCCTTATACATGGCAACAATGGGAGGAGCGAAGTCGATTGGGCTAGATCATCTCATAGGCAGCATCACACCAGGCAAAAGAGCAGATCTTGTCATCACCCGATGCGACGATATGAATGTGGTGCCAGTGACTCACCCAGTCGGAGCCCTCATGTTTAACGCTCATGTTGGCAATATTGATACGGTCTTGATCAACGGGAAAGTGATGAAAAGGGATGGCAAGGTTCTGAACGTTGACTGGCCGAAATTGCGGGACGAAGTACGACAAAGGAGCGCGAGGATGTTGGATGTGCACTCTAAAGCACCGCTTCCGTCAAAGGACATGTGGACGAGGGTGACAGAATTGTGAAATGCTCGCCTTGGACTGGGTTTGGCGGGCCTGTTTGATACAACTTGTTCATGCGGAAGGGTTTGAGATCGGCCTTGCCCCTCGTTGTTACCAGCTTAACTCGGTAGGGAGTGCATGCACATACTTGGTGACGCAGTCGGAAAGAAATTCGACCTTGGTGTTGTTGAGGTTAGCGTCGACGCGAAGGATGGTGGTGAGGGTGATGTAGTTGTACCTTTGGCGTTCCTCTCGAGCGATTGGGTGCTGGGCGAGATGTAAGGCGAAGAAAAGTATCAACCAGGATTGTGATGTCTGTATATTGTTCTTGGATATATGACCTTCAATTGGCGGGTGGAATGAGTGGAAGCCATGATACCTGGTATAGTACGGACATGGGATACTCCGTACGGGTGACTGGCCGCTTTACTGTAGAGCTACGGGGACAAGGGTATGGACAAGGAACCCCCGGCACAAAGGAAGGGAGCCTGTACAAGTCCGTTTCTCGGCGTGCCCCTCCCCCCTAAGTCTCAGCCCGAGTGTCTTCCGTAACATGACCCGTGGTTTGGGGTGCGAAGAGCCCGCCCGTCTGGTTCTGACACTCACTAACACCATGCATGCGTTAGAGTATTCCGTAGTGTCTGTAGGTACCTACCTATATACGAGTATTCTATGTAACTCATGAGCAGATACCCACAGACTGTTGGACACTTGTAGCTCTTATCTTCTTCATACCCCTCTTGTAGTACTCCTTACCAACTAACTTAGTGCTGCCCCTTCAATTGTGTGAGTGCCCTATTGAGGCAATTCCAAGAGGGGGTCACATTCGGTACCGACGATCAATTGACTTGATGCCCAACCACTGACTGGCTGCCCTGTTTTATGGCCGTTGCAGGATTTATCACCAAGAGGTACTTAGCACGAGGACCCAGACAAGGGTTCGACTCCCTCCATCCCCGAGAGCTACGGGGCTCATCAGGCGAGACTAAGACGCCCTAGACGCATACCAAAGTGCTTGCTATCGGCGCACCAGGCATCCCGCACACCCAAACCACCCCTGCGTACTCTCGCTTACCTGAAGCTAACAGCCTCGCCTCCTCTGAGTGTGTTGCATTTCAATTTACTCCGTCTGAGAAAGTACTCCATAGCAGTCGCCGTGAACCTGCGCCTATCATTTTCTTCAAATGGCCTAATTCAACAAACGAGTTCGCACATGATACTCATCAGCTCGTCCTCGGCCTCGTCTATCCATGTCCATTGCTACCTGATCATCCCTTCGTCCTGCTATATTCTCTCTCTCGTTCCCTCGCCTAGTGCCTCATAAGTCGATCCCTCTGCTCTTCTGTGCCGTCATTTTGCTGCCCGAGATAGTGGGACACGCCATCGTGGGACTGTCTCTGTTCACCCCTGTCGACCACCAGCCCTTCGGAACATCAACTCACCCTTCTGCATATTCTCACATCCTCTCTTCCACTCCTTTTATCAGTATCACAGGACCGACCCAGTCCAGTCCGACTTCGACCTTTGCCCTCTCCCTTGCTCTTGCATCGTCTGCGGCGCCTGCCTCAGCGTCTGAGTCCCAGTTCTTGTCGAATATCCAAGCTTAACCTGCCCGATATCCCATTTCCTTACGACCCCGGTACCTTTGCACAACCAAGGCCGGGCTCATCTCCACGAAAAGTCGCCTGGGTGATCCAGTCCTCACCGCGACTTGCCTTGCAATATCCCACGCTTTCCCTCCTTTCTTCGGGTTTGCGAAAACATATCTTCGTCAAGAAAATTGCCCCCCGTCTCCGTCCCGGCCCAGCTGGCGCATCCCGTGTCCGTGCACGATCAACACCTCGACCCCTCTCTCCTGGCGCAAATCGCAATCCCGAAATCCAAGAAGGACCACGTTGCTGTCAAAATCGAGTGCTTGGACACTCTGCGGGTCCTGCGCTTTTCGCTTGAGGATATCGCGTCCGGCGCATTCAAGAGGCGGAATATAACTGCCGCCCCTGCCCACACCTCCCCATCCCAATCGCCAGGCCACTTCGTTTTTGGGCAGATAAGCTGAATAGTGCGGTGGAAATCCAATTACCATGGCAGACAAAATTTCCATCACAATATGCGGAGATGGTGGCTGTGGTACGTCCTGCTCTTCTGATCAGTGATCAAAGAACTCTTTTAACATGTGATGCGCAGGTAAATCCTCAATCACACTGCGCCTGGTGCGGTCGCAATGGACATCTGAATACGATCCCACCATCGAAGACTCCTACTCGGTCACTCGAACGGTCGATGGTCTGAATTATTACCTCTCTCTGACAGATACCGCGGGACAAGAAGAATACCGAAGTCTTTGGGCAGCTTCGAATCTGCAGTCTGATGCTTTCCTGTTGGTCTACGACATCACCAATGCCGCATCCCTCGAAGGGCTGTCATGGTTCCTCGATATGATCGACATTGAGGCCGAGAACAGATTGGAAGAAAACAGTCGTCTATTGAGGGAAAAGGGCCCCAAGGTGCGAGGTCGAAGAGAAGACGGTTGGAAGTTTCCTCCCATCAAGATCATGGCTGGCAACAAGTGCGATTTGAAAGATGCACGTGTCGTCAGTAGTAAGGTCGGATGGGAGTATGCTAAGAGTAAGGGTTGTGGCTTCATGGAGACCAGTGCTCGCGAGATGGTAAATATTGAAGAGACATTTGCTTGTGAGTGAATCCCCTTGGTTCGTGTTCGCACTGATACTGATTTGCCTCCCAAGTGATCGTGCGCAGAGTTGTTGAAGCCAGAAGGCAAGATGGCGCTGGGCCTCAGAACTATCCTCAATACACCCCCTTTGGCTCTAAGGGTCACACCCCCAATGTCAGTGGTGCTGGTAATTCTGCGTACCAAATGCCTGCTTCGATGCAGCAAACCCAACAATCACTCAACGCCAATCCTGTCATGAATGAAAAGTCTGGTTTCGAGGACGACAACAACCATATACCTTGGTGGAGAAGAATCTTCTGTTGTGGTTGAGAAGAAGTCCTTGACAGGTCACACTGGTATACTACGGGTGGTTGTCTCTATATATTACGACGTCGACACGGATCCTGGAGAGGCTGTATGAACTACATTTCCCCAAAGAGGAGGATTTCGATACACGAGACATTTCGCAGAATCAACACTGGACACAATAGGTGCTCAACAGTCAGGCACCTCGACCTGGTTCGTCACATATACACACATTCGACATGCCTACATCCTATGACAGAATATATTTCCAGCGCCCGTTGACGACTTCAACAAGTTGCTGTCATCGGGCCATGCCCACCACCGAAAGGGGCAACTTCCAGAGGCCTCCCAACTAGTCGTCGACCGTTTGGCACAGCGGGCGACTTCGCAATCCTTGGCTAGACTGTGTTGATTAATTCAGGTCGTTGTCAACACCAAGAGCCAGACCCTGGACACTCATGTTTCCAGTTATGTCTCGAGATATTCTCTCACATCATTTGTACTTCCTATCCGGACACATAATTTCTGGTTGGTTTAAAATGAGGTATGAGGGTCGAAAAGGAGAGATGGGAGCCGCGAGGCTAAAACGACAAAGTGAAACATCACTTGTACACCTTACAATTTATATTTGGCTAGAAACATGGTAGCGAGGTTTATTGTTGTGATTGATGAGAAGATGTCAAGATGATGAAGTATAGGAACGATCCCATCAGCAGCAGCAGCAGAAGGGACATGTGCGGGTTTTGTTTTGTGATTGGTGATGACCAGGGTCATTCAATCTTTCAACCCGGGCTGTACGGAGTATGTACTCGTCGCACCGTTTCAGACGCGTAGCTGTCTTTTTAGACGTGTTACTGTTTGCTCAGTCTATTGAAGGTTTATCTTGTAATTCAGACCAATGTATGATGTGTCTTCTGCAAAGTCTTTCACCACCCAAGTGTCGATGATGGTGCCTATTCGTCTAGAAATGGTTTAATACTTGTGATGGAGTATGCTCTCACGACAACTGTACAGCAACTGGCTACACCGAGATCTCACCTACTGTAGTCCAGGATAGATCGCCACGTGTATCGGAGTCCCCCCACATGAACAATATTTTCCCATTTCTTTTTCTGCTTTTAAACAGTATGCGTGACCTCTCCCTTCAACCTGGCGAACCCCATGATGTTCTTTTCGATGTCGAAGACTGAAACGACGTTCTTCATAAACGGCACACCGAGAATACTGATACTCACGCCCCCGAGGGCGACGCTGTCGGCGCTAGCGATGCTGGACACACACAAGCCGCCACTACCACCACCATTACCACCATCACCGCCGACTTGATAAATTAAATCGCGGCCGTCGTGGAAAAAGGTATTGTTCCCGATGGTCACGCCCACCTGTGGCGGCGTCACCGTACAATCCACGACGTAGAGCTGGCTCGTGGGGTCGTAGACGGCGGGCGGGGAGAAGAGGGAGTTTATCTCTTCAACCACCGGGCCAGGGAGGTAGCTAAAGTAGTTGCCCGAATCGACGAACGCTTGAAACGACGTCTTGTTTGTTTCCAGGGTCGACGCGTCCTCGCCAAGGGGAGGAGGAGTAGTGGAAGAGGTAGTGGTTTTCGGGCGACCGTAGCGAACATCCGACACGGTGAGCGTCCAATATGATCTTACCTTCTCGCCGGAGGTGAAGTTGACTGGTATGGCCGAGGTGATTTCAACGGGCACGGTGGTGAAGTTTGGCTCGTGCCGGACGGGTGGCAGCGTCCCCAGAGACAGGTAACCCCCGAAACCCGTCGAGACGTTCTGGGGAGTACGTGCCAGGGCGATGGAGAATGTGGGAGAGTCTGGGAGAAGTTTTTGATCGCGCATCTTGTAGAGTATGGGGTCGTACACCAGGCGGTTCACGTAAAAGGTGGCGTTGGGGGTGTCGGATATCGGTCCCGGGTGGGCGGACGTCAGGGAAGGGTAACCCAACCCCAAAACGCCGACGTTGAGCCCGTCGCCCATGGGTGTGGACGTGTCTGCGATCCCGACCTTGACGTCGTGGGCAGTCAAGCCGGCGAGCGTGACGGTTTCGTTGGCCATGAGACCCGAGGCGATGCCGGCACCGTAGAGGACACCAAAAGATTCGTCGGTGATGGGGTGGTACGTCGGACTCAATTCTGGGTCGTACAGGGTCTGGCCGTACAGACACGATGGTTCTGGGATGATGGCGTTGGTGGTCCTGTTGATGCAGGTGTAGGATTTGCGCATCACGTACGTGTCGCTGCTGCCGGTGTCGACGAGCACCGGCACAATTTGACCGCCGATGGTGATGTTGACGTCAAAGTCGGTGTTGAATAAGGTGGTGGTGAGTGACGATGTGTCCTTGCCGGTGTTGGTGTTGGATGTACCGCGTCGATTGAGGGCGAGGTGTCTGGCCGAGATGGTGCTGGAGAACCAAAAAGGGAGGAAGAAGAGGAGAAATGATAGCATGGTGGATGAACAGTGCAAGGATTGGACTTTGATGGAGGGACGTGAGGGATTGCAAGTAGATTTTGCTTGATCCTCTGGATCATAGCACATGGCTAGAGAGCATGGTTTCTTTATGTACTCCGTACTCAATCACCTAACTCGACACTTACCTTGGCCCATAACGGGTACCAGATACTTGATCATGGGGGATGGTATTTTTGGCATTGCAAATTGTCAGCATGTAGACTCTGTGACGGATCACCAGAGAAGAAACGTAATGATGGGTGTTTTGGTCATAGGAGGTATCGAATTGCGACGTCTTCGTCAGGACGCACAGGCAGAAGTCAAAGATGAGGATTCATAGCGTGGCTCGTATATTTTCAAAATCGAAAAAGTGGGACAAGGCTGAGACGAGGCTGTGCTTGAGTCGTCATGATTGGGCACATGGTCTCTCGCCAGAACGACATGGGGTCTCTTTTCTGTCAGCCTAAGGCCTCCCATCGATTGGTGCCATTCATGCTCGTATATTTAGACAAAACCCCAGGGAGGTCGACAAAGTCATGTATCGCGAATCTACGAGCAGACCAAGAGATCTAACGCAGGTCGTGGGCTTGGAGTCAATATGGATCCATCAACAGGAGGAAACAAGACCTCGACGAAAAAGGGTCGCAAGAGTATGCCAAAGGTCCGATCGGGTTGTTTCACTTGCAAGTGCGTATTCTCCGAATCTTGATGATGATGATGATGATGTTGTTGTTGTTGTTGTTGTTGTTGTCAAGGCTCTCCTATATCATGAATATTCTAACATATCCCCTTCCTCCATCATCAGGTCTCGTCGTGTCAAATGTGACGAAACAAGGCCAGAATGTCAACGTTGTCTTCGCTCCAAACGGAAATGTGAGGGCTACAAAGTCCATGTCAACAACAACAACACCAGCAGAAATTCCGGTATAACAACATACAGCATACCATTCAAGATTCCCGGAAGTCAAAGTGACCGTCAACTTTTGCATTACTACTGTTGTCAGGCGTCGTGGAACTTGTCGACGTACTCGAACACGACACTCTGGACCGAATTGATTCTTCAGCGCAGCTATCACGAACCCGTCGTCCGTAATGCCTTGATCGCCCTCAGCTCACTACACAGGGACTACCTATGTGGCGACCTGGTAGTTTCAGACCACCACCTCAATTCCCATGGCTCACCTAGGATCGCACCACCCGTCAAGACCATGAGCATTATTGGGAAATGTCACCGTCAATTACGGACGTATCTTTCGCGCGACGACGCTTCCCCCGAGATCGCCTTGATATGTAGTCTCATCTTTTACACTTTCGAGTCCCTGTTGGGTGATTCACAAAAGGCAATATGGCATCTCGATCGTGGTCTGACCCTGTTGAAACAATCTCAGACCGACCGCAAATTTGAGGTCGGTGATGATGGCTCGTCAACAATGATGGAAAGTTTGACAACCATGTTCAACAACCTGGACATACAAGCTAGCGCCTTTGACGACCGCCGAGACTTGATGGTCAATCTTGTCAGTGATTCCGAGGTTCAAGGGAAAGTTGACCTCGTCCCGGATGAGTTTCAGGACGTCGCACACGCAGAAAGAATCCTGACCAAACTCCAGAACTGGACTTTACATCACGTCATCACACACGTCCAACACAAGGGCAAGTCATCGGATGAAATGCCCTTGGAGGTCCTCCGCGAGAGGATTGTTCTCGGCCTGCAATTCGAGCGATACGCTACGGCATTAGCAGACCTTGTCGCTTCCAAAGAGGTGGGTGAGGATATTGTCATGTCATCATCCTCATCCAAGGCAGATGACATTCAATCCAAGACGGAGACCTTGCTTCTCTGCAAGGTTCATTTCCACTGTTACCGTTATCTCCTCAGAGAGAACCTTCCTGTCGCTCTCCCGGCCGAAGACACCGTCTCTTTTTCACAATCACAGCCATCTCCGTCACCGTCACCATCATCACCTTCTTCCCTTCCCGACATGACTTCAAGTGAAGATCTAGACATGGCATTAGAGTCGTTCAAATCACTTCTTTCGGTTTCGACAGCATCATCCACGACCGGTCAAGGGCCCGGCAGTAGATCCAGCGACGGCCCGGGGGAAAGAATATACACCCTCTCAACCCATCTTATTGGCACCCTCTACTTCCTCAGCCTCAAAGCGACGAACCCCAAAACCCTTTCTATGGCTCTGGACTTGTTCTCACACCCTCGCATCCGAGACACCCGTGACGGCCTCTGGGATTCTCACACCGCCTGGTTCGTCGTTCGGAATCTGTTGAAACTTCGCGACAACGGCGGCGCCGCCGCGAAGACGAAGGCGAAGAACGTCGCGTTCGTTCAACCCCGAGAATCCACCGACCGCGAAGTCCTCCGGGACATGATGAAGTTTCAGGACATGAGTGCAGCTAAAAGGGTACCGATGATGCAATCGAGGACCGTAACAGTTGGACTCAAAGACCACAATCCAAACCCGAATAATGACACTGTTTTACTCTTGCCACCTTATTTTCCTGTCGTCGCGACCGCCACCGATCGCACGAGTAATAATACTACCAGCACCAATTCTAATTCCACATCATCTCATCAATCGACAACAACAACTACCACTACTACTCCTCCAACATCAACTTCGTTTCAATCATCAACCACCATTTCACCTTTGACCGACAACAACGACAACAACGACAGAAACTCTCTACTCGTTTTGGACACGTTCCGTCAAACTTGGCCACCTGTTTCGAACTGCCCATCTCGTCCTCAGACTGTACGATCCTCACTTGGACACTCGACATCGACGGCTATTTCTTTTCACACCCCTTCACCTTTTTCTACTTGTCATGACGACGACCACGACCGACCATTCCTCCCTAACGACACCATACCTCGACGTCACCCCAACGTACAATCTCGTTCCGAGTACGACAACGAATACGTCTACGGACCTCCCCAACCAACCTCCCACGCGGCCCGTCTCGAAAATGTCGGTTTCGGTATAATCGACGCCGAAGGCGGCCTCAACGAGGCGGCCCGGAAAGTTTGGAGTCGAGTACGGGAACTCGACCTCAGCCTTACGATCTGATGAGATATATAGACATCACCTTTCACGAGGACAGACATGACAAGATCTTTGAATGATGTGAACAAATCTTCTTCGCTTGCAAAAGACAGGTTTTGAAACAAGAGAAGATGGATACCATGTAACACTTGTAGTAATACCATTTTGTGTATATTTAAGTCTGACTCTTGAGACCCTCATGCATGATCTCAACTACCTCCCTAACGTACTCCGGCGTCTGCAGATCTTGAGCAAGCAAAATGATTGTGCTTTGAACCTGCTCCAACACTTATAAAGGTAAAAGAACCCAGCCAGAAATCCAACACACGCTGATGCTGATACAATAAAAATGGCCAACGACAGTTAATAATGCATACGTTATGCTCACGCTCGTTGCTCGGCCGTGATAAGCAAGACGAACGAAAAAGAAAAACCAATAGGAAAGGGAAAAGGGAAATCCACCACAACACCAGCCGGTTTATTGTCCTCCTTCCCACTGTCCACCAACCCTTTTCTGTTCTAGCTGCCGCTGTGATCACCAACCGCTTCAAAGCTCCCCTCTGCAAAGGCCTGTTGTCTGGCTCAACTCTGTAACGAATGAATATGCAAATGTGACGGAAAGAGAATTGGACCTCGACTTCATGTGAAAGATGGTGCATGTATAGAATGACTCGATGTTTCCGTGCGTCCCATCATAACGCTGTAAGTCGATATATCGTGGACACTCAGATACTGCACAAACACCATGTTAGCAATCTATATCTCAAAGCTAACAGGACCACACTTACTAGATTTCGATCGGGCTGATTTGATCAAATGGAAATAGCCAGTTGCTTCCAGCTTCAACCTTTTCGAGCCTAGAGAGCATACAGGTCAGCAAATACCCATACACACCGCGTCACCTAAAGAACGCAATCGCTGACTTACCAATCATAAGGCCAAACAACCAGATGCCCTTGCACATAACCAAGCAAGTCCTCTGCTTCCTCAATGCTGAGCATATCGTCACTAGCACTAAAGTCACGCCTACTAGACCTAGTAGTAGCTCTTCGTCGTCTGCGAGTCGTACCAGTCCCGGTGGCCGACGTAGCATTTTGATTCACCGCATCCGAGTATCCGACGAATGGACCATTGGAGGTTGGTGGTGTCCCGTTTGTAGAAGACTTCTCTTTGTCGACGGCGGTCGCCGTGCTTGAAGTGCCGTTCGCCATATCGGTGCCCATGCTATCTTCCTCGCCGTCACCACTGCCTTCATCGTTGAATGTAAACCCTTCAGGGACTGTAGGCAGTCCAAGTTTCTCCTCTGTCAACGTCTCCTGCCTATGGAGTGTGGGCTTGTTTTGCCTCTGGGCTTGAGCGTCATTTGCTTGCGCCGCCCATTCACGGAGCTCGGCTTTCTCCGAATTTCTTTTATCCAGCTTGGTCTTTTCACCAACTGCCTCCTTGACTTTGTCTTTCAGGTCGCTTGTCTTCTTCTCAAGATCCTTTGGCACATCAGTGAGTGCTTTGATCTGCTGTGCACCAGGAGTCTTGGTATTGATACCCGCACCTGGGGGCCCCGTCCTCGATTCTGCTCCTGAGCCTGACCGATGCGGATGTGGGATCATATCCTCAGCCGGAACATCGTTTCCCTGGAGCTGGTCGAATCTGTGCCCATACGCAACGTACTGGTGGTAATCATCCCAATTCCGAACTTGATTATCGGGCATGCATCGGAAGACGCTCCGATAGATTTTTGTGTTGTTCTCGGCAACAGCATGCCAAGTATCGTACAGAAAAGCATCATGTACAGGGTCCATCATGCAATCACGATCGAGAATTGGGCGTCTCAAATCAGCCATCAATGGATGACGACCATGCGCAGAATCTTTTGAGACTGTCTTTGCAAGAGGTGGTCCGCCGATATCGGTGTCATCCTCTTGCGGTAACGCAGGTAATTGTGACAACATTGTTAGACCAAGTTGTTCTGTGTTCATCCGCACCGCTGACGGTCTGGGAGGCAGTGGAGGATTTGGCGTTTCCATTTTGACCACATATGATGGCCTGCGAAATTCCTCGCCATGTAATCTTGGCTTTTGGAGAGTCTTCTTGCCTTCTGGGTTGAGATGGGATACCAAAACTTCCTTATTTCCTTTGACCATCACAGTATCTCTGCCCACTCCATATCCTTCAGTATCAAGTTCTTCCATATGATCAAAGCCTTTGCCTTCAACATCCATTCTATGCTGGGCATTGCCAGTCACTCTCGAGTCTTCTGTCAGCTTGCGATTACTTTTCAGGTTGGGGTTGTCTGCTTGCTCCCAATCGACATCGTGATTGAAACTCATCAGATCCTCTGATCGTTGCAGTAGCTCTTCTCGCATCTCACGTACATCCAGTGCTCCATCTAGCGGACTAACTATATCGTTCCGCTCCGAGGCCGGGCTCGCAAGTGTGTCATTAGGGGACTGAGTTTCGGCGCTTTTCCCAAGTTCATCGGATTTGCTCTGCTGTGCTTCCATCGCTTGAGCTTCTTCCATGATCTTGTCTACATCAAGACCAAGATGTTCACGCATCAGCCGCATACGCAAGGTGTGAGGAAAACGGCCAACTTGATATGGTCGGCCATTCATTCTCGACCAGACCATATCTGTATCTCGAACGACAGCTGCACATTCAGAGTCTCGATTCCCCAGCATTGACCGCTCGTTGATATTTGCGGATCCAATCAGAGCAATCCTATCATCAACAACCATACATTTTGCATGGATGTAAAGTTGTTCAGTAACGAGCGTCTTGCGAGATCCAATTCGGCCCCACTGGCGCAGACTATAGAACTGAATGTAGTCCTCTGGTTCTACCCCAGCAGATCTTAGGCGTCCGAAGATTGAAGATTCTCCGCGGCAAATGCTGCGATATTGGTACTGCATGATCAAACGCACGCTTGTACCACCCTCTTGTTCAACGGTGTTCTGAAACCCTGGCATTAACGGAATGATAATCACAGCTTTCCAAGCTTCATCATTCTTCGCTGCTCGAGTAATACGTTCGACGAGTGCATCTCCAATCATATTGTGGACCGTTGCACCTTCTGTCTCACAACTTGAGATGAAAAACTGATTTTCAATGTAAACGAAATGTTCAGACTCCTCAATAAGTTTAGTGTATGCATTCATGATGCTGTGTTCGGTCTTGTCAGGCGTGCCCAACGACCAAGGACCAGCGGAGCGGAGAATCTGAACTTCGCACGTCCCATCGAGCCCAAGTGCTTCTAAGTCTGCTGGCTTGAAGTCTGGCGGAGGTAGAAGGAAGGGTGTTGGTCGCGTGGGCTTTCGCTGCCTCAAAATATAGTTCCATCTTTGCACAAAGTGTCGAGTCAGATCTCGTGCAGGTTGACCAACCACCTGCATAGAAATGTCGTGCCATGGCATTCTAGCAACCCTAGTGCGATCGTACATTTCCTCGTATGGTTTATTAAGAGCGTAAAAGTCTTGGATTCGTGGGTTGGAATAGTCCTTGCCTGGCCACAACTGACAGTGGTCAACGTCCTTCGGTTGATCACTCAATTCAAACCCAGTAGGTTTGTCGTCAACGAGCGTATGCTGAGGAGTATCCCATCTACCAAAGCACAAGTCTATGCCACCAACAAATGCCAAGGTATGGTCGACGATGCAAAGCTTTTCGTGATGTGCCCAGAAGAAAGTGTTCTGTCGGAATTGATTGGGAGATCTCTGCACAAAGATATTTGGGTGAAGGTCGAGTAAAGAGAATTTGGTATATTGTGAGTCAATCGGTATGGCGGATTCAATATTTCGATAAACGATGACGAAAATCTTGACACCTTCCTCGGCCTTTCTCTTCAACAGTCGATCGAGACGCCATTTCTGGCTGATAGCTGGTGGCCGTCTCAGGTAAAGCTCTGGGCTCAACCACCAGTCATGGATGTAGATGACATCCTTGGCCTGGTTGATAGCTCTTGACAGAACCCACATGTGATCTCGTCCATCCACCAGCCATTGGGCAAAACAGTTTGGCCTCACTGGTGCAAAGCTATCGAAACGATTTTCTTTGACCCAGGGCGAAGTCGTGATCATCTTCCGAATCGATTCTTCAAATTGATGCAGTAACCGGTCGTTTCTTGCCAACAACTTCAGCTTTCTCTCGGAATTGACCAGCTTAAGGCGATGATGCTGTGGATGTTTTGCGGACTCTCCAATCAATTCTGCAAGTTCTCTCGCACCCCTTTGCTCTCCTTTTCTCGGCTTTGAAGACTGTATGCGGAAATCGGAATCGAATAAGAATACGTCGTAGATGTGCATTTCTTCTGGAGAATCAACGCATACCACATAGCTGTGTCGCACCATGAACCACTTCGCGCTATGTCTCCGATAGACTTCATGGGGAGTAAGGGCTTTCCTAAAATCTACCCCCTTGGCGGATCGTATGTTCAACAAGCCTTCTTTGCCATGATAGCTTCCCTCGGCCGCAAGTCGCATGCCTAGTGCTGAGATCTCCAGAAACTTACAGAGCCGGTTACAATCTGGCCGCAGGAGCATGAATTTGATCATGTTCTGTAAATACTGTTCGAGCTTTTTTCGTTGCTTGTTGGCATATCGTATGTCTCGTTCAGCATTACCTGCAGCGTCTCCTGGCCCAGCTAGGCTTGACTTGCGTCGGCTCAGAGTCAAGCGAGGTCGAAGCTGTGGTCTCGTAGCCGGCCTCTCGTTGTCTGTCTCAGTGCCAGCTTCATTGTCGTTTATAGGCTCGTCGTCTTCTTCCACCTCGTCGTCGAAAACCTTCAAGTATTCCTGGGCCCATCGTAGACCTTTCAGGATAGGAAAAGTACTGCGTGGGAACGGTGGCAATTTTGATTTTTGCCCACCTCGGCCACCGAGGTTTGATACTTTATACCTCGAGTGTAGTTTCACAAAATCAAAGAGAGAGCGCCTAACAACCCATTTCATTCTGTTCATGCCATTGCCGTACTCGAGTTCGATTCTGAATATGATGTGCTTATCATCACCAGTCTTCTTGTTGCTAGCATCTTCACTGTCGGTGATTTGCACCTTGAGCTGCTCTAAAAGCACTGGTATTCTGCGGTGATCGTGTTCATCTCGTTGAAACATGCTCGCGAGCATCAATGCCGCAGGTGCACCAGCAGTGAGCTCAGCCAAAAGTTCTGCAGATTTCTCATGGTCAGGAGTGCGTTCCTTTTTCTTGCTTTGGCCGAGAAGACGAAGACTATTCTTGAGTTGGCGCCATTTCTGGGCACTGAGGGTCGAGCCTCGCTCGGTCATCAATTTTCGACGCGACGGCGTCTTGGGCGTTTGACCTTCGCTCTCATTTGCGTCCTTGGACGAGCTGATATTGGCGAAACTGAGAAGTGTCAGAGGCCTTCGACTTGCCTCGGGCGAGGAGTCACCAGGTCTCCTCTGTCCGCCGTAGCTAAGTCCACGCAGCGGATGACGAGGAGTCCACCCTCCTCCAATGGCCAGATGTTTGCGGCCTTCATCTTCGGACATCCCTTGCTGGTCTGGCGATACCTCAGTGTCCGTGGCCCTTCTAGACAACATCTGCGTATATCGGTCGCTGTCAGGATTGAGCGGAGCACTCGTAGAACCAGCGCGCACAGGGATATGAGGTGACGACGGGGCTGTTACAGCATCACCCAGACGTCGCATACGTCGACGTCGCTTCCGAGCAGCCGGCCGCTGAGCACCAAATTCGGGAGCACTTTCCTCCGCATCGATGTCAGCATCAGCTTCCGCACCGCTGTCCTCCTCCAACGTCGCAGCTAAGCCACTCTCGTTCCGGGAGGCTTGTCCAGACAGGTATCCTTCAGTCTCCCTCCCATCAGCCGAACGGCCACCAAGTGATAAAGCACTTGCTGATCTTGAGTGACTGAAGCCCTGAGGAATTGCCAACGCTCTTAACCTGGCGTACAAAGATTGAGGTTTGTCCTGCTCCGAGTTGTCGCCAATGATGACCGGAGGTGTAGTTTGATCGCTTGTAGGGTTGCCTATCTCTTGTGTCTCCCTCGAGAACTGAACACTCTTTCTTCTCGCCGTAGGAGTCGTGGTACCATTGAGAGCGGTATCTGATTCGGCAACGTCCCTCTCTATCGGTGCCTGCTCGTCGGTCTCGGTAGGCGCGAGGTTCAAACCAGAGCCGAGCGATTTCTTCAGTGCACCAGTCTGTTTGGAGGATGTAGAGAACGGAGTCAACCTGTCCGGAGATCTGTCTCTCGGGGTTGCGCTTGCGGATAGGTTTGGTCTGTTCGAAGGTACTGCGTTCGAAGGCTCGACCGTTTCCACAGCTGGGCCTGGGCTCCCGTTAATTGCACCATCAGGCAAAGTCGTTTCATAATGAGTGCTTTTATCGGACTTGCTTAGATTCTCAGATTCGAGAGCTATAGGCTTGCGGCTCATGTCAGCAGTTTCCGCCATCCCTGTTGACTGAATAGGACGGCCACGAGAAGGCCTCCACTTAACCCCAGCCTTTGTCGGCGCACCGACTTTTAGCAGAGTCGAATCTGTTCCGTCATCATATATATGTGCCCGCCGCCTCTCGGTCGAACTGAGTGTACAGGCCTCAGCCAAGAAAGGAGTGTTGCGAGGATCGAGGTAGTTTTGAGCTACGGTAGTTTGCAGAGGAGGAACTGGGGCATTCGTCGGAGGAAACGAGAGGCTAGAGAGTATCGAGGTGTGTGTTGGCTGTTGTTATGAATTATTCGCGACGGAGAAGGAAAGGGAGGGTTGTGTCTTGCTGAGTGTTTTAATCTTCTAAGCAGGAGTGAGTCGCTGTGCAACATATGAGTGGAGTGTTGTCGCGGACGTCCTGGACTGCAACAATCTGCCAAGGCACCACACGCGGCGGTCGGCGGCTAACTGGAGGCACTAGAGGTCCTTGCAGTAAGTACAGAGTACTGTAATCAGAACTCACATGGGGGCTGCAGCTGGTCCCCGCAGTTCAGTTTGTATGGCTATTGGCAAGGGTACTCTGGAGGAGGCACACCGTACGCCACAAGTATCAGGTATGAGTACTTCCGACGGACACATGTAGGACAGCAAGAGGATTTTGAAAGTATTATTGAACCGTCGACTGTCTGTGTCAGACAAGGATGGCTCCGGGTACGAATTCGAAATCGGGGGGTATTATAGCTGGAGTACCAGAACACCATCATCACTAGGTACATAAGATATCTACATTCTCAGCTTGTCGAGTCATTTGCGTAGTGTTGCCACCAAACCCCCATGCATGCTGCTACCACCAAGTCACACATCTTCAAACCCTCATCCTGGATGATCAGTTTTCCCAGTTTGGCGCTATGTCCTTTGAATCCACCGCCAGCTTTTTCACGACCCAAGTCAAGATTCATCCGGCCATCATCAGGTGATCTTTCGTCGAGAGTCGAATCTCTCTTCCCCTGGGCCAGAGTTGGGAACTCGCCACTTCTGTCTACATGGGACAATTGCGTTTTAGCTTTATGTGTGAGGACCTGGATACTTCGCCTCCACTGTTCTTTATTTGTCGGGGCTGCAGGTCTACCTGCCGATGGATGTAGATGAAGTTGTGTCGTATCAATTGTCTTTTTGTTCGTATCCCTGGCTCCTAAGATGGACCATGCTAAATTGAAACGTAGCTCAGCGACGTCGACGGGGACTGAAGGCATCGACGAATTCGTCGTCGGGAGAACATGTCGGCATCGAAGGCTTTTGCCGTCCAATCCGTTGTTGAATGAACAAGTCCCCTGCCATGGCGAGTTGAATGAGTAAGTGTGGCGAGGCTTCTTGTTGTTGGTATGGGCGGAATTGGTAAAGAACTCCGACGAATTGCTCCGATGCCTCGCCTTAACACCACTTTCGTTATTAGGAAGCAGAACATAGTCTACTTTCCTGTTGAAACACTGCCCGGTTGGGTTTTCCAGTTTGGCAAACCTGGTGTAGCCCGGGGAATTGAGCTCGATTTCGAACCGTCCGAGGCGATTGTCCCGTAATATTGCATTCCGCTGAACGATACTGCCTACATTCCATTGACTGCCAGAGGCAGGATCTCGTCGAATCAGAGTGATCCGTGTCGTGTCGTCAGCTAGAGTCTTCGCCTCTTTCACCGAGGATTTTGTAGGAGAGCTTGATGGGCCGAACCCGTGCGTATCCTCCATAAATGAACGCAAGGAACCCGCCTGGTCTGAGGATGCTGACTGGACCGGCTTCCTGGTGACCCTTGTTTGAGATATAACACTATCAACAGACTCTCGACGACCTTCATTCGATGGCTCGTCTAGTCGAAACGATGTATCAAGAGTGGGCAGTGCAGGCATGGGCCGAGCACCTACTGGCTTGCGCTGCATGCCTCCGCGTTGTGTAGTCTCCGAGGCTGACAGTCTAAGATTGGCACCTCGGGCGATATACCGATCAGCTTGACTTGCATCTTGAGATCCAGGCAAAGGTAGCTGATAATGCGGGTAGCTTTTTGGAGGAGTGAGAGGTCGTCGCGAGGCCGGGTAGTTCGCATAAGGCGTGTCTGGGAGAGGTTTCCTTGCTATGGGCGAGACATTTTCTCTACGGGAGTCGGTCAATTTTGTAGTCTCCAGCGACTTTCTCAACTCTTCATCTTCGGCCCGATCAACATGGAGAAAGTATAGGCTTGACTGTACGGCTTCGATGCTAATGGAGGCCTTCGTAGGCGGTTTAAGAGGTGTGAGAAAGACATCTGGGTATCTCTTAACACATGGCTTTCTCTTGATAATGCTTCTCACCTTTGCTGCCCGGAACTCGAACTATGTAGAGTATAAGAGGTTCATGTGCTTGGTGAGTCGGGTTGCGAGGATATTGGGGAGGATTTGAGAGAAGGACACCGAGGGACGACAACGACTGTGCATGTACAGGCGAGTTCATGTGTGAGTTTCGAGTAGAACAGTTTCAGCTCTTATCGACGAGTGAGACTTCGGTGGTTGCAGGGATGAATCATTTGACCTGTGATATGGTGTTATAGAGAAGCGGTATACTTGAAGCATCATGTGTGCTGCCTGGCCGAATTCATATGTTGTCTCGGCCAAAGTCGTACTGTGGATAGCTATGATGAAGTGCAATGCAAACGCCGGCGAAAAAAAAAGGCCGTCAAGGCAGCCTGAATTGATTCAAATGAATCTGTTGTATCAGGACTGAAATAGGCTTAGTCCGCACCTGCGCCCCCGGAAAGTCGTAACGGGATGTCACTCCGCAAGCCTTAAAACAGCACAGGTCAACAACCGCGAGTTCGAAAATACTATAAGATACCTGAGTAGATACCAAGTCACCAATGGCTCTCTACACCATACAACATTATGAGTGATCGTACGAGTACAGCGACAGAGAATTATCTCCCTGACGAAGTCTCGAACAGGGGCAGATCTCATAGTTCAGCCCGCCACATATTGGCCATGCTCACTGTGAAATGCAATACATATGTATTCCCGCTAGGTCTACTTTCTGACTTCTCAAGTAATACCCTACCTTCACCAATAACTTGATGCTCATAGAGATAGCCTGAAGATGACAACTGACCTAATTATCTCCAGGCGGAGAGCGGGAAGTCTCCACGGTGGCTTAATGCGCCGGTGTCGATCCGTCCTTTCAATCCACCAAACACACACAGGCCCCGAACGCCATGTTTTCTGGGCCCTCGTCATTTTGCACTCACAACTCGATATTGCTGGACCCGGCAGTAGGGAAAGACAAGACACTACAACACGCGGGTTTTCTTCCACCTGCATGATGTTACAGCCGAGACACAAGCCAGAGATAAGCAGTTTCATACACTCTTCGTCCAAGACTTTTCCCCCATTCTTGAAGAAGGCCATCGCTGTGTGCAATTGTCAGTAAAGTGGATGTCCTGTCTCTATATGAAGCACAGCGCATCACCGTCATCATCGCCACCAACGTAGCACCATTCAGTATTGATCGACTTCGCGGACGTTCTCCGTAGGCCATTCCAAAATACTCGAAGTTTTGAAGATCTTGTCATTTCTATCATCTGCAAGCTCTCCAGCAAGTAAGAAAGCTGCCTTGGCACAATGGCCGCCAGCAACGAAACCAGTCCCACCAGACGCGGCGACATGTCTGTCGACGAGAAGGCTGCTGTGCGACGGGAGGATGATCCTATTATCATGCCTGTGGATATCGAACAATTGCCTGAAATCGACCATGATGCTGAGGCTCGACTGACAAGAAAGTTGGATCTTTACATCGTCCCGCCGACCATGTTGCTCTATCTGTTCTCTTTCCTGGATCGGGTCAATATTGGGAATGCCCGGCTATATGGCCTGGAAGAAGACCTAGGAATGACCAGCACCCAGTATTCAACAGCTGTCAGCCTGCTCTTCGTCACCTACTTGATCTTTGAGACGCCGAGTAACCTCATCATTCGTCGGCTGCGGCCTTCTCGCTATATTAGTTTCATCACGACAGCCTGGGCTATTGTCGCGACACTTTCTGGCCTCGTTCAAAGCTATGGGGGCTTGATTGCATGTCGATTGATCCTAGGAGCACTTGAAGCAGGTCTTTTCCCCGGTAAGATAGCCACCGCTGTACTTGCAAGTGCTGAGTTCGCTGACACTGTTCAGGTATGACCATATATCTGACCGTATTCTATACAAAGCAACAGCTTGCTCTGAGGGTCGGCTATCTTTTCGTGTCTGCTGCCATTGCAGGAAGTGTTGGTGGCCTCCTTGCCTACGGTATAGGCTTCCTTGATGGAGTCCAAGGGTTCAGCGGCTGGCGATGGATCTTCATCATCGAGGGACTTCCGACTTTTGTTTTGGGTATCGCCGTATGGTTTTGGTTGGCTGATGAGCCCGAAACAGCATATTACCTCTCAGCCGAGGAGCGGCAATTGATGGTGATCCAGAAACGACGTCATGTAGGCCATACAGCAGCCGGTGACCTCTTGCACAAGGAAGACGTGTATAAGGCGTTCAAAGACTGGAAGGTCTGGATGTTCTCCGTAGGACAGTTTGGAGTTGATACTGTGCTTTATGGGTACTCGACCTTTTTGCCGACCATCATAAAAGGCCTCGGAGACTGGACCACGGCCGAGGTGCAGGCACTGACTGTGCCTTGTTACGCACTCGGCGCCATCACTTACCTTGTTGTGGCCTATACTTCAGACCGATATCAGCAGCGTGGCCTTGCAGTGGTACCCTTCTGTGTCATTTGCATCATAGGGTATGTAATCCTGATGACCGATGTCAGCTCAGGAGTTCGATATTTTGGATGTTTCCTGGTCGCGATGGGATTGTATGTTTCGGTCGGCATTCCTTTGGCGTGGCTGCCCTCCAGTAAGTTTTTCCCAATCCTGCAGGCATTCTCCATGATCTCGGCTGACACAGTTTGTGTAGACAATCCTCGATATGGGAAACGGACGACTGCCTCGGGCTTACAGCTGACTCTGGGCAACTCGGCAGGGATCATGAGTGCTTATCTATACAAGCCCAACGAAGCTCCTCAGTTTATACGTGGTCACGCCGTCTCGTTGTCGATGGCTGGGGTGGGTGCTGTAATTTACATCTTCATGTCCCTCTACTTCTTCAAACGGAACAAAGCCCGGCAAGCAGGAAAAGAAGATTCCGTCATGGCGGGCAAGTCGGAGGAAGAAGTTGCTGAAATGGGTGACGAGAACCCGAGATTCGTGTTTACGTACTGAACCGATTGACTCCGAGGAAAGTGCTGACTTTTTTCGGAAACCGGTGAATCAGCTGTAGCGCCTTTGTGGTGAAGGATTTTGGTCGCCACCTACGGTAGAAGGACTTGTCTCACTCGAGTCCTATTGCCAACGGTCATCATCAACCATGTGCATATAACGGAGGCTCTGATAACACCAAGACTCCTTTTTTCTCATATGTACTTCGGACTATACACGTTGCCTCGTTATGTGTGGGCCGGTAACAAGTAGATGACAAGGCGAACACGTATATCCAGGCGGGTAGCATACCGTCAGTGTCCTCAACGAAATGCAAAAGGTTGAGAGAGTCTATACGCCAGTTAAAGCGGTGGCTTCACCGCTGGTATGATTGATTTGAGGTGTCGCCGGATCCTCAGCGGCTAGTCTGCGAGCTGTCAACAATGGTCCTGCGTGCTATTGTATCATCAACGATCGCCCACATCGAGCATCATCACTGGCGTCCCCGGAGTTGACATCACCAAGGTTTGGAGAAGAAAAGATGGCACAAGCAAGTAACCGCTGTCCACGCATTCTGTTTTCTATGGTTGGCTATGGAGTCAGTGACGTGTCACCGAAATCACAGGCTCTTATGAAACACGTGTGGTATAATTGGATGCTTTCTTCTCGAGGAACACAATCGACACAACACATGATGTACCGCATTTGCATGATTTGTCCTTCGAGGCGCCCGTCTTGCCGCTCAGTCTCTGGGATGTACAAAAACAGCGCTCAGCAAAGCCCAGCAACCTATGCAGTCAAGTAGACGAGATCTGCCTAGTCGAGCCGCGTCTCAAGGCAGACTACACTCCGTAGAGGACAAAAGGTCCAAATGGCAGTCGAGGAGAGGCGTACCCTGCAAAGAGCTCCGGATGTATTGGCTATACTTCGTAGACATGAACTTATGATCGAAAGGTGTGCGAGTAGTCCTTCCATTAACACTGCCGGGGTCTGCCTACACAGAGCTTTGGACATACTGTACTGTACATACTCCGTACGATTACTCGTACTCGTGCAGGGACTGACTCCTGAAAGTCACTACCAGTCTCGTCTTGCTCTGGCCCCCGTTGCCAGGCTGTTTCTCAGACGGGTGCCGCGGTCGACGTAATTGGTGGACAAGTGACAATGTTGGGCAAGATCAGTCGGGAGCTCACGGCTGCAGGTCAAGGATGTTGCTGCGACGAGGATCTCGATCCCCGGTCGACGAGTAGACTCACGACCATCCGCGACCAAAGAGGTGGCAGGATCAAGAACAACAGGTGCCCAGTTGGTGGCAAAGTCCTCTTGGTGCTCTTCTCTTCCCTTTTTAGGGCCGGGAAGTCCAAACCATCACGAGTTTGGCGTCTCGTGATTCGTGAGAGCTGTCATGGACCCTCGCAAGGATTGGGGCGAGGCACTTTTAGGCGGCATCGCTGGGCCACTCAACGATAGAGAATAGGCCCCTGACTTGGGCCAAACGGGAGGCAATGAAGAAAGGCCAACACGAGGCAACAGCTGTCTGAGAGGCACCACAGGCGAGAAGGATTGTGGAGAATGATGGCCGAATAGTGGCTTCGACTGTACTCGTAGTGTGCTCCTACTTCTCAGGATTGCAGCAACGCACCAAGGGCCCAGGCGAAGATGATCCGAGAAGAGCGAAAGAGCCTAAACCGGGCGAGAACTTCAACGACAGTAGAAAGAAGAAGATGTCTTAAGATGGCCGTATCGTGTGCTATTTCATCTTCGTCACCCCATCTCATTCATATCCCATCTTCCTCTCCAGAATCATTGTCTCGTTCATTCATGTTTCTTGTTCTTTGGCAGAATTTCAGCATAAATATACACCGACCGGCACGGTGCTTTTTCTTCCTTCTTCCAAAACCCCTGATTGATTAATCCAACGAAATTGATCGGATCGAAATCCCACGAGTACTGTACCCAGTATCGAGAAATCAATCCACCGAGATCTCTTCTCTTCGACACTTTCCTTGCTGATCTAGCCGATACTTGATCAGGAGATATATCGTCGTCATCTTCATTGTCATTTCTCATTATTTATCAGCGTAACGGGTCCTCGTACAATATTGACCTACAAAAACCCTGTCACAAAAATTCCCGACCTGGATCCGGCATTCTAAATTAAAAACACCATACGAAAGACTGTCCAACCTTCTTCTCCAGACGAACAGAAGCAACTGGGGTCAGAATACGGGTAGGGCAAAGCGGAAGGGAGAAACAAAGCCGGGATCCTCCCAGTCAAACGCAGGGGGGAAGCAAGCGACTCTTCTTGGCTGCCTTGTAGGCGACAGATTCGCCTGTTGGGTGCTGGTTGGTGCCGGCATTGTGATTGACAGTTGCGTCAAAGGGTCCCCGAGCTCCCCCCCAAGCTGTTCTCAAAGCCACGTCTGATCATTCATCAAATCATCTCCCCCTCCCCGGCTCGCATCGTCTCGCGGCACTCGCCAAAACCCAACCATCAACCCTCCCGATTCCTCTCCAAGCCTAAAACCGGCACCACTGCATTCCAAGACGCGTTTGCGTTCCCACTCGATTCCCAAACACCGGCACATCCTTATTCTTAGTTTCCAACCGAGTACCTTATATTTCACCTGCATTCCTTCACTGACTTTCCTGGCGCATCGTATTCACATACACGCGACCATGTCACCTGTTGTGTATCCATACACGGTCACCAACAGTTACAAAGGGTATGTTCCATGTCATCCCGTCCAGACTGCATCTTTGCCTGCAATTGCAATCGCATCCCACCCCTGTCAATATCGTCACTCGCTAATCTTCCTTTCGTCTCAGGGGCCTCTTGATGCGAACATACAGCCGTAACGTGCGGCGCGCCTGGGATGGTGAGGACTATCGTCCGCCAAAGCGCCAGCGCCTCGAGGATACTTGGAACGCGCCGTCTTTTACTTCCGGCGGATACAACGAGAACGCGATCATCAAACCCATTGATCTCGAGGATAGCCTCGAACGCGCCATACGCGAGACCAGTGTAGCTGCACTCTCCTCCTCGCCGTCGCGAAAGAACAGTACTGTCTTTTCGGCAGAATCACACGAAGAAGGCCCAGGCTCCAGCACCATCACCCCACCATCCTCTCCTCCCCCCATCCTACAACTCACACCACCGCGGATCAAAGTTCGCAAGTTCAACTTCTCGGCAATTGACAAGGCAAGAAAAGAGATGAAGAAACTGAAAGATGCAAAGAGGAAACGCGAAGCACAATTACTCGCACCAGTCCGAACGGAACCTACGCGTCACGACTCGGAGCCACTCTCTGAGATTTTCAACTCGAGCCTACGCGCCCAAAGCTCTCAACCAGCAAGCACAGACGCGTCGGAGAGGCAAGAAGGGGACCAGACGTCAATTACGCGTCCAGTGTCGCGACCGTCGTTACCAAAACAAAACCTGGTCCAAACGGTGCTGGATCTAGGCCAACCAACTGGCCCAACGACATGTCCACAATGCCAAATGTCCTATGTACCCACGTCATCCGAGGACAACCAGCTTCATCACATGTTTCACCATCGCGACAGTTCTGGCATCGAGCTCGGAAAGCCGTTCCTCAAGTCGGCCATGAGATGGTGCTACCAAGTGGCCCACATCCCCGGGAGTGTTGTGGTGGTGGACCGGAAATTGTCCTTGCCTGCACGTAGAACGGTGCAGAAAGTGCTTTCGATTGTCAACAAGGAGCTTGGGAGCGTGGAAATCAAAGAGGAGGATCTGTGGAGTCAGCGTGCTCTGGAAGACGAGAAGGACGACGACAACACGAAGAAATGCGATCGTTACAAGGCCTTTTTGCACATCATCGAGGACAAGTGCGTGGGAATCTGCCTCGCGGAGCGAATAACAAAGGCCCACCGAGTCCTTCCGACCGAAACCGCCACCGGCGAAATCATGTCTCTGAATGACCGCCACCAACCCAATTTCCGACAGACGACCGGCCCAGCGACTCCAGCCGCTACAGAGTTCAATGGCGAAGAAGCAGATCAACCCCTTGGGAAGCCTCAGATTCCAACACCGGTAGCCAGCCCGACTTCCTCGGGACCTTCGTCAAGCATCAGTATCTCGGAGGAGACGCACCTCGCCGTGGTGGGCGTTAGCCGCATCTGGACGAGCCGAGCTTTCCGACACAAGGGCATCGCGAACAATTTGCTGGAATGTGTCATGAGTCAATTCATTTACGGCATGGAGATTGAACCTGACCAAGTGGCGTTCAGCCAACCCACCGAGAGTGGCGCCGCTTTGGCGAGGGCATGGTTCGGAGCTGATGATGGATGGTCTGTTTATCGAGAAGAGTGAATGACATGAACATGAACTTGCTGATTTTTGCTGAATTTGTCTTTTACTTTTTTTTTGTGTAGGATAAGACAGGACGTTTCCCACCTACATGTGTTTTCTCGACACTGTATTACCGAAAAAAAGGGATGGAACGTGGGGAGCTGGGACCGGTAGAGGGACAAGGTACGGGGGTACAGGAGCATTTGGGAAAAAAAGGGTGGGAGGGTGCTGCTGCGCACTTTGGTTGTGAAATCTTTTTGTCCAAGTATGGATTTTTTTTTGTGTGTGACGGTAAACGAGGATCAGAAGGCGCCCGCGAGACCTTGTTTTTGTACATATGCGTGGGTGTGTGTGTGTGTATGTTGGATTTAAGAGACGAACAGGATATGTATAGGTACTTGGTACATTTTACACAGTAGCAGTATGTGATTATGTTTTGTGTCTCTGTTTTGCATCTTACACCTTGTATCCCAAAAAATGTACTCGTAAGGTGTATCAAACCGACTTGTTGTCTAGAAGAAGAAAATACGTGTGCTATCTACCTAGGTAGGAGTGTGGTAATCTTGACATGACAACGACTCCCCAAGTCTCGTAAGATCCAACTTCATCATATTTTCTGTACATTGTGCAGTAAAATGGACTTTCAGCTCAGGTAAGGTAGATTAGGTATTGGATCGTTTGTTTACCAAGGTACATCTTCCTCGGTCAATCTTCCACCACTGGTTCGGTCGTTCCAAAACATGACTTTTTCCAACACATCCCTCACGTTGTGACAATTTTTGTCGTCTTGATGGTGATGGTGATTACAATACTTGTCCAGAACTTGCTTTTTAAAGACGTCAGGATCCCAACCCCTCTTGAACCTCTTTGAGCTCAAAAGTTCTCCCGAGGCGTACAAATCTTCCTTCCAAGCTCCATAGCCACGGATCTCGTCACCTTTTTGAATCTCTTTCATCCTGACCTCGTCAAATGGTGGATCAACACCGATATATTTTATACTTTTCGATTGTGAGTGTGAGTGTGAGTGTAAGTCTGACGGGGTGTCCTCAGACGACAAGAATTGTATGGCTGGTAAGTGTAGGTCCAGAAAACGAGCCCGTTTAAATTCGTGAGAGATTATGGTGAGTCTTGTTGGCCATGATGTGTTTTTGTCGCCCATGACCCCGCTGGTACTCGCACTCGCACTCGAACTCGCCTCGGCGCTCTGTAGAAAGTTCTGTGTCGCCGACGGAGTCGATGATGTATTGGATTTGTTGTATTGATCAACAAACAACGGCCATTGTATTAAACTTGACAAGATGTTTTGATAAGAATCTGTCGCGTAACGATCGATAAAGATTCGATCACGAAGATTACTTGTGTTTGTACTCATACTCGTACCCATATCAGTATCAGTGTCGAGATTAAAAAAATCATGTTCCAAAGCGACGTCCTAGACATTGGAAAATCCATTAGCACTCACATTCTCATATTCGGTTTTCCATTGTTCATATTGATAACTTCATATTCCAGGTAAAGGCGAAACTCACAAAATATCCATCCCCTTCGGTTTTGGACGTTTGATCTCTCTTGGTAGCACCCCCACTAAACACCAACATCGCGGTGGGATCTTTCGCCAATTCCTTCACCCCTGCCTCGACGTGTGCAATATAAGTGTCGGTTTCGCCTTGTTGGAAAGGTTCAATCAACCAATTCTTTTCATCCCGACTTGGTTTTGATTTTGAAGCATCGGTCCCAGACGGACCTAGGTAAATGGCGTGACAGCACACTATGATGAGGTGGGTAGGGAGGGATGGTGGTTGTTCATCAGAGGGAAAAGTCATCATCTGTGAAACACAAACATACACGTACAATGGTACACACAGGATCACATTTGCAGGGGAAAACGAACATCTGCTCGACTTGAAAGTATTCGTCCTAGAGGATAAGTATGTAGTAATGGTCTTCAAGTTCCAAAACAAAGGGGGTCTAAAACTCCAAAAAATATTCAGCTTGGTGAATGTTTCCAGCCACATCTTCAGACCCTTTCTTCCTTGACGATGATGCCTTGGGGAGTGCCATGAGACCAATCAGAGGAGACCTTGTCACCTCTGTGCTTAGATTGGACTGAATTGGACTTCTCTGAAAGAGATAGGCCGAGCGTATGTCCAGCACGATTCAATGCAGAAGATGTAGAGGTGCAAGACCTTAGCACAGGTCGCATTTGCCAAATCTACTCCAAGATGGTGGTACATACTCTGTAAGTGATCCAACATCGGAGGCCTGAAGGAATTCCCCGGACTACGCTTTCACGGTTTAGCAACACACGACAGAGTGTAAACGTATATACTGATTCGAATTCATGCGGGAGGTTCAGACTTGTCTTCCTAGCACCGGTACGTGATATTCCCTACCGGAACTGATAGGCTCAGACCACCTTACCGCTGAGGTGCGTAACGCCAGATCATGACTGTCGTCCACTACTTCGCATTCTCTATCGGCTGCTTGTCCCACAAAGAACTCACAACATATATCGAAATTCCGGATTCTTGTGGCCTTTATTCATCTTAGCTTCGTCACTTGTTACCCCGTCCAGGCGGTGATCTCGCTTTCCACTCGCCCGGAGGCGGTTCTCGTACACACAGTGGGCAATACCAAGCAGGGACAATGCAAAGCAGAACAGCATCAAGCCGAAGAATATGGTGTGGCCTTTGTGGTAGTCGGGAGCATCGCTCGGGAGATAAGTCCATCTGTGACAATGTCAGTCTCTCTCGTCCGCACGACTCTCTGCAGAATTTCTTACGTGGAGACAACGCCTCCGATGGTACCGATGGCCACGATGTAACCTCCAGCTACAGCTGCAGCCGCGGGGTTCCCAGCGTCTGGATGTTGTCAGCGTCTTGCATGTTGTGACTCAAATCACTTGGAGAGGACTCACTATTGATCCCCCAGCTCAACATACCCGCACTCGCTGCGAAGCACCCGATGGCGTTCAAGAAAACCGCAGCGTATTTGGCCGACGCGCTGTCCGTCCAACGCAGCATGGCGAAGCCGACAATGGCAGTGGGCAGGACCCCGGCAATGAAGATGCCTCTCTGACCCACCCGGTCACTGGCCCAGCCCAGAGCGACCGTGCATACGCACGCAACCAGATACGGCGGCACCGATTTGAGCTGGGCCTCGGTGGAAGTCCAGCCAAAGGCTCGAAGAATGCTGGGGACAAAGGCACCGAAGCTCTGAACCGCTGCGTTTGAGCAGAAGAATGTCCACGCACAGACCTGTGTGTGAACATTGAAAATGGCAGACCTGACGTGTTTCCAGCCGACACGTTGTTTTGGATGCTGCTATCCTGTCAATATCGTGCCGGATGTTTTTTCTTTGGATTTGAGAGCAAGGCTTACCGCTGCGATCTCGCGGTACATGCGCTCGGCGGCGATGTAGCGTTGTCGCGGCGTCAGAAAACTTGCAGTCGCCGGGCCCTGGGGTAGGAACCAGGGGGCCGACGCAGAAATCATCATCGTCATCAGACCCTCGAAGAAGAAAATGTTCCGCCACGTGTGCAAGGGCGCCGAGGGCGAACCCCATCGCGGGATCTCCGACAAACCTGCGGCCAAGAGGCCTCCGAAAGAGTTTGCCAACGAACTCGACGCGATGAAGAAGGACATGCGCAGAAACAGCTCTTTCTTCTTGTAGAAACAGCTGAGTATGAACGCGACCGCCGGCATGGCACCGCCCTCGAAGATACCAAGGAATGCCCGGGCGACGGCCAGTCCGGCGTATGACTCGACAAAGGCGGTGCAGAGGGACACAAGCCCAAAAGCAAAGGTTAGGCCGGGAACTGAGATCCGTCAGGGGTCTGTCGAGGGTGAAGAGACGAGGACGTTACACGACACTTACGATACCACTTTGGACCGACGCTCTTCAGAATGATATTGCTGGGGACCTCGACCCTTGGCAAATTTAACGACTTGCTGCTAACCATCAAAAGGGGGAGTTCTCTTACATCAGATACATGCAAAAAAATATCGTCAGGACGATGTTGTACTGATAGCCCACAAGGCCGATGTCATCCCCCATACCTTCGATCTTGGCATTTCTTCGACGCGTGAGACCGTGATCGGTTGAGAAGATTGAATTGGGAAGACCTACCCGATGGCCGAGCTGTTTCTACCCGTTAGAAGACTGACGTTGAGAGGACTTTGGAACGACGTACCGGTCAATAGCACAGCACAGGTAGAGAACGGTGCACAAAGGTGTGACCACAAGATCGAACTTTCTCCGAACCGCTGTCTCTTCAGCAACAGTCCAGTCCGTGTCGCCGTTGGAGATGGAATGATCAATTGGCTCAGGGCAAGCTTGCACCCCTTTGATCGACTCTTTGGAGTCCCCGGATACTAGGTCAGCCATTGTACGAAGAAAGTGACCGCGAGAGTGACGAGTATAGCAGCTTGGTTGATGCAGGATCTGGGTGGTCCTCTTGCAGTCGAGTACAGGTATCAAAAGTCGAGTTTTCATGCATCGTGGTTTCTACAGGACGATATATCAATGTTGGATGCGCTTTAGCCAGGAGGCCGTTAGGTCAGCAGCGAACCCTGTGGGTCGAGGCAGAGATAAGTCGATCGGAGGTCCATCCCGATCATGGTCTTCGAACTCCTGATAACACAGATCCAAGCCATCTTGGCACTAATCTCCCAGCCGACAACTTGTCAAATGTTCTGTTCGGGGTTCAGAGACACTGGGAAGCTCAAAGTCCGTAAGAACTGCAGCTGACCTGTTTCTGTGCGGACGGCCGGCCCGGGAACTCCTATTTGCAAGAGGAGGGACCGCTGGGACTGTCTCCAGCACCACAAAGGTATTCGAGGCGGATAGTCTGGTTGGGGACACAATTGGCCGTCCGGACATCTTGGTTCATTGAGATACACAAATTTGAAGTCGAGAACAGTCACATCTGCCGATGGCGTCCAGGCGCCAACATTCGGCCAAGCTAATGACACAGTACTATACAAAGAGCACAAACGGTCCCTACGTGCTCCTCATCGCCATCATCAGAGGATCCTCGGCCCTCAGCGCCGTCTCCACCCAGTGCCTATCCATATCAATACCAATAGAGTCTAGAACCTCCGTCCACAGACCAACGTCGTCGTCCATGGCCAAGGACCAACTTGTATCCGGCAAGTCCGTCATGTTTGCAGCCACGGGGTCTAAAGCAGCTGGCTGAAGATGAAAAAGCTGCTGACCATTGCCCTGCTGCAGCCGTTGGTTCTGGGAGGTCATTTCCGGCTGCGCCTCTAAAGGCGGCCTCGATTTGATGCTTTCTCTTATTTTGTGCAGAAGTGAATGGCACGCACGAATATATCTGTTGCCCCTGTCGGCCATGCCTTGTAACACGTGGAGTGAAGTGTCCATGGCAGAGGCATCAATCGCGGTATGTGGAAAGGCCATGTTCACCATGACCAGCAGGAGGGCTGACGAGAATGCCTGCTCCCCGTCGATGAAACCATACGTGGCTACAGCAAGGGCTCAATACACGTGAAGCTTGTTACGAGACTGAAGGAGGAAGAGGCCACGTACCTACGAGATTGAACTTGGTCGCCTTGTCCAGGATGGAAACGCTCGAGCGCGCAGCAGCAATAGCAGCCTGAATTACACTCACCATGCCTGCCGGCAGGCCATCCTCCCATCGCGCCGTCGCGGACCGCTGAGCGATGGTTGCCATGTGCCTGCGGACCGCGTAGAGGATCAGTGGTCGGGCGGTCATGTTGATGCACTGGTAGTAGTAGAGATAGAGAGATACCTGCTCTCGGCGGACCTCTTTGTCCAGGTCGGAGATTTCGAGCCTCGAGTCGGGCGGAATCTGCCGAAACCAGTCGGAGAGACTGTCCATAACGTTCTGAACCGAGGCACCAAGGTTCGTTCCGGACTTTTGCTTCCTCCTATAAATCTCCTCTCCGATGCGGCCAAGGATCTTCGATAAGGAAGTGTAACATCTGAGGATCATCGGCAGGTGGGGATTCTCGCCCTCGGTCGGGCTAGGGAGCAGCACGTCGATATCATCGTCTTGGATCGAGATTGGGTGGCCCGAAGTTACGCTGAGCAGCCGGTCTAGACTATAGGTAGACCACCAGACGCGGCGTCGGCGTTCCCGTTCGTGGGGGTCGAGCTCTTGATCGGTGATTTCCTGGTGCAGCCCCAGTGAAATCGCCATCCGCATCGCCAACCCAAGGTAGAGGTAGGCGGCGTCTCTGCGATTCAAGGTCTGCATGTAGTAGCCCACGTAGCTCAGCACCTCCACAAACAGGATCGAGTTGTCCTCGTGGCTATCCGGGAGGAACTTCAACGCCGACTTGAAGTAACCGAAGCCCGGAGGTCCATCATTGCCGGTCCATTGGTTGACAGAGTACATCTGGCCCAGGGCGAGCACGAGCAAGACTTGGCAGCAGACGAGGCACGCTTCTTGGTCAGCAGGGTCCGGAGGTCGCGAGTACACGCGCTCCAAGCGCGGGAAGAACTCGTCATCGTCGAGGAAGGAAAAGATGGTGCCGATGTAGGAGCGTTGTGCAGAGTACAAGCGCTTCGCAAACTCGAACGGAGGCAACTGCGGCACTTCCCCGTTGACCGGCCGTCGAAGCCAGGAAGCGTCGTCGTAGTGCGGGTACAGATGCCAAGTCAGGGCCTCGTTGGTCGGAACAAGCCTGTTGGCGATGTACGTCGAAGAGGAATTGCCCATGTAGTCTGGAGGGCCGATCAGCACCATTCGTCACATCGAGCTGCTGTCTCTCGCCATACAGTACTGTCCTTGGCCGCCGGAAACCCAGTTGTCAGTTCCGGTAAAGGCCACAAAGTCCACATCCTGGGACGCATCCTCCGCTGACGTGACGGCGTTGGCCCGGGTCTGTGAGTTCGCCTTCCGAGCGTGGGCCTGCAGCTTGTGTAGGTAGCTGAACCGATCAGCCGTCTTCGCCGGACACGTGGGGAGCGCCCTTCGGCATACCTTTCGGGGACCGTGACGCGCTTTTCCGTGTCGGAGTAGACACAGGCCTGTCTAGCATCTACGCATGCAGCACAGGGTTGGGGATATGTCCCCGCGCATTTCGTCTTCCTGCCGCGGCATCGGTCGCAACTGAACTCCGTAAGTCCACATCTTGACTTCCAATCGCGAGGAGCACACTTACGCAACCGATGAACGCTTGAGAGCGTCGTTCGAATGACGCCTTTTCCGACCAACTGGTCGCGTGGGCTGGTCATTCATACCGTCGATAGAGTGGGAGGGGAGAACTTGAGGTATTCGATTGCCGTGGGGACTCTTGATAAGAGTTCGGCCAAAGACGAGGTCACGTGGTTAGAAACCGGGCCGATGGTCTGAACCTTATCGGGATACCGTCCCGATAAAGGGGCAGGACGAGATGAGCGGAGGACGCTCCGAGTCGAGCACACCTTGGAATCTAGATGCAAACACTGCCTGCTTGGACGATGGCCCCCGAGGCCAGTTCTCAAGGGTGGCTCGGAGCCGTTGAGTGCGAAAGCTACGTCCATGATACCAGGATCCCGGTGAATCGTCACGTTCAGGGGGGTGTCGAGAACAACTGATTAATGATACGGCCGGCACAGCCTTCGCCGAGACTGATGCTACAATCGACATATTTGAGATCTAGCAGCGCCTGCGGGATTAGAAGTCCTCATCGCAATGTTGTCGCTGGCAGGAGTTCTCTGTGGTCTGGTCCTTTTGCTCCTCGCCTGCAAAAGCATCGCGACTTATCGACGCTTCGCTTCAATTCCCGGTCCATTCCTGGCCGGCTTCACGGATCTGTGGCGATGGAAAGCGCAGAACTCGCGAGGCTACTCGGCGAGACTGGTACGACTCCATCAAAAATATGGCCAACTCGTCCGTATCGGCCCCAACCATATCAGCATCAGCGATCCTGATGCCGTTCCTGTCGTCTACGCCACCAATCCTGTCTGGCAAAAGGTAGACAACGAGCGTTTTCTTCCTTTGCCTCGAGTCCGGACTAACGCGAAACAGGCTCCTACCTACCATCCTGCTGCGCCCATCAGTGGCGGCCGGGCGGTTCCTAGCATCATTGCCATGAGTGAAGCGCAACACACTGCTGTCCGACGATCTGTCGGGAGCGCGTTCACGACCAACTCTCTGCTTGACTACGAGTCGGCCATCGACGCCTCTGGAAAGGATCTCTTGGAGGTACTTGGGAAGCACACGTCCCTCGACATCACACATTACCTGCAGCTCTGGGCGGTGGATGTGTTGATGCGCCTCGCCTTCAACGAATCGCTGGGATTCATGCAGAAGGGAGGCGACGTGGATGGGATCCTCGAAGCCATCATCGGTCGTTTTGACCACTGGGGACGATGGTCTGCGATGCAGACCTTGGAGCACCACCTCTTCAAGGGCTCATTTGCCTCGATTGTGAAGAAGCAGGCCAACAGTGCTTTGGCCCGAGTCGGCCTGGAGAAGATCAGGGCACGATCACTCTCCCCCGGCCAAACGACAAACCGAGACTTGATGCAGAAGTTCCTCGACGGGCAGGCCAAACACCCCGACCTGGTGGCACACGACGAGATCCTCGGAATCATCATGTCCACCATTGGAGCCGGGGCAGACACCACGGCCGGTACGATGACGTACACACTCCATCTACTCTGCCGGAACCCGGGCGCGATGCAGAAACTGCGAGACGAACTACACCAGGCTCTCGAGAGCGGCGACATGTCGTACCCACCCAGGTGGACCCAGGTGAACAAGCTGCCATATCTCGAGGCCGTCCTCAAAGAATCCATGCGCCTGATGCCCATCGCGGCATGGGGTCTGGATCGAGTCGTCCCCAGAGGCGGTGCCACCGTATGCGGCCGGTACTTTCCGGCCGGCACCGTCGTGGCCAGTCAGATGGATGCGACAATGCTCGACGAGGCTGTCTACGGTCGAGACTCGGGTTCTTTCCGACCAGAACGTTGGGTAGAAGCGTCGGAGCAGCAGAGGCGCCGCATGGACCGGACGTTCATCGCCTTCAGCGCCGGTAAGCGTATCTGTATGGGACTTCACATTGCCTGGCTGGAGTTGAAAAAGGCCCTTCCGCTGCTGGTGATGAATTTTGACGTGAGATTCCCCCCCCCCCCCTTCCTGGAAATGCTCCTTTCCACGAGAGCTCGGACTGACTCTTTTACTGACCCAAATCCCTCGAATAGATGGCACTTGTCAACCCCGACCAAAATCTTCAAGAGCAAATCAGGATCAGTGCGGTCAAGTATGCACCTCCCATCTGGATGAGACTCTATAAAAGAGAAGTTGCGCGTCAATGGTAAGAGACACATCGACCTGATGGCATTTTGAACTGCCTCAAACGAACGCACAGGGTCGGGTGTATTCTACATAGTCTCTCTCTCGAACCAATCTATAGTTTGATGCCACAATGTGTCAGAAGAGAACATGGTGGGCATGTATACAGTCTGAGATAGCCACCTGTTTCAGACCTAATGGGCCGGTTGTTTTCAACCCCATAGAAATTTGCTGCATCGGCCTGTGATGTGGCCGTTATCAACTGCCATTGACGGGTACAATGGCTTCGCTCCACAGGCAGCTCGGAGCGGTTGCGAAGCTATATAGTGACTGATGTCGGAGCATAGTCTTAAGAGTCAGCTCAAGCGTTAGATTATTACTGTGCTAGCTAGCATTCAAAGTACAGTATCATCAGCGAAGGGAGGACCTTGGTCGATCTCAAAAATGTCCATTGACCAATGTCCCGTTCATCTTGGCCTTCCCATCTTCTGCCTTGCCATAACCGCCCCCGCCAGGAGTCATGATAACGATTCTATCCCCACTTTTCACCGCAACGCTTCCCTTGCCTCCAATGTTGACCGTTCTGTCTTGCCCTGTCACGGCATCCTTGCACAACCACAAGTTTAGCCCGGTCGCTCCTGGGCCACCGCCAGCCATGCCGTAGGGCTGATGGACACGGCGTTCGGACAGGATCGAGCACTGCAGCGGAGTCAAAAACTCGATTTCTCGAATCACTCCTTCTCCACCTTTGTGCCACCCCTTGCCCCCAGAGTCTTCTCTGAGCTGAAACTTCCGCAGGATGCATGGATATCTCTTCTCGAGAATCTCAGGATCCGTGATGCGCGTGTTGGTCATGTGCGTATGCACTCCGTTCTCGCCGTCGAAGGTCGCTCCAGCGCCCGCGCCGCCAGCTATGGTCTCATAGTACCCGAAACCGGGGACTATCTCGCCCGTCGCGGGGTTCTTCTGAGCATCGACACCAAACGTCAGGTTGTTGAGGCACCCTTGTGACGCGGCGCACGCGTTCAGTGCTTTCAGGACTACGTCGGTCACTCGTTGGGATGTCGTCACGTTCCCGCCCACTACGGCGGCGGCTCGCGAAGGGCTCAAGATGCTTGGTTTGGGTATCTTGACATGAATGGACGCCAGGCAGCCTTGGTTGAGGGGAATGTCTGCCGCAATCATACAACGGAGAGAGTAGATGATGGCAGAATGTGTGATCGCTTCGGGGGCATTGATGTTGCCGTTCACCTCGGGCCCGGTGCCGGCAAAGTCAAACACTGCAGAGCCGTCTTCAGCGATTGTAATCCTCAGCTTGATGGGCGTACCATCGTCCATGAAATCCAGTGCTTCGAGGGGTCGGCCTCCCTGACTTTTATGCAAAGCTTGCAGCAAATTACGGACTGCCAGATCTGCTGTTTCTTGAATCGCGTACATGTATTGCTGAACGACCTGAAGACTATACTCGTCGATCAATCCCTGAATCAAGGTGATACCCCGCGCGTTTGCAGCGATCTGGGCTTTCAAGTCCGAGATATTGTCGTTCAAGTTTCTGCTGCCTGAGCATCCAGGGTGACGCGCAGGGAAGTCAAGAAACAATTGTCGCATGCGTGCTTCGTTGAACACTCCATTCTCGACTACCTTTTCGGACTCAATGGCAGTGCCCTCTTGCCACAACTCAGTCGAGTTTGGTGGCATGGATCCAGGCAGAATACCTCCGATGTCTGCATGGTGGCCTCTGGATGCGACGTAGAAGATGATCTCTTTGGTGCCTTGCGCGAATACTGGCGTGATTACAGTCACGTCCGGTAGATGAGTTCCACCGGACATAGGATGGTTAGCCACAAGCACATCTCCGTCTTTCAAGGTTCCTAACCACTTTTGGTGCTGAAACCGCACTGCGAACTGCATCGACCCGAGATGAACAGGCACATGAGGAGCATTAGCGACAAGGCCGCCGTCGGGGGAGAACAGAGCACATGAGAAATCCAATCTTTCCTTGATGTTGGTGGAAACCGCAGTCTTTTGGAGGGTACGGCCCATCTGCTCAGCAACAGACATGAACCGGTGGCCAAAAATGGTTAATCGGATAGGATCGACATGGTCCTCTGTTAACTTCTCTCGAGGTGTCGATTTCAAATCGATAACGACGCACGTTTCGAGGATATTTGCGACCGCATCTGGCACGACGACGATCGTCTGGGTCTTGTCGATAATGATCGCAGGCCCGTGTAGCTTGACACCTGATCTGAGCTCGTTCAGGAAGTAAATTGGCGTTTCGACATATCCATCGCCCGAGTTAAAGAAGACCTGACTTCGCTGCGTAGGTTCTCCGGCTAGGCACGGTTTAACTCTCCTGAGTTGTTGCAATGGACTATCCTCAACCACCGTCTTCGAAGCTGCAATTGCTCTCACCCGAATATCATCCACGAGAATAGGTCGGTCAAAGGTGAAGTTAAATTCGCGCTTGTGGCGTTCCACAAAGAGCCTGGCGAAGTCTCCATCCTGAGTATTGCGGATCATCAGGCTTGTGTCTGAGCCGTCATATCTCATGTTCAAGAAAAGCTCATGTCTGACTTGATCGTCGGTGAAGCCCTGCCCCACGAGCTCTTTTGTGGTCCTTGCAACCAAATTGTCAAATTTCTCCGCAATGAGCTCCTGAGAGCTTCCATATTCTGCAGCCATTGGCTCTTGTGCTTCGTGGACAACCTCTGAGAGTGCTAAGCCATACGCTGACAGAATCGAGGAATACTTGTGAATAATGATGCGTGAGATGCCGAGGGAAGCTGCCACGTTACAGGCGTGTTGGCCGCCTGCACCGCCGAAGCAGGCAAGGTGGTGAGACGATGTTTCGAAGCCTCGACCCTCGGTCAAGTTTCTGATTGGCCGTGTCATGGACTCATCTGCAACCTGAAGAAATCCAAGGGCTACCTCCTCGGGCGTAAATCTTTTAGGCCTTTTCCGAGCACAATTAATCTCCTCGGTCAACTTTTCGAATTTGTTTCGCGTAACTTCTCGATCAAGGGGCTGGTCCTCTGTAGGGCCAAAGATTTTGGGGAAATATTCTGGTAATAATCGTCCTAGAAGGAGGTTTGCATCGGTGACGGTGAGAGGACCTCCTTTTCTATAGCATGCTGGACCAGGGTGTGCGGCTGCTGATTCAGGACCGACCATAAATAGGCCATTCTGCCACGAGAGGATAGAGCCACCCCCTGCTGCCACGGTTTTGATCTCTAGCTGAGGTACCTGGATACTAACCCCGGAGATACTGGAAGAAAAGGTATGGTCGAGGTGACCATCGAAACGTGACACATCTGTCGATGTCCCTCCCATATCAAACCCAATGACTGGCACACGAGACTGGGCATCCCAGCTAGTGGCGGCATAGCCGACGACACCGGCAGCTGGTCCAGACAGAATAGCTTTAAGACCGCTGAACTTACGGAAATCCACCAAGCCACCATCAGATTGCATGAATTCGACTCGACAGCCATGGGATCCAGACAGACCTCCTCTAAAGTTCGCAGAAATAGAATCGATATAAGATTTGATCACAGGAGTCAGATAGGCGTCAGCAGTGGCAGACATCCCGCGAGGCACGACCTTGATCATGGGTTGCAACAGGGAAGACAGTGCCACTGAGAGATCTAGAGACTGCGCGATCTCTCCAATCTTTAGCTCGTGTTCCGGGCAAGCGAATGAGTTGAGTAGGGCGACTGCGATAGACTGGTAGCCCTGGTCCTTGAGGGATTGGAGGTCTGCCTTCACAGCCGGGATATCGAGTTCTCTGAGCACATGAAATGTCTCCCCAGTAGCACCAGTGATGGATCGAAAAGACGAAAGGACGTCTTTCGAGGCTCTCTGATGTGCAGGAATGATGCGCTCGTCCACCTCGACGACGGCCTCGAAAAGAACATCAGGTCTTCTCGCAGATAGGTCGAATATATCTGGACGTGCTTGGTTGCCAATTCGCAGTAGATCCCGAAAGCCTTTGGTAGTAAGCAGGGCTGATTTGGTGCCTTTTCGTTCTAGCAATGCGTTGGTAGCAACAGTTGTTCCCATCCGTAAGACATCGATTCTATCCAGACTCAGCGGCTCTCCACGAGGGCTCGCTTTTCCAGTGGCCTCTAGTACTCTGCGGATGCCTTCGGTAGGGGCATCTTGATAATTTGCAGGGTCAACAGACAACAACTTGAGTACAATGTCGGGCTTTCCGGGCACGATGGCATGGACGTCAGTAAACGTGCCGCCGCGATCAATCGAGACTTTGATTTTCTCTGCCATATTTGTGGTTGTGCTTGCGAAGACTCCATGTCGGCGTCAGAGAGAACCTCGTAGTTTAAATATTGTCACTCACTGCGAGTGTCTTTGGAATTTCAAACCTAAGCCCTGATCCTTGGGGCCTTGCTCCTGGCACTAGGCTAGGTGGCGCCGAAGTGGAGGGTAGTGCTCCTTGGGAGCAGAACGTGGGCGTGTCATCTTCACACTGCATTCATGCTTCATACTGGAGTATCATTCGCCGTTACCCGTAGGCTCTCGTGAAGATAAGGAATAGACGATTCAGGTACATCTGGAGCAGGGAAGGGTTGTACAAGGTCACGTGTCGGTAAATGAGGCCGAAGGTGTGGAGGCAGTGGATACGATAGCACTTCCCGATCGGCTAGAGCTTCAGTGATTTCGTTGTAGAGAGTCTCGGGCGTGACATTGACAAGCCGATATACCAGTGATACGGTAGATTGGATCGTTGTAGTGCGGGCGACATTCAGCTCAAATCTAAGGGTAGGAGCAAGGAGAAGTTGGTGAGCACGGACAGAGGGTGTCAAAAGCGGCGAGCAGTTAAACAAAACCTTGGCAAGGCTGGCATTTCTTTCCCTGCTCTACGTCTTCGGTACCAGGTCACCTACCTGAGCAACGATTCTCTTCAGGACGACAAACTACGAGTCTCGACATATAAAAATCTTGGTTGCAGGGTGAATGATTATATTTTCAATTAAGCATGCCCTTGGCACTCCATAATCTAGGATATCATTTACTCTCTCGTGCCCGCTCACTCGCAATATCAAGTTCATCAACCCTCCCCCCAGAGCTCAAAGGGTCCTTTCTCATCAGCCCAATGCATGCATATACTTTGACAAAAGCAATCTTTGTTGTCACGCTGAAATTTTGCCAACCTCTCCTCTCTTTCTGGGGGGTTCAAAAACAACGCCATGTTTCTCGGGTTGGTGAATCAGCGGGGAAAAACAAAAGAAACAAGACAGAACCGCTGCCCAGTCCCAGACTGACTGCTCAATGTCGAAATAGTGCCGCTGATAGGTTTAATTTGAATGATCGAAAAAATATTGTACAATCAAGCGAGTATCGGTATCGTCATGAATCATCGCTGTCAAGAAAAATCTTCTTCACCATGTCGGTATGTGCAAGAATCACCTTTAGTACATCGACCTTGTTCCCAGAATGAACAAATCTGTGTTTTGTAGTTGTAGGGTTTCTTTTTCTTGGCTCCTCCTTTCCTGCCAGCTTCATCATAGTCATAGTCATTGGAGTCAGTTCGAGCATGCTTCCGTGATGAATCATCCACTGAGCCAGGGTAAGGGCTGATATCAGTTCCTATACCGACAGAAGGTGCCGAATGTTGAGAAGACTGTTGTTGTTGCTGTTGCAAATTCGCCAGGATGGTGCTTAGATCTGGAGTGACAGGGGGCAGTGCGTACTGGGGTGCTGGAGTCTGGCTTTGAACTTGTTGATTGATCTGCTGAACTGACTGGAACAATGCTGAAAGGTCCAGCTGGGGTGCCACCGCGGCTTGAGCTTGAGCTGGTTGAAACTGAGCCAAAGCTTGCTGAAGAGCCGACGAAATGGCCGCGGGTTGCTGTGAAGCGGCTTGTGCCGGAGCAACCTGAGGCTGGAGTGGAAAACCAGGTTGATTTCTAGCTTGACGTGCTTGATAATCCTTCTCGCGTTGACGAGTTTTGGCATCAGGCTCACCAAAGTCAATGGCTGGTTCTGCCGGCTCGAAATCGCCCTCTTCGTTCTCATCTGGCTCCTTTGGTGTCGGAGGTCGATCGGATTTCGATGCATATGTCGCCATGACCGTCTCCTGCTCACGCTTGTTTTGTTCTTCATTGTTCACACCTTCGGCTCTCGTCGTACCTCCAAATTTGAAGAAGTTAGCTTCTGAGGAGCCGGTGTCGTTTTCGAGGACTGTGAAATCCACCTCGCTTGGAGTTGAATATGTTTCGAAATCTTCATGTGAATCCTCATTTTCATCCTCTTCATCATCCAAGTCATCCATGGATTGATGAAGTTTCAAAGCTTCACCCTCGCGACCTGTATCACCAGCATCACGTTTCAGGCTGTCACCGTCACCTATTTCCTCATCTGGGTCGTGAGTGAAGAGTCGAGTCTCCACTAGGTCCGAGTCCGCTTTCCACGTCACACGTAATTTCTTACGTGCCTCCTTCCGGAGACGTCTGGCCTTTTCTTCCTCCGTCTCATTCGGTATCTGAGCTTCTTTCTTGACTTCTTTCTGAGGCTTCTTCTCCATGTCAGCTAAGAGGCCGAGAAGGGCAGAAGGGGTCGATGTGGTCTTCGGCGCTAGAGCGCCCGAAATCGGAGGCGAGTCTCTGCCAACAACTTCCTTCTTCACTACTACCACCGGTGGTGCCGGGGTATTCGTCACCGCAGAACCTTTATCTTTTGCGGCTGCAGCTGCACGAGCAGCAATTGAGGTTCCTGGCTTCTTGGAGGCCGACATTAAAGATGAGAAAACGGCAGATTTGGGAGGCGCTGTCACTGCCACTTTGGCCTTTGCTGGAGCTGAAGAGGTAGCTACAGGTTTCTCGGCAGCTTTACCAGCCTCAAAAGCCTTTCTACGTTCAGCATTTTGCAATGCCAGAGGCTTCGACGATTGTACTTTCACAACCTTCTTTGGTACAGTCTGTGAAGCTGATTCACCCTCGCGCGGCCGCTTCGTTCCCGCGACCGCTTCCCTAGGGCTACCACCAACATTGGGTGACGCTGGGTTTTCGGATTTGCTGGCAGCTTTCTTCTTGGCAGACACAGCTGTAGCGTTTTCAAGAATTGACTGCGCCAATGTCTTGATATCTGTGGTTGCTTTCTTAGTCAAGCGTTGTAGTAACTTGGACAGTTTCGTCATTTCTAACGTTTCGAAATCGAGTGTTTCAAACTTGATAACGAACTGAGAAAAGGGTTAGTACGTTGTTCAGACGGATATATTGTAAATTTCGCACCTTTAGGATAGCCAGTGTAAGGGGACTATCATAGTCCCCCACGGTGAATCGATCAAGTATGAATGACGACAGTGCTGCCATTGTGAAGTGATTCTCGCCTAGTCTGAAGGCCAAAATTATTAGTAAAAGTTACGCATAGTTATGAGTGAGAGAGGAAAGATTGTTCGGTCCGAATGTGTTGCGTCAATCAACACGGAAAAACCAATCTGTGGACTATTTATGCAGGTTGAACTATTGACAAAGCCGGTCTGGCCTGATGCAGTAGAATTATATAAACCCAGCGCACATTGAGAGCCAGGTAATGCCATGTCTCGGACAACAAGATCATCATTTGGACAGTTCCGGACTGCGCGCCGACTATGCAGAGAGGCAATATCACAATGCACAAGGGTAGGCGGTTGGACGCTGATATCAAGAGGAGTTGCTAGAATGACATACCTTTTAACGATGGAGGGATGCCCGAAATTTAACGATCTCGTCATTACCTCCTGAATAAGCGAACGGTAGCGGGCGACTTCCTTTTTGAGAGCATCGGCATCTTTAGCTGTTGGGGAATCGGGTAACTCGGCCTTTCTCAAGTTTTCATTTTTGACCTTCCAGGAATCTCGCAGTGCCCGAACGGAATCACCAAAGCTTGCAATGCCACCCCGAACTTTCTCAGGAGTTGCAGGCTTGTTGCGTGGTGAGAAAACTGCGTGAACAGCGAGATACTGTGCCTTTTGTCCCTCCTCTGTAGGCAGATCTATACTCAGAATTGCTGGCGTCGGCTCTGGAGGCTCCTCGACTTGAATGGAAAGTTCATCTTCCGAGTCTGATGCAGGATCATTGGTGCCTTTCTTCTTAGTTTTCTTGGGCGCAATCGAGTCCTTGGAAGGTTTGCTTTGTGGAGCTTTCTCAGGTTTTGGAATAACCACAGATACTGGTTTTGTCAGCGTGGCGCTCTGCGAAAAAGACAGCAACATACTTTGAGGCTGCTGTGTAGCAGGAGATGGTGCAGGTTGAACTGGGAGTGCACCTTGCAATGTCCTTGGATCGACCGTAGAACCAGCTTTGAAGTAGGATGGCTGACCAAGATATGACTGCTGATGCTGAAAATTCACATTATTGTCTGCGAGTGGTTAGTCAGAGTCCAGACAGACGATTCGTAAAACTTACTTGAGGCACCCAACATTTGCCCTGTCGACAACAGGTTTGGGTCAACAAAAGAACCCGATGATTGACGGCTTTGATTCTGATAATTTCCATAATGCATCATCTCAGGGTTCTGCATCTGAGCCAGGTGCGATGGCTGCACATTGACGTAGGGAGGAGGCTGTTGCTTTTGTCCAGAGCCAGGGGCAAAATTCGTCGGCGTTGGTGTCTGCCTCGGTGGCATATTCATGTGTTGAGAATTGAAGCCCTGAGCATTGTAGTTCATCGGAGGCTGGAAGCTATATCCGCCTTCAAAGCCGAGAGGTGACGGTGACGGCCCTGAGTAGAAGCGAGGGTCATAGTTCTGCTGCTGCGGTAGTTGGCGGGTATCGTAGAGGGGAGACTGGGAGTATTGATTATGAGGTTGATAGGCGGGTTGAGGTGAATTGAACTGGGGCAGCGGACTGTGAGACTGCCTCGACACATCTTGATTGAAGTTTGGAGGTAGTTGTTGTGTCTGCTGAGTGAAGCCAGGACCAATAGTGGTGTCTTCAAACAGCGCAGGATCGAAGAATCGACTAAACTCTTCATTGGAATAGGTCTGAATACCATCGAGATAGGGATACGCTTGATTATTGGAATTATGCGTGCCATTGATGGCATGGTTGGTGGACGAATCCATTCCCTTGACCAACAAGCTGGAGTTGGAGATTCTGGAGATCGAAGGTCACGTGCTCGGACTCGGCGGCGGCCGATTAAACGCTTGGTTTTGGTGGCAGAAATTCAGGTTTTCTTGGACTCGCCACTCACAGGCCGCAACACTCTCTCGGCTGCATCAAAGCCACGACAGACAGCGCAGAGATCAGCCCGAAGGCGATGGAATGGGTTGCGGATTATCCGTGTTTGTCGTCCGGAAAATTGTAGGAAATGCGTTAGGTGTTAGGTTAAGCAGTAGTCGTTCAGTCAAACAGAGGTTCTCAGGTTGTCTGTCTGTCCTTTTGGGTCACTCTTCTGTCCCGTAACAACAACAAATTGGTTGCCCCTCGTGCCTTAATCCGAACTCAATGCCACAATTCGAAGAATGTCTCTAATATTGACCAGCCTGAGGGCCAAAAGCACTAATTGTACTCGGTCCACCGTGTCTGGAAATGGCTTTTAAAAAGAGCCGCAGATGAATTTCTGTGAACGAATTTCTTAGATGGCAATCAAACGCGCCTCAGTCACAGTCACGCCAAACTTCATCACCCCGACTCCAGCCATGCGAAAAAGCAAGATAAAAGACCATTCAATGCAATTATTACAGTCCACGGTCAGAAAAGGGTCGGGAACAATTACAGGAGGATGAGAAAGATGTAGAGCGTGATTGTTTAGGATGGAAAAGACAGGTGAGGGAAAGTGTGAGAGAGAAAGAGTCTGAGGCGTGGTTGAGATTGAGGGCAATTCCAAACAAGGCGCTATTCTTCATGCGGGAAGGCGCATTGGTGCCACCTCGGGTAACATGCCTCAAGCGTGCAACCGCATAGAGACCAAGATGCCTGGCGAGGCTAGAGACATTGTTGTGCCTTTTGTCTTGCTTTTGATGCCACCATGTCCACAATGTTGTAGGGTGATTCTGTTGTAGCGGAATGAAAACATGACATCCTTGCCCTGCCTCCAACATCCCTCCTAGACTATCTACAGTCTAGCCCATACGCCCACCATGGCAGCCCGGATTCAGACACTACGGGATCGCCAAATAGGTCAGTCATGGGCTCCTGACTCCTTACCACAATTTAGCTGACATGTGTAGCCTCAATTGAGCGCATACTGAGCCTGAATCACGATGAGCTATCAGAGGCTGCGAATGGCGCGACAGACTCCTCGAACCCCTCTCACTCAACCTCTGTTCTGAACGAGAACGGCGAGCCGATATGGAAAGTGCTTGTCTTTGACAATCTTGGACGAGATGTTATAAGCAGTGTTCTTAGAGTCAACGATTTACGGAGCAAAGGTGTCACAATCCATTTGTCAGTCTGAGAACATAACCGCCCAGGCAGATTCTAACCTGCGGACAGAAACATAAACTCTCCTCGTTACCCTATTCCGGATGTTCCTGTTCTTTACCTGGTCGAACCTACGGCTGTGAACATCCAGTTGATATGTTCGGACCTCGCACGAGGGCTGTACAGCCCAGCCTACGTAAACTTCCTCTCTTCTGTACCCCGACCACTTCTCGAAGACTTCGCCGCCCAGATCTCCTCAACAAACACAGCGGAGGCTATCGCTCAAGTATATGATCAATACCTCAATTTCATTGTCGCAGAGCCCGACTTGTTCAGTTTGGGCATGGGAAAAGAATCCTACTGGACATTCAACAGCGCAAAAGCGGAGGCAGACGTTCAAGATGCTGCAATAGACCGAATAGTGAGCGGACTGTTCAGTGTCAGTGTAACCATGGGATCAGTGCCGATCATAAGGTGTCCACAGTCGGAGTTGGCAAAGATGATAGCGAGCAAGTTAGATCGGAAGCTCAGAGATCATGTTCTCAATTCCAAGGACAATCTTTTCTCCTCCAAAGCTGCAGCCAATGTGTACTCAACACCCTCGCGCCCAGTTCTAGTCATCCTAGACAGGAATGTCGATCTGGTCCCTATGTTGTCGCATTCTTGGACATATCAGTCGCTGGTACACGATGTGTTGAAGATGCATCTCAACCGCATAACGGTGGATGTGGCAGAAGAAGGTACAGTGGCACCGAAAACGAAAGCCTACGACCTGAACGCAAGCGACTTTTTCTGGGCACGAAACGCGAGCGCTCCCTTTCCGCAGGTGGCAGAGGACATAGACTCGGAGCTCACGAAGTACAAGACGGATGCCGAGGAAGTCACGAAAAAGACGGGGGTCAACAGCATTGAAGATCTGAACGACAGCTCGGCCTCTGCCGCTCATTTGAAGGCAGCAATAACCTTGCTGCCGGAGCTGAGAGAGCGAAAGGCTACGCTAGACATGCATATGAACATCGCAACTGCTCTCCTGAAGGGCATTAAGGATCGACAGCTGGATAATTTCTTCCAGCTCGAAGAGAACATCACCAAACAAACAGCAGAACAGATGCTAGCGCTGATCAAATCTGATGACAAAGGCAACAATCCACTCGACAAACTAAGAATCTTCATTATCTGGTATCTCAGCGTCGATAAAGAACCCACCAAATCCGAACTCTCGGAATTTGAGAGCGCCTTGACCGCGGCTGGAGTAGGCGATGCAGTGGTGGCCATCAAGCACATATCGAACGTCAGACTCGAGACAAGAGGCACCATGATGGCCTCTACCGTCACGACATCTCAACCTTCTCAGGCACCGCTATTTGGTGGCCTCTCCTCTTTATCCAAGAACTTCACAGACAAGCTTTCTTCTTCCGCATTGGGCACCGTCAACCTGGACGCCCTCGTTTCGGGCGTGAAGAACTTCCTCCCTGCAAACAAAGATCTAACAGTCACCAAGATTGTCGAATCCATTATGGATCCTCCGGCCGCTTCATCGTCTGCGATCGCTAAAACCGAAAACTACCTGTACTTCGACCCTCGCAGTGCCCACGCCCGAGGCACGACAGGCGGCTCAGCTCCCCCATCTCGCGGTGGTCAAGGTGCAGGAGGCGTCAATCCGAGCTTTGGCCAAAGAAGGCAAGGCTACTCGGAGGCTATCGTGTTTACTGTCGGTGGAGGGAGCATGGACGAATACGGCAATCTTCAGGAGTGGGTGAAGAGAACTTCTGGCCAAAACGCTAGCGGTGGCAGCGTCGGCTCGGCTCCTCGGACGAGAAGAGTCATCTATGGCAGCACTGAGCTCGTTAACGGCGAGGACTTTTTGCAGGAACTTGTCAGATTAGGACAAGATGGATAACATATGTCGTCTAGGTAGTTCGTGGACATCTGGAGATTGCTTACTCGCAGGTCTAGCTACAGAGCGGGAGTGAGAGAAAAAATGAAATTCAACAACAACGCTTTGGTTTTATTGGTTCATTCAATCGTGACGAATTACTTGGTCCAATATAAATGAAGCATTGAATTCGTTTGTTTGTAGGTATATACCGCCAGATACTGCCGTTTCGTTGGTGCCCAATTCGACGAGGATCCAAATCGAATCACCTTCGTCCCCTACCAAACTTGCCTCTCCCTTTGGCTTTGGAGTTTTTATTCTTGATCTTCAGGCTGCGAAAGTTCATGTGAGAGTAGGCGTTCGGGTTGATCGTTCTTTCTTTCGGGTTGTCTGCGTCCCTTTTCGCCTTGGATGTTGGTTTTGCAGGTCTACCTAGCAGGAGATCCGACTCGTCTTTGTTTTTGTTTGCTTTGGCCTTGGCTTTCGCTTTGGCTTTTTCGCGTGGTTTCTGCATCTTCTTCGTTTGTGTCGTTGACTCGAGGCGGAAGTCGTCGTCGTCGTCTTGCTCGTCGTCAGGATCAAAATACCCAGTCTCGTCACCTTGTAACTCGGCCTCGGCGATGAGGAATTGCATATCATCCTCCTCGGCCTCATCTTGACCGGCTCGACCATTGTCGTTGACAAACTGAGTCTCTTCCACCCTCTCTGAACCCCGGTTATGATTGTCAAGAGCCAATTCGTCTTCGCTGTCATCATCATCCTCCTCCTCCTCCTCCTCCTCCTCCTCCTCCTCGTCTTCTGCAGCCACGTATTTCGGCGCAGCGGCGGGCTTCATCTTGACGGGCCGCATAATGACTCTTCGCGTCGTACGCTTCTGACCCTTTTTCTTCCACACTCTACCACCTTGCTCTGCCTCGGCGCCATTGCCTCCCTGACCGGGGTTGAGTTGACTATCGCCGACGAGAACGTTGATTCCGCCCGCCTCTACCTCACGTAGAGCTTCGAGGTCGTCGTCCTCGTCGCCATCATCGCGCGCCTGTGCCACGCTCCTCTCCTCAGACTGACTCTGACTCTGACTGGCGTGCTCCGCGATGAGCTGGCTCAATGGTTTCGGCGCAAATTTGACCACACCCAAACCAGATCCCCGTGGCCCTGGCCTCCTCCTTGGTCGCGTCGGACTCGTACCTAGTTCAGCGGCACCAGCCGTTGCGCCTGCAGATGATCCCGGCCGACTACTACCTGAGGCGGACAAGAGGCGTTCTTTGAAACTGAAACTGCGCTTCAAATATGGCGGCGTCGCGTCAGCGTTGTTACCGTCGTGTAGTTGCCTCTGGCACACCGGCGAAAGACCAAGCAGGGCGTCACGCAACGGCGTCTTGGTGTGTGGGAGGTTCCTTGCCGTTTCGTCACGTTCGTCTTCTTCTTCCCGCTCGACGAGGCTAGAGAATCGTACTGCGCTAGGCGTCGCGAAAAAGTGGTCCAGCATGAAGCGTTTGCTTTGGCTCATGGGGGTTTTGGAATTTCTCCTTCCTCTACCTGCGTTCAGACTTCGCGATGCGGGAGTCGTGGCTGTACTTGCTTCTTTGGGATGGTCTTCCACACGGGACGCATCGCTGTCATGTGTCCGCCGTCGACTGGGTGTTTGCGTAACCACGGGCGCGAACGAGGGGTCGGCGTGGTCGTTCAAGGCATCGATCTTGCGCTTTCGACTGGAAGGAGTGTCCTGGGAGCTTTTCAGCGAGCCTGACGGAGGGAGCATATCGAAGATCCCCATGACCATCCCATCTCGCCTTGGAGTAGGTCCGATGGCGTGAAGAGCTGCTTTGGGCGAGACGGAGGACGGAGCGTCATAGGGATCGAGATCGTGAGCATGGCGATGTTTCGAGGGTGTAGACTTATACGATCGGTGTGGGGTCAAGCTGACTGCACTGTCTGCTCGAGAAGATCGTACTTTTGGTGCCGGCGGGTTCAGAGCGTCGAGCCCGAGCCTGCCTGCAACCACGTCACGGAGTTTGTTGTATTCCGTGTACTTGGTCGCGATGGTTCTGTTCGACTTGATGTCTCCTCTGCCAGGTTTCCGGCCGTCATGTTCTGCCGCAAAGGTGCGCTCGTAATCTTTCAGCGCTGCACGCAGGGTATCTGCTTGTCTTTGTAGTGATGCTTTCTTGGGAGTGTCCAGAAGGGGAAGAGTCGTGTCCATAATGTGCAGAGCGTGGTTGTAGGTGTAGGCAATATCAACTCAGGTGTCCCATGGGTCAAAACATTCTACGGTCCATACACATCAGATGCTGTACATTTCATGTACAGACGGTTTATTCATGCATGAAAGTACGGCGCATTCAGCGCGCGTGCCACTCTACGCGTTGACGGCCGCAGGAAAGTTGGCCGAAGCGCATGATCACGTGACTGCCGGAGCAACAAAATTCGTCCGGTGAGACGGTGAGACGATAGGATGTGGAGTACGGACTACAGACTACAAAGCAAGGCCAGGTATACAGACCATGGAACAATTTACAGCCTGTTCTAGGATTTGATACAATTGCTGAAAGATGAGAAAGGTGATGGTGCGAGGTAGCGATGGGTGAAGTCTGGATGCAGAATCCCAAGCATAAAACCCCCCAAAACAGATTTTGCGTAATTTCTTTTTCATTTTCATGTCCATCAATGCCTCCCATAGTCAAGGCAATGTTGATGGGTTATCGCTTTGAATGCGCACTGCTAGCACCCTGCCCGTAGCACAGAGCTATCTACTTTCGCTCGTCATAATGTTTGCTTCTGCTTCGACTGGTGTTTTGGGTACAGCGTGGTCGAAGAGAAGCTGAGCAGTTTGATCGATAGAGATGCTCTGCCGACCGTTGCCAAAGAATCTGAAATCCACAGTCCATTTGACACCCTTTATGCGACCAACTCAACAACACCGCCAGCCTCCTTGATCTTGCGCTCAGCTTCCTTGCTGAACCATCTTGCCCGCACAACAATTGGGATCTCTGGGATGCGGCCCTTGCCGAGAACTTTAGAGTAGCCAAGAGGAAGGAGGTCGAGAACAGGGGCGGTGTCGGTCTTCTTGCCAGAGACGTATTGGTCACGGGTTTCCTCAGGAAGGAGAGCCCAGAGCTGATACGGCGTGTCAGTAAATGAGCATGATTCCATGGATTACGGCTTCCTGACCTTGTCAAGATTGATTGTGGGCTTCCAGTATTGGTTTCTGGTGAGATGGAAGTGTCTCATACCAACTTTTCCGAAGTAACTATACGTTTGTCAATCAAACTGCGCCAGACCATTTTCAAGTTCGAATTCGACATACCCAGGATGGTATTTATCCATGTTGGTTCTGTGGTGATGCTGGCCACCAGCAAGACCACGACCACCTGGGTGCTTGCGGTGCTTTCCTACACGACCGTGACCGGCAGACACATGGCCGCGGCTGAAGAAGAAAATGTTAGCCTAGCTCTCTTCCAGTTCTCATCGTCCTTCAACACCACAAATGCGACCGGCGACCAAGTTGTAGGGGAATGGAATCGGAAGGGAAATATGTCGCTAATTTCTTGTTGACTTTGTGTTGTCGGCTCGTCGGCGCTCTCGTTCGAGGAAGGGTATCGGTTCAGGACGTGGAAACGTATGATGGTCGGTCGCATTCATGATGTCTTCTCCAAAGTTGAATGAAGGTGAACTCACTGCTTTCTCGTCTTTGTCAGTCTCGTAGGCATTTTGTCGGTGTTGAGACTGAAGTTGTCGTGGTTGCTTGAAGGTCACGACTCTTTGACGAAGTCTTCAAACACAATGTGGGAGATTTGTGCCAAGATACAAAAATGGTTAGCGCTGTTAAATCTTGGCACTATGGGCGCAGCCTCGATCACCTCCAGCCTCGCAACAACCGCATGGACAGACTACATGAACTGTATCCGTACATTGAACTGAATACTGCAAAGCCTCTCTATACTCATTGTGAATTTGATGATATCGCTAATACCTTGCACAGTTGATTTGCAGTCGGACAATTGTCATTCTTTTGCCTTGAAAAAGGCCTCAATGTCCGCTTCGGTCACTTTCCATGCCACAGGACTATTGTGCATGCTGTCTTTGATCCAGCCAGGAAGTTTCTGTGTTATCCTCGCGGTCGAGAAACGTCGATCGACCATCAGAATCACGGCGTAGTCATTTCTATGCCGGATCACTCTTCCTATACTCTGATTTACTGCCCTCATGCATGCGTTCTCGTAAAAATCTCTGCTAGCACTTTTGGCCGCAGCCCTGCTTTCACCCTCTGTTTTACCAGCCTTCTTGCACTGGTGATATTGCAGCTCTTCGATGTGCTGCATCTTTGCTTTCCATTCAGCTCCATTGGCATTGGGAAATGGAAGGCCCACCGCAATGACTGCGCGACCCAGTTTGTCTGAGAAATTGATGCCTTCAGAGAGCTTTCCGCCTACAACCGACAACAAAAGCCCTCCTTTGCCCGAATCTATAGCAATCGCATAGTCCCGGAGCAGATCATCGGCAGCTGCACCTTTTGATTCTTGAAAGACCGTTTTCTTGGCAGCCAGCGATTGCATCAGAGAACAGCTCGCCGGACACCTCTGCCAAACAGAGATAACCTGAGTGAGATAGTCGTAGCTTGGAAAGAAGACCACCACTCCGTCTGGGACAACAGTGCAAGTCCGCAGAACCATGTTCCCAAGCTCAACGATCATCGATTCCGAACCACGTCGTTCAAAGGTGAAATCAAAGTCGATATTTGAGGGCCCTTTTACAACCGCCTGGGCAAACAAATGAGAGGGCGGGATAACGTGGCCGAAGCTGAACATTTCAAGGCTTTCTCTGTTGAGGTACGAGAATAGATAGTCTGCATAGTCTGACATTGGTGACATGGTTCCTCCAGCCAGGATGACCGCACGAGACTCTTCAACGATTTCACGGAAATGTTCTCTCGGGTCCAGCAGGGTGTACCTGACAACAATGTCCTTGTCCTGTCGACCCGCAAAGAACCTGCCCTCATCATCTGGATTCATCAATACGGTTAAGAAGTTCTGAAACTGCATCATGGCTCCCTTTCCAGTGTTCGGCTTCTCATCGCTCTGAGAGTCACTGTAACCTTCAACCTTGTGACAAAGCTTGCTCTCATAAAGATATTGCAGCAACTTGTGCGGCTTTACTTGATCCGCGCCTTTTCCAGACATCAACTTGGCAGCTGTGACTGTCACTTCATGTGAGTGTGCTTTTTCAGTTACAACTTGCAAGCAGTCTATCAACGAATTGAGCAATCGGATGACTTGAGTAACATAGACGCGATTCTTCCCCTTGAGACGCTGCTTGAAACGAATCGCATAAGCCGTCATCTGTCGTAGAGCTTGCTCAATTTGACTCAATCTCAGGGACACTGAGAATGTATCAGCAATCGCATCCATGAGATTATGGGCCTCGTCAATAATGACCACATTGTCCCGGACGGAGATACCCATAGCCTCTCGAGCAGACTTTTGCAGAAGAAGTGGGTATGGCAGGGTAAGAATTTCAACTGGCGCTATAGCAGTTCGAGATGCATAGTATGGACAAATCTGCAAGTCCTTACCAAGATTGCCGACATCTTCGATGTCCCTGATCTGAGAAATAACTCTGTCTCGAAAAGCATCTACCCTTGCCTTGTCTTCCTTTGAAGGAAGATGGGGGCACTTTTTGTCTTTTGCAATCCCGGGTTTTTGTAAATCAAGGCATCTTTCGTTGATAGCAGCTGTTGATGACAGTTGTAAGACTTTGGGATTAATGCACAAGTTTTTTCTCGATCCAAGTGCGAGATGCTTCACTATTTCCTCCAACTTGGAGTTTTGTTTTGCATCATCGATCATCAAATCCATAGATGGCGGTGGCTTCACACGACGGAGTTCATTGACAAATTGGGTCAATTGCGAGTGAGTTCGAGAACAGAAAATAACCTTGAGGCGGTCCGAACCGGGCTCTTCAACGTCTGTTGCCTTGACAGAAGGTCGAAGCTTGTCAAGTAGTGCTTGTGTTGAACTAGAAAACCCTTCTTTCGAGGTTGTAGAAGCCGCTGTTCTTTCGGAGTCACTCTCGTAATCTTCGACCAGAAAGTCGTCGTCAACTGATACCTGGTTCTGAATCACACCAGTGCGGGCTTTCTTGAATCCCCTCGCATCACTTCCTCTCTGCTTCTGACGATTTTCTTCTTCTCGAAGCTTTGTCAGCTTGAGTTCGAGTTCCTCTCGTTCTAGCATCAGTGCTCGGCGTTGTGCCGCAAATTCGGCTTGCAATAACCAGTCAGATGCATCAGTCTGGCCAAACGTGGCATTCAACATTCGACGTTCGTGATCTCGAAGCCATGTCAGGGCACCGCATATAAGACTCAGAGACTTGCCTGTGCCAGTCGGGGATTCGAAGATGCCAACCTTCTTCTCCTCGATGCATTTGTACAGGTTCATCATAAATTCTAACTGTATCACATAAGGCTGGTACGGATGATAGAAGTCCGTCTGGCTAGGCTCCATGTTGAGCTGCGTGGCCGCCGAGTAATTGGCCATTTTCGATTCATGCTATAACGAGAGATTTCTGAGAATGTCCATTTTTCTGCTGGCCACCCGTGTCGAGGCTTGTCGGCCGCACCGCAGTGTCAATTCTAATGTGTCAAATCCGAGGTACCAGACTCTCAAATGACAGTGTCCTGTGTGTTGAGCCGAATGACGAATTTTCCTTGAGGTAGTATGCGTTCGATGCGTTCGTCACTAGGATCAATGACCTGAAGCAATCAAACCCATAGAGAAGTGTTGCCAAATATGGGCGCAGATTTGGTGGCGCGTAAGGGGCGGGCAGCAACGGGCACCTGTGGCTGTGTGAGGGGCTCTCGACTTATTAGAGGCTCTACTTTTACGAAGTAGGCACTTAAAAAGTAAGGTAAGCGATGGTGGCGGTGATTTGCTCATCATTGGTATGCGGAGAAACACCTGTCAAGGAACAGGGCACGCCTAGAGACCTACAATAGCTACCTACAATAGGTTCAGTACACTTACCGACGCTACTCTGTACCAGTAGGATCATTAAGGTAGGCGTGCTCTTTAGGCGGGCGCGGCTCATTAGGTCCCGCATTACAGGCACCGGGCTGAACCCCAAGCAGCCATCCAGATTGACGCATACCTCACCACCTGACGGAGTATGTCCTACGGAGAAGTCGTACGTACCCTGAGCCACTCAATTTCAATGTCATCCACAGCCTTGCTGCGCCTTCTTTGTTGTCGTCTCACTCAAGTCTTGGGATATGTCCACAACTCATGGCCGGCCTTGCCGATTAATCCGTTTATGAAGCCGCCGTCTATGATAGCATGCTTCGCTGAACTGAGGACATGTCTATAACCACCTCTCAGTGCCGGAAATTGTGTTCGGTTGATCTCTCAAACGCTCTCCCCCCACCTGAGCCTTAGGACTCCCATTTCCTTGCAGTCCGCGTCAGCAAGACTAAATTGCTTTCCCAGGCTGACCACACCTCTACGTGTCTTCGACTCGGGTATAGAAAGAGGACCGGGTGACTCCATTGCCCGGACTTGCTTGTCTCCTTGTCCAGAGAGGTCATCAGGGTCTCTGAGCTGTCCCCTCGCTACGAGAACCCTGGTGGTACTGATCATCATTGGTCCCAGCCATGAGTTACAACACGGGAGCTACCTTCGTTCCGGGAGGAGACGACTCCTATTATATGCCAGAGCTGGCGCAACCAACCCCAAACAGGTATGCTGATCTGAATCCAAATGATGATCCCTCGCTGAACGACTCCCAGGGCACATGAACTCCCGACTAATATGCAACACAATGTTGCTCAGATGGAACACGTTGCGTCGAGTCCTAACTCCTCAGCATATTCCGGTTCTGTGTACACTCCCCAGTCGGCAGAGTACGCACCCGCAAACATGAATGCGTGGTCGAGTGCCGTGCCCCCTGGCGATTACCACAATGGTTACGACCAGAGGGCGCCCTCGCACAACCCTCCTCAGTCATATCAGCAGAACAATTACCCTCCACGAACGACATCAACCGCACAAATAGAGCAACCGAACTTCTCTCCATTTCCTGTCCTCCGCAATCCTCCACCTAATATTCCTCCCACCGATGAACAAAAAGAGGCAACCCTGGAAGCTGCAAGGGCCGCTGTGCTGAGTTGCAACGATCCGGATACCCAGCTGACATGGGCGCAAGATACACTGGCATATGTTGAGATATGTCAGCAAAATGAAGAGAGGGTAGCATTAGCCCAGACACCCAGGTCGAGAACACCTCGAATTGAACATGTGTTGAGGGAAGACGCTCTCAAGATCACAAACTTCCTCGCTGACCAGCATCACCCCAAGGCTGAGTTCATGAGGGGTATGTGGTTGGAGTTTGGCAAGTTCGGTCACAGAATTGACAAGAAGGAGGCATTCCTCTGCTATTCGAGGGCAGCTGAGAAGGGCTATGTCCGAGCCGATTACAGAATTGGAATGCAATTCGAATCATCGAATGACGCCTTGAAAGCTATAAAATACTACCAGAAGGGAGCTGATGCGTCAGATTCTGCTTCTTGTTACAGGCTGGGGATGATGACACTACTTGGTCAACACGGGCAACCGCAGGATTATGAACGTGGTCTTCAGCTGATCTACCTTGCTGCGCAAACAGCAGATGAGAATGCTCCTCAAGGTGCTTTTGTTTTCGGTATGCTTCAGGCGCATCAGATGACACAAGTCCAAGTACCCGAGCGTTATCTTCCCAAGGATATCCCAGCTGCGAAGATCAATATTGAAAAGGCAGCATATCTGGGTTTTGCGAAGGCACAGATCAAGATGGGACAGGCCTATGAGCTCTGCGAGTTGGGATGTTCCTTTGACCCTGCGCTCTCCTTGCACTACAACGCTCTTGCTGCCAGGCAAGGCGAACCTGAGGCGGAGCTTGCTATCAGTAAATGGTTTCTTTGCGGTCACGAGGGGCTGTTTGAAAAGAGCGAAGAGATGGCTTTCACGTACGCACAGCGCGCAGCACTCGCCGGTTTTCCTACTGCGCAATTTGCTATGGGCTACTACTATGAAGTCGGTATATATGTACCTGTGAACTTCGAACAAGCCAAGGAGTGGTACCGCAAAGCGTCGCAGAGTGGAAACCAGGATGCAACTGGAAGAATCGATGCTATTTCCAGATCAAAGACACTGTCTAGGAAGGACCACGAAAGCGTTGCCCTGTCCAAAATTCGACAACAGCGTGGCTCGATGATAGGACCACCACAAATGCCGACCTTGTCAGAAGAAAGGCTAGACATGCCTGATCCTTCCCGGCTATCTCTCGACAACCGAAGGCCTCCTTCAGCTCGCCCAGGAAGCACTGCTCCATACCCTACTGGTCCGTCGAATTTACCACAAGTCCCAGACTTCAGACCAACATCAGGATTCGGCGTCAACCCCAACATACGACCGACTTCAGCCGCCACTGTGGGAGGACCCAGACCTGATCAGTATGGTCATCCTCATATGTCTCCACAGATGCGCCCTTATTCCAGCAACGATACTCGAGTACCGGGACCTGGATATGGTCGCGGTGATCGTATACCTTCCGGACCAGCTCCACCACGCCCGGGACCTCCTCCGCAACGACCTGGCACAACTTCACCTCATATCGGACCCCCGGGACCACCTAAGCTTGATATCGGGTATTCTGCTCCTCTCGAGCAGAGACGACCTCAGCAGCCTCCACAGCCCAACGGCTATGGCAGACCACACCCACCGGGCCCTGGTCCCAATGGTCCGCCTCGTCCGTCCCCTCGACCCGGTCAGATTCCGCCGCCACAGTCACAAGGACCTCCACCAAATCGCCCGCTACCACAGAACGCTAGACCAGGCTACGGCAACCCGCCACAGGACATCAGACCAGCGAACATGCCACCGTCTAAGCCAGCTTCCAACGCACCGAGCGGGAATGCTCCTCCGTCAAAGCCTAATCAGGTATCCGCAAATGCGGCTCGCCTTCCTGGAAAGGGTCCCAAGACATTCGATGAAATGGGAGTTCCTGCGGGTAAAGATAAAGGCGAATGTGTAAGTGTTATTCTCGTGTATCCTTTCCTCAAGTCTTAGAGCTAACGTTGCGCAGATTGTTATGTGATGTGATTCTGAAAGCTGCATTTCTTCTTATATATGATACCCCCTTTGCATCTGAGACATGTGTTGTTGTTCAAGCGCCGTAATGACACTGGCGGATTTAATTTAGCATGGCACGTGTAACGCCTTTTGCATTGGCAATGTAGCGCCTTTGAGTCTTGAGTGACGACGTTTTGCTGAACTTGATCTATTTATTCATGAACGATGATTGGCCTTAGTTTCCCTTGAAGCCATTGTTTTCTTGTGATTTACTGAGTCCCTTTGCCCGCCTAATGTGTTGTGCGATTTATGTGAGGCTCAATTCGCAGGTCCAACGAGGTATTTGAAACTGTCATCGTCGCGATTGTGAGTTTGAATTATACGGCGGTGATGTGTTGTGTGGAGAAATCGGACAGAACAACATATTTATATTTATATTCCCTTTCCGTGATTCGACGGCCAACAAGCATCACTATGGACGTAAAGCACCTTGGCCACGACTTGTTTTCTTTCCAGCCCCGACCCGACGAGTATATCAAAGTGACCCTGCTAGTTACGATATACAGCAATGGCACGATGCATATCATATATCATCCAAAAACGTGTCCGACACAGGACTTGCAGTAGCATCACCACCACCACCACCAGAAACATCAAAACTCCCATCATCGCCTTCCTCTACCGCCGCAGAGTTGTCATCGTCAGTGGGATAAGTGTATCTCTTCCCCACGGCCTCGTTCCACCCAGCCTCACCCAGTTCCAGGGACGGACAGACGTACTTGGCCGCCCGCCGCCACAAAAGAAACTGTTGGGCGAAGAGTGGATGAGCTTCTGGTCTGGACTGATGAACGTTTTGGACCGTGACGCTCCAAGGTTTCCCCATGGCCGTGAAGTGTAAAAGGTAGGCTTCTTCGTGAAAGAGAGATGTCAAGGGGTCAACGAGACCGCGGTCACCGTCGTCCCCTGAGCTGGTGCCGTCCAAAGTGACCGAATGGTTGCCGTGGTTTCTCGTGTCAACACCACCATCAGTAGACAGCCTCTGTGACTTCTTCAACGACGACGACGACCGAGAACCTCCCTCGAAGCCACTGAACTTGGACCAAGATGGTAGATCCTGAACTTCCCAATGACTATTCAAGGTACAATACGAACCTGGGAGAACCATGCCAACACCACCACCACCCATAGTATTTCCAACCCCGGCTCCGAAAAACTCCTCATTGATCAAATCCATGTCATAAACCTCCACTCTATCACCACCCCTTACTCTATCCAAAGCACCTTCCATACGTCCCCAAAGAGTGTCGGATAAGTTGATCACCATCATAGCGCTCGTGACACCTTTTCTTTCCTTTCCATTTTCGTCAGCGTCCATTGCCTTTGTTTGTCGTTGCTGTCGTTGCCCCTGTCCAAGCCAATACGCATGTGGTGCGGCGACATCTATACCTTCCGCATCACCTATAAACCACGTAACCGAAAATCCGTAAGCCAGGTGCCAAAAAACCTCCCCCCCCCGAAACACAGCAGGAAAAGTAATACGATTCCACTCGGAACACAGATCATTGACACCTACCGATTTTCTCAAACAAACCATCCAATGACCTCAAAACGAGTACGTCTGCATCCATGACAATGACCCTCTCAATTTTTCGATGGTGTGCTGCTCCCTCGGTCGCAATGGTGGTGGTCAAATTGTTCAACCCAAAGGCAAGCAACTTGAGCATGACGTCCTGATAGTAAGGTGCCGCGCCGTCGTGGAGTTGTGGAGGTTCATGAACCAAGACCGTGACATTGTACGAGTCCCTGAATTTTCGAGTGTACGAGGCGCTCACTGCCCTCGAGACGAGCATGTAGATTGGATGTGGTGTCTGAAAGAGTCTGGTGAGACGGTGGACGTTGACCATGGCACTACAAGCGTAGAGGTTCGAAGTGGCATAAAACACGTATGCGTTGCCTTGATCGTGTCGGTGTCGTTGTCCATATCGTCCTCGATCATCATCGAGATGCAAGAGTGGTGACGAAGAGATCTTGTCGCCGTCGTTATCATCGAGATTCAAAAAACCCAGACTCCCACAGCGCATTGACAATCGAATAATGTGAATCAAAAGAAGCCATAAGACGATACAGACAATGATGTTGCTGGTGGTCCGTGATGTGTATCGCATCTTACCCCAGTATTTGGTTGTACACGAGACAACATACAGAACACACACAACCAAAAGGAAGACCGTAAACAAACCAAAAGGCCCGAGAAATGCCCACCGACATTCATCATGAGAAACAGTAAGCTTTCAATTGAAATTCTTAAATTTAAAATGTAGGAGAAGGGAAATCGACTCTGAAAGGGAGGGGAAAAAAAACCCCCTTGCATAAGGCTGGTAATGTTGCTTTTGAGGAGAGCCTTGGCTGGACCTGCCATGATATTACTCTTTCTTTTCATGAGGCTGACGGGTCTGAAAAAATCATAGGAGCAAGGCTTGTTGACGAGACTTGTCATGGGCAGAACTCATCTGTTGATAGTCAGCGCCCCGAAAAATTCTATGTCCCTTCGAATACAAGGGTGCAAGCAAGGAAAAACGATGAAGCGATGCAACCAGACACAAACAAAACGAGAGAATACTAAAAAGCGAAGATAGACTGATTGGATCTTCGACCAAGTCATACCAAAAGGTTGTCCAAAATATATGTATAGCAATAGGGGATGACTCGCAGATATCCTCCTGGACACTGGGCTCATGCCGCAAGGCACATTGTTATTATGTTTGTTGTGCGTCGCTATCACCATGCTGAAGAACCTCTGCAAGGGACAAAACATGTTTCTGCTAATTCTTTTTTTCCTTTTGTCGTTCGGAACAATACTGCAAATGTTTTGTACAATCCAGATAGGTGGTGCTTCACACCTCCAAGAATGCCGGCACGATGAATTTGTCTATGCAAGCAGCATCTTGCGTGGGTCTTCTATGTATTCCTGTTGCAAATGTCAGCATCGTCTCGGAAAGTTGTGCCATGTCCGTCTGCAATGCTTACCTTGACCTTGACCAAGAAAGTGACCGCTTCCCTGCCATCAAGCAAGCGGTGATCGTACGTAAGTGCGAGGTACATCATCTGAAAACAATCAGCATCCACCATCTAGAAGGATTGTTGTTTTACTTACAGGTCTGATCTCAATCTTTCCATCCACAACCACCGGTCTCTCCTTGATCGCATGTAGACCGAGCACTGCGGTCTGTGGCAGGTTGATGATGGGAGTACCCATCATTGACCCAAAGACACCACCGTTGGAGATGGTGAAGGTGCCACCAGCCATGTCTTCAATAGAGAGTTTACCATCCCGTGCCTACAACATGTCAGCATGATATGCGACGTTATGTTGAGTTCAAGCTCACCTTCTTGCCAAGATCTGCAATGGCTTTCTCAATGTCGACCATTTCCATGCTCTCGGCGTTGCGCACAACAGGTGTTACCAACCCCTTTGGAGTAGCAACAGCGACACTGATATCCACGTAGTCCCTGTAGACAATCGTGTCACCACCTCCGGGGCCTTCAATCGAAGCATTGACCGTAGGAATATCCTTCATGGCGAGGATACTGGCTTTGCCGAAAGCACTCATGAAACCCAGCTTGACCCCCGTGTTCTTCAGGATTTCATCCTTGTACTTTTTCCGGAACTCCATGATATTGGACATGTCGACTTCGTTGAAGGTGGTCAAGGATGCAGCAGTGTTCTGAGATTGCTTCAGACGTTCCGCGATTCTCAAGCGCATCCGGTTCATTTTCACCTGTGACGAATTAGCATCCTGAGACGATCCAACGACAGTGATTCTTCATACTCTATTTTCGTTCCTGCTGCCCTTGCCGAAGGGCGAGTCAATTCCCTTGGGCTCCTCGGACTTCTTTGCATCCTTTGGTGGCGCAGCCTTCTTCTCCTCCTTTGGAGGAGCAGTCTTCTCTTCTTTCTGGGGAGGCGGCGAAGGCTCGTCCTTCTTAGGTTCCTCTTTTTTAGGCTCCTTCTCCTTGGACTCCTCTGGTTGTGAGCTGGTAGGTTGATCTTTTGAGGCAGGTTCTTTTGGCTCCTCTTTGGCCTCTTTAGGTCCCGAGTCACCACCAGCACCGGTCTCCATTTTCGCAATCTCTTGACCCACGGTGACGGTATCGCCTTCGTTGACCAGCAGCTCCGTTATCTTACCGGCAGAAGGCGCATTGACAGAAACGTCAATCTTGTCTGTTTCAATGGAAGCAACTTCTTCATCCTGGTCCACAGAATCGCCAACCTGTTTTGAGAAAGTGCTTAAGGTACCTTCTGAGATAGATTCGGCCATCTGGGGAACCTTGATAACAACTTCCTCATATTGAGCCGGAGAAGTGCTAAATTGCTGGTAGCGAGAAAGGCTGGCATGCGTAGGGAGAGCAACAGGTCGCGGGCTATACAGCCGCGGCTGAAGGTAGGTGGATTGGGGTTTGAGGGCACTGAAGCAGCGAGCTTGTAGCGAACGGCTCACCTTGGGCATGGCAAGGCCGGAGCCCAGCGCTGGTGTCCGTCGTAGTCGAAGGGAAGCCATATTGCGGGATTGTCGTCGTCCGGCTCGTCACAGGAAGAGGAAAACAAGACCTATCGGTGCTCCAATGAGCGAGGAGCTTTATAAAAGCGGCATGCGAGGCGGAACAGCCGCCAGATGTAAAGCGCAACAAAGAAGATGGCCAAGGAGACCTTGGTTTTTGAGGATATACTGTAGAAGAGTAATCTGATGTAAAGAATGCAAATAGAATGATTCAACCTCAGCCAGGAAAAGCTTCTGGGAGAGCTCTGGCATCGGATCCTGGCAGCAGCCACTGCTTGGAAGAAAGTCGCGCAGCTGGAGTACCCGTAACGCTTCCGACCTCCCGAATGGGGGGGCGTCATTGGGCTCTCCTGGCCCTTCAACTACGGATGCGAGAGCTCCAGTTCCGCCAAGCCCAAACTGCACCTCAAGTTCCAATCCACGTTCTGCCATTACACATTTGATGAGAGCAGCTTTCAGAGGCGACATCAGCTCCAACAATACGATCCGACACGGGAGAACAACGAGCAGCAGAGTGTCTGGGAGATCTTGGGCTCTTTGACGAGGAGGAATTTGATCCGACCTGGTTGCGCCGTTGAGCGCCAGTATCATCGAAACAATGTCGACCATCAGTCCTCACGTCAAGGCCGTCCGGTAACGACAAGACCTAGGTTCCTAGTTGACCGCACTGCCAGCTAACAGTTGTGTTGCAGGTCGCTTTATCGACGCTCATTGAAGCTCGCTCTTGACTGGGCTGTGCAGAGAAACCTTTGGCGAGGACAAGCAGTCTACATCCGATCCCTTTTCGATGCGAACAAGAATGTAACAGAACCAAGACGTCAAAGAGTAGGGAATCATCAAACAATCAACTGACGGAAAGGAAAAGTCTCTAACATACCACAATCGCAGATTCTATTTAACGAGACGGAGAAGTTATTACAGAAATGGAAACATCCAGACCCATACAGACCACCAACAGCTCCTGGCGGTATGTACCATCATAGCACGATCGCGGCACCACAGACTGATAGTTCCTTTCAGGTTCGAAATACGAGAGAAACTTGCCAGCACCAGACTTACCGCCACCTTCAAGAGAGTTTGTCAAGAGATTATGATTGTCAGGAACATGCTTTGAGGGTTGCACTGTATATATTATTCCAGTCTTTAGCTGGTACCGCTATTGCGCACTAGGCAGGAATGAAGAAAAGGCTTGCCTGACAACCTTATTCCCAATGCTCGCGCTCTCGCTCCGGCTTGATCGCTCCCTGCTCTCTACCTTTCCAGACGGCGACGAGCAACTTTGATTACATGATTTCTGTTTCTTTACAATTCTGTTGGACATTCGACGTTGACCAGAGTGATGGCAGAATTTCATTTGTCTGCGTGGCCGCGGTCGCTTACATCATTGTTAGAGGTCTACCAAAACACAGCTTCCATTGGGACGCGTCAAAAACCACCACTAAGCCATTGTTTTGAGAACTCGACGCGAGGAAATGATCAAACAGGAAAGTTGAAATAGAAACAGGAGACCAAATTTTTAGGATTTCATGATTTGCTTTGTCTTGGATCATTAAAATTGATGTCTGTCTGATCCCATTCATTGCGCAAAGCTCTCAATGCCTTGCCATCTCGCATGCCTCATGCCCCTGTTGCATGCCCTATCATGTTCATGATGATACTGAGCATGGATGGACATAATGTACAACCCTATCCGTAAAAGCAGATTCTGAAAAGCCCATTTGACCAGGCCAACCCAACCCCAAACCCCGTGTGTGATCACATTTGTCATGAAACTCCATTGCAAACCAAGCCAGAAACAATTGTTAAAGCTTACAGCTCTTGGCTGGGGTTCTTGCCCTTTGCGGTCTTCTTTGGCAGCAGGTCTGAGTGGATGGTCAATATGTGATGAAGCAGGACATGGAAAGAATAAAACGTACTTTGGTGGATGTTGGGCAGAACACCACCCTGGGCGATTGTGACGTGACCAAGCAACTTGTTCAATTCCTCATCGTTGCGGATGGCGAGTTGGAGATGACGGGGGATAATACGGGTCTTCTTGTTGTCACGAGCGGCGTTGCCAGCAAGTTCCAAGATTTCGGCAGCCAAGTACTCGAGAACGGCGGCGAGGTACACAGGGGCACCAGCACCGACACGCTGAGCGTAGTTGCCCTTTCTCAAGAGACGGTGGACACGACCGACAGGGAAGGCAAGACCGGCCTTGGAGCTTCGGCTGTAGGGACAAGTCAGTATGAGTAAAACCAAAAGCGCAAGACAGAAGAGCATGCGCCACGTCTGAGCAAAGACTTACGATTGAGCGTTCTTGGAGCCAGAGGCCTTGCCGCCAGATTTTCCGCCAGTCATTTTGATGGTGTTGTGGTGGTGGTTGGGTTTGGGGATTTGAAAAGGTTGGAAGGTTTGAGTCTGAAAGACGTGAGATGCGAGATGGAAGCTGTTAGTTGAAGATGGATGAAGAAGGGAGAAAAGAAGAAGTGGTGATGAAGGTGGGAAGGGAAGACAAGTTATATGGGAAGAGCGTGGGCGGCGATGCGGGCTGCGGGCGTGGAAAGTCGCGCCTCCAGATCAACCTGGGAACGATACCAGGGTTTAGTGTCGGGCGGCGGATCAACGTGACTGGCAGGAAGGTGGTTTGGATCAGATGTCAGCGCCATCACAGCCAATCACATGCTCCCAATGGGATTGATCAAAAATGACTTTTCTGTTGTGTTTTACAATACGGCGCTAAATTACAGAGTGTGACGGTAAATTCCCGCCAAGTTGCTTGATCCTGCAATTTGACTGGTTCAAAAATCATCAAAATCGACACGATAACAATACACACATTAATCCCGCAATCTCGTTACCTGGGATCAACCCGTCAACGCTGCGCTGCCAGCTGCTCGCACTTCGCATCAACCCGCCATCTCCTCCTGCTCTCGCGCCTGGTATAAGAGTCACCCTCACCCACTCTTCGTACTTTCCTCTTCCTTTCCTTCATCCATCCCACACAACTACCACTCACATACTTCATCCATCAATCACTTTCATCTCACTCAATCATCCACTTCGCTTTTTTGCGCAATCACCCAATTCATCAAAAATGCCTCCCAAAGCTGCTGAGAAGAAGCCCACCACTGGCGGCAAGGCCCCAGCTGGAAAGGCTCCCGCTGCCGAGAAGAAGGAAGCTGGCAAGAAGACCGCGGCCGCTCCTTCCGGTGACAAGAAGAAGCGAGGAAAGACGCGAAAGGAGACCTACTCTTCATACATCTACAAGGGTGAGTTTTGATGAATTCACGCGTCGCAATCGCATTTTGCATGCAACTTATACTGACGCGTCAACTTCATCACAGTCCTCAAGCAAGTCCACCCTGACACCGGTATCTCCAACCGTGCCATGTCCATCTTGAACTCCTTCGTCAACGGTAAGCTTTGACAAGTCGCCTGCGCACTTCAGAATCGCAGTCTAACGTTTTTGGTCTAGACATCTTCGAGCGTGTTGCCACTGAGGCCTCCAAGCTTGCTGCCTACAACAAGAAGTCCACCATCTCATCCCGAGAGATCCAGACCTCTGTCAGACTCATCCTGCCTGGTGAACTCGCCAAGCACGCCGTCTCGGAAGGCACCAAGGCCGTCACCAAGTACTCCTCCCAGAGCAAGTAAATCAGTTGAAATAGTCGCATGGGGATGCTTTGGGTGTCTTGGGTTTTCTTATTACTTGTTTTTTGCAATGGGGTTGTGGCAAATGGAACTACGGTGTTGAATGGTTTTTAACAACACATTATGATGCGTCATGGGATTCGGGGAACAACCGTGATGAGCTCGGGTCAGGCTTGTGAATTGCTTGCTCATCAAGATCAAACATCATGCTTTTACGGGTTTTCACACAAGATGGCTTTTTTGCAATTCTTCTCTCTTTTCGAACAGAAAGAGGTTGCAATCAAGAAGGTGTACAATATTGATCAAGAAGCCAGCAGACAGAGCATGAGAATATCAGATGTTCAGCTTGGACATGGGCTGAAATATGAGATACTGAAACAAACAAATTCAAAGCACGAATTCGGTTTATTTTTCCTTTTCGTATCGACCAAAGTAGATTGTTGTTTACATTGCCAGTATCTCGCTAGCATTGAGTTGGGCAATGGGGGCCATTGTTTTGGTACGCGTCCACGGTCAAATTCACGCTAGGTGCACGTGAATCGAGGAATGTTATGGCCATTATTTCAGGCGACACCACAGACCATCGCGTTCGGCCTAACAACTTGAGACTGGCATCTCTAGAGATCATAGAGAAAGAGTGGTTGGGAAGGCGGGCCAGAAAGACTACAGAAATGTCCCAACTCGGTGAAGATCAAGTACGGAGTACGAGAGGAAGGTATTTTGGTATCAAGTAAAACAAACACACAAACGTATCGTGGTAGTATAGAATATTCTCATTCCCAAAAGCAGTGACCAAGTGAGTCATCCAGAACGCCTCAAGCATTACATGTCATTTGCATTTCATTCCGTTCCAAGTCATAGTCCATCGTCTCAGGAGGCCTGCCGGGGCGCCTCTTCGTTTCTCACAGTGTGCAAATCTACCTTGACACCATCATCTTCGGCATCTTGCGCCGCACCGCCAGCATGGACATCGTGGGGTTCCGGTTCAATGTCCTTTCCCGTCACCGTCACAGTCCCGTCGTCATCTCCGTCACAATCCTCGTCTTCATCGTCATCAAAAGTCTCGACTTCATCGACGGCCTCTTTGCGCTCCTTCGTCTCACCGGGCACGGGCGGCTCCTTGTCAAAGACACTGACGATAGCCTTTCCCCTGACTTCTTTGAGTCTACGCTTCCAATCAATCCAGTCTGCCTCATCCTTGATGAGGAACCCGATCAGCATGCTAGGGTCCATCTCGGAAATTCTCAACCCGCGTAATCTCCGCGTGTGGCACGTAGCTATCTCCTCGTCTGTGTACTCAGCTGCGTTGTCGTGATAAGCTAGTGCTGGTCTCGTCTCGTGCGGATCAAGATAGAGAAACATGTCGCCCTGGCATCCTATGAAGTAATGGCTGCTTGAAGGCCGACCGCCGGCGATCCCGATCGATTGAGGATACGTCAGTGCGCTTTTCAAAGCCTCGTGGTAGACTGGAGTGATCCTGTCGAGGCCTAGTCGTATACCCAGCAGTATAAGTGTAGGTTTGATGGTTGGGTCCATCGAGCTGGCGGCTGCGATCGACCGGAATCGGTCTTCGTATACTTCAGATGCGGAAGGAGTGACGTAGACTCGCAGACCTGCAGCGGCACATTCCGCGCTGAGCTCCCTGATGCAGGAGGCTGTAGCAGACGGTCCGAACCATTGGCCTGGATGAGTGCCACAGGATGATGCACCGTGTTGAACGAAGCGGTGAATGGAGAACGGCGCTGAGGGAGAATCGGCAAAAAGAGCTATAATCGACGCTTCGGTTGATGAAGGACAAGCGGACCGCCGCCAGTCTCGACCAAGTTGAAGCGTCAGTAAAGCGTTAGCAAGCAGAGATTGACCGGATCGAATCATGCAGCCCCAGCCAGTGTCGCTGGTGAATCCTTCTCGCTCAGTAAGGTTGCGAAGGCGCACAGAGAACGAGAGACCGGAGTTCGACGACGGCTCTTGAGAGCGAGGGATGGGTAAGAAGTTGGATCGATAGGTCATCCATATCCGTGATTCAAAATCATCTAGGAATGCGTGCGGCCACCCGCCGTCGGCTGGGTCGTTCGAGAGCGACGGGAGATTGGCATTTGTGACATGTTGGACGTCATCCAATGTGCTTGTACTCTGAGATATATATTGAGGTTGCTGGGAATGGTTTTGAATGTCTGCGGTGGTAGATGAACCACTTGTGTCTGAAGGGTCGTGGGATTCGGTTGACGACTCCACTTCTACTACGTCGTCGTGATCCGTCGTTGTCACAGGCTTCGGCGGTGTCGGCTTGTATTCTTTGCCCAGTAGCCAGATCGACGTCCCTGACATGTCATCATATTTGGGGGGAGGATCGTAAAAGTAGCGCACGAAGCGCTTGTAGTCAACTCCATTCATGACGCCCTGAATAGGGAGGGTCTGAAAGGTGGTCGACAATGCATGCAGCAGGTCAAGAGCTGTGACCGACGAAGTCTCTGAGGTGATACCTCCCTGTTGTGAAGATGGGTATGGTTCTCTTCTAAGTAGTAACCACTTCTCGGGCGTTTGATGGCGTGAATTGGTGGTCCTTGAATGTTCGGAGGTGAAGCGGTAGGCAAACAGAGCTCGGAGGGTTTCCAGCGTGTGAGAGGTGTGTGGGTAGATATTCGGAGTCGATCGATCCAGAAGGAATGTCTCGCTTCAGTGTTTTGAATCAAAGTGTCTCTATCAAGTCTGTCTTGTCTGGTTGCTGGAGATGTTGAGGATCATTCGGGTTGTAGGCATCACGTCCGCAGTCTGCAGATCCAGGGTGCCGAAGGGCGAGGCGGCACGTCAGACTCGCCTGCCAGCCTTGTCCTCAGCCTCGTCCTTACATAAGCGCCTGCCCTCAAATCCATCATTGGAGAGTTAATCCACTAAATGTGGTTCATTGAAGTGTATGAGACATGTATCTGTTATGACTCCATAGTCAGTTCTGAATTTCACTCATTTTCAGTGGCAATTCAATCTTCGGTCCCTATTTCGTACAGCCGTACATCTTATTGTATCTCTAGCTGTCTCCTCTCGATGTTATCGCACTTTGGCCACCATCTCGACGTTCGTTCAAATCACGAATTCGTGTCCAGAGGGGCAATCATTCTTTGAACAGTTCACCCCGCCATGGGAGCGCGACAGCGAGCCCAAGCGCGAATAAACAAGGGGAATTCTGCTAGAAGCTCTAAGAGGTCTCAGACGCAGCCAAATTCTTTTCTTCATTGTATGTCTGGTTCGATGCAACGGCGCTGATTGTCGTCTCACTAACTGGTGTGGCAGTCACGGAGTCAAACCCTCATAACCGACATCAGGCTTTGCTCGGAGGCTGGCAAGATTTCTCTGAATCTTCGTCGCCTCATCCCAGAAATGGCCATTTTAGTATGAGCGAGGAGGCTCGAAATACAGAGAGACATACAGCGACATGGGGCCCTTCGAGGTTACGGGATCGCGCAGTTGCCTTTGTGAGCGCAGGCACTCTGGTTCGCGAGGAGCCTCCTGTGAATGCAAAAGAGACCACATCTGAAGAACCGGAGCAGTCTGCCGGGGACGATGGTAACACGCTGTCAGACGCAAAAGATAAAGCTGTCGAACAGGATCAAATCACAATTGCGACTATCCAGCAACCCGTAGAGAAAGCGGCACCTGTCACCACCGCAGAACCTTCTATCATCAACAAGACCGAACCCAGAAGATGCTCCGTTTCATCAGTATCCTCCGATGAGATCATCTTTACTGGTCGTCAGAACAACTCTCGACCACGTCCCGCGAAAGTCGACAACTCCAGCTCTCCGCAAATTCCCTCGCCCCCGACTACCTCAACGATACCTGACCCTCACCATCCTACCGCCGATTTTAGCAACGGTGATCGACCGCAAAAAGACCCCACGCCTCTGCCACATACCGTTCGATCTATTCCATTGCGGAAGAGGAATGTTGATCGCCGAGGAAGGCCGCTGATATTTTCGAGCAGGAGGGAGGAAGAGGAAGCCATCATGAATGACTACATCGCCAATCTGGCGTTTGATGATGACAGTGATGAAGAAGAAGATACGGAACAGACTACTGCAAAGCCTTCCAGACGAAATGAGCACTTCAGATTTCATGACAACGCTGCAGAATCACACGTCAAGGTCCAAACGAAATCTGCAACCAGACGTGAACGCCCCAAAAGTGCCCCTGCTCAGGCTATCGATTGGGACTCTGCTGATTTGGAGGACTTCGACGACCTAAGCACTACCGACGAGGAAGTTGTCGAAGTAACTCAAGTTCTCCGGCATCGTGAACGTCCCAGTGGTCCACAGTATCTTGTGACTTTGCCCGGTCGAGGTGCGAGTGAGGCGCGTTGGATTTTGGACAGCAAATTGACTTCTAGGTCTGCACGCGACGAAATCAGCATTTTCAACGACATCCAAGCCATCCAATTCGAGAACACTAGTGATGATCTAGAGCATGATGATTCTGACAGTGATGATGATGACGATGACTTTCGCGGTGATGTGGATGATGACCACGAATCTGAAGTGGAGGAAAATGAACGTACCATGGAACGAGTGGCACGGATGACCGATGAACAAATAGCCCGCGCCTTTGCAAAGCAAGCCGAGGTAGGAATTGGCGGTGACGAACTATTGTTGTTCGATGGCCAAGTGGATGACGAAGAGGATGACAGAGACATTGATGAATTTGTTGCAAACAACGATTTCATTAACTTCTCTTCAAAAAAGCACCTCTCAAGCCGTGGCAAGTCGAAAAGAAATCGAAGACAACGCGATACGTTTCCACCGGCGGAAGCATTCGCTGATGCTCTGGAGCAGGACCCCTATGGAGCATTCGACATCATGGACTTTGATAGACCGAGTCTACGACCCAAGAACAAGGGACGGAAGTCGGGCCCATTTGAATGGGGCCTGGAAGACGAAGAACTTGCCCAGCACCTCCACAACACCTGGAGTAAAGACAGGGAGAAGAAAGCTGCTAGGAAGCGCGAAAGACGCGAGGCTCAAGAAGACGCGCTTCTTGAGGCTGCCGAACGAAACAGTCCTGCTATGATCAAAGCGGAGATCAGACGATTCTTGGTCCAGGAGATTGACGTCCTCGAATTGGCTCCAATGGATTCGAGTCTACGGTCAGGCATCCATCGGCTCGCAAAGGCTCTGAAGTTGAAGTCGCACTCGGAGGGCAAGGAAGGCTGTGGTCGTGGACGATATCCTGTTCTGACCAAAGGACCACACACTCCCCACTTCACCATTGACACTATTTGGCAAATCGACAACCTGATAGAGCAGAGGAAGTTTTTCCCAAGACAAAAGGGCGGTTTCGGTGGAACGAATACTCCTCGTGCTCGCATTACTGGGGGAGGTCGTAGGGGTGGTGGTGGCGGCGGGGCGATGTCTGGGGCGACGTACATGAATGGTGAGGTCGTCGGTGCATCCGCTCCTGAGCTTGGTGCAGACAACAAGGGTCGTGCGATGTTGGAGAAGATGGGCTGGACCAGTGGGATGGGCATAGGCGCTGTTGGCAACAAGGGTGGTCTCGAGGCCATCAAACATGTCGTGAAAACGAACAAGGCCGGCTTGGGTTAATCTGTGATGACGACTTCACGCTGTCTGGGCCTTAGCGGCTTCTGACGATCGTACTGTGATGAGCGTGTTTTAGATATGATTGTGAGCCTTGGATTGGATGGCAGCCCTGGGATATCCATTTTCCTTGTATGGCGGTCAGTAATGGTGTTTGCACAATGAGCTCACACCTACGCAGTACGGTGAGTTAGAGTAGAATAGATCTAGACTAGGTCAATGGTGTGAATGCTTCTATCTATTTTATGTATTTGCGCACCAAGTAACGTCTTTCCTTCATTGTAATCTTATTGTTGGTGCTGTCTAGGATTGTGCTCGATGACTGCCAGATTTGGATAAAAATATTCGGAGTTGAAAGCCACACGCACCAACAACCATCACAATAGTCAGTCACGACATGATAATCAGCGATGACCGACACAATATTGCAACCATGACCTCCACAAACACGAAAAGACAATATGCAAGGCCCAATTCAAATGGGTGTCCCATTAGATCAAAACGGAAGGCGAAAGCGGGTGCGCCTCGATTGCCATTAGGTTTGTATTGGCTCTTTCTGCTGGGCCAAGTGAATGATTGGAACTCGAACACAGTACACAGGCTCGCTTCACCAGACTATCCCGCAACCCAAGAGATGTACCTTGCTAGTTGATGCCGCACAAGCGATGTTTCAGCAAGGTGAGAGCGTTGGTCCCGCCCCATGCAATATTGTCCGCACGTGTCATGCAGTACAAGATGGATGCCCAGGTCTTGACTGCATAAGCGATCAAGTAAAAGCCCCGGTATACCAAGGTTATGCCGACGTATGCCTCACCTGAGATACTCAGAAGGGTACTGCTCACTTCGACATTTCGTGGTGGACTGCCCAAAGGTACGACGACCGCGCCACACCAGAGCCTGGCGACTTTCGGCCAGGGGTCAATTTGACTGACTCGATCTCCAGTCCGCATCGGTCACGATGAAGAGTCCTACCAGGGACAGAAAACCGCAAGATGCCTACTTGGAACGCGCTTCGCATACCCGAATTCAAGCATGTACAAATTGTAAACCTCTTATCTGACCATATCAAGGACCACACTCATAGGCAAGGTCTCCATCCCAGCAAGATCTACGCTCGGAACACACAATGAGAGACAGGGACATACGTCGAAGGCGACAAGCAAATCCTCGAGAGAGTACTCAATCCATCACACTACACACCTTCAACAAGTCACTCCACGTGGGTACTGAATTTCACGGTTAAGGTCCGGCGAGACTTTGACTGGGGCCTTGCATCTATCGCAAGCTTCTGCGGCCACCGTTTCAGACGCCAGATGGTTTCCTCCTTTGCAGCATGGAAAATTAAAGGACAAATCAGGCCGCTACCCAAACACTTGAAAACCAGTCCACATCAATTTTACAAGTATCGGCTCAAATCCTTAGATAGGCCTTGTTCGGCACTGATGAGACGCAACATCATGGTTATTCCTTGTCAACCACATGGTGGTGCGACAATTCACCTGGGCTGGAAAAATGCTCATTCGATCGCATAGCCATTAGCGAGATCGATCTTTCGGGACGATGAACCCGGGACACGATATGCTGCTTGCATTTCGCCTTTGCCCAGGGGAAAGAGTCGAATGGCTCTCTACCCATGGAAAACTCGCCAAATATATAAATGCTACTCATTCTCCTAGACATGGTAGGGTTGCTTCTTCAAGATTGCTCACAGTCATTCTTTTAACTCGTTGATCAAGGTCCATTCGTTTCAGTCGTCCGCATCTTGTTCTTAGCCGGCCTAGCCATCACTCTCATCTACTACAGTACTTCATCCCAACCGTCGAGACTCGTCGAAATATGTACAAGCAATTCGGATTGATATTCCTCATCTCGGCCGCTTTGGCCTGCCCCGATTCGAGCACCCTTGCTGCTCAAGGTCCATGGGAACAATGTGAGTGCCCAAATTAGCTACACATCGACGGCCAGCTAACTCTTGGCAGGTGGCGGTATCAATTGGACGGGCGGCACGACCTGCCAGTCAGGCTGGAGCTGTGTTGAGCAAAACCCCTACTATTCTCAATGCCTGGAAAGCAACAATCTCCCTCCCAGCGTGAGCGGTTCCGCGCCAGCCGCTACAACTTCAAACCCTGCACCGGTCTCAAGCGCAGCGCCAAACACGAGCAGCACAAAGACCAGCTCTAGCCCTCCTGTCAAGTCCACCAGCCCTGCCACAGGTGGTGCCCTCACATACAAGGCTTCGATGACGCACTACGGCGCTGGTGATAGTTTTGGTTCTCCCAATTGTAACACCAATACTGCTGCTTGCGGCTGGTACACATATCCTGGCTTTAGTGCTGCTGTGAGTCAAAATGTTTTCGGGGTTGGCCCCGGTGCTGGAGCTGGTCCAGCCTGTGGTACTTGCTGGAAGCTTGTCGGCGAGACCGACTCATCTGGCAACAAGCTGAGCAACGCTGGCACCAGCATTGTCGTTATGGTCAACAATCTGTGCCCGGCTGACGGCAACCCTCTCTGCGCACAGAATGGGCTGTCTGGTACTAACCAATACGGTGCAAATGTCAACTTTGATCTCTGCAGCGACAGTGGTGCTCAAGAGGCATTCTTTGGCGACAGCGGAGTTGGTCTTGCCATCGGCTCTGCCACGCAAGTTGACTGTTCGGAATGGTCTGGCACTGTCGTCCATTAGAGCGCGAGTCCGAAGTTAAGGGTCTAGATGTTGGTTATTTTATATTTCATTGGACCAGTCTGTCCTGACTAGCTGGGCTTAGAACCCTGGCTGGTATTTGTTCGAATGGGGCCCGATCGAAGGAAGCCAGACCTTTGCTCCTTTTTTCCTGGTGTTGTAGCTTGGTTGTTTCCGGAGCGTGCAATATGCTAAAATATATTCATTCTTTCTCACTGTGATGTTGAGTAACTCGGTGCTAGAATATAAGTATCAACCATGACTACCTACCTACATAGTACCAGCCCCCAGTGGAGTATTTCCCAGGATGAAGATGAATTCGCATACTCCGTACTTGGTGGATAAACCGTTAAATACTGTACTACTGGCTATTTGTTTATGTAGTTAAGGTAACTAGGTATTTTTAATTAAAGGTGGTGCCTAGACAATTAGCGGACCAGCTAAAATTTAAGCATACTCTTAGAGGCTCGCTAAATATAAACACTTTGCTGCGTATGATGAATATTCTTCGATTCAAACCATTTCCTGATCAGAAACATAATCGTTGAACCCATGATGGATTTACGTAGTTATACTCCTCGTATTTCAAGTCTTCGATAGAATCCAAGTCAAGCTGTGCTGAATTGCTCTTGCTTGCTCCGCTTTTCCCCTGGCCACGTTGAACTCCCCTGATCGACTATGGCGGAAGTTTAACTGCGCCTCGTTTGCCAACGTAATGGCTCCCGTACTTGGTCGCGTATAGTATAGTTTGTGCCCACCTAAAAACTGGCTTTGGCGAAGTCCTTATGAAGTCTCTACCGCCCGAACGGTATTCGACAAAAGTCAAGTGAAATTTATGCCGTCAATATACAGTTGCTCGGGATGGAAACGTAGATCACCTCTCCTAACGTCAATCGAAGTTGGCCCGAAAGAGAAAGGCCTCTCCATGGTCATTTTGCCTTGGAGCTCAACCAATCGTCAAAGGGTCATTTCATGAAATCCATCCGCCAAGGCTACAGGCATTCTACGAGGAAGAACCAGCACATTTTCGCTACCAATCGGGACGTATTCACTCTGCCTGTCGATGAGCCGGGAGTGTAACACGTTTGAACGATTTGCAAATGTACGAGCTTCGCCCTCTCATTTTCTGGAAATACACAACCTTGCCCTAGGTCAATGGTGGTAACCGAGGGACGCAATGGTTCATGTACTCAGATTGAGAGTCAAGCTGCTCGTCATCTTGGCCCTGACGGTGACCAACATGATCTTGCTTGCCATTGTCAAGCCAAAGCAGGACCCATACGATCTCGTATCATTCATCAAAGCATCGGTGGGTTGGTCTGCCAGGTACCCTCCTGATGAGGACACACACACACCTGCCTGGGACAAGATTGTCGTCACTCCTGCCCGTGACGTCGACGATATTTCCTGGCTGGCAGAAGATCTCCCTGGGTAAGTCCTTTTCCCGCCCGCAGCAGTCGAGTCCGTTCGCGACCAGGTATTGATTTCCAACAACGACGACAGCTGGCAGCATGCGGTATATTACGTCGACCGGTCGAGTGCCGTGGCGAGGAATGACTCCTTACAGACGCCAATCAACAAGGGCAACGAAGCGATGGCATATTTGACCTACATCATCGACCACTACCACCGTCACATCCCATCGATCGTGGTGTTTCTTCATTCTCATCGCAACGGCTTCTGGAAAGCGTGGCACGTCGACGATCCACTACACAACAATGCCAACACCCTGCGGCACCTGCAACTCGACCACGTCAGACGACAAGGCTACGTCAACCTCCGCTGCAACTGGAACCCGGGGTGTACGGAGGTTTTGGAACCAAACCCTCATCTGACGAACCGGACCTGGGACGAAATCTTTGCAAACACCACCACCCCCTTTTTCGAATCTAGCCCCGGGAAACCTGCGGCTTCAAGCCAAATGACCGCGGACCACGGAGACGTCTTTTCGAGGAGGGTCTGGACGTCTTGCTGCGCTCAGTTCGCAGTGTCGCGAGAGCAGATATATCTCCGACCACTGCAGGATTATGTCAACATCCGGCAGTGGTTGCTTGAAACGGACCTCGAGGATTGTTTGAGTGGGAGGATCATGGAGTACTTGTGGCACGTCATTTTTGGCCAAGAAGCTATACAGTGAGTGAAGCAATCCAAAGTCCCTGACTGGTCGTATCGATTAGCAATGCTGACTTTGGATGATTTTTACTAGTTGTCCTGATCCAACTTCATGTTATTGTGATGTCTATGGCCGTTGTTAAATGTCAAAAACCTGTTTTTGGAGGATGCCTCAGAGGATCCAATGATCCCGAATGCGAGTCTCCTAACTAATAATAATCCGACAATTTGCCGCATTTTCGACGTTTGCATCCTCGAATGACATTTCTGTATAAACAGAATCAATGTCACGCCAGGGACATCAGCACTTTTGAGTGAAAAATAACACCGATAATTCCTGCTATGATTTTGACAACCTCTTGCCCGATCTTGTCACAAGGATTGTGACGATGTGAAACAATTGTTATCCAGCTCCCAACTTGTCTATCGACTTTTGATCGATTTGTATACAAGCAATGCCTACGAAATCTGGCATTCTTCATCTCCCTATCGACGAGTCAGTGACTTTAAATCCGACAAACTTTTTCTTTTCTTCGACACGGTGAGGACAAGCATACGCAATGGCAAGTCTTGGATCTCTCTGAGAGGCTGTCGCCTTCTTACCGAGAAGATGGTTTGGACGCCGAGTTTTTGGAAAAGGTCAACATCCTTTTGCGGGCCAATCCAAGTTTTGAACCGGCCTGGATCTCGACCAAGACAGGAGGAGGGCTATTCAGCTTGTTGAACTCAAACCTGCGTGTCATTGATTGTTCAACGCATGGCAACGAAATTTGTCAATTCAATTCACCTTTGCTCAGTTTCGGTGCAAGCCATCTTCATTTTCAGGCTGGATCCCCTTGTTCCTCCCAGGACATCACGGTCAAGCCGGTGGAAATCAGAAATCCGGCCCAAAGCTTTGTGAAAGACAGCGTCGAATATCTTTGGACGTCCTCGAGACCAACTACTGGAAGGGCTGTCCCTGTACAAGGCGGTCTCGGGGAAAAGGTCTGAAATCGCCAGGTATGCTAGCATGAGTGGAAGATTCGAGGGCGGCGGCGTATTGGCGGTCGAATCAAGAGAGATTGATCCTTTGATTGCGGCATTGACGTTGCTGAGCGTTCTTGGACAAAAGGATGCGTTTTGTGCTGGATTTGATGGGGAAGTTCTTTGGATGATCAGTCGATTAAATTATTTACAGGATCGAGGACACCAAAAAAAGACGTTCAGACGTCTCAGACGATCAATAGTAGTTTTGAAGGAGGTAGTAACAAGGTTACTAGTAACAAGGAACCAATCAAGAAAACTTATTCTTCGACTCTATTATAGATAGACAGGTGTAGTACATTCAGTCTTTGAACAGTGACACTATTACCAGTCTCAGATGAAACCAAGTTTCTGGTCGTAGTATTTGTTTGATCTGAACAAATAGTCCAACACAACCCCAAATCGACCTGCTAGAGTAGTAACTAGTTTTATGGTCATATATATAATATGCTAATCTTGCTCCATACTCATTTTGTGAAAAGAAAAGACTCTTATTATAATAAAGTTGGAGTTCGTGAGCTCTGTTATTATATAATGCCTTTAAAAAGTCACAAAAGCGCGCCTGTCAGATTACGCTCTTTGGTTTAGTCTCTCTGCTTCCCTCCCGCGAATCGACACATCGAATAGTTTTTGCTGCAGACTACATTACAAGCCACATGAAAAAAAGCAACCGAGATCTTATATTTGTTTCTCGCATCACCGCTGGAATTGAGCCATTCCTTCTACCCTTTCTTGAACTGTTCCTGTAAAGTTTCCGCCTTTGATCCTTACATTCTCATTATGACCGGCCTTTTTCTTTCCGACCGCGATCAAGAGTACTTGTCTTACTTGATCAGCACTGATCGCTGCCGGGTTCGACGACGACGACGACGACGACGACGATGACGACAACCTCCAAGCGACATGGTCATCCGGCCTGATCAAAACGGCGTCACGCTGTTCCCAAACTTTTCGGACATGTGGTTCGTCTGGCAAAGAAACCACCTTCATCGGTATCTTCATTTCCTTCGCGACTCTCTCAAAAACTCGAGCGTGTAGGGCGTCCGATGTAAAATCGACAATTGTGTATTCCTGACCCGTCCCAAACAGATCAAAAACACTCGTGTTCCCGTCGGAGTCCGAGTCTTTCAGAAACACGTGTGGAGCTCTGGCTCCCGGCCAAGTCGAAGGAATATAGTCCCTCTCATTCCACTCTGGTTCTTCGCTGTCGGTGTCCTCCACGACGACAGGAGAACCATTGTACCGATAACCCAACTCGATACCGTGGTCCTTGTTTTCTCCGTCGAGTGTGGTCACTCGTTCAGCAATCTTCCTTCGAACTTCGTCACCCTCGGGAGTTTTGGACACGACGGCGTTTCCTGTCTGCTCGACCAAATCTTTGTACCCTGAATGTACTTGCCAATGGACACCCGAACGTTCAATGTTACGTGCAGCCACCGGTCTACGTTCGACCTCGTATGACCGAAGGAGTTCGGGACCTCCATGACCGGCCAACACCGCGGCCAATTTCCAACCAATGTCGAAACTGTCGCCCACGGCGGTGTTCATACCGTAACCTCCCTGGAAAAGGAATATTAGCGAAAACATCTCAAACGTTTGCATTATGCACATGCAAACATCCTAGGAGTAACTGATTTCATTGAAACTCACAGTGGGAATATTTTGATGTGCTGCATCACCTGATAAAAATACTCGGCCTTGTGGTGAAATATACTTGTCCGTGACATAAATGTTTGGCCTCCAAGAACTGGTCACCAAAATCTCATCAATCTCGATCGGATGAGGTCCGATGGAACCACCGAGGACACGATACACTGCCTCCTTTGGATCCATGGACGAAACGTCAAAATCCAACGGTACAGGGGTGTGGGCCGTCCAAGTATCGACCTCATCCTGTGAAATGATGACACCGCCGTGGGTGAAAAAGATGTGCCAGAATTGTCCTTGGCTTTGTATTCGATTCAGATCCTTTGATTTGAAATGAACGAGGAAAAGTTTACCGGGCCTAGACAGAAGAAACGTTAGACGACGTCTCGAAAAGGATCGGGTCAGGGCAGGCCTGGAAGGCATGGGTTTGAACAAACACTGGACCGCCGACCAGTTCAGCTCCGATAGCTTTACGAACTCGACTTCCACCACCGTCACAACCAACGACATATTCCGCCTTTACCAGGTGTTTCTCACCCCTCGTGTCGGTCAACTCGCACTCGACACCTGAGTCGGACTCGACGAGACTTTCGAATGTCATGCCAAAGTATGACTGAATCAGTGGTTGTGCTTGGATTCTAGGTTTGAGCCACGCTTCGAAAATGGCCTGCGAACAACGCTGATATGGTTCCCTGGGCATGGAACCGTCATTTTGTGTTTTGATATGTTCTCGCCACCAATCCGGAGACGGTAGATCCTACACGGTACGTGGAAATTAGTATCGTTTTGATATCAATGCTGACCGCCCTTGACCGGCGGCCGTGCAGGGGTCGGGTCACCCGGTGCTTCGAGGTTGTACAAACAAACGTACCCATTTCGCAATCACCTCGCCTCCCTCACCGAGACCATTGCTAAAATTCACGTCGAAGGAGTAATGTTGAGGTACACCTTTGTTGGAAATGAGTCTCATCGGTCTCGTTCGAACAGAGAGTATTACAATGTTGTTCGGAAGGTCCAAGTGGACTCGACATCACCATTCATTACTCCGTATATTTATTCACTTACCGACTCCTCTCAAGCCTTGGTCCACTCCAAGTCTCTTCAACAATTCCATGCTCCGACAATTCGTGATGTCCATCTTGGGCCATTTTGTCGTGTCGAGATTACGTTCGACGAGCATACATTTGGTGCCGTTGCGAGCGAGTTGGAGCGCCGCAATGAGTCCAGCAGGTCCTCCTCCAACGACCAACACTGGAGTTTCGTGTTTGATGACCTTTGCAGTACATTAGACTGATTCGACTTATACAACACTCACCGATCAGGGGCTGTGTTGGTACCATATTGATCTACTATAGTGTATTTCTGCAAGGATGGAATGTCTCTCCGTCGAGGGTGGTGGTATCGTCAAAGTATCCTTGTGAGAACTAAAAACGGACCATCTCTCAGAGGTTCTTCACGATGTTCGGGCCGAGGTCAATATTGCATGCATCCCAGTCTCTCACAGATTGAGCCATCTCATGCAGATGTTATTGAAGTAACTACTCCGAAGTCTGCTGACGGAAATCTCCCCGGTCAAGGTACCACCTCTGCTGACACTTTCTCTACGAGGTATCGACCGGTACGGAGTAAGCGACCAAGAGTCAGGCATTCCCCCGTGATCCCCGCATTTGCCGTGGCTGTACGGAGTAGTGGGAATTGATAGCAAGTTGCACGTCAAGCCACGGGGATGCCGACAACTCTTCGCATTGAGCACGCGGCCATTCTCGGTAGTGATGCGAATGCCGCGGGGCACTGCATATTCCGTGAACATGTGAACTGATCTTGATGTCAATGGTCTTTGGAAGACTCATGTCGAGTCACTATGTCCACGGCACAAAGGATACTCCGCGTTTGACATATCATGACATGTTCCAACTAGATGTAACCTGAGCCTTCGTGCTGTTTGTTGACAAAGACTATAAGCAGGCGCATATAGATTATTAATATACCAAGGAATAGTATGTATATAGTAGTTCCAAGCGTGTGCTTTGTGTATATCTCGATCAGACAACGAACATACGTGCCTGGAAGACCTGTTATTTTACTGTCATGCATACACAGAGCACCCTAGGCGTATACACACGGCCTAGTTGGTGGGATGTATCAGTGGCTTTCAAGCAGCCACAACAGGTTTAGGTAGTTGCGCTGGTTTGCCTTCCATCACATCTGGTGGCATCGGCATTTCTTTGCCCGCATCCTCGATTCGACCGGTCACAAATGCCAACGGACTATATTGGGATAGATTGGACTCGTCAGAGAAGTCGTTCCAACGGTTTCAATGTAATCGAGGGGTGTGCACGGATCATGACAAAAGACCCGGCAGAGCAAAAGACTGCAAAAGTACAAGGCAAGTAACTTACATGTTTGGTCCCCAGACGTGCAGCGTGTCGGCAGCAGCGGCGTTTCTCGTCATGGGAGTATCCTCATTCACCAGGTCACCGTCGGAGTAATGCTCGACGATATTTCCTGAGCCATCGAACCTGTAAATATTCCCCATGCCGGGAAAGATTAGCATAGGGTTTTCAGACACTAGTACTCGCACTCGTCGTACAGATGGACATGGGAAAAAACGTACCAATAATCAAAAATTTGACTACCGAGAACATGGCGACCTATGCCCCAACAATTCGTCCATCCTTTGCCTCGAAGCCAGTCGTGGCCAAGGGTTTGGGTGTCAAAGTCGTCCACCTCGTAACTGGAATGGTGGACGTGAACAGGTGCCTCTTCGGGACCAGCGGCGAAAAATATACTCTGCGAGCCCAAGGTTGCGTGTTAGCTTTTCACTCTTCCAATCTGACATTTGAGGCAGTGGTCGGGGTCCGGAAAGGGAGCTTTTGTGGAGGGTTTGATCATCCGCATATACATACATGATGATCGGTATATTCAGAGCCGAGATCGACATGCAAAAAACAGGTCTGATCTTTCCCTGTCATTGGATTGAAGACGGCGTCAGTAGCCTTGATGTTCATGAGACTGGTGTACCAATCCCTCAATTCATCGAATTTGCTTGCAGGGACGACGAGTCCGTAATGTCCGAGCTTGTGAACGGGACAGGGACCTTGCTGGAATCTGCGCCAGGCTCCTCGTCTAGGTTTCTCTGCGGCCCCGTTGAACACGGGCTTCGTCTTCTCCAGAGGTGGCGGGCGATCGGCCTTTCTCAGTGTCTGGCCATACACAAAGCCGACCTTGTGGCCATGGGGGTCGTCGACCGTGACACACTTACCCCCACCGGGACCGTCGATGTCCTGAATGGATGAAGCGTTGGGCTTCGACGCGGCCTTCTTCAATTCTTCTTCGCTGTCGACAACCCAAAACCCACCTACAAAATGTCTCTTCGAATCGGGTGACTGTTCGGCGACATAGATGAAAGGTTGTGAGCCATATCCGCGCAAGTAAACTCGGGTATCCGTCCGGTGCTCCTCCACGAACCCAAAGTCGAACAGAAATTGAAGTGCTCGGTCAAGATCTGGATGTTGATAGGCGACGTGGGCGAGTCGGATCACTCTTATTTTGTTCGTCGACATTGTGACTTTTTCCGAGTATGGGGTTCGCTTTTACCTCGTCAATATTGTACTTGGATAGGGCATACGAATGCTCAGTAACCTTGCTCGACAATCCTGGGATCACTTCATATATGTGGTGGTATTTGTGACTGACCTAGACTCCTTAGGGTCGGTCGGACATGCCACGGATTTCCTCAGCCCCGTCAAGCCCCGCAATATTGCTATTGAGTGCTGCGCTGAGAGGCAGGGGCTGGGTAACGCAGTAGGGCATCTGGTTGATGGGTACACTGGTCGGGATCTGGGGTCGGTGAAAGACGGTATACCGTGATAGGTCACGTGTTGAACCCTGCGGGAGTCCGGCTTTTTGACTGCTGGAACCAAGGGCCGGTAATTGCCCAACGAAGTCGGGATAACGAATTAGATCGGCTTTGTAGACTGTCATATGTCCCATGCTCTAGCTGAAAATCGATCACCTTAGCCAGACAAGATCGGTATCCTGGTAATCACCAAAGAATTCTGAGAAACCGAGGTCTATCTCGTTGCTTGCATCGTAAGCATTGGCTGGTAATTGTGGAAAGTTCTGCGGGTCAAACATTGAGGCTTCGTAATTCGGCGTGTCGGTCTGGTTGGTCATGTCGATGGAGGATGAGAAACGTCGCCGCGGTTCGAGTCGTTGTTGCTGGGTTCCAATGTTGCCAGCATAGACTGTCTCATCGCTGACGGTCGACGCTGGCTTGTCTGGTTGGCCATGCTCAGGCTGGAGGAATGCAGGGCTGTTGCCGGCGAGTCGAGGTATGCGGAAGAATATCGCATATCGTTTGACGAATCGCTTTTCCTCGGCATTACTTGGTCCCCCGTGTTCGAGCATGTTCGCGATCACTAGATTTCGGTCAGCGTGGGGAGGTCCAAAGATGTGATGACATGGAGAGTTGACTCACCTAAAACAACAGAGCCAAGTTTCCATCGTTCTCCAAAATGCTCAAGTACCAATTTCGCCAGGTCATGGGTCGACGAGATCAAGGATTGTGATTTGTAGACACTGCCATCTACAGCGTACGGGGGAAGCATCATACATGCCAGAAAAGGGTGCGCCACTACGATATATCTGGTGTCCCAGAGGCTGATTATTCGTGATAAATCAATTGCGCGTTGACGTAGAGGCGACATTGCGCCTGAGATGATCCCTGACGCACTTCGGTCGTCGCTGTCGCTGGTCGTGATCCCGGCAACCATGAAAGATGTTGCCATGAGCATAAGATGAGTGCCAATGACCCAATTGCACCTTGAGAAGGTTAACGGACTGAACGTTAGTGTGTTGATATCCAGCCGGAGTGAAGGAGGAAGTGCCAATTTGAAGCAACAGACTTCATTCTCCAGCGTCAATTTCTCGTCTGGCGTAATGTCTTGTTTTTGTTGCAGTCGATCGTGGATGGTCGCCATAAAACTATTAGCCACCAAGAACCACGCCCTTTCGTCTTGATTTACACTGCCGTGAAGAGACCTCCAAGATTGGCCAGGAAGAAAGTTGAGCTCTGCAGATGGTACGTTGATTTCGGAAAACCAAGCTTCATCAGAGATTGGCAGCGTCACCGACATTCTTTTGCGATCGATGGCGTACGGTTTTCGGGAGACCGTGGAAGCAAAAGTGTCAAGCTCCCATACCAACCACCAGGCTCTTCTGAGTTCCTCCTTTTCTACGTGGTCGATAGAATGTGTTGGTGTCCAATCCTCATCGTCGATCTCAAACAAGCCGAGGTGGTAGGCCATCCGGACGCAGACTCCGATCAGTAGCCATCCCTGGTGAGTTGGCCCAGAGGTGTAGAAGTAGAAGGCAAGGAGAATGCAACCTTGCAGGTACATGAGTGAGGGAGTTTTCAGACTACGACTCTGTACGTAGACATCTTTGGCGCGCTCCGCGAACATTTGTCCTCGCTTCTCGGGTGGGATATTATTAAAGCGGTGATGGGTGGAAAATCTGGCCGACAGGGCAAACATGCTGTAGAACAGCAAACGTTCGTCCTGAGAAAGATCTTTCATGAAATCGCCCGTGACGAGGAGTCTACTCTCATAACGTGCTTGGAATCGTGGCCGGTGTAGAAGTGGGAGCCACGTTTGGATCTTTTCGAAGAAAGAATTGACTAGGTCCACGGCCAGTGATGACGAGACTCCAGTTTCAGCGTCAGAGGTCGTTATTGAGGCTGTCGAGTCTGCTTTTGAGGTATCACGATCTGCCTGGGACAGGTCAATCTCATCAGTCCCGATGCTCTCGTCTTCATTGTCGACGTCATCTCCTTCGGACACAGAAAGCCGTGTTCCAGTAGGCTCGGATGCGACTGCACTTTGCCAACTCTGATGGCCCTCCGAAGCCTTGATCTCGACGAGGAGGTCCTTGAGAGAGTCCTTGAGGAGATTTGAAGATGCCTCACGGGCGTCATTCCCGGCTTCACCTTCACCATCTGCTCGTGAGGCCTGCTCCAGTACTTCCACCAATTTGGACAGGCTGTGACTGATATTTCGGGTCTGGGCTTTCAACTGAGGTTTTCGAGATACCGGCTTCTTCCTCTTCGAGGGAAAGTTGCAGGTATTGCCGGTACGCAGACAAAGACCACATACAGGTCGCCTCATGTCACATTTTGTCTTCTTTCGGTTACACTCCTGGCATGCCCGTCGTGGTTCCAGCTGTGGATTCGTCTCTTCAACGCCAGCCATTGCCGAGGTTATGAGACGCGCGTTATAACATCTTGTACTGACGACGAAGCTGACAAGTGTGAAACGGTGAAGTTTGGCTTACCACGACTAAGCCGGTTTTAACATGGCGCTTGGCAAGTCTGCCGAAGACTTGCGGAGATATCGCGGGGCTACATGATGACTAATTTGGGGGGGGGGGGGGGTTCTTGCAGGGGCATAGAGTACGGGAAATCTCCAGGTGCAATATACAGGCGTATGCCTGTACAGTGGCTCTGAGTTGGTGGGTTGAGTAGGTGGTAAGTTAAACCGCAGTCATATGTACTGTGCAGTATACCTGGGGGACGAAATAATGCGGATCGAAAGTGGAAAATGACTCTTGACTAGGTACGTTACTTCATCGCCGCGTTCTTGTGGTCCATTAGTCAGAACTAACGGGTTACAAGTACTCTCGACTTCGGGTTTGAAGGTCTACGCAGATAGGCAAGAAGGAAGACTGCACGTTGACCATATAATCGGCATAGGTCATTACCTCGGCACCGACAGGTGCGAGGAGCACTTACAGTACATACCGAGTCTTCAGTGCAGAACGGGCGTGCCGAGATCTTTGTAGTGCATTGGGCAGATGGTCTAGCCGAACAAGCGCAAAAGAGAGGTACTGGGCCTCCGTCCAAGCACCCCAAGATTGACAACCTGAGCGACTCCAAGCCCGGGGTAAGATGCCAGTTTGATTCTCTAGCCCCTCAGGGGTTGACAGATCTCGAGGGCGGAAAAGCGTGGGGTTGGAGAAAGCCTCACTATTCCCCAGACTAGTAACGACTTGTGAGCCTCGAGCAAGGAGGGCGTCTCTTACCAGTAACAATAAGCGCCAACTTACACTTTCGGCTCCAAAATTCCCCAATTTGAGGTCAGGGTATCTATTGTGGTACTCGTACAAGGTACCCGAGGGAAGAAGACAAAGCCAAGCGCTGATTGAAGTCCGAACCAGTCTTCTTCTTGGTGAACAGGTTGATTGTCGTGTGTTTGACATGGTCCGAGCTATCTTTCCGAGGCAATAAGGTTCCGACTTCTTGTCGTTTGGCGCAAGGCTAGGGACCGGGATCAGACCTGCGTTGACCTATCCCCACCGCCCATACTCGGTTTCCTACAGTAGATGGCTCATGACTTATCAACGACGGCGTAGGCTGTCCCAAGCCTGGGCACGGGCATAACTTTTGATCACAAGGGGGACGCGACTCCCGGTTGATACGCTTACAGTAGGACGACGTGGTCGACTTCGTAAATCGATTCCCGTTCCGAATGGTTAATTCCAGTGTGACTAATGCACGAGTTGAATATTTTCTCCTCGAGGCAATCTTGCCCGAGTGCATGGTCCTTTTTTTTTTCTCGTCATCAAACAGGTCAACTGTAGCGTCGTACAGTCTTCGGGGTCTTATGCACTAAAAGATGTGCGCACGCGAGGCTGATGCGAGAATAAGGATCAGCCAGCATCCCTGACTGGTCCATGTCAATATGCTCTATAGAACGGCGTGCCGCTTCGTGACTTTCAGTCTCTGGCCTGACGAGATCTTCAGCCCATACTGGGATTATGTGATCGACTGGATAGGCTTGCCTGAAGGGCTGCTGGCAAAAGTTCGTTCACTACGGTGTGTCAGCCTCGACGTGACTTGCTGCATATCGCAAGGGAAGTCAGCGTTGGGTGTCGATTACTTTTTCAGCTGTTAAATCAGGGTGCCCTCGAGTTGGCTGCATGCGGGCTACTCCGCTTACTGCGGCCGTCCAGCCCACGGACCCTGCCTGGGCCTGCACATGGCCTGTGGCGCCTCTGGGATCTCGGTCAAACCAGGTCATTTTTAGCTTTTGATAAGCCTGTTGGGCCTAGTCTCACACGAGCGTCTGGCTTCCCGTTCGGCCAAGCGATTAGAAGAGAAGTTGAGATACCGGGAGACAGAGGCCCCACTACCCTTGCCCGGTCGTCTACTTTCCTCTCTCTTCCCAAGTCGCGCGGGAAAATAAGAAATGTTGTTAGGCATGTTGTGACATCCGAAACTCCTTTAAAGAGACTTTCCCTTCGACCGATCTCTTATTCTCAAGTTCTGAAAGGCAGTACCTTCAGTATGATATATGGAAGGTTGCAAGTAAACCCGCCTTCTGTTGGCGAGGCTCTGCCTCCTTATCTCCAACAGGCGGATGCCAACCCCAGCAACGCTTCTTCGCGACTCAGCGGCCGACTCAGTGTTTCTGAACGCTCAGTTACTCAAAATGCTTTCGACAGCATTCGATTGTGCCTTCGAGGTGAGTGGTATTCACAATGGCTTTGTGAACACTGCCTAAGTATGCGTGATAGGGGTCATAATCTCGTCCGTTGGTGGAAAGAATGCCCTCGAGGACATCATTACCCTGACCGACATCAAATCCGTCTCGGACTTTGAACCAGTCCAGGATGCTGCCAACCAGACTCATCACGTCGAATTCTACTTTGAAGTGCCGACCAATGCGTCTAGCAGCCTGGGCAAATTGCGCGCACTGCCTCTTACGATGACCATTTCAGGCACCACCAGATCATGTCAAAACATGGCGGTGAACGACAATCGCACTATACACGGTGACTGTGAAGTGTCGTATTGGATTGAGGCACAATTTCGCAAAGGTAGCAAGCAAGTGGGCTACCTGAGTGAAAAGGTCAAGGTCTCGTTCCTTTATCCTCGCCTGCACGTTTCTCTTGCTAGGGACATGCCGCGTGTCCTCAGCGCAAAGCCAGATCTGCTCTCGAGGTGCCGATTTCAAAAAGGCCCGGACTTGTCAGTCACATTATACGCACCTGATATGTTGGCTGAGCGGAGCCAGCAGACAGGAAAACGGCGCCTAGTTCTTCCTCTTGCAGCAACTTTGGGTTCGAGGACAAGTGCTACGGGCAACAATTCTATTGAATCGCGTCAGTCCATGAAATGCAGCGCTTGCATCAAATGGGAAGTGGACACTCGCTTTTCCACGCGATCCGTACACGTGGGGGGCGGTCGGTTGAATTCTGGCGAAATGGTGCAGAAGACGACTACTGCTTCTGTCCAGAAAGACACAATTCTCTTCCGACCCCTTCCACAGTACGACAACCGAGCCGTTCGAAGTGACGTGGACAGAAGTCAAACTTCATTTATCGCAACATCGCAGCTAGAACTAGAGGTTCCAGATGCAGTTTGTCAGCCATCGTTGGATGGCTGGACGTACTTGGCAAGGACATACTACCTTGACATTACTTTGAATTTTCACGGCCTCCAGGGTGCGCCGAAGTACAACGTCCGGAAAAGAATACCTCTCCGTGTATCTGCCATAGGACGAACCGATGAGGGTATTTTGAAGGAGGACATCGCCATCGACGTGTTGGAGATGAGCGATGATGGAAGCAGTGTCGACGGAAGAAGCAGCGATCTCAACTCGTTGAGTGACCGGATGGAACCACAAGAGCAGCGAGCTCCCTCTCGAAGAGCGACCCCTCCACCTCCATATTTTCCTTGAGAACAGGCGAGACTTACCTGAAATGATGATTTACTTCCTCAGAGGGTTATTGCCACCTCAGGGTACAATGGTATCATCTTGGACATTGAACGGGGGTAAACCAGCCTGTCGACGCCATGCGATGCAGCTAGCAGCTTTGTTGGAGTCTGTTCCTGCTGTTAACTCCCCCTGATGTCGCAGAATATCTGACCTCGTGTGTGGTGCCATAAACGGGGCTATGTTCTGAGTAAGATTCAACCAGTGTCGAGTCATTCACAACTCCAACTCTGGATGTCACTCGGTGGTATTGTCGCCGTGGAGATGAACATGCGCCATATGGCATGGTGTCGATCTTCTGACATTTCCTACGACCCTAAGGTTGCCGGTCAGTGGCATGCTTTTCGAAACATTTGATGGGTCTCGGATATGAAGCGGATCAAGCAAATGTCGTCGTTGGATGGTCCTAGTATGCGGCGAGACTTGGGACTGAGTAATGCACCGTGCTCACAAGACAGATTGCATCTTCCCGTTAGCTGCTCCTGCGGGCGAGAAGGTGGCACAGAACGAGTGAGCAAAGCCACTCTTGGACAAATGCACCTCCGATCCTGCATGCAGTAAGCATTTGGAAGAACCTATACAGGAGTATCGACCCGAACTGCAGCTGACGACTTTCACGGATTGGTATGAACAAGTTGGGCGCTGCGTGTTGGTACGGTGATTCGGAGGATGGGGATCACCTGTGATTACCTACGATCACTGAAACATGACCAACAACTCGGCGTGATCGGTGAACCACTGTCATCATCCGTCAGCATCTGGAGGTGATGTGACTGTGGACTGGATATGTTGGCATAAGTTGTAATCATAAAATCGACAATGTATCGACAAAATGATGGCAAGATTATATAAACATGGGTCTTTGAGTTGGATCGAGAAAGTAATCAGAGGCAAGGTGCCCAAGCCATCAGATGCGTGGACCGAGGGATGAAGCCAGCACCTGACAGGGTACCATATACTGTGTCGTCGTCAGTGCCAGGGTCCTAGAAGCCAGCGATGTCGACATCGTTACATACAGTGATGTTGACCGTGAATGAAACGGTAGGCATCGACCTGCAGTTATCCAATCCAAAGTGATCGGTCCAGCAAGGGATTAATTTACACCCTTTAACCTGCTCTATATTTCTTTCGCTTGTTGTTTCCAATAATGCATACTGGAAGTGAAATTCCACAAAACATACACATGTATTCATATGAGGTTGAACGCTTTGCGACGTGGTCTTATTGACTGACCCGATTAGGACTAACGCAATCATCGGCACTTCCTGCGCTCTTCCCAGTCAAATGCTTCCACAAACAGTCTCTCGGCCTCCCAGTTATTTTCAGTCAAATAAAGAACCCATGGACTGAGGACCTGATAGTCACCCGTTATTCTTCTCGACTCACCGGTTGTTGGATGTGTCCTTCAGAATGAATCCCTCTAGTGAGGAGACCTCGCTTTGCCATTTTCCCCATGGACGGCCTGAAGCTCCACGCGTCCTTTTGAGTACAATATTGCAGGTAAGCACTGAGGTGAATCCACGGTACCAGATCTTTATTGTCACTACACACAACAAGTACACTTCCAAAGAAGCATCGCTGTCCCGAGTTTGTGTGGGACTATAATCATCGTCGTTACATCTAGGGTGTCGTACACAGGAGTCTCTTTGCCTTGTCCCCCTCAGAACCATCTCACACTCGGCCGGCTGTCTCTTACCTCCTCCACAAACCCCCCTTCCAAAGCAGCAATGTCTGCGGAAAAGACGTACAAGAATGACCCGATGGGCATCCAGCGAGGCGTCTACGGCCGCCACTGGTTCGGGAATATCGTATTCAGCGCCAGCCGCACCTTCACCGGTCCCGTGCAATACCTCCTGATCGGGGCGCATCCACTGGGGCGATACTTCGGCGTCCCTCCGCCCCCGACGGGAGGCTTCATCACTGTTCTCGGCCACACGGTGCCTCGTTACCAGGCCCTAGCCGCCCTCATGCCCACCTACCTCGCCGTCAAGCAGATCTTTTGGATCAACGTGCTTGCGCGCGAGAAACTGAGCAAGACCTTCCTCTGGTTCGCTGTCCCCGCGGGCATGGTCGTCGAGGTCGTCCACAGCCTCGCCTTCACCGCGGCGTCCAGGAATCCTCTGTTCTCCGACCGTGCATTCAACATCGGCCTGGCTCTGTTCGTGGCGGGAAATATCCTCGAACTCGTCGCCGATGTCCAGCTCGCTCTCCATCGCTGGAACCCCAAGAACCGGGGCAAGGTGTGCAAGACGGGTGTGTGGCGAATCACGAGGCAGATCAACTACACCGCCAACGTCATCTTCGGATTTGGTTATGCCATGGCGCTCGGCGGTCCCGTGTACGGAATGGTGACCACCGCGGCGACCTATGTCACAAACTTTTTGACAAACGCCGGTCCGTCCAAGGAGCACTATTGCCAAGAAAAGTACGGCGAGCAGTGGGACGAGTACAAGAAGGAGGTTCCGTATGTGTTGATCCCCTGGATCTACTGAGTCTTCTCTTTCATTGTTTTTTTCCCCAGTGGTTTTGGTACGGCTTATGCACACGGAAGTTTACCAGGCACAAAAGAACAATATACTCTTCCACCAGTACTGTATTTGTAGCTAGCGAGCCACTGAACAAGATGTGGCATTGTTAAGCATGTATGGATGTGTGCTAGTAGAAGACCATGACTATCTAGCTCAAATCGTTCACGCCAACTACCTTACACGTGAGGTCTGTTTCAGGCGCAAACGGTGTCAGGTGTAGTATGGCATCAGTGAGACCCTATAGAGTAAAGTATAAAGGGCGAATGGTATTGTCGACGTCCCAATCTGTGCTGTCAATGATCCAAACACGTGTGTAGGGCAGTCAACCACTATTGATAAGCGTCATGAAAGAATCGGAGGCGAACGTCGTGTCTACGAGGAAATATGTTTGCACACAGGGTTCGTCTCAATGTCATCATTGAACGCTAGAACATGCTATCTAGTCTACTCTAACAACATCATTCGTCTCATCTGAGATCTTCACATGAAGACCTTGAGGTCGCTCTCCTTGAGCTTACCGGCGCCAACAAGGCCACCGGTAGCCTCTGAGAAGGCAACCTTGACCTTGCCAGCGTCCTTCCCGGCCACATTCAGCTTGGCAACAAGATCAGCAAGCTGATCTGGGTCAGCCACACCCAGGAACTTGTCGACATCGTCCAAGACTGCGTCGACTTCTTGAGCACTAGGCTCGGCAGCAGCAAAGTAATTGACGTCCTTGACACTGGCTCTGACGACACGCTTGTTCTTCTTGACCGCGTCCTTTGCCTTCTGCTTCTCCTTCTTGCCGGCCTCCTTCTCGACCTTGGCTTTCTCCTCAGCCTCCTTCTGGAGACGCTCGGCCTCTGCCTGGGCCTGGGCCTTCTCTTCAGCCTCTTTCTTCGCAGCGAGTTCCTTCTCAAGCTTCTTCTTGTTCTTCTGAGCATTCTTCTGTTGTCGGAACTTCTTGATACGTTCATCACCAGCCAGGCAGTCGTCAACCAGCTTTCTCAGTCTAGCAATATCTTCGGTCTTGCGCTTCTTGCGGGCGTTGGCATTCTTCTTCTCAATGTGTCGCTTGTGATCACGGCCTTCGTTGTCGTCCGGAACATCCTCATCAAGATACTCAAAAGTACGCCACGAGTCGAAGTTGTACCAGAAATCGTAAAAGTCATCGACCTCCTCTTGAGTGCTGTTATCATCGCCGAGCTTAGGAACAGGCTGCTTGTTGCTGAATCGTGCCTCGCTCTCGAAGACGGCGCTCCACTTCTTGTAGAATGCGGCTGGTTTGGACACCTCTTTCTTGGAAGGAGGATCAACGTCAGCGGCCTCGTCGACGCTATCAAATTGTCTGCGCTTGACAGGATCGGTGAGCATTTCATGAGCCTTCTGAATGCACTTGAAGAAGCTATCGTTCTCTTCCTTGCCGGCAGCGGTCTTCTTGTCAGGGTGGTGCTTGAGAACCTTCTTGCGGTGGGCTTTCTTGATCTGCTCATCGGTGGCTTTGTAGCGGTACTTGCTGAGACCTAGGACAGCGTAATGGTCTTGGCCCTGTGTGGGAGGTTAGCTAGTTGTCACCTTTGTAACGTGAGATGAAAGTGAGCTTACCCTCCAATCCTTCGCATCACGGGCAAGCATCAATGGATCTTCAGGCTCGCTGATTTCGCCATCATCCTCGTCTTCAGTACGCTTTGCCTTAGCAGCGGCTTGGATTCTGTCATCTTCGGAAAAGGTGCGGCCGTGAGCCTTGCGACGAGCCTATAAAAATCAGACACGGCACCATGATGATGTGATTGGATTTTCTTACATGAGCCAGGAAAGCAGCACCGTAGGGTTCGATCTTGCGGTGAACAGGTGGGCTCAGCGAAGCGATGGCGCGGAAGCTTGGGTTCTGCTCACTCTCGCCTTTCCAGTCGGCAGGAGGAGGGGGGATTGTTTCGACTTCGGCCATGTCTGCAGGCTCGGGAGGAGGGGATTCAGGAAGAGGAATGAAGATAGGCTGGAACTCTTCTTTGATGATCTCGAGACCTTTCTCTTTGAAGGCCCAATATAGCACTTCCTCAACGGTGAGCCCTTCTGCTTCTGCGAACTGAAAGTGAGTTAGCAACGACAGGGTCTTCCTTCATCACAAAATGGGAGAGGGAGAATTAATTTTCTTCGGTAGAACTTCGGATATCTAGCCGACTTACCTCCAAAAGCCAATCCATCTTGAACAGGTATCTTAGCCGATGAGTGGTGCCAACGAGGTTTGATGAGTTGTGAGGAATGTTCATCATCACTGTCAACGAAGAGATAGCTAAAGAGACTTACTTGTGCACTTTTCTGTCGTCCCCTTACGGATTAGTGTGATCTCGGCGTCGTTTTGAGACATAATGGCTCTGGCAGCCTACAGGTTGGCGACTGCACACAACCTTGATCAGTGGACAGACGGCTAACCGAGACCAGACATCTCCTACGAGCGACACGGATTGCTTTTAATGGAGACTTCCATCTCCTCCATGCCGCACGAACCCAAGCACGAGCCGGCTTTGACAGCCTTAGCTCTCTTGACCCCAGTTCTCAAGAGGCGCTCAAAGGGATAGAACATGCCGAAGGTGTCGCTTCTGTGTTACGACACAACATTGTGCAAGGACAGAGAATAGAAGGCACCGATGCAATGAAACTCAACCTACACAAAGACATTGAGCGAGGCGATAACGATACTGTCAAAAATCCTCTGGGAAAGGGTGGCAAAGTGAAAGTGGGAGGCCTATGAAAGAAGTTTTGTTTGACAATCTGATACGCTATGATGCTTGTTTGCCATCTTATCCGGTTCCCCAACGCCATGCTCGAGATATAAAACAGCGCCTCGGCTTGGATCAATGCGATCAATCACCCGCCATACTCGCATAGGATACCTCTTCCTGTCCAGGTGGAGCTGTGACAGTGAAGCTTGCGGTCTCTTCGTCTGAAGGGCCCTCGAGAGCTGGGGCACCTTCCCTACCGGAAATCCCTCGACTACTCGACTGAGGATTGGAAGTGCTTCCAGTTTGGCGCCCCTCCCTTGCCCACTCCATCCTCTGCTCCCGGTCGGCATTGTCGAGCGGCTTGGGCTTGCCCCATCGGACACGCAGTGGACATCCTTGAATTACAGCTTTCCCTTGACACTTTGCAGCAGCAGCTTCAGCACCATCCCTTGTCGCATAGTTGATGAAGGCACAATGAGCTCTGTGAGAGCAGACAATCGATCTGATTTGACCGAAGGGTGTGAAAAAGGTTCGAATGGCGTGCTCTGGCAAGTCGTCTTCCACTCCGGTAACAAACAAGGAGGTGATATTAGGATCTGCAGGCGGCAAATAATCCTCTGGCTGTGGAGGCCGTGCTGTGCCTGCAACACCTCGGCCGGCGCCTGCGCGAGGTCCGCGTTGTGTATTTCCGGCTTTCCTCGAATCAGATGTCCTTACTGGACCATATCCGCTCTTCTTCTGATCGGGTGGGTTTTCTGACGATCCTTCGGCTTCCAGTCGTCGCTGCTTCTTGTAATATGGCTCGCTTTTTGCTAGTCTTCTCAGTAGATCTCTAGCCTTCTCATCTGTCTTATCGTAAACCTCAACTGCGCCGCGACCCTCTTCCAGTTCTTTTTCATGTTCTTGCGCATAATATTCTCGATTGATGCCGGAGGAGGGTCCCGGAGCCACGAGTTTGAGGGCTGCATCTCGAACTTGGAGAGGTAGCCCAAAGGAGAGATCGAGCATGCAGCACTGACAACAATTTTTAAGCCGGGCGCAAGTGAGACATATATTTGTTCGCTTCGTTCTGGCCGTTCGATCGGCTTTCCATCGGAAAACAGTAAAAGGTCGTGTACAAATCTTGCACTCGGCGCCGTAATCTTCTTTTACCATTTGTACATATGGATTGTCAGGCAGGCAATTCTCGCAGACGGATGGGAAGTCTGTAGTTTCCCAGCCTGACCGGTTCAAATCTTGCTTGATCTGTTTTGAAGCCATGTTGAATGTCACGATGGTGATGAAGGCAAAACAATTGGGGCAGTGGACAGACTGAAGACTGATTAATATTAAAACAAATGCCACCAAGTGACAAATGTTTCTGCATGGATGGAATGGCAGGTGGGAGAGACTAGGCTTGCCGGTTGAAAATTTGGCGACGTCAGTCAAGATCACGTGATCAAACAGAAAAGCGGCGACGATCCAAGACTCGTTTTCGTTTTCGTTTTCGCTTTAATTCTCGCGCTCATCCTCCGTACTGGTTGTCGTTTTCGTTTTCGTACTCGTAGCCTGTGGTGCCACTCTCCGATTCCCCTGCCAAGCCAACATTGAATCTGGCCCAGTACAGCCAATCGATCCTTCAGAAGCGTGAGAGGCGTGCTGGGGAAATGCTCGTTTCCGTGTCGTCCCATTAAATTTTTGGCAGAGTGGAGAGAGAGGCTGCGCTACTTCTTCCCAAATCTACTGTACATACATACGTTCTCGAGTCGAAGGAGACGCACTCCTTTCAACATTGCCTCCTTCACAATTGGCTCACTCCCGACCGCTTTTCGTTCTTTATTGTATTCAACTATACGTGTTTTCCACTCGTTGAACTCCTCAAGCCTTCCAAACAACCTCTTGCATCTTTCTCGCCATCTCAACATGGCTCCTTCAGCGACTTCCCCTGTGGTGACTCTCGAGGCGGAGGACCACGCTCGCGATGCCGCCTTCCATAAGGCCCTTCATGGAAATTCCTCAGAGGCTAGGGGTGGCTTCATGGCTATGCGCAGCAAAGATAAAGATGCCCAAAAGGCTGCTGTAGACGAATACTTCAAGCATTGGGACGACAAGCTTGCTGAAACTGAGACCGAGGAAATTCGCAAGGCCAGAAGAGATGAATACGCCACCTTGACAAGACAGTAAGCATGGCCTTCACGTTACAGCTGTAGGATGTTTTACTTACCTGTAAACAGTTATTACAATCTAGCCACCGACTTGTACGAGTATGGCTGGGGTACCTCCTTCCATTTCTGCCGATTCGCTGCGAAAGAGTCCTTCTATCAGGCTATCGCTCGACACGAGCATTACTTGGCCCTCAAGATGAATCTGCAAGAGAATGCTCGTGTTCTGGATGTCGGTTGTGGTGTTGGCGGGCCTGCTCGCGAAATGATCAGATTTACAGGGTGTAATGTGGTTGGTTTGAACAACAATGATTACCAGATCGCAAGATCCTTACGATATGCTCAAAAGGAGGGAATGGCAGACAAGTGGTCGGCTGTGAAGGGCGACTTCATGCAGATGTCGTTCCCGGAAAACAGTTTCGACGCAGTTTACGCCATCGAAGCCACCGTCCATGCTCCAAGCCTCCAGGGAGTGTACGAGCAAATTTTCCGTGTCCTCAAGCCTGGCGGCGTTTTCGGCGTCTATGAATGGCTCATGACAGATGCCTATGACAACGAGAACCCCAAGCACCGTGAGATCCGACTTGGAATCGAGCAAGGAAACGGAATTTCAAACATGGTCAAGGTGTCCGAAGCATTGGAAGCGATCAAAGCAGCTGGGTTCGAGCTTGAGCACCACGAGGACTTGGCGGAGAGACCCGATGCCACTCCATGGTACTACCCTCTTGCCGGAGATTGGCAATACTGCACAAGCCTTGGGGACCTGTTCACCATCGCAAGAATGACCTGGTGGGGACGTGGATTGGTACACAAATTCGTCGGCGTTGGCGAGAAGCTGAGGTTGATGCCTCAGGGAACACAGAAGACGGCCGACAGTCTCGCTCTCGGTGGGGACTGTTTGGCCGAAGGTGGAAGGCTGAAGTTGTTCACCCCTATGTATTTGATGGTTGCACGGAAACCGCTCAATGCTTGAAAGTGGTCCAGAATCGCGTTGACTGGGTAGATGGCGTTGCGAACAGGAATTTTGGCAAATAGAACATAAGTACCTAATTCGATGTACATACGGATACGAGTATCATCAACAAGAAAATTGCATTTCGTAGGTCTAGACCTGCTGGCTAACAACGGTATTGGCCAAGCGGTCAGTTACCAGCACCGCCACACAACGCCGCATGTGGTGACACAAAACAGGAAACGCGGTTCGGTATCTGCAGGCTGCTTCTCGTCAGGGTTGCAGCTTGCGTGGCCATCAAGTTCGCTATCAACACGAAAGATTGGGATGCGTAAGCACATAAATATCTCGACATGAGATACTGTATAGAATTGAAGATGACGCATAGATATGGACTATCAACAATTTCGCCAGCCCTGAGAACCTGGAGTGCTTGTAGTGCTTGGATTCAACCCAAGGATTCGGCTCGTCTCGCAGGCTATTGTCTAACCAGGGGCTGAAACAAGGCTTGCAGAGGCGGGCGAATAGCTTCAGCCTCTTGTTTTGGAATCATTCAGCGAAACGCAGACTCTCTCGCATCCCCTGAAGCCAGTATATGAATGGCAAGACTGGTTTCACAGAGTCAGTCAAGGTAACACAAAAGCACTTGGCTCCTTTCTCTCAAAAAAAAAAACACCCAATACGTAGATATTATTTTCTTGACGGAGGCATATGAGTACCTCAAGAGCCAGGAAGCTAGTTGCTCGGTTTTCGGAAATGGTACCGCTGAGCGTGGTTGTGATGGATGTTTAAGCCCTATATGGAGAACCAGCAGCCTACGATAGGCGCTGAAGCACAGGGCGTGTGGGCACCGTAGCCGGGGTGGCTCAAGCATTGACAGCACCAATGCCGCTTAATGGGGCCTTTTTCAGGCGTCCGTCACGCCCCCAAGTGACATGATTTGCTAATCTACAGCATTCAGCGGCTCATGGATCTACCAATGCATAGCGCCATCAGTGGTCTTCGCAACGCCGGCCGACAGTCCAACATCCATCTTCGTCATCGCACGTTCTTGAGTAGCTGATCGACTGGGCCATTTCCCAGTCTTTGTGACGAGTGAGCCGGCGACTCCTGGCACTAGCGAGACTCAGCCAACATCATCACCACGAACATCCCAGGCTGCGTTCTCAAGAGTACATAGTCGTCTCTTTTCCTGTTTCTACTCACTGTCACCATCTTCGCCCTTCTCCCTGCGTCGACCCATTGCTCTTCCTTCGCTCTTCCTTTACCTACGAACGGTCCTTTCCCTTCCAAATACCTACGTTTTCGGACCGCGACAATGGGCAAGCTTCTCGGCGCTGCCCTAGGCGCAGCAACTCTCCTCGCCTCCATTGCGCCAGCCGTAGGAAGTGCCACTCCAGGTGTTGTAGGCTTCAATTTTGAGAAGCGTCGGATAAATGCTCAAGAGGCGCCTCATCTTGCCCGACGACAGTCCAACACCGTCACAGCTGCCCTGACCAACGAAATTCTCCTGTACTTCATCAATGTTACCGTGGGTACGCCCGGTCAGCCTTTCTCTCTACAGCTCGATACCGGCTCCTCAGACATCTGGTTCCCAGCAATAAACGCAGATATTTGCGAACAAGGCATTGAGACATATTGTCCCTTTGGTGTGTACGACTATTCCAAGTCCTCGACCTACAAAGACCCCGGCCTGCCCGAGTTTCAAATCCAATATGTCGATGGTACCCAGATCTCCGGTGCCTACCTCTCCGATGTTCTCAATATTGGCTCGACCAAGCTTACAAATATGACCATGGCGGCGGCCTTGCAGGCCAATACTAGAGGCATTGGCATTATGGGTATTGGCTTTGACTCCGGTGAATCGGCCGCTGTGCAAGGAGAGTTCACATACCCCAATGTTATCAGTGTCTTGAAGAATCAAGGCCACATCAATACCCTCTCATACTCCTTGTGGTTGGATGACCTGAAATCTAACACCGGGTCTATCCTTTTCGGCGGAGTTGACAGCAGCAAATATCATGGTGACATCATCGCTCTTCCAATTCAACCAGACTCCCAGACTGGAAACCTTACATCTTTCACCGTTGCCTGGACCGGCTTGACCGTCAGTGGTAGTGGCCAGACATCTGACATGTCTCCAAGCACCCCTCAGCCTGCTATCTTAGATTCTGGGACCACAAACACCTACCTACCCGACGAAATCGCCACCAACATCTTCAACGGTGTCGGTGCGCTGACAGACACGCAGTATGGAAACGTGGTGCCCTGTAAGCTTGGCGACGATGACTTGACGTTCTCGTTCACTTTCGGTGGCAAGGGCGGTGCTGTCGTCAATGTCAGCCTTTCGGAATTCGTCACACCCCTTCCTGAAGAGATCACTTTCAAGAACGGCGACGAGGCATGCATGTTTGCCATCAATGCCGCCGGCGACTCGCCCATCTTGTTCGGTGACTCGTTCCTCCGAAGCGCATACGTCGTTTACGATCTCGAGAACAAGGAAATCGGCATCGCTCAGACCAACTTTAACGCTGGCAAGGCTAACGTTGAAGCTTTCCAATCCAGCAGCGGTATCCCCGACGCCGTTTCGACCGCGAGTGCTGCAAGTGTAGTGAACACCATCACAGGTATCCCTCACGAGACGATTGCTTCTGCTACTGGCACTGGTGGCATCACGGGTCCAAGCAGTAGATCTGCCACGTTCAACCTCCAGCCAACATCGGGCGCCAGTGGCACTGGCTCGGGTGGAAGTGGTTCAAGCGGCGGTAGCAGCAGTACTAGCAACGCAGCCAACGCCAACCTGCGTGCTTCGCCGATTGAAGCTGCTAGTGTTGTGTCTTTTGTTGTCGTTGCTCTTGGCTTCGTGTTTGGTGGTGGATTGATGCTCCTCTAGCCTTGGGTATTGGGTGTGGTTTAAGTTGGTGATACGACAATGAGGCGATCTTGAGCGTGTTACACGCACACAAATCTTCCAGCGTGGGCTTCTTGGATGTCTCGCAGAACTAGCATGCATGGTTGAGGTTGGTTGTGCTCCTTGGCCCCTTTTTCGTCTAACGTTTCTTCTTTGAAGTTAAAGAAAGCTGGGCGAGGGGTTCAGGTAGTCATTGCTGGCCGCATTCCTCTGTATGTGTGCATAATGAAGTTCGGTGGGAGGCTTACAGGCATATGGGCTGGATGGGACTGGAAATCATTTGAATGATTGGTTGTATTTTAACACGACGAGTATGATGGGCTTTATTTTAGTAGAATACAAGACAAAAGACATGAAGAAATACCCCGACTTCTTTCTGCAAATTCACTCTTAGACGGGGCTTCTCTATATGATGCCCTCGAGGTTGATGCTAGGCTGGGGTGTTTCTACATGCAAGGGGTGACTCGACCCTAGCTCTTTGGGCACGAGATCGCAGGGTTACGAGTCCATGGCTGGTACGGTATGCGGTCAGCAAAAACATGCACCTTCTACCCCCGCGTACAAGTGTCTACGTGACGCCCCGCCCAAAAAACTCCAATGGTTTGGTACATGGTGGGCTCTGATCCGATGATGGAATCGAGCTGTGGACCTCCGAGAGGCAGACGAGTGTACGGAGTAGGAATCGTGGGAATTATCGATATCGTGATCATGTCAAAATTTTTTTGGGATTACTGGAAATAGTTGTTCCAAAGGAACCGGTCATGGACACTCTGTAAAGGGTACCATGGTACGACTTTTTTTTTACTTCAAAAGATGAAACCTCGTCCTACCATCCCGTCATCGTTGTCCCAGTCACACCAGCCAAAACCATGTGGGAAAGGGGACACAGGCGCGCCGCTCCGCGGAGTAATGTTTCAGAGACGAGAGACCCAAAAAATTGAACGGATGATGATCGTCGGTCGGTATGCGAGGAAGAATATCCGCCGACGCTGTTTCACCTCGGCTGCTGCTGCTACTCCTTGACGGTCTCGAGGGGCGAGTGTGCAAAGTCGGGACCACCGTTGATATTACTCGAGGTGCTCTCGGTCGACAGCCAGGGCCGCAGGCGGTATCCGTCGGCGCCGTCCTCCTCGCCAGCGTCAAACCCAACGTCATTGCCCTCGGTGATTTTCAGATCCAAGAGTCGGGCGGCATTCCTGTAGGCGATGGCCTCAAAGTCCTCGTCATTGACCATCTCGCTGTTTCGCAATTGGTACAAGAACTGCAGGCCCTCTTGGTTGCTGCAGAACGGGTAGTCGACGCTGTAGAGGACTTTATCGGCGCAGCACATGTGGATCAGGCAGGCCATGGGGGCGAGGCTGAACATGCCGGCGGTCGTGATGTACATGTTCTCGTGCCAGACCTGGAGGAGGTGTCGTTTCGGTTTGGAGGCTGCGGGCCAGGTCCGTTGGATGAGCTTGTGGATCCTGTCCAACTGGTACGGAAGCATTTCTCCCATGTGGCCGAGGAGCACCTTGAGATTCGGGTGGACGTCGAACAGTTTCGATGCGAAGAGCCTAATGACGTGGAGCGCGACCTCTGCGTGCCAGTTGAAGCCGTGATTCGCCAGGAACGCGGACACTTGAGGTGCATAGTTGCCATGGAACGGGGAATCGCTGGGCAACGGGTGTGGTGCGGCATGGAGATATATGGGCACGTCGAGCCTTTCGTGAGCAGCGAAAATCGGCCAGAAGAATGTGTCGTCGTAGAATCGACCCTCGGTCATATTGTCCACCAAGGAGCCGACAAAATCCAACTCTGACACACAACGGTCGAGTTCTTTCGCGGCGGCTTCGGGGTGCAGAAGCGGAAGCATGGCGAAGGCGGCAAAACGTTCCGGGCGCGGGGATGAATTGATGGCCTCGTATAACTCATCGTTGGCCGCCGTGCAAACCTCCGGCGGTATTGGGAGCGAGTTGGGTCGGTGGGAGATGACCTGTAAGCTCACCCGGCCAGAGTCCATCGACTTTAGACGTTGGTGCCCAACATCCCGCAGTGAGCTCATGATGTGAGAATGGGACTCGGGGAGGGTTGTCTGTGCCCCCTGTTGTTCATAGTAGTCGAGCACGGCCTGAGAAATGAAGTGCTCCTCGAGCGTGATCAAGGGAATTTTTCGGGACATTGTGACTGACTGCCTGCAAAGTCCGGGTATTGTCGATACATGGGACACGCAGCGGAAGTCAGGTATGTAGACGGGCTAGCAGGAACAGATATAGAATGACGTCCCCGAAAAAATTGCCTAGAGGGAAGATGTACACATCTCCGCCCGAAGCAGCCAACGTCAACCCTTTTATGTACAGTGTATATATTGAGGGGCTGAGCTGACCGGACACGATGCCCGAGCACATTGAAAGGTTGGCACCCAATGGAAGAGCCGGAATCCATGTGACGACACGGAAAGTGATAACAGGGATGCGGATGGAATGATGGGAGTTTTTTTGGCTTTTGGCCATCAATGCGGAGAGGGGGCGACGTGGTCTGACTGCGCGGCTCTGCCTCTCTGGGCAAGACCATTGCAATGAACGATTGGCGAGAACTGGTGTCGAGAGGGTCAAAAAGACAAGTCAACGGAGATCCTACCGGTGAATGATCTATGATCTTTTTGTTCTTGAGGATGTCGAAGACAACTGGTGGTTGTATCGGAGCATGTGTTTTCGTACTCGTACTCGTACCCCGTACTTGACAGGGCGAGCAGGTTGGGAGTGAAGAGGACGAGATACATACAGAGTTCCACCAAGCACCTACCAAGTACCTCCCTGGTCTGGACTTACCTAAAGGTACCTTTCTATAAGGCTATTTCACATGGCAAGCCCTCCTGCAGATGTATGTGAGAGCTGCACAACTACAGTACGTTCGACATGTCAGTTGCCCGTCGCCCCATGCTGTTCACAGCAGTGAAGGCATCGTAGTCTTGACGTTTGAAGTGCAGATAAAAAAGAAAATCTACATATAGTGACTACTGTAAGGCCAAAGATACCATCCCTGAATTTGGTCTTGGCGCGTCTCTCCTCTCCACTGGTCGCTCGCTGCGTGTTTCTTTGGGGGGCCGCAGTTGGGCTACTGTATCCATACCGTCGAGAACGAGGAGCACCGAAGGCACGGTATCCTTTCTCAGCATCTGCTTTCGCAAACAATCTACTTTTCATTTTCAGATTATTCTCAGTCACTCCTTTCCTTGAACACCCGACCCCTTCTGCGTGGATTCGCCCGTCTACCCCCTCCCACCAAAACTTTCCCGAAGCGAATCCCGCCCTCGTAGAAGAGCTGAGCACGAGACATTCGATCGAGTCCCTCGCGATCCTCCAACCTCCGAAGCCTCTTCTACAACCACGGTCCCGTGAGCCATCGACGACAGTTTGATGGCCTCCCAAGGAGGCCTCACGCGGAGGCGAGGCGCAGGAGGAGTCACCTCGCCGAACGGAGACGAAGAGTCGTCGAGCCGCGTGGCGTCTCCCGGTCCCAAAAACTACTCAGATCGCACTCCTGAGACGGCATACGAAAACAGCGAGAATGGCCACAGAATCGCATACGATCCCAGGGACATCTCCGAGACTGCTGAACGCAGTAAACAACCCAAGTTGACACTAATGGAGGAGATCTTATTGTTAGGTCTAAAAGATAAGCAGGTCAGGACACCACATGGCTCTCACGATGCGTATCAAGACGCTGACCAGGCGCGATTAGGGCTACCTCTCATTCTGGAATGACAACATATCGTATGCTTTGCGAGGGTGCATAGTCATCGAATTGGCCTTCAGGGGTCGTGTCAGCATGCAGAATGATTCGGCCCGGAGACGCTTCCCTCTGGCCGATAGAATAATCGAAGTCATCGACGATACACTTACTGGGGAAGTTCTACTCGACGAGGCCTTGAAGATGATGAAGTCGAGTGAGAAGATGAGCGTCAGCTCTTGGATCGACCTTATGAGCGGTGAGTAACAAGTTGGTTCATCTCTGCACCAAACGAACTAATGTCTATCCGAAGGTGAAACTTGGAACCTCATGAAGATTGGCTACCAACTGAAACAAGTGCGAGAACGATTGGCCAAGGGTCTGGTAGACAAGGGTATCTTGCGCACGGAGAAGCGAAACTTTCTTTTATTCGATATGGCTACGCATCCTGTGGTCGACTCTGGCGCCAAAGACGAAATTCGAAAACGCGTCCGAAGCGTCTGCTCAAGTCGCACTGTCGTCCTACCTCCGTCACAATTCCTCCCCGCAGAGCTGGACTTTAGAATGCTCCGAACAATCAGTATGGTCTGCGCAGCCTATGCGGCCAACGTTCTCGAGAATGCTCTGGTGACCATGGGTCACGAAGCGAGAGAAAGAGCGTTTGCACAAGTTGACGAACTCTTGGCTGAATACAGCCAGTGGCCGTTTGCCAAACGAGCCGGTGGTAGCCAGGGGATCGGAGCCAATATAGGCCAGGTGATCGGGGACGAAGTGGAGAAGAACAAGGACAAAGAGTTGCAACTCGAGGTGAGTGCATGGACAATTGCTTCGTTTCTAGCCGGACTGCTAACAGTGATGAATTACCCAGGTGGTTGCCGCATGTTTGAGCGTTTTTACAAGGCTGGACTCCTTGCTATAGTATATGGGTCTCCGGCTAGGGACAAATTGATGAAGCTGGACCGAATGAGACAAAGAGAATCACCAGACGTCTTGATGGACGAAAATGCCAGGATCCGCGAGAGAGGTGGGACATGGAGAGGGAAACGTGGCAGCAAAACAAATCGCCGCCGCCGCCAAAGCAGCAGCAAGTGCAGATCTGACATATTTTTTTCTCTTTCTCAAGAAGCGTTTAGGGCAAAAAGGGAGAAAGAAGGGGTTTAATGTCCAAAGCCATCATCTCAAAAATCCTTTTTCAGTTTTCAGTTTCCAAAAGAGCAGGAAAACTTTTACCCTTGATCAGGAACCGACGCAGTCTCGTACTGATTGATTCTCATGGGACAATTGATTCGTTCCCTAATAGCCGGGACTTTTGTTGGGGAGAAGACTGATCAGGCACAAGCGTACAAATGCTTTGGGGTGAACAACGGCGGGCCGCGAACGTGTACTGTCTGTACCTACTCAAGTACCAGGTAGATAGATACCTACCTCAGGTTATTATGCACTGAGAGAGAGGGAGAGAGTATACGGATATGACTTCCTACAAACAACCAAAAAAACCATTGAACTGAAAGGCCGATACTGGCACTGACTTTATCGTCGTCGTCGCCTTAGAAGGACCCTCCAAAAATCAAGTCGCTTTTTTTCAAAGTTGTTTCTATATCATACATTTGCTTTACACTGAGTACAATGAATTTTTGAGATGTCCGGCGCCGTCAATTGTGATAAGAGACCCCAAAAGTGTGGTTACCACCGGCTACTGCTCTGCTGACTCGGCATTCATCGAAGCCCTCAGGTCCATCCCTTCAAAGAGCTTGCCCAGGTGGTCATGGGGGTACGTGGCCTCGCCGCGCATGGCCTCCAGCTTCCGGCGCCTCTGACCTTCCTTGCCGGCCTGGCCCAGCAGGCCGCTGATCAGGGCGACGGACCTCAACGAGTCGTCGTTGGCGGGGATCGGGTACGTCACCCACGTCGGGTTGGCGTCGGTGTCGATGACGCCGATCGTGGGCACGCTGAACAGCCCACACTCGTGCAGGCAGACCTGGTTCTCCAGCGGGTTCAGGCACACGACCAGGTCCGGGCGCATGGGGGTGTGGTTGCCGGGGGCGAATTTCCTGCTGTACTCCTCGAGCTCGTTGTCGTGGATGTCGACCACCTTGACGCGGCCGGACCCCAGGATCTGCTGGCCGTTGGTCAGGCTGCCGGGCACCCAGCGGTGGAAGATGTGGTAGCCCCCGGCCAGCTTGGCCGAGTTGACCGTGATCTCCTCCGTGCCGTCGCGGGTGCCGACGAAGAGGATGATGCCGCCCCTCCGGGCGACCTCCTCGACCACCTTGGCCGCCCGCAGGAGGTAGGCGTACGTCGCGTCCAGGGAGATGATGTGGATGCCGTCCCTCACGCCGAAGATGTAGCCGCTGTTGGCCGGGTTCCAGAGCGACGTCGCGTGGCCGAGGTGCGTCTGGTTCGCGAGGAGCATCGGGAGCGTGAGGCGGGCGGGGGTGGGGGGGTCCCGCAGGAGGGAGGTCGGGTCGTAGGTCTGGACGAGGTGCGTGACCCTGCGCGCCTCTCTCTGCTCGCGTCGCCGGTGCCGGTTGAGAGCCTGCAGGTTTCTGAACGGGGTGGTGTCGGTGCGCTGGGGCTTCTCGAGGGGCGCCGGTCTTTCCTTCACCTCGGCCGTCGAGAGGGGCTGCCCGGCCTCGTTGAAGCTCTGTATCCGGGCCATGATGTGGGCATTGACGTCGGCGTGGAGGGATCGCATCGACTTTTTCTGGTCTTCGAGCTTTTCTTCCACCGACCGGGTCGCGGCCGTCGGGGGTTTGCTGGTGCTGTCGAGGATGCTAGAGGCTTCATCGGGATGGCCCGGTATCGTGGGACGAGGTTTGGGATCTCGTTCTGACGGTCGGAAGGTCGGGTTGTCGACATTTCTGCTGTCGGCGTAGGACCTTACTTTGGTCCGCGCAGACTGCGACAGCGCGGTACGCCCTGGGAATGAGTCAGCATTGATGAAAAGTAGGTAGGGAGGAAGAGGTACCATGACGGGCACAGAACTGTCTAATGATCATGTCTGAGCCTTGAGCGTGCTGATGGCGGAACGTTGAGACTTTCTTGAGGCACCTTGGAGATCATCAGCTGCTCTGCATCTTTGGCCCTGCTCTGCCCAGGTTGGTTGCTTGGCGTGCAGCGAAAAGAGGCGGAGCCAACGGGAGAATTCCTTAGTCATCACCACCGCACAAGAACTCGTACTCGTACTGTAACAAGGCTTCCGTACAGCCTTTCTCGTCCCTTTGTTGTTCAAGGGGACTCCTTCAATCACACAGCGGTCTTGGTCAAACAGCTGTGCGGAGGCTTAGTAGATTCCTGTTGTCCCAGAACAGCTATCCTTCAACGGCGGCGCCTCTTTGGTGATACCGAAATGGATGCTCACTGCCGTCAGACATTCGCCAAAGTGCTTCAGGTTGGTACGCGTAGGGGCCCCCCCTGCGTACGTAGATCCGGAGCAAGCTCTTTCCGCTGCACCAGCCCGCCCCTACGAAACACAGTGATGAAGAAGACAACGGGCTTTTGGACATTCTGTCTCTTTGTCTTTGAGTTTGAGTTTCCTACGATCACGGCTTTTCTGGTCATGAGGTATGTTTGGGGTTTGTTTGATCTTTCGGATACCAATGTTTGTGGTCTTCCGAGCAAGAATTATGACCCACGTTATATGGCCGTAGAAGAGAGATATAAGGCATTTCTTGCGCGCACACGTTCAAATCCTATTTCCCCTTGGTCGCTCAGGTAATCATTTCCAAAACCTCATCGTCACTCGTTTGATCCTGCAACAGCAGTAGCAGCAGCAGCAGTCTTTTCCAAAATCATGGACCCTGATCTTGTAAGTCACCCCTGTCTCACACCAACACACGTACACCCCACAAGTCAGCAATACTTGAGAGAGTACGCGAGAAAGAGAGCTGACCACCAGTCAAAAAAAAGTCTCGCCCACGGCGCAACTTCAACCCCAGAAAGACACGACGCTATGGTCGCATCACCTTTGACCCCGACTACTTGGTTCGATACAGTCCAAAGTGGAAGTATGCCCGACTGTACAACTTTCCCTTCCCCGGTGCTCACTGGCAACCACGCATGAGGACGATGGTGGTGTCGGTCGACGGTGGCTCTCGCGGCAACAATCGATCCGATCCCAAATCTCGAGCCGCATGGGGGGTGTACTTTGGACCCGACTGCCCACGCAACGCCTGGGGTTTGCTCGACCGAGCCGACCTGCAAACCAGTTCGCGTGCCGAGCTCGAGAGTGTCCGCAAGGCTCTCGACATCGTCCAGGGCATGAAGAAGGCCGGCGAATTGGACGGCTGGAGGGAGGTCATCGTGAAGTGCGACTCGGACTACGTCGCACGCAGCCTCGGCGAATGGATCTGGAGCTGGGAGAAGAATGGCTACGTGACCAGGAAGGGTACACCGGTCGAGCACGGCGACGTCATCCGGGAGATTCACGCGACCATCACCAAAATGGAGGGAGAAATGGCTGTTCGGTTTTGGCGTGTCGGTCGCGAGTGGAACAGGGAGGCGGATGGCCTGGTGAACCACGCTCTCGACGATGCCGCCGACAGCGGATATGAAGGCTCTTGAAAAACGTCACTCTTTGCAGGCTGGCTGCGGTCGATTTCGATTCACTATTACTGTATTTTTCCAACAATTTTTTTTGGTGTGTTTCTTTCCCCGTGTTCATCAAGGCGTTGATCAAGAGACCATGATTTTTTTCAAAGCTGGACAAACAGTACTGCCATGTAGCAAGTGTTTTTGGGATTGCGTTTCATCGTTCCCCCAACAAAACAAAGACGGGCACCAGGCTTTACGTACTTTGAGAGAGTTTCAAGCAGTGTAGTATTAGCTTTCCTTTACCTACTTAGGATCAGGTATACTGAGTCAATGAAATGGCCTTTTGAGGTGGCCTCCAAAAAATTTGCTTTCCCCTTTTTCAACTGTCGTGTCCGAGTACTCGTCTTTTCTGAGAGTTGCCGCCGAAACAACGATCCCACCAGTTGGACGATTTCGACAAGAGATTTGACTCTGTAGGCCACCGGAATAGATTATCACGGTTGGGCAATCATCATGTTCTCTCCGTCCAAGTGACATAAAAAAAAAGAGATCAACAAGCCACATAGTACTCCGTACTGTCGGCGGAATTGAAAATCAGGCTGAGGTCTCGAGCCCTTCTCTTTTCGTCCACCCGCCTCGCCCCCTATTTCTTTTGGGAGGCTCTTGGCCAAATTTCCCCCCGAAGAAACGGCCATTCTTGGCTCTTCTGGGCGACGTTGCGTTTTCGCAGAATTATCGCTCGAATCAATTTCCCTTTAACAACATTAAACAAGATACCAAGAAGATCATGAACGCACTGGCTGTTTACCTATCAAGCCCAGGTCGAGAAAAACTTGCTCGGTCGCGCGTTTTTCCGTGTCCGGCGGCACATTTGTCTGCTGTGACCGCAGCACTTGACTGAGGTTCTTCGACAGGCGTACTTGTACAATCTCTTGTGCGACTCTCGATTTCGGAGGGTCTGACCTTGGAAATCCAGATATGATATCCGTACTTACCTCTGTCGTCGTAGGTGTCTCTCGGAATTTGCAATCTCCCTTCGCCCAACTTCAAAATGGCCTGACCATTACTCCATGGAGCTGGTGAGTTCTTGGTTTCTTGTCTCACGAACCCAACAACATACCAAGCCTTGCGGGTGGGTGTTTTTTGGCCCTCCGAGCGATGGGAGCGGAGCCACAGTCCGGGACGTACAGAACAAGATGTACTGTATCTGTGTACTCCGTGCGAGTACTCCATAACGCAGAGCTCTCTTTGATCGTGCGCGTGCCCCCGGACGTTTCGCATCGCGCATCCAGACACGCCAATCACCTTAATCATGGCGCCCAGCCGCCAGCCCAGATTACAACGTGGTGTCAAACAAAAACGAAAAACGCCTGCTGGGCTGGGCGTTTCTTTTACCGTACCTAGTGTACCAAAAGAAGCGCCACCAGATACAGAGTACAAAGATCTGGCAGAGTACTTCTCTACTCCTCTACCACTCCGTCACCAGGCTTCAAAAAAATCAAGTGTACCTACTTGGACGGAGTCCATATCCTTTTGAGAGACTCCTCTACTTATTTTCCCAGACCTCACACTCACTTTCTTTTTTTGGGTCATCCAGTTGACTACCTTTGCACCACCTATCTACTACCTACTCATTGCGTACCGTTGAGCAGCCCACTCACTCGGGGCGTCCTCTCCTTTCTTTTCCCTTGGTCGTCCAAGCACCTACGACTGTTTCCCCGGCCCAAAAAGAAAACAAAACACGGTATAGTTGTTTACAACACACGGGCAACAACATCTCTCGAAACCATACCAAGAGCCAGTCCAACCAACTTGTACGTCACACTTACACCAGCAATTTCAAACCATCAAAAACAAAGCAAAAGCACAACATGCGATCCTTTTATTTCCTGGCGGCTCTTCTCCCCCTCGTGTCTGCCTCCTGGTCGGAACACACCCTCCTCACCCGAGCCACGGGCGGCAACTCGACGACATCTTGCGAATCCACTGACAAGGCCTGCGGAGCCTACTGCATCCCCAGCGACTACACGTGCTGCCCGGACCTCGAGGGAGGGTGCTCGGCCGGTTCAACCTGCCAACTCGGCGACAATAATGTCTATGGCTGCTGCCCTTCGGGCCAGACTTGCTCTGGCGAGGGAGGTGCAGAGTTCCTAGGGACATCCACGGCCAGCGCCGCCACCGCTACAAAGACGACCAGCTCGGACAGCGGCGCTCAGTCCCTTTCCATGAGCCACGGGCTCAGTCTGGCATTGGTGGCTGCTGGTGTCGTTGCTCTGCTGTAAAGAAACAAGACGTGGGCGGCGACAAATTGACCGTGTCTGTGTGGCCCTGTTCTCCTATTTTTTTCCAACCTTCCGCTGCCAAAGCCATTCTATGATACCAAAATACCCCATTTGTTGCGTTTGGGAGATTTAGTGTGCTTGTACGCGCGTGTATTTGGGGCTGTGTATGTATTGGGTATCTCTTTTGAGGACGTACACTCGGTACAGTGTGGCGTTGGGTTTAATGTGGCGTCAATTGTGTGCTTGGTACTCGTACCTTGTTCATCAAGCGCGTTGTTATAAGAAACTTTTGGAATACATGCGTACAACATCATGTACAGAGTATCATCACTGCTTAAGCTTTACCTTGGATGTCGTCAGACTTAAAGGACACAAACACATAAGCGTGTACATGCGTTGCCCTTTTCCCAGAGTTTGCCAAGTTTAGTTACCCGTTCAAGTACTGAAATCTAGGTCGAATATGTCATTGTAGGGTCCTGGTGGTGGTTGAATGTTGTCCAGATTGGGATGCCACGAATCAAAGTTGCTTCCCTGCAAGTCCGGTATGATAGGACTTCTCATCTCGGTCTCTGATCCACGTGCAGCAGCGAGGCCGGCGGTAGTGTTGTTACCGTCAAGTGTCGTAGGTAGAGGAGGCTGGCTGTGGTCAGGAGGCCCCCGACTATTATCCGCCATTACATGCGTCGGATTATTCTTAACTTTGTCTCCCAAAAGGAGCGCATCCAACGCCTCCGCCTCAGCGGTGGCTTCGATATCTCGCAACGTAGATGGGAACACATTGGACCCTGGTCTCAGTCGCCGAAGTGTATACTGCATGACCGAGTCAGCTAGAGGTTCAGATAGTTGTTGCCCGGTCTCGCGAGGCCGGCCACCACCACCAGCAGCAGCAAATTGTTCGTCGAGACCATTACTAGACGGCGATTGTGGGTCAGTAGTAGACCCCGTGATGGCTGGATGAATCGACGATGGTCGGTGTTGTCCCCCCGTCTGAGCATTGTAGAGCATATTGATGCGAGTCCACTGACGACTTTAGCGTCCGTTCCACTTTTGAATAGTATTCGAGGCATATTATAAACTCACCAACCGTTCTAGATTCGCCCAGTATGGTTTCATCGACTTGAGCAACTTCAAATTGTAAATCAAGTTCTTTTGTGCAAGGGCTGCAATTGCGGTATCGGTGGAGGAAAGAAGGGTAATGTTTATCCATGCCGAAACATACATACAATACCCAACAAAAGCCGGAATCTGAGCCGGGTCCCAGTCGAGTGCCAGTAGATCAGAGCCCAGCTCCGAGAGACTTTGGGCACTCTTCAAGGCTATCCGTGCGCTGAGATTTGCTGCTTCAGTGGGAGGCGTCTCGTAAAGACGGACACCGCTGAACTGTGGAACCAATGACGAATGCAGCACGAGCTTACACTGATGATACAGCGCGTAAACAAACACATATACCGGCTGATGGTTGACAACCAACTGCTCATATAGGGTTCTTTTTGAATACCTGAAGCAGTCGGGCAGACGCGTGATCCATGTCGACAGAGATCCGTCCAAGGAAAAGAGCTCTGCCAGCCAATCCTTGACAGCCATACGATCTGTGGTTCGAACTAGGTCGCGAATTTTCGCCCTTGTGAAGGTCAGCTCTTAAGATCCAAAACCCCAGACACGTTGGCATTACCAATTCCACATCAAGAACATGAGCTCGGCCATGATGCTGGGCGTCCCTGACATTTGTATTTCCCTCTGCTGGGGACGGTGGAGAATAGTGGATAAAGTCAAAAGAGGCTCCCTCACCATTCTCTCGAACGATGTCTCTGCTATAGGCAGTGGGAGACCTATCACACTACCATCATACGAGCCGCCCATGAAACGATGATCCGCGTTAACACATTGTGTGAACCAGACTGCCCAAAAGCATCGCCGCTTTGTCTCAATCTCCAGCCACTCTGTTGTCCCTTCTGTGCCGGGATTGAATTCTGGCTCGTAGAAAGACGTCTTATTGCTGAGGTCCAAACCTACCGTGCACGCTGCCTTGTACGCGATACCTGGAGCAGACATTGTCAGCCAACCGTCCCCTCAATTGTCCAGAAAGACAAAACGGCTTACCCGAGAACATTGTGTTCCGCTGCCACTCGCCAGCATGAAACCAATATATGGCCAACATTTGGGTTGTTCCGACACTTTCGAAGGTGGGCTGATCAATGTCCTGAAGGACTTGCTTGCCAGCGTGGATGGCCCATTGTCTGCCCAGGCTCCGCATGTCACCCAAAGGTCGTATCAGGTCCAGATTCTCCTGTAAAACTTTGGACGAGGGAGTCAAGAAGCTGCTGATGATAAGCGTAGAGTCCAGCCGACCTGTAATCAGGAGCATACATTGTTGCAGTCGCATACATTGCGAGAATGGTATGAGATGGTACTTTACCGTCGTCAAAAAGCCGAGTGAAAGTAGGCCGATGGAACATGAGGGTTGAATTGTAAATGCAGCTGAAATACACCTCTTGGAGGAATTTCTGCACCGGAGGAGATAGCGACGTGCCAGTGGAGGTATGCATACTCTCTGGGACGGTTGCATCTATATTGATACGATGAGATGAAGAAGTTGAAGTGACAAGATTGGATGAATCGGCCTCCCCGCGAGATGAGTCTGTCCTCGCTTCATCTGCCCTCTTCTTCCTGGACTGTGCACGGAAGGCAGCGAGTACTTTGCGATCTGGAGGATTCGGAAATGCGCAAACGGTACCAAGTCTTGTGCAACGTGCACAGCTTGGGAATTCTCTCGAACATCGCAACTGTCATACGTCAATTCTAGTCTCTGATGGTGTGGACTAGGTTGTTGGGTAAGCTAGCTAGCTACCTTTTGCTCACGGCACCGCCAGCAAGCAGTTCTTGCCAACCCCGGCATGACTGTTCGATGAATATGGTCAGGTCGGTCTCATCGAGGAGGGAGAAAAATGCAGTGCCGCACCGAACGCTGGGCAGTGTGCCAAGCTCTGAGGAAGGCCTTGACCGGATGGACAAGTCTTATCTTTGAGACGGATGGAATCTTGTCATTTTGTGCGTGCTTGTGCATGAATGGTACCCGTTGGAAAGAGCATGGGTGGTTTCTTCAAGCATGAGTCAAAGGATGGTTGAGTGTATGATGGAATCTAGGTAAAAGACTGAAGCGAAGAGTTAATCGTAGTGAGGTGCCTGGCCTATCTTTTCTAGGTACCTTTCCTACCTTGGTAAGGTAGTTCTCACCCCCCCAAGCCAAGTATAACTTCTTGCACTAGCCCGCTAAAGAGGATCAAGATTAGGGGCCGGTCTACTTAAGAAGCGCCCGGGCATGGCGCTGATGGAACCAGGTAGCGAAGGAAGAATAGCGGGAGATTCGCACCATGTGACTGAAGGTAGTCGCATGTTTCCTGCATTTCACTTTGGGAACATCGGATTAGCAACGACAAAGGAAATGAATTTTTGTTCAGTACGAGTACTCAGGTAGGCAATGACCTTCGCCTCTGTTGGTCAGGAATTGTTGTTGGTCCGTTATATGTCGAAAGCTGCCGTACTTTGTTCTCCCTCGTCTCAGAGAGACACATTTTGTCTCAACTACGAACCTCGCTCGTATCTATGTCCACTTCTCTCTACAGAGAGACACACTCGATACGATGTAGGAGTAGTGAACGACACACAGAGGGATATCATGATGCGAGTCAGAAATTTACAGTAGTGGAAACCTCGGCAATCGTGCTCCCTTCTACTCCGTACCTAGGTAGTAAATAATACAAGACCCCCCCCTACTTGGAAATTGTGGAGGCATCTGCGTACTGCGCTTTTGCCCTGACTCAGTTCACCATTCTACCTCACATCGGGCAACACTGGGCTTCCCCACGGGGCGCTTGACTGCCGGCACTGCGTGCCGCACCAAATATTCCTCCGCTCGGAAAGATATTCGAAAAACAATATAAGCCATCCATCTGGCGAAAGTAATGTCTCTCTAGTTTACTTGGTTATCCTCACTTTTCCCAGCACAGTCAATTACCCCAGTCCAAAGCCAAACCTGCTACGAAGATGCGAGCAGCACGATACTACGGCAGGCGCGATATCCGGGTCCTTGACGTTCCGATTCCTGAGCCAGGACCGGGGGAATGTCTCGTCGAGATTGAATGGTGTGGCATTTGTGGCAGCGATTTACACGAATATGTCGCAGGTATGGAGAAGCAGTACGATGGCGTTTTCGAGATGTGTGGCCATTGCTAATGCTGAACCAAACCACAGGTCCGCTGGGTATACCTACAGCTGAGCGCCCTCACGCTCTCACAGGTAGTACGCTACCTCTGACTCTTGGCCATGAGTTTTGCGGCCGTATCAAGTCGGCCCCCGAAGGGTCCAAATGGACGGTGGGACAAGCTGTGATGGTGGACCCTCGACTTGTCTGCCGGAAATGTTTGTCGTGCACCTCGGGGTCCGACCATATGTGCAGCGGACTCGGCTTCCTCGGAATCAGTGATTCAAGACGAGGAGGTGGTTTGTCGGAATTCTGTGTCGTGGAAAGTGACCACATCTATGCACTCCCTGATAATGTTAGCCTCGACTATGCGGCGGTCATTGAACCACTGGCCGTGGGTCATCATGCGGCCAAGATGGTAAACTCTAGCCTGGAAGGACTGGACGTTCTCATCGTCGGCGGTGGCCCCGTCGGAGTGGGCATGGCATCCGTGCTGCGTGCGCATCGAGTGGGAAAGATGCTCCTGAGCGAACCTTCATCCGCCAGATGGCGACATGCAAAAGAATTGGTCGACAAGGTCATTGACCCGAAAACCGAGAATGTGGGAGACATCTGTCGAGACCTGACCGGCGGAAAGGGTGTCGATGTGGTGTTTGACTGTGCGGGTGTTCAGGTAGGGTTCGATGCGGGAGTCGACTCGCTGGAGCACGGAGGAACGCTGGTGAATGTTTCGATCTGGGAACAATCTGTGAGATTTTTCACGGTTCGGCTTGGAGTCATATTGTACTGACCGGAGGCCAGCCTGCGATTCCCTTTTGGAAGTTTTTCTTGAAAGAACTCAAGATCGTGTCTTCGTGCTGTTATAATGCACAAGATTTTCAGGAAATGATGGATATGATGGGCGAAGGTGAGTTCGAATTTCCACGCCCAACCGATGCAAGGCTGACCAGATATTCCAAGGTAAATTGGAAGGGTACGAGAAAATGGTGACCAGTCGAGTCGCCCTTGAAGATGTCGTTGCGAAAGGGTTTGAGGAACTGGTCAACAATCGAGACGATCAGGTCAAGATTCTGATCTCACCCAAACTAAAGGCTGGACACGCATAACGGTCACGAATGGCCCTGTGAATGAATAGGAGAGTGGGCGAGCCACGGCGCCAAGATGAAGAATGTCGGTTATTTCTACGGAAGACTCGTATGTTCAAAGCAAGTAGATAGAGTATTACAAATGTCAAATGTCAGAATACGTTAGCTACATACAGCACACTCTTTCTCACACTTCGACTTTCTTACGGACGTTGTGTCGGTGGAGCGAATCATGTACTCGTATTGCAAAGTGGACTCCACATACAATGACTACCTACCTACTTACTCGAGTACCAATCGTAGTACTCGTACCCACCCACCCAGATGCTCGTAGTATCTAGTACTCGTTCTGTGTCCTCGTACAGTGTATATAAGTCCACACGCCCCCCAACCCCTTTTGTACTCCCTTTTTCTCCCCTTGTGTTTTTCTCTGTGGGAGAACCTGTCGAACCGTCCATATATCATGTGCCTAGGGAGTACCACTGGACTGATATAGTATTGGACTTTTGAAAACATGGCCGACAACCACCCCCACCACCACGACCCATCACGGTCACCTCCCCAACTCTCCCTGTCCGAGCACGACCTCGGCCTCAACTTCAAGGCCACCTTCACCGAAGAGATCCTCCCATTTTCCATATCCGTCTCGGAGGAGTTTCTCGGCCTCACCAAACTCAAGGTCTCCCTGACGAGGTTCGTCGACGATCAAAATCAACCGGACCACGAAGATGGGCCACCGCGACGTGAGGCCGAGGCCGTAGCCCGGCATTGGTGTGAGTCGTACGACTGGAGAGCGGTCGAGGCCTCTCTCAACTCACGCCTCGAGCAATTCACCACCATGGTCCACACGGCCCGGACTTCACTTCACCCTTATCCCGGGCCCATTCCTCTACACTTTGTCCACCACCGGTCCCCACGGGCCGACGCCGTCCCTCTGCTCTTCGTCCACGGCTGGCCGGGTTCTTTCATCGAAGTCTTGGACATTGTCGATCAACTCACGAATCCGTCGGACCCTTCCCACTGTGCGTTCCACGTCGTCGCCCCTTCGATCCCGGGGTACGGGTTCAGCCCGCCCCCACGCTCTCCCGGTTTCGGTTACCGACAGGCCGGGGCGACGTTCCACTCCCTGATGGTCAAGTTGGGTTACGACAGGTACGTGTTCCAGGGAGGTGACGCCGGGGATTTCATCAACCGATACGCCGCCGTGGATTTCCCCGAGAGTGTCGTTTCGGGTCTGTCGAATTTTTGGGTCGTTCCTCCTACAGCCGATGACGTGGAGCGGTACAACGGCAGACGCAAAGGCAATTTGGATGACGACGGTGACGAAAAATACACGATCGAATCTTACCGTCGATTCACGACTCAATCCTGGGCTTACGGTCACCTACACCAGACCCGCCCATTACGTCTGGCGGTGGGACTCACAGATAGTCCCGTCGGGTTGGCAATGTGGATTTATGATTCTGTCCGAACCGGAGTCGACGACCCGGACAAGATTTGGACCCCTGACCGTGTCGTCACTTGGACCATGATGCACTGGATCAATGGACCTTACGGGGCTTTTGGGTTGTACAAGAACGGTGCCAAGGTGAGTGAGTTTTGTCGTACTCGAACTTATCCCCCCAGCTCCAGGTCATCATTCTCTGTGTGACTGACTCGCTGCCAAAAACAGGACGGTGCGATCTCACCGACGGGTATAAACTTGTTACCCTACGTCCATCAACCGGTGGCCATCTCAGAATTCCCGTACGATCTGTGGTACCGTACGCCTTTGGAGTGGGCTCGAAGAGGTGGCAACGTCAAGTATCGTACCGTCCATGATCGAGGGGGTCATTTTGCGTCTCTGGACGCCCCGGATCTACTCGTTGACGATATCCGGCGGTTTTTCGGGGACAGGGAGGTGTCTAATACGAAAGTGTTTTTTCGAGAATGAGAAAAATTAAATACAGTGCACTTGAGGATCGCAGCCAAGGGGGAAAGTCCACAACTGTGACATGAGTATCAACATGGCATGAGAAACTTCTGGAAGTATAGTATACAAGTAGTGTCGGCGTTGGTATTACATCTAGAATATCACTAGCAAAAGATCCGAGCGACAAACATTGATATTGACATCATTCTCATGTACTTGACAATTTCGATACGACACAGACAGCAATAAACATGTCGAGTGCCAGTTCAAATGACAGTACCTTTGTTCTGCTTCTTGTCGACATTATAATTCTTCCACACCGCAATGGCTGGAATGGCAAGCACCAAAATGGCGGTGGCGGCGATCGAACCGTACCTTTGAGTCTCACCCCACGCGTAATCGATGGCGTCTCTGGTTGGCGAATCCACGGCATAAGTCATCTGTTTGGTGTATCCGCCCAGGAAAATAGTTTCGTAGTCTCCTTTGGTGTCGGCGGGTAGTCTCCGCAGCAGTGACTGGGGGAAGACGTTGTCGTAGATGGCGGCGGCGACGGCGTACCCGATGGCACCACCCAGGCTGGCGAAGAGATTGATCAGGGACAGCATCATGGGAACGCCGTCGCGATCGGCGGCGGCCATGACGGCCATGTCCTCACCGATGACGAGGGTGCCTCCCGCGAACGCGATGAAGATCTGACACATGATCAGGTAACCTATGCCGTGGTCGTTGCCTCGGAAGTGGATCATCAAGCCGGCACCCAAAAACATCAGGGGCAGGGCGAAGAAGAGGCACGTGTACTTGAAGTGCTTGGTGAGGCGGACCCAGCATCCGAACACGACCCCCCAGAAAGTCGAGCCCACGTTGTAGATCTGGCCCATGTAACCCGCGTCGGAGAAGGAGAGGTTGTACACCACCAGGACGAACTGGTAGTAATAAACGTCCCAGCAGTAAAAGGAAAAGTAAAGGATGGCCGCCAGGGAACACGCCCCGAGCACCGTACGCTGCCGGAACAACTCCCAGCGGACAAAGTGGACCCGGGCGAAAAATTTCTCCCAGATGGCGAACACGGGGAAGAGCAGAACCCCAACCACGATCATGGCGATGAACGTGGCCGACGAGTACTGGGCTTTGCCGTTGGTGTTGAGGGAGAAGGGCAGCAGGAAAAGGACAAAGGCGGCCATGAGCAGGATGGCCCCGACGATGTCGAATTCGTGGAAATAATGCACAAAGGACTGGATTGGAGACCGGCCGCTAGCTTCGTTCTTGAACAGGCCCATCCGTTCAGCCTTGCGTTGAAAGTACTTGAAGACGACCACGAGTGGCATGAAGACGAAGAACATGATGATGCAGAATGCTCCGTAGCCCCATCGCCAGGTCGTCGTGTTCAAGAAAGCCTGACCCAGTAAAGGTGCGGTGAATGCGGTGCAGATGAACGGCGTGCCGACAAAGGCAAAAGCAAAGGCTCGATTGCGTAGTCCCGAAGTGTCTGCCACGAAGACGTCGAGGATCAGGTAGATAGCGTCGTAGCCGATCCAGTAGAGAACGTATCCCGCCGCGTAGCCGCTAGGTCCGGTCGACGAGGCCAAGACGATCATGCCAATGAGGTATACACAGACGAAGAGGAAGAAACCTTCGGCACGACCCCAGATGTTGAGAATCTTGGCGATGGGAAGTTTCAAGACACCACCGATGATTGTGGACAAGATATTGGCGGTCGTCAACTGTGGTGCGGCGATGAAGTCGGCGTAGGCTGCCGCATTGAAGAGAGTGGTTGTCCCTTGCTGTAGGGCCAGCATGAAGAAGCAGACCCAGATCCAACCATAGGTTGCGTAGACGGCCCATTTGGGCCAGACGAGAGCAGTGGCTTCGGCCTTCCTGACACCCAGCTGGGCACCTTCGGTGATGCTATTGGGATGGCGTTGGACTTCCTTTTCGTTGCGTTCCTCCAGACTCAAGTCGTCAGAGTCGGAGTCCGTAGGGACATCCGTAGGAGCGTCCAGTGGACCGTCGGATTTTTGAGCACCAGGAATGCTGGAGCCGCTGCGAACCTCTGAGGGACCAGTTACCTGGGCCTTGAGCTTGGATAGGAAGCCCATATTGGCGTGGTGGTAGGGTATCACTTGTAACACAACGTACTACTCTCGTACTGTATATGTAGATGGGCGCCGGGGAAGAGATAACCGAGAGAGAAAGAAAAACGTGGTTTTCTCTCTCGCAGGGTTGATACCCATATTTATTGCATGATCAGGGCATGGTGTATACCTACCAGACACGGACGATGCAGGGGCGGGTTGCACTACGAATGGTCAGTCTTGTATCCGCAGTGACATCTGATAAGATAAATTTCTCGCCGTTAGCTCCACTAGGTTAAAGAAAATTCTGGTGATGGTGGCATTGAGTATTGTGGAGGGGGATGAGACAAGGGTATGGACGAGTAGGCTCTCATCCATTCCGGTAAAGCCGAGTTTGCGGGTCGTGTACAGGACCGTACTCGAGGGACTTTTACATACGAGGACAGGGTGAACCCTGTGTGTGACCACTACAGCCCCTCAAGCATGACAGTTACAGGCTGGAAGGAGTACAAGAGTCGAGCTTGACGAAGCTTGCTGGAGCTTCGCGGCGCCAACATTCTTGGCTTGTGTTCCGACGATTGCGGGTGGATTCCAGGCTGTAAGAACATAAATAATACGGACATCAGTTGGCGTGCCAATAGTCAGTTCCGTTCAGAGCATCAACAGCCCGCGTCAACTAGGCGAAATGAGGCATTTCTGGTGGAAAATCTTTCTTGTTGTTGGTTTTAGGCGTCGTAATCAAATCTTATCGCCTTCAACTTGCCTCGACTGACATCCATGACCCTCAATCATATCTTATCAATCGACTCGAGAACAATATTTCGGGAGCATCATACATCATCAACACCATGCATTGGGATCCTCATCTGCATGTTGACGTCCTTTGATACCTTACCTGCGTAATGGTGACCTCCACAACCATCAGGCAATACTCGTAGTAGCCCTGTCTAGCCTAGCGACCCGACCGTGAGCTGGGGGCCATGTTGCCTTGTAACACACGTCTTCCACAACGGTGTCCGATGCTCGGAACACTAGGACCATCTTTCTACGAAGGCAACGGAGCACCCAATTCTTTTCGCTTCCGACGGTAGTAACAATTTAGCCCATCTTATAGTCCAGCGGCAACATGTCCAGGGCTTAATTACTAGACCTAAATGGACATCTTTAGTATTGATTGAATCGTCGTCGTCAATATTTATCCCGCGTCACCTTGATTCCTGAGATCAGAACAACATGGAAGGCAACATGTCCAGAACGTTCCAAGGCAGAGCGCGTTTGACATCTCTCGCATGCCTGGAAAACCAATCGACAATCGAATAATCCCTCAGCGCAGCGTGGCACCGCGCGACGAGACGAGCATGACATAGCTCATTATTCAGTTCATACGAGGACTTGGTAAAGAACATTTGAACAACGACAGTTCCAGTACGAATGTCCCACAATGATGTTAACAGAAAGTCCTCCCATGGTACGATAGGAAAAGAGTGACGAGGCTTGTCTCTTCAACAAGGCTGATTATCTAATGTGCCGTTCAAGCCCTATCTGCATCAAGGGATACTCCTTGTGCCGCAGATTCGGATTTGACTCTAGTAGATCTGACTCTTTTTGATTCACAATCTCTCCTGAGTTAGCTAATCTACCGCACAGGGAAAACAACCGGGTAACGGACCACATCCGAACGGTATTAATAGGTAAATGAGGTACGAGTACGGAGTACTCCATGTCCATGTCGGAAGATTTCCGCCCGAGTCCCGCTTTGTTCGTGGTTTCTCTCCCCCGCGCAGAACCCCGAAAAAGCACCACAACGGCAGCACCACGCAGCAAGTAACCGGTAGTTGAACCACAACGAGCGTTTAAAAGGAAATTGTACGGAACATCCACTGTAATATATCATCGACAAAGCTCCCTACGGAATCAACCCCTGCCTAAACGGGGTTTTTTTCGTGTTGGAAAGAGGAAGTCTCCACGACGCCTCACATCGATTTACATCTACTTCTCTCACCTCGACACTTTCTTTTTGGTACTCTCAACTCGTCACTGATTTCTTCTCGACCGACTCTTCATATCCGTACCGACAATGACGACCGCCAAAGTCGCCCTCGTCACCGCCTCCAGCGCCGGTTTGGGTGCCGCGACCGTCAAAGCCCTGGCTCCCTTCTTCCGGGTGGTGGTCAACTACAACTCGAGGCTGGAAAAGGCACAGGAGGTGATTTCACAGGCCTCTTCGATCGCTCCGACGTACACCCTCTCGACCAACGAACAGCGCTTCCACGCCATCAAGGCCGACGTGTCACAGAGGTCCGAGATCCAGCGCCTCGTGGCCGAGACCGTCGGCGTCATGGGCCGGCTGGACGTCGTGGTCAGCAACGCCGGTTGGACCCGACTGACCAATTTCTTCGACATCGAACAGCAGGTCAACGAGGAAGATTGGGACCGTTGTTTCAACGTCAACGTCAAGAGCCACCTGTGGCTGCTGTACGCCGCCAAGGACCACCTCGAAAAGGCCGCCGACGAGGAGGGTGGCATCGGCGGCGCCTTCGTCACCGTCGCCAGTCTGGCGGGCGTGAGGCCGAGCGGTTCCAGCCTGCCGTACAGTGTCACCAAGGCGGCCGAGATTCACCTGACAAAGGGTCTCGCCATGATCTGTGGTCGGAAAATCAGGTGCAACAGTGTCAGTCCTGGCTTGATGTTGACCGAGTGGTAAGTTTTTCTTTTTTGGCTCTTTTCTTTCTTTTTGTGCCTTGCCTTTTCTCTTTTCCCCTTCCGCTCTGACAAAAAAAAAACAGGGGCAACAAATTTCCGGAAACAAAAGTCAAAGCTACTACCGATAAATCGGCTCTCAAGTCGACGGCCGTTCCCGAAGACGTAGCGGATCAGATCAAGACGGTGGTATTGAGTAAATCGATCACAGGCCAGAATATCGTCATGGATTGCGGTATCGCCATATAGAAAATACAAATCTAAACCTCAAAGAGCACTCTCGTGGTTCATCATGTCATCCTAACGTATTTAGCTAAGCTATGGTTAAGCCACATCCCATCCGGCCTGGTCTCTGTGTGTACTCCGTCGAGATTCACACAGGATCATGGGAGATCCTCATCAATAATGACACCCTCTATTCCGACTGCGTCCAGCTCGGCTCTGCTGTGACCGGAATACCCAACCTGGTCATCGTTGCTGCTTGATGGACCTTCGCACCCAAGCCAATCTCCATGAAGCTCCTGAGAACCCATGCTGCGGGGGTCCATGTTCAGTAGTTCTATATCGGCTGATATCCGTTCCATCCTATCGTTGCTCGTGGCGAGGCGTACTAGTCTGGTGCTATCCCGTTGCCTATTCTTTGCAAGCAAGCTGTCGAACCTGCCTCTTTCGACATGCAAAAGTCGAAGTGCAGTAAGATGCTCGTCCGATCTTTCGCGTAATCGTAAAAACAACCCTCTTAGCGCGGTGATGCTTCTGATGACCAGCTTCCTGACATCATCATCTTCAAGGCGAATATTGTCCGTATCGTTGGGTTGGTGAATGAGGAGAGCACGAAACCAGTCGGATGGCAGGATGTCATTTTGGGCGATCGGGCCAAATATGTAGTGACACATATCGAGTTCTGTGAGTATGGCCTTCAAGATTGGGCGTGGGATGAGAATTGAATGAGACATTCTGGGATAGGGTGGTGGTAATGCTAGAGACCTCGAGGCATGGATGTCGAAAGAGGCGGTCGTGAAATGCGAAGTCGACCCAGCATTGCATCGTCGTTATATACCCATAGTCGACAAACAGTGTCGACGGCGACTCAAACACTTCTCCGAACAGAATCAGGCTCGTTGCACGTTCATATCCAACTGTGGGAGTGTCGTAGATGTTGACAACATCTCACAGGTTTGAAGGACGATGCTATTGCGGCCCTGAGCCAATATTGGGCACGCATCTTGACAGGTTTTTGTTTAGTCACGAAGATAACACATTCTGATACGCATTCAGTCGCCCATAACATTGGTCCCGGGCTCTAGGCGTGAGAGTGTGTCCAATGCCACCTTGCAGCCCCTTTTGACCGTATCCTTGTCCGACTTTGATATCAGGTCAGAGTGTCGGACATTCTTTTTGACAAAGTATTGCAAACGTTTGATGACCTGAGGTGTCTCGATTGCTCGATCAAACAACTTCGGTAAAGAATCGCTCTTCGAATTCCTGGCCTCAATCATGATCATGATAAGCAACAACTCGACAAACATGCTTGTTCGTTCTTTGATGTATGCCAAATCGAGCACCTTGAGCACACCAATAGTCACACCTCCATCGAGGATAAGGTGAGCATACAGCTTTGCCAGGTTCGCAATCTCGTTCATCTCGACGTTTTGATCTCCATCGTCGTTCGTATCATCGTCAATGTCTGCGTTCTCACCTAGCCTCCTGAAAAATCCCCACAAGGCGAATTGAAATGCTTTACGCAAGCGCTTTTCCAGGCACAGTCTCTTAGCCACCAGCGTGTAGTAGTGGTTGTAGGGATTCTCTCCGGCCGCACAACGAAGTAGAACTCTCGGGATCTCTTGCACTTGGTTTTGTTTGAGACGAAGCTTCATTAGGCGGACATGAGCGTCCTTGTAATCCACGGCCGACAATAGAGCCACGAAGATGGACCGCCTGACATCTGTATTCATCCCATACTCTCGAGCAAGAGCGACCAAATCAACCGAGCCATCGTTTTCATCTTCAAGTTCACCCTCAAAGATGGTGGTTGTCTCGGTAAGGTCATCTATGGCACGAGCTGATTCATTCCCTTTCCAACTCGCACCTACAAGCCACCATTTGCCCTTCTTGTCGCTGTTCTTGATATCATCTCGAGTAATCCGTAGCGGCTCCGATGCTCTCAAGGCACGATTGTTAAGACTTCCCAGCGCTTTCCTCATCTGTGTGATGTGCTCGCTGGCAAGACCCACGTTGCTCGTAGTCTTCAATTTGTTGTTCTTTAGATCTGTAATCATATCCATCATAACCCTAGTTCTTGCACTTATTTTCTCTCCCGCTGCGTTCATCTTCTCAACTGTCTTCGCCATCGATCGAACAATAGCCATTAGTGACGATGGATCATCTCGTCGAAGCTGTGGTCCAGAGTCACGGACAATTCGAAGTAGTAATTCGGTGTTGTTCTCGGTCAACTCCTCAAGCAAGAGCCTGATATGATCGAAGATAATTGTGCTGCTCACAACGTTGAATGTGAACAGGTTGGACAACAAACTGATTAGATTCAATGCTTCCTTTCCAGCTGCCTCGTCGCCATGATATAGGTCGAAGCGATCCACAAGTTGTGAAAGTAGCTCTGCACCGAAGTCTACCCCAATCACTTTGTAGACGGCTGCTGAAAATGCTGCATGGAGGATAACGAATGTATTCTGAAGAGTCGACTTGCTGCTGAATTGGGTCAGAAGCATTTCAATGAGAACAGATGTGACGTCTTGTCTGGGATTCGACTGATAGACCTTCTCAACCTCGTCAAGTATAGATATGAGATTGGCTTCGGATAGCTTGTTCAGGTGTCCTTGAAGTTGACGCTTTAGTCTCTCTAGAGACGCTCCCTCAGAATTTTGCGCTTTCCTCAGCGACGGAGGGACATATTTGGAACCAGATGCATTCGCTGCAACAGGAGCAACGTAAGGGTTCTCGCGAACCTTCGCGGGTCGAGTCTGGGGCCTATGTTCCTCTTCTGATGCGAAACCCTCAAAATCATCTTCATCTTCATCGTCTTCGGTAAATCCCTCAAGGTCTTCATCTGACAAGTCGTCTTCATCCATATCTAGATATCTGGCACTGTCGTCCTCGTCAACATCAAGACCTTCGTCGTTGTCCTCATCCCGATGTGCTGTCTTCCTCCTCTTACTCTCAAGCCAGTCGTCTTCTTCGTTCGCGTCCTTGTGTCCGCTCTCCTCCTCGTCTAGACCTTCAAGCAGATCATCCAGACCATCTTCAGTGAAAGACTTTGCTCTGGCTCTCTTCTTCAGCCCGAGTTTTCTCTCAAGCGCACTGATCTCTGCATCGTCCTGCGCCGCTCGGTCTCTGAAGGCTCTCGAGGACACATCTAAAACAAGGCCAGGCGACAAGGACCGTGATCGACCCGTGTCGTCTTCAACAGATATCGATTTTGAGGGTGAGGGCGATCGATGTTTCGGCTTCTTCAATATGCTCTTTGGCGTGGCCTCGTCTTTCTTTGAGACTCTCTTCATAGTCGGCGGCGCTGGCAGAGAATCTTCCTCGCTCTCCCCATATTGCTCGTCCTCGTCCTCATCGTCTTGATGATCTTCCACTCTCCTTTCCGGCTTCGAAACTTCCCTACGCTTCTTCTTCTCCAGGCGTTCAGCCTTGCGCTGTTCTTTTCTGTTCCTCAGCGCGCCATTCTGCGGTCGCCATCCCTGTGACTTGTTCTCTAGGCCCAACTCTCTCTCCAATGCAAATGGTAATTTCACGCCATTTTGACGTCTTGCCTGTCGCCCATTTGGTCTTGACATCTGGACCTTCGTCCTTGCGGCAAGCGACTGTCGACTCGTTCGTTAGAACAATCATGCACCAAAGTCGAGAAACTGCGACATTGTAGAAATTATTTCTGGCCGCGGCATTAACCGGCGATAAGCGAAGTGCCCTTCAATGGTTAGCGCAATCTTCCCCCACTGAACATCATAGTTTGGCGACCACAGTACAAAGTCCTTGTACGGGAATTCGAGCAGTCAAGTGCGACCAGCCAGCCCATACAGCAAGCAACAAAGGTGCTCCCGGGCAGGATGGCTCAAGAACGTCTGAGCAACGAGAAAGTTAGTAGTTTCTGGACCAACGTCCCAAGACAATCATGTTCCCAAAGCTAATCGAATTATCATTACACAGTTTCTCTCCGGCCTTGCGCAGCTATTCAACTCAACCCACAGTCAGGCCCATGGCTCGGTGTTCCTGACTCAAAAGCCTCTGTCTACCGAAATCCCTTCTTCACAAATATTGATCCGCGCCACAAATGGCCTCTCGAAAGCGCATCGCACGCCGAAGACGAAGAGCACGAAACTCAGACTTGCGACTGTCGTCGAAACGGCCGGTTTAGACACATTCTACACCCGGTACGCCGAAGTATGCAAAAAGGGTATGGAGGCTCTAAGGAAGAGAGATAAGAAGAAGGCCAAGGAGAAGGCGAAAGCCAAGAAGAAGAATAAAGGAACAGGTGCTGCTGCTGCCGGTGCGCCGAGTTGAGATGGAACGAACGAACGATCTTTCACGACTAGACACCGTACACAACATGGACGAAAGACATTGAGCAAATGGACTTGCCGCTTTCTAAAGAAGCCACCCGTTACCGACGCAACAGGCACACATGCGAGAAAATAATTTCGAAAGGTCCACCGGCCCATTTGTACACGCCGGCTCTGTTCATGGCTGATCGAAGCATATACATCCAGCCGCGATGGGGACGATCAAGCATGAATAGGAAGGGACTATCTACCGATACCCAATAGAAGGCGGCACGGTCAACGATGACCACCTGGGCGACTTCAAGCTAAAACCATGTGCTAGTGCGAGAACGCTAGAATGGAACATCGAACGGAGGACAAGATTTTCAATTGCTCATAGATGTGGGGGAAATGGACAGTCATGTTTTATGCAAATCTGTTCTCTCTGGCCTGAGTATACCTACATAGCTAGCAAAATAAATTTCCACCATACTTGGATTGTTGTTATCGTAAAGTCTTACTCCTTCCCATAAACACCATGCTCAAAGACAAAAAACAGGGTTGGATGGCTAGATGATATACACCCTTTTCAATATTGCAAAATGAGTAGCTATATTACTTGCGTAGCAACTCAATCCAAATCAAACATCGAATCAGTATCATTGTCGTTGCTTATTGCTGTCGACATTCTGGGACTATCGCTCAGACTTCTTCGTCGACGGATAGGGATGCCGAAATCATCCTCGTCATCACTGCCGTGATGCCTGGAGCTGACTTGATCCGGAAAACTCGACCTTCGCCGGTGTTGATCTGGTTTTCGAAACAGATCACCACTGAGTAAATCACTGACAGTGGCACCTCCAGCTATCCTAGCAAGTATATGGACAAGGAGAACAACTGCTTCAATAGGCTTGACCAAGGCTATATTACAGGCTTTGTGGAGAATCTCGGAAGTAAAATGGTTCCCTTGTGTTGGCGACGGTGGTGAGAAGATTGTTGTAGAAGGTGGGAGAGGAGATAGCGACCGTTTCTTTTCAAGTCGTCGTCTCAAACCGGCAGTCACTGGTGACTCAGGGGTACATACCTCCGGCCAAGATGAATCTGAAGTAGGCGATCTCCCCAATGCAGGCGTTGATGGCTTGTCTGAAGAGTCGTCCGCGGATTGGCGGGCGTCAACATTGGAGGCTGTGATAGTCATCTCTGAAACACCCCGTTTGTGTTGTGGTTTTGATAGAGAAAATGGATCAAATTTTTCATCTTTGGGGGTCTTTTCTGTGTCAAATGCCCGTATGGACTGTTCTGAAAAGTCTTCTGCCAAAGAGTTCGTTGTATGGAACGAGTCCAAGCTTGAAACGCTGCTTCTTGCATCGTCATCTTTTGATGGTTCCTCGGCTTCATCGACTGCATTCAAATCGAGAAGTGATTGCTTGGCTTCAATTGACACCTTTTCTTTTTGCGAATCATTTTGTGTAGATATTGGGTCGGAGTTGGCAATATCGCTCGCGGGTTGGCTTTCTGAAGCATATTCATCGATGGATGACGCCGAGGAGATCTCTGCTTGAGCGGACGCAGGGGCGGGGTCAGCCGGCGGTGATAATTGTTCAGGAGAACTTTCTTCCTCTGGCACAACGCTCTCTTCTGTCACTTGCAAGAATTCTTGAGAGTCTGGCTCTTCCTTAGTACTTCCGGTCTGGTCAGAGTTGTCTTCCAGGCGATGAGAGAAGGACTCGGTCTTTTCATTGTGAGACTGATCGCCCGCAGTGTGTCCATCTTCTGCTATAGAAGGAACATCGGTGGTCACGCTGTTAGCCGAGGGGTCTTCCTTCGCCGCAATCTCTACCGGATGGGCCTGTGAAATGATATCCGACTCTGTGTGATCAATGTCCCTTAGTGCTGTCGATTCGACCTCGGTGGCATGATCAGACTGTCTATCTATAGAAGACTTGCTAGAAGAGCGCGAATTGCTTTGCAAGTCTGATTCGGCGGTCAAGACATGATCCTCAGGCATCGGCGAGGGGTTGTCGCTGTGGCCTTCGTCGTCTTGACTGTATGATTCTTCATGTGCTCTGTCGCTCATCATTTCACTAGATGCCAGACTAGATGGTGTACTCGGACGCCACCTGTCGCCTTCCAAAGATGGGATCGGGGAAGTGTCACGAGACAATGAATAACCATAATCCGATCCACGACGACCATATGTATGTAAGGGTGTCGAGCTTGTAGGACCTTGCAAGCTCCATGCCCTTGATGTCTTCGATCTGCGAAGAGGCAATGGATCTGTTGAAGGACTTGTGGGTTGCGAAGGTGGTCTCCTTTTCCAGACACCTTTCCGACGAGGTGTAATGGCGTCCTCTGGAAGATCGACGTGGAAAGCTCGTTTGAACGGGCAGGGCGTCCTCTCATACCTGAGGACTTTACTCAGCACAGTCTTCAGTTCTTCCACCTTCTGTTTGTCCTCCTGTGTTTCTGAGGGCAGTTCTATTCGATAATAGCGGAATTTCCCAGTTCTTAAAACGAATTTAGATTCACCATCAACACACCAACATTGCGAGTTGCGCATGATGGTGTGGATGACTTTCTGATCCGCAGATTTCAGGAAATTGCTGGAGCCACGAACTTTCTCGATCATGATCTGCCCAGTCGCAGCTAAGGTTTCGGTTCTCGACCTCCATGGCAATGTTTCTATTGTATCGACCGGATAATCAGTGTCGGGTGGAATATCTTTGTTTTGCGCAGGGATTGATTCCTTGGGCGGCGAGAAGGCAATGATGCGCGCCGAGGGATGGGAAAACAAGACATTGGCGTCAGCATCTGATCTGTCGAGACCTGCTCTCTCATGTACGGACAACTGTCGCGCAGGTAAAGTGAAGGACCTCCGAAACCCTTGTAGTGGAGGTCGATCGCCGTAGGAATGGGTGGCCATACTGCATCTTCGAACGGTATTGTAGGTAAGCAATTGATACAAGATTCAAGACTATAATCGGTGATATGTTTTCAATGCCAATATTCGACATGCGAGGTAAACATTCCAGCAACAATGCTGCGCGTTAGAAGGCGCAGTTGACTTTGGTAAATAGCGGGCGCCACAAGCGCCTAGTGAGCCCGAGAGCAGCAGCGCTTGCGTTGCGGGGTGAGAAGCAGCAGTCTTTTAACTAGGCGAGGTTGACAGTTCCTCGCTAGAGATGTGACATGAACCATCCAAAATAACAACATCAAGGCATGGCAGCCATGACTGAGCTTAGCCTCTCTGTACATTATCTACTGTACAATCGATCGATGGCGATAGCCGTTGTTTTCAAAGTGCTTTGTCCACCATTTGGTCAAGTCCCTGGTGTCAAGTTGTCAACTATGCCAAATGCTCTGAAAGGCTTGACTTCAGCCTCGTGTGCCCAGACTGGCTAGCATAGCCTCGTAATCATCGTCAGCCTATGACATAATGTGGTTTGTGTGCTCAAAATGTCGTGTGCCTGATGGCTTTTCCCCTTCCCTTCTTTACCTTCTTCTCGGTCCGACATTTCATTTGAATAGACGCACTGGTAGAGGTCGGACCAGCTGTGACGGTGCAATATTCCTGGACCAATCTCTGCGAATATGTCGAACTTCGACCCGAATGCTCTCCTACGCGGAGCTCAGTTGACGTTCGTCGGAGCCCATAGAGCCCTTCAAAACCCAGAGCTTTTTACGACCTCTCACTACCGGCAAGCTGCGATTGCCGTATGTGCTGGCCTTGCTATCCGAATCATCATCAACATCCCGATCTACGCAGTCAAGTTCCTGCTCTTGGTCCTTTCACTTGTCATCAATCTCGACCACGAAACATGGGACGATAAACTAGTTGGCGGCTTGGACTTCATCTCCAAATCCGTGCTTCAGATACCATTCTTCCTGATGATGGTGATGAGCTCGGTAACTCCGACCCTGGACAACCTCTTCATGGACTCCTTGCGATGGGTCGACCAGACATATGTCCAAAAGCACAAATCCGAAGACCCGTCAACATTACGAGCCATGTACTATCCTACACTCAAGATGTATTCCACTCACGGAGAACGAGAGAAGAAGGAGAAACGTAGTCTCGTGGACGGCGTCATTCTCACAGCTGGCAAATACGCTCGACGAGCGGGCATCTCGCTCGCCATCTACGCCTGTACCTTCTTACCTCTGGTTGGGCCTTTTGTCCTTCCAGCAGCATCTTTTTACACTTTCAACAAAGCCGTCGGCCCTGTTCCAGCGGGCATTGTGTTCGCGACCGGTCTCATCTTACCCAAGCATTACATGGTATCATTTTTACAAACGTATTTTTCAAGCAGAAGCCTTATGTCCCGGCTTCTGGAACCGTACTTCCACCGTATTCACTTCACCAAGCAACAGAAGAAGGTGTGGTTTATCGATCGAAGTGGTGTGCTGTTTGGATTCAGTGCTGCTTTTGCAGTCATGGTGAAGGTGCCTCTCTTTGGCGTGCTGATATATGGTGTTGCGGAAGCAAGTACGGCATATCTCATCACCAAGATCACTGAACCACCGCCACCACCAGGAGAGAGCGCGGAGGCATTCATCGAAAGTGAGGTCCGATGGAAGAATAAGCACCAGTTTCTCGATCTACCTTTTGACAAGTTGGACGAATTCAATGCCAAAATGACTGGGGCCGAGAATATTGGGAGGGCACCAACCCCAGAAACACCGAGGAGAAAGTTCACCTAACGAAGTAAAAACGCAGTGTCAAGGTTGTGGGAAGGCTAGCAAGTATCGTTCATCATCTTACAGTTTTGATGTTGACGTACCGTTAGTTTCAATGGGGTCTGCTTCCAGACTTGCTTGGCCAGGAATACCCCGTAAACATAGCAGAGTCCCATGATGGCACTGGCATCTCTAATATTTCTATACAAATGGCACACTCAGTTGCTTAGATATGCCGATTATGATAATTGAAGCTCATTTCACGGACGTTTGATTTATTTATAGTCGTAGAAACCCTTCCCACTCTTCTTGCCCAACCAACCAGCATCCACATATTGCCGCAACAATACACTTGGTCTATACTTGCTGTCACCCAGCCCAGCATGTAGTGTCTCCATGATGGCCAGACAGGTATCCAGACCAATGAAATCAGCCAGTGTCAACGGGCCCATGGGCACATTTGTTCCGGTTTTCATGATGTTATCAATGTCTTCTTTGGTTCCGACACCTGTCTCAAGACAGATGATTGCCTCGTTGATATATGGCATGAGGATTCTGTTCGCAAGAAAGCCGGGGCTGTCCACCGATACTGAAGCCACTTTGCCCATCTTTTCGCAGAATGCGATCGCTGCCGCTTGGGTTTCTGGAGAAGTTTGCAGGCCCGAGATGATTTCCACACCTTTTTGAACCGGGACCGGGTTCATGAAATGTGTTGACACCACCCGAGAGGATGCTGATGTGTCTGTGGGATCTTTCGACGTTGCTCGTGCGATTCGTGTGATGCTGATACTTGAGGTGTTCGTGGCCAGTATAGCGTGTTTGGGGCAAACTTGGGCCAGTTCGGCGAAGATCTTCTCCTTCAAGGACGGGATTTCCGGCACAGCTTCAATAACCATATCAACATCAGAGAGATCTGACATTTGTGTGGTGGGCTTTAACCGATCTCTTGTAGCCTTTGCAATCTCTTCGCTGATTTTCTGTTTCGATACGTCCTTTGCCAAAAGTTTGTCGGCGAAAGCCATGCCCTTGTCGAGCGAAGCCTGCGAATTATCGACCAAGGTAACCGGGACTTGGGCTTTTTGGGCTGCGACGAGGGCAATCCCAAGACCCTAGTATGGTGGTCAGTGACGGCGTCTTGTGAAGCGGGATGTGGTTCAGCCTACCATTTGTCCAGCACCGATCACACCAAGCTTCTTTACCTCGAATTGTGTCGAGGGTGTGCTTGAGAATTGGCGGCTCAATGCGGACAGCCTCTGAGAGGCACCCGCTGACTGGGAGGACGACATTAGGCGGGACGACAACTTCGTTAACGAGGCCATGAGCGCGACGTTGAAGGAGAGGGTTTTGTATAGGGAACTTCTTTGGGCAATATTTTGAGGGCTAGACTGGTTTTGTACGATTTTTCGATACAGAGTACCTCGCCGCAAGCCGGAGATCGTTCGTAGCCGCATGGGATGTGTATCCTGCCGTAACTAAGCGGGAAGCCGAGGTGCTTCTCGACCAAAGCTCCATGTCGGAACCGAAGGTGTCAAGATATATCATTGGTGGACTGATGACATAAGCAAGCCCATTAGAAGCGTTCTCCAGCCGTGACTATTCCAACGCGTCTTGCTAGAGCACGCGTCGCGAAACATTCAAGTCGAGAATTACATGCATGTGCAGACACCATTCCACCATGCGGTTCTGAATGAGCACCAACATGAAATAATCAGCCTTGAACGAAAATATGGAGGAAGATAATCCTTTCAGCAAGGCTCAAACAGTTCATCCAGAAGTTCGAGCGTATGTTTACAGTCTGGTCAATGCTGTAAGTATAGTCCATTCATCCCCGAATGCACTCGTTGACGCCGTCTAGCTTGGTGGAAGCAGCACCGACGATGACGGTCGCTACGTGCTCGGTGACGATGCGCTTGCCTGCTTGCGCGATTTGAAGCGCTGGCTCAAGTTCTATGACGAGAAAAACAACCGCCTAGACGTGGCACGATGTCTCGCAGAAGCCCACCTTGTTGGAGGAGATCTCATACCAGTCCTTGCCTCGTGGCCCGACGATGGCAAGGCCAACAAATTGAAGGCAAGAGTTGCACTGGCATGTCTGGAATTGCTGGTACCATTGACCTGGCCGTTGGAAACAGGAGGAGAAATGACTGCGAACCACCATCGGCATACACCATATCTCCAACAGGCTCAGGTGTTATACAAGGCTGGCATTCTCGGCTGCGATACTAGTAGTATCCTTCGCCAGGTCATACGTATAGGTTTGCCTTCGATTGCTGTTGCTAGAGACGAGAGGACAAGTCGAGACGATGGTATCCTCAAACTCATGCTTTATTTCTTAAGAAATCTAGCAGTCATCCAACAGCTCCCGAATCTGCCAAGTCAGGGTCTGGATTCAGAAGTCTCTCGCTCTGCAACAATAGAGGCGTTTCGTGATCAGGATGTGTTTGCCCTTCTTTTGACAATCTGTTCGAACATGGGCGAAGACTTCAACCTTCAGGATGTAATCGTGCTAGACATCATCTTCAACCTCATTAAAGGCGTCGATCCGAAGCGATTGTGGATGACAGAACAAGAGCGAAAGGGTCACGGCATCACTGAGCTAGGAGCAGCATTGGCGCTCGAAGATAGCCAAACAAGAGGCGCAAAACGACACCAATGGAGTCGACACGGCCGGTTTGGTACCATGATCTGGGTTAAGCGTGAGGATCAAAAAATGTCTGCTGTTTCTGGGCAGGACAATCTGAAGAATGACCAGCAAGCCTTCTTCAACATGGACAAATCGAAGAAGTGGAACAAACCACAGCAGAAACGCAAAGACATTGAACACACTATCCATGATTTCGATCATACCACTCGACTTACAGACTCAGCTGCCGAAAAGCTTCGCAACTTTGTCGAGGAATTTCTAGATTCCGGCTTCAATCCATTCTTTACTCATCTCAGAAAAGCTATCGAGAGGGAAGCAGAACGTCTCACAGATGTCAACTACCGCCAATTCTTCTACACCGTGGCATGGTTCCTCGATGCGGAACGAAGCCGTAGAGAGAGACAGAAGAAGGAAAACAAGCCCGACAAGGTCCGCACAGATTTCGAAGATGAGAGCTATTCGCTTGTGGCAGCTGTGCTGAACCAGGAAACATTCATTATGCTTAATCGCTTCATGCAACTCTCTCTGGACAACAAAGAAGCTCAGGATCTCAACGCAAGCATGCGCTGCTTTACGCAAATTCTTCTTACCGTTCAGGAAATGGCACAGAGTCCAGTTGAAGAAGACCAAGAGATTGCCGACAACATCCAGAATCGAATATTCTACGAAGAGACAACACATGACAGAATTGTCAGAATCCTGCGAGAATATAAGGATCAAGGGTTTGGATACCTTGACGCCTGCACTGAGCTATCTCACGTATTCCTCCGGATGTTGGAGAGATACTCCAAAGAAAACGTTGACTTACAGATACGATCCAGACGTAGGGCCAAGAAGAAGCATAAAGAAGTCCAAAGACAAGCGGCGCAGACTGGGGCTGATCTAGGTGCGGAAGACGAAAACTCAGAAAATGAAGATATAGCAGATGTGGTTCAAGTCGCCAAAGAACGCAAGTTCGACTTCCATCGGTTCGCAGCGAAGTTTTCCACCCAAGCATCAGTCAATACCTTTGTTGCCTTAACGGCATTCTACAAGGATCTCAGCACTGAACAACTTAAGAGGGCGCATCGTTTCTTTTATCGAGTGGCCTTCAAGCAGGATTTGGGTCTGCTGCTTTATCGCGTCGATATCATTGCATTGTTTTACAAGATGATGAATGGCCCCGATGGTCTCGAATCAAAGCACCCCATGTTCAAGGAATGGTCAGAATTTACGAAACAGCTATTCAGAAAGATGTTCAAAAAGATTGAGCAACGACCCGAGTTAATTGTCGAGATGCTCTTCAGCAAAATAAACTCGACACTACATTATCTAGAATTCGGGCAAGAGAAGCAGACAATTCCAGCAACTCGCGCCCCGGCAGACTTAGAGATCCGACCCGCCCTCGGGAGAGATGTCAAAGAGCAGATTGGAATCGTCGTGACTGTCTTGCTGAAAGATGGAAAAGATGATCTTATTCAATGGGTCAAACACGTGCTTGGAAAGGCACATGACGAGAGACATGCATGGGAAGCAGAGGCAGAAGCCCGTAAGGGAGGGTCCACCGAACCTGCTGAGGAGCAGCCTGAGGCTCCTTCTGGGGAAGTTAACATCGGTCAGCCACCTATCGTTACTGTCCGCCCAGCCTCTGAAGATATCAAAACAGCCATGTTCAAGAATGGACGGCTACGATTGTTAATGACTCTTGTCGGCTTCGAACGACTTGGAGATGAAGATGTGCTCGGCGCAACGTGGATTATACCGTCGAGTGTGAACTCACAGGGTTTGGCAGAGTCGAAAGAAGCTATTGTACATTACGAGCAAATGCCCTGGCAAGCAGAAAATGCACATGAAGATGCCGAGGACATGATACGTAGGAAAGCTAAAGCCAGGAAAGGCAATGAGGATGACGAGGAAGCTCCCCGCGATACCTTTATCGACGATTCGGAGGGCGAAGAAGAATTTTTGTTCCCTGACAACCCTCGCAAGAAGAGGTCTAAGGACATTCTGAAAGAGCTTAAAGCGAGTCGGAAGAGAAAGCGCGGGTCGGATGATGATGATGATGAAGACGAGCTCGACGAAGAAGCTGCAGCACGGAGAAGAGCTGCTCGTGAAGCCGCTGCCAGGGAAAGACGACTCAAGATCAAGAGCGAGGCTTATATCAGAGACAGCGATGATGAAAGTGACGTGGAGAGAGACCGAATCTTTTTCGAGCGTGAGGAGGAGTTGCGCAAGAAGACGGCGGAAGATCACCTTCGCAAACAAGCGGCGTTCGTCAATGAGCAATCCACCAAAGCCAAGGGCAAAGGCAAACGCAAGGTAACGATACCTACGTTGCCACAAACCCAGGGAACCACACAAGAGAGCGACGATGATATTTTGATGGGTGGTATGGACGATGAGCCCGACCAAACCGCATCTTCGCAGCCTCAGAGGAGGTCTGATACCGAAGCTGAAAGTGAGGAAGAAGAAACGCCTCTGTCATCGCAGAGTTCCGCGACAGTTAAAGGCGTCGGGCTTCAAAAGAGTGTCCTTCAGGAGATATCACAACCAAGGGCAACTTCAAGAGCTGCTTCAGCAAAGGTTGGTGGCGGCAGTCTGGACGATGAGAGCGATGTTGATGAGGAGATTGTTCCAGCTGGAAGACAACAGAGGGTTAGGGGTGGTTTTATTATCGACAGCGACGATGATGAGTAGGGTATAAAATAAGTTAACGACACCGCTCTATTAACGATCATGCAAATATCACAGTCGAGGTCTCTTGAGGTCGAGAGGGTTTGTTAACAACTATTAGTGGTTTTTTGAAATTTGCTGCCTCCACCAATTCGTAGTATGTGACAACAAGCTGAAGCCATCGGCGCCCTCCGACGACCGTTTCCGGTCACGCTCTATTCGCTGCCCAACACTTGCTTTCCTCTCTCTCGCATTCTGATAAGAGCTTGTTCGTCACTTCTGACATCCTTATAGATTTCTTCTTCTTTCAGCCGTTGTTGCTGTTGCTCAATTTTTGTTCCGTCTCGGTCTGCCCATTGCTCGTGGTTCTGTGGATATAGAATGGCACAGGAAATCATTTATTTCGGCCGGTTTGTTTCGACACCAACACCTGACGAACTTCAAATTCGGACAGGGGCTGTTCTTGTCGATAGCAGCGATGGAAAGGGAATAATACAGAAAGCAGACTGGACCGTTGCTAGCCCTGATGATGCTATTATCAAATTCGGAGTCAAGGCGCCTGTGGTAATAGCCAAGGAGAATGGCTTTTTCTTTCCTGGGTTTATAGGCAAGTCTCGATGCACGAGGTTGGTGCTGGGTAGAGTTGCTAATGATTGTATAGACACTCATATACACGCCTCGCAGTATCCTAATGCTGGAATCTTCGGAAAGTCGACGCTCTTGGACTGGCTCACCACATACACATTCCCTCTGGAGTCTTCCTACGGCAATGTCAAGTCTCCCATGTACAAGGACGCCGTCGAGCCTCCAGATCCGCTCACCCGGGCGAACAAGGTGTATAACAGGCTCATCAATCGTACTTTAGCCAATGGTACGACTACCGCTTCGTATTATGCCACTATCCATCTGGAAGCGACCAATTTGCTCGCACAAATTGCCTTCCAGAAAGGTCAACGAGCATATATTGGGCGTGTGTGCATGGACAGGCCGGAGACATGTCCAGATTACTACCGAGACGAAAGCACCGAAGAGACAATAACGAACACGAAGGCGAGCATCAAATTTTGCAGAGAGCTTGACCCTTCTGGTGAACTTTTAGCACACATTATCACGCCAAGGTTCGCACCTAGTTGTCTACCAGAGACCTTGAGTCAACTCGGCGCACTGGCGAAGGATGAGGACCTCAGGGTACAGACTCATATATCTGAAAACCTGAACGAGGTCGAGCTGGTCCGCGAGTTGTTTCCCGATCAAAAGAGCTATGCTGACGTCTACGATCATCATGGACTGTTGACGGCCAAGACCATTCTAGCACACGCTGTACATCTCAGCAAGGAGGAGATGCGGCTGGTCAAGCAACGGAACTCGAAGATCAGCCACTGTCCGGCTAGCAACAGTGCTTTGGGAAGCGGCTTCTGTCCAGTGCGGCAGATGTTGGATGAAGGACTCGAAGTTGGTCTTGGTACCGACGTCAGCGGAGGATACAGCCCCAGCATTCTCGACGCGGCGAGAAATGCTTGCATCGTGAGCAGGCACGTGGGTCATCTAAACAATGGAGACAGCAAATATAACCTCGGGGTGTCCGAGGCGTTATGGCTTGGTACAATGGGTGGAGCAAAAGTCGTGGGAATGGAAGGGCGTCTCGGTGGATTTGAGGAGGGCATGCTCTGGGATGTACAAGAGATCAACTTGGGTGAGGTCGGCGAGGATGGTCAAGGCGAAGACACCGGTGTAGATATATTCGGATGGGAGCGTTGGGATGATCGGGTTGCCAAATGGCTGTGGAATGGTGATGAGAGGACGGTAGGGCGAGTATGGGTTGGAGGGAGACTGGTGCATGAGCGGCGATGATGACTTCCCTACCCTATCAACATTGATGCTGTGCTAAGAGTAGAGCATGTGTTAGGTGCTTTGGAATACAAACGATTCGAGGCAGCTTTACGGAGTACTCGTACTCGCACTCCGATCATAGTAGACGTAGACGAGGCTGTGAATTGGCTGGCTTAGGTAAATAATCAGTAACAGCCTCGGATATCGCCTCCGCATTATTCTCGAGGATCGAGTTCATGTGTTTTCACGTGGAGTATTCGCCCGTCAACAATGGCTGCACGCTTTCTTCCCTAGTTTTCAACGACTACACACTACTATGCTGTACTGTGTGGATTCTGCAAGCTAAGCAGTTACAGCGATGAACGGTCCTTGTGACCTGCATATTTCCTCACAATGTCCTCTCCGGCATCGTCGATGGGCGCGTATACGTCTTCCTCCCTCCCCACGCTATCCGCCTCCATGAAATCGGTGGGACAACAAGTTGCTGGCAGAGGCTCATCCTCGGGCTTCAGTCGTGCTATTGTGGGAGCTGTTACCTTTATACCAGGTGCTTTGTTCTGGCTCATTACGTTCACGACAATCACCTTACCAACATGGTTGTTTACACTGTTCTCCATGAGCCTGACTTTCACCATGAACTTCACCACTTTGTAAGCAGGAAGGTCTCCGAACACGATGCTCAGCTAACATGTGGTATGTAGGCTCTTGATCGCCCTACTCATTGTCTCGACCATCAGCTGGTTCATTCGCTATCGTTTCCTCAATGTCTACACTCGCCTGCCACAGGAGCCCCAGAGAAAAGAGCCGCAGATAGATCTATTTCCAGACACACAAGAAGGGGATTCGAAGCCAGGGCTGTCAAACTACCTTGATGAATTTTTGAGCGCGATCAAGGTGTTTGGATACTTGGAAAGACCGGTCTTCCATGAGTTGACCAGGACAATGCAGACTAGAAAGCTCATTGCTGGGGAAACGCTGCTGCTCGAGGAAGAGAAGGGCTTTTGCCTGGTTGTGGACGGTCTTGTCCAGATCTTTGTCAAGTCGTTGAGAGACGCTTCTGAGGGCAATACTGAGCAAATAGACCTCTTTGGCGAAGAAGAGGGGTACCATGAAGGTAATCAAGGATACCAATTGCTTACAGAAGTCAAGAACGGAGCGTCCATGTCCTCCCTCTTTTCCATCTTGTCACTCTTCACCGAAGACGTAAAGCTACGACACGACGACCGCAACCCTGCTGCTCCAGTCTTCCATAATAACACCTCTCATACACCCGAGTCAGACATCGCTAGCCCTGCAACCCAGCCTTCGACGCCAGCCGCGGCACTTTCTGGACCCCAAGGCCATATGCATAGACAAAGACTGCCTGCGGTTCCTCCATTGACTCTTGAGCCTCCCTTTGACGAGCGCGAATATCCAACGCCTGGAGCGAATACAAGGAAGGCCGCGTCAGCACACCCTGATATCGTTGCCCGAGCTACAGTGGACACTACAATCGCAATCATCCCAGCAAGCGCCTTTCGCCGATTGACGAGAGTGTATCCCAAAGCCACGGCTCACATAGTCCAAGTGATCTTGACACGGCTGCATCGAGTAACATTGTCTACCGCTCATCAGTACTTGGGACTGACTTCGGAAGTTTTGCAAATTGAGAAGTCGATGAACAGGTTCACGAGCTTCGATCTGCCCAACCATCTGCGAGGAGCTGCCCTCGACAGGTTGAAAGACAAGTTCAACAAAGAACGGGATCGCATTGGCCCGGAAGAGCTGACTAAAGGGATCGCCTTGCACAATCCCTCTGTAAACCGGCGAAGATCATCAAGCGGGCTACGAAGGGAAGCTGCCATTGCTGCCAGAGCGGCTGCTGCTCGTGGAGCTCCACTGGCAATGACGCCGAATGTCACGCGTCCTGTACTGGGTGATAGAAATGTTAGTTCTGGGGATCTTCACGGGAGCTCAAGACCTAGCCAGAGACCGATCAGCATGCACATTCGATCTACTTCCAACTGGACGGGCATGGGTGCCCCGGAACCCTCGAAGTTGGATCTAAGTAGTCCTCTGGGGGGCCGCGAGCAGGCCTACTTTTCTCCATTCGGCAATGACATGCCGCATCGACAAGATTCTGTGGCCGAAGATGGCTTATTTAGAGAATCTGTCTTGGAATGCATGGCCAAGGCACTCGGTCTCAACGAGCCCATTAATCAGTCGTTGAGACGCGGACCTGCGTCTGTCGAACAGAGCCCACGTCTTGTTTCGTACGACGCAAGAAGGCAAACTGCAATTTTCAACAACGCATTCGGGTTCATCGACGCGTTTGATGAGCTAGGCGACGGTGATTCTGAGTCAGTATCCACGTCGATGACTAGCGTCAACGGCCTGCAGGGTCAATCTTTGCATGACGAATTAATCGATGATGTGGAAATTGTCTTCTTTCCCAAAGGATCAGTTCTAGTTGAGCAGGGTGAGAGAAACCCTGGTCTTTACTACGTTATTGACGGATTCCTGGACGTCAGTATCCCAGTCGAAGAGAAGGAGGAAAGGAAAATGGCATATTCCTCAAGAGCTAGCGCAAATGGCCATGACGAGCCATTCCCCCGACTACGACGCACAAAAACGTCGACTTCCCGGGCTTCGTCGATGCCCGGTGGCCCCGGTCACTCTCGAGAAGGGAAGCGGATGGTCCAAAAGTCGCTCTTCCTGGTTAAACCTGGAGGCATCGCAGGGTACATCGGAACTTTATCATCTTACCGTTCCTTTACAGATGTCACGGCCAAGACGGATGTGTATGTTGGCTTTCTGCCTCGTGCAGCTCTGGAACGTGTTGCAGAGAAATATCCTATTGTTCTTTTGACGATGGCTAAGCGGTTGACGAGTCTACTCCCCCGTCTCATCCTTCACATCGACTTCGCCTTGGAATGGGTGCAAGTTGACGCGGGCCAAGTCATACATCATCAAGGAGATGAGAGTGATGCCATTTATATCGTTCTAAACGGTCGACTGAGAGCAGTCCGCGAAGCTGAGAGTGGAAATATGCGGGTTGCAGGAGAATATGGCCAGGGTGAAAGCATCGGAGAGCTGGAAGTCATGACAGATGCGACCAGACCGGCAACGCTGCATGCAATACGAGACACGGAACTCACCAAATTTCCGAGGAGCTTGTTCAACAGTCTTGCTCAGGAACATCCGACAATAACAATACAAATATCAAAGCTGATTGCTCAACGAATGCGAGCATTGGTAGAAGCTCCCTTGACGGAGAAGGGCCAGGAGAGAAAGAAAGCAGCCGTGGGCGAGACTCAGACGTCGAATTACAATCTACGGACCATAGCAGTGCTGCCAATCACTACTGGAGTGCCCGTGATCGAATTCGGCAATCGACTGTTGGCAGCCCTGAGTCAAGTCGGTGTTATGAACGGGGTGTCGCTACTAAACCAAGCCATCATCCTCAACCACCTTGGACGTCATGCATTCAGTCGAATGGGTCGGTTAAAACTGTCACAATATCTCGCAGATCTCGAGGAGAAATACGGCATGCTGCTCTATATCGCTGATACTAGTGTCAACGCTCCATGGACTCAGACTTGCATTGCACAAGCTGACTGCATCTTGCTGGTTGGTTTAGCCGAAGCCTCCTCTAGCATTGGTGAATACGAGAGGTTTCTGCTCGGTATGAAGACCACGGCTCGCAAAGATCTCGTTCTTCTGCACGTTGACCGCTATGTCCGACCTGGACTTACGAGAAAGTGGCTGAGAAATCGAATGTGGATCAACGGGGGCCACCATCACCTCCAAATGGCGTTCCGAGTCAGTCCCGAGGCTACGCCTCATGCTCAGCCTAGGCGACTTGGAACTGCTATCAAGCAGAGAGTGCAGGTCATACAAGCAGAGATCCAGAAATACACGTCACGGAGAGTTCGACAAGCTCCTCTGTATTCGACAGACACGCCGTTCAAAGGTGACTTCCATCGACTGGCAAGACGGCTATGTGGCAAGTCTGTGGGCCTCGTCCTTGGCGGAGGTGGTGCTCGGGGTATTGCTCACGTCGGAGTCATTCGAGCTCTGGAGGAGGCTGGCATCCCCATCGACATCATTGGCGGCACATCGATTGGGGCTTTCATGGGTGCCCTCTACGCACGCGACGCTGATGTGGTACCTATGTTTGGTCGAGCAAAGCAGTTTGCTGGTCGAATGGGCAGCATGTGGCGTTTCGCGTTGGATCTTACCTACCCGTCTGCATCGTACACGACAGGCCATGAATTCAACCGGGGTATCTTCAAGATTTTTGGTGATTCGCAGATCGAAGACTTTTGGCTCTCCTTCTATTGCAACACGACAAACATTAGCAAGTCCCGGGCGGAGATTCATACGTCGGGATACGCGTGGCGGTACGTCCGTGCAAGCATGTCTTTGGCCGGCTTAATTCCACCAATTTGTGACGACGGTAGCATGCTTCTGGACGGTGGATATATTGACAATCTCACCGTCGCACACATGAAGAGCTTGGGAGCAGACCTTGTATTTGCCGTGGACGTGGGCAGCCAGGATGACGATACACCACAGCAATACGGTGACACGCTTTCTGGATTTTGGGCACTGTTGAATCGCTGGAATCCATTCTCCTCGATACCAAACCCGCCCAGCCTCAGTGATATTCAAGCGCGATTGGCGTATGTCAGTTCTGTGGATGCGCTGGAGAGAGCGAAGAATACACCAGGTTGCTTGTATATGAGGCCACCAATTGACGCGTACGGGACGTTGCAATTTGCAAGTTTCCAGGAGATTGTCGAAATTGGACACTCGTATGCCAAAGAGTTCCTGGCTCGTTTGAAAAGTGAAGGTGAATTGGACGGTGTAATTGATGCATGGGCCGCAGACAATGATGAGAAGGGCAAGCAGCTGCTTCGGGCTCTGGCACCGAGAAGAGCCTCGATATAGGTGTAGCGTTACCTGCCTGGGTAGCTGTTAAACGCGTATACGAACAGTGATTTTGTTGTCTATTGCCTCTACCTAGATCAGCCCTTGATTGTCTATCCATCTAGTGTAGCGAAAAAGAGATCCATACGATACATGATGTCAACGGCTGCCATTGTCGTGTTTAATTGGTGGATCTTGCAGCGATTTGGCGAGATCCGCAGATCCGACGTGGACGAGGCTGCATCGAATTGGTGCTGACATCGTGACGTCGAGATGTAAAATGCAGCGGTCATGAACCACGACAAAAATCTGTCAAGATGTTTGAAACCATGGCATAACTCGTACTCTCCTCGTGTTCAGGTTGTTCTTTCAAGAGTGTTCCTCCTCGGAAAGACTTCCTTCCAGCCCTTTCCCCTCAAGTCTGGTTCTTTCACTATTCCCAGTGAGTGGTGATTGATGGACAGTGCATCCTTCCGCCACGACGTCGAAAGGGACAGCATGTCTCAAAAACCACTGAATCCTGGAGATGGTCGACGGAAGAAAAAGGTACTCATTGTGGGCGCCGGTGCCGCCGGCATGTCCTGCGCACACCACCTGAGCCAGAGCCCTGACAAGTACGACATCACTCTCATCGACGCGGTAGATTACTGCGGCGGCCAGGCCTTCGCGGTGCCACTGAAGGACAAAGAGCGCCATGGGGCCAGCTGGTTCAATCAAGGCGTCCAGGGCGGCAGCTACATCTTCCACCACACACTGACCATGTTCGCCCGACAAGGCTACCACGCCGATCCGGTCAATCTGCAGGTTTCGTTTGGCAAAGACGACACCTTCTGGACCAACGTCTTCCCGACCGAGTTGATCGCTCACCACCAAAAAGAAGTCAAGCGCCTCGCGTTCGCACTCAAGTTCATGCGCTGGTTCGAGATCCTGTTCGCCCTCGTGCCCATGAAGATTTTCTTCAAGCTCTGGATGTTCTCCGAGGAGTTCACAAACACCGTCGCCCTGCCCATGGTCGCATTGTTCTTGGGCACGGGCAACTATGCGCCAGAAGTGCCGACTATGATGCTCGAACGTCTCTGTACCAGCCCGACGTATGGCATGTGGTATCCGTACGACGACAAGAGCATCGCCTCCAACATGCCACCGATGGTTGTGTTTCCCAATTTCTCCGAGTTTTACGAGACGTGGCGCAAGGATCTCGTCGACCGCGGCGTAAATGTCCGTCTGTCGACGGAACTCGTGGCGGTGTTGAAACGCGACCGCAAATCTGGTGTCGTCGTTTCACTGAAAAAGCGGACGCCTGCGCCTGACCACCACAACCCGAACGGTGGGGATCCTGAAGCGCCCACGTTCGAGGAACACTACGATGAACTCGTCCTCTGCTGCCTTGCCGACACGGCCAAGCGTGTCTTGGATCGGACTTGTTCGTGGCGCGAGCGGAAGGTCCTAGGATCCGCCAAATTCTCGGACGACATCACCATCACGCACACGGACTCGGAGTACATGAAGAAGAACTATCAGAATTTCTACGACGAGTCCCTCGCCGTCCAGAGCCTGTCCGGGTCGGACCAGAGCGCACGCTGCGACGCGGCACGGAAAACCTTCCGGCCCATGTACTACATCAAAATGTACGAGGAGGACCGGTCGAAGTTGGAGATGTGCTTTGACACGACCAACTACCAGGCGCAGTTCCCGGAGAACGTCCCGTTCGAAGACCACGTCTTCCAAACCATATACCTGAACAAGGACCGCGACGGGCACCTCTGGACCGACCACGAGATTGACGAGTCCAAGATCATCCGCAAGGACTGGTGGCACCAGTTGTGCCACAGCTACACGCACTACCTGTTCGTGGTGCCGTGGATGATGTTCCTGCAGGGCAGGAGGCACGTGAGGTACGCAAGCAGTTGGACCATGGTGAATGCCCACGAGGTCGCCATCATGGCTGGCATCGCGGCCGCTGTGGACTTAGGGGCAGAGTACCCTGAAGATTTGGAGAATGATAAGTTCGCACTCTTGTCCTTCAGGCTGTATTACCTCCTGGTCTATGGCAAGTGGTACCGACGGAGGCATTCCAAAATGAAAGGCGGTTCCGGGAAGCAGCAGCAGAGTCAGAAGGCAAGTGAGGGCCAGAGCTGGGCCAGTGGATTGTACGGGAGTGTGTACAAGGGCCCTGGTGTCGTCGAGGAAGAAAGGACGACATGGAGGGAGGAGATGAAGATGGGGAGGAGTACGGGGAACTTGGCTGATGCGGTCAACAAGGATAGAAGTCAACCTTGATAATAAACAGAATGTGTTCGAGTACTGTCCGGATACACATCTTCGATAGTGGTCGCGTGAGCACTTGTGGTTACGGAGTAAATGATTGTGAAATGGCCAGCTTACCAATACATGTTCAGGTGTTTTATATCGAGTATGAAGCACTTCACCAGTCATGGAAATGAAAAGATAAGGTACTTGCTAAGCGGAGTACAGTACCATGGGATGCTCGTCATAGTGGATGATGGGTCGGGATCAGCTTTTGCACAGAGTCGATGCACTATTCCCCTCCGAACGAGTACGGAATATGCCTACGAACCGTCATGGTGTGCCTAACTTTAGCGGCCTTGGTAAGTAACCGTAAGGGCTTCATTGTGGGTGTCTCGTCCCTAATGTCACTTAGTGAGCCCTGATGACGCCCCTAATGGAACCTCGATCAACCTACTTTGATGAGCCTAGTGAAGCCCCCCTCCCCAGCCTCCAAAACGCTAACTTGGGCGCAAGTAGGTACAAATGAGCGCCGGGAGCAATTTCACTAACGAGAGAGAGCAGCGCCTAGTGAAGTAGTTCTTGCATTATTCTGCATCAGTGGATGCTTTTATTGGCTGCGCCTCAGCTCCATTTTTGCTTCCCTCAAGTAGTTGTAACCCGCCATTGGGAATCACCTTGGGTTGAAGAAAGTCAGCATCCTCGTCCCGTACATACTTTGCGCTGCCACCGCAATCTTGGATTCTTGTTGACTCTCTGCGCTGCTCTCTCAATAATCACTTGCTTTTCATACCGTGCGTTTGGTCGACGACGTAACAGCATAGTCTTATTTCCTACCTACCTGGGTAATTTATTGGTTCCCTCCACGCCGAATATCGATCACCGGGTTCCTGTCAAAACCGGAGAAAAGAGGGCTTGAGCGTCGCGCGTCCGAGCTTTTTCTCGAAAAGTTGTCGCCTGGAAGATTCCCTCGAACAATTACGCCATACTTTCTTTGCTCATTTTCCCCTCGTGTTCCTTACCTACTCACCTGTCATCCACGCTCATATTCTTGAGAAAGAACGAACATGGGCAGCTTTGTTTTCAAATGGTAAGAAACCCTCCTGGCTTCCCCCAACGCATTGCGAAAAGCATGACGGTAAGCTAACCCAGTTTTTCCGCAGGCCGCACCCTGATGCGGACGATGTCCATGTCACCGGCACCTTTGACGATTGGGGAAAGACGGAAAAGTTAAACAAGGTCGGCGAGGTCTGGGAGAAAGAGGTGCAATTGCCAAAAGCCGATGAAAAGATTTTGTACAAGTTCGTGGTCAACGACAACTGGGTCATCGACACAGAAGCCCCCCATGAGGACGACGGTCATGGCAACGTGAACAATGTCCTGCTGCCAGAAAACATCAAGACAAAAGCGGATGCTCTGACGACGTCGAGCGCTGCGCCAGAAAGCACCACCGCAGCATTGGCTGGTGCGGTTCCTTTGGAGCCTAGGAAAGAAGCTACCGAAGGTAAGCTGTGATTGAAATTTGTTTGTCAATGCCGGATGTGACAAAACAGTCCTAACTGTGCTCTACTTGTAGTCACTTCTGCGAGCGACTCCGCCCCCAATAATGAAGTTACTAAGAGCAGTCCGCCAGGTGCATTTCCGGAAACACCCCAGCAGGAATCCGAGTCCTATGGTGTCAACCCACTCCCCCCAACTGCCGGCGCAGGCAATCCCGTAACTCTTCCTGCTGGCGAAGCAGTCCCTCCCCCGGGAGAGGTTACTTCCAACAGCGTCCACTCCGCCGTCACTCAGTCACAGGAAGATTACGAGAAGGCAGGCACAACACTTCCGATGATCGGAGGAGTACTTCCTGGCGTTGGGGCCATGGCCGCCGCGAACACCTCCTCAGGCAAGAAAGAAAACCTCATTCCCGAATCATCGCTGCCCATGGGCGAAGGCGCGACTTCGGCGCTCGATGCCTCGGGTCCTACAATCACATCTGCTGCCCCAACTTCGACAACTGCCGCTTTGGCTGGACAAGTACCTTTGGAAGAGCGCAAGCCGGCCACCGTCGTTTCAGAGCAGGCGACAACGGAGACCGTACCAGAAGTCGTACAGGAATCTATCGAAAAGGCCCACACATCTCCTGAAGCCACTACTTCTGCCGAGGCTGTCAAGGAAAAGGCAGAGGTGGAACAAGAGCTGATGAAGAAGGTGCCGGAGGCTGAGGAAGCTGGGGAACCCGCGCCAACCATCGCAGCAGCCACTTCGGAGACCGCTCCAACGTCCGCTACCAGCCCCTCGACCGGCGCTGTGCCCGGGACTTCGTCTGCTGCTGCTGCTGCCGTCGCAGATGGCGCCGAGGGTGGCGAAACACCAAGTGAAGTCACCAAGGCCACCCACCCCGTTGAGAAAACGGAAGCCGACAACACGGAATACGCACCGCCCGTTACTACTAGCAGTGCCCCTGGCGTTTCTGGTGCGGCAGCTGCTGCGGTCTCAGATGGCGCGGAGGATCCTACTCTTGCCGATGAGCCTGCCGTTCGCATGATGAACCAAAACGAATCTGGCGAGCCAACAAGCGCCACCGAGGCTGCGAAGACGGAGGCGACTCCAGCGGCGGAAGCTACACCCAAGGCAAGCGCAAAGACCGAGACCCCTGCAGCGGCTGCAGCAACTCCTGAATCGAAGAAGGAGACGGCGGCAGCACCTACTCCTTCATCTGGAACTGGCACTAGCACTCCTCAGAAGGCGACTACAACTACTCCTGCCGAAAGCCCTGCATCAGCCTCAAAGGAGAAAAAGAAGAAGCACCGAATCAGTTCTTTGTTCAAAAAGATCTTCGACTAAACGGGATTGGACAGATCAACCGCGGCTCAAACAGAAACAAATGACGTGCAGGTGTTGAATTGTTTGAAGGGAATGCCTGTAGGGGTCGGGAAGTGCATTGCGAGGCACGGCGCATTGCTGGGTTTGGACAGCGGATCCTTTGATTTGGGTTTGTTTGTCTTGTAGATATCCCCTCCAGTTGGTTGTGTTTGGAATGTGCGCGAGATAATCTTTGGTTTGTTTAATACACTAATACTGCTAAGAAGTGCAATGCGATGCGATGGGAAATGTTCTCGTGCGATTCTAGAAGACTTCTCGAAGATCTATGGATGGACAGAAGGGCGGTGCCAGATGCTGCATGACCCACAGAGTAAGCAAGCATGTGTCTACTGTACTTTTGTGATTCGTTGGTACATTGTACAAGTACTGTACCGAGTAGAAGTTGATCATTCCCCCGTTGGCCAACCATCATCTGAACAAGATAAAACTTCTTCGTGGTGGAGCTGGGTGTAAGCGCCGACAAGGATCGTATAAGAGTGACGATGGACGTAAAGAATATTTCTTGGATGGATTCTCGACTATAGTCTGATAGGCATGTAAGTCGTGTAAAGACACTGTCTAGCGTCGCCGCGAAGCTACTTGTATAGCTCGTCATGATCAGTGACCCGGTGGCTGCACTCGGGAAGGCTGGTGAGCCCAAGAGGCCAATCACCATCCCTGACTTGGTCGCTTTGACCGCCATAAACTGAAGCAATGACATCGACAGAGCTTTGAGACCTGCGCTAACTGGCCGTCACTGACATTCCGTGCTGAGGGGTATTTGGGACGAGTACGAGTACAATAGCATGAGACGAAGGGATGATGGCTCTGGGACAGAATGAATGTGGCAGAGTAGATGAATATAGAAGTACAATAGTCATTAAGGCCATGGCATGCAACAAGTTGTTGACCAACTAGTCCCTTTCTCTGTGAAGCATTCCTCCTCTCTTGTCGCCTAGCTACTCCTCCTACAATTGTTGCTGTCACTTGTAGCTTCCTCTTTGCATGGTGGCTGTTACTGTTGGAAGATCCTACACGAAGCTGAACGCTAAGCTGTCGTTTGACCTCTCCTCGAGGTCTACTTCGTTCACCCTTCCCTTGACCTTCTTCATCCTTCTCTTCTTCTTTCTAAATCTTTTCATCCACCCAACAATTCACACCATCACTTGTTACAAAGCTTCCAGAATCCCACCCCCTCTTCTTTAGTGCGTCATCTACCGATCTCACTGACAGCCTATTGCTGCCCCGCCCCGAGACAGCCTGTTAGCAAGCCCTGGTCCGCTCCACCACGAGCATCAATCACTCCCCCTGCGCACTGGCAACTGGCACTCGCATTGGAGTGTCGGGCGAACCTGCATTTCTGGGATAGGCATTCTCGTCGTCGCCACTTACGACCCAGATTGCCAGACAACCGTCCACCCACAGGCCACTATTGACCTGGGCCCTACGAAAACGCTCCTCTCTGACCTTGTCCTCCCTAAGCCATCTCCGGCCGAACATCCCCCACATCTCAATTCCTCGCCGTCAATGTCACTTTCTACCTCTTACCAAGCTGTCATTGATGCTCTAACCAAAGACCTGCTCAGAGACAAGCCTGAAGATCCCACACAGTACTGTGCGAATTATTTCTCTCGCCAGCTCGCATCCGAGCGGGCATCCCTTCGCGGCTCCAAGTCATCCAACACCAACGGCAACATGGCAGACACGGCCGGTCCTTTTGACCGCAACCCCTTTGGAGCAAAGAACGTCAACAGCATACAAGAGGAGGACGAAGAACATGACAACTTTGGCTCCCCAACCGATGCTACTTTCAAGTCCCGCGATGCAGGCCGTTCACCCTTCGGCGGTTCTGGGTTCGGGGCCGCCGCAGGTGGTGCTGCTGCAGGCGGATTGTTTGGCAGTTGGTTAGGGACGCAAGGTACTGAAGAGACCGGAGAACATCCTCCTCCTGAACCCCCAACTGGCAAATATGCTGCTGGCCGGAGAACATCAGTCTCGGCAGAGTCTATGCAGCCAGATGCTGACTCGGGCAATTGGAAACCACCAAAACATCCAAAATCTCCAGATCAATTCGAGAGATTGAAGCATGCGGTAGCTGGCAACTTCTTGTTCTCCAGTCTTGACGAAGAATCTTTCCACTTGGTCTTGGACGCCTTGGTCGAAAAGTCGATTCCAGCTCCCAACATCAAGGTCATTACTCAAGGCGACGAAGGTGACTTCTTCTACGTCATCGAAAGCGGAGATTTCGACATCTACATCAATCCCAGCGGTTCAGTCGAAGCCGGACCTGAAGGGATGGGCAACAAGGTGGGCACCATTGGACCCGGTGGCAGCTTTGGAGAATTGGCCCTCATGTACAACGCACCTCGCGCTGCCACCGTGGTTAGTGCGTCTAAAGGAGGTATGCTCTGGGCTTTGGACCGTCTCACCTTCCGCAGAATCCTCATGGACAACGCCTTTCAGAAGCGAAAGATGTATGAAGGCTTCCTGGAAGAGGTCCCGCTGCTCGCGTCACTCAAACCCTATGAAAGATCCAAGATCGCAGACGCCTTGGAGACGGTCAAGTTCAATGCAGGAGACAAGATTATCACAGAGGGAGAGCCGGGCGATGCTTTCTACCTCTTGGAGTCTGGTGAAGCCAATGCTTTCAAGCAAGGTATCGACAAGTCGGTCAAGGATTACCATCGAGGTGATTTCTTTGGTGAATTGGCATTGTTAGACGACAAGCCTCGTGCCGCAACCGTCGTGGCCAAAACCGCAGTAAAGGTGGCTAAACTCGGACGAGATGGATTTAAGCGGCTCCTTGGTCCGGTTGAGAGCATCATGAGGCGGGAAGACTACGATGCTGCAGATCCATTGAGCCAACAAAAGACGGTCACCTAGAGGATGGCTATGCGCGGACTTGGATTGCTGATTTGAACGGCTTACGATTGAATGGTACCGGGAAACATTACGAAACAGATATGAGGCAGTATACCAGATCAGACCCAACATGAATATGGGACGGGTTGAGGTTTTTCTTTCTCTGGTCAGAGGGAGTGCCACGGCGATTCATGTTGACTGATTGATTGAATGAATTGGCTGGACCAGGGAACAACATCTCGCATGGAAAAGAACCCTGGGGCATCTAGTCAAAGTAGCAAAGCTATTGCTTGCATTTTTATCTTTCGAGTTATTCGAATTCCAATTATCCATGAAACTTGGTGGTTTGTTTCAATCAGTCCTCGGTATCTGTTTCTTGTTTCGTCGTCCTTATCTGTCCCTTGCAGGAGCGCTAAAGGAACGAGGGGTTGATCAACCTCGGACTCTGCTTACGACTTGTTCGTTGGTTAGTCAATACTCCTGCTCCTCTGGGTTATGACTCCGTCCTCCGTATGTTACCAGCAAACCAATGCTGGCGGGCATTGAGCATCACGTGTACTTCGTATCGGTCCTTCGTATTCGTACTGTACAGAGCATTGGGTGTATGAGATCAGGCCTTGGCGTAATACTTTTATTATCAGCTCAACCCTCCAGAACAGTACAACTGTAGTCCCAGGCAATGGTTTGTATCCGACACAAAACCATTAGAATCGAAAGGCACGAGGCTGACAAGAGATTCCCATCCATGTTTTATCAAACCTCACATCTACCTCTGTGGGACTTTTATTATCTGTTGACGTTCCAGACCTTCTTTGTTCCCCCCTCTCGGTCCTTTCTTCCACCATTTGCCAAAGTTTACTGATCAGGTCTGTACACCTCCGTACCACCACCACCGCTACCACACTCCACCACCAATAACTACCGGCCGTACGAGTACATTCGGCAACAACTCTCCCCTCCTTCCTCGAGGAGGTTCACAGATTACTGATCCTCCCCATTCCCCCCAGAAGAATGACCCAGCTTGTCATTTTGGCGTCCCCCGGCAACCCATTTTCCGTTTCGCGCGTCTCAAAAGCAGCGACGGGGAGGACGTACGTACGATGGGGTGCAATGATCAGGTATGGTGTTGAGTAAACTCCCTTTTTTCCCACCGACATTCGATAAAATCTTGCCGTTCCAAGTCTTTGTTTATTCAGCGTGTACGAGTGAGTACGATCTAGGGGTAGGTCCAAAGTCCAAACCAACAACCGAGGGACAAACAACCAACCACCACCAGAACCGTGGTTGCCTCCCTCCGGTGGAAAAGAAAAGACTTCTCCCCTCGTTCGAGTGGTGTATTGCCTTGTTTACTAAACAACTTTTTATACTTTTTTTGGTCTCTATTTCTATCTGCCATTCGTCTAGGACGCTCGTGCAAGGGGGGACGGTGTCAACGTACCAGTATTCGTTTTGCTGTCATTATTGGCGATTCGGTCATGTCCCGGGAAAAGTCCCCCAAAAAGATCACTATTCCTACCTACCCTATCAGTGGCATGTCCTTTACAAATAGCGCAGAATCACGTCGAGTGGAGATAGATCTGTACTGGATGCCAGTCCTCCGAGGTGTTTGTTTTGTTGGGAACCGTTCAAAAAGGCAAAAAGAGCTCAAGTCAAATTGACGTGGTTGGAATACCTTTACAAGTTATAGATCTGTTCAAAGAGCTCGAGGGATCCAAGCATCTATCTGTTTTGTCCAGTCTTCACATCGGGATACATACTGCTCTTCTCCGTCGAAACGCATATGAGAACCTCCCTCGCCTCGGTCAGGGAGAAAAGAAGAAGTGCCTTCTCAGCCTCGGAAAATCATACGCTCTTCTTTTGTTCTTTGTCGGACCTTGGGGTACATCCGACATGGAAGAACAATCAGTACTACCCAGAGAGTCCGAAAAGAATGAACCACAATTCATATCGGACGATGAGTCAACGTCGTCCTCGGCCGTTTCTGTCTCTGTCCCTGTGGTAGCGGATACTGAACCGCGGGGAGGCGACCTCGAAAAGACACTGAGCAAATCTACACAGAAAACACATCGCAGTCATCGGTCACGGTGGGAACAACAAATCACTTCGGCCGTGGATTGGACCGGTGACGATGACCCTGACAATCCACTGAATTGGTCTCGTGCAAAGAAGATTTATCATGTTCTCATCCCAGCGTTCCAATGCTTTACAATGTATGTCCCTCTTTTCCCTCTCGCCGGGAATCCTCGAACAACCACGTGGAGCCACAGCTAACACGATCATGAACGAACAGTACATTTGGATCATCAGTCATCTCACCCAGTATGTCTAGTACCTGTCTTCCAACATTTCCCTATCTGACATTTCTTTGTGGATAGGCACTCCTGAAATAGCGGAACATTTCAATGTATCTCGAACCGCCGCCATCGTCCCATTGACCGTCTATGTCATGGGTCTCGGTCTCGGACCCGTCATGAGCGCGCCCCTGAGCGAAACGTACGGTCGCCGAGCGGTGTACCTGCTCTTCTTCCCACCGTCGTTGCTCTTTACGTTGGGCGCCGGATTTTCCAACTCCTTTGCCAGCCTCGTCATCTGCCGTCTCCTGGCGGGCGTCTTGGGGTCTGGGTGTCTGGCGGTGGGCGCAGGCACCAACAGTGACCTCTTTGTCCACTTTGACCGGGCCGTCGCGAGCGCCATGTTCCTCGTGGCCCCTTTTCTGGGTCCGGCCCTGGGTCCGGCCATAGGAGGGTACGTCGCGATGAAACGTTCCTGGCGGTGGACGCAGTGGGTGATTCTGTTCGCCGGTGCCGTCACATACCTCGTGTGCATCCCACAGAGAGAGACGTACAAGCGGATCATCCTCCAACGGCGAGCGAAGAAACTCGGCGTGCCCGGTCCTCCGAACCCTTTGCCTCCCGGTATGTCCAAGTGGCGATTCATCTTCCTCGTCACGATCTCGAGACCTCTACACATGCTCGCCACCGAGAGCATCGTCGCGTTCCTGAGCGTCTACGTGGCGTTCAACTTCAGCGTCCTGTTTGGCTTCTTCGCAGCCTTCCCTCTGGTGTTTCAACACGCCGTACCGCAAATTCGCATCTACAACTTCAACCAGGGCGAGTCCGGGTTGGTGTTTTTGGGGATAGGGGCGGGGGTCATCATCGCCGCGGCGATTTTCATCGTCATGGACAGGTTGACTTATCGGAGGAAAACCCTCAAGAGGCGAGCCACGGGCGATTTCACACCCTTGCCACCTGAAGAACGTCTCTGGCCGGCGATGTTGGGGAGTGTCTTGTTGCCCGTTGGTTTATTCTGGTTCGGGTGAGTTTTTAGCTGCGTGTTTTCTTTTGTACCCCCCAGGTCTCAAGTCAAGTCATATGACACTATACTAATCAGGCCACAGATGGAGTGCAAGAAAGGATATACATTGGATCAGTCCAGTTTTGGCGACCATCCCATTCGGCATAGGAAACATGCTGGTATTTTGTTCGGGTGTTTTGTACTTGATTGATACTTATGGACCTGTAAGTCTTTTTTTTGGGGTGTCTCCTTCAACATGAATTCCTTTTTTCCCCCTCGACGTGTTTTGGAAAGAACGCTGACACGGAATCAAATTGTTATGAATCAGTTGACTGGTGCGAGCGCCATAGCCGCGAATGGAGTTTTGAGATACGTGATTGGAGCTGTATTTCCATTATTTACAGTACAGATGTAAGTAAACCACCCCCTTTTTCTTGGGGACGAAAAGAAAGAAAGAAGCACCCAAAAGAAATCCAAGGTGACGACGGTGACGACAAGGTCAGAGAATGAATGACAAAAGGCTAACTATAAGTTTTTCCGTTGTGTTCTTTTCAGGTATCAAGCTCTAGGTGTACATTGGTCGACGAGTCTATTCGGGTTCGTTACCATTGCGATGATGCCAATCCCCTGGGTCTTGTACAAGTTTGGCCCGAGGATCAGGAGTAGAAGTTCATACACTCACGGACCTAAATGAGTTGTGTTTGTACGTGTCTTCTCCGATGGATGAGCTCTTTCTCTTTTTGTTGGTGGTTTTTGGTGTATGTGTGTTGAGGTGTCCGGAGTTTATGTGTATGTTTATTGCATATAATATATATCTCTCTACGGTTGTCGAGAGACCAGGTAAGCAAAGAAAGGCGTTTTGCATGGCATCGTGACATGAGGGGTCGATGGACTTTTTGGGATTATTGCACCATAAATAACCCTATCTATCATACATTGGATAACACTGTGAGTGTGTCACTGTGTGGTTCATAAAACAGTTTTACTGTAGTATGTACATACGTTTTTGTTTTGGTGCAGTCCACGACTACGAGGCTGAAAAAATTGATCAGGGACCACGTTGTTAATGGATTCTGACGGAGAAAATGAGAAGTCGATTCCATTTTCTCTACTCCGTAGAGTCCATCACTAGACATTCCCCCATCTCTTGTCTCTCGTCGTCTATTCAACAAGAATCATCGTCACCAATGACCGAGCACCCTGGGTCCCAAAGGCCCAAAAGGTTTCGTTCTCGAAGAGAGAGAGAGAGTATCTTGCGCTTGCCTCTGATCAAGTCAAGTCAAAAGTTTTCTCTCGATTCCATCATCATCCCCTTCCTTTGGTCTGATCAGAATCCCATCGACATCAAACACGTCACTTCTTCCTACCGCCGGTCCTCCCTTTGAAACTACCCTCGAACCCCGGTCTCTTGACCACCTTCTTGCCGCCGGAGGAGCGTTTGTCTTCCCTTCTCTTGGCCAGGTTCTCGGTCCGCTTCTTCTGTCTGGTCTCTTGGGCCTTTTGGACGCCCTGGACGCGGTCGGTCCACTCCCGCTCGCTCTTCTTCTTCTGGCCCTGCTGCCTCTTGAGGGCCTTCTTCAACAGGCTCGTGTCGTCCTTGACGTGCTCCCCGTGCGCGCGCTTCTTGGCGTTCAACCACATGTCCTTTTGTTCGATCTCCCGACGTTTCGCCTCGTCGAGGCCCGAGAGTTTGTTCTTCTTGGCCAGGGCGATCTTGAGCTGGGCCGCCGTGTCGCGGGGGCCTTTTCGTCTGTGCTCGTCGACGACGTCGGCCGTCGACGGGTCAAAGTGAGTGCCGTCAGTGAAGGCGATCCGGCCGAAACTGAAACTGTTGTTGTCACCGCCCCCCCCACCCGACGACACCGGCGACCGTGGAGACGCCAGGAGCGAGCCCGAACCTCCAGGGGAGAAGCGGCGGGCGATTTCTTCGTCCTGCAGTCGAGCCTCTTCCTCCTTTTCACGTCGTTTTTGCTCCTTCTTGGCTGCTTTACGTTGTTCTTCCTTGCGCCGTCGTTGTTCGAGAAGTTCTTGTCGGTTCTTGGGCGCCCGGCCGTCGGTGCCGTCCGCTTTGCGTTCGGCTCGGCGTTGTTGGATCGCCGCTTGGAGTCTTTCGTGGGGTGTCGACGAGTCGTGTGTAATGGAGGTGGTGGGAGTGGCGGCAGGAGCGGTAGTGTCAGTTCGCTTCGAGTTGTCCTTGAGGTTGGAAGGTTGGTTGGATGAGGTCGAGGGTGCGTCGGAGGTCGGCTTCGAGGTGTCTTCGAGGGTAGATTGTTGGATGGATGAGGTTGAGGATGTGCCGGATTCATGCTGAGGGGAGAAGACCTCGGAGTGCTCGTCTTCTGAAGACGGGGTTGAGGCTTGGTCGGCGTTGTCGGCGTTTTCGTCGTTTTCGTCTTCTTCTTCTTCGCCCTGCGGTAACGGCGATGATGACTCAAAAGTGATGGCTTCTTTGATGTCCAGCTCATTCGAGTCCGCCTTGTCGCCTTTTGTTTGCTGCTGCGACTTTTTTCTTGCCTTTTGTTGCTCCTTTTTTTCCTTCATCTGGGCTTTTAACTCATTTTTCCGTGTTCTCTTTTCGGCACGCTTCTCTGCCTTTTTGCGTTTTCTGTCCTCGATTGTTTCCTCATCATCATCGTCTTCTTTTTCTTCTTCAGCGGCTCTTGATGATTTGGAGTTGTTGCTCGACCTCTTTTGTTTCTTTGTGTTGCGGCCTTGGGTCTCACCTTGTTCATCGCCAACATCCGACAGGCTACCATCCGCAATATTAATCTCTTGGTCTTCCTCGTCCACTTCTTCACGCTTGCGCTTGTTCTTTGTTTTGTTTTCTGGGTTTATTCCCTCCACAAGGTCCCTGGCGGCCTTTGCATTGACAGGGTCAAGTTTGGCAAGTCTCGAGTCCCTTTTCTTGTTGAGTGGTTGCTTTTTCGTTTGCCATTGGCTCTGGAGCCGTGAATTAGCGACGAGCAGTTGGAGTTGTTGGAACCATCAATAACATACACTATTGTCCCTGCCAAAATAAAGGTCGACCGGTGTCAGAGACAAGATCCCATCAAAGAAACTTGCATTGTGGTTGATACGGTCCTGACAAAGCGTGAGCATTTTAAAAAAACACCGACAAGGTGCGGGAAAGAATGCTAAAATTACCTCGAAATCGTCCGCCATGGTGATTGATAGGGTCTTTCTTGAAACCTGTCAACCTGGCGATATCATTCCTGTTTGGTCGTCTCGGTTTCACCGCTGGTAGGTAGAGGAGTTTGGTCGACGGCGAAAAAAAAGATTCAACACGAAGCCGCAGACCGACTTACCGATCCTGATGTGGGGAACTTTTCTGGAGCATCTGCGAAATCTTGGCGCAAGTATTCCTTTTGATGGGCTTCTTGATTCGCCGTATGGTATCAGTACCTGTGTGTTCCTACAACTTCTACCCAACAGCACACGACACCAATATTCTATCACAAAATCCCATGACTGTAGTTCTATGTGCAGTTCTATGTGCCTCCATTTCCTCCTCATTTTTCAAAGCCAGTGCTTCTTACAATATGTACGGCTAGTCTATGTTCTATTTTCCCCTTAAACAACCCACTTTCGTATCGCATTTGAATACCTTGACTCGAATACAATCCTGGAGCAACATCCATCATGACTTATTGCGGAATGCACCAACCACCAGGCCGAGAGGCGTCACTATCCGAGGTGGCTTAAACCCTGACTTGGACTCTTGCTCAGGCTCTGGCGTAGAAGACTCTTGCCTACTACTGGTATTCTCAAGGGCGATCTCGCTGTCAGGGGACATCACCGCCCGGTGTTGTTGCATGTAAATGATTGGGTGAAAGATAGCGATCATGGTGAGTGCAATGGCCGTCGGTCCCGCTTCGAAGACGTACAGACACCACTCGTTCGTCATCAGGTATGCATCATCGCCCATTGCGAACTCGATCAGTCGGTAAGCAGTTCGAATCTGTTGTTTTCGTCAGCAATGCACAGGTCTTCTACAATTCGCCTGTGAGAGAGACACAAAAGGGAGACCGGGGTGACGAACCTGGATGAAAAACACCGCAACCCAAACTGCCCAAATGACCTTTTTCGCCCCGGGCTGCAAGGTCACGTCGTCCCGACGGTTGACACGCCTCTGGAAGATGGCCAAAACAAAAATGAACACAGTGAACGTCAACAACTGCAGCGCAAGACCAAGGAGCAAAACATCCATGCCTATCGTGCGCAGGATACCTTTCCAACCCCCGGCCCCCGCGATTCCGCTGCCCCCTCCTTGTGTGTTGAAACTGGTAAAGTCGGATATGAGGAAGACGTACCCGAGTCTCTTGGGCGAGAGTCCAAAAAAGACCTGGGGGCTTTGGCCTCCGTCCTTTTCCTCCTCGGGCAGGTTGAACCGTATCATCCGTGTCAACAGCAGGTACAACGTCGCACAGAAAAACACGGGCGCAATAACAATCGACGACTGAGAGACAGCGTAAAAGATGATGCTTAGCGGCCACGTGTGTCGGAACTTGATGGACACGATGCGCAACGCCCAACCGGTGACCGAAATCCACCCGGCGATCGGTAGACAGAGTGTGTATTTGTGCGGGTTTGGTTGTTTGCGCGCAACCACGAAATTGATGTACATGTGCCGGACCGTGATGAGCCAGTATATAACTGTAAAAACAATGGCAAGAGGCATCGAAGGGCTGTAGGCGTACGGGTCGACTTCGTCAGGTGGAGGGGTGTCCCGTTTGAAGTTGGTAAAGGTGAAGGGAGACATGGTGGACAGGGCTCGTGGGAAAGTGATGGGTGTTATCATAGTGGTCTCGTGAGGCCGGGATGAATGGTTCGCTCGTGGATATAGATGTATAGTTGCGGATGGACGAGCAAAGACAAGAGCAGTCTCCCTCTGTCGGTGTCCTTTCTCTTATTCCACTCCTGCTCAAACAGATGAATTGAAGGGAATCAAAAGTAGGAAATTCAGCAGATGGTATAAAAACGGCGAAGGGAAAGAAGAAAGTTCGAGTCGAGTTGAGTTGTTTGTCGAAATACTCAAAAAGTAGTAGAGACCAACCGAGGACGGACGACGATGTTCTATATATGCCATTTTTTGACCGACTAGCAGCACGAGCAGGAGTATCTCAACACCAGCCGCCGATCTGGCTGTTAGGGAATCCACTCACTAGGAGAGAGCAACAGATATCTGCGTAGGTATGGAGTACTGGTCAATCCATACTGATGGATCAATCCATTCCAGGACCAGTAAATGACGGGTGCCTGATTCGCATCGCTGGGCACGTACGATTAAGTGTCGCAGCCACAGGTTTAGAGTAGCAAAATAGAAATCCCCAAGGTCAAAGCAACAACTTGTCGGTACGGACTCGAAAAGAATTGTCTATGTAGAGATCAAACAGGGAGATTTGACTTGGGCTTGCCTCGGTCTGTATAGCGATTGGTCCTCGCGTTCGTCGCGTTCGTCGTAGATTGACTTTCGGCTTTTTCCACCTGGGAACTAAACTAGAAAAGTGTTTGACTGACCCACCAAACAACCAGAATGTCAAGCCACAACGCCATCTGAGATACATGATGTACGGAGAATGTAAGTGAAGCACTGATGCGGTGCAAGTGGGAGAGAGCATACTATTGACACCAAGGTTCTGACCTCTGTCTCCAGGCTACACAATGAAAATGAAAGACACTTACAGACTTGTCTTGTGTTTCATCTCGCAGAAACCCCAGCATGAATACCTCCAGTGAAGCTCGTGGACTTCCAAGTGCTATCAAATCCAAAACCCAGGGCTGGTGTCAATGCACACGCGGCGAATGAGAGAAACATGAACCATTCCCAAGATGTGGTTTCGAAAATATGAAAACTGACTAGGAAGAAAAGTGTAACCCGATAAGTATTGGTAGTGCTTTTGTGCAACGATAAAGGCTTTTGCTGTCGATAGAGATGGCTCAACCAGCGTAGCCCATACTTACTCAATCATCATACCAGCCGCTGGTTTCAGCATAATGATCTTGGCCAACACTCTTCGTCTTCCTTTCCTTGTGCTTACCTGTCTTTGTCTTGAGTATTTCCAATCTCCGCATGGTTCCTTTGGCGAGCCAATATCCTTGATACTCATGCTTGCGAGTAGTGCCTGGAAGTACACGAAGGACAGGTGCCGAAACATATCTTCTGCTAAACCCAGTGAGGAGTGGATTCGAGACAACTCGGGATGCTTGAGGACCAGGCCGAGGGGAGGCAAATGAACTCGGAGCGACCCTGGAGTTTTGTGGAGCAGGTCGCAACATCTCATATGGGTTTCCCTGGATGCTGTAAGATCTAGAGTCGTTGGGGGTAACGCTAGAAACAAATGTTGACTCGGTGGAATAATGAGAGGATGCAGAAGATACACGGTTGTTGTCCTGGTCCCGGGCTCTGATAAACTCTACCAATTGCTCTGTGGTTTTTATATTGGACGGTAGGTGCTGTTCTTGTATGAGTTGTGATTCGATCCTGCCATAGCCGTTGTCATATGTGAAACTGACTGGGCTTCCTGTTGCATACCTATCAGGTAAGGTTCCAGGTGCTGGGCGAGGTCGAGGTCGAGGGAAGGAGCTGTCTGCAGTGTCAGGTCTTGGAGGGCTATACTCGCCTACAATGGGAGTACTCTCTGGTTTGTTTCTTCTGCTAAAGAATGGCATGTTTGCTGATGTATTTGATCAAATATTCTTTTGAGGGCAAAAAGCGAAAGATGTGAGATCGAGTTGCGATCGTTTTGTAGTAAGTAGAGCGTGGAATCACCTTTGAGGAGTATAATTGAAATACAGAATCCAAATAGCAGCCAGGTAAACAGCGTAAGGACTTACAAAGTGACCTTCAAGTCCTTTCATTGTCCACCGAAGCCCTGCCTGAGCAGTCATTGTTATGGAGACAAAGAACCTTCATTGTCCACTGCCAACACCCATGAGCGTTAGCATTTTTATTGGTGTCGGCTCATCGAGGCCCGTTGTCTGACAGAAGGATGTGATTGCTTGAATACTGCTAACCAAGTGGGAAGAGTCATTTTTCAGGATGGCGCTGATGCTGGTGACAAGATCGCCACGTGACTAGTCCGCAAGGCTGAACTTCCTCCCCGCCTCAAAAAACTTTCTCTCAATTCTGGTCGCATTATTTTGCGAAAGATCAGTCCGACAGGTTCAACTGCACACTTTCTAACATTGTTGTGTATCTCAGGGTCTTACCAAGTACATCATGGCACAAGGCCTGCTCAAAAAGTCCTCCAAATCCGCAAAGCCCTCGGCATCATCGAAGAGCGCCGGTGTCACCAAGAAGGGTCCCCGAACCATCACCCCGAAGAAGGCGAAGCTGGCCAAACAGGCCAAAATCAACAAGAAATACACTGCCGGACTGACAGCAAAGACAGAGGCTATGTTGGGGGCTCGAGCAGGGCATCTGGAGATGCTGGGCCAGGGAAGGAAGAAGAACGCAGGTGCAGAACAAAGCAAGAGCAGCGGAAAGAAAACAGGGAACAAGTCTTGAACCGGATCTGGTGATTGATTGGTACGGGACATCTCGATAACAAATTTTTATCACATCAGACCACAGAAGCACATGGCCTGGCAGAAACAGCCCTCCGCCCAGCGGCGCCTCACACCATGAAAGCGGACTCAGCAAGCGGTGGACAGTATTGAGAACTCCGAGAGAGATGTTACATTGGGACCATCGTTCTTTGTCAAAACACCTAACATACAGAGGCAAGACCTATTGTACCTGTTGTCGGAATACCGTCCATGGATGATCATAGGTGCCGGAAATCCAGGAAATGTCCTGTTGACTAAACTCCATACTCCAACATCGCAGCACATGGTATATCTAGGGGCACAAGTCCCAAATAAGTCGACACGCAGTCATCACATACCACCCAACGCTCGAGCAGCCTCTCCGCCACCAGATTGGAGCATTGCTTCCTGCCCTGGATCCGCTCTCAGCTTACCCTTGCCGGCACCACCCTCGCCAACTCCCATTCGTTTGGCCACGTATCTCTGAGCCACGACGCCGACGGCCAAGTTCAAAGTTTCCTCAACCCATTCACTCACCCACTCCCTAGGGTCAATGCCACCACTTGAGATGATCTCCTCAATACTCTCAGGCAATGTGCCTTCTCCCCCGCTAGGTGCATCCAGCCACTCCATCCACTGCCCTGGGAGAGCTTGGGATACGGCTTGGAAGGCGATGCCATGGATGGGATCGTGCAGATAGATAGCGAATACAACCTCTTCTGCATTCTTATCATCTTCTGCTTCTTGAACCTGTCCCTCTTGCTCTGAGCTTGGTGCTGCCGCAAATAAATCCTTTGAGACGGGCTGAGAAATGGCTTGTATGGCGAGGAAGATTTCGCTGTCTCTGGTCGGGTTCGATTCGGAGAGGGTTTCGGTTGCTTTCTTAGCTGCCTCCTCTACACCACCTCGAGTGGCAAAGAATTCTTCAGCATATCCCTCTGCAGATGCTCGCACCAACTTGCTGCCCTCTATCATTCCTTTGATGGCATTGATACTCCGTCTCTCGCCACTTCTCCACCAGGGTCCATCATGCCACGAACCCAGTGGCCGGCTCATTTCTTTTGAATCGCGTTTTGGGCCAGCCTCATGGCCCCGTTGTACCACCATGAGGTCCCCACCCTCCACCTGCGCCATGACTCTGCTAAAGACTTGGTAGATGAGAGGATCTAAGGTTGGGTAATTGGTAAGGTCGTGCGTGATATGGATTTGTAGTCGTTCGTGCGACGAAATCGGTGGAGCGATTGTCTGTAGGATGTTTTGGAAAGTAGGCATTGCCATTGACCTCAGTTCACCGCCTGCATGCCCGTTAGATATTGCTTAGCCTGCGGCACAACTTGTACCTACCAAAGCCTCTAAGCATCCCTACATTGCCTCGAACTTGATCTGCCCACTTTTGTGCCTCCTCATTCTTCTGTATCTCTTTCACGGCTGCCTGGGCCTGGTGGACTGCGGCAGAGGCGGTTGACAGTAGACCTCCCCACCATCCACCACCCTTCGAAGGGGCAGGCGCTGGCTCGGGGGTCGCATCGGCGTCTGCTGAGTCTTCAGTCGAGGTAGTGGCCGGCGTGAAGCTTTGATGAAATGAACGCATACTGTCACCCGACTTCCGCTGACCATTGCTAGACTTCTCTTCACTCGTCCGTCCAGGTGGAGGAGTGCCTGTGGATGTACGCTTTGGGGATCGAGCGCCGGTGGTAGAGGGAGCATTTGGCTTGAGAGAAGGAGTGGCAGGTCGACTGGCAGGTCGTTGGGCAAGGTTGCCGAGTTCTGCGAGCAGCTCTTTTTCAGACTGCGATGATTGATTGGGTTGTGTCTGTTTCGTTTTCGTGGCTGCTTTCGAGGGACGAGACGTGGCTTTACTGCCTAAATCGTCGAGCTGAGCCAATAGCTCATCATCCGTAGGTGCCGTCTTCTTCGTAGCCATGGCTGCAGTCTTAAATCTAGGAGTGTGAATTACTCTGGGAGTGGAGAGATGGCTCCTGCGTGTCTATGTACTCGTACCTGACTTGGAGGTGATGCACATGCGTCAGTCACTAGCCCTCGTTAGGCCATGGAGGGACCTCGATCTTGTCCAGATTTGGAAAACAATAGCGCCGCCTGGAAGCCAGCGTCCAACCTCGATGTTTTGGGAGCAATAAATACATCATCTCTCTGTTTTTTAGTACATTATGTATGTGCCTTGACTTACAGGTCTCTACGAGTGAAAGATGTTAGTGTTTCAGACTCTCGTGCAAAATTCATCTCGTTCATGTCGTTCTACAAGCACGACACCTCTCGGATGCTTACAGCTTCTCTATATCGTATCGAGGCAATATCGCTCTGTGCCAAATAATTTGTATCAGGAGAACCACGGGGAAAATTGGGAGGCGCCATGGTTACTGTCAATCTAGGTCTAACACCTCAACAATATGACTGCCGCTCAGAGAAGCAACGACGAAAAAGCATTGCCAGTATGATTTGGTAAATGATCATGATCAACTGGAAGGTGAGTCGAAGCCGTGGTGGGAAGGTACAAAGAATTTCTGGTCATTCGTTCGTCAGATCCAAGTTTGCATCATCATTTAACATATTCACTTCAACATCAATCAGACTCAAGAGTGTCAAAGGTCGTAAATACGAGTCAATTGTGGTTATGTCTCAGACTCATCGAATAGGTGATTTAACTTACTCTTGACCTATATTGCTTCTCCCAAACCTGAACCTTCTATTGAATTACTTCTCACACGAATTGACCAGTCCAGCAAGGACTACACACCTACAGACAAAAAATATGGATAACAACAGCATTGCCAGTCCCCAGATCATTTTTGTCTTTGCGGTCCTCTCAATGACGATTCTCCAGAGCATGGCTTCGAGTCTGCTCCACCGCTTTCCACCCGACCCAGCAACGATAAACCAGGCAAAGGGCATTTGTCCCGGTGGCTTCCAATGGTCTATCATCCCTGGCTCGCATCCTTCAACTGCCTGGGCCACTTGTTGTCAAAAGGGATATCAAGCCAATGTGGCCCAAGTTGTGGATGGGCTGGGCTTATTGGCAGTGTATTGTTGCCCCCTTGAAGACATTGAACCTCCCTGCAACAAGGAGCTTCCACTGCAGCCGCTTCTTTGCCCAGATACCTGGATCATGGTCGGAGCTCAATGCCGGACAACATGACCGTTGTATGAACGATGGACAAATTTGAAAATGGAATTACCTCAAGTTCAGCAGCCTCAATTGCTTTAGAGATCACCATCATAATCATTCTCATGTCATTACAGTCGGCCCTAACCGACTTCGACAGCTTTCTCGGTCATCAAATATAAATCTACCAATCCATGATGAGTCGAGCTGAGCGACCCGTAAGTCATCAACCCTGGCCGAGTCAGGACTCATCAACAACTCAATGCAGCGATGGTATGCAACTGGGATCTCATGGTAACAATTGAAGACCCACCAAGACTTTCAATTAGCTAGGTAGTTCAATATGAGAAGACTAGCAATGTATTCCATGACACAGATGCTCCAACGAACTTGTGGTACTGGTGCTCGGTTTAATCTCATCTCGGATCTAACTGTTTATTGCATCGGCATAGGAAGACATGGCTTTACATTCCTGTCTCTTCTTGTAATGCTATGAGATCTCCGTCTCAACGTCATGTCTGGGCCTCAGTCTCTCTTCCGCACCGTCTCGATGATCCACTCGAGACGACCGTCTTCAGCGACCTCGGCGAACAGAAAAGTTTCGGCCTTCCCAACGGACCCGTCTGGACCTGTTGTCGACGATGAATGTCGCTCGGCGAGCTGTGCACCGTCACGCAGGAACTGAGTTGTTGTGAGAGTGACGGAGGGTAGAATTTCTCGGAGATGACGGATGGAAGCCACGAAAGCAGGAAAGTCCATCTTGCTTTCATCGGCTCGTATAGTGAATGTTGGAGTGAGTAGCTTCGAGAGGTCAGTTTCGGTGTTGTCTGGGTTGCCTGAAAACAGGCTCAACAGCGCCGCTTGAAAGGTTTCCGCCCTGTCGGCAAAGTTGGTCTTGGTCGTGTCGGCCATGATTGGATTCGTCGTTGTTATTGTATCCTATGTGATTGCTACTGACAATGTCATATGAAGAGTGTACCTCACAGAGCGTGTTGGACTTTTGTGTTCCGATTATGGGCTGTTTCTTATTATATAGTATAAAACACCATGAATGCGGCAGCCTGCCGAGATTGAGTTTGGTTTTCTAGACTTCCAGTAAAGTAAATCATACACATCATACAGGAGACACGTAAGATTCCCTGTTGCCTTGGAAGTCTAGTACGCAACGGTTGTTCCTCAACGTCCGAACCAACCGAGTTGTTTGAATGTCATCAAGAGCCTTTTGGTGAAAAGTTGCTGCTGGTGAGTCTTGAAAAAAGGTGACGACGGTCTGCGGACGAATAATTTGTGTCGTGTCAACTCGTCTTGAGCCTGATGATCACTCTTCACCGAATCAACAACCCTCTTTCGGATTGTTGTTGTTGTTCTCTTCTGCATCGGCCCTCTCGCGCTGTTTCCGACACTCGTTTATCCCTTCTCTTCTGATATAATCGACTCACGAAGATTGCCCTCTGTTGCTCCGGTGATGCCTGGCCATGGTTGCATGTTCCTCCCTATCGTTCTCGCATACGTAGCAGAACGGTCTGCAGTTCTTCCACTCGGGATCAGTGTCCACTCGACAGATGGATCGGCCCACTTTCTCAGGCCTTGGTGACCACCACATAGGGCGTTGTCGACGTGTTACACGGCACGCTGTTTTAATAGAAAAAGAGGCTGAGGACAACAATATCCTAGTGCTCCTCACAACCAGTAAGAAGTATTTACTGACTGTTAGATTGTTTAATTGTTGTTCGTTAAGATTTGCTTTTCTTCGTATTGTCGGGTTAGAGTCTCATAAGCCTCCCAAGTCAGGAGGTGCCATTTCCAGGATTGTGAACAGCCCGGCAATTCTATCTAGGCAGACATTGAAGCCATCAAGACAATCTACTCTCTCGAATCACCCCACGTGACCAGAGACGAAGAGTGTGGAATTTCCAACTGTAATTGGCTTTACAAGAGATGATTACTTTGCTCCTGCCTCACCTGTTGAGACCCTAATTTGCTCGACTTCCCGACATCCCTTCAACTTTTTGTGAGTACCTGGCAGCCAGTGGGCTTCCGTATGAGCAAGTCCGCCCATCAGAGACAGTCAAACTGGCGGTCTGATTTGTCCAGAGCGAGGTCGTTCTATGGCTGCAACAACATTGGTTGGGAGAGCTAGAGAGAAGAAGTAAAGGAACCCAGAAATTCCGCTGTTCAATGATTCGAAGGTTTTCTTGGGCAATGATGGAAACATACCCTGTGGAACGGTGCCGCCCCCTTTCCCCATATTTTGTGGAATTGCCTCCGCGCTGGGCCTGGGTCAAGCAGATCACCGAGGAAATGATTGGTTTACCTCGACCTAACTGAACGAAGATCTGGGGTCGGGTAAGACCATTATGGGCATCGTGTCCGGGGCATGCTGTATTGCCAGTAACCGGTACGGATTTGTAGGAGCCTGAAGCCAGGCAATCCTCCCATTTTCTGGATAAGCTTTACAAGGCTTCTGGAGGACGGAACTGAGATGATATATACATCTTGGGGGGCATTTCAATACCTCTCACTCCTATTTTCCGGGCAATCCTCACGCCACTTATACTCGATCGACATCCGGTTTGACTGCGACGGCAAAGAAGTATGGACGACATGAACAAACCCTCACACGACCACAGAGATGTTGAGATGGATCATCACGTGGACAGGCGGTCTCTCGATGATGAACAACTACTGGCTGCCCTTGGGCACAAACAGGAATTGCGACGCGAGTTCTCGCTATGGTCACTAGGTTGTTTGTGCCTCTGCCTCATGGCAACATGGGAAGCACTATCAACCGTGGTCGCTGCCGCTTTGATCAGCGGAGGGCCTCCTTGCCTGTTCTACAACTAGTATGGTCAAAAAACCACGGATCCGCGAAGCCGTCCAGCTGATTGTGCATTACAGTGTCATATCATTCCTGGGAACGATAGCCGTAGCCCTATCCTTGGGTGAGATTGCCAGCATTTGGCCAACCGCAGGAGGTATGTCGGGTTTTGAACAAGAGACAAGTCAAGTACACTTACACGTTCGAAACTCCAGGTCAATATCACTGGGTTGCCGTCCTTGCTCCACAAAACACTCGAGTCATCGCATCGTGGTTCACTGGCTGGATTTCTATCGGTGGTCAGATTGTGCTTACAGCTTCGGCCGCCTTCGCAGCTGGACTCCAACTCCAAGGGCTCATCACCTTGAATCATCCCGATAGTTATGTTCCACAACGATGGCAAGGAATGCTGTTTTACTGGCTTGTTCTCGTTTACGCTGCCGCGGTGAATATCTGGGGGTCGAAGATACTGCCACATGCAAATCTGGCTTCTGGTAAGTGGTTCGGTTTTGTTTGGAAGCCGTTGTACCTGGTGTATGTTGACAATCTGCTGCAGGTGTCTTGCATATCGTCGGCTTCATTGCCATTGTGGCTCTGCTGGGAGCCATGTCGCCCAAGCACTCTTCGCACTATGTGTTTGTAGAGGTCTCGAATTCCAGTGGCTGGAGCAGCGATGGTGTCGCTTGGCTTGTCGGCCTCTTGAGTTCGGTATACCCATTTCTTGGGTATGATGCCGCAGCACATCTAGCAGAAGGTATGTTTGTTGTTCCTGAGTCCAAGTCTGACTTGAGTGTTGACCAAATTCTCCCCAGAGTTACCTCGTCCAAGTCGAAATGCTCCTCTCGCCATGGTTGGTTCCGTTGTCGCCAACGGAATTTTAGGTTTCATTTACTGCATCATCCTGCTGTACAGTCTGGGAGATCTTAACGATCTTCTCAAATCACCTACTGGATTCCCATTCATGCAGTTATTCCTGAACGTCACCAAGTCCAAGGCCGGCGCGACCATCTTGGTCCTCATCATATCACTTATTGCCGTCGCCGCAAATGCCGCCGGGTTGACGTCGACGAGTCGCACCTTTTGGGCTTTTGCTCGAGACGAAGGTATGCCAGCTTCGAGGTACTTTGCGCATGTTCATTCGAACCTCAAAGTACCGGTCCGTATGATCCTCCTCGTGACGGTCCTGCAATTCCTGCTCGGCTTCATCTACCTGGGCAACACGACGGCATTCAATGCCATCCTTTCCATGGCAATCATTGGCATGTATCTCAGTTACATCCTCCCGATCGTCTACATGCTTCTATGCGGCCGGAAGAAGCTCAACAGAAGTGACTACGGACCTTTCAAACTTGGCCAGATTGGGGGTATCATCATCAACACCATCGCGGTCCTATGGTTGGTATTTGCCATGGTGTTCAGCACTTTCCCCAACTTTGAGCCAGTCAATGCTCAGAACATGAATTATTCCACGGTAGTACTCGTCGGATGGGTTTTGTTCGGCGCCCTTTATTACCTCTTCTTTGGCAGGAAGGTGTACACTGGTCCGGTGGTTGAGACTCCTGCAACCGAATTGCAAATCACAAATGTGCACGCCACTGATCAGAAATAGGCTGTATGTACATTAGGAGTGTTGTTCGAGATGCCTGACCGGTGAAGATCCATGACGAGACTTTTATTCGAGATGTACAAGTAGTTGACAATTAAGACCGATGAGAGGTTATTGGCCATCTTCTTGGGTGGCATTGAGTCAAACTAAGGGCGGCATCACCCCGTTTCTCGATCGGGAGTAAAGGCCAGCCTTGCCGTTCGTTCTATCGAAGCTCACTTTACTCCCTACTCTCTCGTAGTTCTTCGACTTTTATACACCTCGTAACATCCTGTGCATTTGCCTATCGCAACGGCTTGTCTAGACATCTTGGAATTATCCTCATCATATTATTATAGAATAACGACGACAACAACACCTCCACCACCACCACCCATTTCGCCATCTCATCACCCTCCCTCTGTCTGCGTGTCATTTTGAATTTACTTTTTTCGTTCAACCTCAAATGGCCGTCGAAGATCCCACCACCACCAACCCTTCACCCTTCAACTACATCCTCTCGTTCCTTCTCGTCGGCGTCTGTTGGGGTTTCACCACCCCGTTCATCCGTAAAGCCGCCGTCAACTACACGCCACCATCGAACCCTTCCATCACCGACCCATCCCGATCATGGATATCTCGTCAAATCGCAAAGGCATTCTTCACCGTCCTAGGTCTCCTACGGAGTCCGGGTTACGCCGTTCCTCTGGTCATGAATCTGACCGGGAGTATTTGGTTTTTTCTACTGGTCGGACAAGCAGGTACGTCTTTTTTTTAAACCTCTTCTGAAATATCAACATCCGGACCCCCCTTTCACTCAACCCTCATCGGAGAGAGTACCATTCACATCCAAGCCTGACCAATGGCTTTTCCTTTTTTTGTTTTTTGATCCAGAAAAAAAAAAGTTCCTACTCGGAACCTCTCACTCTCAAGTACCCAATTAACCAACAACTCTTGTCCAACAGAACTCTCTTTGACGGTCCCCATCACGAATTCCCTCGCATTTCTCTTCACCGTTTTGGGTGAATGGTACGCAGAAGGCAAACTCATCTCCAAAGATACTTGGCTGGGGATGAGTCTGGTCTGCGCGGGAATCGGGTTGTGTGTTTGGTCAAAGACTTGATCGTTGGATACCTAGGCAGTTGACAATGACACAAAACTGCCCGTCACCTGCCCTACATTACCACTGCCTCGCTGTACATACATTGTTCACGATACACGTGTCATAGATAGATATTCAATGGTAGATCCGGAGGTATAGCATGTTACTCACAGAACAACAAATTCCTACCATTACAAGAGTACATATCTACCCTAGGTACTTCGTCATCGTCATTTCTTCTTCCGTGCCAGAACGTCTGACGGATTATCCACGATCTCGAGTAAGAATTTGTTTTTCTTTTCGTACATAAAGGTACACAGGGTATCATGCCAAGCAGATGGTTGTTACAACGAACATAGGATTATAGCCAAAGAGTCACCCAGATTGGTAGCCTACCCAACCAAAACGCCGAGGCTTTTTAGAGCCCATCCACCATCAACCCTCCCCCAATGTGTGTTGTGTTCCTCGTTGCTCATAAATCATCCTGTTGACGGATCTGATTATACTCCACGGAACTGTAAACGCGTTAGAAAATGGCACCCAAAAAATACAAACAAGAAATACTCACCAATCTCACTATCAAGAACCAGCAAGCTCCAATGAACCTGAATAATGACAGACCGGCAACTGACCACAGGATAACCGCCAGGTAGATGGTCGAGTTCTGTTGCTCCGTATTGTCCGTGTTGATTCTATCAAATCCTGCCGTGTTCAAGACTGCCGCCACTAATATAAAATTGGTGACCATCCATGCCGTAACAACGTTGCTTCGGAAAGACTTGTAGTAATCTTCCTGCTTGTCCGCTGGATTGATCTTCTTGACTTCCTTTGGAGGCTTGCCTGCGAATTTCTGCAACTCGGCATCGTATTGGGCGTTCAAATCCCCGTCATCCTGTGGAATGGCCACATCAAGCTTACCATCGGCCTTGACCGTGACACTTTCGAGCTTCTCGGCTTTGTCGTCGCCTTTGGTACCCCATGTTATGTCGTGAGTATTGCAGAAGGCGTAGATGTTGAGCACGTTGATGTAGGTCGGGGTAAGAACCAGGTACTGAAGGAAGCAAGTGAACATGTGCCACGGGTCGAAGAACAGAAAACTCGCCACGAACCAAAGGACGTACGTGCTTGCCAGAGAAACGATCAGTCCGAAGAACGTACTGTTGTTGAAAATGGTGGAGAAACTAAAGTCCTTTTGCTGGACTTCATTTTGGATCGACTTGACCGTCAGGAAGATCGAGGCAAAAGTCAACCAGCACATGAGAAGTGACCAAAAGATAACCATCATCAGGTAGGATTTTTTGGACCCGGTCGGCCGGTTGCCCATGGAAAGGATGAAGCAGTAGAGAAGAGTTCCGAGGTAGATAAATTCAAAGACGACACCAAGAATGGTTCCTGCGTTTCCGAGAGGTCCAGGAGATCCCAGGGATGCGGTAAGGAGTCGGAAAACCAGGAAGAAGTTGCCAATAGCAAACCAAGCAAACAACATGTTAATTGTCTGGTAGGTGAACTCGATCAAGAACATGAACTTCCGTATGGCACTGTGATCACTGCGCCAAAGCTGGTACACGTGTGCAACAGCGTAGACCGCCGCGAAAAACGAACCATTGAGCCATCGTCGTCGTTGCAAAACAAACTCGGGGATTTTGTCAGGGACATCGGTCTCGCCTGTGGCCGATTTGACGTATTGTAGAATCCAGCGACAGTTTCGCTTGCTGACCAGCTCGAAACAGAGAATGCGATCCTCGGCAAGATACATGTTGGCAGTGAAGACGCCTGCATCAGCGTGCATGAACTCGCCCTTGAAATACTTCTCAAGAGGTCCTTCACCATTCTTGTCGTTCTGTAAAGCCACATAGCGATATGCTGAGAAGGCACCAGGAAGCACAGAGATGAAACCAAAAGCTGACTCGAGTGGCTTGTCCAAAATGTTTGACATCTTGTATTCAAAGTTTTGTGTGGCAATCAGGGGGTTGTAGAGCTTTTTACCATGATCCAACATGACCTTGATTTCGCCGCAAGCTCCGCCGCACATCGGTTCCAAGTCGAATGCTTTCCATAGTTGATAGATCGAATCCTTACCAGGTTTGGTTCCGGCATCGATTAGCACGCAGATGTTGGGGTCCAGTACCCGGCCAAAGGCTTGGAAGAACCATCGATGAGAGTTGATCTTTTTCTGGTTCTTCTCCTTCAAACAAAAGAGTAATTGTACAGGCGTGGCCGATCTGGGCTTCAACGACACCTGCGTGCCTTTGAGTTCTAGCCCTACTTGCGTCGTGTATTCGTATATATGTGCCGTGACATCCTTTCCATTGACCTGTTGCTTGGCAATGCCGTCCTGGTACACACCTAGACCAGCTAAGACTGCTCTGGTTCGAGGATTGATCTTCGCACGACCATCACTGACAATGCAAACTACGATCTTCTTCCACGCTTCTTTGCCCCAGGTCTTGCTGCTCGTACGGTTGCACATGTATTCGATATTCTTGAAGACACCGATCATTGTCCGTGCAAACAGGAATTCATCCTCATTGTACATCGTCACAACGATGAAAAGCTCGGTCTGTCGAGGCTTTGCAAAGAGCCTCTGACGGAGGGTAAATCGTTCGTTGTAGAAATCTGCAGGGTCACAAGTGGCTGCCGAGTATCTCATATGCGTGAATTCGTCTCTCTCAGGTGGTTGCGCATGGGGGACTTGGGCGAGTAGTTTTGGGGGCAGAGGACAGTCGAGGACGAGATTGCCGTTGAACAGTTGCACCTCCTTCACGGTCTTCCATCTACGGATCGGTGCGGGGGATGGCGTTGGGCGAGGTTCGTCATGATATCCCTCGTAGTCCATGCCAGGTTGAGAATGAGGATCAGGACCATACGCCGAATCTGGCTGTAGAATAGGTGCAGTATCATGATCGCCGCGGTAGGGTTCGCCAGGAGTTGGGTATGGATCTAACGCATAATCGCCTTGTGGGTGGGGGGAGTAGGTCTGGTTGTAGTATGCATCATGGTGTTCCTCTGGCGACACGATATATTCATTCCTACCATACCCCATGTCTCCCGCCGCAGGATACTGCTGTTCATACTGCTGGTTGTGGCCTTGTGAGTTATGGATATTTTCTACCGAATATGTCGGCTGCATTGCCAGTCGGTCATTGGACGCTGTTGGCATTTGCAAATGTAGAGGTTGTAGTTGTCTCGAGTAGAACTCCTCAGGATGTGTATATGCTTGCAAGGGCCGCCCAGGTGAGGGCGATCGGGAATCGTATTGAGGGTTGGCCGACGGAGAATACGGCCCGTCTCGCTGCGGACTACCTGAGCGCAACAGTTAGTATCTCTTTTCTGAAAAGCATGGAACGTCCGAGGTGGATTTACCGAGTCGGTTGTACGCCATGGCAGGCGAGATGGAGGAAAGGAGGGAGTATGCCCAGGCGACAGTGGCCTGTGTCCAAGGAATGGAATGCGACGGTGGTTACGATATGCGATGTTTGAGAGAGGGTTTGATCCAAGATGACACTGCTCCAGATGGCCGCGCAATCGAAGATCTTTTTGCAAGAGGTTTCGAAGGGGCTGAGTGGTGAATTACGTGGAGATCTCTGTTTACTCCTGCGGCCGGACTTGGAAGTGGACCGCGGGGATGAAGACTCCTGTGCTACCAAGGTATTCGGACTCGTACGCTTGGGAAGAGGGATTGGATAGTGATACCTCTGTACGGAGTACTGCTGTAAGTAGTGAGTGACTTTGTGATTGAGATGAATCGCAGGAGGGCTTCGAGCAGTCCGGAGTACGAGTATTCTCACATCACCCAGGGGCGGCACGGGCTCTTGAGATTCTCTGACAAGGGCCAAGTACACCAAGTCGCCGCAGTAACAAGCTAAGTCCATCACATGCAGAATAGGGCACACTTAGTGGGCTGCTTATTTGCTGCAAGGCTTTCTTCTATTCGTACAGTACTGTCCTCCAGCGACCTCGGACGCTTTGTTTCTATTTTTTCTTTCTCCTCGTGCTATTTGCCATCATCGTCGTCATCCGATCTACTCACCTCATCGGCTCACGTCCGAGTGCCTTGCGTGGCTTAATGCTTGGTCGCGGGAACCAGAAGGATAGCGACAGTGATCAACATGTTTATGTCTCGGCGACCTCCAATTCTCGCACTCCGCAGGTACGTATTGTTGTTACGGATATTGAGTATGAGGCAATCAATCTCCTCCGAGGCCCATTACATCCTGTAGGCGAAGCATCTGTGGCTGCGCAAAGCACGTTTCAGCTTCCCCAGATACGCCACGCGCTACCACTTATCGAATCAATGTCCGCATACAGAAGAGGCAAACTGTGGCTGTGGCTTGTGCACGAGAATCCCGACACCTCACATCGTGCCGCAACACTTCCCTGCGCATCTTCAGCAGCCAGCCTGATGATGAAACCTGCCCTGTGTGACGTGAATAACGCACCTATCCTTGGTTGCAATACATTCGACATCATTCACAGGTGGATTTTAATTGGCACTTCCGGAGCGTATTATGATCTGGTCCGGATTACACCTCGATTGTGATGATGACCAGGAACCACACCGAGTACACACACCAGGAACACATACTACAATACCAGAGTTTACTAAACCACTATAATTCCCAACAATGACCAAGCCTGGCTACTTCGTTTTTAACACAGGTCATCTATTTCTTTCCCTTGTCGCGATCTCTACTCCCGCCGGCTCTCGACACAAACTTGCCCAACCCGCCCGCAAGGCTGTGCCCACGCTTGTGTGGCGTGGGTCTTTCGGAGCCCACCAAGCTTGGAGTTGAACCTGTGTTTACTGTAAGGCCACTACCCGCCTTGACGAGTCCGCCTTGACCGGAAGGGGCACCGATCATGCTCAACGGTCTGGTACTGCGAGCCTTGCCCTCACTCTCCGCCCTTCCACCCGTCCGGCTAGTTCCACCACCATTGGCGCCATCGAGGAGGCCGTATGTTAATCCGCTGGCAAGAGGTATGTCGGCGTCATTACCTCGAAGCAGTCGCTCATTCCGTCGCCGCGCACGTTCTTGTGTTTGTTTGAACTTATCCAAAAGTTCGGGCCACCTGACTTCGTTGGCTGCATTGTCGCGATTACGGCTCAGACGCGCTGCAACAGCGCCGGTGGGCGCGGGCGGCATGTTCGACGATGCCATTCCTGATACGCCACTATATCAAGATGGACGTATTAGTAACTCATTTCTCTTACTTACCAAACTTGAGAGTATGGGGCATAACGACATACGATGGTCTTGCAGACGTAGGCATGGCAGCTGGCGTATGAAGCAAGCCTATTGCTGAGACACTGTTAAGACGATTTTTCAATGCGCCAAAGGCCGAAGACTGAGGAAGAAGCATGAGTAGCCCGTAAAGACATTTGTAGAGATATGGATATCTGTCTGGTTCGAGGAGTTGTAGGCGAAGATCTGTCTGTGTTAGCGGGGCGATCTAGGAGAAGACGATGACTGCATACACGTAAAAACGGGGCTTTCCAGCAACTGAACAAGCTTATCGATCTGGATGAGCATGTTCACTGTCATTTCAAGATCCGCGAAAATCTGCAGCAGATTGTACGCCTGTTCATAGGCTTGCGCAAGCAAGCACAGCGAGAATGTAGCAACGGCGTTATAACACCACGCACGAAATAAGGCGACAAAGAACATCTGGCCATCTTTGCTTTCCAAGTTTCGAAGCCTTTTCCTCAATTCGGCTAATTCTGGGGCGGTGATGAGGTTGTTGTTTAAGTTCTGCACCATGATGCTGGCAAATTCGATGTCTTCATCCTTCTCAATGCAGTCGGCCAATGTTCTGTAGATCCTTTCTGGCTGAAGGTTGATGCATAATTGACGTATGATCAGATTGCCTCTGATTTCGAGGAGTTTGCGGTCAGTCGAAAAGAGTTGCAGCAGGGCAACCATGAACGAGGCAAAATAGCTATCCTCACTGTTCTTAGAAATCTGGGAGAGCAGTTGCAAATCGCGTGTTACAACGGCTTCGGCTGGATCTGAAAGTGTCTTTAACAAGGCTGGGAAAGTTCCGTCGTTGAACGCGAGGACTTTCTTTGGCGCTTTCTTGTGGAGCATTATCAACCAGTTCAAGGCTGCAACACGGGTTTCCTCATTCTCATTCAGAAATTGCAAAGTCAGTGTGTTGACTGCTGCTGCGTAGTCCATGTCGGCTGGAGCCTGTAATGAAGGCGCCATGCTGGCTCTTGATCTGGCTTCGAAAGACCTCGCATCGGCCTCGATGGAAGCCTCGACACCTGGCTCATTCTCTTTCGCTGATGGTGCAAGACTGGTTTTCGATGCTGCTCCGAGCGGTCTCTTGTCCGACGCATCTCCGTCTCGAATGCTAAGCACGGAAAGGTTGCTTGGTGCGTGACTTTCATCACGCTCAGTCTTCTTGTCGTCTTGAAGACTCACGATATAGTCCATTAATGACCTATTGACTTTGCTGGCTGTTGTTCTGACTTGTTCTGACTGTGACGACAAGGATGGCAAAACACGGGACAAGAGCCGTGGAACGAATGGTAGGATTTCCTCTGGGCTGATTTCGAAGAAGCTGTCAATCCAGCGGAGTGCCACAATTCCTATCTCTTCCTCTTTTTGCTTTGAGAGCCCCTCGAGACGAAGGTTTGTTGTGCTTTCTTTGCTAGAGGAAACATCCACGAATTTGAGGAGTATATCAAGAATAGCAGCATGATCGACCTGAACGTCTTGCCCAGGTATCCAATCACCGCCAGTGTCGTCGTCGTCATCAAGGACATCTTGTGCTGTACCAGATTCGGAATCTTCGATGGCATTGTCGTCTGATATGCTACCTGCTGCCGTAGCGCTCCCATCTTCGCTTTCTGTTTTCGGCTTGATGTTGCTGATTCGACTCTTGCGACTTTCAGCGATGCCTCTTTTGATCTTTGCAATCTTCTTGATCTCGTTCAAAAAGCGCTCCAGCAGCCCTTGAGTTGCCACGTAAACATCCCGATTTGGATCGCCCAGAAACTTGAAGAGGCCACCTAGAAAGGCTGGCAGATAATGTACGAGTTCTAGATCAGGGATCGTGTCCAGAAGTGTGAGCCATGAGACAAGGAATGTTCTGGTGAAGGGATTGAGGACGTGAATTCGTTCTTCCAAAAGTGGAATGAATTTGGCGAGAGAGAATGTAGTGGGGTAGTCAGCACTTTCCCTATCAGAATTCGTGTTCTCGCCGTCTTCATCCTGGAAATTTAGCACCGACACATACGAGGCAGCGGACTCCGAGACAATATCCTTGATGAGACGATCGAGGAGCTCCGCGCCATTCTTCACAGATAGTTCCGAGTCGGCCGCAAGCTGTTGAACATATTAGTACATGCTTGGGCATTGTATTCGCCTTCTGACCTTGCACAAGGAATCAAATATGTCATTGAAGAAGACCAAGATTTCACCCTTGGCCACTTTGGCGATATTATACATGGCTTCACAGGCATAATATCGTACACGGGCATCTTGGTCTGTAAAACATGCCAATACGGGTGGCACTATCACCTGCAGGTATCGGGCAACTTCGTCCTGACGGAGAGGTGATCAGCTTTCCAGTGTTTACAGGCATGTTATGATAGGACTTACAGAGCCCAGAGCAATCGATGCAGCAGCTAGCCCGATGAGTCCTCCATTTCGAGCGTGCGGTAGATGAACAGCATAGGCATAATCATGACATAGTTGATCGAGAGTCTTTCGAATCTTGTCATGTTCTTTGTCGGCAATGGCTTCTCTGACAAAACGCTCGAGCCTTGCGGGATGTCAGTCTAGACGTCGCATACGGAAGCATGGGTTTGATACTCTAGTGCCCCTTGCTTGCGTTTGTCATAAAGTTTGTCAGTCAGAAGCCGCTGAACTGATGGATCCATGTTGATATGTCGATGGAGGGATGCTGGGTCGTGCGATCATCATCGGAGGCTGATGCAGCCTGGAACGTCAGTGTATCTTCGAGTTCTGTGCAGCACCTTCATCTGTATTCCATTTCCACGTTTCAGAGTCTCTGTTGTCTTTATAGTTCGAAAGAAGAAGATAGGACGAAATTCATCGGCTGGACATGGTTGATAAATAACGCGTGCGTAGTTCGGAGGTTGTAGCGAGGTTGCCAACTTTGGGGCCTCCGTCAACGCTCGATACGATTGGCGGGGAGTCAACCACCATTTTTGATGACCGTGAACCCTTGTACTCCGTACCGCCAGTGCAAGTCGCGTGTACTCGTATTTTGACCATCTCACCATGGAGAAACGTCTCTGTTCATCGAAACATACAGTACTACAGAATCGCAGTGAAGATATAATCAGTCCACTTGGGTACTTGTGGACGTGATGACCTCTTGACACAACAATCTACATTATTTCATCATCTCCAATCTACCAGACCATCCAAGGCCTCCATCTGTTAAAACAAGACTCAAAAGTATTCTATTGACTCTGCGGGCCAGACTTCGACCTCTGCTGGTCAAGCTAGTGGCTAATATACTGGAACACTGCACTGACGGCGTCTTCTGAGGTTTCTTGCCGAAGTAGCAAGTCTTGTATCTTGCCCATCGGACCCTGTTCACCATTGTTGACAAAATGGTTCCAAGAACTCGTATCTCCATATAACATAGCTGGAGCCTTGATTTGTTGCACTCCATCTGGCTTGCATCGTTTGCACTTGAATGTGTCATGAGTATCACTTCTCGTATCGGGTTGGTACTGGAAAAGCTCTCTCAAAGAGTCAAGTGTGAAATGTCGTTCAACATCCTCCGCTGAGTCGACCACCGTCGAGGACAGTGCCTGCTTGTGAGACTGACGCTGAAAGATCTTCTCCTCGATGGTCCCGGTACCCATGAATCGATATACGAAGCAGTCTTTCTTCTGGCCGTCTCGCCAAACGCGAGCTAGAGCTTGCTGATCGGCAGCGGGATTCCAGTCTGGATCAAAGAGTACGAGACGATTTGCTCCAATCAAATTAATTCCACACCCACCAGCTTTACTGCTCAACAAAAAGACAAATTCCTCTCCATTAGGATCATTGAATTTGTCCACGAGCTTCTGGCGTTTGTTGACATTCATGGTGCCGTCAAGTCGAAGGCAGCCATAGCTGCGTGCGCGACACAGCTTCTCGAACACATCCAACGTTTGGGTATAGTTACTGATGAGGACTATCTTGTCGTTCGTGTCTTGTCGAATGCGTGCAAGCATGCGTTCAAGAACAGCGAATTTTCCTGAATACCACGATTTGACATCCCTATCTCGACCACGAGCTTCTTTGGGCACGTAATCATGTGGCCAGAACTTTTCACTGCCAGGCAAATCCTTCTCCAGGTCCAATAAATCTGGATGATTGCACAACTTTTTCAAAATGCCTATGGCCTTTAGAGGTTGGCTGCCTTTCCCTCGAAGAAGACTCTTGATATCAGGACTCTGTATGAAGTGATTGTAAAGGTCCTTCTGGAAAGGCGCAAGATTGCAAAAGACGACATGTTCATACTTGACAGGCAAGTATTTAGACAGGATGTCGTTTGTCCTCCGGATGATGAATTTGTTGACGAGCGATCCCAGTTCAGCATTTGCTGTTTCTCCTTTCTGTTTATCGGTATCAGAACCAGCAGCGTCACGGCCACGAAGGATTGGTAACTCGTATTTCTTGCGGAAGTCCGCTTTGGTGCCTAGGTATCCAGGGTTGGCAAAATCTAGCAAGGAAAAATACTCAGTCAAGTCGTTTTGAATGGGCGTTCCAGACAGAATGACTCGACGATCGACGTTGAGCCCGGTCAGTGCCAAGTAAGTTTCGCTTTCGGCGTTTTTCAAGCGGTGGCCTTCATCGCAAAGCATAAGGCCAATCTTGACGTCTTTGAGCTCTTCAATGTTTAGTCGCAAGGACTCGTATGAAACGATCAAGACAGGTCTCGCTACAGCTCTTCCTGAAGCTATTGCCCATTGTTTCAGTTGAAGGGTAAGTTCCTCTTTTGTGGCCTTGCCGTCAATGGCAAATGGATTAATTGCACCTTCACCCAGCCATTTGACCAGTTCATTTGCCCAATTCTTGACCAGACTTGCAGGGCAAGCAATAACGCATTTCTGAATTGTTGTTTTTCCAGCCTCAGGACACTGTTTCAACAACGTCCACATTAACGTTATGCATTGCAGTGTTTTCCCCAGGCCCATTTCATCAGCCATAATGCAGCCCTTGGCGTTCTCGTCAATCATACCAGTTGTACATCGGTAGAGGAACTTGACCCCTTCGACCTGGTGGGGTCGTAGGACTTTGGCTAACCGTGGATCAATCACGACTGGAACTTTCGGTCTTTCACCCTCGACTTGTTTCTTGATTCCAAGTATTTCGGCGAGACTCTTATGCATCAACGGTGTATCCAATTTAGGCTTCTCTTCCTCTGTCTTTGCCTCCTGCTTGTCTGCGGGTTTCTCGTCTATCGTAGGATCGTAGAGCACGATTGCAAACTCACCACTCGGATCATGGAGGGGTTTGTTAACGAAAGTATTGCCGCGCCGCATTCCCAGGGTGGGTGCAGGCCTTGACGGGTCGAATGCATTCTTGTTAATCAGCGGGATGGCGAAGCGGGTGCGGAACGTAGTGTCCGTGTCCTTGACCTTGAAGACGGGAAATCGATCTTTCAGTGCGATACTTTCCCCGTCTATGCTGAAGCCACCGCTCCTATCATCGTCATTTCCACCAATCGCTTCAGCGTAGTTGACTTTCCGCCGCTTTCGTGTAGGCTCGCCACTGTATTTGCGAGCGTTGGCAGATCCAGGGCACTTGAAAGGCTTTACCAGTCGGTCCAAGGCCGCTGGTGAATTACAGCTTAGTCTGCCAGCTTTCGACTGAGGGATATTCTCTTTGTCATGTACGGCGACGAGTGATTTGCTGCGAATCCTGTAAGAAGATCAGCACGGGTAGTTGGCATTTTGGTCGCAAACTCACATTGTCAACCGTGTGCAAGGCAGATATGGCCTAGTCGACAGATATGGGAGATATGTTCTGACTGAGGATGATGTTATGCTGTGATGCTCGAACAGGTAGTGGCGAAGGCAGCCTCGACCTCGATAGACGTGACGCGCGCCTCCCAGATTTCGCGTTAGGTCGCGTTATCACGTGGAGATATTTGGCCCGAGGCTTCAGTAGTGCACAAAACCCTCCACGAAGTCGGGCTGTTACTTGGGAGCACGGATTCTGTAATACTTGTGCAAGCTTCATTCCCTTGCTTGCTGCAGAAGAGCGCTTATTGTAGCTGCTGTCTCCCACGATAGGCGTCCTTGAGTCGCGCATTATACCTCTCTTCCTCGTCTGAATGGAGATTTTATAATTTGGTTACAAGATGGTGGCAGCGTCTTTTGCATAAGACTTTTTTTTCAGATTCTAGCTGGCAAAATTGAGTTCAGAATGTCTTCTGATTTTTGGGCCAGTTATGCATCAGGTGCACTCGGGATCCTCATTGGCAATCGGTTGGATGTCCTAAAAGTGAGAGCCCAAGCAAGCGGTGGCAGTACGACCTCTGTTGGACTTTCTGAGTCTGCAACGAGATTTCAGCAATTTACAGGTCTTTTCAGAGGTGCCGCTGCACCGATTCTGGGCTATGGAGCTCTCAATTCAATCTTGTTCATGACTTTCAATAGGTCCTTGATATGGATGGATCCCAGCATCTTCGATTATACAAAGCTTGCAGGAGTCGACCTGGGCAAGATCTGGGCAGCCGGCGCTCTTGGTGGACTGGCCACTTTCGTGGTGTCCGCGCCTTCCGAGTTGATCAAATGCAGAGCCCAGCTAGTTGTGGATGGGGAAGGGTCATCCTTCGGTGTGTTCAAAGAGATTTGGAAGCACAGAGGCGTAAGAGGCATGTATTACGGTGGTACAATCACTGCTATTCGAGACGCAGTTGGGTAAGTCACGCTAGAAAGCAGTCGTGCAAGTTTCGAGCCCGATTCTCCATTAATTGAACCTATGAAGAATGCCCAGCTTACGGAGTGCTAGGTACGGTTGGTATTTTTGGTCTTATGAGTTAAGCAAGCGCATGATGCTTTCGAGACAGCCAGATCCTTTTCTTCCTCCTACAGCTGCAGACGTGCTGATAAGCGGAGGTATTGCTGGTGTCATAACCTGGGTGTCTATCTATCCTTTAGATGTTGTCAAGACTCGCCTTCAGACTCAGCCCGCCTGGCAGCCAGAGAGACAAAGTCTTCTCCCGGGAGGACATGCAAATGCCCGGCATATACGAACCTCTGTGGATCTGGCTCGAGAGATCTGGCAAAGCTCTGGTGTTGCAGGCTTCTACCGCGGTATTGGTATCTGCAGTTTGAGAGCATTTATTGTGAATGCTGTCCAGGTAGGTCTTATCTCTTCCAAGTCTCACGCAGCACTGACATGGGGGGTCAGTGGTATGCTTATGAAAAGATCATGGCTGTTTTCGCAAAGTCTGGATGACAGCCGTTTCAAGGCTAGTGGTATGCTCAAGCCCATCGGCAATTTTGACCTTGTATGACGGAACGTTGATGAGACTTGTGATGATGTTGCTATCGCTTGGATGTCCTGTCGTTTTATCTTGTGGGAGACTCTTGATTTCTCGCATGGGTCTGTCGGAACTTTTTTTCAGGTCGAATCATATACGACATCAGACATCCATCAACATCTCATTATCCCGCTCGTGCTGGTTGCGTCGGGTTTCTGTGCTCAAGCCCACTGCTGCATCTGCCATCTTTTGCGTATGCGCTTCGTCTTTGAGCATTCGTATTCTAGGCTTTGGCGTCAGCATGTGATAATATAACCCAAGAGAAAATTACTGGATACCTTCTCTTGTGATTCTTCCCTCGTCGATGCTCGTTCAGGTTATGACTATCGCTAAAGTATTTGGAACACTCGACGCAGTAGAAGGCGCCTAAGCCAGGTAGGTCTTCGGAGGCTTTCGTGTTTTTGTGTTGGGCAAGGTGCTTGGGTGACTTCAGATCGGCCTTGACCTGATCGAGGTCACTGGAAAATTCAAGCGCAGTTAGCCATGGGTATTCTTGACTGTTCAATAAAGAGATGCACGAACCGAGTCCTCCTTTTCGTTTTGGTACGCTTGATGCTGCCCATGGTGGCGTATGGCCCGCTGGGAACAAATCTGGCTGGGACAAGAATACTCGTTAACTAAATCTGGGCCCGGATCCTAAAGTGTTGTTTTCGCGAAAAAGTCGGAATCCGTCCAGCACATGCAAGGCTCCGGCACGCAGTGGGAGGTGGGACAATTGCGATTCTTCCTCCGTATTGTGGGCCAGTTTTCGGAAGCGTTCTCATTCTTGGCTGGAATTCTGCGTTCTGTGCCGCGGCTGGCCGGGCAGCTCAGCGCTAGCCAATGAAACGAATTTGCTTCGATATTGTCCTTTCGAGACGTTCGGACAGCTGGAAGTGCCAGACGAAGGGTTGTCTCCATTGCTGTGCCAATTTACGTGGCGATCAATTTCGGCAATATCATCATACTTAGGTAGACATGAGGGGCTTCAAGCATCGCGGCAACAGCGGCAAATCCTGGTCGGCGTCGACAGCAAAGTGACCAAATGGATGCATCTGTTTCATGTGCTTTGGACACCAGAGTAATCGTCTCCGTGGTGATTGGCTGTAGAAGTGGTCTGCAGGTCAAAAGAAAAACGAGGCATTTGCTCGGAGCTGGGGCCCTTGTGGACACCCCCATTGCCTAGGTAGCTTTGTATTTCTCGGGGCGGCGACGTCGGGCAGGAGGATGGCCATATAATAATACTTGACTGTCTTCTCGTTTTTAATTACAACTTTTGAGAGCACTCATACCAGGTGTACAGCTCGAAAAAAGCGAATCCATCAATTGTGGGAGGAGTTGATGTGGTGTGCCAGTTGACGTCGTCCAAGGCTTATCGTTGTTCTTCCGAGGCGACCAAATCACAGCCGCACCTCTCCCGGGCGAGAGCTTTCAAACCCCATTCCATCCACTCCGTCACAGCTTTTTCACTTCAATTCCTTTCCAACTCTCCACTCCCTGCTTTGCGCGGTATCGTCGTTGTCGAAGCTTGTCATTTTCGCAGTCTCTGCTAGAGTACAAGCATCGTCGCAATCATGTTGTCTACGAGGCCATTGGGCCGCCTGGCCTCGCGCCTGGTAAGTTCTCTTGCATCATACCTTTGCGACTTGCTCGCATGCCATTCCTGAATTGTCCGGCCCTTGTACATCAGATCAAGCATCCTTTCCCAGCATAATGGCACGGAGATCGATTGCTAACCTCTACGTGCTTCTTAGGGCTCCAATGTCGGAACTGTCAGTCCTCTATCTCTCCCTCGTTTCGCACATCGCAACAACAAAACTAACGCACCTTCTAGCCCCTGCGTATGTCCAGAATGGGATATGCTACTGTCTCTGACGATCCTCTGAGCAAAAATAAGTGCCGTTCCGTGCTTTTGTGGCCCGAGTCCTGACAGGATTATACAGGTCGAGATGACAAACTGGGAGAAGGGACATTACATCAACTACAAGTATGTTGGCAACCTCTGTTAGCATTGGTGTTGGCTTGGAGCGAGCTCTTCTGGCCATGCTATCCTAGGAAATGAGACGGAGCAATGTTAACAAATTACTTTAGGAAAATGTCTGAGAACCTCTCAGTTGTCCGCAGCAGACTCAACCGACCCCTCACATACTCCGAGAAGGTCCTCTATTCTCATCTGGATGACCCGCACAACCAGGAAATCGAGCGCGGCGTCTCATACCTTAAGCTCAGGCCCGACCGAGTGGCATGTCAAGATGCAACCGCACAAATGGCTATCCTCCAGTTCATGTCAGCAGGCATGCCTTCAGTCGCTACTCCAAGTACCGTCCACTGTGATCACTTGATTGAGGCCCAGATTGGTGGTGACAAAGATTTGGACCGAGCGAAGAGTATCAACAAGGAAGTGTACGATTTCTTATCCACCGCATGTGCCAAGTACAACATCGGCTTCTGGAGACCAGGCTCTGGCATTATCCATCAAATCATCCTTGAGAATTACGCTTTCCCAGGTGGTTTGATGATCGGTACTGACTCTCACACACCAAATGCTGGTGGTTTGGGTATGGCTGCCATCGGTGTTGGTGGTGCTGATGCTGTCGATGTCATGGCAAATCTTCCATGGGAATTGAAGGCCCCTAAATGCATTGGTGTCAGATTGACGGGCGAGCTTTCTGGATGGACTTCTCCCAAAGGTAGGAAAGCTGTTGGTTGGGGGATTGACAGAGCTGACTTGGTGGACAGATATCATTCTCAAGGTTGCCGGAATTCTTACAGTAAGTTGACTTACCCGGGAACAGTTTGAAACAATTACTTACACATGAAATAGGTCAAAGGTGGAACTGGAGGTGAATCTTTTGTTACTCATTCGATTTGCTATGGCTTGCTGACGTTTTATAGCTATCGTTGAATATCATGGTGAGTGGTGATTTGGAACCTTGATTCGAGGATCTGGCGAAGCAATTGATTGGTCCACTACTGGACGCGTCCCGTGACCGGTTCCCTTGACTTTATCTCCTGGACTCGCTCTTTCCAGTGATAGCCTTCATCGACTTATACTTGGAACCGGCTTTCTGGGCTAGCTCGTGTCAGGACATTACTTGGAACTCTGCACGCTTCCCCGACTGCACCCGAAGAAACGCAAGTTAGCGAAAGGACTTCGGTCATCTCGACTTGGCCTACAACAGACACCACGGAGCATGCTCCGGTCGAATACCATCAACGCAATCATTCGAAGACCACCAATTGATCATCAACATATGCATCACTCAATAGACTCCGATCCTCAACGAGTGTAGATGCTGTTTAGGCAAGGAGCGGACATCCAGGCTCAATAACAGCATTTGCAATCGTTGAGTGAGGGAGGATGTAAGTGGTATAAGACATTATCTCGATATCTCGATCAATTATGCTGGGCGGCTCCTCTGGACTTATCTGGCTATATTCTGTTATTCGTCATGCTGGCCCGTTGTTGGACTTCCTGGACTTTGCCTGATCTGTCCCAAGGCTAATACGACATTATACTAACGTGTTGTCTGTCTACAGGTCCTGGTGTCAACAGCCTAAGTTGCACTGGCATGGGCACGATCTGCAACGTAAGCTCTCCCAATATTTCCGATGCAATTTCTGACTCTTTCGAAGATGGGAGCTGAGATAGGTGCGACTACATCCATCTTCCCCTTCAACGACCGAATGTACGACTACTTGGCTGCAACCAAACGCCAGCGCATCGGAGACCTTGCCCGAAGCTATGCTGCCGAACTTCGCGAGGATGAAGGCGCCGAGTACGACCAGCTGATCGAGATCAACCTCTCTGAACTGGAGCCTCACATCAACGGTCCATTCACTCCTGATTTGGCCACCCCAATTTCCAAGTTTAAGGAAGCCGTCAAGGAAAACAACTGGCCTCAAGAACTCAAGGTCGGCTTGATCGGTTCCTGCACGAACTCCTCGTACGAGGACATGGCTAGAGCCGCCAGCATCGCTCAAGATGCTATGGATCACGGTGTTAAGGCCAAGTCTTTGGTAAGTTCTTAACTGCGTTCCCTCTTGTGGAGATCGTCTGACGTTTCCTAGTTCTGTGTTACCCCCGGATCGGAGCAAATCCGTGCCACTATCGAGCGTGATGGTCAACTCAAGACGTTTGAAGACTTTGGAGGAGTTGTCTTGGCCAATGCTTGCGGTCCTTGCATCGGTCAATGGGACCGAAAGGACGTCAAGAAGGGCGAACCAAACTCCATCATCTCGTCCTACAACCGAAACTTCACTGGTCGTAACGATGCAAACCCCGCCACCCACTCGTTCGTCACTTCTCCAGATCTCACTGTGGCCATGACTATTGCTGGCGATCTTGGCTTCAACCCTCTCACCGACACCCTGAAGGACAAGGATGGCAATGAATTCAAGCTCAAACCCCCAACCGGTGACGCTCTTCCACGCAATGGATACGACCTCGGCCGTGACACCTACCAAGCCCCACCGGAGGAGCGTTCCCAGGTTGACGTCAAGGTCTCGCCCACTTCCGACCGTCTCCAGATCCTGCAACCCTTCGATGCTTGGGACGGCAAGGATCAGACTGATCTCCCTATCCTGATCAAGACAAAGGGCAAGACCACCACTGATCATATCTCTATGGCCGGCCCTTGGTTGAAGTACCGAGGTCATCTTGACAACATTTCCAACAACATGTTGATCGGTGCCATCAATGCTGCCAACGGTGAAGCCAACAAGGTCAAGAACTTCAAGACTGGAGAATGGGATGCTGTCCCAGCTACTGCTCGTCAATACAAGAAAGATGGTATCAAGTGGGTTGTCGTTGGTGACTGGAACTACGGCGAAGGTTCATCTCGAGAACATGCTGCTCTTGAACCAAGACATCTTGGTGGTATTGCTATCATCACCCGAAGCTTTGCGCGTATCCACGAGACCAACTTGAAGAAGCAAGGCATGTTGCCTCTGACCTTCTCCAACCCCGAGGACTATGACAAGATCAACCCTGATGACAAGGTCGACCTTCTCGTCACTGGACTGGCTGTTGGTAAGCCTCTGATCATGAGAGTCCACCCCAAGGACGGCAAGACATGGGATTGCGAACTCTCTCACACTTTCAACGAGGGCCAGATTGAATGGTTCAAGAATGGCAGTGCTTTGAACACCATGGCCAAGAAGCACGGCGCGAAATAATTGTAGATAGGTTCTGGTGGATTGATTGAGGAGTTGTATAAAGTGATCATAGCGAGGGCCCAGCAGAATGACACTACTGGGGATGCCTTAAGAATGGTGCCTAGCTGGGCTGCTCGAGTAGGAGGGGCTTTTGAAAGCACGATGTCATGTATCTTTCATAGCAGAAATTACCAAATGCGTTGTGTTTCCTTGGGAAGTCTACTGAGTCCATTTTGCTGGTTATCAAATCATTCTTGGAGGCAGTTAAAAGCTATTGGGGTGAAATACCGTACCCAGGATACATCAATCCCCCATGAACCTCGGCATCTCGAATACGGAGGGGGAAATGTACATACGGTCGGGTCCGCAGAGAACCGCAATTGCGATATCCATTGCACCTTTATCCGACTATAAAATGCGCTGCAGATGCCATCACTGCGTTGCATATATAGTGTCGACCCAACCAGCCTCTTTGACATTCTTCTGATTGCTGCCTGCTTGTCCTGGAATTATATCACCGACGCTGAATTTGTGTCAGTTCCTTGAGTCCTCCCGAAGTCCGGTTGGACTACGCCTCAAACTACCTTCGTCCCTCCAGACTCAACTCTGAGCGCAAGATGTCCGCAGTTCTATGAGAGAGACTCGAGTAGCCTGAATACAAGAGGGAGCGCATTCTCACAACCTCTCGAAACCTTAGAAATTGATTTCCTCCTCCACCTCCAACACCCGACAGCCAGTGTATGCGCCTCACGAGCCCACCTTTCCGATTGGGGACAACATATTACACGTCGATACCTCATATTCGAACATTCAGACACAAAGTCAGGATGGCGCAACATTTACCCCATCTCCCTGACTGGGAACAAGTCAGCACCAACATCATCCGCATACTCGGTGGGAACCCAAGCAAGGTAAAAATTCCCCTGCCTCTCTACAATGATGTCCTGTTGTGTACCATGACCAATATAGTACGAGAGTGCGGCCATACTGACTTGTACGGACAGTTCACCCTCCAAGGCACAAACACGTACCTCCTCGGCCGGGGCGCGAGCCGTCTCCTCATCGACACTGGCCAGGGTGAGAAGCGCTGGCTCGACACCTTGTCCAGTGTGCTACACAAGCAGAATGCCACGGTGCAAAAGTGCCTCCTTACGCACTGGCACCACGACCACGTCGGTGGAGTAAAAGACCTCAGGTCTCTCCCTTCCTCCTCCGAGGCGGAAATATACAAAAACACACCCACGCTCAATCCGGACAATCTACTCGACCCGTCAAAAGTCCACGACATTACCAACGGCCAACGCTTCAGTACGTCGACCCCAGACGGCACGTTCGAGGTCGAAGCCGTCCACACTCCGGGTCACGCAAAGGACCACATGTGTTTCCTGGTCACTTCCTCCCCGGACCCAAACGAGATAGGTGCACTCTTCACGGCGGACAACGTCCTCGGCCACGGCACCGCCGTCTTTGAAGATCTCGGTCAGTACCTCGACAGTTTGAACCTGATGAAGCGTCGTGTTCTGGAACTTTCGTCGTCGTCGGCAGAAACCGAAAAGAAAAAGGCATATCCCGGACACGGCGCCGTGATCGAAGACGCCACGGGCAAGATAGACGAGTACATTGCCCACCGGCGCATGAGGGAAGACGAGGCCCTGAACGTGCTTCGGTACGGAAGTGTCAAGAAGTCTGGGAGTGGGGATGAGGTGGTGCACGACAGTATCACGACGGTCGGGGAGAGTGATGGTGAGGACGCGACAACAACAACAACGACAACAACAGCCAACTTGGGCAAGGAGGTCGTCGTAGGCAAGGAGTGGGAGAGCATGGAAATGGTCAAGGTCATTTATCGTCATTATCCCGAGAGCCTGTTCAAGCCCGCCGAGTACGGGTTGCTCATGGTCTTGGAGAAACTCAGGCGGGATGGGAAAGTCGTCAAGACGGACGCTGGGAAGTGGAGGGTCAGCGAGAAGGCCACATTGTGAATATCATGTCGGGCTATACGTGGTTGGAATTAGAGTAGAGTACTTTAGATACTACTATCTACGTATGGGGGCAACCATGAAAGCAGAATAGAAATCCAGACTCGATTCATGTTGAGCATTAGAGGTGAATCTTGAATGTTCACTATCTCGGATGGGTGTTTGCTTTTATTTTTGTTTTGCTTTCCCATCAAGAGAAAAGAATGGCCTTCGATTGTAAAAAGGCAAGCAATGCTTCGCCCACGCCTTGCGGACTAGGCTTCTCGGCACACACGTCGGCGTCGAAGCCGAATTTCTTCTTGAGATGGTCCCTAGTCGTGGGGCCGATGGTGACGATGACCGGCTTGGGCTGTCGTCGTCGTTCGTCTTCGTTACCACCCGAGAGGCCTACGGGCTGCCCCTCCTCCTCCCACCGACGGCGCGCCCGATCGGTCAGGACGTTTGAGTCGTCGATGAGACCCAAAGACCTGAGCATGGCCTCGCACCCTTGAGGGCTAAAGACAACGACTACGACCACGACGGGCGGTACGGCCTGGTTTTTGAACGATTCCAGCCGCGCCCCAAAGGCCCGCGGGAACGACTCCATCGTCTCGGTCTTGTACACCTCGACCTCGTCGACGTGGATCCGGTCCCGCGGGTCGTCCAGCTTGCCGCCCACGTCCATGAGGGTCTTGGGGATGATGTCTCGCCTCTGCTCGCCTACCAGGAACAACAGCCCTCTCTTTTCCCCGTGGTTGTCGTCATCTTCCTCGTCGCGAAGTGTAGATCGCCTCCTCCGCGTCGCGTGGAGTTTATTATAATGTGAAAGTATGTACTCGGCCAAACTGCCGCCGTTGCCTGTGTGTTCACCGAGGACGGCGGGACGCAGGCGAGCGAACGGTGACGGCGACGACGAGTTCTTTCCCGCTTCTACCAATGTCTGGAGTGCCCGTGACGTAGCAGGACCGACGGTGTAGATTGGAAACGTCGAATCATCCTCGACCGTTTCCTCGCCGCTCGCCGCTCTCGCTGTACTCGCACCCTGATGACTCGGGTCGATCAACCCTAAGCGACCAAGACATAGAAAATTGTCAGTTTGATGGTCTTATCTCATCATTGTGGGTTAGGTGAAACTACGCCACCAGTTCAAAGTCTCGAGGCGGACAAGGATAAGGACCGACAAAACAAAGAGAGAGAGAGAAGCATACCAGTATCAGTATCCGCAGCGGAAGTAGCAGTGGTAGTGGGTGTCCCTTGAGTTGCATTCTCTTGTCGATCCACCTGCACTCGCACTCGTTCAACAACGTCCGCCCAGGCCTCGACGGCCCTCTGGCTCGTGAAGATCATCCCCCCATATTTCTCTGGTAAAAGCCCACTTTCCAACGACTCGGCCAATCCTTCCAAGTTGGTCGTGTTGGGTCGATGTTCCAGGACCGGGATGAAGTGAGGTTGGAAAACCCAACTTCCGCCATCCCCGACCGAAGAGGGTGTGGTGGTGGTGGTTGTCGTCGTCGTCGTCGTCGTAGACGAGAAAAAATACTCTTCGTATGAGTCGTGCGGGATGGATCGGGTTTTGAGGAGCAACACGGGGATGGTCCCTGGTTTCGGCATCGTTCATCTGAAACACAAACGCACACACACAGCACGGCGTGGGACCTTGGGTCTCGTACTGTACGGAAGTTTTACAAAAATACAAAAGTTTCGAAACCGTTGGAACACAGATGGCTTTGCGACTGGAGTACACCTCCGTATAGGTCGCTTCGAATGATACCTAGTAGCCCGTTCGCCCTAATACAGAGTATCTGTACTCGAACTCCGTACCAGCAAACGCGAATGTATTTTTTTTCTCTTCTTCAAACCTCATCAGCGAGGGGCTTGTTTTAGGCGAGGGGGTCCCAGTAGTTCTCTTCTCTACTTTTGTGGTCGCGTACTCCGTAAGCAAAACCCCTTCCTCTTACTCCGTGCGAGCGATGGTGGTTGACAACGCTAATGTGTCAGGCTGAAACACGCTTTCCGACTCTTTTTCCTAGACAAACATTTTGGAGACTTCCTCGCATCGGCAAACGGAGCGGTGCCAGGCTCAAACTGGCGAGGGATCCGGGGTTGGGACAAGGATGGGCGTGGGTGAGTTTCTTCCCTTCCGCAAGGACGAGGCGACTTTTTTTCTTTGCAGAAAAAAAGAACTGCGTTTGCTTACGGGGTAGACTTGGGTTACAAAGACTAAAAGGTTGCCGCCGCATCAAACCCCGGCAACGCGACCCTTGTTTCAATCTGAAGGGGGAGGGGGAAAGGACTGATTTAATCACACTGACGAACAGAAGGAATATACAAAAAGAAGATCAAATCTTTCGCCGGGAGAGTACAAGGTAGTTCCCAACGTAACAAATACACACACACAACGCAATTACATTGTGTATGATTCATACGGAAGTACTTTGTATGGATTGGATTGTTGGAGATGCGTTTTGCCTTGAGCATCTGATGTCATTGGAGATTCTTTTCTATTTTCAACTTTCATACCAGTATTTATTTCCCCTGGCAATTATTGAACGCCTACTCCGTACTGCTTTCTATTGTTTGCTTAGGGTCTTTACTCCGTACAGAGACTCCCCATACAACACAGAGACTAAACCACCCCTTCCCATCGAATGCTCAGCCACCTCGAGACCACAAACTAGAAAACGTAGGCTCAGCGGCTGCGGATTTGGTATAACACATCACTCGAGAACCATCTCCTAATCAAAGAACGAAAAGGGCTGTCACACCAGACGTAGCTCCGTGGAGCAGGTCGCTTGCTGTCATGACTGAGTGGATCACAAGTCTGCAAGCAGCCTCGTCCTCCAACAAGAAGAAAAAAAACACCCTTGTCCTCTACCCTACCTCGTCCGCCTTGACATGAAACATGATAGGGCTCGTTCGAGCGGGAGAGCCGTTGAACCGCTGCACTCGGGTGCACTCCGCCTCGGCAATTGCCGACTAGTCTTCGAGCATGGTATTGTATACCCGTCCAGGTTTCAATCAGTAACCCTGGCCAGCTTCCCCATCAACGTCTTCTTGATTTGAAACGTCGGGAGAGCCGACCATTACATAAAATCCCTTCCCACCATGTCTCCGGTCCCACTCCAGTATATGTCCTCCCGGTCATGGCGAAAAGAAAATTGCCGTGGCAGGTCTGCTTGCCTTCCACTCCTGGTAGACGTGACAGTGATACTCCGTAGCATTATCGCGTACCTCGACAGTCCTGCTGATAGACTAACCATTCGTCACACAGAGTGCGGACCGTGTGGCGCATTCGGCCCCACTGCGTGCAAGGCGGTTGCGAACGTCGTACAGCCGGCTGGCATTTGGACATCGTCCACCGCAGCAAGAAGGCAGCCAACGTATCATGGAAACTTGAGAGGAATAGTTTTCTGTTCCGGCAACCTCAATGGCTGGAGGCAGACTCCAACTCGTCCATCGGCAAAGACCTCAAATATTGATAGAGTGAGCGAGAAGCACGATTACACAGTTAAAGGTCAATTGACGCTTGGACGAGGGGACATCGATCCCCTGTTCGCTTCGAGATGCACATGCAATGCGGACAATCTTCGGGTCGAACAATTCTTTGATAAATGTCCTTTTGTGGAAAAGTCAATGCAGGCAGTGCGCTCTTGGTTGTTCTGTATGCGTGCTTCGACCGTAAGATCACGGAGCAAACATCAAACCCGGTTATATATTAGATTCCTCCTTGCCATCGCAAATCAGAGAAATATGGCTGCAGATCATTTTGAGCCTGGTAGACCAGGGTTGCCGCTGTCCGTGACACGACAGCTGTCATATTGGCTTCGAAACTGAGCCGTCCAACGGTGAATAAGTACAGCTCGTAAGCCGCTAGGCAAGCAGGCTGATACCGGGAAGGTACCTGCCAACAAGCAAATAGTGTTAGGAAGGTTCCAGAGGCGTTCTAGTTCGAACCAGTGTATGAGATTGCATACAGTCACCGTTGGTTTGCTGCAGCCCCGCGTAGCAGGGGGTCCAAACCACCACCTTGTCTCATCAGCAAAAACGAGAAAAAAGCCTCCCTATGCCGCTCTTTTCTGCATTGGAAGATTTCGGGGGAGGCATCTTCGCAACTGTCCCTGATTTTCAATGTGGCTGGCGGCTTCGGTCTCCATGCATCGAGGCGACGCTTAGGGGAAAATGCGGCATCATGGATGTCGTCCGGTTTGGCCTCCAGAGGGTTCCACACAAATAGAAGACCACGAGGCGCCCTTGCTCACCGGGTGCATGCATATGTCAAACTCGCTAAGCCTGCTGTTGCATGTCATGTACGGCCAGATTTGACTTCAGGCTCAAATGGTTGCCAGGCGATGGGCGAATCCCATCACCATTTCCCAGACGCAGCCGAATGTCCGGATTTGAAAATAGGCTTGCTCAGATGCCCAACTGAGGTGCGAGACGCGTGCAGGTAATCGTCTTGCTTGATTGTATCGCATGTGGATCGATGGTATGTTTGCTTCTCTCGTCTTCTTTTGCCCAGTGTCTGGGTCTCGGCTCGTGATATATAGGGATGCGCTCTAAGCAAAAGCTCACGCAAAAGTCTGTGACACTCACTCGTTGTGCTCACGAACTCGTACCATCTTGCACATACATTTCGGGCTGTTTCATCGACCTCTTTTCTTCACCGCCAGAATGCCTCAAACGCAGCCTGTAGGACCGAGAGCTCCGAAGGATGACTTCATGAAGGCCCTTGGTCTCAGCACTACCGATCCACGACACGAAGGATATTATCGAGCCATGCGGGTAGGTCCAAGCGCTAAAGGAATGGGTATCCCGCTCGATAAGGGACTGATGTGCTCACAGGAAGAAGCAATTGCCGTTTACAATGGTCTGAACGCCGACCGATCAAGCCTGATAGATGAGAAGCGAGGCGACAAGTCAACCTCACCTCCATTCTTCTGGCATCATATCCGTCAAGAACGTCGCCGTCAAGCCATTATCGACACCTGGCAGCAGGCAAAGCCTGGCACCATCCAGCGCACTCTGTTCGACCAGGGAGCTACCACGGGAGAGCACGCCCCAAATTGGGTAACGCTTTGGCTGCTATACAGCGTCTTCCGGTCCAGGGACATACGCAATAATCGGAACCGACGAGCCGGTGATGGTAGTAGTGGTGGAAGTGAGTAGCTCTCGCCATGTGTCGCCTCTAGGTGTTAATTTGCCCACCAGGTCATTCATCAGGAGGTTCAGATTCGGCAATATTTGATCCGGCTAGGAATACGTATGTACGTCGCTGATATTACCGTAAGACTCGACGTTGGTAATATTCCCTGTATTTTGTACTAGTTAAGGCATGGGCTGGTGCTGGGCGTCAGGCAGTGATTAATGTTAATCGTCGTCTTCTCCCTCCTCTTTGTCGTTCTTCTTCTGACCCTTTTCCTTCTTCCGTTCTTCTCGCAGAGCGTTGCTCACTTCTTGACCATGTTCGTCTTTGACTTCATCCCATTCGACGTCATACTCGGATGCAACAGCCTTGACCTCTTTTCGGATAGCATTTGCTTCCTCGACCAATGCCTCCCACTTTTGAATGTCGAATCCTCTCATTTCATAAAGCTTGCTTTGACGCCGACTAATGGTCAGGTTCAATGCTGATCTGTATGAGACCTCACGATTATGGTACAAAAACCACATATAGCCACCGATGATGGTACTCAATCCGACAAGGTAGGTTACTGGCTCCATCTATAATACATTAGATCCTGGTGCGTGCGGGCATTGGAAACAGCACACGGAGTTTCAGAAGGGCAGGTAAACTTACAACATCCCAGCCTAGGTCCGTCTCGAAGGTCAAACGGTACACCACGTACCACCAACCAATCAACAAACCGCAGCCACCCATGGCTAACCTCTGACCACTCCTGTGAGCAGCCAGGTCGCATTCCTTCTTGATCGCAGCCATGTCGGCAATCTTCTTTGACGTCTTCCGCAGTCTTTGCCGCAGATAGAATGTGCGGTCATTGAAAGACGGCACAGCGACTTTGATGGTCCGAGGGCTTCCCTCGATCTCAACTTCAAACTCTTTCGCTCGTGCTGCATCTCTTATGAAGTCTCCAATCTCTGTTGAGGCACTCCACCTTACGAAATCTCCTTTGTCTTCACCCTCTCCTTCTCGGCCGGCACCACTGTAGCTCTCAACGCCCCCATCGCCGAGAGATTCGCTTCGAGGTTCTTTGTCGTCTTTCTCTTCGGATGGTAGCTTTTTCTTAGGTTTGATCTCATCACTTGTGGACTCCATCGCTCGAAATGACACTGAAGGTACTTTATTGCTCCCATCCTCCGTATTCATGGTAGGTAGTTCTGACTGGATTAGTCTTTCCAGATAGGAGAGCGGCTGTTGCGGGTGGACGAGAAGAGCCAGAGGAGCGACGTCTTTTCTATCGGAGTTTTTATCAATCGTAGTCAGTGGTAGGACGAGCTTGAGCAGTCTCGAAGGGGTTGTCAGTAATTTTCCTGCTCCGGGGTCAGTATGCAGCAGGAGGTGGCGTTTGCAGGCCACTTGCCTTTGGTCATGGCCCCAGCAGAGCGTTGCCTTCGTACGGGAGGCTCTTGTGCTCCCTGACGATGCCACGGGGCTCGCAACTGCTTGTCCTTTCCTTCCTCTGTGACGGCATCGTCAAACTCAGATAGCGCTTCGTCGATTCCCTGCTGGTTCAGGTCTTTGGCAGTCTGTTCACCTGAAATGCATCGTTGTGAATGTTTGACGAATGTGACTCTGGCAAAATGTCTCGGCTGCCACCCCTCAACATGATATCTGCACGGCTGTCTGACCTCTAGTACAAAAGTCTTCAGTGACACCCGGGTCGAGACTTGGTGAAGGCTGCGAGTCTGCGCCAACTGCCTCACGCGGTTGGGAAGCCGCATGGCGAGTGGAGTGGCAATGTTATTGATGGGACGGCACAATTAGCATGATGCCTGGAGGGTTTTAGGCGTAGAAATATGAGACATGTTTCGAGGGCGACGAGATTTTATGGACCAAGTCGATATTGTTGATTTCTTGCTTGAACACGACGGGGTTCTGGACGCAACGACGTCACTCGAAAACAGTTGGAGCCAGGGCCACAACAGGCATTTGGCCCTAGACTCTTCCGCCCCTTGAACGAAGGGACAGGAACTCCATTATTATCACCCATAAAGTGACCTGACAACTTTTCCCAGAAGACCTACTGAAGTTTTTGTTCAGACCTTATTCTTGTTATGCCAAAAGGTGATTCAATTGCTCATTTCGAATACTAAGTTCATCAGATCCGTACTCAAAGAGAGAAACTATTTTGGGTTTTGCAGTCTAGAAAAATCATCTCAACAACAAAGTCAGTCACACATCCTTCCACGCATGCTTGATCAATCTGCCCTCGTAGGGCCACCATCCGCCGCTATGCCTAGAAATCATGAAGCACAGAAACCCACACAGTTGCCTGCATACATCTCGTCTAGAAGCAGGGCATGCAATGGAAGAGGAAGTGGAGGAGTGCAAAATCTCGACGGTATGGTGAAGAAATGGCCCTCCTCTGCAATGGTCATGGTCATGGTCATGGTCATGGTCTCATGAATCGTAAAATCGTTACAAAAGAAACAGCTTTTTCGAAGACATAACGATGCTTCCAGTCACCCAGGCGCAGACACCCTTACGAATTGGCCGAGCTAATAGCGTTGCTGTCCTCTTCTGTTGTAATGGTGCGAATCCGAGGATGAGGTGGATGAGTATGAGCTTCTATAACTCGTGCCGGACATTCTTGCTGATTGACGAGAATCTCTCCAATCAGGGCTGCTACCGCCGCTTCTGCTGCCCGAGCTGTCGGTGTCGCCATACCGGTAGTCGGTACGGGCATCACTTCTTCTGCTGTGACGACCGGAACCCACTGGTACTGGGTTGCCCTGGATGACACCTCCGTGGGCAAAGCCTGTCGGGTACATGCCATCATTGGCAGAGAAATTCCGACAAATATTGAAAGCGATCAGGGCCGCTCCTTCTTTCGCAGAAGATTCTGATGGGTGAGAGCCAGAAGTCTGATATTCCCGGTTGTTGACTCTGACAATACATCTATAGCCAGACGGAGTGTAGGACACTTCATAAGCAGGATCGGGCCATCGACGGCGTTGACATAGACCTGAAGAGCACTGGTCAGTCTTTGTGGGGCCAATCGAAGACAAATCCGAAACAAAAATGTGATTGAATGGCTATCACATTGATCATCCCAGGAACACTTGTGGCTCATGAATGAGGCTGAACGACCCCTGACCGCCTGGCCCAAGAGGAGCGCATCAAGAAGTCAAAAAGAAGGATTTCGTCCAGAAGCCGCAGCAACAAGGTGTCGACAGCACATGAAAGCAAGCCACGGTGGAATACACGTACTGGCCAGGTAGACGGTATGCAGCATGACTGCACCGAATTCGCAAAGTATTGAAGCCCAAAAAGTGGTGCATCCAATTGTTGTATAGAAAGCACGACGAAAGACCAAAGGACTGGTTTGCCAGGAATAGCAGGCCTTATCATTGACAATATGCGTCCACAACGGTGTGGCCAAGTGCACACGAGATACGTGATAGACTTGTATCAGGCGAGTAATCTCAGATACAGAGACAATAACATCGATATAGCTGGAAATTTTTACAGGCGAAGCACGGCGGTTGTGCCCACATATTTCATGGCTTCATCGCGGAATCCTGCGATGCCAGCGCAGCAAATGCGAGACAGGCGGCAATTGCGTGGGGCATGGCGAGAGCATCCCACTGTGGCCAAAATACTTCTGACGAGCGGCTAGGTATTGGTCGATCTGCGGATGTTGAACGGGTTTGCTCGTTTTCATCGTAATAATGTCATTGATGTGTTGGCATCCATTTCAGCCAGTACCGGACTGAAAAAGTCGGGACCGTTCTTAGCATTTTGCCTATGTCTGGAGGCTTGTGCAGATCTACTGGACGCCTGTGATTGGCAACCGTATCTTCCTCGGGTTCCCCGCGCAAAGCGTCCACGGTTGAAGAATGGCTCAGCGTCATCATTTTGGTCAAAGACCCATGCCGGGATTTTGAGTTGAGTCGTTGCTGACGTGCACGACCGGTGAAGCTTGTCCAGAAAAGTGTACTGTACAGCTATCACGGCGTTGAAGACAAACCGAAGAGGCAACATGTCACTGCCATTAGCCAACCCAAAACTCCCCCTCTCACCTGGCAAATGCCATGGCAGAGACACCTGGCAGGTGGAGAATGGGTGCGTATCATGCTGCAGGTTCGGCTGGCCGAAGATTCCTCGTCTTGGAGAGTTTTGGCCTGAAGAATGTCGTATGTTCCGATACGCCGCAGGCTAGACGCGAGGGGGAAAGATGCAACTCCGACTGCATGGTGTTGGCCCGGAAGTAGCATTGGTCAAGGGCCCAGAGAAGAATCTTGCGCAATTCGTCTCGGCTGACTATTAACCAGGCAATGAATTCTGAACCCATTGGAAACAGCGGCTTCTTCGGGCGGCGGTAGCGAACACGCGATGCGCTGCAACACATGGTCGGAATTCCTGACTGGAAGACCAAGCCAACAGGCGAAGGAATGTCCAAAGGTGGGCCTGGCCATCCACTGCAATTGCAGACTCTCTATGCATGAATGTGCTGTCAAATAATCGGTTGACAGGCATGGCGAGATCTTGTTGGGCCGAGCTGCATCGAATCATGGCTTACCCTCGCCTCGATGCTTCATCCACGGTAGAGTGATTGATCCTGCCTCCAATGCTCTGTATAGTTGATCCTCAAATCGAAGAACGACCACTGCCGTGATAGAAACCATGGAAAACAATCAGCCAGCATTGTGATCTCCGAGGTGCACACCACGGTCTAGATCCACGGAAGAGGGTAGTAGCAGAAAGCGGATGGTCTGGCCCAACTTGGACGCACATGTTCTAACGCGAGAGACAGTGGCAATTAGGGCGGGAAACTTGTTGACTTGTGGGCTTGGGCCAGAGTTTTCGAAATAACGAGAGGTCTACTCTTCTCGCATGCAGGGCAAATTTTGCAACGGCGGTACCTCTGGCTGCATTAGGATCCCCACTTAGAGAGTATGAGCCGCTGCAAGCTCGGTCCGATTGATTCTCGAGCAGCAGTGGTAAGGCAGTAGTGCTTCAACAGCGATGAGAACGAGTGGCAAGACAGCTGCATACATGCAGACGCCTCACATAGGTGCCCTTCCCAGATTAAAAAGGTAGGAGCAGCTGGATTGAAAGGGGGATGCGAGAAATGCTCGATCGAGGCAGTATTGAAGGCTTAGGATATCTATTTCCTGCCGAACGACAGTTTGTCCAACAATTTATCAACACTGCGCCTGAACGACCTCATGATCACTACAAATTCAAGACTAAGCTAATGTCAAATCGTTGATGCATTCCACAAGGACCAGAAGCCCGCCCGAGCATGACAGTTGTACCACGCCAGCTCCTTATCTCATCGTGCAGGCTCAAGAGGTCTGGCAGCTGCCCAAGTGCGCATCTTGAGGGCACGATCATGTGGTATCACGAAGACAGGGTTGAGACTTCTGACCTGAGCACCCGTCTCGAAAATGGAGGCCGGGTCACCTTCACTCCGTGTTTGCGCTCTAGCCGCTTCCCAGGTGAAGGCGGATGCAAAGGGGTCTGAACTTTCTGCGTTGGCATATGTGTGAGCGTGTTCAATGTTACTTAACCCAACCAGATTGTAGCAAGTGTGGTAAGAGTCAGGCAACCTGTAGTCGCGTCAGACCTGATTACAGTTGAATCGAGACATACTTACTTTGATGGTTTGTCTCTCAGTCCACCTTCAGGACCTTGGCAGCAGCAAAGTATGTATCTTGCGAGACCTTCACTGCTGTAGAGGTTTTCAATCACGATTCTGCCAACGCCTTTGATGGGGTCTTGAGGGCCGTCCAAAGCTGCCTCTACCAGCGGCCAACAAGTTCCCACCCAGTGACTATAACACCCATCAACGAGCTTGTTCGTCCGACCAGCAAGGCCGCCTTCAGGAGCATATTGCCGGGCAGAGAGCCATGATAGAAGCCCGTCCATATCAAGAAAGCGACCCATGTCATGGGGCGCCCCATGAAGACACAAGCAGGCAATGGTGCAAAATGCGTAGGCCCCATGAGCTTCACTCCCTGGTGAGCTCGCAATCCCGCCTTCGTAGGTTTGACAACGGGAGAGGTATTCGCCCAACCCATCCGTAAACAGTTCAAAGCCACCCTCACGGGCCGGCGAATCAGGCGGCAACGAAAGAGGCAGACCTAACAATGAGAGAGCAACCAAGGCGCAGTATGCTCCTCTGACATCTTCCTCACCCTCTTCGCAGATCCGGAAACCGCCATCCTTCTCTTTCAGCCGGCCGAGCCAATGCCACATTGCTTTGCGGTCGATCAACGAGTAAGCTTCCTCCCCACCGACAAGTGCCAGGCTCAGCAGACCTGCATATGTTCCAGCTAAATGTGAGTACTGGCCAAAGCCACCCCCGAAGCCCCCGGTCGTATTTTGCATCGAATAGAATGTTTTGACGACCCTGGCAGCGGTGTTAGTTCTTGAACAGCACAAGCACACACTGCCTAAGCTTGATTAGTTGTGCTGGAAAGCCAATACCTGGAACGAAACAGAGACACATCTTCTCCCAATAAATGAAGACCTAGCAGTGCCCAATATACCATCCATGGGCGGCTAGCATCGATGCCAACGAATGGAGCCGGAAGTTCGGCCAGGTTCTCTTGCAAGAACTGGATGTGCTCTTCTTTCTCCAAACTCGGCAGCCCAAATTCATTGAAGTCAAATGGACTCCGCGAGGGGTCTTCCACAGCTGTCAGCAATGGTAAACATTCACTGATGGTCGCACTTTGGAGCATCGAGGTTTCAGTCTCTAAAGCATCCAGAAGCTTAGTCGTTTGACGAAAATATGCTGGCATAGGCTTCGAGAACAAGCCGGATGTCGCCATGGCAAGTAGCTTGATGCAACACACGCCAATGTTCAGAGATTCTGATGTATACCAGGGTTTAACAAGAATAGACTCATCGAAGCAAAGGGATGCCAATGGCCACGATGGAATCCTCCCTGCGTTCTTGATATTGTTCTTGGAAGTCCCAAGCCACTCAGCCTAAAAGTTAATCATTCCAGCCGTAGATTGTTCTTTTGATAGCACTTGTGGAGTTCAAGGACAGGAACTCTTTCTCTGAGCGAACTGACTAGGGGCTCACGAAACTGTGTTCAGTGACGATTATTAGACAAGTCTCTTACTGAGGTCGATGAAGGATTTTAGTCATACGTTGGCGACGTCCAAACGCAGCCTTGGCACACGAAGTTGCGCGTTACGAAAAGGATAGAAGAGACATACTGATCCCCTATTGTAACTCGCGGGATGCTACCCAGACACCTCAGGTGCACTGTATAGTAGGTGACTCTACGAAAGATTGGTTGTAGAACACCAGCGTACGGATACAGCAACCCAACATATCTGTTGTATTCCGTACATGGATGAGCATTTTCACCAGGGTAGTTAATGACGCTGATTGTGATGGCACGCACATTGTCTCCTACTCGGCTCATCCAGTTGCCATTCCAGGATTGTCTTCGAGAAGCTTGTTCAATGCATTGCGCGGGGAGGAAGTCCTTGCAGTTGACGATACACAACATTCTAAAGAATACGTGAACTGGTCCAGGTGCACACTCTGTCAATTCCGTGGCCTGTATCCACAACCTCCCCTTACCTTTGCATGCGAGGCATCAGTCTTCTGGCTCGAGCTATCTTTGTATCAAGGAAGTCCGCATTCTCGTAAATCCTGGTGCTCCATGCGGCCGACCGTTCCCACCCAAAGATTTGAAACTGGAAAGCGCGTGTTCTCCAGCTACACCGCCCTTTACCCAGGGCAATCCACAGGAAATCAATCCGGGGCACGTCTGCTCGACCCTTCAGCTGAAAAGACAGCTACGATACAGCTCGTGTTCGAGAATCAGGGAGGTTCTTGCAATAAATATATCTTGAACGCTTAGCAAGGACGCTTCCACAGGCACACAGCGTCCCCATCAATATTATCGGGAATGATGAGGCGAAGCACGCATGTTCTGCACCAAACATGAAGAATTGGGCTTACTTGGGTGGGTATTAGTGGCCACGCCGTCAGTGATTACATGCATACTAAGACGTGAGCTTGTCTTTGACATTCGGGTGCCCAATGACAGGGACACATGAAACCCATTTCCCACGATATGACTCGTTCTGAGTTGCCCACACTGCAGGAGACCAACAGCTCCTCTGCAACCATGTCGACTGAAATTTGTCCGCTGTACGAGTCTGTGGCACCGCAAGGAGATGAAGGTAGTTCCGTGTAGACCACTCGACAGGTGGCGGAGGATGACTGCTTCGTGTGAGAGACAAGGGAGCGAAGAGCACACAAGTTCTTCTGTTCCTTGTTGCTTGGGGGCGCAGCAGAATGATAACTGTATTTCATGATCCCTATTATGGAGAGAGAGTCCCTTTCGTTTACTGTTCATTTTTGAAGGCTCACTGATCCTTGGTCCCTGTTGCTCTCCTCGTTTGCGTACATCGTTGACCCCCCAAGAATCAAAAACCCTTTGTGTGGGCAGACGGAGGCCGAATGAACCACTGGATCTGCACGGAAATCGGCGCCAAGGAGAACGGGTTGTCTGAGGAGCTCTGCGACGAAATATTCGTGCTCGTACGGGATACTGGTAACAGTTTGTCTGGCGACGTCCGGCCATCGACATTTTCTGGGCTGGTGCTGGGTCAACTGAGGCCCATTGAGGCCCGTCAAGCCCTGGGCCTAGAGCCTAGCGCCTGTCGCCATCACCCAACATCGCTACCCTATCACCTATCACCAACGTGCCGCAGACACGGCTGTGCCCACCTGGCTGGCCGTCCAGTCATCAAGCAGCAACTGGACTACTCTCTGGCGGTCTGACCATTCACCTGTCGACGTCGGGGGCCATCGGTGTAGGTGGCGTCTCCTCCTCCCACTTTCAAGTCCCCGCCAATTCGACCATCTCCATCACTTGCATGCACCGCTCACCGCCTCTTTGCTCCTTCAACCCGCCTCAACCCAGAGGCTCATCCTCCACTGTGTTGGCCTCGAGGCGGTCACTTTCTGTATCTCTCGTCCTCGCTGTCTCTCTCGACATCCTCTCACGGTCACATTTCCACCTTTCCTGCTTCACGAGGCCGGCAGGAACGATCGAGACCATCTCCCGAACCACCATTAATCCAAGGCTGACCGTCTGACAAATCCTGCAATATGGCAGGCAATGTCAATGTCGCCTTGACCAGCGAGGACCTGGCTTACGATCTCGACGCAAGAAGTGCCTCATACTTCCGAAACCAAGCATGGCCTTTACACATGGACCAAGTAACGGGTGCAAGGCCAGACCCGAGGAGGAACATTTCACCCATACAGACCAATAACCATGGACTTCGACAGACAACAATGGCAGAACATCCTATGATGGACACATGGAGGTTTCAACAGCAACAACAAAATGTCGACTACTCCAACCACCAGAACCAGTATGAGCTGCACTATGACACTCAGTTCCACAGCCTCCCGTTGCACCCTTCGCAGTTGGGAATGCTTCCCGTGTCGCAGCCTGCGACCCTGCCGGCGACGTTGCCCATGGACCATTCTTACATTCCTCTCGAGGCGGGCATAGAAGGCATGCCACACAATTGGGCTGATTTCCACACCGAACTGATCAGCTACAACACCACCGATGTTGGACTTGCTGTCTCACCCTACCAACAATTGACGAGTTCGCCAACGGGCTCCCATCTGGAAGTTCTGTCACAACCCAGCTCATGCGACGAACACGGATGGACCATGCTTGAACCCCGATCCTCTTTCGAGTCATACGAACGACATTTCTTTGTTGACCCAAATCAAACTGTCCACAATCGGACCTTATCTGAATCATCATACTCTGACTTGGAACAAAGCAATGCCAACTTCATCTCCAGTCTTGATATGAATCCGTCCCAAGCCGTCTACTCCCCGACCACACTCTCCGACAGTGACTTCGAATATATGGGACATACCCATCGCCTGTCGATCGACCATGGTTCAGCACCGGCTACCAATGTGAACCCTACCGCACTCGTTCGCCCAATCCCCATCCCTCCTACAAAAGCCTCGAGCTCCTCCATCCGATCACCCAGCTCACAAGGTTCTGCTGGCTCCCCTGGACGCAAGAACTCCAGGAAAAGTCCCATTGCAGCCAAGTCAACTGACAAGGTGACGAAGAAGTCTGCACAATCTGGAAAAGGAGATGGCGAGAAACGTGTTGGACGAAGAAAGGGTCCTCTCCGACCCGAACAGAGAAAGCAAGCCAGTGAGATCCGGAAACTGAGAGCATGCCTGCGATGTAAATTCCTGAAAAAGACATGTGATAAGGGCGAGCCTTGTGCAGGCTGCCAGCCCTCTCATGCTCGCCTTTGGCAAGTTCCGTGCACTCGTATCGACATCAAAGAGATTGGGTACTTCTTGAAAGACTGGAAATTTGATTATGAACGCCACATCTCACTTGGATTCTCGGTTGGAAACATCAAGGGGTTCTCGGACACCGAAAAAACATTATTCATCACTCATGGCTATGGCCATATGCTCCCAGTCACTGCCCGCGAGGTCTACGTCAGAGACGAATCATGCCTGAAGCTGGATTGGATCGAAGCCAGTTCTGTCCGGGAGGATGGCTTTGAGGTTCCTACTGCGAAACTCAGTGCTGGCATGGAGGGCATCAGCACAACCATGCTCAGTGACTACTTGGATCGTCATATCGATGGTACTGGCACCTTTGAGAAGTTCGTCGACGACTACTTTGAAGGCACGCCCTTCTTGTCACAAATGTTGAAGACGGCGTACCGATTCTATTTCAGGACAGGATCCAAAATTATCAAGAAGGCCCTCAAGCTCATGCTTGCGTACAACTTGACGCTTCACATTACCATGGTCGAAGGCTTGCCGGTGGAGGAAGCTTTCGTCGGCAAGATTGACGAACACCATTCGAAGTTCTATGGCAAGACCATGGCACCGGTCATGATTAACTTTCAAATAAAGTGCGCGATGGCGGACATGTGGCGCGAGCTCCACAAAGATGTCCTAGAAGAGCTGTCAAGTCTGTACTCTAGTGTGTACAGTGGCGACAAGCTCAAAAATTGGCCTACGATTTTCATTCTCGCCTCGGTTTTGCTGGCTGTGTGGGAGTGCATGCAATTTGACTGCAACTATCGGGTCCCTGACCAGGTGTCCGTGGACAGATTCTGCAACGATATGGAGACGACTCCCGTTGGTGTCGTGGTTGGGCTCTTCCAAGCCATCTCGCAGAAGCTGCCATCTTTCTTGGAATGGGACACGACGAAGCACCATACCCTTCTGGCATCAAATCCCGATGTGTGCAGTACCATGACCGAAGTTCGTGAACATGTTACGAGATACGGTGAGTTGAAGAGAAGCCCTGGTATTCTATTCTCCCACTAACTGTCATCCCTAGAAAACTATCTACGAGGACGACCTAACGCGAAATTTGACCGTAAAGATTTCGATTCGCTATCAAACAAGTTTTTGGCCAAACTTGTCATTCGAGCGAACTAACGCTGACGCACTTACGGCTATAATGAACCACTTGACTTGCAGTTATAACGAGCGATGGAGCATTTGCCACGACACCACTCACTGATTATGCTATGTTTCCTAACGAGATCCGACCGGATGACTGATGAACTTATGAGACATACAAGGCTTCATGACGATCAAAAATCGATCTTTAGCATGAATTTGGTTCTGATTTTTTTTCCTTTGTAACACTGCGAAGGTGGGATGTGGACTGCATGGGATATTGTTATTGTTGTGAGCGTAAGGGTGTTGAGAGTCAGAAGCTCGGTGAAGGAGCCATGTCTGCATTAGTGTGTAGCTGGGTGGCTTGTCCAACTCGAGAAGTTTGTGGCGACACAGCCGATAGATACGATATCCCAAAACGCCGAACGATGGCATTTTTCTGTCATGTCTACCTATATGAGTACTGCGTCCTTTCTGTAATGCATCGAGGTCGACTACTCCGTACCCGTTATTATACTGTAGATGTGTGTCTATGGCAAAATGTTCTATGTAGGACTCGGAGGAGTGTTCCGGCGCCAAAGTGGAGGGTCTGACGTACCATCATACCACGGCACAATCTTCACCACCAGTAATTCTTAGCCCAACGCCGTTTTCCCACATGCAACGGGAGAACAACGTTGTCAGTCCAAGGAACAAAAACACATTCGACGCAGGAATCAGGGAAGAACTTCCTCCCTTCCAATTGACCAACCAATTCAGTCCTTGGCCTCACACGGGCTTTTGGAACCATCGAGCTTTCTTCAACCTCATTCCTGCCCTGGTTGGGCTTTCCATCGTCTTCTAGCCAGCAAACCCTCCCTCTGGCTGGTTCCATCTCCATTGAAGCACTTCACTCCCTTGATTCCATACATCTGACCCCTCCATTTAACAACGCTTTCTCAGGACAATTGCTGTCACACGAATCGACTCTATTCCAGTAGTAGAGACACACTGCCACGACCACCAGCCCTGTGACTCCCGAATCGCAATATTCCAGCCGAATAACTCGACCCAGGTTCTGCTACATAGCACCCCTCTAGCCGGGCCCAATTTCAACCCGTAACTCACTGCTCACCTCACATCACAGTGTCTCGCAACGACCCTTATACCCTTGTACTCACTCGTACATCACCATTCTAGTCATTCTACGCACAGCCAAGGTTTCTCGACACGAACTAGGCTAACTCTGCCACCGATTCACATCAGTCTGTCCCCTCCCGGCTTGACCACTCTTTTCAGCCCTTAAAGTCAATATGCCATCTGCCACAGAAGAAGCTCCCAAAGCGGAATCTCGATTACTGCTGATCTCTAATCGTCTCCCAATTACCATCAAGCGGTCTGCTGACGGGAAGTATGATTTTTCAATGTCCTCCGGCGGGCTCGTCACAGGCCTCAGTGGCCTGGCGAAAACTACCACATTTCAATGGTATGGTTGGCCAGGCTTAGAGGTTCCTCAGGATGAGATCGAAGATGTAACTTCCAAATTGAAGGATGAGTTCAACGCCGTCCCCGTATTCATGGACGACGAACTAGCAGACAGACACTACAATGGCTTTTCCAGTGAGTCCTTGGAATACCTCTGCGTCATGTTAACTGACTGCGCCCAGATTCTATCATGTGGCCATTGTTCCACTATCATCCGGGTGAGATAACCTTCGACGAGTCGGCCTGGAACGCCTACACCGAAGCCAATCGCTTGTTTGCTCGTACGGTCGCAGAAGAGGTCCAAGATGGTGATCTCGTCTGGATTCACGACTATCATTTGATGCTTCTACCACAAATGCTCCGGGAGGAGATCGGCACCTCCAAATCGAACGTGAAGATCGGCTTTTTCCTGCACACCCCTTTTCCCTCGAGCGAGATCTACAGAATTCTCCCCGTACGGAATGAAATCCTCCTAGGCGTTCTCCACTGCGACTTGATCGGCTTCCATACCTACGACTATGCGCGGCATTTCCTCAGCAGCTGTTCTCGAATTCTAGGATTGACAACAACGCCAAATGGTGTAGAGTTCGAAGGCAAAGTGGTCACCGTTGGTGCCTTCCCCATCGGTATCGATCCTGAAAAGTTCACAGAAGGCCTCAAGAAGGAGAAAGTTCAGAAGCGGATACAGGTCTTGGAGGAGAAGTTCAAAGGAATCAAGCTGATTGTGGGAGTGGATCGTCTTGACTACATCAAGGGTGTTCCTCAAAAACTTCACGCGTTGGAAGTCTTCCTCACCGATCATCCCGAGTGGATTGGGAAGGTTGTGTTGGTTCAGGTTGCGGTACCCAGCCGACAAGATGTTGAAGAGTATCAAAATCTGCGAGCTGTGGTCAATGAGCTGGTCGGGCGAATCAACGGCAAATTCGGTAAGTTCTTGTTGTCGTTCTTGCATCAATGAGCTAACATGAGTCAGGGACCGTGGAATTCATGCCCATACACTTCATGCACAAATCTGTCAATTTCGATGAACTGATAGCCCTTTACGCCGTCTCTGATGTCTGCCTCGTCTCGTCTACTCGAGATGGCATGAATCTGGTCTCATTCGAGTACATTGCAACACAGGAGAGCAGACATGGCTCCCTCATTTTATCCGAGTTCGCTGGTGCCGCCCAGAGCTTGAACGGTAGTATTTTGGTGAACCCATGGAACACGGAAGAACTGGCGGGCGCTATCCAAGAAGCCGTTACCATGAGTCCCGAACACCGTGCCATCAATTACGCCAAATTGCACAAATATGTTTCCAAGTATACTAGGTAAACGTGCTGCCGACCTTCGTCCGATCTTTTGCTAATTGCCGCCATCAGTGCTTTTTGGGGTCAATCATTTGTGGCAGAACTGACGAGAATATCTGCGCAAGGTGAAAAGAAGCTGAAGGCGAGGCGAGCATCGTTGATACGACCACAAGCACAAGGTATCCCCCAGACCACTGAACCCGAGAAAGTAGATGCAGGTTCCAAACAGAGCCAGGCAGACGGGGTCGATAGCAAGAAGGCAGACGACGTCCCCGAGCAGGCTGAACTGTCGGTCAGATCAAGGACTGCATAAATGCGCCACAACAGGGACTATTATGCTAGGGATTTTAGACCGCATCGGCCGGACGGTGCGAAGACTAGGATTGAATCATAGACAGGGAGATTCGACCCTGGATGCATCGCATTGGGTCGTTTGTCTGCAATGAGGGCTGCATCATGTAGAAGCATATTTGAATACATTCGGCATTCTCAGAGTACAAATGTTGACTGCTAGTAAATGGAATACAGCCTACAGCCAAGAGTTGTCGATTCACCTCGAGGAGAATTCGGTACGAGTAGGTAGTCATCAGCCTGACTACCTTTCATCCTAACCAGTTAGAAGAAAAAAGAAGACGAGAGACAGCCAGAAAATAGGACTTTAGATGTATGTATGTATATATATTTTACACCGAAGAATGTTCAACGGTCCGTACGAGTACATTGTTTCCTCCCACCCAATGGCGGCCAACACAACTCACGGGCTTAAATTCTTTCATGGACGTCCAAAGAGTGAGTCCTCGACCAGGCAAGCTTGTCTGGCGAAAAAGGACTCTTTCCCACTTTGCCACCATTCTTCGTCATTGAATCCCCCCCCGGGGGATAGGTGTGGACCGTAGCCATGGTTATGGTGAGGGTGACAGAGATCATGACGGACCAGTTCTGAGGAAACCATATGTGTCTGGAGAGACTCAACCTGAATCCTGAACCCTACGAGAGGTAGAGGACGACGTTACTGGGCCAAAAGGGAACAGTCGTTGAGGGGGATCTAGTCTTCGCCCTAGCACAAGACCAGACAAGACACATGGGAAGGGCTCCGGATCCATTTCTGCACATTGTCGATTAGGCCTCCCGAGGATTTGCGAGCCAGAACTTGCTGGAAGAAGTCGGGAAGTGTGCTACGGCGCACTGAGTCGTCGGGAGAATGACCGGTTCAGGCCTGGTCAGATCGATATCTTCGGTGACGCTGCGCGATGCAAACAATCCCGATGGAAACAGGTTTGCGTCCGTCTTTTCCCTTCTCTTCGTCCTCTTGGGTGGTGGAGGAGGAGGAGGTGGTGGTGGTGGGGGAAGTTAAGCTCGACCTTTCTTTCCCTTTTAATGAGCCTTGGATTTCCCTCGGGCCCTTTGCCGCACGTTGCCCTTGATCACCTCTCCCGCCGTACCTTCCCAGCGGCCCTTGGGACTGCCGACGGTGCGCGGAGGTCTCACGTCGACCGGAAGGCCGAACGGAGTGATGACCTGGTGAACGACGTACTTGACGTTTTTGCGGGTGCCGGTGCCGGTGCCCTCTATCTGGGTGCCGGCGACGACCGGCGCAGGCTTTCGTCTGGTCTCGGCGCCGCCGTACTCGACCACGTCACCTTCGTTCAAGGTGTTGTCGGGGTCGTGGACCATGTCGTGGGCTTTCCGTTTGTAATACTTCTGTAAATGTCTATCCCAAACTTGCACCGTACGGCTGACTCGGACCGTCTTGTTCATGGTGCCGACTCGAGACACCCTGCCTACCATGGTGTGACCTTTTGCGGGCGTCTTCTTCGTGGCGTCGTTTTGTTCCTCCTTCGGAGCCTGTGTATCCGAGACGGTGGAGTTGGAAGGCGTACCGCCCGACAATGGTATCGACCCGGTCGTGGTCGCTGGAGAGGAGAGGTCAGGGGAGGGTCGAGCTGCGGCGGCGGACGCGCGTGGAAAAGGTGCATCATCATGGACACGTTGAGCTTCGCGGACTGATCGTAGTGAGGAAAAACATGTGACTTGTTGTCGAGAATGAGGAGCTCTTATTCTCTGAGGTGCTCTCGACACCGAGAAGCTCGTCATCTTTGATGACGACGACGAGCACGTCGGGACAATGTTGCGACATGGTGCCCGGCACGCTCGAAACCAGGTCGTTGAGACAGAATTCATCGTGGTTGTAGTTGCATGTACATGTGAGACCTTGAAAACTCTAGCAGATAAAATGAACACAAGTACAAGTACACAGGCTGCACGAAGTTGGGGTTCTGCCGTTGAATCGTAGATTGCAGGATACTGGAGCTCGAGGTTGTCGTGCACTGCCAAAATTTTGAAGCGCAGAGAGCAAGGGAGAGTATGTGGAGTATCTTGCTCGTGTTGGTTTAGGCCGTTTCCGAGAGCATAGGGTGTACGAGCGGACCGAGTATCAATATCAAACCACAGCTCTCCATCCTCGAGCAATTATTCGAGGTGGTGTATATATTCTGGAAAGTCGGGCTGCATTAATTGCTTCTAGTATTCTACATTTTAGGTCTGCAAGGCTGCTAGTGATGCAGAAACACGCCATTCACCCGCCATAACACCATTCGTTATGCCCGTAAGAGGAAACATATCCTTTAAGCAGCCCATACATCCTTGCCAACGCCTTCTATCCAATGGCCCAGATCGTTGACATTGCTGTCCCATTCCTTGAGGCGGTGCCTCATACCTTCGATCTGGTCTTGACCCAGGACTTTAGGTTGTACCCAGTTGATCTTTGCAATGCCAGCTACCTGATCAATCTTTCCTCGCAGCAGTCCCAAGCTCAGCGCTTTCATGATCAAGTGTTCAATCTCATCGGGCTGGACCTTGGTCTCTTGGCTGATGGTCTTGAATGTCATGGCACGATCATGAGGCGGTCGCTTAAACACCAGTTCCGTCAGTGCAGCCAAGTTGATCTTCTGCCATAAGAAAAGTCGGTGTGACTCCAGGATCGGATCTTTGCTCAAATTATTGGACATCTTGTCAAATGCTGCTAGATCTCCGCGGTTGAAAGCAAATACCAGATCTCGCAGCCATGATTGTGGATGTGGCGATTCTAGGACGTTGAGGATAGGGTGCAATAGTAGCTCGCCAAAGTTGTGAATAGTATCTGACACAAGCGCAGCGATCGCCAAATCGTAGGCTCTATGTTGTTGTTCCTCTTTTGTCAACTCTTCCTCCTCGGTGCAGGCGAGGTAGAGCAGGGAGTTTCGATAATAAGAGGTGTAGTCACCTTCGGTTTGAAAGTAGTCGGCGTTGACTCGGTAGAAGGCTGCATGAACGATGTTCTCGACGAAATCGAATTGGTCCAGGGTCTTTTGTGCCTTGTCCAATTGTTCCCTGGCTTTCGATTTCTCGCCTAATCGCAGATAGACGCTGGCAAGTTCGGTGATGGTGTAGACATGTGCGTCTTCCGAATCTGGTTTGTCTACTCTTGTGGCAAGTGTCTGGAGGAATTGACTTCGTTCATTGTCATCTAGAGGGGATTAGCGATTTCCTTGAAATGGCTTGAGAGAAGGTGTACCTGTGATCTGCGCGGATGCACCCAAAGCTAACTTGACCAGTTTCAGCTGATTGATCTTGTCGGCGAAACTGATGATGAAGGTATTGTAGATGGACAATCTTTGAGAGGCAGTCTCGGGATTGGAGAAGTATTCTAACAGAGTGTCCGTCAACTGATGCCATAGCTTTCTGTCCCATAGATCCTCGAATGTAAGAAAGGTGTGTTGTAGTTCTACTGGGGCTTCGTCTCGTTGTTCGGCCAGGAAATTGGAGATGGCTTCTGGATCATGCTGTTTAGGCATTATGAGATGATGTGTCTGGAGAGGATAGGGAAATCTGCGTCGGGGAAGATATGACTTTGGTGAAGGTGGTAGAGGACTGCTGATAGTGAGGCGTGCTTGCAAATGTGAGTGTTGCATTAGATACTGGCTCATACAGTTGAACGCGCCGCCCGATCGTGCCTGCAGCTCTAGGGCAGATGCCAAGTTGACTTACCCTGCTTTGGGATGAGACTGACGCCGCCCTGTGTGAACACCGGCCACTATTTCGATGAAGTTGCGTCAAAGGCATCGGGCACTTCATTATTTTCTTTATGTCCCAATATTTGAGAACGGCTTGACAACAGGCTCTCAATACTTTTCTAGGTAAGGTAGGTAGTCTATCTTCTCTCTAGAGACTCTACTCATGAAAGCACTCTCTACACATCACCGATCCTCTAACCTCGCCACCTCGTCTAAATCGCTTGTGCTTTCACGTCTGCCTCGATGATACCTTTGTCGGTCTTGCTCGGATCATGCACTCCGTCATTGATGTATTCGAATCCGTTGAGGTAGATGAAATCCTCGGTGATGGGTTCATCGAGTAGAGTTTCTTTGGCAGGGAAGAATTTGTTAAGGGTGTAGTAGACGACAGCAGTACTGCCAAATCCCCAGAGGTAGTTCATGTCCCAGATATGTAGGATGCCCGGGCTGAGTTGGATGTGGGAGTTGACAGCGTTGGCAAGGCCTGGTAGGTTTGGAGGAACTGAGATGAGAAAGCAGATGACGGCCCGCCAGTTGAATCCGCGGTGGTACCGATAACGACCCCGTCGTCGGTACAGCCCAGGCACGTCGTAATTCCTCTTCTTGACGATCCAATAATCCACGGCTAGAAGAGCCGCGATGGGGGCGAGGAAGATAGAGAGACTGGAGATGAAGGTCAAGAGGGACGAAGCGGAATGGACGATCTTCCACGGTACCATTACCCAGCCACTGATGATTGTGGTAATCATAATCCCTCGACGTATGTTGATATATTTGGGAAACAGGTTGGTCATATCATTGGAACAGGAAACCACATTTGCCGTCAAGTTGGTACCGATCTGAGCTACGATCCAACACAGACCGACGAAAAAGGCACCACACCGGCCCCAAGGACCGTGCCAATGCGAAGCCAATTCCAACGGATCCCAGATGAATTCACCGTAGACGACTTTGGCACAACTGGTGGAGATGGTGCCGTACATTGCCATGAGGACGTTGATGAAGGGTAGCATCAACGCTTGAAGACCGACTCCTCTCTTCCGTTTCATGTATCGGGTAAAGTCAGGGATGTTGGTGGCCATGGTCGCCCAACCCCCACACTGACTGGAATAGTTGTTGAGGATTCGCCAGGATCGAGCGGATCCTGATATTGAATATTCCTGATCCCAAATTCTGCCCACCCCATTCGCCTTTTTGGTCATGGCAATGACGACAGCCGTAGAAACGGTCAAGACGATGAAGATTTTGAAGACAAAGAACCAACGAAGTTTGTGAGGAGGAGTCAGCAGGATCGGGAATTGTATCGACCAAAAAACCAAATGGGCCACCATTTGATTCGTGGTGACCCCCATGCTTTCGGGAATGGTGTTGGGAATGTCGAGAAATGATGGCCAAATGGCTCTAATACATTGGAACATGGCCAAACTACCGGTCCAAGTTTGAATGGCTGAGGTTCGACGTTAGACAATGCTGACCAACTGACACTCAGATGTGTACACCTTACCGTGCCAAAACATCGCCGTCGCCATTCGAATAATGACTGCGAATCGGGCAAAATAAAAGCCACACGACGCTCTAATGGCCACCGGGAATGGAATGTGATAATGTGCTCCGATGACACCATTGAGTACCAGGGGGATCGTGTCAGTCAAGCCTCCGAGCAGAGCTATCAAAACTGTCAGCATGTATGTGGACGTGGAAGGCGGTGATGGTGGTGACGACGTACGAAGATACAAGGCTTCCCTCCACGTCAAGCCTCCTTGAATGATTGAAGCAGGACCTTCCCAACCTTGGGCGTTGAGGGCGTCACTGAACCAAAACCCGGCAACCTCGAATGACCCCCAAGTCCGACGTTCTAGTGGCGTCACGTCCGAGTCGATATTGGACCAAGTTCCTTCGTCGGCAAAAGTGGTTGTTTGTTTAGGGAGTTTCCAACCCGAAAGATGAGAATGGCTTTCTATTTTGGTTTTTAGGTGTTGTTTGGACGCTACAACACGTTGGCGAAGGATTTGAGCCATCTTGTCATAAGAAATACCCACACTATGAATCAAAAGATCTATAGGTTCTAGATTTCTATCGTACACATAGACACATACAGACATATATATAGATGTATGTATCTCCATATCTATATCAACCCCGTTATCAACAAACGTCTTCGTGGCCGTGGCCCCCGGGGGCGCCGTCGGCCAAATCCACCCACCACTGCTCTCAGCGTCTATCCTTATCCCGAAGGAAATGACCCTTGATGATATCCGTTCGGAAAATACCTGATACTGTAGATACAAGTAGACGTCTACCTACTGAGTACCCCGGCATGGGTGGGCCGATCGTCGTGACCACCGCCTTTGTAGTACCAAAGCTTGTCATTCCTTATCAATGATGTATTCCGTTCGGTTACAATCCGATTCCCCTATAGGCTACGAGTAATCACTCAGTAGAGTCTGAGAGAAACTATCAGACAAGTCGGATTTGGGCGCCAAACCATCGTTCAGTCCTTATCGGACAAGGTCTTACTTACTCCCTACAACAGGCACCTCGAGCCTTCAGTGTGTTCACAGTAGAGACGATTGAGTATGGGAGTCGTCGATGTACACTCTGTAATTCAGTAATGATCTGGGGGAGATCGGTTCAGTATATACTTGTTGCCCTCGTGAGCTTTGCCCGGAGTGCATGTGCAGCCGCTTCCGAACCGGCGACCACCGACAATGCCGTTTCCTCTATTTCTTGATATCGATGACAGCAGGTTGGTAGGCTTACATTCAAGGCCAGGCGAGTCGGTCAGTGCTTTGCTGGAACAAAAGAACCTCCAATGGGACTTTGATGAATCTCCCTTGGCGGTTCAACTGACCGACGCCAAAGAAGCCCTTTGCTCTCATCATCACACTGCCACCGATACACCACCTGGGAGGGGGTATACCGTCTTTCGAATCACCAGCATTTCCAAAACCTTTACCGTTTATGCTCTACCCCTCCAGAGCATCCATCCCGACTCTGTCGTGACAGAACACTTGCCGGAGCTTTCAACGCATCAGAATGCCCCTGCTGTCAATTTGTTGGATGTCACCGTCCAGATGTTGGCCAGTCGGCTCAATCGAATTGCGAGAGACACGGATGGATCGTGCTTCGTCTGTAGAGAATTCATGGACCAGTATGACGAGGATAAACTGCAGCATCGAGGGTTTTCCCCAGCCAGTCATTGACACATCGACTGAAGTCGATTGAATAGAGGCGCAGGTGACCTAGGTTGTCAACAATGCGAATAGGATGAAGCATGAGAACGGAACTCAGGGCTGACGTCATGATTGTGCTGACGACCAGGTACGTAGGACGACCAAGGGCGTTTCAAAGGGCTCTTGAGCCGGCGAGTTGGACCATGCTGTAATACTGCAGGTATACAAGCAGAAGTGAGGAAGTGAGCTGTACCAATTAATTCGGCCCTCCTAGGCCCCATTGGCAGCGGTTTATGAGCAGCCCGCGTTCTAGGGTCAGTCAAAATCCATATGCGTTGCTTAAACTGGCATAAATTAGGTAGACAACAGCCAATCGATGTGTATACAAACTAGCTAGGCCAAGGGCACCATACGCTCGGCCACTCGCGTACAAGCGGCCAGTTCCTGGCCAGCAACGCTTTTTAGAGCGACCAGACACTCCGCAGTTTGATGGTGGCAACAACATGAGAACACGGGGTTTCGATGGGTTGGACAGCATCAAAATGGAGCCATAGCACTTCGAAATTGATGCAGACGGAAGCCTCTTGTCCCTTCATCTACGCACATATCCCGTGGGCTTCCCAGCTTATCGGATATACTTCAGTCCCCTGGAAGTCCGAGCACATACAAACTGCTGCTAGATATCTCAACTGACCTGGCTTCCTTCATCCTCGCGCTAACATGCCGCATTCCTCTTCCGTCTTCAATCCGTCCACTACTCACGGCTCTTCTCGACAGCACATTTCAGCAGCCTGCCTGAAGTGTAAGGCGCGCAAGTCCAAGTTGCAGTATTTGGCCTGTCGAGTACTGGGAATGCATCGCTAAAGCGGATTATAGTGCTCGGGCGGTTGCCCTTGCCGCGCTTGTAGTCGCGCTGGCCTCGAGTGCGTCTACGGCGTGTCTCTCGACAAACGACGTAAGATCCACCTAGAACGAGCGCATACCGAGTCTGCGCTTCAGAAAGAGCTCCTGAACCGCCTCTTTGACCTCATCCGCGACGGCGATGATCACATTCGAAATCGGCTGAAGGATGATGTACACATTCAAACCCTCTCTCAACGACTGGGCTTCAGAATAATGGAAGATCCCGGCGACTCTCTCGATCAGGTTGAAGAGATTCGTTCCTGGCCTTCATCTCAGTCGTGGGAGGTAAGTCGAGAAGCAAGTCATGGTTGGATCCAGAGTGAAGTGTTGATTCGGCGGCATCGTTTGTCGCCGTTGGAACATGACACAGCAGCGACTGATACAGGTCTCCAGAATATTTTGGGATTCGACAGCGGTGCGAGCAGTGGACAATTTGATCTTGCAGGACTGTCAAGGACGACCACACCGAGTCCCGTTGATTTTGACCCTCGTGATCAATATCGGATCTTAGGTTCCAAGCACCACGACATTCCTGCTGTAAAGTCAGTAGGCATCTTCGGACAGCCTTCAGGTGAAGTCGCCCAACAACTCCATCATCCTACTGCAAGCCACTTGCCCTTGAACTTACATGTTCCCCAGTACTTGATCCAACCAGCCCTGTTTGAGGAGGAAAGATGTCCTCTTGCGGCCGTGTATACCGACTTTCGAGACTATGGACGCCGACGTTTAGCAGAAGGACACTCTGCCGAAGTTGTATTAGGCAGTCCTCAGGTTGACTTGAGCGTGTTTTTTGGTGGCTGCAAACTTGAAGACCGTCACACACCAAATACATGGGCTTGCCAGTATATGAGTCTCCTTAAGGACTTGGACATTTATGTGTCGCTGGCATGTGTCTTCACGTATTCGCGGTTCATGCGGGTCAGCAATGCCATCACTCAGTTACTCGGGAACGAGAATGAGCTAATCAACACCAGTGGGCTATCGCACCGTCCGAAGAAACTTATGCCTTGCTTCCTGAGGCGATGAGGCCAACACCGCTTCAGAGACTAGTCCCCCATCACCCAGGAGTCGACTTGCCCATCTTGTAAGTTCAGGTCCTCCTAAACTCTACCTTTGCTCAAATTCCTTTTCAGCCCAGAAATGCGCGACGGACTCATCCACGACATGCGTGATTATATTGTTGCTCTTCAGACGTTCGGCTGCAGCGTTAATTGGCCATATGTAACGATTTTTGCATCCATTTCTCAAGTACATGATTCGTCCTAAGCACGGTGTTGGTTAGCAGATAGAACACCGGGATAGTATCGGCAGTGCTCAAGTCCTTCAACTTACAAAGTAGTAAGCTAGACGACCTCCCCTTTAGCAAATGGTCCAAGCACGTGATCTCGATTTGGATGCCAAGTCCTGCTCGGAACCTCTGAGCTCTCCCATGTCGTCGAGTCAATTGATCTTGTAACAGCTCCTACAGCAACGTAGCGCATCCCTCTTTACTTGAACGCCATCCCCAATCGTGTGGACTGGTGTACGGGTACTGCACTCAAAATGCAGGCCTGTCAACCAACCACCCTTGCGCTGCGCGCAGCTCGAACGTCCCTACCGAAACCCATTCAGCGACGAAACCTCCAAGATGTCGCGATCACCCGGACGGGCAAACCCATTTTAAGAACACAGGGCGGAAGGTCATCGTTAGGAGGACACACAGCGACCGTTTTTGGAGCAAATGGATTCCTTGGCAGATACATCGTCAATAGGCTAGCAAGAAGAGGAAACCAAGTCGTCGTACCGTACCGTGATGACATGGGCAAGCGACATCTCAAAGTCACAGGCGACCTTGGTCGGGTCAGCTTCATTGAATTCGACCTGAGAAACACGCAGTCCATTGAGGAAGCCGTGAGACATTCGGACATGGTCTTTAACCTGATTGGCAAGAACTATCCCACCAAGAACTTCAGCCTTTTCGACGTCAACGTCGAGGGCGTTGAGAGAATCGCGGAGGCGTGTGCAAAGTACGACGTCGATCGGTTCATTCATCTCTCCTCATTCAACGCGGACCCCAACTCCCCCTCGGATTTCTTCAGAGCCAAGGTAAGGCATGTCCGACATAAGCACCGACCAGAGAGGCTGACTGCAGTACAGGCCCAAGGTGAACAAGTGGCACGCCAGCTATTCCCCGAAACCACCATCGTCCGTCCCGCGCCCTGCTTCGGCTTCGAAGACAACCTGCTCCATCGTCTAGCCGGTGTCACCAATTTGTTGACTGTGAACAACATGCAAGAACGCTTCTGGCCTGTCCATGTACGTCCTTTGTTGTCCCCAATGCCCCCCTTCGACCAAACAAACGTTTTCCCCTCTGGCTAACCCGTAAAATCCAGGCCATTGACGTTGGCGAGGCTCTCGAGCGCATCGGCTACGACGACACCACCGCCGGAGAGACGTTCGAGCTCTACGGTCCCACGAACTACAGCATGGCCGAGATCGCCGAGATCGTGGATCGAGAAATCATCAAGCAGCGCCGACACATCAACCTGCCGAAGTGGCTGCTCAAGCCCGTGCTGCACTACCTGAACAAGGTGATCTGGTGGCCGATCCTGGGCGCCGACCAGATGGAGCAAGAGTGTCTGGACCAGGTCATCGACCGCAGCGCGAAGACGTTCAGAGACCTCAACATGGAACCGGCCGAGCTCAGGGACCTGACGTATCAATACCTGCAAGATTACCGGAGCAGTAGCTACTATGACCTGCCGCCGGCCACGGCACGGGAGAAGCAGCAGGCGAAGAAGTACCTGCACGTCATTGATGATCAGTAGAGGATCTTTTGGTATGGTTTTTGATCCCTTTTTTTTGTCGTTCCAAAAGAGGTTCGTCATGGGGGCTCGCCGGGGAAGCAGACGACCCGAAAAAGGCCTGGATTTTGTACATACATACATATATGGCCCTTCAGAAGGTTAACCATGAAGGTTCCTTGAAGACAGATTTATATAAAAATGGACTGCAACTTGAACCCAAAACATCGAGACCGTAAAGTGTTGTATGATGGTAGATCTTCCAGTCATCTTCCCTTTAGTGTTTTATCCAGCAGACGCAAAAAGCCAGCCTACGTCTTAAGAATCCGGACATATCTTCTTGAAGAAGCCAGTGCTAAGAAAAAACACAAAGCGAACTATAGCACATTACGCCACTTTGTACAGAGCAGTAGCTATATACACAATTCTAATTTTTGCAACTTGATGAACCGGGGACCATCAATCATCGTCGGAGAGGCTGTAAGCAGCTTGCGGGTCCTCGCCCGACATCAAGATGTCGACGAGACTCCGGCGGAAAGGCCACCGTTCGTACGCCAGGGCAATCTCGACCACCAACCCTGCGGGGAGAGACCGCACCCTGATGGCGGACAGGTTGTAACACCCACCCTTGGTCGGGTCGTGGATCCCAGGGATCGTCTCGATGAAATCATCGACGCCCTCGTGGACGAGCGTCCTCAAGGCATCGTAGACGGTCCTGGACCAGCTGAGCCAGAGATTCCTCTCCACGTAGCCAAAGTAGACCATGGTGTCGTGGGTACTGATTTTCCGGAGAAAGTCCACCCGCGGCGTGACGTCCAGCAAGGCCAGGTGTTTTGTTTTTGGCAGGAAATCCTCGTCGTGCACGAGAATGGGCTCTGCTTCACGTTGGTTCCACGACATGACCGGAGGGTTCAGGTCCAGTGCTCGGTAATCGTCAATGGCCTTCTCGGCGAAGAGTCTGTTCGTTCTGCTCAATCTCGAGATGCTAGCACTCAGGTTTTCGGAACGATTTCGGAGTTCGAACTCCTTCTCGGTTGGTTGTTGTTGCGCATCTCGTGAGTTCGCCTTTGCCGCGGCGAGGTCCCTCCATTCCTTGTCAATACGTCTTTGCTCTTTGACAAGTTCGACAGCCCTCATATGTGTCTTGTGCTGAGTCAACGCGACCTTGAGCAAGCTCTGCCACTCCTCTTGCTCGGAATTGATGATACGAAGTTTCAAAAGATTGTCGATGGAAGCCTTCTTGTGCCACGCTGGATGCACTTCCCGCAAATGATCGTCCAGTTCCAAGAAGCGTGTGACCCATGCCGCATCCGAGATGAAGCCTCCCGTTCGGATGTTTTTTGGGCTGGGGAAAACGCCCAGGAGGTAAGTTGGCGACAATTGATCCCTTCTGTGATCTGGAACCCGAAGATCGACCCCGTTCTCCATAGCTTTGACACGAGCTCGATCTTGCACCTCCATTTCTCGCCATTTCTGGAAGAAGGTGGGTCGGTCGTTCGCAGGACCGCCCACGAGCTCTTGTATCTTGTGGCTTGCTTCCAGCATGACAGCCTGTGCTCGCCGTACTCCCACAGTGCGCGGGATATAAGCATCCTTCTCTTCGTCCGGGACCCATGCCAGTACGCGAACCAAACCGTAACGATGAATGTCCGTTCGTATCCTCCACAGCGACATATAGAGGTCGGAGAAAAACTTCCGGGCAGGTGAACCCTTGTATAGATTTGTTTTGAACTGTGCTCCGGAGAGATTGACCGTCAATAACAGTGCAGGGTTGGGATGCAGAGCATTTCCGGTAGGATACTCAGACAAGAGCCCGTTGTTTGGATTGAATGCGTCTTCAAGTACGGCTGCGCGTCGATACGTCGAGTCATTTTCAGTCAAGAGAGGCTCGAGGGAGACGGCGTAATTCGCAAAGTTAGGTTCAACCAGAACATGCCGTCGTGGTTGTAGCAGGTCGTGGAGCTTTTGTGACCATAGACCCTTTCCCGGGTTTATGTCAATGAGGTCGCAGGATCCAGGTCCAGGCAGGGTAGCCCGAAGGCGAGTGAGTACCGTATCTTGAAGACAAATTTAGCAATGAACGGAAAAGATGTAGAGAGGGACTCACCACATAACTCCGGATTGACAATATCAATTCGCGTAGTCCTTTTCCGTGGGCCGGTAGGGGCTGCTAGGTGTCGAACAAATGTTTTGGCGCCCCGTGGAATGTGTCGAAGGAGGTGTCGTCTGTTCATGCGCAGGTGAGTGTAGGTAATACCGAGGATTCCCGTTGTTGACTTGGAAAGAGAGCATCAGAGTCAGTCTTCGATCTTGCAGAGAGTTTGCGAAGGTATCGCTCGCAGCGAGAAATGTCAACAAATAGCGTCTAAAGTTGGGAGCCTCGCCAGCCGGGTCGGCCAAAGTTGAAGGCTGCCAGAGCCTTGTCGATCGCTTGGAGAGTGTCGCATCAACCCCGCAGAGTGTGGTTGGTACAGTGTATTCAATCAACTTTCGAGGACACCCTCGTCATGGTTACAGGCGAGGCTCGCGTGCCCTCCTTCAACTTCCTTATTATAAACGAGGAAGTCCCTCTGTAGACCTCATTGAATCTCTATTTCTCTCTCACACACGCACTTCAATTTCCTACATATACCTTTCGTCCCCGCAAACTGCTCCAAAACTGAACTTCAATCCCCCTTCATAGTGACCCCCAACATGGCGACTCCAGGGCAGCCTTCGGGGGTCGAGCTCAACTCTCAGCAGCGCTTCTTTCATTACTTCCAGCAAGAAATTACAGGTATGCCTCTTCTCCCCCCTCGGTTCGAGGTCTCTGCTTATCCTCCTCTCCACTCAGCTCTTCAAGATCAGATGAGTCGATTGGCAGACACAGCCGTAACAGGTGGCGAGCGAGCAGATGCGGCAGACCACTGCTTAGCGGGCATAACCCGACTTTCCAACGAGGTCAAAGACGCCTCAGGTAACATTCCTGCCTACGATCAAAGAACATATGCGGAGGTATGACTTCACCCGAGTCTGCCGGAGTCGGATCGGTGACTGATCCGCCTGGTGCAGGCGATCAAAGCTCTACAGGAGAGACTCGACGAGACTCGCAAAGCATTCGCTCCTAAACCCAAGTTCTCGTTCAAGACGGCCCACAAGAGTCCTTCGGCCTTGTCCCTGAGCGATGCTGCCGAGATTGCAGCAGAGAAACGTCGCGGCGTTCCAGGGTCCCTCGCCCCAGACTCCGAGACGAACTCATCCTTTGCCAATACTCCTGCCTATAACACCACCCCTCAGAACGAAAGAGCAGACGACGGCCAAGACACAGACAATTCTGCGGAGAACAAGGGACAGACATATAGCGATACGGAGACAAAGACAGACGGTGCCCAAGAGAGGCCTTCTCTCTCCACGACCGCAACCTCGACGTCCATCACGAACCAAACGCATACGCACATCATCTTGCCTTCATCGTCGTTAAACTCTCAAACGCCATGTTCCCTATCAAAGCTCACCAACTGCGTTCTCGATCTCTCCGTCCCTACCACCGCCACTGCTCCCTTTGCCAGCATCACCATCACCTCGATCAACACGTCTCTCCTTCTATGTGGCTCTGTTTCCGGTCCAGCACACATCACTGGCGTCAAGGACAGCATCTTGGTCCTTGGGTGTCGCCAATTCCGCATGCATGAGTGCCACAATGTCGACGTCTACCTCTACTGTACTAGCAGACCTATCATCGAGGACTGCAGCGGTATCCGCTTCACCCCGTTGCCCAAGTTTCATGTAAGGTCGCCATTCCCATGCTCTCTAGATATAGTATTGACCATGACGCAGGCTGATCTCGTCAAGGCCTCACAAGGCACGTCTCACCCGTCAGTGAATCAATGGGATCAGGTAGACGACTTCAAATGGTTGAGAAACGAGCCCAGCCCGAATTGGTCTGTACTACCGGCAGAAAATATCATACCAGAAGAAACTTGGCGAGAAATCGTGCCGGGAGGACCAGGCTGGGGTTTGAGTGACATCCTCCGAGCCGTAGGCCTTCCCAGTGATGGAAGCAATGCAGATACAAGCTAAAGAGCAGCGGACCATACATGCCCTGCGAACTAACGAAGTGACGACGAAGCTACGCGGAAATCGACATGACCTGATTTGAGAGACAGAGGATTTTGTGGTTGGCTACGAGGAGGTCCACCAATAGCTGGGAGCAAAGCACTCCTTTCATGGTGGACGGAAAAGAGAGAAAGAGAGAGCGAAATGTGACGACACCCAAATACAACGATTCCAAGACTTGTGGCGAGACATACAAATTTCATATCTTAACAAGCAGAGAGACACGAGGGTTATGAAAAGAGCTGTTTGAGAGTCTGTGACAGCATTTACTCGACGGCGTGAGCGACGAAATTCAGAAATCCGAGACTGACAAAGATTTTGTTTTCGACACTTGATACTCGTCAAGGTACTAGTACAACAAATACAGTCACTTTATGGAATAGCCAAGTGACACCATCAGTTTCGAGTCTGCCTTCCTTTTGTATACCGTAGTACACAATGATATGTGTCCACGCTCAAATTTCCCAGTGGATTCAGCAGTGAGGGAGGTTGATATCAACACGCGTCGCAAGAGAAAAAAGGGGCCCGGGGCCTCGAAGGCCACGTCGAATCCATTATCAATCATCAAATAAGTTTGACGGGGATGGCGCCTCAAAACGTCGTCCGTGGCAATGGGGGAAACCCATAACTCGCTCGACGTTCCTAGGCAAAAAGTGTGTTTCGCAGCGACGAGTCTCGAGGTACGTGATACTCTCATACGGGTACGGAGTAGGCGGAGTAAAACGGGGTAAAGGCGAGGCAAACTATTTCAAATATCCAAGGCACGTACGGAGTACAGAATGTGTCTCGAGCCGACATGGAAGAGAAAACGACCAAGAAAAACACGTAAGCGGCAAGAGAGCAAACGGTTTTTTAGATCGTAGTAGTTATAGTAGTAGTACAGGAGAAAATATCTAACCTAGCAACAAAAGATTGCTCGACACATGACTCGTCATGTCCAACTCTCGTCCAACTCATCGTGGCCTCAGATAGAAGTACAAAGTCGCACACGTCCTTTGCCTATCCTTTACATTGCCCTTGCTCGTTGCAAGAATCTTTCCAAGCTTTGTCCGTCCCGTAAGACGATAACCCAAACGACATTGGCCAATATCGGCGGATTAATTAATTAAGATAAGGTCGCCAGAATGTTCTGTGATATACCTCAAAATCCTCATCCTCTCCTCCTTCCAAGCCACACAAGACACAAAATATCTGAGGTATAACGAGTCAAGATTCTCATGTCTTTGACGACGATCTGCTTCTGATTCTTCTTCTTCTTTTTCTTCTTTGACCAAGTTGCCTTCTGCTCCAAGTCTCTGGTTCAAGGGATAAACAACCAAGTCACTCAAACATTCACCTGAACCACCAACGCCAAGCTATGCTTCAACCACAACTAGAAAGGAGCGTGAGTGTGCTGGTCTAATAACACCGTGATAACTTATAAAGGAATGTAGCGGTTGGGAAAGGACAGTCATCATTTCGATTGTAATGCTGAAATGGAGAAAAGCAAAGCTGTATTGTATATATTGTTCAACGGCGGAGATGGCTAATCGCAACTTCAAAGTCGTGAGAGTATGTGATGACACAAAGTTCCAGACAGAAAATTCGTGGCAGAGATCGTGATCGAATCTGGCAGACCGAACAGTCTTCCCAGGATGACGCGGACTTTATGCCAAGTTGGATGTTCTCGAGTCTCGATCAGGATTCCGTACCTATCAGAGAACGTTAGAAGGCAAGCACGAACGAGACGAGGCGTGTCACATACCTGTAGTATCCTCCGGGAAAAGTCTCGCTCATCAGCGATACTGCCAATGCTTTGACGACGATGTGAGTAGATGGATGGGTCCAGCCGCTGGTCAGTGACAGACGATTTGTCAGATTTTGCAGAGCCAATGGCAGCGTTGCGACGGTGTTCCTCTTCGATCTCGCGGTTCCTCCTTCGCTTCATAAATAGCACCACTGCGCCGATGATGCCGGCCAAAGCGATCACACCTACCACCACCCCAACAGCAATACCAACTTTGCTGGGGCTCGAAGACTTTCCAGCCTTAGCGGCGGAGCTGGTGGAGCTTGCAGGTAGAGCACTTGTAGGTGGCACTGTCATGGTGACAACTGGAGCGGTAGACTTGGTTGCAGTCAGGCTGGCCGATGCAGAGGAGCTAGGATCTGGCGCTATCTCGACATTACCAGTCAAGCCAGAGAGATAGAGCTGGAAATAGCCACCAATGCCGCCACAAGTTTGCTGATTGTATCCTTTGCAAGGAGCATTGCAGTTGTCACCGTCTACTTTCGCACTCGGAGGAGGCAGTTCATCGCCACAGAAGCAATTTGTGCCACCTGTGGTGGCCATAACGGGTTTGTTGAGGCCCGCACATACTCCCTGACAATACCCAGAAGACTGGAAGGTATTGGCACCTTGATCCTGGAGGAAAGTAGGGTTATGAAGCTGATAGCAGTCTAATGTTTGGATAGCCCCGGCGGCTTCTGTCGACGTGGGGGAGGACTGTGCTGTGGAAGGGGTTGCGAAGAGCGCAAGTGCCGAAGTCAGCACGACAGCTCGAAGTAGTGATCGCGTCATTCTTGTAGGTTTACTTTGTTGTAATGATAATTGGGTTATACCAAAAGTCGGGAGTATATTCGAAATATCGACACAAGATTTCTTCCCCGTACAATAGTTGCTCAGACTCGATGATTTTGGCCAAAGAAGGATCGAGGTTGGTGGTAGCAATCCAAAAGTCGGTGATATGCAAGAACAGGCAGACTGCACACAAGTGCAACCTTCCACGATGGGCGCGGGTTGTCGAGCTCTTTGTCAATTCTCTAGCAGCGACCAGCGCTGCTTCTGCGATGTATTTTCAACTCTCGACTGTTGTTTTCTGTTCGATAGTGTTGCGGTATTCAATGACGATTGCAAAGAGCGAGGTTGGAAGAATCGAGGCCGTTCTCCTTCCAAGAATGCGAGGTGTTTCAGACTTGACACAAAGACCCCTGAGATCAACGGAATCGGCAATGCAGGTAAGCGAGTGCGTGAAGCTGGAAATATGAGACGTTGCAGCCTTGGAAATCCAGTCGTATTGATGTTGTTGCCTCGATGGCGATGTGGTCGAATTCGTCGAGTGTGATGCTGGTCGAAAGGAATGTGATCGTGTTTGGGTTGAGAGAAAGACGAAGAGTCGAGTTGACGGGCGCAGGGAGTACGTAGCAGTGGACACTGACCACTTGGAAAGACAGAAGCGGGCCCCTGAGGGATCGAGCCACCGAATCACAATGAAGGGCGCAGTCGTTTGGGAGGGGCGTCTCACAAGCCCAGTGGATGAATGCAAGGACAAGGGAGCGGAGGAAAAATGAGCACTGGGGCAGGGGATACACACACACACGGTGGTGAGGGCGAGAAATGCCAGTAGAACGAATTTGGAGAGCAGAAACACTCACAGGGCTCGGAAATTGCAAGGTGTCCAGGCTAGTCCCAATACAGCAAGGGACGACCAGCCCAAGAACCTTTAGCCAGGAACACGCTTTGTACCTGGAAGCGTCCTGGATCCTCAGCGTCCCACCCTTCCAGGCAAAACCCACCACCACGCCTCTTTGCAATCTGCCTTTATTGTTCGCACGCTGACGTGTTTGCTTGTGCTTACCTGCCGATATTGAACTGAGCAGATTTGACGAATCCAGCCTCGGGACAACTTTGTACCCCGGTCGAGGCACATGGTCAGAGGAGCAGGGGGAGAGAGAGAGAGAGAGAGAGGCAGGCAACGCCATCTTCCAACTCTTTAGTCTTTGATCTACTCGTACTGTACGGAGTACACCAGATGACCGTGTTTGACAGTGTCTCCTGCCTCAAGTCCCCCAGGATCAACCTCCTTCCCGAGGCATCATTGCTCGTTCCTGCGTTGGCAGCACGGTCAAGCGTTTGATGGCTCGCGCCGTCCGTCTGATTTGCTCTTTTCTGGCAAGTTGGGTCCCAATCGTGCATTGGCGCCCCGCAAGTCTCCAATGAGTGTCGACTACCGGCGCCACGGCTGCTTCAGATGTTCAAACCGCTGTCTCCGACCTGTCATCAGCTCATCAGCTCGTCAAGGGCATTCGGATGTTAACGCGTCTCTTTTTGCCGAAGACATTACAATTGCCCGTGTCCTCAATAAGGCCTGGGCTTATCATGCTGGCGAGCCGCATGCTTCCGCGAGACCGCTAACATCAAAACATGTGCAAGCCATTTTCCGAAGTTACCAGACATGGGACCATGGGATTTCCACCACGCCGAAATTGAAGAGGCCAAAGCTATTTCAAGAACGGACTTGAGCATAAAGTGAACACAAAGAAAGATTGGCTGACAATTGAAACTATCAGGCCAGTAATAAGATTATTGAAGCTTGGCTATGCGGTGCCCATTCCCTTCTGCTGGTGCTGGTGGCCTTGCACACGAAGCCTTGTATAAGTTTGTCGATTACGACGTCGTATTGAGACATTATTTAATAGTGTCTGACTACCCATCCATATATGGATGTCGTTGCGAATTGCCAATCCCATGCTCCGTAGAGTCTCGATGTTACCTGTCTCTGAGATCCACGACTTCAAACTGCATACCTTTCGCCTCGACCACGTGTCCAGGACGAAGCGCGTCGGTGTAAATGTTCTCAACGGCATGAGGGTGAAAGATCCCGGGTTGATCGCAGTTAAGAATCGTTTTCTTCCCGGGCGGATCAGTCAATCGAAACGCTCCCCAGTCGCCGCCGTGGGTAACATCACCTTTGCTGGGAGCACAGACAATCGCAATACTTTCGGCTAGCATCGTCTGATATCCGGAATGGGTGTGCAGATCTCGACTGCTCATGAAGCATGTCTGGGTTGGGTGTGTGTGTATCCATCCTAAGACCATAAGATCTTCCGAATCGACATAGTCGAAAAGCTGCGATTCATTCGTCATCTCACACGTGTCTGATGTGGCCGTTTGTGAAGGGATGATAAGTCGACTGATGAAGAACGCATTGGCTATAAGCGTGCCCGCAAGAAAGCCGCAAGTTTCCAGATTGGCCAGTGTGTTCTTGTGAGCAATTCTCAGAAACGTGGTGCGCAACTCTGGCGGCAGAAACACAGTGCGCAAAGGCTCCCCGTTCTCGAGGTACGCTGCCGGAGCGAATACACGAGTCGGCTCTGGTGTAGCTGCTCGTGAATCCACCTCAGCTTCTGTGGAAATTTTCTCCGGACGGGGCGGCGGTGCAGATGTCTCACTCCGTGGTTTTGGGGGTACGACCGGTGGTGACAACGGGATTTCTCGTCTATAACTTTGTTGAGAAGGAGGTATCGAAGGGGGACTCGTGATTGGCTGCACATGCTGTGAAGGTATGCTGGGATAGTGATAATGCAGACCTGAGTCTGCAGACGGATGGGGTCGAGTACCCGGGTCTATAGAGTGAAATTGCCGTCCATCGACTCGAGCACGTAGTTCCTGCAGTCTCGTAGACAAGTCTTCACTTTCACGGCCCAATGCCGAGGTATTCTGTCGGTATGCTGCCCTTCTCGAGATTTCTTTTTGAGCTAACCTGACCGCAAATTCCTTGTTCTCATGCGCTTGCAGAGGTTGTGGGCGCTGACTGGCAGCAGCGGGACCAGATGCAGCTTGATATTGTTGTGCTTGTACCATCCTCCTTGCCTCTCTTTCTTTGGCAACCTTGACATAGCGATTATATCTCTCATTTATCCGGGGCTTCATAAGATCAAGCATCTTCAACACGTCATTGACTTCCTTTTCCGCTTCCTGCATCAGCTCTTGAAGATGAGTTGCTGTCTTATCTCGATACTGCAGGTGTTGGGGGAGTTGGGAGAGAATCAGGTGTGCATACCGGAAGAGCAACAGGTAAGTCGTCTCTTCATCACCTTCTCTCATGTATGTGTCTGCCTGTACCTTGGTATCAGTGTCTGCAATGCACAATCAAAGGTAAGAACGTACCTGTTTAAGCATTGCCTTGGCTGACCGTAGCCAGATGCGTAAGGGTATTTGGGCATCATACTCGTATTCTTGGGCAGCTTTCGTTATCTGTTGGACGCTCCTCGGAGGCCTCGGAGAAGCTGATGATCCTCTGGGCCCCGACATTGTGTAGCAAGAAGCACATACAAAGAATGGGATGAGTGTAAGTAAGCGTTCAGTCTCGTATGGAGGGGCAACGAGTTGAGTCAACCAGTATCAAGATTGAACGAGTGCTCAGAGACCTGGACCGTGGAGGCCGAGCAATCTCTGCTGAAAATGCATGAGACCCAGACTGCGCTAGCAAGGTGAAGCCGTTTGCCTTTCATCGTGTTGGACATGGACACAGAAAGTCGAGGACAAGATCGCGGGCAGGCGTCACTCAAATCACCCAATGTCTAGGGAAGGTATGCCGGGGTCATGTCCGGGAGTGACTTGTCCTGCATTTTGATAGATTCCAAGTATTGTAGCAATATTGGCCTTTGGTTTTCTCAGAACTCCCTCGAGTAGCATGAATTGTTAAAATCAAAGCCCCAGGTTCCGCTGATGGCCACCATAGAAACACCTTAATGCGTCGTCGTATTCATTCACCAAATGCTACGAGAGCGGGCCATGTCTGCCGATAAACGACGTCATCCTCACTTCGCGCGCTTCTCCAGGCTGACTAAAGCCTCCAGCTTGACATACTTCTAACGATTGCACCCAGGATCTAAACGATACAATGCCAAGTAGACCTCGAACCTATAAGGCCGGCCTGCGCGTATAGGTTCATTGTATAGTCGAGACTTCGACAGGTATAAAGGAAGCAAGCCTCAGAAGGTAAGTCTGCAGATCTAGAGTCAAACTCAAGGAGCTCCTATTTCTACACTGATTCTGCCCGTCTCTATCATGTCATCGACTATTGAGCAATACACAATCTCCGTACCGGAATCGCAGCTGCGTGATCTGAACAATAGACTTGACCTCGCGAGATATCCAGACGAACTTGACCAAGCGGGGTGGGATCTAGGCGTACCACTGACTGATGTCCAGCGACTTACGAGTTACTGGCGTCACACTTTCAACTGGCGAAAAGCCGAGCAAAACCTGAACAAGCTACCTCATTTCATCACGTCGATCAAGGTTGATGGCTATGAAAGTCTAAGGATACATTTCCTCCACAAGAAATCCGACCGCAGAGGCGCCGTCCCTCTACTCTTTGTCCACGGCTGGCCGGGAAACTTTCTCGAAGCCACAAAAATCATCGATGAACTTACCTCATCTTCAGACGAGCATGTCTCCTTCGACGTCGTTGCCCCTTCTCTGCCACATTATGGGTTTTCTGAAGGCTCCAAGAAAAGGGGCTTCTCACAGGAACAATACGCCGAAACCATGCACAAACTCATGCTCCGCTTGGGTTACAACGAGTATGTCACCCAGGGAGGCGACTGGGGTTGGTACGTGACGCGCACAATCTCGAAATTGTACCCTCGACATTGTAAAGCTACCCACTTCAACATGGATGTCGGTGCAGCGCCCGCATTGTTGAAGAACCCTATTCTTGCCGCCGAAGCGGCACTCAAGCCACTCTCGGACCGCGAGAAACAAGGTATCTCCCGTACCCGGTGGTTTGACAAAGAGGGATTTGGGTACAACCTTTTGCAATCCACGAAGCCACAAACTGTGGGCTACGCCCTGACCGACAGTCCTGTCGCCCTCCTCGCATGGATCTATGAGAAACTGCACGACTGGACCGATGATTACCCCTGGACGGACGAGGAAGTTTGCACGTGGCTGTCGATATATTGGTTCAGCACCGCTGGGCCGGCCGCGAGCTGCAGAATATACTACGAGATGGACCGTTCGGGGCCCTGGGGCAAACGTTTCACGCGGGACCAGCTGCGGGAGTGGTTACCGGGCGTGAAGATCGGGTACAGCCATTTCCCCCGCGACCTTCACGTGCTGCCGAGTACGTGGACGAGGACGTTGGGGACCAGCGTCTTCGAGAAAGAGCATGCCTCGGGTGGGCATTTCGCCGCGTGGGAACGTCCCGCGGACATTGTGGCCGACGTGAGAGAGATGTTTGGCAAAAAAGGTGGTGCCTATGGTGTTGTGAAAGGCCGGGATGGATACTGACTACCTAGGTATATTTCCTGTCGCAGTTTTCAGATAACTCCATTTTGCGTTTAACCTTGGGATGGACACGATGAACATTCACCTAATAATATTTTGCTTCTCCTTCCTGGACCAGCCTCGAAACGCCATGTGAAAAAAGTCTCAGTGCTTCCATATAGCAACTGCACGTGACAAATTTCCATTCGCTTTGCCTGTCTCTTTTATTTCTCAAAAACTCATTGATGGCTTGCATACATAAAGTACCAACTCGTATTGTTGTGAATTCATGGGGGACCTCTTATCGTTTGCTGGGGCCGGCTACAACCTCATCCTCATTATCATCAAGCTGGTCAAATCCCATCATACTCATCAGATTGGACCCAGGACCGGCCGTTCCACTTTGTGCTCTCAGACTCTCCAACAGATTCCTTGCCAGGTCGATATCAATCTCATTGTCGATGTCGTCGTCCGAAGACAATTCACCAGCCTCGTCGTCGTCCTGGCTTGGTTTCTTTATGTCTTTGTTGCCGGCCTTGATGGCAGGCTGCTTGGCCTGCGAGGAAGACCCGAGTTCCAGAGCTCCAGACCCCCTCAATTCACGTTCCATCTGTTTCATGAACGCTTGCATATCTTCACCGTCGTTTTCTTCTTCATCGTCGTCCGAACCGTCAACCTCCTCCACGCGGCGCCCGCCAACCTCGTCGGGTCGTCGCAGCTTGGCTCGCTCCGCGGGATCCCGAGCGTCTGCCCCGAGTTTCCCACTCATGATTTCCTTCATGACCTCGGGTGGCATCCCCATCATTTCTTGCATGATCTTTGTAAACTCGTCTTCGCCGAAGCTGGCTTCTTTGTCCTCGCCCTCGTCATCATCATCATCATCGTCGTCGTAGTCATTGAGATCTTCATCGTCGCTGTCCTCGCCAAACAGCCCTCCGGCATCTGGACCCGTTTTATCGTCGTTGAGAAAGTCCTCAAATTGCTTGACGATACGCTGCAGGTTCTCCTGAGCGGTCTTGTCTCCAAAGCCAGTTTTCTTCCCCTTCTCACCGTCCAGCTCTCTCTGCAGGTCATCAAAATCGATGTCGAGCCACTTCTCGTCGTCCTCGCGTCGATCCCATTGCTTGATCTCATCATCTGAAGGCAACTTTTCGTCTCCCGAGTCCAGGTCGTCCAACAACATCTTCATCTCACGCACCGCGGGCCGATCCTGGTACTGGCTATCTGTGACCAACATCTCAAACCCACACGTCACCTTCATGCCCGTCTCCGCCTGCGTATAGGATTTGGACTCCGTCCTCGACGGCATGAACACGTTGAACACGGCGGGAGCGGCAAAGTCCTGAGACTTGAGCTGCGCATAAGCGACCCGTGGGAACTTGACGCTGACAGTCACGGCATCCTTAGGCGAGAATACCATACTATCTTGGTTCTCTTTCTTTTGCAGAGGTTTGAGCGCGATCGGGTCACGGAGATAGAACGCCTCGACCGCTGGCGAGATGTACGCTGGCTTTTGGTGAAGTAGAAAAGCAATCTTCCGTGGCAACGTGACGACGGCATGGTGCATGTTCCCGGAAATTTGAGCTGGATAATTCCGCAGACGGAAGAAAGCCTCCTCCTCGATGGTTGTCGAGTGCATGATCCTTTTCGGTTCCCACAACAGTACTTCCCTGGCCTGTCCCAGAGTCAACTTTTCCTCCGTGCGCCGGGACGACCTCGCAGCTGCAGCAGGCTTTATGATCTTGAGCTGGCCTTCATTGATCCAGACCCGATTTTCTGCGACTTCCGGTTCCAGCCAGGCGGGTAGAGTGCCCGATGCTTCGATGAGGAGGAACTCGCCGTCGTTGTCCGTGACTTTGACCCAAAGGTCGCTGGATTTGCGTGTCAATTCTCGCAAAAGCCACACCACGACCCATTCGTCTTCGACGGAATCGCCATATTCGGTTCGACCTCGTAAAACGCTCAGTCCTGGGTGCAAATGTGTTAATTCATTTCCGTCTGTCCTCTTGAAAACACTACAGACCTCACCATCTTCTTTGTTGAGTTCCAACGAGAACCCTTGGCGTTGCCATATGTAGTCCTTCAGATATTTTCGCTGCAAATCCGTCGCCTGTTTCTGGACGTCTCGTAGCCGCAACCGGGTTTCAGAATCATTTTCTGATTCAGAAGTCGAAAGTATGTAGAGGGAGTATTCGATTGTATCGTCCGGGAGAGCAGGCTTCGGTATGGGGTGGAATGTTGATCGAAACCAGGCTATATCTTCCTCGCTCGGAGGCATTGTTATGTTTCTGGTCTGATGGTTGGGACTACAAAGTACTGGCCTTTAGAAACGCTTAAAATCCAAAAATTACGAGTAGCCCTCATGAGATCATCGCAGCCGGATAAACACCGGAATTTTTGGGCTCAGGCACCACGAGGCTGAGCAAATCCAGTTTCGAGTAGACTGAGGCTACGATCGCTGTAAGTACCAGTATCTCTACAGTTGCAGATGGGCATGCTGGTGGCTAGATAGTCCCGCGATGTGCTGATTATCATAGCATACCATACATTACGAATCTATCATGGATATCATTGCCTAGTCATCTATCCCGGCGAGCAAGACTGTTGCGTTACCTAACACAGATTCACATCCCGGTTTTCTTACAACATCGTAAACCAGCCTGGCTGCTCATACCTTCTTATCCGCGACTTGCTCCAAGAAGTTCTTCGTGAATCTAGTGACTTGTTCATACACGACTTCGAAGCCGTTATCGGCTCCATAATAAGGATCGACCACTTCCTCAGCTTTACCCTTTTTGCCAGTACCATGAAATTCCCCAAACATCATGACATTTGCTCGAATCTTATCGGCCTTTCCCTTGCTCTCGGCTCTGCGTTGGAGTCTCTGTAGATCCCGTAGGTTGTACGTATCCATGGCAAAGATATAGTCGTAGTCGAAAAAGTCTTGCACAGTAACCTGACGTGCACCGTGGTCGTAATCTGTAATACCGTGTCGACGAAGGGTTTCGATAGTTCGGTCATCAGGAGGGTCGTCGACATGGTATGCTCCCGTCCCAGCAGAGTCGATCTCGCCGATACGAGGGTGGGAACTTGTAAGAGATCGAAAGACACCTTCTGCCATTGTGCTTCGGCCTTCGTGCACATGCCAAGTCAACCACGAACAGAAGGGGCAGGGGAAATCGGCTAGGTTGAAAGACTTACAGATATTGCCTAGGCATACGAAGAGAACGCACAAGTTGTCTGTCATTGTGTACCTGACTCGTAAGAAGAAGCCGGGATGAACGTATACGATGGATTATATGTGCTTGTACATGAATAATCCGTCGACGCCAGAAGTTCGGTGCTAGCACAGACCCCGATACATAGTGCCTCGGTTGTTGTAATCTGAGTCTGTCATACAAGAATCGCAGAGGGTAGATAATAATGAGAGACAAGGTTGTGGAGGGAATTATATTTAAAATATACGTTCAGCCTCGCCACTCCGCACTTCTGGGGCTGTAATTATTTACTGGATCTATTCCAACTGGGTTGCCCTGAGGTTCATCTTCAGGTTCATCTGTTATTCAATTGAGACACTACGTTTACTCAGCACTAAGATTATTATCTAGGATAGTTCTTCGCAATCACACATCCCGTCCAATAAGCCACCGAGACTCTGAATACAGTCTACCCAGGTCTGTTTTACCCAAGACTCTTCCGGAGCGATTTGCCAGTCCTGAAGCGACTTCGCCCATGCACATAATTGACAAAGTATGCCTTCTCAGGTCACGTCGGGCTTTCCAGGCATCAAGATCTCACCCGCTGTGTTCGTGTCCACGATGTGTATCATGCAATAACCAAAATCCATGAGCAAGTGTCCTCTCATGATCCAATTCTTCTGTTGCAAGAGTACTCAGCCGCGGATATGGCGCCCACCTTCATGATACAGTTGAGTGACAGTCATAGGCTCCGAATCTGAGGTCTGATATTCAGAAGTATCGGACACCATGCTTTTCCTGGCCTGATTGTCAACCTCAAGGGTCCTGTGCCGATTGCCCAGTGCTGCTCGCAAGTTGCCACTCCCTGGTCCGATATGGTGCAGATTTGCTACTGCAGTCTCGAAGTGCGCCTTTTCGCTAACGCCCGCGTCCTCATCATATTCCAGGCCAGGGGACACCTCGGTTTGGCGGTGCTGGGCATACTTGGTCAAATCGTGTTCAGTCCCATCGTACGGCAGAGTATTAGAATTCAGCATGTCCAGTGCACAGACGCTGTGTCGATACATTTCTCGGTCGGCACTCGCAACGCTGTCGTCAGATTTACGCCGTTGATCGCGCGCTTCATCATGCTGAGGACTTGTTTCTGGTGGCTTCTTCATCGAAAGTTCTGGAATGTGGCTCAACACTCGACGTGCCGATGTTTGCCCAAGGACACTGTTTTTGAAGTAGTCACTGGCTATTTGTGCAGCTGTCGGACTTGCAATGCATTGTGTGATGTCTGCAACCCGTGCAGATGACAATCGGTGTGGTTCAGGCCGTGCAGGGGGATCAGGTAACAGTTTCTCAGTGTCCATAGGCAATCGAGACATCGCGTAGTTTTGCAGTGTACTCAATGACCCGGCTCTGGGACGGGCAGAAGGTGGATTCGCGTCGTCGAGGTTAAGATGACTAGTCGTATACGCATTCGGACTGTTTTGAGCATGGAAAGGCTGGTCGAAAGAGCCTACATGTTGGGCAACAGGTCTGCTGAGTCGGGGAGCTTGCTCTTTGAAAGAACACCTCAAGTCGGCCGGCATGTTGGCTGTGTCTGGCGGAAACGACATCAAGCTCCGGCTGGAAGCCAAAGATGAGGTAGACTTCGATTTATCTTTTTCACGCTCCATTCCCAGAAATCTTAGTGCCTTGGATGCGTTGCTGCTTCGCAAGATTGGTTCTGGCTGACGTGTAGACTCAAGTACGGCGCGTGTCTGAGACATGATATTCTTGACATCTTCCCTTCTCGCAATCACTTCTTCTCGAGCACTACCCAGCTTCTGTTGGAGCTTGCCGATTTCGATCTCGCGTTTCTCCAGTTCCATCCTGTGTTCAATTTTGAGAGTGCTCATCTCAACGCGTAGCTCTTCGTAAAGCTGAGCCAGGTCTTCCTGCTCGACATTAGCAAGCTGGCTTTGAGCGAGAGCAGATTTTGTATTCTCCAACTCTTTCGTCATATCCTGATTTTGTTGTATAAGCATCACCATTTCATGATCGCGCTGTTTCATTAAGCGTACGGCACCCTCGTATTTGCTTGTATATGCATCAAGACTGTGTGACTGCTCACGGATCATGGCGACCTGTCCATGCAGCATTTTGCGGTACTCGCTCACAACTGTGTGGGCTTCATGCAGACCTTGTGCATACTTTGAGATTGTGGCTTCAGGAACACGAAAGTAAGGGACTGTTCTGTCATCTCCGCGAGAAGTGTAATCCGATACTAATTGAAGAACTTCCTGCGTTCTGGGGTCTTCCACAGTGTCGATCCAGCGTGGGACATTGGTCTCAATAAAGGCGCCCAAGACTCGAACGATATCACAAATGGTATGGTTGAGCTCTTCTATCATCCTGCTTTGTCTATCGACGACTTTCTGTTTGGCATGCATCTTCGTCGAAACATCCTTGTTTTGAGCTTCAAGCGCTTCGAGGCGTTCATGAGAGATCCTGCTATCTCGTTCGGCAAGCGATTCTGCCGACTCGACGATTTTTCGAAAAGAATTTGACAGGAGTCGGATTTCGTGAGCGAAATCATTCAAGTCCTGTTTATTGTCAACCACAGCGCAAAGCAGCACTCACGAGTCCATACCTGACTGATGTTGATTTGATAGAGGCCGTCATCAACCTTGATCTCGGTAGCGTCCAGTATCAATTCCGCCATCTTGTCGACATGGTTCCGCATTGCCGGTAGCCACAGATCCTTCACCGTTGCGTTATTCTTGCATTGTAGAAGATAGTCCAGTAACTCCTCGACGGTCATGGCAGTGAAGGGTTTTGTGATTCGAGGTTCTTGCGCATTACGATTGCCAATGGTGTAAGAAGGCATGATGCTTTGGTCGTTCCTTCTCGACGAGGTTGTCAGGTTTCGTAGCGTGTCCATTGTGATATCATTGCTTGAGGCCGACGTTGACAGAGTAGGAACAGAACTGATCGTTGAATCTTGCGTGTCTCGGCGGATTAGACAAAGTGAAGGCGGCGGTGATATGGGATCTGTCTGCGGAAATCCTTGACTTGGAAGCAGCAGGGAGCCAGGCAGTTCTATCGGTAGTGAAGACCTCAGAGTGAGTGGTGTCTCTGGCGGTGACCGATAAAAATCACTTTGTACCGTAGAATCTTTCTGGGTCACTACTGATAGCCGTGTATTCACATCCTCTTCAGGATGTGACTTCAGCCAAGTGCGATCTTTTGGCGTCTTCGGAGTCCATGGCCACACATACTCCAACATCGGCCCTGCTGAAGTCTTGATAGAAGGAGTCGATAAGTCTGGCGTGCTACGAGAAGTAAGAATCGGTGGAGGCTTCTGTTTTCGTTTGCCGATGGTAGTGGCTTGTACAAAATTTGCATTGGTCGCCACCAATGCTTCAGTACTGCCAGCTGGATCGGAGCATATAAATCCACCGAGACCACCATTTGGCACTGCTCTTGAGGCCGAATGTCGCTGCTTCGAAGTAGATTGCGGCGCCATATCACGACACTGGCTCCGGACATCAAAGTATGAAGCAATTGACTGGAAAAAAGGGACACGGAAGGCATTCAAGTTCTACATACATGTAGAAAGCGCGGCTACGATATACAATACCGTAGCTAACCTGATGAGTATTCTCGAAGTGCTCTACATCTGCTCAAGGTTTTGAAGCAGGTCGAGTCGCACGATATCGGTCTAGTCAGCTTTATCGCGCGATGCTCGAGAGCGAAGCGGACAAATGGTATCTCAGTTACTGGGTCTCGCACATGCAAGCTCGCATCGATCGGAAGCACATTTGTACCTTCGAGGTCGTTCTGACCATGACCTGCCGGCGCGTAAATCGGCCATCGTGAGGTCACCTTTTGACTGCGTCCTAGGGTCAAAGATGCGTCTCACTATGACACAGGGGGCGGCTACAAAAGGCGGAACATCCTCCATCATGTAAGGATGCCATGGCGGCCATATGAGTTTTGTCTTTTCGAGGAAATATCAGGCGAAGAAGAGTGAGAATGAAGCTATCTTCATGTCGACCCATCGTGCGGAACTAATTTATTGGATCGCACGTGACCTTAGATTTTTATGACCCCAGCGTTTGCTGTGCAAATCTTCATAGTATGTCTTAATATCGTCTGAGGCTTGTGATGGCGATTACTAGGGTCACAATTCGACATCTCAGAGTCCACGCAAAGCTCCTCCAAGCGATCAAGGATGGACCATGCAGAGCAAGCGGCAAGTCTAGTTTGTCCCAACTTCCTGGTCGCAAATCGGTCGAAACGCGAGACTGGTCATTCTAACTTTGCTGGACTAGACCGATTCGCACGGCAATCAGAATGAAGGGAAGAAGAACACGAATCTTGGTCAAAAGCGATCGCCTCAGGGACGAGATAAAGGCAGAGGCAACGGTGATCGAGCGATAGCAATAAGCGCTTCCGGCATCCACAGCGGTGATCGTGGTATCTTCGTAACCTGTGACAAGGGTCAAGAGAAGAAGTGCCTGCGAGAAATCTCCGACATTCTCAGCGAGGTACATATGCAGTCCTCATATTTTGGAGCGTCCAAACCAGCTGACGCCAATAGTATATCGATTCCACTTCTAAGCCATCCCAAGAACCAGACTTCGGCAGTTATGGTGCGGAGATGGATATAGAAGCCGCTATTCTTGCAGAGCTGGAGTCTTTACGTTCCATGTCATCAACTACAGGCACATCAAATCCGAAACTGTCTTTCATCACCCTTGACATACCATGCGTATCGTTCATCAGATTCCCTGCGAACTCCAAAGGCGAAACATCGCTTAATCCGGTTGATACTGTGCGAAACGTTTGCGAGGAAGCCTCGAGAAAGGATTCGACAGGCCCACGAAGCCGCTATGTTAAAAGATTGACCCCCGTGAGCATGATACGAAAGACTCTGAATAATGGGCTTGAAAGCTTGTGTGATGAAGTGCTCCCACCAGAGTTTCGGGTAGACTCCACCGATGAAGAGCGCTCTGCCGGCTGCAAGTTCGCCATCCGGCCAACGATAAGAAACAACGACAAACTCAACAGAGATGATGTGATACGAATGGTGGCTGATAGGATCGCCGCGCTGGGGGCCGGGAGACATAGTGTTGACCTGAAAGGCTATGACAAACTTGTACTCATCGACGTGTACAGAAACGTCGTCGGTATGAGTGTTGTTGGAAATGAGTTTGAAAGGCTCAGACGTTTTAATCTGGCCGAGCTTCATGCCACTCATCTTGGAGAGGTAGACTCGGCAAAAGCAAGCGGAGCCACTCAGGGCTGAAGGAAGTGTGGCTGGCTCAGATCCGACCCAAATCCACAAGTCGACAGAAAGCAAATATCTTGATTAGCGTTACGACCACACCGGGGCATTACTTTTGAAAACAAAGCATAGTGCATCCAAAGTCTGCAAGGAGTTGGTGTCAGTGTAGTATGCGCTATTTTTGAGAGCCTGTGGGGTTGTGCTTGTCGGAATGACTTGTGTCTGTGAAGTGGTTATCCCGACAGCAGAGTTCGTTTGAATACTCAAGGGTTATATGTTTGAAGAGTTGAACATCCTTCAACAATTCCTCGTGGCTACCCGTGTCACCTGACCTACCGCGGTCGGATGGCGTAAGGGGATTTCACCAGACATGAGGCAGTTTACTTGAGCCAAGCCGCGAATCCTAGACGCAAGGCTCTGACACCAATGATCCCGGTAGGGTGAGGTGTTCCCCAGCTTTCATGGCATTCTACCCGTGAATGACCAAGTTGGGGAGTGACCTGACGATACCACGGAAAAAATCCTGTCGAAAGGATTTCCCTCGACCTCAACGTCAACCACTCAGCGTGTGGTTGGCCTTGAGGTTAGAGTTTTGCTTCTCGAAAAAATGATCCTTTTTTTTGGATCACAGTCCGGCTCGAACTCTCTATGTGAGAGTCATGAGTGAATGCTAGTGATGAGATGCGAAGGGGTTTCGAGAGGGAAAGATAATGTACGTGGTTAAGACCCCTGTCCACAGGGCGACTCCCTGGTTGGAAGAACAATGTCCGTCCCTCTGTACCTCGCTATGTGATCAGGCTGTTTAACCATTTTTGTCCGGCCATGCCATCAATCATAAGGAGATCACTGAGGGCATGACAATGAATTGTTGTAGAAAATCTTACAGAGTAAGGGTAGTCGTTTCCAGCCTTGCAGATGGTTATGGCGGCACGTGACTCGCCCCGTAAATTACTCACAGCCTGATCAGGGACCGAGCGCATCAAAATCACAGACCACCTCTTAATTCAACCAGCGGATGAACCACCCATTCAGTGCCTGTCCCCAAGCGATGCGGATGCAAACTATTCAATTTGATTGTCTTCAGAAAAGAAAGTAAGCATCAACTGGCAAATTTGCCTTTCGTCTTGTTTCCCAGCCTCGTCAATTCCCCCCTGCACAGCCGGCGTGGCTGGGGGTGACAATCACAGTCACAGAGTACTCTCTCTGCCCCATGATTCTCAGCATCGAGATGTCCAGGACTTTTCCATTGCTGATTACTCCGTAATAATTTCTCGTCTCAAAACCCATACTACTCTCCTTCACTTTGACATAGCAATACAGAGTGTCCGTACCGGGTACTTGAGTTGAGTATCTTGAGTACCTAATCAGAATATCCCTAGAGCATGCCAACGATACTCACGCCGCAAGGATGGGTCAAAGTTGCGGCGCCCAAGCCACGCAAGAAGGTCGTCAACCCCGACCCTACGTCTGCCTTCAAGGGACCACTGGCCTACTTCAGTTGCCAACCGCTACCGTCCAGCAAGAAAGAACCCATCAGCACCCGACCTCAATTTCCTTACGACTTGTCGGCGTCCCCTGAAAAGTTGAGGCACCAGGGCGAAGGCAAGGCGAAGATCGCCGGCAAGAACAGGATCATTTCCGCCCCTCAGCTGCCCATCTACGACCAGGACGACGGCTACGAAGCGGCAGAAGAAGACCATTGGGCCAGAGGCGGAGGAGTAGCGTCACCGTCATCATCCCTTTCAGCAGCAAGGCGACACAAGACTTCGCCGCGTTCGAGAAAAGAACCACCATCCAGGCAGTACGATGATCTTTCGAGTTCGAGTTCAGGATCCAGTGGTGGTGGACGCTCCACAAAATCGTACTCGAGACATCGACCTGTCGAAGCTGCTCCGAGGCCTGCGTCAATGTATCACCACCGTCCGCCGCCGCCTCAACCACCTGCGCACGGTGGTTATTACGGGTACAATGACTATCCGCCGCCGCCACCTAGACCATCAGTATATGAAAGACCAACACCTCCTAGCAACGCGAGGAGCATGTCATATAGTTGGTACAATGCCACGACGCCTCTGAATTTATGATTGGGAAAGCGACCGTTTGGAGTTATTGGGAGAGATCTGAAGTATTTTCTATCATTGTCTTACGAGAAGAGTCCTCACCAGGGCTTGGGATTAAGTAGGTCGACAGGTGTTGTTCGACTTGTGTGGACCAACCTGTGTATTTAAGATGTTTTATTTTAGGAATTTTTACTGTGTCATAATGATTGAAATGAATGATACTTGGTAAATCATCAAGTTGCTGAACCGTAATTCCCACTTTCCTTCCAATGGAATATCATAATTCATGAGCCCTGGGACATCATCCAACATCGTTATCACATGTCCTGACCTAGACATCCATCCCGTCCACCCTGTTTGTGAAATCAGATTGAAATGAAAGAAACAGACAAAGCCTCTCCAGTGCTCCATAATTCCTCTAGTCATCGTCTTCATCCACAACCACCATCCTCTCTTTACGGTAAGTCTCGATCCTCTCCCTCTTCGCAGGAGGCGGTCGAACAAACATGCGCTGACTTTTTGTGATGACGACCTTCGTCTCTCGCTGATTGCCGCCGCCCACGAAAGTCATCCCTCTGCCTCCGTAAGGATCGACCGGTCGCGGCCGGCGCCGGCGGCTATCTTCTGATGATTCGTCGTCAACGTAGTATGCGTTGCGCCGTCGGGCTCTGAGGCAGAAGATGCATAGAAGGAAGAGCAGGAACACGCCAAAGAAAGCGCCGATGACGATGCCGCCCACCGCGCCAGGCGATAGGCCACCACCACTGTGGTGCACGACGATGACCTCAGAGGGGCCAGTGGTGACACCAGGTACAAGCGACGTGGTACTGCATGGGGTTGTCACAAGCGTGGTGGTACATGGCGTCGTCGAGATAGGTACCCAGGTCGAGATAGGTACCCAGGTGCTAGTCGTACAGGGTGTCGTGCTCGTAGCCCAACCCCAAGAGCTCGACGGCGTCCAAGATGATGATGTCCAGGCTGGAGTCGTCGACTCGACCCAAGTCGAACTGCTTTCCCACTCGTTCGAGGTCGCCGGCACTACCGGAATGTACTCTGATCCCTGGCCAGGAGCTCTGGCTTCAATAATGGCCATGCTAGGATAACGAACGGACGAATTCTATCTGGTGCTGGTTCTGCGCTGTGAGGTGTTCATATGGAGTACTCGCCTAGCATTGAAGGAGAGCGCCTAGGCGTGTACGGAGTAGAAGGAAGACAAGTTCTCGAGTGCAGCCGTATCGGCATTTCAGCTGCAGAACGGCCTTTTGAGACATGCATGATGCTGCACATGGTAGGCAACTACTCCGTATCCCGAAACGATTGATGACGCGAAATGACTTCCAGCCTCTCCGTTTCTGAGCAGCCTAGAAGACTACTCTGTACAAGTATGGCAGGAGGGCGGCTGTAAAATAGGCGGGCTGGCGGATGCCTCGTTTTGCCTCGGAGGGACGGTGGGAGTTTACAGTACGTACTAGGAGTACTCCGTACTAGGACGTAGTACTGTAGAAAGGATCCAGCCTATTCATTTTTAGTGACCCTGTGGACGCTGATAATGAAGCTAATCTGCCAGCCTTGCCTGGATCCATGCTAGTTTCATGCCTGGAGACAAATCGGAGTTTGGTCTTTTAGGTGCGACCGTTCGAACCAGGCAGCGCCGCAATAAATAGCAGGGATTAATGAAAAGGTGGGGTTTGTAGGCAACTCAGAGGGCTGGAAATATAACGTAGCTACTCCGTAGTTTTTCTTGTCAACAATTCCACCCTTTGCATTCTTACGGAGTCCATCACCTGTCAGCAGAATGGCAGTATACGAGACGGCTGGAGAGACACAGTCCTACTGTGTGACTGATGTGTCGTCACTCTCCGTGTCCTAAGGTCTTCTTTCCTACGAACGTCCAAGGTATTTCCCGTTTTCACCACGATATGCCTCCTGCCTCAGGAGCATCACCGGAAGCTCGCTATGTCTACCAAGAGCACACCGCAATGAGGGCATTGAAGTAGAACTCGAGGCAGCCGCGATTGGTACAGTTTGCGATTGGTACAGTTTGATGCCATGTAACCATGGCCGCAAGAGTGTTTGTCTTCGTCTTTGTATTTCTTCACCAGGCGCGTTTGTTACCAAACAACTTACACCATCCATGTGAAAGGTGGTTAGAACCACCTCCATATTTTAAATCACTCATTGGATATCATTTTTCTAAATCTTTCATCTTACCTGCTCAGATGGCTCTAAATATGAACACACCCTGCAAGATGGACGTCCCGTACAAGGAGTATGTCCCCGCATTCTGATATTGGCAGCTTGATAGAAAATGCTGACCTCTCTAGCTTCTTGAGTTCGGACCCTTTTCAATTTCTCATAGGTCCTGACAAGAAACTATTCTATGTCCACTCTGCACTGGTCGCGAAGCAGTCTCGCCCTCTTGCTGCGCTTGTCTCGAACGGCATGGTGGAATCTCGGCAGCGCTGTGCGGTGTTTGATGATGTCGACGAAGACACCTTCCTCCACTTCTTGGAATTTGCATACACCGGAGAATATACAGTTCCTCCGCCCGCTGCGATCCCCGAGCCCGCGGAAAATGTTGTTGACGAGCCTTCGACGGCATTTCTGACTGACAACAAAAGCCCATTCGGCCCTGGAAAGTCCAATGCCGGTGCGGCGCCTGCCAAAATGTTCGATCAAAGAGAGGACGACTCAATTGATATAGGACTTCCTGGTCTGTCCGATTCCGTAACCCAAACGCTACGCGCTATGAAAAAGAGAAGGACAAACCGTCGGCCTTGGTTCCGCGACGAAGAAGCGCCAGCTGCAGCATCACAACCCGAGGTCGCCCGACACGATATAACCAAGACACCCAAGCTTTCTTCTGAGCTTTGGGACGAGTTCAGCGAAGCAGCTCACGTGAATGAGATACCATCGTGGAAGCCACGCGTCAACGTGGGTCCTTGGGAGGATTACAGCGTGGTCTTCCTCTGCCATGCAAAAGTTTATGTCTTTTCAGACCGATACACCATCTCCGCGCTTCGGGATCTTGCCTTGCAAAAGCTTCGCCTGACCTTGACAAGATATACACTGTTTGAAAATCGCACAGATGACATTGTCGAGCTTGTAAAATACATTTACAGCAACACAGTCGACATGAACAATGGAATGGATAGATTGCGGGCCCTGGTCATGGACTATTTGGTCTGTCATGTTGAGATAATTGTGAAGGACAAGAATTTCCTCGCTATGCTTCAAGAGCCGGGAGCATTGGCCAAAGATTTAACTTTGAACTTGTTGCCGCGGCTGAGTTATGGTTGAAGTGAGAGGCTTGCTTGCAAGAGTCCCGGTGCATGAGTGGTGACACTGGGTCAGTAACCTGAAGCTATCATGTGTTGTACGAGTACATAAAATCGATTGGAATATGGAATACATCTAGTGGTATTCCGCACGGGAAATAGAACTTTGCTTTTGTACTGTAATGATATGCATGATATCGATAAGGCTTTCGGGCGTCACTTTTGGGTCCATCCAACAAGGGTCCAATACGGAGTACTACCTAGGTAATAAGCATTCTTGCCAGAGTACAGTGTCTAGGTACCTACCTATTGTAGGTTAGTAGCGAGGGCCCACTGGCCTGTCCGTTGGAAGCCCCTCCATATGGTCATCTCCGCCAGATGTTACATCGGAATTTCCAGTACTCGCGGCACGAATCTCTCCAGCAAGACACAAATAATTATCCGTCAATATCACTAACGACGTCTTCTTCCACTTTATGTTGAACGCGTTCTACAATGGCTCCCTCGAGGATCTCACCAGAACCGACGGCACCGTCACAATTACCAACGGGCCTTAGTCCCAAACAGATTGCGACCTTTTGGCGGGATGGCTATCTGGTAATACCCTCATACCTCTCTCCAGAGACGTGCCAGAGTCTCCTCTCCAAGACACAAGAGCTCCTCACCGAGTTCCCACTGGCGGACCACCCCATGACGCGGTTCACCACCGGCAAGGATGAAAACGGCGACACGACCTCGAAACAGCACGTGGGGGACGACTACTTTTTGACCTCGGGGGACAAGGTGCGCTTCTTCTTCGAGGACGACGCGTTCGACCAAGAGACGGGCGAGTTGATCAAGCCCAAAGAAAGGGCGATCAACAAGATCGGGCACAACCTGCATGGGTTGGTGCCCGAGTTTGGCAACGTTTCACACGCGGGCAGCGTCGGTCGGCGCAACGCGGCCATTGCGAGGGACCTGGGGTATAAAGATCCGAGATTGCTCCAGAGCATGGTGATATGCAAACAACCCGAGATTGGGGGCGCCGTCAACCCACACCAGGACAGCACGTTCCTGTACACGAACCGCCCTTCGGCCGTTGGGTTCTGGATCGCCCTGGAGGATGCCACGGCAGAGAACGGATGCCTGAGTTTTGCTCCCGGTAGCCATCGCAGAGCGTCGATAAATGAAAGGTTTGTGCGAAACGAGGACGGCACGGGGACCACGTTTGTGCCTATACCCAAAGAAGAGGAGCAGTGGCCCAGAGATTTCGAGCACGCAGTAGACTCTACGGCGTCGTCTTCGTCGTCGGACGGGAACAACGAGGAATACGTGCTGGGAGAAGTCAAGGCTGGAAGTCTGGTTTTGATCCATGGGAACATCCTGCACAAGAGTAAAAAGAACACGAGTCGAAAGGGACGAATAATCTACACTTTTCATCTGATCGAGGGGGAGGAGCATTATGATGATCGGAATTGGTTACAGGTACCAGGAGGCCCGAGCCAATTTACCAAGTTGGACGGGACGACGGCGTAGACGTGACACACATTTCCTGATCGCAAATGGCATAATCAACTTTTCTCGAGTACTCGTAGGGGATTGCACACCGTACTTCAAACGTCCTTTGTGTGTTCAGCCTTCTACCTGCCTACATAAGACGGATGTGAAAATGCATAGTCCATGGTCTCGTGCCATAATATGATCTTCGCTCGGTAATAGATTAACGGCCCGAACGGTTCTGATGATCGGGCGCGATCGCACAATCGCAGGAAACAACAAACAGATTATTACTATGACGTACGTATACGTACCTGATTATTACAACTTCGTGTCTGGGGGGCAAAATTGACATTGTAACCTGTTTACCTAGGTATTCCAAGGTAGTAGTCAGTACTCAAGTACCATACGACCGTCTATGAGGAGAGTGGTTTTGATTAAAACCCGAAAAATAGACCCTTGCAGGACACCTCCACCGAGTACTCCTTGATCCCTGACTCCGACCTACTGTGCACAGTTGTACAAAACATGTCTCGACCCACGCTCCTCCACCGACCGTCCAGCGTGGCAGCTGCAAACAAGACCATCATACTGGTGACCGGTAAGTTTTGCCTCCCCGTTTGAACGCTACTTTGGTCAAAGGCGCGAAACGCTGACCCAAGGCGGTGGGAATGTGACCTTCAGGCGGCAATGCAGGGATAGGCTACGAGACGGTCAAGAAACTGGCACTAGAAAATCCGACGTTCCAAGTCCTCATGGGCTGTCGGGACACCCACAAGGGAGAAGAAGCGGTCGCGTCCATGGGGGCGCCGATCAACGTCAACCCGATCCAACTCGACATCACCGACGACGAGTCCGTCGAGCATTGCTACCTGGCCATCACGCAGCACTTTGGCCGACTGGACGTCCTGATCAACAACGCCGGCACGGGCGGCAGGGAGCTCCCCGCCGACGCGACGCTGCGCGACAGGTACAACTTGACCTACAACGTCAACGTCATCTCCACGGCCGTCTTGACCGACAAGTTGATCCCCTTGTTGGAAAAGTCCAAACTGCCCAAGATCATCTTCGTTTCTTCGGGACTCGGGAGCGTCCAGCGGACGCTACAACGTGGCAAGCCCTACCCCGTCCCGTGGTACAGCTCGAGTAAGTCAGGCGTCAACGGGGTGGCGGTGTACTATGCGAAGCTGTACCCCGACTTCAAAGTCAACGTCGTGTGCCCGGGCCTGTGCGCGACAAACTTGAACGGGGCAGAGTTGAACGAGGAAACGCATCCCAAGCACGGCGCTGTGCGGGTGGCGCAGCTGGTGGCAGAAGGTCCAGATGGGGTTACCGCGACTTATTCTAATTCAGAAGGCACGATACCGTGGTAGTTTGGAGATCGTTTTCATCCTTTTGCCCTATCGTGGTAGCAAAGCCTGATTTTCATCCGGAGTGTCGGGACTGTTCTCTGACGATGCTGTCCTTGTCCTTTCACGCCTGCTTGCAATATGTGATGGCAATTGGTAGCTCCAATGACAGCACATGCCAGCAATGAAGCCAATTGCGTCGTTCTTAAACGCAATAAGTAGTCCTGCTGTCACAAGCATCACGGTCCACCGTTTCTTCCTTTCTTCGTCTGTGAGACCAGGAGGAGGAGGTGTAGGTTGCGTTCCTTCCTTGTAAATATCTCTTGCACGCGGTGTATTGAGGCTCTCCCCGACGCTGGCCAGCTCCAAGCCTGCGGCAATGATCATGACTGACAGCAACGCCAATGGAAATTTGCGGAGCAGGTCTGTGAGGCTCTCGCCGAATAGAACGCCAACGATCAACTTGAGCAGACCAAGGAATACAATGCTGGCGCCAGATCTTGCACCGAAGCGGTACTGAGCAGCAAGACCTCCAGAGCCGTGACAGACTGGCATGGCGCCAAACCAGCACCCGAACAAATTCATTGCGGCGACACTGAGTCCCACAGATGTGACGGAGGGTGTCTGTATCTCTGGCAGCAAATCCGCGGCCAAATGAGTGACGGCGATGATAGAGTTCAAGGTCGTCAATGGTAGCTGTCCTATGCCCGCATCAAGAATGCCGGTTTTCCATTCCGGTGCGGTAGGACTCTGCACGTATGGGTGCCACAGACGAAAGCCAGGCAGATGGTGATGCGAATCCCCACTGACTCGAATTATTGCGAAAATGATGCCGAGGACAAACAGCATCAAGGCATATGGTGTTCGAGGCCGTAGACTGATGGCGAATAGAACAAGGAATGCCAGGATCATCCAGATGTAATTGTCTGCCCAAGACGGTCCTGTCCATGACAGAGAAGCGAGTGCTTTGGTTCCCGCGCTTATGATTAGACTCAAGCCAGCTCCAACTTGAATACCTTTGACCACGGGAGTTGGAATGACGCGGGTGAACCAAGAGAGTAGTCCGGTGATGCTGAAGAGGAGGATGCAGGAGGAGACAAAAATGCCCGCTGCGGCCGTCTGTCCTGCCGTGAGGTCGTTGAGGATGGCGACAGCAGCGATGGCTTTCATGGGTTGGACAGGCAAGGGAATTCCGAAGAAGAATCCTGTCAGGATGTTGTATATCCCGGTGAATATCAGTGTCGTGGTCAAAGATATCTGATGCCCTTCGGTCAGGGCAATGACGATGGGCAGAAAAGTTCCCAGGTCGCCCAATGATCCCGATATTTCCGTAAAGGGCTGCCGGCGAAGAGTAGATAAGTTATGAGCGGCAAGCTGCCGCAGAGACGTTTGACGACCCATGAGGTTTGAGGATATGATGTCTGCGAGTCTGCGATTTCTTTCCAAGGACGGCCGTTGAGTTGGGCCGATGTTGGTATTGGTGGTGTCGTCTTCAGTTGAGCTTGTCTAGCTTGTCTAGAGTACGGAGTAGTCCGATCAAAGTGGTTGCACCATAACGATCCCGCGGTTGCGTAACGTCAACAGGGCCTCGAAGGGATGTAGCTGGGCGAGAACAAATAGTGCTGACGAAGAACTGAACCGTACGTTGTACAGAGGTCTTCAAGATTCAACCTTGCTACGACCCCATTTTATCTTCGGGTTATCCGGAGTGTTCACATGGCGCAAAAGCATATTGCGTAACATTTAGGCGCAAGGTTGTAAACTATTAGGGTAAGTCAAATGCTCCCTTTAGGGGAAGTCCTGTCGTTCTCGTACGAGTGTTCGTGCGAGTACTCTATAGTACGCCGTAAGGACGGGGTTTTCATAGGCCAAGCGACCGAGACAATACCTTCCCTTAGGTACCTATTGTATGGAGTACATACGAAGTATCCGTACTCTGTCCTTGGGACTTGTTTTGGTGGGTGAAATGCACGTAAAAAGCATCGCTGTAAAACCAGAGTGGTTATGGCGGGGTGACCGCCTCCCAATCCATCTACGTACAATTGTACTCCGTACAGGGACTCCAGAGACCTAGGGAGCAGTCGAGGGGCCTTCCTCTCACTATTGTTTCACGTAAGGGCGCGCCGCCCGTACGAATACCCGTGTGCCCGTTACTGTATGGCTGTAGGCTCACCATGCAAGGCTGACAAGGCCCACTAAGTTAGGCGCACTAGGCGCTGGCTAAAGGCGGACGTCACCAAAACATTGGATTCGAAGCGATTGGACAGCTGCACCTCACGTTGCTCAATACTCAGAACCATCAGTTGACAGCACTTTGACGAGTACAAGTTTGTAGAATCCTCGAAGAAAACCGGGAGATCATCCACCTACAATACGAAGTAATTACTCCATCACAAATTGATCTCGTTAATCTGATACCAACTTCAAGCCTGTGCGCCAAATTACATGTCTCCCAGCCATCTAGTACCTCATTGTAGATGAACGCGTAAATTCCAGTGGCTGGCGCATCGTCCACCTTGGAGCCCGTCAACATTGGGCACTCCACCCTCCATTCATTTCTTGACTATTTGCACAACAATCACTCGATCACGACAACCCAAATTAAGCCTCGACGAACTCGTACACAACGACAACGACCGGCCCTACCCTTGTGTGCGGGTGAACCAATTCTGATTTCCAAGGTAAACCGGCACCACCTCTTCCTCCTCGAATGTCGCCCTCTTGATTTCGACCCCGCCTGCAGTCTTGCAGTCTCGAAGCAAAACGCTGTAGGCAGGCAGCCAGCTCCGGGCCGTCCATAACGAAGATGGCTACCAAATCGCGAGCAGCAAACGCTGCTCACACCGCTGGGATCTTCGCAGACATGACCCTTGACGGACCTGAGATTGGGACTTTGGTAGCAGTCGTCGACCGAGCCAAGAACCTTCCCAACCGCAAGACGATGGGTAAACAAGACCCTTACTGTGCCATGAGACTAGGAAAAGAAGCCAAGAAGACAGACACAGACAAAAGAGGAGGACAGACACCGAGATGGTTCGTACAAGATTGATGCATCTTTTGCAACAGAATGCTGACACTATATATAGGGATCAAGAACTCCGCTTCAATGTACACGACTCTCCAGACTATTACAAACTCAAGTGTTCGATCTTCAACGACGATAAAAAGACCGACCTCATTGGCGAAGCCTGGATCAACCTCGAGCGAGTCATCGTGCCTGGGGGTGGGAAGAATGACCTTTGGCATCAACTGAACTTCAAAGGGAAATATGCGGGCGACATCAGAGTAGAGTTAACATACTATGACACAAGGCCGAAACCAGAGGTATCTCCGGAAAGGAAGAAACAGAGAGAGAAGTCTCACTCTCTCGCCAGTGACATTCCCAGCAACTCTTCGGGCTCGCGACAACTAGGCCCACGGGAGATCAAGAGAAGACCACTGCCGCCTGGTCCAGGCGGCTACTCATCGCCAGTCGAAAGGCTGCCTGCGGACGAGCCTCTTGATCCTTGGAACGGTCAAAACTATACCAACAGCAATCCGCCGCCCCGGCCGCCGAAGCAACTGATGCCAGAAACGCCTGACGATGTAGGCTTCGGTTTACCATCCCAGTATTCTCCGGATCCATATGCACTGCCACAACCAGATCCATATGACATACCACCACCGCCATTGCATCACCCACAAGAGCAGCGACGGCCCTCAAACGATCCTTATAATGATAATCAACGACAATCGCCGCTACGGGAGAGTCCTGGCTACGATGATCGCAGAACAGCAACTTTACCGCCGACAACCCAGTTGCAGCCGTATGTCACTGATGAGTTCCCTCAAGTAGAGGCCGGACAGTTGCCCAGCCCTCAGTCACCATACAGCCCGTCAGCTCAATCGCCATATTACTCTCCCCCTTCCAGCAGAACAACTCCCCAAGCAACTCCAACCCGGCCTGTGCAGAGCCAAGGCTGGCAGGGCAGGGGAAGTACATCTCCCACTAAGCATGCTGTGTATCGTGATAGTCCCTTGCGACAATCTATCAGCCAGCATGATATGCCTCGATCAGAAAATAGACACTTCGATCCACAATTTGACGAGGAGGACGCCCCCCCGCCGCCACCACCAGCACATCGTGGTCATATATCCAAATCGTCCGTGACAACGGCCTATCCAGCACCCACTGGACAGGCCTTGCCACGGACTCCAAACAGATATGATTCTGTAGAAGAAAGAAGCCCTCTCCAGAGGCTGGAACAGCAGTATGATCCTTACAGCTCACCTTCCGCAGCAGATCCTTCTCGCCAGCCACCTGCCGACCTAGTATATGGCAGAGCCATCGAAGATGACCACGACCAACCTCGAGCTCCCATACAACAACGAACCCCCGAAAGATACGATGCGTATGTCCCATCTCCGAATGCAAGAGGATCGCCGTACAATGAAAGCACGGGTCATCGGCGCCCCATTTCATCAGGCAACAAGCTGCCAGCCTTCGAGGAATATCAAGGTCGCAGTCCAGTAGACCAAAGGTATGGTGGACTGCCACAGGACTCGTTCCGGCGTTCTACTGGTTACGATCATCCACGAAGAGCACAAACCTTTGACGACTATGGTCATTTCGATGATCGGCATCGTATGTCGGAACCCCCTGTGTCACGTCCAAGGGCCGTTAGTCCGAACCCTCCTCGTAATATCCCGCGCAAATCAATCACACCCACACCTTCCACGCCGGAGGACCGGAGAAAAATGAGTGGAATACCTTATGGGCCTGATGCATATGATGTGCTAAATCCCGGCACGAGTCCTACGGTCGGCGATGATTCCTACAGTTCATCCCATGAAGCAGCAAGACAGAGGGAAGTGGAAAAAATGAGAGATCAAGGTCCCATCATCGGAAACGATGGCCGAGTCATTGACCCTTCCGATCATCTTCCCGCCGATACTTGGGCCCCCGAGCCGGAGAGGAAGAACAGGAAACCAGAACATGTCATCAGAATCCGAACGAGAGAAGAGGCACGCATTCAACAGAATACAGGTTCATCCCCCGCGTCAATGAGACCTCATTCAATCGCAACGTCACCACACCAACCATCGCCCGGGGCTCCAGCTTCTTCCCCATACCAACCTTCACCTACATCAACATCAATGGAGCCTGCGCCCCGAGGAGAGCCAGGAAGTGCACGAAATAGATTGAAGAAATCCATGCCTACTCGGCCGTTGCCAGCACAGCCGTACCCTCATGCACAGACTAGCCCGGCCGTAATGACTACATCTCCTGATGCAAGACCAAGCCCACCAAGTCAACGACATTCAGCCCATTCTTCCCCCATCCGTCCCCCACAGCGGCCACCATTGTCTGAGTACCAGGCTCCTGCTATGTATGACCACGGTTCACGTGGTGGACCCAATTCCCACGACTATCCCCCAACACCAACGAAGCCTCCTCATCACAGACCAAGCAATTCCATGGACTATGGCGGGTATGGTGATGATAATTCGCTTGCACTGGAGTTAAGCACGATCGATATTGGACCTTCAAGGACAGGCAGGACCTCCTTGAGACCAGTCCGTGGCTATGGTGCATATTGAGGCGCCTTTGACGATTCTTCTCCAGGTTATTCTCCCTATGTACACGGATCTTCAGGATCTTCAGGATCTGGCGTTGGCTTTTAGTCCTGTTACCTGGCGCATCTGACCAAGGAAAAAAATTGTAGTATAATATTCGAATCGCACATAGATCAAACTGGCCGCAAACTGGCGCAGAGATGAATGTAAATGGTTTTGCATTTTGCTGGTCCAAGAGGATTGAAACCTCCCCAGCACATTATTTGCCATTGCTTCCTTTCCTACACTGCCTTTCTGATCCTGATTGGCCCTTTGACGTCGTCCATGCCTCGTCCGGGGGGGATGACTTGACCTCTCTGTAGCACTTGGACCTCTCCTCTGTCGCGAGCCTCGAACGCCATCTCACGCAGACGAGGCATGAGGTCATGCCAGTCCGAGGTCCCCAGTCTGGCGAGGTCTGCCCGTGACAGGGACCTGGCTATCTCAGAAGGACACAGAGTCTTGGGATACTCTCGATGTTCGACGTGTTGTGAAAAGACGACGGAGAGGTCGAAGGTTATTTCTTGTTTCTCCTTTGTCGAACCTGGATCAGCAGTGTCGACCATTTGTTTGTTTGTTGTTATTCTTGGAAGTGTTTTGTAATGTGTGATGCACTGAGTTATGATATGTACTGTGTGAACATAACTTGGGTGGACGGGAGAGGGCGGGGCTTGAGAGGGAGGGTTCTCGATATTTATCTTTTGGAAACGTCACCGATGTAAGTCGAACATATCACTACACCACCTTACCTTTTGTACTTGGTACAATGTACAGTGTTACTACGTCTGGTATGGGAAGTGGACATAGACCTTTTTGAGGACAGTTAAAACTGAACTTTGTCAATTTCTACTCTGAGATGTCTCGTCTGTCAAATTCTGTAAACCTATAGTCTGTATACACCGTACGCTTGTAAGTGGCAGACCATGGCAAATGGTTTGTGTACTGAGAGGTCCAGGTGAAAATCATCAGGGAATATGACCGGCATTGGAGGTACAAGCCTTGATATATCAAACGAGCTGGAAGGAAATTTGCAAGATTCAAGCGACGGGCGAAAAGAAACGAGTAAAAATAGCAATGCTCAAACTCTGGAAAGCGTGGTCAACATTGAATCTTTTTTGTCATTCCATCTTGAGATATTTTTTTGACCCGTGGCATGCAAATCATGCATGGTGTTTGATCAGGATAACTTTGACGATCCACGATGGGCAGGGTGACCCTTTTCTTGTTTTTAACTGGTCTCCTTGGCAAGAAAATGTTGTAGGAATCATAAAAGAGCCCATAACCGTTCATTGTGGATTGAAAGACCACCTGCGCCCAGTTTCGTCAAGTTCTGTCTAGAAAGAGAACGCAAAGCGAACCCACGAGCCACTGTTGCTCGCTGCTGCTGCCTTCCATCCCATTTTGCTCTCTCACGCACGCACCCAACCACCCACCCACACACACCCACAATACACCAGTGGTAGACGTGTCGCCATGGTCCTGGTACGCCTACACCTTGAAACCCTTTGATCGTCTTCGTCCTCTGGCCTTTTCGAACTTGCGACCCTTGCTCTCGACGTACGGCTTCTTGTGCTTGTGGGGGCCCATGCCGAAGTGCTTGACGGCCTCGCGGGCGTTCTTGGGGCCTCGGAGCAGGACGACGTTGCTGCCGGTGGGGTGCCTCATGGCGAGCTGGTCGAGGGTCATGCACTCGCCGCCGGCCTTTTCGATCCTGGCGCGGGCGGTGGCCGTGAACCGCAGGGCGGCGACGTGGAGCTCGGGCACGGTCATGAGGCGGTCGTCGTCGGTGACGGTGCCGACCACGGCGATGGTCTTGTCCTTGTACGCCTTTTGCGCGCTCTCGGTGCTGACCTTGCTGGCGATGCGGGAGATGGACATGGGAGGGCGGTTGATGCGGGACATGAAGAGTCGCTTGAGCACAACCTTGTTGAAGTTGGCGTCGGTTCGGCCTGAATTTGGGACAATGTCAGTTTCAATTTTCCAACAATCTCTTTTCCTTTTTTTGGAACAGGCATCATCTCAAGGGCAGGGAAAAATCACGTACGGGCAAGGAAGCGGTACAGCTTCACCAAGAGCTTGAGGTAGACATTGTCGCTCTTGGGCGCCTTGCGGTGGCTGCCCTTGACGTGATGGCGATCGAGGTCGATACCTGTATCATTGATGTCAGCACACTCGACACAGTCCCAAAATCCAAGCAAGAATCGCCATACCCATGATCGCTGTGTTTGTCGGATTGAGTGCTGGATAGACAATGTCGACTTTCAAATCGCAGGGTCGAAATTTCAAGCGCAGAGCGGAATTCGTGGGCTCCAGACTTGCCAAGATTTGTCTGGCGCTAACAATATCAATGCCTTGGCACAATCTCATCACGTGACCAAAAACGTTCACTACCTGAGCCCTCACGAAGCAAGCAGTTGACCAGGAATTCTTACTACATGTTATTTGGCCAGATTGAACATCTCAAGTCGTGGGCTTATTTATTGGAATCTGTATAGATTCTGTTCGCTCCAAGGCTTGTCTGTGATATTTTATGACTCCTGAAAAATGCTGCTCCTGTTCTGTCTAAGCCTCCCAATCCTACTCCATGAAATGTCCACCAATTCCAATACATATTGGAGATACAGCGATAGTCACGCTGCGGCAACTCGCAAGGCTGTGTGAACTCCATTGTTTCCTGTAAGCACGAAAACACCTGTCCGAGTCTTCCCTGGATTCTAAAATTGATAGAGAGCCACGTTACACCGGATGTGATTGTGAAATTGAATCAGACCGTCTCATATAGGGTCTGCCTTCGTTGGTGCCAAATCAACCAAGAAGTCCCTCGTCATTTCGAAACTGAGCCAACTGCTAGCCATGCTAGGAGCAACCTTCAGTAGATTGGGCACTATGCCCTTGTACAACCCCATGATCCCCTCCTGGGAGACAATGGTCCGAATAGCATCAAAGATACCCTTGTATTGGTAGCCCATGCCTGACATGGAATTGATTTGGAACCGTCGTCGGAGTACGTCGAAGGGATATGTGCAAGTCTGAGCCACAGCTCCCGAAATCGCTCCCGCAGCGAGCTTGCGATACCAGACGGGGTGTTTCTCACCAGGCTCGGTGAACCAGCCTCGAACCGACTCGTACACCATGAAGTTCAGACCAACATATGGTGCAACGCCGGCCACCGTGGGAATAATGCCTCGATAGAGGCCAAGCACACCACCTTCATTCTTGTACATGTTGATCATTGTCTGCCACATGCCAGGCAACTTGCCCTCGTGTTTCCCGAGTGCGGCAAACGAAGCCGACTGGATTGAAAGTCGCGTTCGTACGATGTCGAGAGGGTATGTGAAAGTAACGGATGTGATGCCAGCCAAGCCACCACATATTAACCGTCGAATAGGGTCGAGATCTGCGCCGGGTGTACTTTCGAAAAATCTCTTGTAGGCATTGTAGGCTCCGAACTGCACAGCCGAATAAGGCACAATGCGTACGCAGTTGGTGCCATTCCCCCTCATAAAACCCCTCCAACCCTCGTCTGTGTACATTTTTCGCAGAGCTTTGGAGATGGACATTTTGTATTCATTGCGACCTGCGCTTTGTACTTGATAAAGAATCTTTAATCGTTCCAGGGGTGATACAACGGTCCGCGAGACAGCTCCAGCTACACCTCCTGCACAGAAGGCAGCTGTGAAGGGGGTTGAGATGAACTCACGCGACCGCGCAACCAGGTCGTTCGTTGACATGGCTGCAGGAGCCTAAACACATTAAATCATGCTCAAGATACGGTCATTACATGGGACACCCACCTCTGGTAGATTGGGCAAGTTGCGAAGCGGAGAAGATGTCTGTCCAAGATTACCGTTCACTGTTGCAGGCTCCTTCTCTCCTAGCCTCATGACTTTGACGCGCTTTATGCGCAGATATTGAATGCGAACAACACAGTAAGGCGGTCTGCTCTTCGGACGCGAGAGGAGAACAGGGGTACGGCAGCACGACAGGGAGGGTTCTGGATTTGCCTGAAGCTGTGGAGTCCATGGAAATTTTTCACAATCTTTGTTTGTAGGAAAGCATAGTGTGTTGTTACAATATCTTTCGCTCAGGCATGGACACCCATCGTTTCTTGGTCTTTATCAATCGTCGAAAGCCTTTCGGAAAAGTCCTCTCGTGTGGAGGATGAAGTCGTCAAGGGACAGGGAGAGATAGACGGGAGAATCCGGGCGAGGGGATGGAGGACCACTGAATTGGAGATGGAAATCTGAACAAGTCGTCGCAAGAAGGGAAACTTGAGAAGAATAATGCCACGGTCCAGCTAACGCAGATCGAGGTGTTCTGGTCACAGAATTGCGATGGGTGCAGGGCGATCTTTTTTTCCAGCAGATCTGAGACAATGTTTGACCACGAGAGCATCAGACCAGCAACCATAGTTCCAGGTCTTTTCGGCTCACTGGTGCTGGGCAGCCCTTGTACGAAGTACTGTACAGCCCGCAGTCATGAGCCTTCCATTCTCCCTCCCCAATCGCATTGGCCGCAATTTATCCGCCAAGCCTCAGTTCTATTTTGAGATTAGCGGCGTTTGCCTCAGAACCTGCAGCTGCAGCCTTCTTTCAGTACTCGTACATGTTGTCTCTCTCCTTCATCCATCTCACACCCCCATCATCTTCTCATATCCAGCCACCCATCGCATCGTCATTTGTGGCCTCGTTTTACTATCGATCGTCAACACCTGACTGTGAACAGCCATGTCTTCACGATCAGGCACCACCCTCTATGTGACTGGCTTTGGTCACGGCACTCGTGCCCGTGACCTCGCCTATGAATTTGAGCACTATGGTCGACTGGTCAGATGCGATATCCCAGCTCCCCGAACCGCCTCCAGCCGACTGCAAGTCTTGGACCTACCCTGTTTATACATCATCAGTGCTGACGCCTAACTAGCTTCGCCTTCGTTGAGTACGAGAGTCGTCGCGATGCCGATGATGCTTACCACGAGATGCATAACAAGCGCATCGGTAGAGACGATGTGCTAAAGATCGAGGTACGTGGCCCTGAAAGAATATCGTTTTATACTTGAGTTGACATAGAATTTGCAGTGGGCTAGGACTCCTCCCTCCGCTACCTGGCGATACGAAGCTGGACGAGGCGGTCGTGAGCGACGTGATCGAAGTCCTCCCCGTCGCAGCTACCGCTCGCCTTCACCTCGTCGTCGAGACTATTCACCTCGCAAGGACGATCGTCGAGACCGCGACCGTGATCGTGAGCGAGACCGCGATCGAGACTACGATGACCGTCGCCGCTCCCGCAGTCCGGCCGATAGAGATCGCGACCGCGACATGAAAGATGACAGAGATCGACGTGATGAAGATCGTGATGGAGCGACCGCAGAGGACCGCAAAGGTACGATGGATGTTGACACTGTTGACCCCTGGAACTGAAGCTGACACCCGCATCAGCCGTGGACTCTCCTCCTCCCGCACATGACGAACTCGATACCGCCGAGTAAACATGGCATTGTCCTTCGACTGATTGTGTTTCGTTCGATAAAACTTGGTTTTCGGAAAAAGTGCTATTGCTTGTGGAAAAGACATGAGGTTCTTTCTTTTTCTACCATTGACAGCTTTGCCTTGATCATTTGATAGCAGAGCCAACCTGAATGATGTCAGGCAGATATCAACAGTGGCTGAAATTGACTTGACTTGAGGTTAGACCGACTTCGAGCGAACGATACGAGATCGATCTTGTTCGAACGAACGGGTACCGGGCACTGCCAATACTTCGATAGCATATCCTGCTCGATCGAGAGATATCGACCTCGAGGCGCAATATCGGACGATATTTTAACACGCATTCGTCGCCGCTCTTCCTGCTTCCTTCCTCCCTTCCTCGGTCCACCGTCAACATCAATCCCAATCATCTTCGCCATTGTCGTCCCACGTCGTCGTTTCGCGTTCCGCCGTCCCTTCCACGTCGTAACCTCGCAATCAACATTCCATCCTTCGATATCTTAACTCGCAGTCTCACCAACGACATCTTCCACCGAATTTTGGCTCCATGCCCGATAGTATTCGTGTCGAGAACTAACCATCGGCAGAACCGGCCTGTTTTTCCTATGCAGCTATGATTCGTCTATGCTGCTTACGTCTCATCCGTTTTCATCCGCTGATATTCCTTCTCGTCTTCCATTTTGTCTGTGAACTCATTGTAGGGCAAGAGCTTCTAGCCCTAGTCATGGTATCTGGACGCGGTCCAGAATTCATTAGGGCTAGGGCACTTCGGTAGGTACGATGTTATTCTGACTGGTTCATAAATGTAAAAATGATTGGCCCCAAAGGGAAAAGGAGAAAATCTTGTTGGCCAAGTCGACTTCAATATTGATCTTGGTTTTGTGGAATATACTCTATGTCTGCATGTTTGTTTACAATACATATATGGACAGCGAAGTTGCTCTCCTCCACCGTCGCAGTCATCGTTTTCTTTACAGAGTAGATACAGCGATGTTTTAGTACATATCTCGTGCCTGTTCGAGAGTCAGGGACTTCGATGTTTTCTCGGCTTCCTAGCTTCCCCCACACAGGTGAAGGCAAGAACGAGGGTTGCCGAGGGATTGTACCAACTCATTTTTATATAATGTCGATCAAATTGTGGCGAGTCATGTAAGGAATCACAAGCACTGGGGAACAATAGAATTTGATAAAATCTGCGGTCAAAATCCAAGAATGAATTAGACCTCTACAGAACTTCCGATCGATTCCTATTCCAAGAGCCATAGGTGCTTTTTTTTGGTGTTTCACCTATTTTGATCGAACCGGTTCAGAAGCGAGAGCGCCGAATACAGAAACAAGAAAAAAAAATGAAACGACCCTGAAAAGCCCATGCGTTTTCCTGCCCATCCTCGTCGTCGTGGACCCGTATCTAGTTCTTGCGCGTCAACTTCAAAACTCCTCCACCACCCACCCTCACGAACCAGTCGGCTGGACTCATCAATTCTTGACTCGCTTAGCGACACCAAGGGGCTTGCGGAATGGGATGATGTATTCGGCCACGATCCCGTCGACCTCGGCCAGCGTGTCTCTTGCGTGGTGGCGACCGTAGCCTTCGCTGGGCGGCAACGAGCGCTTGTAGCTGAGTGCCGGGTACATGTTGCCGGTGCCGCCGCGGTAAAGGCCTGCCGCGACGATGCTGGCGCTGACCATGGTCGGGTTCGAGCCGGTGGGAATATTGCCACGACTGCTGTACATGTTGCAGGTATTGTCATTCATGAAATGCCACATGCGGCAGCCGTTGTCACCGTTGTGGTCATTGTAAAAGGCGCAGAGTCGCATGCAGTCGTCGGCCGTGTTGGGCACCCCCATGTTCAATCCCGCCGCAACGGTCGCAGTGTTGAGCAGGCTCGAGCTTGTTACGCCACCAACAGTGTAGTATGAGTAGCCCAGGCAGGTCAACAACCAAATATCCGCGAGGCCAATCCGGAATGTATTGTCCGAGTGAACATGGCCGATGAATGCTCTGTCGTAGTAGTTGAGGCTCCCTCCACCACAGAGGTCCAGATTGTACAGGCTGCTTGGCGCTTGCATGAACGTGGCGTCGGTGACGTTTGGAGCAGTCGGCGTGAGCAGTCTCGCAGACCGAACACCATTGAGAACCACATTGTTTGGGAAACAACTGTTGCCTGCCACGCCACTGTTACAAGACGCTTGCGAAGTGTATAGCGTGCATTTGTTGTTGTTGTTTGTTTCCCACTGGACAATTGTGCAACTGCCTGGCGTGTTGGCGTTGGCTGTCGTGCAAAGATCCATGCAGTACTCGAGGGAATTGACGTTGTTTACGGCTGAAGTGGTGGTACCAGCAAAAGGCGACATGAAACAGGCGATTTCGTAGACAACGGCGGGGTTGCTTGATAGCGCGACCTTTCTGTAGTTGTATGCTCCAGCTCGAATAGGATACGTCGGTATCGTGGATCCGACATTTGCACTCGCGCATAGTGTCCCAGACGCAGCTGAGCTTGCTGCGGAGGCAAGATAGTATGTTGATGCCAGCGAACTGTAGTTGGGTGGAGTTATATAGACAGAAGTAGCCGTGGTGGTCGTTGACGTCGTTGAAGATGTTGTAGTAGTTGTCGTCGGGCTGGTGGTCGTCGATGTTGTCGTCGTGGTCGTGGTCGTTGATCCTCCCGTGGTCGTTGTGGTCGTCGAGGTTGTGGTACTGGTCGTCGTTGTAGTGATTGTCGTGCTCGTCGTAGTCGTACTAGAAGCTGTAGAAGTAGTTGTTAGCGATGTAGTGATACTACTAGAAGAAGATGAACTGGTAGAAGAAACAGATGACGTCGTGGTAGTGGTGGGGGAAGTTATCGTCGTTGTCGTCGTGGCACTACTTGTTGTGGAACTGGTAGAAGTGGTACTTGAGGTGGTGCTCGAAGTCGTACTAGAACTTGCACTTGAGGTACTTGTACTCGTTGAGCTTGTGCTCGTTGTACTTATGCTCGAAGTTGTGCTTGTTGAGGTTGTACTGGTACTTGATATAGAACTCGTTGGACTTGTACTTGTTGAGCTGGAACTCGTTGGACTTGTACTCGAAGATGTGCTTGTTGAGCTTGTACTAGAACTCGTTGGAGTTGTAGTACTGCTCGATGTGGAACTAGTGCTTGTACTTGTAGACGTACTCGAAGTGCTCGACGAGCTAACCGATGTCGTTGTTGAAGAAACTGTAGTACTTGTTGAGCTTGTTGAACTAGGACTACTCGTTGTGCTACTTGTAGAAGAGCTTGAAGAAGTGGACGTACTCGGAGTTGTAGTTGAAGAGGTTGACGAAGTGGTATCGGCCGACGTTATAGTACTTGAGCTTGTCAATGTAGAAGTCGTCGTACTTGAGACTGTGACTGTAGAGGTCGAGGTGCTTGAGCTCGTAACTGTAGTAGTGCTGATTGACGTTGACGAACTTGAGGTCGAAATCGTGGAAGCTGTGCTGGATGATGTTGACGTACCTGAGCTCGTAGTTGTGCTAGTTGACGTCGAGGTGCTTGACGGTGTCACAGTAGTGGAAGTCGACGTACTTGAACTTGTAACTGTGGAAGTCGTGCTCGTCGAGCTGCTCGTATTTGGTCCAGAGGTAGTTGATGTAGTCGAAGTCGAAATTGCAGGAGTCGATGCGCTCGAGCTCGTGAACGTAGAAGTCGCAGTAGTTGACGACGTCGAAGTGCTTGAGCTTGTTACTGCAGAAGTCGACAAACTTGAACTCGTGCTTATCGAAGTTGTGCTTGTAGGCGATGTCGTCGACGTACTTGAGGTGGTTACAAGAGAAGTCGATGTACTTGAACTCGTACTCGGCGACGTTGTTGACGAACTTGAGGCTGTCACAGGAGAAGTTGATGTAGTTGTACTCGTGCTGACCGAAGTGCTTGAACTGGTTACAGGAGACGTCGACGACGTACTTGAGCTTGTTACAGGAGAAGCAGATGTACTTGAGCTCGTAATTGGCAACGTTGTTGAGGTACTTGTGCTTGTGACCACAGAAGTAGGACTGGTAGACGAGGTTGACGTACTTGGACTTGTGATTGGAGTCGTTGAACTTCCCACTGACGTTGACGTACCTGTAGTTACAGCTGCCGTTGATGTACCTGTCGTACTGACCGTAGACGTGCTAATTGCACTAGTTGTGGTCGGGGGCGACGGTACGGTGGTACTCGTGGAAGTGGGCGCTTGAACCGATGTAGTCAGGACTGTGGAAGTCGACGTTGACGTGGCCGCAGTGACCGATGTGCTCGCAGCTGTTGAGCTAGTGACCCCTGGGTTTGTCGTGCCTAGAAAGTACTTTATTAGAATTTTGTCTTTTTTTTGGAGCAGAGTTTGAAAACATACTGCTAGACGTGCTAGAAAGAGGATTAATCACAGTCGTGGTCGAGCCTGTGTAAATCAGTTAGTCACGTCTCAAACTGCACAAGTCAGATGCTTTGTGATAAGGGCAGAAAGCCTCTCCACGCAATTCTTGGACACCGGCAAATTGACAGGACTTGAGATTTGTAACGTACCAGAAGTTACGACAAGTGAGCTTGTGGTGGTAGAAGGCGGAGACGAGCTCGAACTGATCGAACTTGTGCCAGGTGGTGCCAAAGTAGTCGAAGATGTCGCTCCCACTGTGGTAGTGGGAGAATTAGATGCGCTGGTCGATACAGCGCCATTTGAGGACGACAACGATGTTGACTGTGCTGGGGGTGCACTGGAGGAGCTTGTGTATGTAATTGTATTAGACGTACCGGAGCTTGTACCTGCCGCCACCGACGAACTGCCAGATTGAGAGGTGAATTGTGGCTGCGTCACACTTTGTGTTGTTCCCGCTGGCGGACTCTGCGTAGTTACAGCTCCTGGAACGGAAGTCGTGGTCGTGGGAGGCGGTGCAGGCACGGACGACGACGTTTGTGCAATGCTGGATCCTGTAGATGCTGGCGAGTTCGTGCTTGGTCCTGGTACAGAAGTTGAAGCTGCAGGGAGCGAAGACGTCGTTCCCGACGGTACACTGCTGCCAACAGGCGAGGATGTGGTGCTTGTGAAAGGGGAAAGAGTGGATGAGGGAGAGGAGGACACTATACCTGCTGAAGTACCGCTCACGGTACCAGGAGTCGTGCTTGTACTCTGGCCAACCACCGAAGTAGTGCTTGGTCCACCAGCAGGTCCACTGCTCGTTCCAGTTGCGGAAACCGCAGGGCTAGTTTGGCTTCCAGACGTTTGACCTGTACTGGTAGCGACTATCGGTCCTGTCGAACTAACCACTACGCTCACGCTGCCACTGGAGCTCGCTGCTGGACTGCTGGTGCTGCTGGTGCTGCTGCGTTGTGCCGTGGTTGTGGTAGGCATGACCACGGGTGGTGACGTAGTGCTTGATGCTGGCATTACCGGGGTTGTACTCGAGGCAGAGGGAGGCACTGCAATTGTTGTGCTGCTTGCTGCAGGGGTGGCTGCCGATGTACTTGAGACGGGAGGAGGTACTACTGCGGTCGTACTGCTTGCTACTGGAGTACTGACTCCAGACGTTGGGACACTCGACGGCGGCGGCGCTTCAGTTGTTTGACTTGTCTGGACTGGAGTATTCGAGTCAGTCGGCGCAGCTGTCGTCGAATCAGTAGTGCTCTCTTGGGTTATCGATGATACTTCGGAGGTGCTGATGTCTGTTGCCGCGCTTGAGACAGTTGTCGTCGTAGAATCTGGAGGTTCCATCGGCGTGGTGGTGGTTGTGGTGGTCGTCGTTGTCTCTGTCTCCTCGGTCGAGGTAGTAGAAGTCATCATTGTCGTTGTTGATGACCCATCGTCCGGAGGTGCAACAGCTTTGTTCGTATAGTCTACAGGACAGGCCGCAGCGGCTATGCCTCCAATGATGATTGGATAGCAGTTTGGCAAGGCAGGGTCGGGGAAGCCTGCATATATGTGTCCATCACTACATTGATAGAATGTTGCTGGCCCTTTATCAGTCGAATTCCATCCCAGGATACCATTCTCGAAGAACAGAGTGGTATTGACGTCGTTGGGATATGATTCCGGCGACATTGCCACAAAGATGTCGCTGGAGTTACGTCCAACAGATTCGTTTCCAGCCAAGAGTCGACCAGCCGATAGGAAATATCGAGTAGCAAATCCGCAGTTGTTGCCTGCTTCTCCGTCCTTGCCCTGGAGCAGTCCCTGAGGTGGTGCAGAAGGCAGGACTGAGTCGTCCTGTCGCTTCTCTTTTTGATACTGCATCCCGACTATTCCATACTCCCATTCTTCCTCGTACGCATCTCTCTTGACCTTCGCCCCACCTCCGCCGAACGTAAACCCAAGCATTACCGGTGATGTTGCAGGAATGTCGGTTAGAGTCCCGGTCGGTAAGCCCTGACCTAGAGTTAGGTCTGGTTGAGTTTCTGTGACAGTGACGGTGTTTCCATTGGCGTCTGTGGTAACAATTGTCAGCACGGGTGGAATGGTCGTTGTCGCTGGTGGAGGAGCCACCGGGGGAAAGGTTTGTTGCGTGGTTGTTGAAGCGGGAGTTCCAGAAGTACTCTGCATGGTTGTAGACAGGGTGCTCGAGACGCCAGATGAAAAGGACCCTGGAGAAGCACTTGTGCTGGACCCGGCCATCATACTGCTGGTGGAGGATGTTGAAGAGCTGCTAGTGTCTGTAGGATTGACTGTGGACGTCGTAATAGTCGTCACTATAGTGGTCGAGATATATGAAGTTGTAATGTACGTCGTCGGGGCATTGTTGATCATGATAGTATTGCCATCACCAAAGATGTTGTAAATTTGTGACGCGGATTGGATGAACGAGCTGTAAACGGCCGGCTGCACGACAACGACACTGGTGATCGACGGTACAGGACATGGTCCACCGGGTCCGTAAGTGACTGTAGATAAAGCTTGAGCGGAGGCCACTGCAAAATACAGGGCAAAGTATGGCAAAAGGAGTGTGGGAGCCCACCACATGTTGGGCAAGTTGTGGTTTTGCTGGAAACAAAAACAGTAGAATGAGGACCGCAGAACTCCAAACCAAACGAGTGACTGTTCCGATGAAATGTAAGTAGAATTGCAGACATGATTAGCTTATTAGAACCCCAGGAGCCACGACGCGAAAACAAAACAACCTGATCAGAATGTAGCATTCCAGAGATGTTGTCCAAGCCGACCGCGCTGCACAGACGATGGCGGGAAAGTGTGGCATATCAGACCAAGGGATCGGCGTTCAGGAATGAAGGGAGACCTTTTTTGCGATAGAACATGAAATGCAATCATTCGAAGGACCAAGAGGGTAATGGTCCGGACTCGATGTCCCCTGGATGTTGGTCTGGCCGTACCGCCATGGCCATGCTGCAGCAGAGGAGCTGAGAGGGTGTTGAATCTCAATGTACAATCGTGGCGCCACGCTCAGCTAGAGAAATACGTTCCACAAACATGCTGTTTTGGCATTCTCTTTGTTTCTGGCATCACTGAAAGGTGTTTTACCTACAACTCCAAGGCGCTGTCATTGCGACGCCGAATGAAGAGAGAACTGGGTGAGAGGTTTGGAAAGCCGCCACATACCTGACATCGTGACGCCTCAATGCCAAGGAACAGGTGATAAGTCGTGACCCTGCGGGCTAAATCAGGCACTAAAATGACGCTCACAGCCCTGTCATTTCCCACCTTAAATTCTTGTTATATCATTTTCGATGACCAAAATTGTTTAGTAAATTGCCCTCGAAATGGGCGTTATCTCGACACGATGGCCGAGTGGTTAAGGCGTTAGACTTGAATTGCCAGATGTATATCTAAACTTCATGTCATCTAATGGGTTCGCCCGCGTAGGTTCAAATCCTGCTCGTGTCGCTCTAAGCGTTTTGTTTTTGTGAATTTTTTGGTGGTTGAATCTTTAATCTTTGTGTCTTTCTTATGGCCATTGTAAATATTTACGTAGCCAACGTGTCAGGCGGCTTTCGAAGCCGTGCTATCCTCGTAACCAGAATGAAAATCCAAGGTAAGGAGAAACTTCAAGTACGAAGGAGCTCACAAACATACATTCGCACATTTCGCTACACAGGACTCTCGCGACATTTGGAACTCACCACCGCAAAGTCACAAAGTCAAACGATTCTCAGGCCGCTCAGGAGATAACAACTTCTTCCCTTTTGGAAGTCTCTATCTCCAGGCTGCAGGTCTTGCACAAAAGGTTCCCTCTATATGGACCCAACTTCGCGAAGAACCGGACAAACAAAAGGCAGCGCCAGATCCGGCACACTGTTTACCTTTCAGACAAGTATGGTACCAGATCAGGCAAAAGCCTCTCACAAAAACTCGATGTTCTGCCTCTGTTTTGTCAAGAATCTGCATCACAACCGCTCACTTGAGCAAGCAACCCACATTCGCGCAATATACCTGACAAGAAACCTCTCTCACTACCATGGCGTCGCAGTCCCTTCCTACTAAGATCAAAGCCAGATCTCCCTCAAAACCCAAGCCCACAACTTTGCAGGTTTCCACGAAAGAGGTCACTTCTCACGTTTCCAGATACAAGGTCCTAGATGTCGTCAAGGTCGCCATTCGCAGAACATTCACCCACCGCGACAGGAAAGCAGACACAATCGCCTCCCTCGAAGCCTTGACCCAGGAAACCGCCAACGTCAGCCGGCTGATGCTCGCCGATCACGCCGAACTGATGCGCCAGTACGAGCAAACGATACGGTCGAACGAGGAAGAGTTGCGGGATTTTCAAAAGCAAATGGAGTATGACTTGGGACGGATCCATGTGTGATTCAACGAAACAGATGGCAGATAGCATAGGCGATGAAAAGGTAACAGTATCGGCGTGCTGAAGAGGCTGGGGGCGCGGCCAAAGGAAGAAATGTCACGAGCTTATGAGTCACGAGTTTACGGGTGTGTGACAGGAACGAAAGACACACGTTGTTCAAACCATCACAGTATACCTCAGATGCCTTTTGCAGATATCATATTTGCCATAAACACGAGGCTCTCGGAAGATTATAGTGCATTTGGAAAAGAGAACCGTCTTGAGTCAGATACTGGATGAGAGTGAACAATGTTCTACAAGTAGGATCAAGACATAGAGAATGCCATCAACGCTGCTGTCAAGAATATGATAACAAGGATCACTGCCACGATTTAATCTAGTAGCCAATTTTACGACAAGGTCGAAAGATACATGAAAACAAACACAACGCGTTCAAGTAAGACTAGTATGTATGAGGCCATGCCTGCCACAGCCTCCACTTTACAACTTCTCAATTCTCCTAAGAGAATAAAACAACAGGTAGGCCTCTTGCCTCATCACATCCTCCGTCGTCGTTGCGCTTACAATCTCATCGTCGAAACGAAACCACTTGTTATCTTGGCGGCAAAAGGCAAAGTAGTGGCCGTTGTGTGCGTGTTCGCCCTGGTGTACGACCACGCAATCCAGGTCGTACATGTATTTCTCCTTGTCTTCACCATTCTTCGGCGGCCGCGTCGTGTACGGTGCCATGTCGAGTTGCAAGCTAAAGTCCAGCTTGCCTTCATACTTTTCTGGCACGAAGACCCCCGTTCCAAGTTGCTTCATGCCAAATCGCTTGACGTGAACACAGAGGATCGCTGGCAATTTGCGAATTCGGGTCTGTTTGCTGGCAGACCGACGCTCCTTGCATTCTTGGCAATTGTACTGTTCTGGAGAGAGGGGTTCGGGTGCGGTAAAACCACGCAGGCACTCGTGAATGTTTGGCACCGTGATCTTGAGTGCATCCTTGTCTTTCGCGTCGCCAGAGTTTGCGGCGTCCTTGGCAGCCTTCTTCTTCTTCTTGACTTGCTTCTTGAAGTCGAGGCTGATGCTGGAGAATTCATCTTCACGGGAAGAAACGGTATGACATGTATCGCATGTGATTTGGCTGTTTTCTCGACCGTAAAAGACCTTGTGGAAGAAACATACGCATTGCTTTTCGATTGATGAAATGCCATTCGCTTCGTTGATGCTATTCGTCTTTTCTGGGACCTTGTATTGAGCCACTCCCTCGTGGAGACGGTCGACAATCTGCATGAACCATTCTTGGGCGTCCTGCTGGCCTTTCCCAGACATTTCAGGGATGTTTTTCCATGACGCGAACAGGAGGGGGACGGCGTGAGCGGGGGTAGGTTGATCGACGATGGTGACATCAGAAAACACTTCGGTCATCCCACAAGCGACACAGCTTTGCTGTTCTTTCTTTTCTTCATCCTCATCTTCGGAATCGGAATCGTTTTTCTTGTCGGGTTCTTTAGAGATTGGACAAGTGTGAGTAGGATGGCCCATGCCGAGAAAGTAGCTTGCCAGAATGGGATTGTGAACCATCATTTGAAGAACGGCATTCATGTAACACGTCTCACCAAGGTTGAACAGGCCTCGAACACCAATCCGGCCGCAGGGACGTTGAGAAGTGTTGGTAGTCAGGTATGAGTCGTCTTCGTCGCTGGCCTCTGCGAATTTGCGTTTCTTGTTGGTGTTGGACAAGGTTGGATCGTAGACAAGATCGTTGCAGTGTCCACAATAAACGGTCTTTTGACTGACTGCGAATTCGTGCTGGGTCTCCTCAAAGTGCTTGTTCAAGGTAGGGAAACTGCCGGGGGTAGAGCAATCGAGACAGATATATTGTACCAAGTCTTCGCCGCTAAGATGTTTGGACCGAAATTGTCGGATTTTGTTGATGACATCACTATTCATATGCTCGCAGCCAGCTGCCGGCATATACATAGAGAACGGCATACTGATAGAAGATCGTCTGAAGCTCTCGCACCGGAAGGAGTCCAAAGAAAAGAGAGGAGTTGTGGTTCTTGGTTCAGGAGATCCGTCGTGCCGACGAGAGAAAGAAGCGTCGCGGATATGGGCAAGCTGTTTTACCTACACCAGAACTCGTTGAATAGCTCTATTGAGGCTATTGTACCTGAAGAATTTTTCACGGACAATAACATTCGAAAATTTACTGTGTTGATTGAATGGTGTGGCAGAAAACACACTGTTTGCTGGTTCGAGATTCAAAAGTTCTTCGGATATACGGACCAATAATTAACGCTAAAAATAAGCCTCGTGAGGCTCGGCTTCAGCCTCGTCGACGGTAGCACCGTACCTTGTGCATGCCCATATGTCATATATGCGTCGTTAAGCAGGCATGCATTCTATATGGCGGGCTGGAGAAAAGAGCAATAGAGGCTGGAACATCTGGTCTTACCAGCGCCTTTCAAACATTGTTCAGCCAAAAACCCAGTTTGATGGGTAACACGATCGGCTAGTTAAATATCTTGAATGTCAACGCTTTAATTCATCATTATTTCTACGATGAAAGAACTGCTGTTTTCGTTGTAAACTGTGTTTGCTTTGTGTCTACTCCATGTATCATGAGAAAACCAGACAGCCGATATTGCTGTAGGCAAGCACCCGATAAGACCTCGTAGCATATCTCTTCTCGTAGTGCTTTCAGCGGCGCCGTCCTCAGCCCAAGATCTCTGGTCTGAGATATTCAAGAATAGCATTGACATCCGCCTCACCACGGGCATGAAGATGGATAGCCAGCTCGAACAGAAAGAACAAGCGATCCGAGTCTCCCGTAAGGAAGGGGTCGGTGAGATTAATCCTCGTCATTTCGACCAAGATCTCATCGACCAACATGAGCATGGTAGTCGCGTATCTGAGACCGTCAAATGCCACTCTCTGCTTGAAGTCAAGTCTCGCCATTCTATCGACGGCCTCCAAATTTCTTCCTCCATCAAGTGTAGGCCGCACTGTTTCCGTTTCGCCCTCGATGAATCGTAGTGCCGAATGGAAGCTAAGCTGTCGACGTATGTTGGTCATGGTCAGAAACAGCATGGTACCACCGTCGCCGCCATCAGTGATGGCAAAATCGAATAGCGTCCCTAAAATTAACCCTTAGAAAGGTCGGCACAATCGTGAGAAGGTTCAACATACGTGGGTTCTGTTCCTCAGCCATCCTGATGATCAGATGCAGTCTCTTTGTTTTCTCGAAGGTTTGTTACTGTTTCCAGTGTCGGCAATGGTCATGGTCTTGGTTTTGAGGAATGGATTTACTCTTCAGCGTCCGATCAAACCTGTGGGATATAATGGCAGATTGTGGCCTTCACCCGCGCCCTGTCTCTTATGCCGAGACAAGTCACATGTATCATCTACCTAGCACCTCTCCCTCTGCCTCTTGGCAGGCTGCTGACCCGCCCTGCACGACCAGCACCTCTGCTTGCTCTTGTTGCATTTCCTCTTTGGGGGTTTGCATTGTTTTGTTTCACCGTTGAGACTGTACTGGGGGTGGCCGACGGTGCCATTGTCTTACGACGTGGTGTTGCTTTGAGACTTGTAAAGCTTGCATCTGCCATTATGAATGTCGCCTCTGATTCTCCCTGCTTGCCCTCTGTGACATTGTTCTGCGTGATGGTAGTCTCGTCCAGGTTTGCTTGTCCCCGACGCTTGTGATAGCGTTTGATTGACTCAGGTATAGGTGCCTATAACGAACAATCAGGAGGGAGCTGGTCCCATATGGATTACTGCATACCTCTGGAAAATCCACCACAAAAGCATTCATGTTCAACCCATACAGGAAACTGGCGAAGCTTTCCCCAAATCTGCTCAGACTCTCATGCATCAGCTGAAGGTGCATAAAGTTGGCTTCAAGATCAGCCACTGAATCACCTAGCTCTGCAAATTGGGGCTCGAGAGCATCCAAAGGAGACACGCCCGAAATTGCATTGTTCTGCGAGGTTCTGAACGACGACCTGGATGATGGCCTGAGAGGTGTTGTCGGTCGAGAGACAGGAGACGGGGACGTACTACGTCCACTCGGTCGAGAACGGGACACCGCACGGGACTGTGACATTGTATGATGATGCAGAAGCAATGTAAAGGAGTTTACGGGACGAGTGGGATTGTTTGTGAAAGACGCGTCTGGAAAGATGACGTAGGCCGATTGGCCCAATATACATTGATGCTCTATGATTATAGCGGCGTGAAGAGAATTAGATTGACTGAACACAAAAGTGAGGGAAGGCCTAGTCGCTGTATCTATGTAATAGTAGTTAAACACAAGTATCTCTAATCATTCACACTACAGTTATGTTCTCTATTCTCCTTATATATCACTTTTATGTTATTTATATGGAGTTTAACATCCCTTTTTTCTTAGTATTAATACTTTCTCGTTGTCAGTGCGACTTTATGTCCAATCGATTCTGTCTGGATAAACGATGTTCCGAGTCTGTCTCAATTAAGCGCGCTAGGCCAATTCACGTCGTGGTCTAATCGCTCTTCCGAGCCAATATCAAGTCTCTCCATTCCAACGGCATATATGGGGGCTCATTCTTGGTTCAGATCCTCTATTAAAAATGATAGGGCTCCGAGTCACGGAGCGTTCTGCAGGTACTGCGGTACGGTCAATGAAATCAGTTGCTGACCGATATCAACAACTCGTAGAAATTGTGCCACCATGGATTTGTCCACACCCACAAAAAGAACGAGAAGAGATTTCAAACCCAGAACTAGAACAGGCTGCTGGAACTGCAAATCTCGACGAAAAAGATGTGACGGAGGTCGGCCAGGCTGCGTAGAGTGTGGTCGTTGTGGGTTAGCATGCGAAGGATATGAGGTCCGCTTGAGGTGGAACAACGGCACTGTAAGCGGAGTAAAGAAGCTGGAAGAACACCGTGAGAAATCTCGGAAAATGTCGCCGATGAGTATTTCTCATGCAGCTGGCGTGCATGTCCAAGTACCGCCGCCTCCGACGGTCTATGCCGAAGTTGAAGCCATGCTCTTCAGAGATTGTACGTCCTTTACTCCCTATTAACACCTGGGTAGCTCCCTTTGATGGGTGCGTGGTTCACTGTCCTAAGCCCTGAACAGTCATTACAGCTGGCATATAGAGAAAGCGCGGGCATCTCTAACCATTCGAGGCCCGCGTCTTATCTCATCGGCGTCATGGGGATTCTCGACATGGATTCGGCCGGCAAACTACGACACACCACATCTGGCGCGACTATCACCGTCCGTCCTTCCCCTCAACCGACCAGAACCAGTGCAGTGCGCAAGTTCATGCCAAGGCCCGTTGGGATGCTTGTTTCTCAATGTCTGGAAAATGTCTAGGGCTCGTCTCACGCTACCCTCTCCGGCGACGTGGACCTTGCAGGTCATTCCGCGAGCGTCGTATTTCTGGAGACTGTCGAATAGCTTGTCGTCATCCAGAAGGAGGAATTTCGAGTCTGGGTTTCCGTCGGCGTCAAGGTCGCACTGCGTGAAGTCTGGCGGGAGAGGTGCTCCGTCGAGGAAGAAATTGACGAATCGAGCCCTGACGTGCTTGCTGTCGAAGGTTGCGGCAATGTCCAGAACCGCCCTGAGGCTGTCTTCGGACTCCAAGGCTGGCCCCTCGGGCGCGCAGACAATGTGGGGGTATACGCTTAGGTGGAGCCGGTTCTCGCCCTCAAGTTCCTTCAAGGCGTGGAGGTAGACAGTGTTGGCGGACGCTTCCTGACAAGAAGTGATGCCAAAGCGGTGGCACATCTCGATGCCATATTCCAAGGTTCGCTTGACATATGCTAGCGGTGCTTGGGGCAGTGAAAGCCAGACGTCGCGTGTCGCGCCTTCGACGATTTCTCCAGTCAGAGAACCGTCGGCACGGCGTTTGTAGTACCCTCCAGGGGGATCCTGGGTTTCACGCTCGTCGATCCCGCAGCGTTTCAAGCTAGCCGTGTTGAAAAGCACATTGTGACATGACGTCTCTCGGACCAAGACTGGCTGATCTGGATATCGGTCGTCGAGGTATTTGCTGTCAGGCACCCCGTCGGGAAACTGGCCGCAGGCATAAAAGTTGCCGATTATTCAGTCCCCTAGCACGTTCGTGTAGGCACATGCACAAGAAGCCCGGTGCAGGTTACCTGCAAGGGTTTCGCCGTTTGAGCCGAATCCAATGTCGCACTCATTGAGCTTTTGCATGCTTGCCACGAGGAGATGTGTGTGCGCGTCGTGGATCCCCGGCATGACAAAGTGCTGTCGAAGATCATACACCACGAGCTTGTCCCTACGCACGATGGCTCGAATCTCGTCGTCTGAGCCGACCGTCGCAAAATCTCCAGTAGGCGAAACAACAAATGCAGGCGCCCATGGCTTCTTTACATCCATGGTGCAAACCCGGCCATTGACGAACGCCACAGCATTGTTGGCAGTTTTTGAAGATACGCTTGCCATGCTGCAGAATGCTGTCCTAGGCTAGGCCAAATATCTTTGGGTAGAAGCAAGATCATGCCGACCTTGTCGTCCCGGCCTACGGTAGATATACCTTCTCCCTTCTATACATGGATGCCGGAAGTGGAGAACATTGGTGGAGGTCGGAGCTTCTCCTAATCTAGCCTGGCGGCCACAACGGGGAAGCGGTCACGTTCCGCATTTTATTGTTAGGGAGCATTACAATCGTGATACGTGATAATACAGAGCAACCAATATTCCTATCGTTATTAGAAACAAGTATCTCCGATCCTTCACGCTGAAATCACACCTATACGATATCATGTGCCGTGCCTGTATGTGAAGTTGTACTGCCCGATCACAGAATAAGGAACTCTGGTCATCTGGTCACTAGAACACCGCAGGAAAGGTCGAACAAAAGACAAAGACATTACAAGACCTGCAGGGCAGTAATAGTACATGGACACTGCCTTTAAGAATGGTGGTCGCTGTGACGACACTGCTCTCTAGCCCCGAAGACCAAATCCGCTTGGGCATTGGTACCCTTGAACTCCGAGTATTGCAACCAAGCTCCAGATATATGATACTGCAGGACGGCCTCTGATACGATCCCTTCCTCTCTGCATGCCCCGGCCGGGCGATACCTCAAGCTCCCTACTCTCTCGAATGCGTTACAAGATACTAGCATTAGCGATCACAGCCCCTCAAAATCACCACCAGGGGCATCATCGTCGTCCATCTCCCCTTCCACAATCTCCTTTGCAAGCTCTCGCTCGCGCTCGCGTGCTTCCTGGGCATTCTTGAGCTCGAGTCTGTGCTGATTCATGGGGAAACGCATGGCCTGACATTATCAGTAATAATTTCAAAAGAACCCAAGAAGTGCACATACCTTGACACTTTCGTCGTGTAGGACCAGACAGGCTTGAATGCGCTCGTGGAAGGCATCTCCAGGCTCTCTTGTGGCATACACATCACCCACTTCCTTGCTCTTCATGTAGCCACGCTCATGATCGAGACTAGCTTCAATGACCCCATCTCGAATTGCTTTGGCAACAATGTACTCGGCAGATTCCTCGCTGTCGAGACCGAGTCGCAGACACATATCGCGTAGTGAGATTCGAGCATACGACAAGGACATCATGCGGATGCCTGTCCTAATCACATTCTGTCGGAGCCGCAAAATAAGCGTGTATGTATCATCTTTTCTGAAGGTCGCATTGTATCGCTGGACTAGGTTTTGGAAACCAATCACATCCCCAGAGCTCACAGCTTGAACAAGCTGAAGATACGGCTGTAGGGATTTTTCAAGGCTTGGCTGACGGAAGATTGCTCGGTCTGGAATGTCGCCCATCAACAGCTCGACCACAATGAGGAGTTTCGTAGAAGCCTGATAGAACCCGCTTGCCTTATAAGAAGAGGGTGATTTTCGAGTTGCACTTGTGAGGTGATCATGGGCTTCTGTATAAGACAATTGAATGGCTCGAATGCGACCAAGATAGTACAGGTAACGAGCAATCTGGTTGTTGGCGGCAGTAGTCGGAAATTTAGCGTGCGAGATCAATAGGTCGGCTTGTGTGACGTGCGAGGTAGATAGATAGTTGCGCAAAAGTAATGTTGTCACAGCAGCTTGGACATCTTGATCCTTCCGCAATGTGGCAGTTCTTAAAGCATCCAAGAGAGGTTTGCGAATTGAGATGACAGCGGCAGCCGGAGAGGGTGGTAGTGGTGCCGTTTCTTCAAAGAAAAGTGCATAATAGAAATACACTCGAGCTGCCAACGAATCTAGGGTCCTTCTGTTCAAAGTGCGGAGGTGTTCAACAAGAGCACTGGAGAACTGGACGCCGGCATCAATCCGCTTCTTGTCGTAAAGATAGACTTGGACCAGAATCGAGAGGTACACATCGACTTCGGGCAGGATTTCCTTTGTAGGGCCTGTTTGCGCATCTTTTCTACTATGCCAAGTTTCCACCTTTTGACTAGGAAAGGATGGATCATCCTTGACAGCACTCAAAAGCGACATGGCTGTGGCTGTGGGGGTGGGATAGCTTTCGATGACAACAGTAGCCAGGATATACGCATTGAGCTGTTTTCTGACCGAAGATATTGAGCGAAGGACTCTAAGACTGAATCGAGGGTCAAACTGGCTGACCGCACGCTCGAGCAATGGGAGGTTTGCCTTGATGTCTAGAACATTGTTAGCAACGACGCAGCTGCACCACGACTTGACTCTACTCACCTGCGATGGCCTTTTCTTGTGGATCAACGGGGACTTCATCCACTGTCGTAGCATCTTCGCCTGTTGCGCCGTTTGCAAGATCCGCATCGGTTTTTTTGGTCGGCGCAGTCGGAGTTGCACCCTTGAAGGGTGGCACTACCACAGTCATCTCATCATCGCCATCCTTGTCCTTGTTCTGCTTTGAGTTCTTTTTGGTGCTCTGTGATTGCTCCTTCATCTCTACGTCTTCAGATCCGTTCGACCCTTCACCGGTTCCATTGAGATGGGGATTGTCGCCGCTCATGTCTCACGCTAGTCCACAGAGATCGATTGGCAAAGGTGGGCTGACGGCGATGTCAAGGAGGATCGGAATGCAATGTTCCGGTAGTCTGTATTGCTGGCTCAACGTCTGATGACTACCGTAGGCAATATCGAACGGTCGATACTGCTCTAAGCACGGAATGCGCCTTGCAGCTGGAGTGCTTCCCACCAGCAGAATCTCGCCGAATGTCTGTTTCTCAATGGGTGCAATGAGACAAGTGTGTTCTCTCTCTCACTCAAAAAAAGAGAATGCAAAGCGTGCTTACAATCGCTTTTAGATAACAGATTTGGGTAAGGACAAAGTGGTTGCGATGAGGTCAAGAAGATGGCATGTCTGGGAATTCTAACTCCGGTCGACCATAGCGCAACTTCGCAGCTCCGGTGCCAGGCACAACAACGAACGCGTTTCCCCATCTCCACAAATCACTAATGAACCGCAGAACAACAGCACCCAATGATGGCACTTCATAGTGTTCTACATGTTTAGTAGGAATTTTGTGCAAGAGCTAGCTATGAGGAAGAAAGTCCAAGACGTCTACGCTATGCTTCTGGTACAATAAGAACTTTGACCTGGCGATCGAATTGAGCCGATACACATAATGGCACTTTTGGGAAGTCATTTGGAGCAAATAACCCTATCCGCAAAGTCGATAGCAGGTCTCGAGTACGTCGATATCTTTTTATGCGCAAGTATACTCAGCTGAGAAGATTCTAGGTTCCTTCCTCCAAAGATCTTCTCTAATGCGCTTTTGAAAGATCATGAGATCACGACTTTGATCCGTGACACTGAGTCTCACGAGCGTGCCTTATTTACCTTGGATCCTAATGCCGTACGCAGTAGCCGACAGAGCAATGCGACACAGCAGCATGGATCCTCTGCAACTCGGAATAGCCTGTTTCCAAACGCACACTCGACGCAACAGTCAGTCGTTACAAGATTATTGGGCGATGATATGCTCGAAGAGATCAGACTGTCAAGCAAGAAACGCGACGGTGTCAATGTCGAGGTGCTACTCCGGGGTGCCGAAAGATTGTGTGATGTATACGCAGTTGGAGGGGCTCCTGAAAAGATCAGAGCGTTACGCACGCGATATGAAGAAGTTGCGACTTCCATTTCAACACTGGAAGAGAAGGTGTCAAAGCAACAGGCCCTTCTCGAACGGAGGAACAAAAGCTTTGAGGTTGAACATGAAGAGCACGAACCTGCGGGCTTGACCGCTGATGATGCCATGCTGTTGACAGAGCAGGACTTCCAGAACGAGGAAGACGAGATCAGAGAGCTTGAAGCAAGGAAGAAGGCTTTGGAAGACCGTGTCTCTGGAATGGAAAGAGACCTTGGTGGTCTCCTTCGCTGAGTCGAATCGACAATGCTGGCATGTACAAATGTCAGTCATTGTCTAGGAAGAAGCCCAAGCCAGTATGCCTCTTCTGCAGTGGGTCTGCGAGAGACCTCATCACAGGTTCGACGATCTGATACCGCTGCTCCCGAGCGACACACTGCTGCATTATCATCTACTCGGTGCGAGAAAGGTGTTTGCAGGTGAGAAGAGCGAGCCGATTATAGCGAAATGATCGTCGCATCGTTAGGCCATCGCCATCGCTATTGCGCTTTAAGGGCGCCGCACCCGAGGGTCAGCATTCGCAGATACCGACGTCTGCGTGAAAGGACGTATAGCCGGCGCAGTCTTGCTTCGAATACTAGCAATGACTGACCAGCGTTCACATTATGACGCGGTAATCTGTACCTTTTGCCCCCAAGCTGCCATGTCCGGGGCTGGTGGATGCTTGAATGAGGCCGTGTATCTCACGACATCGAATTCGCTGTCATGCCTCTACTTCGGTCTTGATCGGTTGACTGAATCCAACAAACTTCGCATGCTTTGCAAACGAGTGGCGATTTGCGCCGAGGGTGAGCATATAGTCGACTATCAGTGCTCTGATGAGACAGTCCTGTCTTTGCGCCATAGTTCACTTGAAGCGACTTTTCGGTACCACGAGTGGACCTTCCAGTGCCCACCGTTCTGCCGTACGAGTACTGTAATCGCGGTGGAGCTTTGGGCTATATGCAGGAGGTCAATCATTGAGAAACTATCTGTAGTAGCGTATGCAATATTATGATCAGTAGCTGGTGTTTTCTTTGTTGACGGAATGGCTTCCTGTCATGATGCAGCCCACCAGGTACAATTATGTACAGTCATGATCCAGGCTTCCTTGAGCAAGTGACGGGCGAGGACAGATGAAATTGGGTTCTCCATGCATGACCATGATTCTTTTACTTCGGCCATACGTTTTCGGTCAAATCAAAGCCTGAGATAAAAATTATGACTGGCTGACGGAAGCAAACGTCTACAAGTAGGACAGTCTCCCGAGAGGAGTAGGCTATCCATTCTGACTGGTTACGGAGTACATGGAATATAGCACGGGATAAACCGTCGAACAAATTCATTCTTATCCATGATGAAAACCGAAACATGGCTAGCTACGAGTACAGGTAAATGCCGTACCCGTCGACAAGGTAAATTGATTGAACATTTTCAGGGGCTGCGACCATCGAGCCACATATTTGCGAGGCTGGTCGATCGACTTTAGGCTTAGACGACCCCCGTAGCGGCCTGGGTTGATCCCCCGAATCAAGTCCAATTGCAGACGGGCCGCCTCCTCGGATCCGTAAGCTACTCCAGAGTCGTCCACAAGGTGCTCGCTATAGACAAATGGAATAGTAAAGCTAGGGAGAGTGGTTCACTTCCAACATCACCAGCGGTCCACCCTCATGCAGGTCAATGCAGCCGTAGAGACGGTGTCGTATCCCCAATCATCCCATGTCCCAATTGAAACACCAGTCCGAAAGTGCGTGCCCAGGTGCGGATGTGTCTGCGCTGCACCACTGCGTGGTGACCAGCCTCTGAATACTCTTCGCTTCACCAACTCAGTTGTCTTCACTCCTCCTGAATGTTGTTTCTTTTTCCCGAGACCTGCAGGGTATCCTAATACCACTGCTGCTGAAGCTCTCCTTCTTCACCATCACTCCGTATTGCGTTGGGCGTTGCTCCATCTTCATGCCCTTTTTTTGCGACAACCTGGGCAAGCGAAACCTCTGACTGCCGATCTCAAATACGAGCCGAGAGGCGAAAAGAGCTGCGACAATCATCCAGTGTGCGACTTGACCCAAGGAGTGCCCTCAACTCATAGTTACCCGACTTTACCCTGGGATATGATCATGGAGAATTGATATCCTTTGTTAAGTGCTCGTGAAGACTGTCGCTCTAACTATCCATACCAAGCACTTCTCCTACGCCATGGCTCGCCGATCGTCCGCTCTGGAATCGCCAGAGGTGACTCCCAAAGCCCCCGGCCTGCGCAGTATGGGCTCGTCCTCAGATGTCCTCTCCATGTCTTCAAAATCAGGAAGAACGCTCCCCTACGCCAATCCTCCCCCGGCCTATGTCTCCGAATCCGAGGCTGAAAAATTGATACTCGCCGAGTTGGAACGCCAGGTCAAAATCTCAGAAGGCGCGGTTGGCTTGGTCAATGGATTTTTGGATCAGATACTCTATGATATCCTGGCTAAATCACATTCTACTGCCTTGTCGGCCGTACGCCCTGCAGTGCCAGTGGTCCTGAAACAGAGGCTTGGAAGGTCTGCTGTACAGGCGGCAGATGAGGAATTGCAGGATTACATCCCAGCGAATGAGATGGAAGAGGTTCTATCAACTCCAGCCGTGCTCGATCCAAAAGCGGATTTCGACACTGATTTAGCCTGGAAACTGACCAGAATGCGTTGCATGGTCTATGCAAAGCTGGGAGACATGGAAGAAGAGGATGAGGAGGAGTATCTGGAAGAACTCGATCTACGAAACCACTTCTCGCGCGTAAATGAGTCGGTCAGAGCCTCGGCGACTATCTCACCTCCAACTGCTATTTTCCTGACAACAGTACTTGAATTTCTGGCTGAGCAAGCACTATGCATTGCAGCTCAGCATGCCACGAAGCGACATGTGGCAGCTTCAAAAGACACGTCAAACCAGACCATGCATGATGGTCCTATTTTGCTGGAGGAAATAGACATGTCCGGGGTTGGGAAGGAAGGACCTTTGATCAGACTTTGGCGCTCGTGGAAAGGCAGCGTTAGAAGTGCTGGTAGTATATCATCTCGACCGACCACGCCAAATATAATGTCTCCTGTCAGTCCAGAGACACCCAACTATGAGTGGAAGTTCCCTGCCGCTCCTCCCATCTCGACGATTCAAGAAGAACAGAGTCCTTCACTCAAGCCCCGAGCCAGTCCCCTGCCGGCTGACATTCCACTGCCCATCAGCGAGAGTGATATAGCAGAAATTGAGACCCTGGGACTGGATCGTGGAATTGATGATGACGCGAGATATGGCGACCGCCCTACTCTGGACGCACGAAGGCCATCGAGCATGTTAGCTATGCCCGGCAAATTCCCCGATGCTGCAACTCCTGTTGTCAATGATGATTCGCAGAGACCTGAGGTTACAAGGCAAAGATCGCATTCCTTGCCCAGTTCAGGCCCGAATCCTCCAGTTCTTCACTCCAAAGCAGAGGTCAATGATATACTACAAGATCGTGGCGCTACCAATTCGCTCGAGGACTTGCAGACTAAGGTCGACTACGTGCCACAACCCAAGAGAGGAACTGCTCAGCCTGCAGCACAACACAGCATGCCCAACTCGCATTCAAGCACTGTCAGCAGCACTGTGGCCACAATTGCCGGCGCAATAAGTGTGGAAGCATCTAGGAGAAGAGCGCAGTCTTCATCTGAGCAAATTCGCCCAGTAACTTCAAATGCCGATGCTCATCATGGCCTGGGCATTAGCGCTGAACAGGATGACGATGAACGAGCCGGACCTATGGGAAACCCGGAAGGCGGAAGCGACCCTGAAGATCTTGCATTAAGTTCAGGTGATGAGCGTGGCGGCCGGGACCCTCGAGATTCCGGCTTTGGTGTTGCTGGGGCTGAAGTCATGCTTCCGATACAAGGCCACGTTGCTGCGGGACAAGGGCGAAGTGATCGCGACACGATGATCGTGAGCACTCCTGGGCAAGAGAATTTCCCCAATGGTTCTGCAGCTGCTCGTTACGAAGAGTATGACCCGTACTCTACTCAGGACTTGGCCGGTCCTGCAATGCCACCGTCAGCCGGAGGGATGAACAATGTGGCGGTTCCAGCAACATCTATGTTCGCAGATCGAACTACGTCTTTGGAACACCGAACAGGCCGGTCACCGACAGATGTGCGATTTCCCCAACACCTGCCAAATTCCCAACGGCCACTTGCTACAGATCATGCGCAAGACCACGTACCCCGATTTGCTACCTCATCTAATCTAGCACAAAGCACTCATTCGAGAGCCACAAGTGCGGGTAGACCTTCGACAGCAGGCTCGCCGACAGCTAGACGGCAACACATCCGGCTTCGGTCTGATGAAGACAATAGAGTCGAAGAATTAGAGAAAGCAAAGAAGAGCCTGGATGTGTTGATCGATAGCGACGAAACACTTCACTACACGCTTACCCCGAGACCGGCTAGAGATGTGAGTCAGACTACGCACACTATTGTTTCTTTTACTGATCCTTTTCAGGGAGGCAAACCTAAAACGAAGAGCCAGACACAGGAATTGGCAGATTTCTTCCGTACTACTGCCCCACCAGGAGAGGAACCTGTGAGGCCGAGGTCTTCCCGCTCTGCCAAAGAGTCAATGGGAGGTCTCAGGTCATACCCGTCTCTTTCTCAGCCCCCTCTGCCAGGAAACACCAGAACGCCATCATCGTCTATAGCTCCACAGTCTGTGAGCTCGTCTCTGAAGCCAAAGAATCCTCTCGGGGAACCTCGTGATCCTAGAATGACACGAAATAACATCAGAGATCTCGCCGATTATGCTCGGTCCACAGGGCCGGAGAACGAGATGCAGCTTCCCAAAGCTCTTGCTGCTCGACCAGGTACCGCCCAAAATACCGATTCAGTGGCGCCTGGGAACGAAGTTGACGAGGAACGTCCAGTGACAAGCCCCGAGAAGCCGGCCAATCGTTTGAAATATCAAGCCCGCGATGCCCGAGCTCCAAGAACTGCTGAGAGCTCAGATTTGATCGACTTTATCAGAGAAGGTCCACCTCGAGCTCCAGGAGAACATCGCATTGATCGGCGAGTTGCACCTTTCCGCACAACAATGGATTCTGATGATCTCAATGCCCTTGCTCCACCACCAGAGCTTGATGCCAATGGACGTAGATCTGACGGCAGCGCTGTTGAGAGTGCGATGACCGTCAAGTCGATGCCATCGTCTATGAACTCTAGGACTGGTCTACTTGATTCGACCAACCGAGCTGCGGGAAAAGCTACCAATGGTATAGCTTCGAGACAACCTATAATTCCGGAGACAGACGGCATACCAAAGAGAAATCGACGCAAGGTCCGTGATCCTTACGCAATCGACTTCAGTGACGAAGAAGAAGAGGATGAAGAGATGGAGGACGATCTATTCCCTGCCAAACGCAGAACAGATGAAGAATCGTTGGTTGATTTTCTGCGAAACACAGCTCCAGGGCCTGGGATGACCACGCAACCGATTCTTGGTGCGATTGCGAGCCTGTCGCAGGAGGATATCCAGGGCGACCTTCGACGGCAATCGAGCAGCTCCAAGCTGAAGGACTACCTGCAGGGATCTACGCCAGGCAGGAACGGCACGAGCGCTGGCAAGCCAAATGGTGCGAGGGCAGAGTCTCCTCACTTGACACAAGTCGGTTCCAAAATGGACAAATATCGTCCAACCCAAGTCACTCACGCATCCCACGTGGACCGAAATAGAGCAAAGATGCGCGCAGAGCCGCGAGACGCAACTGTTGCAGATAGCAGTGGCACCGCGGATCTGGCAGCATATCTTAAGAACTCAGGTCCGCCTCCTGGATCCGACCAACCCGTGCAACGATTGGGTACTCCCAAGGAGCAAGCGAGGTTCATGAGGTTTTTCCAGCGCAGGGGAAGCGTGAAGAGGTGAAGTAACTGCAATCTTCCTTATGATGTGATTGATAATGTGTATAATGTGTGCTTTTTCCCTTCTTCTCTCGAGCGTATGCCACAGGATTCATTTGCTTGAAATGCAAGATAACAAGCTGATCTGAGGGAGATCTATCACTCCCACTAGTTGTACATGCAGCAATAGCTCTTGTGTAGAATAGCGATGGAGCGGAAGAACCATGGTAACATGAGAATTGGTTTAATACATGAGTTTTGAGTCTCGGAGTCGGACGACACCGCAATGTAACCGAGAAATAACGGATACGTCGTCACTTCTGGGGTTTTTGATATTTCTTTTTGATCGACGGATGATGCTCCATACTCATCCTGGTGGAAAAGGGGTTCGTGTTCACGTGACCACAGTTTGACACGGTGTTTCTGGAAAACTCCTGGATGCTGGCGACTCCAATCTGGCGAACCCGCAATGCGCACATAGTTCCTGGAATCGTCCTCGACATTTCTCCTTCGTTTCCTGGCCATCTGGCGCTTTTCTTTTTGCTTTCCTTAGGGTTGAGAAAAGCCATCCTACCGGGTCCCGTCGAGATGAAGTCCCTTTTCAACCTCGCATTCCTCCTGTGGCTTCTGCCCTTTTCCTACGCATTGAGATTCGAACTACCTGCACATTCGGGCCACAGCGCGAAGAACGAGCGATGTATACGAAACTTTGTGACCAAAGACACGCTCGTTGTTGTCACTGCGATCGTCAGTGGCAGCAGAGGGGACGGACAGATGGTCAATATGCATGTACGTGCCGTGCCGGTCGTCTGGTTTCGACGAACCTGGGCGGACAGATAACACGAGGGAGGACCTGTGCTGATGAATACACGCTTTGGCGTACAGATCAAAGACGCCGTTGGCAATGACTACGGCCGACCGAAAGACGTTGCGGGGGAGAAGAGAATGGCTTTCACGAGTCTGGCGGACACTGCCTTTGACGTTTGTTTCGAGAACACCTTGGTCGGGCGATGTTGGTCCTTTCCCAAAGCCCCCGTCTCCGCTTTTCACTCTGGCTGACAACCTCCGGAATAGCCCATTTGCAGAACCCGTCTCGCCACGTCGAACTCGACATCGACATCGGTGCCGACGCCCGTGACTGGTCGGCGATCCAGGCGTCCGAAAAGCTGAAGCCCGTCGAAACCGAGCTGCGACGGATAGGGGAGACGGTGAACGAGATCGTGCAGGAATTGGAGTACCTACGACTTAGGGAGCAGAAACTCCGGGACACCAACGAGAGCACCAACGAGCGGGTGAAGTGGTTCGCTCTGGGAACGATGGGAATGCTGGTGGGCTTGGGTGCGTGGCAGGTCGTGTATCTGCGAGCTTACTTCAGGTACGTTGCGGTCTGGTCTACATTGAGATATGCCGTTTGGACCTGGAAACCAAATACTGACACTTTTGCCCTTGATCAGGTCCAAGCACCTCATCTAATCGCCCTTGCCACAATCTTGTACTATTCTCCGTATGTCGAGGAATTGCCATACTCCAAAAAAGAAACCTTTGCAGGGAAGGAACGAGAGATATAATGATGATGATCCCTGGTTTAGATCAAAGAAGAAAAAAGTTCACTTCGATGTGGTGTCATAATAACAACATCGCATTCTCTGTATTTCCTACGCCCCGGCAGAGGCATCCCGAAGAGAGTATAATTGAAAAGTCGCATCGTCGTGACAGCAATGAAATCGACTGATTGTGCAGGCATGCGTTACGATCATCTTCACAAAGACGCAGGCCACAGTGTGTACACCCAAAACAGTCCACCCTCGAGTCTTGACTTGATTCAAAACACAAACAACTCCGTTCCTGACTCGAAGTCGGAGTTACCGCTGCTCTCTGCTGACAAGAGGATATATTCAGACTACTCCCGATACCATCCTTCCTCTCAAGTCCCATCTAAAGACCATCAGAATTGACCCATCCAACATGGCTGAATCGCGAAGGTACTTAGCGGCCTTGACTCCTCGACATCCCGTCTTGCCTTTGACCGCATCCAAGTAGAGGGAGCTAACCCAGTGCCCAGCAGCAGTGTCTTTTCGTCTCCGATCGTGGCAGTACTATTCGAACCCGGAGACTCCAGAAAATTCACCATTCACAGGGACGTCCTGATCAAAGCAAGTCCGTGCTTCGCAGAGCTTCTCGCAAGGGGCACAAACAAGTCCCAGACGTACGAAGTCACCACACCGATCTATCTTTTACATGAAGTAGCCACCGGCTTCGTGCACTGGGCATACCGCGGCGCAATAGACCCAAACCTTGCTCAAGGTGACGATTCTTACCACCTCGCCAGATCTTGGCAGCTCGCGGAGCATCTTCGCATGACTCAATACCAAAATCGAATCGTCGATGCCCTGATCGACACTTGCTGGAAAGGTCAATGTTTCAAAATGTCCGAACTGCTCGTAATGGTCAGTTTTGCGCCCAAAGACAGCGGCCTATCCAGGCTTGTTTGGGACCAGCTCGCCTACGATATAGCCGACAAGGGGGTCAGGCACGACGACAAAGACCTGAAACTATTGTTCGCATTCGTGTCCGGGTCGATTTATTCACCGTCGATCAATGACATCTTGCATACCATCGCCAACGTCGCGAAGTGCGAGGATCCCATGGCAGATCGGACCCGGTCTTACGAGACCGAGCACATTGCGGATCCTGTAAAACCACAAGTACGCAAGAGGGGGAGACAAACGAGTCTCGGAGGCACTACGAGCAAGCGACCCAAACGCAGACCGCGCTCGGCGTACATGACATGCACAGGGGTACTCTGTGAGAGATGGAGCAAGAGGATGTGAGCAATACCACCAAGGACTCTGTGGGAGATACCACCAGAGACTTTGACCGGTCCAGTAAGAGACTGCGAGAATGACTGCGAGACGCCAGTGAGAGTCACAACTAGAACGGTGAGGGAAGAAATGGAGACAGAAGGAGAGAAAATGCACTCAAGACAGTTGGAAATAGAGAGAAAGGTCTCAACAGTAATTCAGACTGCAAATGCTGCGTGAAACGAGCCGAAATGATCATATTCCAAGCTTTGCACACTTTCCTAGTGGCATCTGCATCATTGCGCGAGAGAATCCTGCCTTTAGGCCAGATAGATAGAGTGAATTCGATTGAATTGCCTTGCATTAAAAAAGGTATACTCGAGCCAATTTCCACGCCTACTCCATCGAACGAAAAAGAACGAGTGAGAATGCTCAACTCTCTGAACCAGTCTGATTTCCTCATTGCAACATCTCTCCATCTCAGTCGATAGAGACGCTGCCATCCATGCCATTCGCCCGTCGTCAGCCCTTGCAACACCAAGAAACAATTGAAACCTTGAACTCCGCGGATCATTCATTCGTAATAGGCTGATAATCAGTCTTATCTGTGCTGACTAGAAAGAGTCAGCCGCAAAACACTGCCCTATCCACTCTAACACTTGACTGCATGCAAAGAGGTAAAAGTGTGGACCATGCCTTCAAGAAATGGGAGGTAGAGCTGCAAGTCCGATCACTGTACCAATGGCTCCAATAGCCACACCAGCAATCGTAGCCACGGCGAGTTTCATGGCGTCGCCAGTGCTGTTTCCTCGTGACTCTGCAATTCCGTCCACGTCCGTTCTAATCTTTTTGTAAGCTGGCTGATCGTCGACCTCGGTGCTTTGAACCGGAATGTCTGCGAGGGACGAGCTGGGGGGGCTTTGTGCTCTGACATCAGTTTCTGCATCATTGACAGGGCTAAGGTTGTCTTTGATGGTCTCCCAGAAGTGAGAGTACTCATTAGCTGTATGGACAGAGAGGTCATCCGACGAAATATTATCTGCCTTTCGCTTGTTGGATTGCTTCACCTTCACAACGTGGGTACCCTCGGCGGTGGAGAGCGGCTCGGTGGCAGGGGCGACTTTGTGTAGATCCAGCGGTGGGAGTGTCAAAGGGTCGGGAGGAGACCGGCCAGTCCATTCATGATAGTACGAAGGATATCCTTTAGTGCACGCGCCTTGAGACCCAGCGCCATAATCGTACAGAACAGAGTTGTGTCCTGCCCATGCGGAAGTGGAGCGAGTTTGTTGATGGTCAGGACGTTGTGACATTCCTTGGATGGCGTCCGAGGTCTGAATGAATGGTGGAGCCAGGGGCATCTCGGTGGCAGACGATTTGGCCATCGCCGCATCCGATGGACTGGGTGCTCGATGTGCTTGGACTCGGTCTTGAGGGAGCCCCAAAGTGTCAAGATGGGTAGTCTCAGGTAGCTCTGCAAGCGTCGATCTGACGGCTCGAATATCACTACGGCCGGTTTCCAATGGCAGTGGAGAAGAATGGTGGTCAACATTGTCGATTTCTTTTTGGCCGGAATTGAGGTAAACTGAAGACCACAAGACATCTGCCGGGGTGGTCTTAGAACAAACAGGGGCAGCTGGAATTTCAGCCTCAGTTTGCAAGGAAATATCGGCCGCGGTGTCGGTGTGCTGAACAGCATTTTCTTTGCCTTCAACGAATTGAGCCGCACTGACAGGACTCGAAGTCGGACTGTCAACGTTGGATTCTTCGTTGCTAGAAACATAGCTGTCGGCGTCGGCATCGGAGATGGAGATATCAGAGTCTGGAACAGTGAAGGTGCGTGATGCTGGGACGACAACTTCGATACTTGGCGAGCGACACGAGTCTTCAACAACGTTGACGGCTGCAATCTCTTCCTTGTCTGCACCGAGCGCATCTTCTTGTTCCTCCGGATATGCATCTCCTGGTACGAGCACATCTTGATCCGATTTCGCATATACCTGGTAGTCTTCGATATCTTGCGAGTCGACATCATCTGCGTATGCATCTTCATCACTATATTCGGCTGAGAAAGAGTTGCGACCTGGTTGTGCTGAAGGAGGATTGTCGTTGAGTGATTCGACACTATGGAAACAGCCAGTTAACTCACAATACTACAGCCATTGGACGTTGCTTACCCATCATCATACCAAATCCAATTGACACAAACCTTGACAGGTTCAAATGATGCTATCAGAGGATCAGTGAATGGTAACAGTTAGACTCAGGATACTCACAAGAACCCCTGCTCACATCGATGCCGAGAGTGATTATATCCTCGGGCGAGAGTAACGCAGGTTCCTCGGTCTTCAATCTTCTACCAGAAAGATGAGTGCCATGCATGGAGCCGATGTCCGTGACGAAGATTTCCTGTGATCTATGAGCTTTTGTCTCTCCGGGGTAACCGGCTCAGCTTACTTTGGTTTGCGGGTTCGCCGAGATCTTGGCATGGTTTCTGGACATAACTCTTGAATCGAACGTGGTGTTGGTCTTGCTAGGTTGCAAGTCTTCCTCGCTGTTCATGCTTCCACGTCCGATCTTCACGACCCAGTCTGGCGATCTGAGGACGACAAAGCGTTCAAAGAGGGGGCCATCGCTGCAGAGGTCATGAACGTGAAGGATCACTGCAGATAGTCAGTACACTGGGTGGCAGCACAAACGACTTGGATAACGTACCGTATCCTGACCCGTCTGTGGAGGCCATTGTAGGTTTGACGAGCAGATAGTTCCTGGTATCTAGCTAGGTGAGATTCGCCTAGAAGGCCGTGAGAGTAAGCAGAGCCTTCGTGGACGAAAGTTGATTTGTGGCAATGATGGGAAAAGCCAGTCTGGTGGTTTGATATGGACTGAGGTTGAAGTGAGGGTGAGCCTGCAGGCAGCCGGAGGGGATCGAGGAGCAGGTGAATCGGGCTGTTGCTTCCGTCTCCGCAATACCGCACACCGGTCCTAAAACAGAGGAAGAGCTTCAGTCAAATGGGTCGATCGAGGTCAGGACAGATGTCAGGGCAGTCGAGACCCAGTCAAAGGCATCTACGAGGCGACAGACATGATGAGTGCCTTTGAAACCGATTGGAAGTCTCGCCTTCGAGTCAGGGAAGTAGTTGTACAGGTCGCAGGCTACAATGAGGGGCACCGAAGTCACTTTAGAGCCCCAAACAGGCTAAGTCCACGACCTTATCGTTATCGCACGGCCGCCCTTATCCATATCTACAAATAGCGCCAACACTAACAAAATAAGGCGCACATCATTCCGGAGTAAATAGCTTTCCCGTCCTGAACGAGGCTGAATATACGGAGTAATGAGAGGCATTTTACAGTGGCCCGTCTCCGAGCAGTCAAAATCGTTTTCATCTCCAAGTCTTATTATACAATGATATACTCCGTACACCGGGACTTTTCTGTCTTTTGATCAACGTCCTGCATTAAATCCACACCCTAACTCGGGGTGCCGTCCACCCCATGCAAATAGAAAGGCCCATGTCCCGAAGGCTAACAAGAGAATCCCCATTACGTACAGGTTAGAAGCCTCATATAGATCGCTCGTCAGTACGTCGGCCCATGATACAAGAAATGAGAGGAGGAGGGAGAGATGCTTCGCCATATGCATTAAATCAATCAAGGTGCATAGTGTTTCGTCGCCAATTTTATCTCATCTGGGGCCCGCCGAGTCCGGCTCCCTCCATTTGTTGTAGACGAGCAGCGAGCTGGGGATATTTCTGCGAGACTTCAAGTTGTGTTCGAGTAGCTTCGGCATAGGACAGTGCGTTGACGATCTCTCCTTCCGTCCTTGAAAGCTCTGCCGCACGTTCAAAGTACTCCAAAGCTTTCACGACCTTGCCTTGTTGGAGAAGCAATTGGGCCATGGTGGCAACCGCAATATCGCACTCAGGATCCACTGGTAATCAAATTAACATTTGTACCACGACTGCGGTGAATATAACTTACAAACTAGTGCCTTTTCGCAGAGGTCTTCGGCTGCTTTGAAGTCTTGCTTCCATTGGAAGAGAGCAAGAGCTTTGTTGATCAACGGCAGTACATTGATAGCTCCTGTGGGTTTTGTCTGCCGCTCCATCTCAATGGCTGTATCGAATCTTTCGATAGCTTCCTGATACTTCTGTTGGTCAAGCAACAGCTCACCGTAGTAGTTGTACACATCAGGAACCTTGTCAAAGTTCTTGATCGTTCGGCGGAAAGTGGCCATCGAGGACGCAATGGATCCCATCTTGTACTGAGTAACACCTAATTGGATGTGTGAGTAAATGAACTCTCTGTCCAAATCGATCGACTTTTGGTAATCTTTTGCCGCATCAGCGAACTCTCCCAGGATGAAGTGAAGCTGTGCACGGTGGTAAAAGATGTCAGGATCGTCCTTGTTCTGCGCTGTGGCTTTGTCGAAGTCGTCTGAGGCCAGGTCCTTGTTGCCAAGCTCAAGCTGGACGCTGGCACGTTTGATGTATGCTTGTGTGAAAGCAGGTTGCAGTTCGATGGCCTTTGTAAGGTCTTCTAGGGCCGGCGTTGTATCCCCCTCCAGATAAAGGAATGTCGCACGCATGTTGTGAGCAAAAGCCTCGTGTTCGCCGAGATCCCCAAGCTCCAAGGCCTTCTTGAACGCCGCAGATGCTTCATCATACCCTTCTGCGGTTCTCTTCTTCATAGCGTTGAGCCCGCGTTGAAGTTGACCCTTGCCCGTCTCCTCGCCGAGATCCGCACTTTCTTCCAAACCAGACGGCGGTGGTTGCGGACGGAAGCTCTGGAGGTAGTTGGAGACGAATGTGGCACTGGGCAATTTATTCTTCTTCTCGGCGAGTATCGCCTTTCCCTTCTTCTCAGCCACCTTTTTCAGTAGTCTCTCAACACTCTGTGCGCTATTTTCATTCTTGAATCCATCGATAATGCAGCTAGCAGTGTAGTCGAGGAGAGCCTCGGAAAAGAAGCCCAGGTGTTCGTAAGCATGGGCTCGTCGATTCAAAGCCTTGACATATTCTGCATCCATAGAAATCGCCGCAGTAGTGTCTTCAACGACTTTATCCCATTCGCTAAGCGCATTGTAACAGGCAGCACGGTTGGAGTAGTAGACAGGATCAGGCTTGCATAGAATAGCTTTTCCATACAGCTCAATGGCCCTGTTGTAATCCTTCGAGCCATAAGCTTTGTTGCCTGCAGCCTTCAGCTTCCCTGCATATGTCGCTCGATCCTGCTTATTGTCAGCGCTGCCACAAATCGACCGGTATAGTGTGATGCAAACCTCGGCAGTAAAACTCTCTACCGTGGATTCGTTGATCTCGGGCAGTTCGTCCTCGGTCTCGACGGTGGGAGGCTTGGGCACAGTCCCTGGATGTTGTCAGTTCTAAGCTGCTATATGTGCATCTCAAGTCCGCGTCACTGACCAGCTTCAGTATCGTTCAGACTGATGCCAGACTTCTGTGCCTCTTCCGCGGCTTTCTTTTCTTTCCGTCGCTCTTTCTTACTCTTTCGCTTTTCTGTAGGTGAAGACGACGGTGTCGATTTCTGACCGGAGAAGTAGTAGATGGCCCCAGCGCTGGTGATAACCACGACAGTTCCAGCGATGGTGTATGCAACTGCTTTGTTCTCCGATACCCAATTCGAGACGCGATCCCACAGAGATGGCGCAGCGCGCGAAGCATCGATCCCGATCGGCTCTGCCATGGTGAGGACTAATGTACAAGAAAAGGAAAGCTAGAAAGATGCAAACAAAATGTTAGGGAGAAGGACGGAGATAGCAAGACAAAAGTCTGGGTGACAAGTTCGAGGGTTCAAAAATGTTCCCAAGCACAGACACGGACAAGTGCATCATCCCAGAAATCTGCAGATGCAGATTCGAGAGCATTTGGCCAATAAACAAGCTCCATTTATTCTGCGTGTCGGACTCTAAATTCGCCGGACTACGGTGACGCACAATTCATCCAATCCATCCAATTCATCCCAGTATGAATGCCTCCCGTTTTAGGTATGCTCGTCCCGATCTCTTTCGTTGCCTAGATTCTAGTGCCTCGAACCTCTAAACTGTATGGTACGTGGGGGGCGTTGACATATCAATGCCATCGACTATATGATTGGAAGTGAAGGTCATGTCTGTTGGTGGCTCCCAAGCGTTGCCTTGCACGAATGCAACACCTGAGCACGATCCTGGTTTTAGGATCATAACAACGATGAGGAACATAGCTTTCAGCTCAGGAGATGCCCTAATGGCGAATCCGTGCATTTCAGAATGGCACACACGCAATGAGAAGCTGCTGTCATTTCACTGTGAACGCTTTCGTGCAGCAGCACATGCTTTCAACTGGATCTCAGCCTCTCAAGAACTGGACAAAGCCACTTTTATACACCGATTAGAACAAGCAGTGGAGGAGGCTACAAGCTCCAATCCACAGCCAAGCACTGGAAAGATCCAAGACATCAGAGTACGGATCTTGATTGACCGTGAAGGCAAGATTTCAGCTGAGAGTGTCCCGATGGGTGGTGAGCGCCTGCTGGAGGCGCTCACCACCGATACTTTCCATCAGTTGCCAGCAAACGGACCCCCGCCTTCAATCTCGCGAGATGATCGTTGCTCAAGCATCTCTGTTGATAGCGCTCCCACAACGCCGGTCTTGTATACGTTGCATAAAACGACTCACCGAAATCCCTATGATTTGGCACGAGAGCGTGCGAAGATTAGCAAATCACCACCAGGGGAATGCGAAGTTCTTTTGTTCAATCCCAGGCAAGAGATAATGGAGGCGAGTTTGTGCACAGTGTATTTCTATCGCAATGGAAAATGGATTGTACCGTCGTCCGAAACAGGTGGGATGAATAGCGCTACAAAGCTATGGGCTCTCGATGAAGGGTTCTGTACAGAAGGCATCGTCAAGCTTGAGGGTGTCAAGCAGGGGGAAATTGTTTGGTTGAGCAACGCGCTCAGAGGCTTCTTTCTTGGGAGAATTTATTTCTAGTTTTCAGGCTTCGTACGTCCAATGCTCATCTTCTTTGCGTGTCCTGGACCCACTTTCGTCTTTCCGCCTTCCTTCTTTTCTTCGACAGAATCCTTCTTGACAGGGTTTGGATTGCCCTGATACGTAAGCTGCTTGAAAGCGAAGAAGTCTTGCCTAACCTCATCAGTAACAGCTTTCCTCCGAGCTTGGAATCCTACCACATAATCTTGCAGATACTTGATACAAATCTGCTTGATCTCTCCAGTCAACATTTCTCCTGATTCGTAGGCTTTCTTAATGCGGGCAAGCTCCTCATCATCCTCCATAAAGAACGTCATATATTGGAACGGAACATCGACTTTTGTATTTCCGCCCAGTTCACGTTGCTTTTCGGCAGTATCTTGACCTCCTGAGAAGGCAAAACGATTGATCTTATTTTTGATTTGATTGGGCGTGTCGGTCAAAAAAATGGCCGAGGAATCAATACTAGCCGACATCTTCGAACCTGGCCCTTGCAGTGCAGGAAGGAAAATCGAGTGTATAAGTGACGGTTTCTTGCACTTCATCTGCTCTGCATTCTCGCGGCATTGTCGGAAGTAGGGGTCTTGGTCTATGGCACATGGAATGAGACATGGTATGCTTCGGACCTTTGCTGGATTGTCACCAAAGATATGGGGGAATGATGTCGCAAAGGCGGGCGCGGATTGCACTGCGCAGAAGAAGATCTCGCCAACATTGTTGCCGCTGTTGAAGCCGAATGTGCCGTAGATTTGGTTTGCGGTGATCCGTTTGGCCATCGAAATAACGTTGTCGAAAAAAGGGGTGCCCATGATACCGCCTGTATCGTTGAAAATAAATGTCTTCGATGGATCAAACCCAATGGCGATAATGTCTTTCGCATTGTCCAAGGCGAACTTCTTGACATCTTCAAGTTTCAACTTTTTGGAGTGCATGAACTTCTCATCATCGGTCAGCTGGATGACGAGAGGACAGTCGAATGTGTCTTGGAGGAATTTTGTGAACTCGAAAGGCACTGAATGTCCGACGTGCATGCTATCGCTACTAGGCCCACGGCCAGTGTAGAGGTAGAAGGGCTCGCCTTTTTCATATCTGTCCAGAATCTTTCCCAGATCTCGATGCGAAAAGACAATGCCTCTCCGCATGAATCTGTGCGCTCTTTTTCCCGTAACTCTTTCGAATCGTTCGAGCAGCTCAGTGTTGATAGGTGTGGCACCGAACTCTCGCGTGAGCTTCTCGTAGTCGACCGGGAGTAGTTTTCCGCTCTCGTCCACACCTCCAGATACCTCAAAAGGCGTAATCCGCTGTGCCATGCTCTGCGCAGGGGCTTGGTCTGCAAGGGCGCTCGTTGTCAACTTGGGCGGCTGGCCCGGCTCATCTGCAGGCCTAGCGCCTGTTGCTGTCGAGTCTGCCATTCTGATATGTTATGATCAGGCGAGAAGGAAATGACAACGCTTCAAGAATAACGAAGCAGAGTACTACTTTCGCGGGGTGAATGCGGCTGCGTCCTTGTAAACGGATGTCTGCAGGCCGGACTCACGGTGCCTGGAACGGATACAATCGAGTTTTACGGTCGAAAGTAGCCTGATGCAAGTTGTTCCAGATTCAAAATGAATGGCAGGGCCACGCGCGCAAGATCACTCAAAACGAGGTACTCCGTATGTGCTGTCCACACTGCGCAACTCGCCAAAATCATTGTGGCTTCAAGGGTCGTTGAGATTAGATAAGATCTTTCCCTCTGATCTGCCGTGACGTGCAACGATTTTATCTCCGCAGCCAAGACCTTCTCCTCTTCTATCGTCCAGGCCCCAAGTGGCAATTGATTGCCAGAGCTCACGCGAGTCGATGAAAAAAGACCCTCGACCTGGTTGCCAACATCATCATCCTTCTAATATTCTTTCCTTTCTCCTCCATGTCTTAAGCCAAGATGAAATTCTACGAAAGTTCCTTCAATTACGACTATACATTCCCTGCCGTGACCCTCGCATATTTCCTCCGGTATCCGAATCCTTACTCAAGGCATGTCCTGAGCTCCGATGTCATTGATCGCTATGTCGATCCGGAGACACAGCGATTGCATACTGTTCGATTGCACCTGAAAAAGTCGAAAGTCCCTGCGGGCATCTTGAAATTCCTTCCACGTGGTCTCGCTGGACCCGGCGGCGCAAGTCAGAGTTACATTCTTGAAAAAACCACAATTGACGTTAAAGAGGGATGGATGGAGACCGAGTCCAAAAACATGGAATGGACCGGCATACTGAGTGTCGTGGAACGTCAGAGCTTTCGACGTCAACGTTTGGTTGATCTAGCAGAGGGCTCGAACAACGATCTCGAACGTGCGAAAGAAACCACCTCATGCAGGACCGTGGTGACGTTTGTCTCTCATCTCGGTCAAGGCAAGCTTCTCAGCTGGAGACACAAAGACAATCATCATGGAACACAAGAGGAAGATGCGCCGAAACAAGGTTTCTTCGCCTCGCTGTCCACATCAGGCATTCAACGCACAGTTGAACTCATTGGAGTTAAAAGGACGAAGTCGGCCCTTGTCAATGGAAAGGAAGGAATGAATGTGGTGTTGGAGCGGCTCCGAAGCGGTGGGATTGTGGGTGTCTTGGAGGGCATGAGACGAGATCGCTTGGAAACTGTCGCTGGAGAGGCACACTGATGACCACTCCTCTGATCATGCACAAGGCATGATCGAGCAGCCTCGGTCATATTGTCTTGATGTGTATTACTAATTTAGTTGTGATTTAAGCAAGGCGCTGGGGTTTTGATTGTGAGCGCTCTGCTTGTTTACGGCACGAAAAATGTATCCTATTGCAGTGCTATGTAGGTTGGTTGGTAGCTATGGTATGAAGGAAGCTATGTCCACTCACACCGACCATGTCTGCAACACCTGTCTGACCCAATAAACACGAACGTCTCTGGCGGTGCAGGGTGATCGCCTCTGTCCTCAAATGCTAACAGAGCTTCGGCTCGCCCAGCGACCTCAGAGCACTTCTTCATACGAAGGTGGAGGATTATCTCACATTTAGCGAGTGGATGTGAGGTCGGGGCGATGAGTGCGAGTCACTGGTACCATAGTAGGTATATCACGCTCTCCTTTCCCTCCTTAACAACCGAAAATCTTCACCACAAGATGATTGAAATTGTACACTCACTGTAAAGCCACAGCTTTACATGGCGAGTTATTCCTTCACTCTTGGCGAAGATATGAAGATGAGCATGAGGTGAGAGATGTTATATCTCATCTGACGTTCATTCAAACTCCTCTTCCTTCCACTTTCCACGTTCCTTTCCTTCCTATTCCAGTCACTCATTTCAAGCAAACTTGACAGCCAATGGTTACCCATTCGTTCATCGCTTCTCTTGCCACTCCTTCCAAGAGTCGTGGTCGGAATGTTGGCACTCATCCCTTTCTCGTGGTTGAGTGCCATCTTGCTGTTGACCTTCCTATCACATACTCAAGCCGCCCGAAAGTATGATCGACGAAGTGACCTTCAAGAAGTCCCGCCAATCAACCTTACCACTGCGGGCTGGATTGTGCCACTTCAAGGAAGTGAGACTTGTGACGGTATTGTCGGGAAATCAGAATGTACGTATTGATCATTAGTATTTGCTTGGACGTTGCTAACATTTGAGTAGGCACAGATGCTCTCACTGCTCCTGCTGCGGACAAGCATCTTCAATATCTGGCCATCGCTCGAGGATTTTACTTCTACAACTGTAGCGCTCCTGACACCTCTCCTGTTTTCGAATATCAATCTACACAGTTGTACAATGCTGCGCCCCTCCTGGCCCCATCAATGGTTGAAGAAACATTCCATGCGCTCATTCCACAACTGTATGACTACGACTATGCGCAACTCGACAACTCTACACTTGAATGCATGGGGACAATCGGGACAGACAATAACACCGCCATTGTCACTTTGTTTGACATCGCCACTTTCGAGGCAATACCGGTAGATTCTGTGCTGGCTCCGAATGACCCAAAGGAAAATGGTCGGTGGGCACATTCCATCAGTCCTGGCAAGTCTTGGGAAGTCTATCGTGTTGAAGTGGTTGGCGGAAGTCCACCTGTTTGCGGGCGGGAGGTTGCGAGCTACGAAAGAGAATATGCAGCAGAGTACTGGTTTTTCCATTCCGATGGAGAGGATCTATGGACCAACATCACTCAATCGAATGTCGGTGCCAGCGCCAAAGCATTCGTATGAATCTGAGGGGATATTGTGGCATGTGAGAGTGAGAGAATGATGAAGGGAGAGGTGATCATACAGAATGCATTGATGTCTATGGAAGATCGACGGCATTTGGGATGGAACAAGGTCGATCTTGCGGGAAACGATTAAAGATACGGGAGAGCAAGATGGTTTTTTCTTGACCTCAAATGTAAAGGCACTATCACCTGCGTTAGGCACAGCTGGAGCATCATGATCAATCAACAGTAATGGTATGCTTTTGCATCTATCGCTTTCCTCATTTCTCCCGCTTGGCACCACCTAGTGCTTATATATGCAATTCTGCGGCCAGGCAGACATACAACATGGCTTGGACTTTTGATAGGTGTCCCATCTGCCTCACCATGTCGTCGATGTTTGGTAGAGGCAAGTTTAGGATAGAATCCCCGAAGAAGCAAGATAAGCGAGAATTCAAGTAGGCCACATTGGCAAATCACCGTCACCGCCGTCATTCTCGCCTGCACCCGCATTCTGGTGCCCCGTTTCTCCCCAAGTTGTCCACACAGTTGCCCAACCCTGCGAACGACAACTCCTCAGCCTTAGTGATCTCCCATATGCAGTTGAATTCTTTGAGCCTCGACTCCAGCTGACCTTAAATACCGCCATAAGACACGTCTCAATATTGCCTACCTGACGTTTGTCTTTTCTCATTCAACGCTCACTTGGCCCGTCAGCCGACCCCTCCACCCCGTGGTGCGCTCTGGAGATGCATCAACAACAAGCTGCCGACTCCTGGTATTGAACAATTCATACCAGCATCCAGCCGTGTTGCCGAGCCCTCCTCCTGATCAAATCCGTACATACTTCGATTCGCCTACAAACGACCCACCTGTTTACGAACGTTCGTCTTGCGCTCTTTCCATCATGACGTCCGCTATAAACGATGACGAATTGTCAATATCCCTCCCTCAACATGATCAGTCTCGGTCAAAGCCCAACCTGCCTCCTGTGGTCTCGCCTCCTGCACGACCGAGCCTTAGTCAGACACCGATAGCAGAATCCCCAGCCACTGCTCGAGCTATGAATCGGCTACATCAATACAGCTTTGTGCGCAACATTGGGGAGGGCTCGTTTGGCAAGGTTAAGCTGGCAAGGCACAAAATTACTGGTCAAGAAGTTGCCATGAAGACAATCAATCGCAGAAAACTGATAAGCCGAGACATGGCGGGTCGTATCGAAAGAGAGATACAATACTTACAGCTACTGCGCCATCCACACATTATCAAACTGTATACAGTCATCACGACCAAGACCGACATCTACATGGTTCTCGAATATGTGCCCATGGAGTTGTTTGATTACATTGTCAAACACGGTCGATTGGGAGAAGCAAAGGCTCGAAGGCTCTTCCAACAAATCATATGTGCTGTCGAATACTGCCACCGACACAAGATCGTGCACAGAGATCTGAAGCCGGAGAACCTCCTACTAGACAAGAACATGAATGTCAAGATTGCAGATTTCGGCTTGAGCAACATCATGACGGATGGCAACTTTCTCAAGACGAGTTGTGGTAGTCCGAACTATGCAGCACCTGAAGTTATTGGCGGAAAGTTGTATGCAGGCCCGGAAGTCGACGTTTGGTCTTGTGGAGTCATTCTCTATGTATTCCTTGTTGGTCGCCTCCCTTTCGACGATGAGTTTATTCCCGCTCTCTTCAAGAAGATCCAAGCCGGAACATTCCATATCCCCTCTCAAACACCACCCGGTGCGGTAAACCTCATCAAGCGCTGCTTGCAAGTCCACCCCGTTCATCGTATCACGATTCCTGAAATTCGACAAGATGAATGGTTCAAGAAGGATCTTCCAGCTTACTTAGTGGAGCCGGTGGAAGAATTTCTCGATACAGGCGTCGACCCCTCCAAGGCTATTGATCCTCGCCAGCTGGCTCCAGGAAAGCCGCCCGAGGTTGTGGAACGAATCCACGAGCAAGTCATCGGTAAGCTCGGTCGTACGATGGGGTATGCTAAAGAAGATGTCAAGGATGCTTTGAGCAAAGACGAGCCAAGTGCTATCAAAGATGCCTATCTTATTGTCCGGGAGAACCAATTGATGGTCGAAACATCGGAATTTCGTGCCCAGAATCCTGATCTCGAATCATTCATGGCTTCGTCTCCTCCTGGAGAACCCAACTTTCCTATTCTCACCGGATCGCCCATGGCCAATGGCCGGAATTTTGGAGACGATGTGAAGCCCCTGACACCTACCAACGGCGAAGGGCATCGTACGAGTCGCGCAATGTCAGAGACACCGTCAATTCAGAAAGAGGAAGAGAAGCCTCGTATCTCGAATGTTCGAGTCTTGAATACGTCACTGCCGCATGTCCATGAAGAGCTGCTCCAGATCCGGGACAAGGCTAAGGCGAGAGGAGATGACCCGGATATGATCCTGCATCCTTCTCAAGATCCAAACAAAGATGATGCCGAGAGCCCAATTCCCGAAGAAATCAAAGACGAACAAGGAAACCCAATCTACCGTTCTAAAGAAGAGCAAGAAGCGACGTCGCGGGCACTCAAGCCGCACTCGAGATCCGTCACTGCCCTCAACAGTCTGCGGGAGCCCAAACCTCGCCCAGAAGGCATGACTGCTATACCGCCAGACGAGAAAGATAAACGACCTTCAACGTCGAGATCCAAACCGCGTAAATGGCAATTTGGCATTCGGTCGCGTAACGCGCCTTACGAAGCCATGAAGTGCCTTTACTCGGCTCTTAAAGCCCAAGGGGCCGAATGGGAGGTCAATCCTTGGCTCAAGGTACAAGTCGAAGGTGCTGACGGCGAGGACGAACAAGACAAGGGTCCAGCACCGCCGGTTGAACTAGGGCCAGGTGAACGTCATGCCATTCTCCAGCAGAAATATTCATGGCTGAAAGATGACTACTACGTGCCTCGCGACCCCTGGAACATCCGAGCTCGTGTACTGAAGAAAGGCATGCTAATGCCAGGCGAAGCTCCTTCTATTTCGGCCCACAGTTCTGCTGTCAGTCTGCCCGCAGAGCCTCAAAATCAGCTCAAGAAGCATATTGAGCAGCTCGGCGGGTATGCGTCGGACGATGTGGCAAAAGCTCTTGGTATCAAGAATGGTGATATACCAGGGTCATCAAAATCCCCCCATGGCAGTGCTCAAAGCACCAGACCTAGCACGAGCATGGGCGACCTTGGGACCCAAGGACAAGAATCATACACGGGGCCGGGACAGCATGCCGTGAGAAATGACAGCCAATCCACGTTGAACAAGAAGCTCCCCAGCGAGAATATAGCAGTCTGGGTATTTATCGACATTCAGTTGTACACGCTTGAAAGCGGGACTTATGTGGTCGATTTCAAATGTGACGGCTACCAAAATGCCATCTGGCACGATTTGAAGAAGGACAAAGATCGTATCAAGACTCCCAATAGCGGTAGCAACGTCGCCAGTCCCTCTAACAGCCGGCCCACAAGTGGATTTTCCGAAAATCATCGTACTGGGTCTGAGCAATGGGACGAAGGAGCACCAGAAGGGTACTGGAAACCTGTGAGCAAACGATATAGGAATGTTGAGAAGGAAATCTCCAGTCCCTATCCGTACCTTGACGTGGCCAGTGACCTGGTTGCTCAATTGGTAAGTTAGATTGCGAACAGTGTCGAGTGGACAAGGCTGAAATCTTGAAACAGTGGGGTGGCAATACCTAAAGTGTGGTGATGATGATTTTCATGTATGATTTGTTTGATACCAACTCACGGGCGAAGGACGGTCTATGCAAGGGAGTCGACGTATGGCTCTATGGTTGGGTTAGGAGTTTGGGGTTTTGTTTTCCCAAGTTCGGCGGCATTTGAATGGAGTTGATCCTGACTCTTGAACATGCAAAGGGAAAATTGCACGACTGAATCAAAACCATGGGATATGCCTAGCAGAATCTGAGGGCAGCAAGTATATTTACGAAGCTCTGCCAGGAAGGAATGAATCCATGTAGTTCTTGATAGAACCAATGATGAATGACATGAACGTTTAGAGCTGTTTTTAGTTTCTTTTGTGCATCCTAGAGCACCGCTGTAATAGACTGTCGCTGTGCTGCTGTGGTCATAGAAGTATTGCTGTTGGTGATGGGACAATATCTATCTGATAGAGTAGATAGAGGTAGGCACACCACAGTGAGATGGTTGTTGACCAATGATTGGTTGATCGGCGATACGTGTGGCCGTGTCCGACTCACGACTTCATGATTGATTGATTCATTCATTCATTCCAACCCTTTTGACCTCGAACACTTGATGGAACCCAACATCTTCAATCAATCTCCATTCAATTTATTTGCAGAGGCTATACATTGTCTGTGTCGAGTATTTGTAGACCAGCCCTGAGGCACTGTTTGAGCTCGTGTCGGTATCCTATACGGAGCCTCGACTCGTGTCATCAACCAACCTTTTTCATCTACGAGTACCTTGTCCACCCCGAAAACAGCCGTTACAGGACACGTCAAGATATCACTGTTATCGACGGCCGCCGTTGACACTTCATCATGGCTCTTGTGGCCAAATTGAAATCATGGTCTGAGGGCTTGACGCCTTATTTCATCTACCTCCTCTTTGTCGCAACCTTGGGACCTCTTTTGTTCGGCTACCATCTGGTATGAAGCCCCCCTTGGTCGTTGGCCGTTCCTTTTCGACTGAAATCAAGCCATGACTGACTCGTCTGTTTTCTCTTCTTTTAAAAACAAAAAAGGCCGAGCTCAACGCTCCCCAAGAAGTCATCACATGCACGAAAAAGTCACTCACCTCTTCACCATCGTCGTCGTCTTCTCTCCCACAGTGCATCCCCATGGATTCGACTCAACTGGGACTCGTTTCTTCAATCTTCACTCTCGGTGGTCTCCTCGGTGCTCTGTTCTCAGGTTCCCTCGCCGCACGCTACGGCCGCCTCATGGTCATGCGCGTCAACACCATCCTCCTCGCCTTGGGCCCTCTGGGCGAGACGTTCGCTCCCAACATCCCCATCCTCGCACTGGGTCGATTGATATCCGGCCTGGGCGCGGGGGTCTCCGTCGTCGTCGTGCCCATCTACATTTTCGAGATCGCCCCACCCAAGGAGAAGGGCTTCTTCGGCGCCTTCACCCAGATCGCCACGAACATGGGCATCTTCACGACCCAAGTTTTGGGGTACTTTCTCAGTCACGGCCAAATGTGGCGCGTCATTCTCGCGGTCGCGGGCGTGATTGGCGTCGGGCAGTTCGTCGGCTTGCTCTTCGCCGTCGACAGTCCAAAATGGCAAGCCGACCATGCCGACGCACAACAGGCCAAGAACAACCTGAAGCGGATCAGAGGACACAAGGCTGACATCGGTGAGGAAGTCGAAGGGTGGAGAGGCACAACTGGTCAGGACGATGGAAATGGTAAGTCAACCACACCGAAATTTCTATGCCCTTGTCATTGTTTTATGCACCTACTGACACGACCGTGCAACAACAACCAGACGAGGAACAAACGCTCCTTTCCCGCGACAATGGCAACCCCGACCTCCCTCCCTCTTCGACGCCGCCGCCCAAGACATCACCGCACGCCACCGACGTCGGCATCCTTGCGGTCCTGCTCGACCCGAAACACAACCGGGCCATCCTCGCCGTGGTGGTGGTCATGATGGCCCAGCAACTCTGCGGCATCAACAGCATCATCATGTACGGCGTGTCCTTGCTGGCGGGCCTCCTGGCCTCCAACTCGGCCCTGCTCAACATCTTCGTGAGCGTGCTCAACGTCGTCGCCACCACGGCCTTCGCGCCCCTGGCCGACGTCCTCGGCCGCAAGGCCTGCATCCTCGGCAGCATCGCGGGCATGGGCGCGTCGAGCGTCCTGCTGGCCCTCGGCATCCGCGGCGCCGTCCCGGTCCTCAGCGCCGTGGCGGTGCTGTTGTTCGTCGCCAGCTTCGCCTTCGGCCTCGGCCCCGTCCCCTTCATCCTGAGCAGCGAACTCGTGGGCCCCGAGGCGGTCGGGGCCACCCAGAGCTGGGCCCTGGCCGCCAACTGGATCTCCACCTTTGTGGTCGCCCAGTTCTTCCCCATGGTGAACGAGAGGCTGGGCAAGGGCGTGGTGTACTTCGTCTTTGCCGGCCTGGCCGCCCTGTTCTTCGTCTTCGTCTCGTGGTACGTGCCCGAGACAAAAGGCAAGAGGGACGCCGACGAGGTTTGGGGGAGGGCCCCGAGGAGGGAAGACTAAGAGCTGCTTGCCTTTTTTTCTCTTCTTCGTTCGACTCTTGACCCCGAAGGATGAATCTCCTTCTTTCTTTTTCTTTGATCGTGGCGTCGTCGAGTAGGAAAGAAGTGAATGAGGGAGGCAGTGGCCAATATCAATCATCTGGAAAAATTGTGGTGGACTTGTCCGAGTTTCAGCGTAACAGAATATGACATCAAAAGAGCAGGTCAGGGAGTAAGAAAGGAGAGGACCATCGTGGTGACATAGTATGATGTATGATAGCCCGAGATTGTTCTCTGCTATATACAAGACATGGAAAGTACTGTGAGGATGAGTGCATGCCTGAGAATTAAGCTGTCTCGGCTCAGCGTGCTTCTGATATTGATAGGAAATCAGACTTCACCACATGTCATGAGATGGTAGTTAGTATATTATTAACTCTGCACATCAAGCACTGACTACCTAGGGAGGAACGATTTCCATGGCGCACTACAGGACCTATGGTCGTGTCGTTTTGCCCCCCCCCTCCCGTTGCAGTGATATCATCATGGTGTAGAAAAGTCCCATAAACTACTAACCGTCACATTCTTCACCCACTCGCCACCGGTCGTGTCGTTCTTGACGTCGAACCCGACGGTCTTGGTCTCGCCCGGAACGAGCCAGAAGCCATTGCCGTCGAAGTTCCCAACCACTCCACTGGGGGAATCCAACCAGGTCCACGCACTCACGCCGCTGGTCGCCCGGACGGTAAATGTCGGACCGCTTGTCGTGTCATTGTTTCCGTTGACGATCAAGTTTAGTCCCGGATCGACGAGTCTCGCTTTGCCCAGCGACAGGATGGGATGATAAAAGAATTCATGCGTAAAGATGCTCAACGTCTTGTCGTTCGGAAGGTGCCCAGTCGTCGTCAGGTTCATCTTCAGCACGGCATTCGATAGGTCAACACTCTTGCCGAGACTCTCCGTGTTGGTTTGTAGGACTTTGGTGGTGTTCAGGGCGCCGACCGTGAACGGAATGCTGGAAGTGCCGTTTGTGACATTCGACAAAACGTTGCCCGACCAGTCGTACCACGTCAAGTCCACCGTTCCATTCACACTTTCCCACAGATCACTGGTCACGTATGCGGTCAAGTCTCCCGTCGTGTAATTCCAATACGGAGCGACAATGACGGGAGAGTAGATGTCCTTGGCGATGTAGTGCAACATCTTCCAGCGACCAGAGTATTCGATCCCAGCCCAAGTGGGTGCTTGCCAGATGTCTTCGAGTTGCCAGTACAGAGAGCCAAGTTGGCGCTCCGGCATTCCCGATCCACGTCGGTAGTATGCGATCTGCGAGCGGTAGAAGTCTGCTTGGAAGATCTGGGTGGCCAGACACCACGACGAGAAATTCGCCAGGGGGTCGGCCTTGTCGGGGGTGGGATAGTACAATTCCACGGCGATGGTCATCTCGCCCATACCTTTGGTGCTGTTGGCGAAGTTGGTCGTGTTGAGGCTACCCGAGGGGTAGTGGTGGTTCCGTAGCTGAATCGTCGTCGAGTTGAAGTGCAGATCTTCAGGGGCTACAGCTTCTTCCCAAGATTGCAAGGATGGCATCGAATGGAAGCCAAATTCGTTGGCGAATCGACCCACCGGATACGAAGACAGATTGAAGGCAACAGTACTATCATAGTCATAATGGTCTGTATCTCCGTAGATATAGCCCTCTGTTTCATTGTTGTATCTTTCGACCATCGGATGAGGAGCAGAGTGGTTCAGACTCAGGTACCCGTTTGTTGTGCTGCTGGGAATATACGAAATTGACCTTGAGTTCTCATAGACCGCTGGAAGCAGGACATTCAAGAATAGCGTTTCGTATTCTTTTTGCCAGCGAGAATAGTTTCCCGGATCATATAACTCGGCAAGGTACAATTCAAGGTTCTCGAGTTCATTTCCGCCGGCCCACAAAGCCAACGAAGGATGGTGATTGACCCGACGGACGTTGTAAATAGCTTCTTCGCGCACATTATCGAGAAAGCTCTGGGCAACAGGATATAGAGAGTCACTAAACTCAAATTCCGACCACAGAAGAATACCCTTCTCATCTGCGATATCGTAAATAAAGTCTGGTTGATATGCGCCCGAAGCCCAGACCCTAAGCATGTTCTGATTGCCTTTGGTTACAGAGTCAAATAATTGCTGAATTTTGGTGGTCGTGACCCGTGGCCAAAAAGCATCTGGAGGTATGAAGTTGGACCCCTTGGCGTAGAATTCATGACCATTGATCTCGAAGTGCCAGTTGTTTCCGTTTTTGATACCTTGGCCAAGTTGACGCTTCGAGATAGGTTCCATGTTTAGTACAATTGTACGGAAGGCTGTCCGCTTGGTAGACGACACAACTGTGTCGCCGGAGTTTACCACGGTGACCGTGGCAAAGTAGAGATTTTGTTGACCGAGACCATTGGGCCACCAAAGTTTGACAGCACTGTCTTCAACAACGATACTGCCGGAGATTGCTCCTCCAGATATGGTGACATTCTTGGCAACACTGCTGGTGACTGTTTTGTTGCTGGCATCCTTGATCTCAATACGAAGCTCGGCATGTTGCGGTATAGTGCCCAGGACGTCCAACGAGGCGTTGACGACCCATGGCTTGGTTTGGTCGGGAGGCAAGTTGTTGAGCTGGCCTTGTCGGTAGATATCTAGTAGCGTATTCCGGACGTATAAATGATTATTACTTAATTGAACGATGTATGCCGGTTGCCAAACACCTGCTGGGGCGAACGCTGGACCCCAGTCCCATCCGAAATCCGATTGTTCCTTTCTGATGAGCCATCGATTTGGAAACTCGTAATTCAACTGAGAAGCCTTCCAAGGCTCATTGAGAGATGTATCTGCCAACGCATCTGCGATATTTGGGGCCGAACCGAAGTTGATAGTGATTGTGGGAGAGTTGCAGCCAGTGAGTGCCTTGGTAACGTCGAAGTAGTATTGTCGGAACTGATTGTCCGTGCTTGCGATCTGCTGGTTACACACCGAGATTGTGCTGAAAGTATCAAGACCATTGAACACAAGCCAGGTAGTAGCATTCGAGGAAAGGTTACTTTGCTCAGTCAACAGGACAATCTAGGAAGAGGGCTACGGCAGTGTTGACACTTACAGAGAAGCCAGGCTGGCAGTATAGGTCCAGTTCGTCTCTGCAACCCACCTCAGATTAAAATCGTTCAATCCATAATAAGGATCGCTGATGACTTGGGCATCGTGCAGGTCGAGGTGTGCTTGAGAAGGCACATGCCCGGGAACGGATATGCTATGATTAGGATTGGTCAAGGTCCACTGAAGCTCGCTCAGAGGCGTCACGTTTTGTGCAAGGCTGGAGAAGGGTGCACCGAGGAGAGACAAGCTGAATATTAGTAGAGACACAAACATATTGGATCTTTGATCCTCGAGGCCACAGCCTATACCAACGGCGCTCTGTTTTCCAACGACGAAAAGCCTACCTTAAGCATTGGCAAGCTCAGTCAAGAGATGGGACTCCATGCCATTAAAGCTTCGCGCGGGATGAACATCATGCCCAGGAAGTCCTGGTACTCTTCAGCTTTGAATGACGCAATGAAATAGGCAATGCAACATTTGCTGCAAGGTACCAGACCATGAATGATCGACATGTTTGAAAAGAGGAGTAGTCAACCAGCGGTGGAGGAGAAAGCGGATGGAGGAGATGGTGGTGATGCCGGTGGAAGTGAAGGAGGAATAGCAGGAGGAGATTAAGCCGGGGAAACTAGGGAGTATACGAATACGGAATCCGGAGTCCGGAGTAACAGCTTCCGAACCTAGATTGGGAAGGTGTCATTTGGTGTCAATGTCAATGTCAATGGCCCTTAGGGTACGGAGTACCATGGATGAGTAAAAGTATTCCGTAGTCTAGACAAGAAGAAGAGGAGGTAGATTGAATAGACCAATAACTCAAGGCACAACGAGGATTGTATGCTTTCTTGGGCCCTTAGTATATGCATGACTGTACATCTTGCTCCTCATTAGGTATCCTCATATTCCCCAGTATGTTCGGATCCCAGAAGCCCATGGATTTGCTCCTAACGCATCATAATATCATCAAATGGGCTGTTCACCCGAGGTTCGCTCCTAAATATCACCGGATTTGTCCAGCCTGTACACCAGGTCCGCCATGGTTTTGCTGTTGTGCCTGGATCTGCCGCTGGCGACCTCGGGCGAGGTAATCTTGATTCTCAACCGTCACACTCTTGGTCATGTGGTTGACCTTGTAGATACCAACCAGCCGTTCTGCAAGCTCAAACATGTTATTTCGTAAGGAAATAACGATAAATTGTGCATTCTTTGTTCGTTCCTTGATGTAGCCTGCAACAATGGACACCTAGAGTCATACTGATGTTAGCATTCTATCCAAATCTGAATACGATATGCGTCATGCGAACCTACATTTCTGAAATCCAAGGCGGCATCGATTTCGTCCATGACATATAATGGCGTGGGTCGGTAGACATGCAATGCAAACACCAATGCCAAAGAGCTGAGCGTCTTCTCTCCACCAGACAAGTTACCGATATTTTTCCAGCTTTTCTTGGGCGGCATGACGCTGAACAAGATCCCCTCAGAGAAAGGGTCGAGACTGTCGACAAGCTCAAGTTCTGCATTGCCGCCAAGCGTGATAAGCTGGTACATAGACTTGAGATGGGACGAGATCGTCGTGAAGCCCGTCATAAATTGGGTAAGTCGAAGGTTGCGAAGGTCGGTGAGACGCGTCTTGGCCGAGTCTCTTGTCTTGACAGCACCCCTGAGGTCGCTTGTACGTGAAGCTACTTCCTCACAGCGCCGTCGATATTCGGCGATCACTGAAAGATCGATGCCCGATGTGTTGCCAACTTTTTCCTCCAGGGCTGCGATAGACGCGACGAGATGATCTTTAGACATATCACTCAATTCATCGCGAGTAAATGTCTGTAGTTCTCGTCGTGCTTGCTGCTTCTGGGTGGACAAGTCTGGCTGCTCTTCAGACTGCTCTTCTTCATCAACGTCCATAGCATCAGGATCAGCTTCCATCTCCGGAGGAGCATCTGTCATTTCTTGTTCGTTATCGGAAGATGGGGGCTCTTTTTTTGTCTGCTCTTCTGCTGGCTGTTCTTCAGGAACACCCTCCAGATCAGCAACATCATGTAGGGATAATTTGGACAACTTCTCCGCCCAGTAGCGACTCTTTTTGTGATTGTCCGAAAGAACCTTCTGGTTTTCTTCAAGCTTGTTCTTCATTTCGATCTCTAGCGCTCGAGTAGAATTCAACTCCGAGGTCTGAGAATCAAGATTCTTCTTGAATGTTCCAAGTTCTTCCTTCATGGTGTCTTGCTCTTCCTGAGATTGTTCGCTTCGGCTTCTCAAATCTGCCGCAGCGGCCTTGTGCTTTTCGATGTCATCTTCCAAGCGCTCCAAGTCCTTCGACAGGGTCTCAATCTCTTTTTCAGCATCAGCCTTTGCCTTTTCGTTCTTGACTTTGAGCTTCTCGTTCTTGGTTCTCGCAACCTCGGCAGTAGAGATATCATCGTTGAGCAGATCAACCCTCTCTTTGAGTCCGTCCACCCTAGCTTTCTGCGTGCGAAGCTGGATACCACCCACTTCCATGATCTTATCTTGAAGCGCCTGGATCTCGCCCTCAACACTAGCGGTTTCCGAGTGTAGCTTCTCAAGCTCTTTGTTCATCGAAGCTATCTGCTTTTCGAGAGCTTTAATCTGGGAATCGTCCGCAGACGTAGTAGCAAGCTCCGCTATGAGATCCTGGACGCGCTTTTGCGCATCTGTGAGATTCCTGCTGCAATTCTCGACCTCCAAGTTGATCTTTTGGATAACTGTCTCAAGCCTCGGGATCTCCTCTTGCTTTTCTTGTAAGCTAGTCTCAAGTTCTCTTTGTCGCGCTTGGAAAGTCTCAAATTGCCTTTCTAGCTGATCCCGGTCGTCTTCAAGCTTCTGTACTTGCTCTCTCGTCGTTTCAGATACCGGCTTGGACGACATTGCGCCACGGGCAACACGAGTGCCACCGCCACTCATGGTACCGGAGACATCGATCAGCTGGCCGTCGAGGGTGACCACGCGCCATCTCCTGGCTCCGTAGGCAATCCGATTAGCTTGCTCAAGGTCTTTTGCAACGAGAGTGTTCTGCATGATGCTGTAGAATGCGGGAGCAAAACGTTCATCCTTTGGCTTGATGAGATCGAAAAGTCGCGGGACATTTTCAGGTGTCTGTATGGCGGACAGATCGCGCTGTGCCAGCTTATCGAGCAGGATGAAGTTGGCACGGCCTAGGTTATTTTTCCGCAGATACTCGATACATTGTTGTCCAACTTCAACGTTATCGACGACCATGTTCTCTAGGGATGGACAAGCCGTGGAAATAGCGACGTCGAATTTCTCATCGATGGTGCCGAGATTTCCAAGGCGGCCATGGAAGCCATCGATCCGTCCAGAGTCCTTGAGCCGCAGCAGGCCTTTGAGCACATTGCCTTGGTTTTGGCTGCTTGCGAGACTGGCCCGCGCTTCATCAGCCTTCTGTCTTGCCGAAGAGATCTGCGATCGAACTTCAGGCTCACTCGCTGCAAGCTTCTGTAAGGCATCTTGGATTTTCCTGACATCTTTCTCAAGTCGGGCTTTTGCATGCTTATGCTGCTCAATCTCCTCCAGTTTAGATTCTCTGCTGGCTTCGATGCTCTCGATCTTCTCATTTGCCTGGTCAATTGCCTTTTGCCCACTGTTTGCTTTCTCTTTCAAAATATCCAGCTCAGACTGCGCTACTGCGATCTCAGACTGCTTTTGATTCATCTTCGCATTCCATGGCTCCAGCGACTTCTGTTTGGCGGCTATTTGATCCGATAGACCTTGTGTTTTCCCTTTCAGGTTCTCTCGAATAACAGCAAGTTCTTGTTCTTCTTTCTGCATTTCTTGTTCCAGCTCAGCTATCTCGGCAGTTTTCCTCTCAATGTCGTCCGTGTGTTTCTCTACTAGGCTTTGTGCTTCGGATGCGGTCAATCGACTCGTTGTGGCCTGTTTGTCGGCTTTCTTCTGCTTTCCGTTGATAAACTTGCGTTTTTCCTCAAACTTGACATTTTCCTTGTCATATTTAGCTAGCTCTTTGGTAAGTTCTTGAGTCTGTTTCTCAATGCGTTCATACTGCTTGAGAGCTTTATTGTAAGCCCTTTCCAACTCTTTGATGGCATCCTCATTACCGGCATGTTTCTCGAGCTCGGTATCCAGTTGTCCTTGGATTTGTTGAATGGCCTCCTCGGTGACTTTGGTGTTGTCGTCGCATTCTGCAATATAAATCTGATAGAGAGCAGATTGTTTCTCTGCTAATTCGTTCTCGTCACGAATGAAAGTCAGGGCTTTGTTCTTCTTGTCTTCCAAGTTGTTCTTTTCCTTCTCAACGTGTTGGACACGTCCCTGCTTCTCAATACAAACTTCGTTCAGGCTTTCGAGCTCAACTGCTGCTTCCTCGATAGGTGTCTTGTATTTGGATGTCCCTATAATGTCTTCAAGGTACTCCAGCAGTCCGTCGTCGTGCTCGTTAGCAGCTTTCGGTTTCATTTGTGCAATAGACTCGACCTCGCCCTGAAGGATCAAGAATCTTTTGTGATCCAGGTCGATACCTTTGTCTTTCAATAATGTCGTAACTGTGGTGAAATTGGTGGTCCGTCCATTCAGATAGTAGTTGCTAGAATTGTTCTTGAATGCTTTCCGTGAAACAACAAGTTGTGAGTCCGGTACCACCTCATGCTTACCTCCTGGTAAGTCTACAATTTCTTGAAAGTATACCTCCACTTCACAGTAATTTAAGTCTTGGTGCTGTGCTGAGTTGTGGATCAGGGCCGAGATTTTGCCCTGTCTCATTTTACTGGCTCGAAACCCAAAGACAAAGAGCAAAGAGTCGATAACATTGGATTTACCAGATCCATTGGGACCAACAACCGCAGAAAATGACGGGTGGAATGGTCCAACGATCTGTCGTCCAGCGTAACTTTTGAAATTGATCATGACCAGCTGTCGGATCACCATCCGAGACTTTGGCCCAGTTGCCTCTTCCACTACTGGCACAGCTTGGGCTCTTGCTCGGATGACAATATCCATGGGCTTCTCCATAACCATGTCCATAGGTCGAGAAGATTTGAACACATCTGCGTCCGGCAGCGACTGCGCGTTCTTGTTCAATGCCGTACTCGTGATGTCCTTCAAAGGTGTTGCTTGTGCCTGCAGCACTGCTTGCGATGGCGTATCGTCGGTGGCGGAGGGTAATGGGGGTACAGGAGGAGCCGCCGAGGATCTACGGCCTTTTCGAGGGGAAGTGCTCTTTCGTTTACGCGGTGAGGGACTTTTCGTAGGAGATGCAGCTTCACTGGGCGCCATACTTTCGTCAGGGTCGAATATCTGAGTAGGCTCGATTCCTTCGCCTGTCTTGACTTTTCGTGCTCTAGCTGAGCGTTTTGGTGTTGCTGCCGCGCTTGCAATCGTCTGTCTTCTCGTCGACTTTCGCGGGCTGCGTTTTGGCGCAGGCGTAAACTCTTCATCCTTCTCCTCCTCTTGAACAGGACTCAATTCGTCGTCAGATTCTTCTACCACGAATGTTTTGCGCGTGGCACGGCGCGTCGGCCGAACAGGCGACTCAGCTGACATCTTGCCGATTGTCTATGTCGTCTGTTGTGGTTTATTCATGCAGAGAGTCTTGCGACTACGAGTGTTTACTCAATGTCAACAATCGTAACTCAAAACGGTCTAGCCTAATGGCAAAGTGGTTGCTTACATAACACGGGCGATGTCAAGACGCAAAGGTTGTGTCCTTTTGTTGACAATTATACATTTACATTTGAAGCAAGACATACATGAAAAGCACTTGAAAGACAAAAGGTCATTTCATTTAGCCTCATTATTGTGAACTCAAAGACCTGTATCTAAAGCATGATACTCTCTCATTAACATATGGATCGAAAACTCTATCAAGTTCATGTCCTCCCGCCAATACACTCCATTTTCAAGGAACCGCACCCCCTTCCCATTTGTTTGTTCATAGAATCATTGCCGGAACACGTCGTCAATTGTCTAAAAAGGCCATACCCATTTGCGGATGTACTCTGGATCGATACCCTCATGGAAAGCCTCATTTTTGCATTTGATCTGCTCATTGAGCAGCTTCTCCCGTGCACTTGAGCCCTTGTTGCCGAGGTTGGGCATCTTGTCCAGAGCTTCCATAGCCAGACTGAACCTGTCCGTCTTATTGCGGATGGCAAGCTCAAGTGGTGTGTCAATGTTTCCTTTCTCATTGTATCCGTGCACTTGAAGATTGTGTGATCCCTTACGGTTGAAAGTCAGGCGGTGAATGAGCCACGGGTAAGAGTGGAAGTTGAAGATGACAGGCTTGTTGTCTGTGAAGATGGCAGAGAACTCCGTGTCTGTGAGACCGTGGGGATGGTCGCCGTGAGGAATGAGCTTGAAGAGGTCGACCACATTGACAAATCTGATCTTGAGTTCAGGGATGTACTCGCGGAGAAGAGCTGTGGCGGCGAGCGACTCGTGGGTGGGAACATCACCACAGGATGCCATGACAAGATCAGGTTCTTGTCCTTGATCATTTGATGCCCAGTCCCAGATACCAGCACCCTTGGTGCAGTGTTCGATGGCGGCTTCCATGTCAAGGTATTGCAGATGATCCTGTTTGTCGGCGACAATTACATTGACATAGTTGCTGCTTCGCAAGCAATGGTCCATGCATGACAATAGGCAGTTTCCATCTGGAGGGAGGTAAATACGCACCACTTCAGGTGATTTGTTGGCAACAACATCGAGGAAGCCTGGATCTTGGTGAGTGAAACCATTGTGGTCTTGACGCCAAACAGTCGCGGTCAGGAGGATGTTCAAGGATGCCACCTTGGCTCGCCATTCGACTTCGAGACACTTCTCGATCCATTTGCAATGTTGATTCACCATCGAATCAATGATGTGAATGAAGGGTTCGTAGCTGTTGAGCAAGCCGTGTCGGCCGGAGAGAACATAGCCTTCGAGCCAGCCTTCGCAAGTGTGTTCACTCAACATCTCCATCACACGACCTTCAGTGGCGAGGTTGCCACCATCAGCGTCCTCCTCAAAGTATTCACCCATCCACACCTTCTTGCCTGCTGCATAAACCCCTCCAAGCTTGTTGGATTCAGTCTCATCCGGTCCAAAGAGACGGAAATTGGTCTGATTCTTTGCAATGACATCCCGGAGGAATACAGCCATGTTCGACATGCTGGGGGCGTTGGTATTGCCACCGTGCTTGACCTCGACCTTGTAGTCGCGGAAGTCTGGCAACTTCAAGGGCTTCTTAATCAGGCCGCCGTTGGCGACGGGGTTGGCGCTCATGCGGGCGTTGCCCTCAGGAGCAAGCTTCTTGAGTCCCGGAATCAGTTTGCCATCTTCGGTGAAGTACTTCTCCGGGGTATAGCTCTTCATCCAATCCTCGAGAAGTTTCAAATGTTGTTTGCTCGAGGCAACATCTGGGATGGGGATTTGATGGGCTCTCCAGAAACCTTCGAGGTAGTGGCCATCCACAGTCCGAGGACCAGTCCAGCCCTTGGGACTTCGGAGGACAATCATGGGCCAGAAAGGACGGAATGCCTTTCCAGATTCACGAGCCTTCTTCTGATAGCCCCGGATTTCCAGGACACACTTCTCCAAGGTGGCAGCCATTGCCTGGTGCATGGTATCGGGGTCACTTCCTTCGACAAAGTATGGAGTCCAGCCGTAGCCATAGAATAGTGACTCAAGTTCTTTGTGGGAAACACGAGCAAGGACTGTGGGGTTATTGATCTTGTAGCCGTTCAAGTGCAGAACAGGTAGGACTGCACCATCAGTGATTGGATTCAGGAATTTGGTGCTGTGCCAGCTTGTGGCAAGAGGACCAGTCTCTGATTCACCGTCACCGACCATGGTCAAAGCAATCAGATCTGGGTGATCGAAGACGGCACCAAAGGCGTGACTGATTGAGTAGCCAAGCTCACCACCCTCATGAAGACTGCCGGGGGTTTCAGGAGTGGCGTGGCTGCCGATTCCGCCTGGGAATGAGAATTGCTTGAAGAATTTTCTCAATCCTTCGACATCCTCGGACTTGTCGGGGTAGACTTCGCTGTAGACACCCTCCAGGTAGGACTGGGAGATGACGGCGGGAGCACCGTGTCCAGGGCCGGAGATGAAGAGAGCATCGAGACCGTATTTTTTGATCAGTCGATTCATGTGCACATAGACGAAGATCTGGCCGGCGTCGGAACCCCAATGTCCCAGCAATCGGGCCTTGAGGTCTTCTACTTTGAGAGGTTCTCTGAGGAGAGGGTTGTGTCGAAGGTAAAGCATGCCGAGGCATAGGTAAAGACTCGCACGCATGTAGTCATCCGTGAGTCTAAGTTCCTCATCACTGAGAGGTTTGTCCTTGACGGTGGAACGGGCTTTGCCGTAGGCTGAGATGCTCTCGATAGAGACATCTGTATCAGCTACGGGAGCCATGGTGGTGACAATGGTCAAGTAGGGATCAAAGATGGGTCAGTGGGGGTTGATGAAGAGATTGTCTGGAAGAAGTTCTATGATGAGACAAGAGTGAGAAATGGATGAAGTCTAAAGGTGAAAGAGGACACAGCCAGGTTATATACCAGATACGAGAAAAACAATTGATTGAGGACACTACAAGAATGTTGGCGGCAAGGCCCGTCACCCATTCATTGATCCTTCGCTCACATTGACCTTCATGAACGTCACCGAGAGCAGGATATGCATCGTGATCTTTCCGTCCCGTGCTTCCAATTGTGTAGGGACAGCGGAGATCTAGCTTAGCTTAGCATTTGCACAGATACGAGTTACTACAGAACCCTGCACGTGGCTGTACTGCATGAGGCTATGGGTGACCCGAATGCTACACCAAGACCTGCTGCATCGTCAGGATTACTGAGCTGATCTTCTTCTCCATCGCCGACTCTGGCCAGTCGCGGCGTCCTTGGTTGCCCAGGGTCCATCCCAGGGAGCTTTCCGGTGTCAATAGCAATGCAGCACAAACAAGACACAACTTAGAGTGTCGGATCAGCCATCAGGAGATGTCGATGACTGGAGAACATGTGGTAATAACTAATTGATAGTCGATGGTGTCGCCCAGGCGAAGTGGTGTGATATGACCACGTAACAAGCTACATGAGGCATAGCGGCGAAGTTTGGAGCTGCCGACGTTTCCGTCTTTCTCTCTCACTCTGTCTGTCTCGCTCTCTCTACTCCAGGTATATGACAGTAATCACTCGTATCATCAATACCACGTCTTAAGACGCCTGCATTAGCATTCCTGGCGATCCTCATCCATCATGGCAGTCCAGAACGACCGATGGCTGCCACTTGAATCGACCACTATCGTACCACTTGTGCATCGGTTAATCTCTGATTTTCGCTAATGAGCCCCAGGAAATAACATCCGAGCTTCTTCGGCGGATCCAATAATGACGCATCATGAGAATGCACGCCCGATCACGGCCATGAACAAGCAGAGTCACTCTCCTTTGCACGAGCTTTGCCAGAGGTGAGGTCTTGAGAGGTTGCAACACTCGAAAGAAGATTTTTCAACGTTACCTCACCATAGTTCAAAATTGCTCTGAGCCTGCAAGATGATTGTGACAAGCAGCGGCATCGAGACTGAATCCTCAATGGTAGGATATAGCCTGCATGTCCGAAGGGGGGCGGTCTGGTACCTGCAGGCATCAGAGTGTAAACTCGTGAGCCTAGAAACAAAGAGCTGCTGGGGTTTCTTCAGGTGAAAGACATACCCCAGAATTTGACATCTTGGGGGTGGTGGCCTCCCTTATATATGCACGCCTTCAGCCAAGCCATGGTCGATGGCCCGTTCAATCCTGGTCAGTTCCAGCATCGAGGTCTATGAACAGTCTTCTGCTCGGCACGTAGACGGGGACATCAATGGTGATCCGCTCAGGTGGCACGTTCAATCACGAGTCAGGCCATAGGTACGGCCGTTCCTGACGTCTTGCCTCAAACAGACGAGTGCTGCAGTTCCCCTGCCGCCGTAGTCTACTGTCGAAAGCGGCATAGGCAATCCCCTCTCAAGGAATACAGTCCTGAAACCGGTATCATGTAATGACAGAACATGCAGAGTCGTGAGTACAATACTTTGCGACCACCTTCTTGTATGCAGGGCATCAACTAACCCTGATTCGTGAGCTTGCATATGACACTGTTTTGAGATAGCTCGATCTGCTCACTAAGCACATAGCCGAGATAATCTCCCCAGCTTTGTCTCGATGATACCTGTCTGGAGAGCCTGGATCAGTCCACAGTGGTATACATGACCGGCCAGCTACTGCCAATCCCTGGACATGTTCCCCAGGATTTTGGTTGCTGGATCCCGACAGGGGATGACTGCTTCTCTCTACTTACACATCTTTGGACTTTGTGACTCCATCCAACGTTGGATGGACTTTTCTTTTCTGCTGGGTTTATGACTATTTTTACGAGAAGCATGGAAAGTGGCTTGCCTCATATCGTGAAGACGGCTGTGACCCATCGTCAAGCACAAAAGCATCATGCGACAACACCTTGTGCAGTTTCGCCCTTTGCTCATCTTCATAGGCGGTTCATTGTCTCTCTCTCCGCTTGGTGGGTTTCTCACCAACAGTCATGGAGGTATCGCCTTTGACGCATGAGCTCTTACCTCGTCATCCAGCTTGTCTTGTATAAGCAGAGAGGCTCGATTTCTTGTCCGGCATCTTTCGCTGAAGATATTGGCAGGATTTTATGTTCCCACAAGGTCAACAGAAGGTCCGCATTCGCTTGTTATCGCTCATAAATTGTCATCTGGCTTTTGCTTTTATTCACTCCATCCGTCGATCCAGGGTCCCCCATCTTCGGATCGAACCCTTGAAGCTGATGTGCAATTCAGGTTGATTCTCGGACAACTTCAACCACTGTTGTGTCGAATTATTGTTATTGTGTTCAGGATTAACCACCATTCCCCCAAGACGTAGAGAGACTTGGCCGTTGGACAAGATAAAACATCTCTCTTGCCGCAAATGGAAATGCAGTACATTTGCGGGGTCAACACGGACTTGACCACAGCACGACATGATAAGCAGACAACAACAGGCCTGATATCAACAGGCCTTGAATCACTGGCATTTCTCTCTTTCCTTTATCAGAATGCCTATCGCGCATATCACTGCCTGATCAAAAGCCTATAAGACCCTTATACGTCCGACTCTGTGTCAAGGTAAACTCTTCCCTCTGACACCTGTATATCGCGCCGCATCCCATCCCAAAACACCATACACATTGATACACCATCCTTCATCATGTCTACCACCACCGCCACTGAAACAACCACACAAACCATCCCCTCGTCGTCCGAGGCCCAATACTATGGCAAACTCCGCTACATTCCACAAGGGCAAACTCCCACCCCGAGTCCTCACAACTTCCACCTCCCCGCCATGGCCGAGTTCGGTGACGTCCGTCTCCAACCCTTAATCGACATGCGACCGGTCCCGACCATCGCCGAGCTCTCCAAGGCTCAAGAGCCCACCGCCCAACTCTCGACACACGGGTTCGCCGCTGTCCACCACCCGGTCTCGATGAACTCGGCCCCCTATACGCTCCGGTCCTGGAAAGACCCGTCGACACTCAAGGCCAGCTACGTGCCCGAGACCGAGGAGATGGTGAAGCGAATCACGGGCGCGACCACCGTACTCACCGAGGCCCTCCTCCTCCGCTCCGCCGTATGGTCCGAACAAGACGCGCTCGCCACTCACGCGGGCCACAGCGAAAGCAGTGACGACTCACCTTCGACGTCCGCCGCCGCGCCGCCGGAACCCAAACTTGAGGAAGAGACCGCGCTCGAACTGGGCTTCCCTCAGTTCATCGGCTTCAGCGCCAAACACGGCGGGGCCTCCCCGGCCCCCAAAGTCCACCTCGACTACGCCCCCAACGGCGCCCGCATGCACATCCGGAAATACCACCCGACCATGACGGCGGCTTCGTCCCGCATCATCGCCGCCGAGGACCAGCTCACCGCCGAGGGTAAACCCCTCCGCGAGACCTACGCCGGGTCCGGCCTGGGGCCCCGCTGGGCGCTGTACTCGATCTGGCGGCCGCTGAAGCGAGTGCACCGCGACCCCCTGGCGCTCGGCGACGCGCGCACCTTCCTCGAGCAGGACTACGTGCCCGTCGTCGTCAAGACGCCCAACCTCGGCGTGCCGGGCGACCTGTCCACGCACCCGACCGAGTCGTACCTCGCGCACTGGTCCGCCGGGCAGAAGTGGTACTTTGTCTCGAAACAGGAACCCGAGGAGGTCCTGGTGATTGGCCTGTTCGACTCGGACCGCGACAGGGAGACCGTCGCCGCCGGCGGCACCCTACACAGCAGCGTCGACCTACCTGGGACCGAGGACGAAGAGGCCCGAGAGAGTTTGGAGTTGAGATGTTTGGCCATTTGGGACTAGAATACCCAGGCACATACGCTTGTCAGTCACCTACGGAGTACAGTTACCGCCAGGTCATAGAACGCAAGTTAGACGCAATCAAAGGGGCTCTCGGAGCTTGGCATCAAAGCCAACATTGTAAGGGGGCCACGGGGATGAGCATTGGCACCTGATACGACCGTGTTGTGGCTCAGCCCCTTTCTCCTTGAGAGTGGCGTGTTTGTAATGATGAAAGGGGTCGTTGACCACCCTAACTCGAGGGTCCCTCGTATTCCACGTGTTTGTGTGCCGTGATTTGATTCTAAGCCCTTTTGTAGAAGGCTCCCGCCAAGGGGGCCAGAATGAGTACAGGGGCCGAATGATAAAATATCCTCCGCTTCTACTCCGTGGTGAGTAGTGGATCGAGGTTACGATGAAAAGATGGAATCGGCCTTGTCGTTAGGGAATTCTTGTTTTTTAATACTCCATACGCACGTGCTGTATATATGTGATTATTTTTGGGACTGGCTCCCTTCGCCGCTTTGGGTTTAGCTAGGTACGCCATTTTTTTTCTTTTATTTCCCTTGCCCCGATATCCTCGACTCACATACTCCATACTTCCCGTACGCATGCAAGAAACAAAGGTCTAGACTGGCTAAGCCAAGAATCAGCCACCTAGCTACGTACGGAGTAGGTAATAGATCGGTTGGAACAAGTGTGTGGTCTTGTAAAAGTTGAAGTCATCATTTTAAATCATTCATACTGTTCCAGTATTGTATGGAGATCATGAATCGTCTCTCTCTCTCTCTCTCTCTCTCTGTGTGTGTGTGTCCATGGGGCAATGTATCTATTCTATGCAAAAACTGCAAAGGTAAATGAAGTATGTAAGCCAAATAAACCACAAACACCTCCACGAGATGATTTTTGTTTCCCCCCAAAAAAGAGGCTCAAAGGTGCCAAAAAGCACAATCCAATCAATCCCACCAGCGCCGATGCTCAAAAAGGTGGTGGAACAACAACAACCCAAAAATAAAAGGGCAAAAAAAACTCAATGCCACGGCTAGTGCAAAGTGGATTCACTGCACTACTGCCGTATCGAAACCCCAATACTACTCAGGTACTGACACCGAGCGCGGACCGAGGTGCTCACTTCCTCCATGCCGGTGGTTTGCTGGGAATCAAAGAGCATCCTCTGCCAGTCCAACGCGTCGACGTCGACCATTTTGTTGGTGGACTTTGACTTGGAGGAGTCTGTCGTCGACGAGCCGCCTGCGTCGCTGTTGGCAAACTCCTGCCACGTCGGTGACCCGGTGACACGGTGTACGTTCGGATCGAGCGCTCTGATGAAGCTGGTCCAGTATCCCTGGATGAGCGGGACGATCCAGTGATTCGATGCCCCTTCCTTGTAACTTGGGGGCGCCGAACCTCGTACGTTTGTCGGACCCCAAATCGCCCCGATCTCGACCGTGTGAGGGACGCCCAGGCCGCTCTTGACCTGCGCCGGGTCCTGGACGTTGTACCTGTAGTTCCAGGTTCCCTTGTTCCCGTACCGCACAAAGGCGCTGGCAATAAAAAGATTGGGACACATGTACCGCATGTCGCCGTAGCTGTTGGAGACTTGGCGCCACCAGGATCCCGACTTGGGAAACGTGGGACCATTGTTGGGAAAGAGGGCGTTGATCCGAGACAGCTGCTGGGTCGTCAGGAAGGGGAACTGGTTGCGTAGAAAAGTGTCTGATTGTTTCTGGCTCTTTGTCAGCCGTGGTGTGAAGACCGTGCCGCCGTTCGTGTCGTCTCCGAAAATGACGGGCACATGGACGAATGCACCGTTATCAAAGGCCGCGTAGGTGTAGTTCGAGACCAATGCGTTGTCAAGGACTGGGTTCCACATGAACAATGGTGATTGCTGGTTGCCCGGATATGGTATGTTGTGATTCTGCAACTGCAACTCCGTGCTGGATTTGGAACGTAGACAGGTCATTGTGTCCTTTCCAGAATCGACACCCGTCGGGCAATTTAGTCGTTTGGCGAACGAGTCGACCTGGTACTGGCTCTCGTCGACGGTCAGGATGGGACCAAAACTGACTGATTCCACCGCAGCGCCGACGAACAGTTTATCGTCTCGGCCTCCGTACGCGGTGAGGAGTAAGGCGATTGATGCGGCACCAGCAGAATCTCCGCCCAGGACGACGTGGCCCGCATCTCCTCCAAACTTGTCAATGTAGTTGTGAACCCATTCCAAGGCCTTCCTCTGATCTTTCAGTCCGTTGTTGAGACTGTCGACCTCACGACCTGCGAGGAAGCCATATGGACCGACGCGATAGTTGAAAGTAACCACGATGATGTTGTTGCCAGAGGCCGAGATCAGTCCACTGCCATCATACTTAGCGTTGGCATTGTAGTTGAAGCCACCACCCTGGATGAAAAAGTACACCGGCAACTTTGATTCAGGAGTCGCGTCTGTCGGCGCGTAGACGTCAATAAATAGACAGTCTTCAGAGGTTCCTCCAACACGCGGGTTCTGGCCGGTTCCCAGACAAACATTTCCATGCTACACCGCAGTCAGTGATTTCTGTTCACGAAAAGATGACGAGGAATGAAACCTACCTTGTCAGCTTGTTGTACACCTCCAACAACAGGAGGGTCTTGAGGAGCCGCGAATCTCAGATCGCCAATCGGAGCTGCAGCATATCGCATCCCAAGCCATTTTGTGATGCCGTTTGAATTTGTTCCCTTATAGGTAGCATAGTCGAGTGCTACTGTGCTCGTGGCGGCTGTGACTGCCTTGAGGTAGTATATACCATACAAGAGAGTAAACAAAACAAGCATGATGAGCAGCAGCCGAGTGACGAGATTATGGGGGAAAACCGCACATCTATTATTTGTTATTGTAACTCCTGGTTCCTCCGTCTTTGGCGTCTCTCCATCTTGAGGATGGAATGTGGAATAAGTCGGTTGGTATAAGAGCGTTTGATGCTCATCGTCGAGTACTGACGGTCGCCGCATTTGGAACTCTAAGGAAGTAACCGGTCTCTGGTTATTTGCTACCTCTTACAAATGCAGAAACAAGCACACGGTCCGGTCTATGCGTCACCAGCACATGTGAGGCGCAGTGGTCGAGATGAGGTGGCCCTCACTCTTTCGGATAGTTTTAACCAATAGGGCAAACTGCGGGCCCAGGCCCTATAGTCGGGCTGTCAAGGGGGTTGCTAGGTGAAGAGCTTCATCCTCAGGATGGTCTGATGATTGGCGGCCTCGAGGTGTTTTGCTGCTGGTGCGGGGAGGTTTTTGGTCAAACTCGATCCATGCCGCATGCAGCCATCAAATTTCACTATTCATACAAGGTTCTCCATCAAAGCACCAATCGCCAGTTTTTCAGGATTCCAGGCTCTAGCATTCGCGGTTTCTGCATCCCGGTGCTGACGTTGCCCATCCCATTGCACTAACACTCAATGGTAAGGGGGAACCACATGGTGATACAATAGTCATCAATGCGGAACAGTACCCGATATGCCTGTCTTCACGTAATCCCAATTAACTCCGTCAATATCTTCTCCCCCAAGTCTGTTCAATGAGCTGATATCAGACGTAGACCTTCCCAGTGCGATTCTTCGCGCGATGACCGAATCCTTGGCCCCTGGAAGTTTGGACCCAGCACCATTCAGCAGGCACTCCTCGAACCAGCCATCCTCCTCACTAGTCAACGGTAGTCCAACAACTATAGCCGCTCGCTGGGCATGGTCGGGACTTGGATCTTCTTGATGCATTGTGACGATCAGCTCTTCAAACAGCTTCTTATGTTGCAAATGGTCCTGTCTCTTTGCGAAATAGTACGCCTCCACCATGTTATTGCGAAGCAAGAGTGAGAAGTAGGCTCCAAGAGTCTTGGGGTCCTTTAATGGTGGAGAAACTGCTATATAGTAGGCTGAGGCGAGGGCGCGATCGCATTTTGGGTGTTGCAACAAGGTGAAGAGGATGTCGTCGGCAAAGGTAGGTGTCAAGGATGGATCGGTCAGGTGTTCCAAAGCCCGGGCAAACTGTCCATGATCGAGTTCCCAAAGACCAGCGACAAGTAGCTGGTATTTCTGAGGAAGATATGTTCTTCGAGCAAAGTTCGAGTCTGCGTTGGATAGGTGCCGACAGTCTCGCAAGAGGTAGAAGAGGAGGGCGAGCTTCTGCTCGTCGGGTGCCGATGATTGTACGATTTTGGACCAGATATTGCGTAGATCTTGGTTTGTCCGAGGTGGGTAGTTGTTTCTAGACGCTTCAAAACTTCAGCTTCTATACCGCTGGCAGCCCGTGTCATACTCACGTCGCGTCAAACCGATCGACCTCCATATGCGGTCGAAGAACAACTCGCCCGCTTCCCTGCGGTGTTTGTTTATGCCTTCCACGGTCTTGTTGTCGAAGGAATAATCGGGCTTGGCCTGAAATACCACGTCGAAGTCATGCCAGTTAAACATCATGAGGGTCGTCGAGGCTTTACTTCATCAGAAACGGCGGCGTTTTACAATGACATACTCCGTACTCGGTTTTAAACAATTCGCGACTGCGCCAGTTCGAACGAGTTTATATACGGTGAATCATACAACATATATACGCAATTCTGGTCGAGCATAGGCCAACCGTGTGACTACCCCCTGGCTCGCTCAACGACACTTCAGTTTCGTGACATTATTACGATCACAAATTGAAATTCAGCTTCATGGGTCATTTCTCCACGGAATCGTTCATCCGAGGTCCCTTTCCTCCTGGCCATCCCCAAGAACAGTATCCGAGACTCAGAAGATCCTGTTGTGGGGATGGTGTCAATGACAAGACTGTGACCCCGCGTTTCTGGGCTTTGATATCATCGATTCAGACCGTCAAGATGAGATATTCACTCCAAATGGGTTATAGCCGAGGTGCTAGAACGCATCCATTGTACCGGTATCTTATAATCCCCTAGTTCGACGTTCCAAGGTAAGGCTGTTCACTTTCTCTTCGTCATATTCACTCTTTCCTCCTTTGCAGAATACCTTCAAGCCATCATCATGGGGTCCGAACGTTACCCGATCCAACACAAGGGCATTTATCACAACCTCCCGACCTTCGACCCGTCGCTGAAAGGCTTGACGGCGATCGTTACTGGTGCTAATGGCATCAGTGGATTCCATACTATGCGAGTCCTGCTCGAGAGTCCCGAACGGTGGACGAAGGTGTACGCGCTATCACGACGACCTCCTCCACAGGCCATGATGAGCCTGCTCACGGACTCTCAGCGTGCTCGAGTACAGCATGTTGCCGTTGACTTCCTTGATGATCCTCAAAAGATTGTGGATGCCATGAAGGCGTCCAACGTTGCTGCCGACTACGTTTTCTTCTACTCCTATCTGCAGCCAAAGCCACCTCCAGGTGCTTCTGCATGGTCTAACGCCGACGAACTCGTCAAAGTGAATAGCGCCTTGCTTGATAATTTCTTAAAGGCATTGACCAGTGCAAAACTCACTCCCAAACGCTTTCTTTTGCAGACTGGGGCAAAAAACTATGGCGTTCACATTGGTCGCGCCCGGACACCCGCAATCGAATCTGACCCTCAGCCGTCTCACCTCGAACCTAACTTCTACTATCCCCAAGAGAAATTGCTCTTTGACTACTGCAAGAGCAACAACACTACCTGGAACGTCATTCGACCTGCATGGATCATCGGGGCCGTCAACAATGCGCAGATGAATGCTTTACACCCCTTTGCCATCTATTCCTCAGTGCAAGCCGCCAAAGGTGAACCACTATACTTCCCGGGTGATTGGGCTGCCTGGCAGCATGAAGCACACTACTCGACCGCAAGGTTGACAGGATATCTATCTGAATGGGCCGTTCTGGAGGACAAATGCAAGAACGAAGCTTTCAATTCACAGGACACCGCACCGCTCTCATGGGACCGTTTTTACGAAGAGCTGACTCGTTGGTTCGGCGTGGAAAAGGGTATTCAGCCACCGGAAGAGGATCCGACCAAGTTCAAAGAGTTTAAAGGCAGATCTGGCAAAGAGACACCCATGGGGTACGTACGTTTGATTCATGTTTGTGTATTTTGACTAACTATCTATTAGGTATGGGCCTGCGACTGTAGCTCGGAGCACATTCTCTCTAGTTGGATGGGCATCAAAGCCGGAGAATCACGAAATTTGGCAGAAGTTGATGAAAGCCTCGGGAGGTCAACTTACGGACGATCCTTTTAAAGATGTCGAGGCAAATTTCGTGTTTGGAGACGCTGCCTTTATGAGTATGGGTAGCCTGTGTATGAACAAAGCTCGAAGGATGGGCTGGACAGGTTTCGTTGATACTATGGAGTCTATTTTTGAGATGTATTATGAGATGGGCAAGCTGGGCATGGTTCCAAAGATGAAAGTCGCCGAGGCTAAGCCTTTGATATGAGTTAGGAATAGTAATAGGCACCGTGGTGAGTCCAGGATCGATAGTTTACTGGCTCAAATTATCAGACGCCATCTTTCGAGTTCTTTCTAGGATGCTGACTCGGAAAAGACCCCTGTGTCACGTTGTATTTGGTCCTTTTTCACTTTGGTGGTTCGAAATACCCTCCATAATGTACCGATTACATACGTCTGCTCTTGTGGGGAAACAACAACGTATGTAGCATCCAGAACATGCCACACAGCAATTTCCCGTCTTCCAGTGCCTCATTCCTCGGAGAATATATACCAGGCTGACTTGCAGCGCGAGACCATTCTTTGGCCAGGCTGGTTTGATGGTACGGAACGAAGTGCTCTTGAAAGACGAAGCTGAAATCGTATCGAGGTTGTGATACAGGTACTCAATTACAGGCCATCCTTTTATGCGGTAGCTCAAACAGGGCATTTAGCCTCAAAGGAGACACTGTATCCAATTCTTTGTATACTGCCGGTGTTGGACGCATTTCAACATGCCCTGAGCCCGATGTTATCACTCAATAACTCTTCCCCTCCAACAAGTGTAGCTGCTCTTTTGGTATGGATGTGAGACTCCAAGCTAAGTAGATAGATAGCGCTATTACTTGATTCTCGAATATTTGTGCTATAGTCGCAATACAAGCATATCCTGTAGCTATACAGAAAACACTGTGCTCATTCCTCGAGATGCTAACGGTCTCGGGCGTATTTTTATTTACCTGGCGACACACGTTAATACTGAGGACTAGTCGCTCTCGAATAATGTAATTGATCCTTCTGTCTCAACAGCCTCGCCATTGTCAACATCTTCAAGTACAGCCTTGAAAAGGTTGCAAAGTTTCAGGCCAAGCTGCGCCAAATGCAACAGTTGACCTGTCGAAGGCCGTTGAGTGAGGGAATGCGATATTGCATTTTGAGCTACTATACTCCACATCACATCACCCCCTACGTTCGACTTTATGGGACGTCATGCGCAAGAGGACACCCAACTCACTTTAATACCCAGGGAGCCATTGGAACTGTTTCTATTCAACCTCGACCAATAAAACATACACATGATTTGTTCATGTGGCCCTTGCCAGCATGAACACCCCTTCTCTCTCAGATGTGTCTGGCGAAAGTCAATTTCCACCAGATCAATGTCCTCACGTTGCCCTCCTCGGCCTTCTCGACGCCAACCTCCTTCTTGACCACCATGCCCTTCAGCAAGCCGCCGGACATGGCGGTCTCGAAGTCCCGCCAACTGCCTGCCGCGTCCATGAGCCCCCACCGCTCACGGAGTTGTTTGTAGTAGTCTGCCGTGAGAGTGATCTCACTGATGTCGGGGATGAGTTGTGGCAAAGGTCTGTAAAAAACAGACAGGTTGGCGAGGTTGCTGATGTCGGGGTGGCGCATCAAGATTTCTCCCAACTCCTCCATGCCTTTGAAGTGTCCGGTGTTTGATCTGCCTACTGCGTCTCCCTGCGCGAGACGAGCGCCCACCAGGTTGACTCGGTCGGTGAGCGGGTAGTACACAACTGTGCGGAGAAAGCGCAACAATCGTGGTTCGACCTTTGAAAGGAACGTCTGCTCAAACAGGCTTGGTGAGACATTGTGGGCAGAGCCCGGGACTGGATGACCAACGTGAATGGTCGTTGTGCTCCAGAAACGCGGCGCCCACTCGGTGCGAACGTGCTTGCTGACCGAGAGGAGGGACTTGCGTGTCTTTGCGACGTCAAGGTATTCCTTCCATTCTTTCGCCGCGGGGTGATTCTCTAGAGTTCCAATGTTGATGTCTCGAATCAGAGACTGGTCTGGCTGTGCGCCGAAGCGAAATTCCATGCGCTGCAGGAAAATGTCAGCGTGAATTCCGGCAATGGCAGCGTCGAGGGCCCACAAAAGAGCTGCAAAACACAGAGATGATCGACTCACAGAAATGGCTCCATCGATGTCCCATGCCGAGACGGCCCAAATCTTGTTCGTACGAATGTTGGGAAAGGGGGGGACGGCCTCAAAACACTCCAGGACGCCTCGCTGTGCCACCAAAGGTAGATCGGAAAAGGGAAAAGGGGTGGTGGTGGTGTCTTCGTCAGTTCTGTGCTGCTCTGGTACGATTCCATTGCATTGTGCGCAGGTCACAACGATCTCGTTCTCATGTGAGACAGCCGGAGTGGTGAGTAGAGGCGAGACGCACGAACACGTCGAGACACTTGGTCCGCAGGCGAAGTAACGCATACTGATGACGCTCTGTTATGTATGATATTTTTACGATCTTGATATCTAAGATTGGTGCAAGGAGCGAGGATGGAAAGTGTTGTTTTGACAAGAAATCTTTCAAACTGTTTCAATTGATTGTTATTGTTGTCAGTCATTCATCAGTATGTTTGAATATGGAAGCGGTTCACAACGGCCCCTTTCACCGCCCTGGCAGTGGTCGTGTTTGATTCACAAAGGTGTGGCGAGGTAAACGCGTCCTAGCGAAACCGGTAAACGCGGCCTCAATCCTGACAAAGTTGTCATGTTCACAACATATTATCAGGATCATCATTGCGAAAGATTTTAAAGGAGTCAAGGAGAAGGCTGAATTACTGAGTACAGCAGACAGGGTTAAGCATTCTCTCAGATCCTAGAAGCATATAAAGAACGATATCCAGAGGTGTATGCATATCATCTGCGCCATCTGATGCAGAGTAACACACTCAGAACTGTCAAGATAGTCCGAGCCACAGGTCCAAGACTCGGCCATCTCATACCTCCGCAAGATTTCCAACAGAGCTCACAGTGCAAGGGCCAGCCATACGAGAGCGTCAACCTCTACCGGAGTTGCGCTTCTTTGATCTGGATGCCGATACCAGATCGATGATTCACGACGAATGCAGAGGAGAAAGGAACATTCATGATGAACCTACCTACAGCCGAAACGATCAAGATCAACCGAGCCAGGCACGCAAGGCCCTGTTGTTGACATGCCGTCAAAGGGATTCCGACCTCATCCACAAATTTCATCGCACGACGACCATGTGCCTGGATAGGAACAAAGGCGATGTCTTCGAAGCGCATGTACGGCCGCGGCTTTTCTCCTTTACTCTTTTGAGCACACATCCTTAGATGTTGAGCAAGGTCCAACGATGCAGTCATGTAAGTATCGTATCCTCAGTGGTTCGTTGTGTATATGCTTCTCGGTGGCAGCTCCCAATGTGTCTACATATGATATACTAATGGCGCTGTGCCCAGGATACCACAGCCAACACGGCTGATAAGCACATGTTGATCCCCGAGCTGCTTAGGCGCGGCACCGTTGTTGGTTTTGGCATCCGCCTATTAGGGTACGTCGACTTTAACGGCGCCGAACTCCTCCTTGGTCTCATCCCGGCTGCGCTTTTCGATACACTCAAGGAACTTGACATACGAGCGACCTACTGCAACTTGGGCCCTACAGCCGAAGGTCAGCAAAAGCTGTTCGTGTCGGATGTGATGAACTTCCGATATGCTCTGATTTGGCAGGAGGTAGCCGTATACAATGTCGACATCAAAGACATTAGAAAATAGCCAAACAGACTTAGTAGCGCCGGTCACAACACGAGGAAGATGGGATCGAATAATCGAGCTCTTGATGGACAACACGGGAAAGGACCTTGAGGCCCGAGGATGGGACCTCACCAAACACATCAAGCTGGCAACGCCGTCCGACGTGACGGATGGTTACCGTGAAGGGACCCTCGATTACGCTCCGTAAACCCAAGAATGCCGCCATTCCCAGCAGGCAGACCCATTCCGCGAAGGCCAGTGCAGAGCCATTAACCAGCGGCTCTCGATGACTGTTGAGGTCCTCTGAGGAAGAAACGGGAGCGACAACGACGAGATCCTGAGATAGACAAGGTGAGAGATTTCAAGGGTTTTGAGTGGATGGCGTATTGAGCATTATTGTTTCGCATTGGACGTGAACCCTCGTAGCATGAAGTGTGTTCAGGTGCGAGTATTTCGGTGCGGGTGCTTCTTCGAGGGCAAGTACGGTATGCCACCACACAACATCGTCACGGGTCTCTACAAGTGAGGGCTGTGTACATAAAGACATGCAATAACAAGACAGACTACTGAACGCTCAGTACTGCATACACGATGTTTACTCATGGAGCACTAGATAGGTAGGTAAATAGATCTCGAGGCTGAAACGTCTTCAAGGCACGGAGTGGAAAGGTTGGTCTGGATCTCGCTTCGGAACAATGGTCTTGAAACCGCCAGATGGTCTCAAGTTGCTACTGATTCGTCCCTGTGTAGATGGGAAAAGATGTTGAGGCTCTGCGACGTCAATTTGTAGATCTGAAAAGGGCCCAAGTTTGACGTGTAGGGGGAATCTTGAAACGGGGGGTTTTAACAAGGAATGTGCTTCGACGGTGCGACGCACGGGGGAAACGTGTGCGAGTACGGAGTACATATGTAGGGTTAATTTTTTTAGTGCATTCATTAGGTGACGGTAAGGGCCCAGAGCCGCATGTCGCGGCCCCTAAAGTTCTGTACATAGCTAGGTACGAGCCTCAGGTAGCAAACCCCCCGGTACCGAAGTGCTCCACCGGGGGTTGTTTATTGTTTTGTTGGAGCCGACCAGACCGAGACATCATGACGTGAGAGGCTTTCGTAATGGAACTCTGGGGGTCTTTTTGCAAATCAGGTCCATCCGTTCAGCAGGGGGGAAGGTAGTGCAATGTATGTATGTACAATACGAGTATCCGTACTCGGTAAACAAAGATCAAAATTCATGATACGAGACCCTGTTTGAAAACAAAGGAAAGAAAGAATCACAGAGCTCGCATGGCTTGATGAACTGGTTATTGTACAGGTACAATGTGATCTTGTGTGTTATTAACGAGACCGATACAGGGTACAGTAGATGCCTAATTAGATACATTTGCTGTTGTATTGTACATCTAGTAAAACCTCAGATCTCAGAATTAATGAGCACTTTGAACGACCACTTTACTACCTTACCTTACTGAGTCGGTAGAGCAGTCTGCCTTGCGAAAAGCAGTTCTGATATTTTAATCAATGATGCGGGAATCAAGTGGGTACACATTCGCAACAGTCGGGTCCATGCCCCCGGAATTTCTGGAGTGAGAGATCTGTTTGTGATTGACATGATTGACGATGGCAGGACTACGGAGTACGCAGGATTGACAAGTAGCTCGCTCGTCTCGTCAGATGCTAGCGGTGTCTGCGTGTCTGTGAGTACTTGTACTCGTGGCATACGGAGTAGCTTGGCCTTGTTTGTGTCCCTGGCTCTTGGAAATGGGGAGTGACAGCCCTATCATACAGTAGAGTCATGACATTATTGTAGCCCCCTGTGCTGGGCATTGGAAGGCCGTGTCTAGGGAGAGAGGGGAAGGGAGGATATGAGAGAGAGAGAGAGGTTTTGATGAAAGGAACTGTTGTATTACTGTAACAGTTGTTGTCTGCGATCTCTCGGATTGAGCCTTTTCCGCCATCGTTACCGCAGGCCAGAATTTCACAATCTACAAATTCTGAGGGAACCTTGGATCTTGGACTTGGGGGATGTTGTGTGTGTGTGGTCAGTGTTTTGGAAAGCAATTTGCGAGACCTCGTGCTGCGCCTCAATGTTACCGCCGCGCGTCAAGAGATTTTTTTGGTACGGAGGAGCAGATGAAAAAGCTCGGTGGATCTCGCATCGTTTTCCGTGGCTCTTTGTTGGTCTTGACCCGAAGCAGAATAGCGAGCGGCCATCTGCCACTGCACAGTTACATACAAGTACAGCCAGAGAGAGGATAGTACTGTGCTGTAGGGGTGAAGAATCTGCCCTCCCTCCCAACTCCTTGTTCCTGTACCTGCGCCTATTCCGTTCTCCTAGCCTAACAACTCGGAGTCAGCCTCCTACTATCCATTGAATTGCCTCCCCTTCTGGGTCGCTTCTTCATCCAACCAATGCCCACTCCCTCCCAAATTCATCCAATCCTTCCCGACAAAGCCAGGCGAGACACCCTCCCAAGACTCCAAGCTTAGACACAACCCTTCCCACCCGTGTCCACTCGCACCAAGCTCGATCCTCCCCCCGGCCTGCGACTACGAAGACAACCCTGCCCAGCCCGTATTTCCTCTTCGAAACTTGCATCTCTTCCTGTTCCAGCCCCGTCACCACTCTGAGGCACGCACTCGCTTCTGCCATCCACCGACCGACCAACTCGATCAAATCTCCCTCACATTCGCTATTCCGTCTTGTCCTTGTTCTCTTCACTTGCACACAGACTTCACGCTCCTCGTGAACGACAACGACAACACGCCCTTTGTTCAGCATCGACCCTAGACACCATCGTTTGGAGCAAAATCTCCTGTTTCCAGCATTTGCCGCTCGCTGCCAAAACCCGGTTTTCCCACTCATCCCGCCAACCTCCTCAACCTCCTGTCCAAAATCAATGACACAATCGATCAACACCTGAGAATAACGTCCATTTCACTTTCCTACGAATCTACTCGGTTCAAGATAGACTTCCAACGTTAATCGATCCTCAGTACACAAAGACATCGCTATCGCCCTGGTTGGCGCAGAATTCCTTGTTGCTCGGCGGCCCCTGGATAAACACCACGCGTCGCTAGAAGCAAAGCAACACATCCTTTCAAGATGCGGCCGCAGACATCCTTTCGTTTATTCCTCTCCTTACTCGCCGCCCTCTCATTCTCGAACCTCACCTTCGCCGAAAGAATAATAGAGTCCAACTCTCTCAATTCATGTAAGGCCGGTTCGAATTTCACAGCAACTCTTTTCAATGTCGCCTACACTCCTGGCAACGCCAGCGTTGCAATCAAGATCAATGGTGTATCGTCCATCTCAGGCAAAGTGACGGCTTTGTTGCAGATCAAAGCATATGGCTTTAACATCGTCAACGACACCATTGATCCATGCAAAGAAAACCTCTCTGGATTTTGCCCCCTGCAGACCGGTCAGAAAATCGACATTGAAACCAACATCGATGTCCCAGCCGATGTTTCGAAACAGGTTCCGGGCATTGCCTACACCGTTCCTGACCTTGATGGTGTCGTACGTGTCTATGTATACTCTCAAGATACCAATGAAGTCATCGCATGCATGGAAGCCGATCTCTCAAACAGAAAGACGGTCTACCAGCCAGCTGTTGGTTGGGCTACGGCTGTGATCGCGGGTCTCGGTCTCGTCGCTGCTGGTGTGACCTCTGGACTGGGAAATCCAAACACCGCCGCGCACGTTGCCGCTAACGCCGTCTCCTTGTTTGGCTTCTTCCAAGCTCAAGCTATCATTGGCATGAGCTCCGTGACCATGCCGCCCATTGTCCAGTCCTGGACCCAAAACTTCCAATGGAGTATGGGTATCATTCGTGTGGGCTTCCTTCAGAACATCGCCACCTGGTATCAGAGAGCTACAGGCGGTACCCCCACGACCTACCTCTCCACCCTCAGCACAATCTCCGTTGAAGTTCAGAAGCGTGCTCTCAAGCGCTCCCTCCAGTCCATGACCGCAGCCATCGCGTATGCCTCTCGGGGTGCTCGCTATCTGGCCAAGCGAGCAGACGGCAAAGATGGTGCTGCTGTTGCAGACACCGTCGTCGTCCGTGGTATCGATAGAGTCGGATTCCGCGCGGGAATCGAGCAGACCAACATCTTCATGACTGGTCTAATCTTTTTCGTCTTTATCCTCTTCATGACTGCTTTACTAGTTTCCTTGACCAAGGCCATCCTGGATGGTTGCGCCAAGGCTGGTTGGATGAAGTCTGACAAATTCCTCGAGTTCCGCAACGGCTGGAAGATTGTCATCAAGGGTATCTTGTTCCGTTTGGTAAGCCATCACACTTTTGCGTCTCTTGATATCTAAACTAACCCGAATTAGGTCTTGCTTGGTTTTGTCCAAATGTCCATTCTCTGTCTTTGGGAATTGGTCGAACGTGACTCGGCTGCCGAAGTTATCCTCGCTCTCATTGTGTTTCTCTCCATGGGCGCCGCTTTGGGATGGGCCTCTTTCAAGGTCATCCAGCTTGCGAAGAAATCAGTCACCATGCACAAGAACCCCGCCTACATCCTCTACTCCGACCCTCAAGCTCTCAACAAATGGGGTTTCCTTTACGTCCAATACCGTGCCACAGCTTACTACTTTGTCGTCGTTATGCTGGGTTACATCCTGCTCAAGGCTGTTTTCATCGCCTTTGCACAAAAGTCACCGGTGACTCAAGCTATTGGACTCCTCATTGTCGAAGTCGTTTTTGTCATCGGTGTAGGTGTGGTCCGCCCATGGATGGACAAGAAGACCAACATCTTCAACATCACCATCGCCTCTGTTAACGCTCTCAACGCGGTTTTCCTTCTCGTGTTCTCGAATGCATTTGGTCAGCCGGCGATGGTGTCCGGCATTATGGGCGTTATTTTCGCCTTCTACAATGTCGTTTTCGCCGCCGTCCTGCTTGTACTAGTGCTGATCTCATCAATTTACGCCATCGCTTCCAAGAACCCTGAGGTTAGGTACCAGCCAATGAGGGACGACAGAGGTAGCTTCATCAAGTCTCAAGCTGCTTTGACCACAGAGCTCGATGCTCTGGGCGCCACTGCCAGAGGTGAAAATGAGCCAAAGACGGGGTATAAGAGCTACGACGATGACGCATCATTCTCCAGCGAATCCTTGAAACATCAACCTGATGTCACGCAACGACCAATGTCGCAGAGCCGGAACGCGTATGGTCAGCAAGAGACACCAATGTACCCCAGTGAAAACAATGGCCGACGAGGACCACCACAGTCATACGAGCAGCGGCAGATGTACAACCAAGGCTATGGTCAGAGCGGCGATTATGGCTACCCCAGCAGACCGACAACGGCACCAAACCAACAATACAACGACAGTATGAGCAACGTCAGCAGTGGGTACGCACCACCGAGATCTGCAGGGGGATATGCTCCACAGCAAGCGTTCCGAACACAAAACAATGCCAGTCCGTGGCAGCGAGGCGCAGGCTACGATTGACAACACTCGGGCCAAGATGATCAAACCGCGGGTGGCTTCCCACGCCCACCTAACCAGGACCATCAAGCACGAATGGAGATGAGCGAGAAATCCCTCAGCGGGTATTGGGATCGAGATTGGTGGACACATGAGTATGCCAAAGAGGCTGATCGAACTGCCAGTCCATACCACCGACCCTAGCTTTCTTCTTTCGCATATTTTTTTCTCTCTGAAAATGTCCTGGCGTCGAGTGGCGATGTGTGTTGGAGGCATGGATTTTCAGTCTTAGAGGAACATGGAAGAAACCACGGACACGGCAGACAAAAGGACAAAGAAGGAGAAAAGAAAAAAAAAGAATGGCAACCTTTATGTGATGAGACATGAACCCAGAATCAGAAATCGAATTGTTTCTTGTTTTGTATATTTTACTCCTTTTTTTTACCTCCCTTTTTGGCCCTCGGCATCTCTTGCGCTTGTGTGTGTGTGCCTCGGTCGGCTCGGTGTCATTGTCACTGGGCTGACACGGGACGGGCATTGTCAAGGGTGCACACAAATCATCAGGTCCACAAATACCTACTTCCTGCTTGGTGAAGAGGATCCCCAGGGCCGTGAATTGGGGTCGGGTGAGGGAGGTGTGGTGATGGGGGAGTTGGTGTATTCATTCCCCCTTTGATACAGCAGTACCTGGTAACAAACAACAAACGAGACGAGATTCCCTGTGGAAGTGCAAGGGAAAAGGGGGGGGGAATGGGATTGTATTGCGAGGTTTATTAGACAAGACAAGTTGGCAAAACAGCATTTACAGAGTACGAAAAACACAAGTCCAGGTGTTGTTCTCCACGAGACGAGTGCCCGTTTTGCCACGCATTGCTGTAGATTGTTCGTTGCTCTCGACGTGATGTACCCTCGGTAAGAATTCTTCTCGACGAGTTGAAAAGTGGGAGTGATGCTACGATACTTTCTCTCTTTCTGTACGAGGTAGGTAGATTACTACTTTTCCAAAGGACAATCATGTTCCAAACTGGACGGGGCCTGATAGTTATGAGTAAGTGGTACCTTGGAGGTGTCGACGACGATCCAAAGCGGCCCCGCCCCCCCTTCCATCATACTCTCTCTGGACAAAACAAATCCTATCCTATGTCTTTGGCCCAAGTCCACAGCAAATGCCCATCCCATGCCCATATGTCCTTTGTCACTCTGTCGTATCAAGCTCACTCATCATTGTTGTTCATCATCATCATCATCATCTCTCGCTCTCTCTCTACTGTGTGTCCTTCGCACCACACGGGTCCCCGATATCCCTTCCTTCTGCTGGATCCCTGATACGTCATCGATCATGCGGACCGGTTGTTCTGCAACGCGGACAAGACACGATACCTCAAGCTCTGTTCCTGCTCCTGTTGTTGCTCTCTGAGATCTTGGACCCGCTTTCGTTGCATGAGATCTCCCCTGATGGTCCTCAAGTACCGCGTGGCCTGCTCGATCAACTCGCGAGGTTCCGTGCTCTCCTTCAGAGTCTGCAGCAACGTCGCGACCTGCCGATTGTCGTTCAGGTGAGGGCACGTCCTGCCGTGCCCCAAGTGTGCGATCCCGCAAAGACCACAGTGCTCGACCCCCGCCACTTTGAGACGACACCAACCCATGGGGTGTTGTTCACCGCACGCAGAACACTGGTGCGAAGGTGGCATACTCTCACCCGGGCGAACGTCAAAATTCGCGTCTCCGTTGAAATGAGGGGCTTGTCCAAGAGGTACCCGGACTCGTTTGAAGGGCCGCGCTGTACCATCGAAAAATCACACACATCAGTATCGGCGTCTTTGGGGCGTAGAACTCGTCCTACCTTGGATGGAACGTCTGGGCCGACGATCGGACTCGTCGTCGACGCTCAAATCCTCATTTTCACCGTCCGACTCTTTTGGAGCTCGGTAATCGGGATCCTGAGATCGAGGCCTTCCTTTGTATTTGTCCTTGTTCACAACCGGCTCGGCCTGTTCACCGTCTCCGGGTCCGCCGTAGTCGACAGCCTATCAAACCATTAGCTTCGTGACATCAAAATGTTGTATAGAGTGAACAATATACTTGTCTCTTGCGCTTGCCTCTGCCCAGAGCTTCGGCGTTTCTGGCTTCCTCTTCGGCGAATATTCTCTCACGCTCTTGAAGAATCTTGTCCCAAATGCCGGGGTTGGGCGTACTTGTTCCTGTATCGACAAGTTCTTCATCAAGTGCGGATTTATCGTTTGCCCAGACGCGTGCAAAGCTGAATTGGGATTCGGCAGATTTGCCTTCGCTTGTTTTGGTGTCTTCGATCTGGGATCGGTCAAGTAAACGGTCTACAGAGGCGGCATCGTAGATGATATCGTCAGTACCCGAATCATCATCAAACAGAGCCTGGGCACCATGTCGCAGAATCGATTCCAGATCGTCGCCGGCCTCATCTTCTTTGTCCATCCTCTCGATGAGAACATGGTCCAGAGCCATCTTCTTGCGTCCAATTTGCATGATTTTCTCTTCAACGCTGGCGCGAATCATAAGCTGGAAGACGAGAACCTTGCGCGTTTGCCCGATACGATGAGCCCGTGACAATGCTTGAATGTCTTGGTGCGGGTTGAAATCGGGATCGAGGATGATGACGGTATCTGCTGTGGCCAAGTTGATACCGACACCACCTGCTCTTGTTGAAAGCAGAAAGGCGAAATAGGGAGAGTCAGGAGCGTTGAACTCATCAATTCGCTTCTGCTTCTCAGCCGCCGAGATTTGCCCATCGAGTCGATGATGCTGCATCCCTAGGCCATCCAGAAAGTCTTCAATGACGTCCAGATTGTCGAGAAACTGACTGAACAGGAGAACCCGGTGGCCACGCTCTTGGAGCTTCGGAAGCATAATTGAGAGAAGTTGTAACTTGCCTGAAGCTGCCACCAGGTTCTGAAAAGCAACGGTACTGTCAACCTTTCTTTCTTCGATCTCCCGACTGTACACAAATGGATGGCAAAGGGTTTTTCTGAGTTGCATCAAAATGTTGTTCAGACTAGTGCGTTCCTTACGAGCAGCACCACCATCGCGGGCGAAGATAGACCTCATCAATTGCGGGTTTCTTGCTAAGATCGACTTGTACACCTTCTTTTGCACACTCGACATGCTGACTGGCACAATTACTTGAGCCATTGGCGGGAGAAAGGTCAGCACTTGTGCCTTGGTCCGCCGAAGGAAGAATTTCCGAAGCATTTCGTGTAGTTCTGGAACGTTCTCTTGGGTGAGATTTGAATATCTTGCCTCAAGCTCTGCCGCATTCATGCTCTTATCCAAGAACTGCAGCAAGTTGAATAGTTCTCGAGCATTATTCTGCAAGGGCGTGCCCGTAAGTAGGACCTTGAAAGGAAACCGAAACTTGGATAGGGCGTCGTAGATCTGTGTTCGATCACTCTTCAAACGCTGTCCTTCGTCAACGACCAAAGCTTGCCACGGCACCCTCATGAGATTCTTTCTCACGGAGTCTTCGACGATGGACTCATAAGAGGTCACCACAATGTGAGCTTTGATATCCTTAACTTCTGAACGCTGCCTCTTATGGGAAGGCTTCTTCTTCTCCTCTTCGTCCTTCTCTTTATCTTTGGGAAACAATTCATACTCGGAAGTAAGTCTTCTGGCAGTCGAAGAGCCATAGTAGGTAACAATTCGGAGTGACGGAGCCCACTTTTTCACCTCCCTTCGCCAATTTGGAACAGTCGCATTAGGGACGACTACCAGGAAAGGCCAGGATTTGTGATCCTGGACCAAGGTCGCAAAAAAGGAGACCAGTTGGATTGTCTTACCTAGGCCCATCTCATCGGCCAGGATGGCATTCTGATTATTGTACCATTGGTACAAGAGCCAATTAAGACCTTCAAGCTGATATGCCATCAATTCACCCCCACTCACAATCTTCGGTTGGCCCTTTCTGAGTAGAGCGTTTTCAAAACTCAAAGTTCGTATTTGGGTCAAATGCCGTCTGAGAGAGGATTGCCCAGGGATTGAGAGATGCAATTTAGCAACATAATCCTCATAGGCTTCTTTGAAATCGTTCCATCGTTCGGTATCTGCATAGGCCGGGGGCTTTTCCCATATCGCATCTTCGTAGCCTAGACCTTTGTATTTGACAAAAGCCATGTCTACTTCTTTGACTCGTGCAAGGTCGATCTCTATAGTACTGTTCCTCACAACACTTGAGTAACGTACGTCAAAAACGACATCGACTCGGAACACCTCTTCTGGGATTGCATCGGACGTGGTCATCTTCGGAAGAACATTTTCTTGTTTTTTCATGAAAGCTGACCTCATAGAACTTGCAGCGATACCCCAGACCCAAGTTCCTTGCATCCAGGTAGTGCGGAAATACGACTGCGCTTTCCATTTCACAAGGTATTCCTTCTCCGTTTCTGGCATCTGGTCGACTGTAGTTCCTGCGACATATGCCTCCAGGTCAACCGGCCTCCACGCCACTAGAGCGTCAATCTGATGCTGATTCTCGATGCAATCTTTGCAAGTCCACGATCTATGATAATGCTCGAATCGTCTTTGTGCGAGTTCGGTCTCATTAAGCATTTCATCATTGTCGTCGTCAAGAGAATGTGCCGTTTTGCGTTCTGGAAGATGGTGCATGTGCCAGGGCCGATCGCATTGTGCACATCGAAACATGACATTATCGACATTGCCGACCATACTGGGCTCAACGATGGTGATCGGATCCTTTCCTCCATTTTCCTCTCTCTGAATCTGCTCTTGTCTGGTGGTCAGGCGATTTCTGAACGGCCTAGAACATGCACCTAGTTCGTTGCAGACAACACAGCGACCTTGATGAGGCGCCAAGCTGTCCTTCTCATGAGCAAGGCCTATGCAACGTCTGCACTGCAACACGAACAAGTCCTCACCGACTTTCGTGACCAAATGATCACGACTTCCCCGAGGTCCTAGGCAAGACTTGTGGTAGGAGTTCGTGCACCCCTGACAGAACACTAACGGTCCCTTCGAAGGATCGTCACCGGTGTAATTACATGTATCGCAATCCTGACGATGTCGCTTTCTGAACGGATCATTTTCCGAGTGATGGGCAAAGTGCTCCTTTGTGGCGATAACCTTGGGTGCTGTTTTCTCTTCTTCTAAACTGGAAATGTCATCCTCCTGACGCTCACGCATGCTCTGTCGAGGTTTGGCTCGGGTCCTCTCCGATCGACGTGTGCCGATCTCGCGCTCTGACGAGGAGGAAATGCTGATCTTGGTCCGACGCAGAGCCTGTGGGCGTCCTCTCGTGGGGTGCAGTGCAGAGCGTCGGAGTCTGTTACTGCGGCTCCTAGGTTGGTCCGAATCATCCTCAAGTTGCAGAAGTTCATGCTGGAAGTAATTCTTCTTCTTCTTCGAGGTGAGTCGCGCAGATCTTCGACCACGGGATTCGCGAGCATCTGACATTTCTTCGTCACCTGTCTCCGAGTCGTCGCTGACTTCTTGGTTAGAAACCTCGCTCTCACCAGCCTTGGAACGTTGTCTGGTAGGACGTGATAGCTCATCTTCACTGGAATTCGAGAAATCCATGGTTGTCCAGTCTATCGCTGACGATGCTGCTTGCCTTCTCGCCCTGCTCTTCCGTGATGTAGAGCGATTGCGTTGTTGAAAGTCTCGAAAGGCCCTGGAGCCGTTATTGAGACTACGCAATTTGCGTGACGAAAGCTGTGTGGGAGCCATAATCAGCAGTCGATCACATTGAAGGGTTGCTCGAATGAGCGAGTGAAGGAAGCTGTGATTTGAGGCGATGTGAGGAGGGAATGATCAAATTATAAAAGAAGAAGGAAGAATGTGAAGTGAGGCGAGGGTATCAAGGCATAAGTGAGGTGACTTACAAGGTCTCTTTCACCGCTTTCTAATCTGACAACATATTGATCGTCCGTTCTCTGAGCAAGTATCTCCTTGACTGCAAAGTGACCTGGTAGATACTCATAGTCTTGCTTTTCTCGGTCAGACAATCTCGGTACGTCGATGTAGAAGTTGTGTTGTAGTGATGGGACTAGTGCTGAGACGAGTCCATCGGCGTCCGATGTGGCCTCTGATTCCTCTTGAACATAGCCGTCGCTTGTCTGCGTATCAGGTTCACTATTGTGCTCTATATCACCACCGCTGGATGTAATGCTTGGGGCTGATATTGCCGACTCCCACGAGTCCTGCGAACCCTGCGAACTTGGAGCTGTCTCAATGGCACTCTTGTCTGTATGCTGAGACTTCTGAGGCGGTTTGCCCATCCAGGCAGAAATATCCACAGAGTTGTCCATAGCCTCCATCTTTTCCGAGAACTTGCTTGGGAGGTCGGTTCAACTGTCGCGGGACATTGGAGGTTCGTCAGACGTCCAATTGCAGGAATGTTGTGACTGAGGCCGCCAGGACTCGGTCATGTCGTTCTCTACCAAACATAAACGGGAGTCATCTAAATTTGACTATACAGCTCGTTTCTAGTGAAGTGTGAGCAATCTTTAAGGCATTCCAGTACAAATCATTGCCGCATCGCGACTCGTTCTCCAAAACGCGCCTTCGCCTGCGCGTCTGATTATTGTGCTTTGCAAAATTCCGTAAAAACCTTATTTTTTTGCAACATGCAAAACATTCAACAATCATAAAAGCGGTGAGAACACAACGCCATATTTCTCAACAACCACCCTATAATTTCATAAATATTATATGATAATCTTACTCCGGAGCAAATTCTCTATCCAAGTATCTAAATTTTACTATATAAAAAGGCGTGATTATGATACCATCACAGCCAAAGTTTGATCCTGCGGTAAAAGTGGCCGTGTCAATTGCACTTCGGGCAGGAGTGAAAGGCACAGCCATTGCAAAGGCTCAAGGGGTTTCCAATGCCTATATTTCCAAAGTTCGACGGGATCTACGCTATCAAGACATCGAAACAAATGATATAGCACCTGTTAAAGGTCGTCCAAAGTCAATTCATCATGCCGCAATGGAAGGACTTCGTGATTTTATGCTAGATTAGCCGACAGCGCGGCTAGATGAGTACTACGATTTTCTCCGCGATAAGTTTGGTATCAACGCTCATATATCAACAGTCTCCCGGGCACTCAACTCTATAAATGTCACGTACAAACAGGTAACCAGAGTTAACACCAGGCGAGACGATAAACTTGTCGCTTCCTATATAGCACAGATAGCCAATTACACCAGTAACCAGCTAGTAACACTCGATGAAAGCGCCGCAAACAATAGAACTATGGATAGAAAGTTTGGCTGGTCAGCCCGCAACACTCCATACCAAGTGCAACTACCAGGTGGCCGATCTACCAGTTAGAGCATTTTACCTACAATGACAACAGACAGGTAGCTCACTTATGAGGTCTATCAAGGCTCTTTTAACGCCGAACGATTCGAAACATTTCTCCAAGGAGTGCTTAACAAGATAAACCCCTTCCCAGGAGATCATTCCGTTCTAATCATGGACAATACAACTATCCACCGATCCAATAGAGTCAAGCGAATATGCGAGAAGCAGGGCGTCATTCTTAAGTACTTACCTCCATATACTCCAGAGCTCAATCCAATTAAGATGTCATTTCACGAGTTAAAGGAGTGGATGCGAAAGAATAGAGAACTAGGCTATTATTATGAGAATAGCTTTAATACCTTCATTCATCTAGCAATAACTAGTGTCTATAAGGCCAAGACAGCTCATAATTACTTCCACAGATACGGCTATATTTAATGAGGCATAGTAACTAGCAGAGAATAGATAAAAAAAGAAGGGGCTATAGGCATCTCATCCTGCAATAATAAGCCTAGTCTATATACCTTGATCTGTCTATTCTTGAGGTTATGCAAATATAGCTACCACGTAATCACACTAACTATAATTGGCTAAGCCATATACCATAATAGGTATAGTGTGAGATAGCAACACGCAAAATAATTCTAACACCACACCGAGTTATGCAACAAGCCCTCATTAACTACTATTCCCTAACAATATAACACTCACCAGACGTCCATTTATACTATCATTAAAACCGTCTCCACTTATTATAGCTAAACGCGCAAATTCCTTAAGGTTATTACGGATTTTAGTCACAAAACCAGCCGAAACAGTCATAGCCTTCCAATGTTCATCTGTACATGTTCGTAGATCAGAGAAGCCCCATCCATAATCCGCAACAGAGAGCTTAATCTCTAGTAACTTGAACGCATAAATAGGATATTTAGTCGCTAGCCAATTAAAGTACTCCTACATATTCTAATCATCATCACCCTCTCATTATGAAGGGCTTAATCGAGGCCCAGTGACGGCGGCGGCGGCGGCGACTATCAACAACGGAGGTTAATAGACGTGTGCGGGAGGTTATGCCAGGTGACTCATCAACGGGATTCCTCCAATATTAAGCACAAACAGATGCATATAGTTTGGCGAGTAAATAGGCAGAGATTAATACATAGCATCATAGCGTTTCTCATTCCTATTCCGTTCTAAGAGAAGGGCCACCATAATCACGTCCAGCACCTGGTCAGCCGTCACACCAGGAGCCTTCTTTGCAATCATATCACTCCAACGCTAAACTAATGACGTGAATAGAGGAAAATACTATCCTCCATAATCAACACATAGACAAAAGTAATTCTTACAATTCTTTAACTTACAATAATGTCTCTTTAAGATATCAAGGAAGCTTACTCCGGCGGCAGCCTCTTTTTATGCCTAAAGTTATTTTTCTTCTCACTATTATTATGTTACGAAGATTACCTTACCCTTTAACCTTTTATTCCTAGCCTTTTCCTTACAATAGCGACGTGTTTAGGTCAAGTCAAGATAACGGCTTAAGAAGACATCATCATAAGATAATGACAATGTCAAAACGTCCTCACTAAATAAGCCATATCAACTAGTTAGTCAACGTCATTTTAGCTTCTCAACAATCAAGTATACTAGTGCCAAATGCGCACTAAGTTCAGTCCTACTCTTACAGCCATCTTTTCAAGCATGATAAAGCTCCCACCACTTTTAACAGGCCTTCTCAAAGTGTTCCTAAGTCTTCATAATCAAGGAATAAAGCTTTTTATTACCTTGTTTAATTATGAACTCACCCCCGAAGACAGGGGGGCGTAATTCATAAGTCTTTCGATTGTAGTCATTATATTAATACTCAAGTTAACCTTTATACTCAAGGAGTGTATCAACAATATCAAAACCCCAACATGATACTTCCGTACTAAGGATCTTAACCTTCTTAATAAAGATTTCTATGGCGATATCATAGAAAAGTTTATCAATCTCAAATACTAATTCAATAGAGTCCATATCAGTTAGGCTTAAGTCATTCTCCGCGATATACGGCAAAGTATTCGATCGATAACCAGGTTACGCCGACAGAGAGGCTTACATTAACATCTCCCCCTTCTCTTTATCATCTTCTCTAGCATTACTAGATATAGACAAGACTTTATCATCCTCATTAAGAAGATTTAACGCTTCCTGTGCTTGCGACATAATGTCCTCCTCAATACTTAGTCTCGGCGGCAACTCTGGCGACTCTGATGACTCTGGCAGGTCAGGACTAGCCGTTCGAGAGGGACGAGGGCTTAGAGACACAGCGCGACGCTTTGAACTTGCCCTATTAGCCCTCGTTGCAAGGCTATCGCCGTCGCTTTTGCGCTTCATGCGAGCGTTGCGAGTAACAAGGGTCTCGCGGAGTGATTGAGAGGCCAATGACTCCTGGAGTCGACGGGATGGAGTTATTGTGCGCCTTGTACGATTCGACATCATGTTTGTATGTAGTTACGATATATTGCAGTAAATTACAGTGCTATCTAGGGCTATTGCGGCTGCAGGATGAGTTTGTTGATACAGGCCATATGGCGGTGTGCAGATTTCATACAACTTGCAAAAAAATAAGGTTTTTACGGAATTTTGCAAAGCACAATACTTTACAAGGGTCTTGGAATTTACTGTACGGAAGAATTTCTCCAAATCTTCTGAGTACTTTCGTACTCCGTACTCTCAACCACATCCAACATCTTTAAAACTGTGAATGCCGCTCTTCGTTCACAATGCTCTGCGGACGAGAGTCGCCCCGTCGACATTCCTCAAGTCTGTATCCAGACGTTCGATCTCCCTAACCGGCGCCATTGAGAAGGGAATTCGCGATGGACAGTACAGCGCTGTCAAGCACGAACGACGACGCGAGACTCCTCGAAATGTAGCAATACCAGGCAGAAATGAACGAGCAGACGACAAGAAATTTGCTTCGGCCGATGTGGCTTCTAGTCAGACTACAAATACAATACGTAGTGGCAAGAGCAGAAGTGCAGTAGATGATGGAGTTCCGACAACCATGCCCTATACTACAGCCACCTCGGAGTTCATCGCTGGGCCTCACTCAGTTATAGCCGCATTGAAGGCCAGGCGGCGCAAGATATACAAGCTCTATAGCATGCTCTCTGATGAACAACAAGAGGAAGAATATCCAAGGCGTGCCATGACTTCTGCGGATAGGCGAACAAGCAGCCAGAACTCAGGTCATGGTGAGGTTCTGCGGGATATATATGGCCTTGCTAAAGAGCATGGCATACGCGTTGAAAATGTTAGAGGGCCAACTTGGAAGCGAAGATTTACCAAGGTCACAGGTGGACGACCCCATGGTGGCGTCCTCTTGGAGTGTTCTGCTCTCTCTACTTTGCAAGTCTCCACGCTACCATCTGTTCAACGACCGGAGCATGATATACTGGCTACCATTGGATGGAGTGACCAAGGATCGCAGAACTCTGGAGCCAAAGTGCAAGGAGATGTATTTGGCATCGAGAAGCCATTGCCTCCTGGACATTCATATCGACCAGCGTACCGATACCCTTTCATGCTATTGCTCGACCGCATCAACGACGTAGGCAATTTCGGAGCAATAGTGCGTTCTGCTTGGTTCTTGGGCGTTGATGCCATACTCACTCTCGATCACGGTACTCCTGCGCCGACTCAAGCTTCTAAAGCTTCATCTGGCGCCGTTGAATATATGCCCATCCTGCAGATCAAATCCGAGAGAGATTTCATCAAATCGTCCCGAGCAAATGGTTGGAAGTTCTTTGTCGCCGATGCCACCCTCGAATCTGCAAGTAAGGTTCACAGCCCCTCTCGCCGAAAATACGAAAAGACCGTAGCCTTGCAAGCGGAAGGTGCCTTGTTGCAATATCCATGCGTTCTTGTCCTAGGAAATGAAGGTGCAGGGATTCGGACATTCATGCACAATCTCGCTGACGGTGTGGTTGGGATACCAAATGCTCGCCCGGACCATGGAGATGTTGACAGCTTGAATGTTAGCGTGGCAGCCGCCTTGTTGACCCAGAGATTCTTCGATTCCGCTTGTTCTGAGGATAGGGTGGGTTGATATCGTTCCACCGTGAGCGACGTGTGACCAGCGGGAGCAGACCAACCTCAGCTTAAACCTTGCCCATCCATTCCAAGGAGTAAATGGGGCTAGTCCTCCTGAACGGAACAATCACATCTCCTGACGCATTGCTTCCAATGGACTGAACCGCCAACTTTTCAATCACCTTTTCCTCTTTCGCCGAGACTCTGATCTTCGCTCCGCTCGCCTTTACCCGATAGAACTTCCGACCAAAGCCACCAAGGAACCCCTCTAATACATCCTGCGACACTCGCCCTTTCTCGATCATGCCCTTGGACACCGCGCCCTCGAACGCCTGCAAGACATACTGGGTTGCATATGGCTGTGTGAACACACCCGCCGCACACTTTCCCATCTCAGATCCCATACCGCCTTTCTTCGCGCGCAAAGGATGCGGCGCACTATCTGTGCCGAGGAAAAACTTCTCGTCACCACCCGTGGCGGCTTTGAGCAATGCAATGCGATCCTTGGGGAGTTTCGCGACCGGCTTGCAAAAGTTGATCGGATCGCCAGCCCAATCGTCCACGATCAAACTGAGATGATGAGCGGTGATGGTTGCGACGACATTTGGCCCGCACTTCTTGACGGCCTCAATGGCCGCGGCGGTCGTACAATGCTCCAACACGATTCTGAGCTTGGGGAACCGACGATGCAGATCCAAGAGAGTCGGAAGAAAGGCCTCCTCCGCGTTGAGCACGGTGATGTCTTCGCCAGGGGGAGCTTCGCCGTGCAAATTGAGCACCAGGTCCTCTTGCTCCATGGCCTCGAAGACCGGATAGAACTGCTCGTAATCGACAACACCGGAGGCGGAATTGGTGGTCACGCCCGCCGGGTAGGACTTGACTCCGTAGATGACGCCAGATCGTTTCGCTTCTCGGATCGTGTCCGGCGTGATGGATGGGTGCAAGTACAGTGACATGAGGCACGTTGCGTCACTGAACTTTGAGATGGTCTGTTTGTAGGAGAGTGCATGCTCGACGGTGGTGATTGGTGGGACGAGATTTGGCTGTTTGATAGTAGAAAAGAACAATGTTAACACCCTTCTCTTTAAACCAATCGATAGACATCACTCAGTGCTTGGTCGTTCTCATTGCCAAGAACACATGGATGAAAGGATAACGCTTGATCTGATTCAAAAGAGCTCGAGGATGCAAAAACAGTTCCCTCAACTCACCATGACGAATACGGTCTCGACGCCGCCTTGCTTGATCGTCGGGGCCACGGCTTCGAGCATGGCCCCGTCGCGAAGGTGGACATGGAAATCCGCCGACGCCGGCAGCACAAGCCCGTCGAACATGGTGGTAGGTGGTGATGACATTTTTGTGGTGTGCCAGGGTTGAAGGACTAGTGAAAATGGCGATCTTCAAAAGGGTTCGAGAAACTTTCGGTTTACGGGTTGGTTCTGAGAGGAAAGGCGGAAAAGGAACGATACAAGTCCTTGCTCGTCGTTCCGTGCGATACAAAATTCAGCAAAGAGGTTGATCGTAATGAAGAGTGCTGTACCCAGTGCCCTGTTGATCTGCCGTAGTGGTATAGGGCGGATCATTGCTGGCAATACATAAACTAACACAAGCCCTACCAGTTAACTAGGTACGTGTACCTGTGGAACAACAAAGAATTCCGCATGAGTCCTCTGTACGAGTACAAGTCTAACGACAGTAAACAAGTCGAGAAAATGGTGTTTCAGCATTTCTGTCTATCGTGTCAAAAAGTGTACATGTTGGTTGGTGTGTTTTTGTGCCCAGTATCACATATTTGCAGTCCCTTTTCCCATCAATCTATCCATTTCACAACATTATCACGTATCCCCGTTGATCCCCAAACTTCAATTTTTCCAGCAATTTGTAGAATTCCTTCATATGTACCAGATTTGTAACCGGTAATCGCGTTCAACGTCCTCTCAATCTGTCCTCTCCTCCCTAACGGGGTATGAGATACGGCTGCTTTGAAGAAATGCTTAACACCTAATTCGAATTTGTATCTTGTCGAACGCCATTTGCCGTCATATCCATTCGTCCATGAGAGATCCGATGGCTTTCTCTCATATGCATTAATAAATCCAAGTCGCTCATTCTCCGTTGTGCAATGCAGTTTAGTCCTGTCGATGGGTTAGCATAACCCTCTCTTGTGTTCAGGCATATGTGTAATTCATACCTCATCAGTAAGTCGGTCCAACAACTGTATACTCAGTATCATCACCAGCAGTCCTAGTGTCACTATCACAAGGAGTCCAAAGCCGAACCATCCTAGGACCACTGCGGCTGTTCCGACTCCGGACTTGACACTTCCATTGCCGAGATCCCTGGTCACTATGCTTGCCGCCACAGCCGCCGTGTGCTGCCACATCACAGACACCAGTACAAAAACTGATGCTATGAAGATGGTTGCCAACGCCACTTGTGACACAGCTCTTGAAGGGAACGGCCGTACTTCGTGTTCGGAGCCATCTGGCCCGGTACTCGTGTGCCAACCGGGGAATGTTGCGAGGAGGATAAAGGTCAGGAAGGCGAGGACGATGGCGATGATGAGGAGGTATGGGAAGACAATGGCGTTCTTAAAAGTACTGGCCACCCATATCAGGTTGAGAGGGTCTTGATCAACGCTGACCAGATCTGCAAGGGCGGTCGAATTCTGGTTGCACATCCATGCGCCGCCATCGGCCTTGATACATATGCCAAAGTATCCAACTCTTACAGTGAGATCGGCCTCATTCACAATGTTGGCGATGGCAGTCGAAACCCCTGGGTCGACCTGGACTGCACTGAAAACAGGAGGGTATTGTTGGTAGTACAGGGAGATGAGATAGATGTCGGGTATCAGAGGGGAGGTCGATGAACATCCTGCAAGAAGAAGTGCTGGACAATCAAAGTCAGCTGGAATGCCTGGTGTTCAGTCTGGGGGCAATTACTCACATAATAGGATGATTGCAATGGCTATGAAGATCATCAGGACATGGTGGTAGCCTATGAACGGCACGAATCTCCTCCATCCTGTTGCGAATCTAGGTGCCATGGTGCTCAATGTTCAATATAGATGGCTTTTGAGAGTCTCGTGAGTATTGGCGGGTAACCGTCCGTGCGGACGGTGGATAGTATGGAAACTCAGCACAGGCAAGATATCGGCACAGCGCCCGGTTCAAGAGGTGGTCAAGGCAGATCGGTTCGTCCTTGGGAGGTCCGAGTTTCGCGATGCGGATTGAATTAGAGATATCGCAATCGATGCTTTAAAATTCAGAGGTTGCTGAAAACTGAAAGTCAGTTGCCTGCGTCTTGTTTGATGGCACAAGGAATGGGAGGAATAGGGAAGAAGAGAAGGGAGAGAGGCGTAGCTTGATTTAGTCTCGCAATATTCGAAGACTGGGACTGCAAGGCACCAATTGCCATAATGTCTCAGAGGTTTGCCATTGATAATCGTGGAGGTTGGTATATGCGGTGAATATGATATTCAGGTGGTTGGGCGTGATAATTTTTGGTACATATTATTGAAGGGAGCCAAAACATGGTACCAAGAGTAGCTTAGCGTAGCCTTGCCCATTTAGTTTCCGGCGCTGTCGCGCACCCGCCAACCGGTTTGCTGGCCACGCTAGCCTCGTTTGTAAGTTTCTGTCCGCGAGGCTCCGTGATGTCACTTTGTGTTTGTAGCTAAACCCTTCGCTTGCAAGCATAAGCTCTAAAACCACCGGCATCACTTGGTAGACTATTGGGAATAAGCCAAAAGCTCTTGTCGCTCAAAACACGTTATTTCCTGGTGCTTTTAATAATGTTGCCTGCCTAAAATCAATTTCACAAAGTGCTTCGAGCATCAATCATACCCAATGATTCTTTGTGCCTACGCTTGGGATTCACGCCCAATCCAAGCCACAGGTCAACCAGTTCCAAAAGCCCACGTCATCTCAGAGGTTGAGATGTACTAACGAGATACCACAAACGCCAAATACAGTCCCTGCTTCTTCAAACTTCCAACACATCATGCGGGGACGAAAGCAAAGGCGCTTAAATCGAGGGTTGGTTTTTGAACAGGAGAACCGATCTCGGAGCCATCGTCTTCGCTGTTCGGTACAATAGCGTCCTCACTTCCACGCAGATTTGCCGCTACAGCTACGTCGTCTTTTGCAACAGCGGGAAGGCTAAGCGAGTTGAGTGCGGATCGTCGTCTTTCAGGTGACTGGTATTGAAAGGTCTGTAATAATTCTGGTGTTCGATGGCTTCGCGTGGTCGGACCTGTCTTCGTAAATGTACTCAGAAGAGCTGTCTGCATCCTTTGAGGATGCATTGCAGTCGTTGTTGGATGTAGAGGAGCTTTAGTCGTCAGTGGTGATTCGAAGGCAAATTTTCCAAGTAGCCTTTCATTTTGTTTTCTGACATGGTATTCCAGAAGATCCACGAACGCCTCAGGATCTTTGTCTTGATTGACATGTTCTATCCCGTTGGGGGTCGACTCCTGTCCATCGGCGCTCGTCTCTGAAGCCGACGGTAGTGATGGATACGATGGGGAAGATGGTTCGGCCGGAGGCGAAGACTGGGGTACTGATTCAGGAACATCATTGTCATCATGCTGTTGGTTTGTATAGGCATCAACGATTGGCTGTAGGTGGAGAGGTTTGGCTGGGCTAGCTTTCTGCTGTACATCGGACCCTGTCTCATGCGGCACATTGTCTTCAAGAAAATCATCTGAGTAGACCTGAAACCCAGATCGTCGACTCTTCTTAGCCTTGCCCTTCTTATCTGCCAACGGGCTGGCCTCAACTTCATTAGCTGCCGAAGCAAAGAAAGGGCTTTGCTTGACCTCACGACTCGGGGAAGGATCCGCCGAGTCCGAGCACAACCGCTGTCTTTTGAGAGGCTGATAGGTGGACATCGTAGACGCCCTGGCCAAGAAAGCCGAACGGTTGGTGTTCGTTGCTGAGTTCACAATCGCGGTCACGCTACGCTTAAGCGTAGGCGCAGAGTTCGCAAGCCTGGGCTCCCAGGAAGCATTTTGATGGCGCTCTAGAAGTCTCTGCTGGGACGGGGATGGTGTGAGGCTGTTAGGGTCCAACTCAGCAAGTGGCTGTCGGTGCGGCTTGAAAAAGGTCTCTATGGACTTCTTCGGCTTCAGTGACATAGGTGTTGCATAGCTCTGTCGTCTATTCTCACCCAGTGCAGGTCGACTGGCCACTTGGTCGGTTCCGAGCTGGATAGGTTTTTTCGAGAAGGGGTCAAGGTCGCCGCATGCTACGCCTATCGCTGTGTCCGCCTCGACGTGGGGTCCCAGATACGGCATATCCTGCTCTACAGCACCTGGGCTGAGGTCTGTGAGGAAAACCATCTTTTGCGCCATGGGACAGAAAACGCGATGGTGCAGGAATGTCAACTCTGCCTGCCGGAAATTATCCAGATAGCCGTTTGGAACCGTCAATTTGCCTTCGAATTGTATTATGCGCAGGATTTTCTCGATATCTTTGTATTTGCGCACGTAGCCATACGCAGTCTTTAGGCCCAGCTTCTCAATATTCGGCAGATAGTCGCAGCCACTGAGGATAGCGAGTCGCATGAACATAGTATCTGTCCACCCTGCGAGATTCACGTCTTTGCACAAAGGAAAATCTGACCTCTCAATCTCAACCAATTCCCCATATTGGTTGAGTTTGGTTAGCAGGCGCTTAGCACCAAAGACGAGCAGATCAGAGTCTTCCGAAAGAATGCCGTCTATGATACCTTTGTTCTCCAGGTAGACGAGCTGCGCATCGGCTTCATATGGCGCAACAACATACTGAACATTGAGCTTTTTCAGTTCCTCGATCAATTGCCGTGCCATTAGCGGAGTAACGTCCACAGACTTCTGCAATTCCTGCTGCGCTTGACTGGTCTTCCCGGCTCTATAAAGTTCCAATCCCAAAGCCTTGCTTTCTTGTCTTTTCTTTCGTCGGGCCTCATTCGTACCGGCCTTGCTGGGCAGATTGTCTCCGTCGAAGATCAAGTATGGTGTCACCCCAAAGTCCAACAGCATGCGAACTCTACTAAGTACAAAGTCGATATGAATGGTCGTAGGTTTTCCCAGGGCGAGGGCGAAAGCGCACCCCACGACGCCGCGATGTAGCCATCCGTACGCGTCTACTCCGATCGTCTGTCCTGAGAACTTTTTCAGGGTACATGGCTTCTGAATTGATCTAAGCAGGGGCAACAGTCCTGTAGGTTGTCAGCGACCAGTGAGAAAGGGTATGTTTGGGACTTACCCTTGATACCCATTTTCGCAGTATACCAACCCTCACCGCCTATTCGCACCAGTATCAGATGTTGCGACACCGCGACATAGGCGTAGGGTTGGAGGAACAAGGATTTGGCAATCGTGTACTTCGTCACTCGTAATACTTCGTGCCATTGAACGGTATAGTTGGTGCAACAATACAAGGTAGATTGTGGAATGCAAAGCCTCAATTGACAGGCGACTGCTTCGTTGAGGCGCGTTTGGACGCTGAAGGCGCGTTGTTCGGGTAGTCGATGGTTGTCTGACAAGCGTTCTGCAGAGGGTGACCGGCCTATCAAGCAGTCAGACAAAAAACAACACCGATAACACTCTATCAAGATTGCCGAAGTTCTACCGGTCCAAGGATATTTTTTTGGACAGTGATCAAGAGCGAGGAATTCTCCCCAGGTAGTCGTAGTAGTCGTAATTGAAGTACATTGCATCTTTGCATGCTCGATTCTATCGATTAAATATGGCGCGCTCTCTGAACAAAGTCCACAAACAAATTGCTAAAAAGAAAGGAGGAAAAACCAACAGTCTTCACGAGAATAGTCGAGATGCAAAGCGGTTACGAGCAGCCGGTGCGCGAGAAGAAAAATTGCACCGCATCATGGATGCCGCTCTCAAGTCTAATCAGATATATGGTATTTGCCGCTGAATGCTTCAAAGTAGATATTTGCTAATCAGTATGCTCAAAGTCGACAGGATAGCTTGGTTCAAATCAGCCTTAGAGGGTTCAGTCGGCGCTGTCAGTGATGAAGAAATGCACGTCCTTACGCAAGGGTACGTTCCAACGACTACATGACCGGCTCCTAGTCTAACGCAGATGTAGCTTCATTGATCGAGAGACTGATCAATTGGAGGAAGCTAAGAGCCAAAGGCGACCTGGTCGGCCTCCCAGCAAGATAGAGGATCAGATCAAACAGAGGAAGGAAGGTGAAGAACGCGAATTTCGCGGGGGCTTCTGGGTCCCTGAATTGCGAACCGATGAGGGTCGCTCGAAGCTCGAACGATGGACTGGAGACTGGAGTGGACTCAACACCCTGGATTTTGTGCGTGTGGTGAAATCGGGATCGATCAAGCCATCAAGTTTTCCACCCAAAGGCCTTTCTTGAAGGAGCATCGGCAGTTGATGCATGACGACTATACAGCATCCTCGAACATTGGCAGAGCAAACTTCCCCGAAGACTGGCTGCGACGATTACGGTTGATGTGCCATTTTCTACGCCGGAGAACGGGATGAACCCGACATATTATGAGAGCCTTCCTTGCGAAGATTTGCCTTGGACTATTTAATCAAGGCTGTCAGCACATCACGACGAATCGTTCGTCGAGAAAATGCGTACAAGAAAAGCATCGAACGCTCACTGAGGAGGTCGCATAAAAAGGGGGATCTAGGGATACAGCTGGGCTCTCAAGCACGGGTCATTGCCTCAAGCCCGGAGGACAGATTAATTCCCCTCGGAATTGGGTGCCTGCTGATCTTCAGAAGGGATTGTTGCGTGTCCTGTAGTATACAGCACTTACCAGAGGAGATTTAAAGGATGTGCAAAACAATAGAAAGTCTAGGTACGAGGTAGGAGGTTGATGTTGTCGCTTTCTAGCGTTAGGAATAGATGTCCGTAACAATAACATGATTTCTCTAGCGAATATGTTGACGCAAGGCTGCGATGTCATTTGAATCCGCAATTTGGAGAAATGGCGTGTTAGGCGAAAAAAAAGTCTTGGGATACTTTTGTACCTGTACAGGCATTCCATTGATCGAAACCACCTGCGCACCTTCTTTCTTTCTTCATCCGCGTCTTGAGAGCATCGTATTCTCATTTACACAACATGAACTCCCTACGACTAGTCAGCCGGGCCCTGCCCAAGGCTTCCCTACGCCAATCCATCGTTCGCTACTCCTCCTCAGTCCCGAGATTCGCAGCCCGTCGACCAGTATGGCAAACGGCAACGAAGGCATCATACCCTGCGTTTTCCACTTCTGCTTTCCGTCGAGAAGCTGCTGGTGATTGTAAGAGAGATGGCTGGACATGTTCCTGTTCTATGGCTGATGATCTATAGTCGACGTGGAACTCTCCGAGAAGTTGAATTCCGAACAACAGCTTGAGCTGGAAAACAGTGGTGAAGGCGCACTCAGCGAGATCAACGATTTCCTCAAAGGTCACGATTACTGGAAAGTGCAAGACAAGCCCGGTACTCATGAAGTATTCTTCACACGAGAATTTGGCAATGAAAAGTGAGGACACTGCTTAGCACTTTTACTGATGCGGGTGTTAACGATCATGCTTTTAGGATCAAAATCGCTTTGACCGTTGCCGATATCGACAACATCGCCGATGAAGACGAATATGGCGGTATGGACGAAGATGGTGCTCTTGATGACGAAGTCGACTTTGCGTCGAACAAGGCCACCATCAACCAATCTGGCGCAAGAGGAGGCAAAGTCGATGTTATGCCTGAGGACAGCATTGCTCCTGCAGACAGAGATGCAGAGGGTACCGGACTTCCGGATGAGACCCCGGCATACCCCATCAACTTGACAATTACCATCACCAAGCCCAGCAAGCGGGCAATCGAGATTCGTGCTGTTGCGCAGGAAGGTACTATTGAGCTCGACTCGATCAGCATGTTCCCAAAAGAGTCACTGCTTGAGGCGCAAACACCCAAGGACGCTCAAGAGGCCCGCAGTCTGTATGCTGGTCCCACCGTTGGCAACCTTGACCCCGATCTCCAAGCAATGCTTGAGAAGTATCTTGAAGAGAGAGGTATCGACGTGGATTTTGCCAACTTCTTGCCCAAGTACATCGACTACAAGGAGCAACGAGAATATGTACAATGGCTCGATGGTAAGTGATGATGTTTCTGGAATTGGTTGCCATATACTGACTCTGAACCAGACATGAAGACGTTCGTAGAGGAGTAATTGTATTGTCGTTTGGTTGTCGGACTGCCGAAATTCCATCTTGTTCTATCTAGACCCTCCACTTTCAGCACGAAATTGATATCGAAAAGTGTACATTATATAATGAGGCTCCTTCAGCCTATGCAATGGAGCAATCAGATACCCGGAAATGCACTGTACAAACTTGGTTTCACTTGCATAGAGGAATTACGATGCTTTTCCACAGACCTTGTGTGACATCCTAGAGCTGAGTGCCATGGCTTGGCCACGAGCCATGATTCTCGATACGAGCATAGCACCAATGGAGTCCAAGGGACAGGCGCACCCTCTTATGCATTCTGTTGGTCCCAGACTGCGGAACGCGTCTTGTCGAAAAGAATCCTTTGGTGACAATTCCTGTCTAAATAAGTCAAGACATTGGTAACAACAAGCTGACTGCTTTATAACGTCAGCCCTAAAATATTCCTGGCTAGGCGACGTCCTCTGGGTACTTGAGTATCGAGTGTCCTTCTGTAACCTGGTTCCCCGGTCAGTGCCTGATCGTGATTGCGGATCACAGACACCAGTGGAAGTCTGGATGCAACCATGGTTCTTCACTGCCTGGGGGGTTACAATTTCGAGTCGGACATCCTGATGACCACCTACGAGCCGAGGCAACTGTCTCAGAAATTGGGATTCGGATCAACCCAAATGTCCGTGTCCTTCTGTGTACGGCCAGTCTACCCAATGACAGGAGGGCTGACCCGTATCGATGACAATCGCCTCGACCTCATTGTTGATCCCTTGTCGCAACAACTTGCGGGGAAGGTCGAGTCCTACAACTAGTCCATCTACGTGTCAGTGATTACGACGAGAAGGTGTACACACAATGGCCGTTGAGACCATCATGTGGGGGCGGGACGACCGGAGGATTCTAACTTGGATAGGCACTTGGACGGGGCGAATTCGTCTAGAATACGAAATACGAATTCTCACTCCATGTCCCCAAGCACGATATACGAGACTCCGTGCAGTGCCCGCAAACAGTCCCCATCCTCGTCACGGTCCTCCCAAGCCATGAGGCGACTGGACGGTCAGCCCCTCAGATTCCCTTTTCACAAAAGGTACTTGTATCAGACACACCCCTACCCCCCTACATTCTCACCTCTTAATGTACATTGCATTCTGGGTGTGATACTCTTTTCCTTCACATCCCCTATTGCCCTGTTGATTCTGTTTCTCAGCGACCTCCTCTTGTTATGGCAATAAACTATCCCTTTGCAGCCCTAGGGCTGCTAGTGACATCCATAGTCTTTTATATCGTCTCTTCCATCGCCACGAGGCTGCGTCATGCTCGCAAAGCAAAGGAATGGGGCTGTCAACCTGCCGTCAGGAGAAAGTCCAAGCTGCCTCTGGGCATTGACCTCGTCTGGGATATCCTCCAAGCCGACCGAGAGCAGATCGTCCCCGACTTCTTCTTCCAAGTACACAAGAAGATGGGTGTTCCAACTTGGCGCCAGAATATTTTTGGCAGTGAAGTCTATATGACAACCGATCCGAAAAACATCCAAGCCGTCCTTGCCACACAGTTCAATGATTTTGAGATTGGTGAGCAGCGGCGAGGAAACTTCTTCCCGGTGTTCGGAAATGGAATCTTTACGGCAGATGGTAAAGCATGGTAGGTGGAAATGAACCCTTGTGCCTCAAAAGTCACTAACACCCCATCCTCAGGGAGCATTCACGAACCATGCTTCGTCCTCAATTTGCCAGACAACAAGTAGCAGACTTGAACCTTGAAGAAATCCATGTCCAAGACATGTTCCAGCATCTCAAAGCACACGACGACGGCTGGACCAACGTCGTCGACCTTGTCCCACTCTTCTTCCGTCTCACCCTTGACTCTGCCACGGAGTTCCTGTTCGGCCAAAGCGTGGATTCCCAACTCGCCGCTTTGCCAGGGTACACGAACCGGAAGGCCGGGGAGGCCGGCAACCTGGACTGGACCTTGTTTGGACCTGCCTTTGACGGGGCTACCATGGCAGTCGGGACACGAGGACGCCTGGCGGACCTGTACTGGCTATACTCGCCCAAACACTTCCACGACAAGATCAAAATCGTGCACCAATTCGCAGACTATTATGTCAACCTGGCCCTGACCACTGATTTGTCTTCCCTGAGCGAACAGCACGGCGAAAAGGGACAAAAGAGGGAGAAATATATCTTTTTGAAAGAACTTGTCCAAGCCACCAGGGATCCGATCGAGTTGAGGAGCCAACTTCTCAACATTCTTTTGGCCGGACGAGACACCACCGCCGGCCTCCTCGGCTGGACCTTCTTCCACCTCGTCCGGCGACCGGACCTGTTCAAGAAACTTCGAGACATCATCATCGACCAGTTCGGCACGTACGAGAACCCCACGGATATTTCGTTCGAGTCGCTCAAGAGTTGCACTTACCTGCAGCACACGATGAACGAGGTGCTTCGGCACAACGCGACGGTGCCCATCAACAGTCGACGGGCCACCAAGGACACCACGATCCCCAGAGGCGGAGGCCCGGACGGAAATTCTCCGTTGTTCGTGCTCAAGGGTCAGGAAGTCAACTACACGGTCCACGTCATGCATCTCCGAGAGGACATCTGGGGCCCGGACGCGGCCGAGTTCAAACCCGAACGGTGGGCAGGGAGGAAACCAGGGTGGGAGTTTTTGCCATTCAACGGTGGACCACGGATTTGCTTGGGTCAACAATTTGCCCTGACCGAGGCCGGGTACGTGATTGTTCGTATGCTTCAGAAATTCGATGTGCTCGAGAACCACGAGACGGATCCCGTCACGCGCCATCAGTACAGTGTTACTACGGCACCTGTTCGCGTGCCACTTCGACTACACGAAGCTGCTGCCACTACTCGTACTGCGGCCGCTGCACATTGAGTAGCTTCTTCTCCTTCTCTTTCATGTTCCTAGTATTTTGGGTCCGGGATGGTCATAACGAAAGAGCGTGCCTAATGATATGATGTACGAACATCGATTTCTATCTACGGTCGTTTAGTGTTTGAAGTCCAAACCAGTGTTTGTTGATGTTTGCCAGTCTTTCGTCCTCGTGACTTGTACCTGAAAGCACATGCTTTCTTTGTATGCTGTGTATGCTGTGTATGCTGAGTATGCTGAGTATGACGGAAATGATACGCCGGATCGACGATCTAAACCTTTCCCTTTGCGTCAGTTCTACTTGCCATGGAGTATCGTACTAGGAGCAAGAAAATGGATGTGCAAACCCGTCGAGGGGGACTGTCTTCTCCAGGCAATGGTTATCCACTTGCAAGGTTGTCCCGTCTTTACTCGGGCAGGTTACCTAGGTCCCCTGTATTGTAGAGCGGATAAAAAAAGGGTCTTGACGTGTTATGTCATGACCCGCATTTCATTGATGGAACCCGTCAATTTTCAGGTATGACGTCGAAAATTCTACAGTACTGCGTGAGGGTGTACAGAATCTCAGGTACAACTTGGAAGTATTGGCACATTTACATCACACATCACCTAGTTTGTGTATCTATTTATGAGTACCTGTGGTCCGTCTAGGTACTTGATTTGATTATACCTGCTCACAGAAAGTTATATAGAAATTACCAAAAGAACCCTGTCGAGGTGGTACCCGCATCCATATCCGTATCCAGGACCGGATCTACTTGTACCCAAAGGGAGTACTTTTAGGGAAGAGAAAAAAAAAACCAAGGGCCACAAAAACGAGAAACAGAAACAACAAGAACAATGTCATTCTCAAGCGCCATCTTCAAACTCTTGACATACATCATCACACTCTTCGTCCTTGCCGCCGCGGCCATTTATTTTACTGGGTACGGCGACGATGTAGCAGAGTGGGCCGCCAAACGTTACTACAAGGCCAAAGCGGTGGCCGAGGTCAAGGTTTTGGAAAATGTTGGAAGTGAAAAAGTAGAAGGCGCAATCAAAGGTGAGAATGACAACATCCACCGAAGGACTTGACCGTTCTAGTTCTTCGATGGTGTACTCCTATAGCTATGTGAAGGTGTGTGGCCGACTAACACGTCTGATATCTCCAGATTCACTCAAGAAGAATCCAGTCATGGGAGAAGGTGAACTCGATAACGTCGCCGGTGGTCTGGGTAAGGAAGCTGCACAACAAGGGTTGGGTGGTGTCAGTAGCAAACTCGGTGGATTGGGAAAGTTTTAGAAAAAAAAATCCAAGAACCATCGAGGACGACATTATCATCATCATCACATTAGGTATACGATATGGGAGATTATAACATGACAAGTCGGAAGATACTGGGAGGAGGAATCTTAGGCGTGTTGAATGGCGAGTACGGTATATCGACATTGATATTGGGAAAAAAAGGGGGGAACGGACAACAGTACGAACATCAGGGATAAACTTGGAACATTGTTACTGTATAGGTAGTTGTATTCGTAAAATGTAATATAGTCTTTAAGTCGATGCATAAAACATATCTCAACTCTCTCGGGGACGGAATTAGATGTTGAATACCCAAGGTAAGTATTCATCTCAAATAATCAGGTCTCAATTCAAACCAGGTATCTTTGGTCAATTGATCAAACTCTTCATCGTCGTAGAAATTCGCTCTCACTTCGACCATGTCACCCGCCGACCGCATGAAGAAATCCTGCTGAGACAAAGGCAAATGACATCTCATACTGTAGTTTGGATAATGCGGACTCTGTTGTATCTTGGGTTAGATAAAATTTGTAGACTCTTCTTGAACGCAACTCACCTGATACCCCAACCCTAGCATGATCCTGTTCTTGTTCGACTCGTTCGGCATACCAGCGTGCCACAATCTCAAATCACGTATCATGATATCTCCCGGTGAGCACTCGGGTTGAATGGGTGGTCGAATGGATCTTCGTGCTTCCTTTGCCTCCTCTGTGATCGAGGGGAGTGGTTCTCCCAGGCGTCCGTACTCGACAATCTGTTCGGGTTTCGTCGCTATGACCTGTTCGTGGTAACTGGCGTGGGCGTGGGATCCCAACCAAAATTCCGTGGCCCCGGTCTCCACCGTGAACTCGCACAGTGGGATGTTGGCGACGAAGTAGTAAGGGTACTGTGGATGGGCGAAAGAACAGTCTTTATGGGCTGGCTGGCGCATTCCCGGTGTGTCGGACAATGCCACGTTGGAAGTCAACCAGTTCCATATCGGTGTGTGCCCCAGGTATCTGTGTTGTTTTTTCGAGAATGTGAGCCAGAACATAAATAAATACAAGAAACAACAATGCGCTTTGTTGTTGGAGAGACTGACGCATTCGCAAGTTGAAGAAGAAACGGGTTGAAATATACGCCCTCGAAAAGATACGAGGATTCTGTTACCGGCGGACGTTGGAGGAAGTTTGCTATACGAAGTGTTGTTTTGAGCTCATGTTCAACAAAATCGAGACTCGTACTGTACCGAGTGCATATCCTCCTCCCCAAGGGGTGAAAATCAAGAGACCTACATTTCACTCCATGATTGAACGTCTGAGATGGATCGACTCTCTTCTTATCTGCATCCACACACATCCTTTCGTTGATTGTGGCAATGTGACCGGAGTCGATGACATCCTTGAGAACGACCAGGCCATCTTGGTGCATTGCCTCGAGTGCCTTTTGGAGCGTCGACGGGGAGTATTTGCCCTTTCGGCGTTCATCGTCTGATATACTGACGACTTGGACGTGATCCTTTTCTTCCATGGGGGCGATCGTCATCGTCTTAGCATACCTAGGTAGGTCAAGAGAGATTATGGGTACGATACTAGAGTCGTCACTCTCTCAAATGTTTACCATGAGTCAGTGAGACATTGTCGCCTTTGGATATCAATATCACATGTCTGACTTCGATAGCGAAGGACATGTCCGTATGTCGAGAAATGATAGGCGTCCCATCCGTACACAGCGCTCTAGGTACGAGTATTCTGGGTAACATTGAGCGAATCATTCGTGTATGCCATACAAGAAGCTTAGATTGTCATCGATCTAGGTGGTCATATCAAAATAGTACCTAGAGGTACCGTAGAATCCTGGCTTCATTTCCCTCCTCTCATTGTCCAACTTCCGGTGAGACCTGCCGAGTCTTTGAGCAGTTTTTCTCCGCACAATCAATTCGTCGTCATTTCTTGGCTTCAACTCCGCAGTCGGAAAATCATCCGCACCTTAGTTGTTGTTGCTGTAGTCAAACTAATGAATTATGCCATGCTTGTCAACATTCGTACTAGAGATACGAGTAGAATAGACCCCATCATCTTGTGTGGAGCTGATCAGCAATGTAACATGCATCGACCTTCAATGTTATCGGCACATTGAAGACCGAGCAAGATATATTCACCATGGACGGTTGATCGTTCCAACCTCTCCTCTTCCTCCTTGACTTTTCCATGGCCTCCAGCCTCTGAAGCTGCTCAATAATAACAACATGAGGTCGACAAGTTCTGGTACCAGAGTATGGTACTCCAGCTTCTTGCTTCTTTTAGCAGCACAAGCTACCACCTGCTTCCCGTTCTGGACCAGATCAACAACTCTCGACATCACACTTCCGGCTTCAGCAGAAGGTGCATCATATGGACAGTCTTCTTCGTTTGCCTCGTTCTCGTTTGAGCCTGCGTTCTGGGTGGAATTCTTTGGAAATGCAAGCAAACCAAACAATCTCACGTTCGAATTACTCTCGCGCATCCACGAGAGAGGCGGAAGACCTATCATCCGACCGGGAGGGATCACAATGGACAGCATGATCTTTGATGCATCTGCAGGAGACCCTGTACGTACAACAAGTCCAAGTGGTGGAGTATATCGAACAACAGTCGGACCCAACTACTTTCACAGCTGGTCCAACTTCCCGAACGGTACAAAGTTCGTCTCGACGCTCAATTTCGGTAATGACAGCCTCGACATTGCTCTGGATATGGCGTTGGCTTCTGTCATGTACCAGCAGGATAAGGTTGAATATTTTGAACTCGGTAACGAGCCCACGAACTATCCAAGCACGCGGTGGGACAATATCACAGCAGCCTATGTGCAACAGTGGAAGCAGTGGACAGGACAGATTGATGCAGCAGTCAATCACACATTGGGTGCTGAAAATGCTTCTCGACTGGGCGGTGACCGATGGTGGGCGTCCTCTGCGACCACAGACAAATCTGGACTCAATGTCCGGCCTGCCGACATCATTCCTGCCGGGGTAGACTCCGCAGATCAAGTCGCCGAATACTCCATCCATTCGTATGCTTTTTCGACCTGTGATCCCGCTCGTGCGGCGCTGGCGACCACCCAAAACATCCTCAACCATACCGAGCTCACCACTTACGCGGATGAAGAGATCTACCCTTCCGCAAAAGCTGCACTGGACTCCGGCACACCCTGGGTGATTGGGGAATTCAATTCCATCTCCTGTTCGGGCCAGCCGAATGTCACCGACACTTTTGCCCAAGCTCTGTGGTCGGTGGATGTCGAATTGATCTACGCTGTTCGCAATGCCTCATCTGTTCATCTTCATCAAGGTGCCACTTTGGTGTTTCAGAGTAGTGATCAAGTCAACTCAGCCGGTAACGATGGCTCTCCTGGCTTCTCCACCTACGACATACTTTATCCACGAGACAGCGGTAAACGTGGCAAAGCTCGTGCCCTGCCCAGCTTCGTCAGCCAATTGTTCATGGCCGAGGCGTTCCACACATCATCCGTCAAGGACGGCCCGGGGCCTGGTGTTCGGGTCAAGGCACTGGAACCTCCGCAAGGTGTGGACGCAGCAAGATTCGCAGGTTATTCATTCTACGTGAACGATAGATTGAGCAAAGTGGCATTGCTGAACTTGAACCCGTTTTACGCCAACTCGACAGAGAACTTCACACTGGATCTGAATCCGGGCTTGGCCGATCAGGCATGGGTCAAGAGAATGACGGCTCCATACGTGGACGAGACGAGAACTGAAAACGTCACATGGGCAGGACAGTCGTTCCAGAACGGGAAAGCTATGGGCAAACTCGACATCGAACAGTTTAAAAATGGAGACACCATCAGTATCAGAGGTAGCGAGGCAGTGCTCATCTTCCTTGACAAAAAGGACGTCTATGGCTTGTGAGTTGTGACGGGCCAAACCGACACGAATAATGATGCTCTTTGCTCTATGCGAAGCTATGCGAGGTCTTCCAAGTCTAATGGGGGCCTCCCGAGTTCTAATATACTATCTCTGACACATGTGAACACTCCTTCTCTATCAAAGCTCGATGTGCCGGGCTTCTTGGAACAATCTTGACAGCAAACGGAGGATAATCAATAGCTGGCCAGACAACCTTTTCCACCTCAATCTCCTTCCCCTTTTTTTGAAGATGTAAGTGTCAGCACGCGCATTATTCCTAGTAGATGCAATCGGACTCGGGGGTTTCGACCTACCGGTACAGGTTCAAAATTGAAACAATACAACATTCTCGACAAGAACATCCAAAGGTTCGTCTCGGCAACATTATAACCAGGACATACTCTTCTCCCTGCGTTTGAGTTTCATTGTGTCAGCATTTCCCGAACCACGTTTCTTTTTTCCTTTTTTTTTGGTCTTGTATTCGGAAAACTCACCTGCACCAAAAGCCCAATGACCCTTTAGTGGGTTATTCAGATCCTCATTCAAGAACCTCTCTGGCCAAAACCTCTCTGGAGCCTCATACTCGTCCGGACTCCGCGACAAATGGTGCATGTTCCATGTCACCATGGTGCCCGCAGGCAATTTGTACCCTTCGTACTCGTCGTCCTGGCTCATCATGTGTGGCACACCAATCGGCCCAAATGGATACCATCGGAACCCTTCCTTCACCGCGGCCGTGATGAAGGGCAAGCCAGGTTTATCTTCGAAGCGCGGCAGGCGTTTCGCATCATCCCCAACACCACCACACACTCGATCGAGGTGCTCGCGTGCCCTCTGGACCCAATCCGGCTGCAAGACGGCGGCGGCGATCAACTGACTCATCGTCATACGTGAAGTGTCACTTCCCGCCTCGACCAGACTTCCCAGGGCGAACAGTTTCTGATCTTCGTCCATGGTGGTCTTTTCCGTTTCCTTGAGAAAGTCAATGGCGAAACAAGGTCTGGCGTCCCCTTTTGCCATTCTATTTCGTACCCTATCAACTTCTTTTCCGTATACCCTGTTTTTTTTTTAACAAAATAATTAGCATTAGTGACGCCACCCCAAGTTTTTTGCACGCCGAAACCACACTCCCTCGATCACACCTTGAAGACTTTGCGACGCTATACGGGATATGAGGAACGTACCTTTTCGACTCTTCGTACAATCTCAACCCCTTTGCACGCCACCACTGCATCCAAGTCGGCAATTTACTCAAAGCGGGAAAAGTATCGACCAACGTGCTCCCGGGTTGTAGGTGCTTCACCATCTCTTCGGCCTGCTTGAGCAAAGGTTCCAAATTCTCGTCGTCAAGAAGCAACCTCCTCCCAAACACGACGCTCAAAATCACGGCGTTGGCGTACCGCTGGTTCGCCCGGTACCACAGTTCCGGACGGTCCAGGTAGTCCCACAACAACTGTTTACTCTCCAGGTCTTGGTATTCCGCGAACTGGGTCATCTGCCGCGAGTTGAGGATGCTGTGCATGACTTTACGCACGTCTCGCCACTGGTCCGTGTAACCCATGAGGACGATACGTTTGCCCCCCGACATCAGGTCCTGGACGAAAGGCATCGGGTTGCGCGAGGAGTACTTGGCCGCCCTCTTCTCCATGAGGTCCGTCACCACTCGAGAAGAGTTGAGGAAGATGAAGTTGGACGTTCCGAGGCGTAGCGTGAACCTGTGTGCGTATTTTACGACGTCAGCACCTATCCAATACAAAAGCGTGTACGTGTGTTTATTGGGTGATTCGGAACTCACATTTCACCATATTTCCTCGCCAGACTTTGTGCCCACGGTGCCTGTTCGATTTGAGTCAGGGGCATCTGGAATGAATTGCCAAAGATGGGTAACCCAGGCACCATTGGTGGGAACTTGTATCGACGTTGTCTTTGCCATTGTTGGAGAAACTTGTGTAGAATCCATATCACCACCGCTCCCAACGTGGCCAATAAGACCGGTGATGAAGAGTAATGAGCCATGGTTTGTTTGTTTGTTTGTTCTCGGTCGTCGGAATATGTAGAATGGTGAATAAAGTGTACTCGGTGTCCTATAGTTTGTATGGTGTATGTCGATAGGTTTGTCCTCGAATTCGTACTCGTGCTCGGAAATGTCTTGCAGTGTCGAATGATATCTCTCTCAATCAATGTCCGTCGTCATCACTGAACATGGCACTATGATTGACGGGTGTTTGCGTGGAGAATAAGTAGCTCGAGTTGTTCAGTATTCGTATGGTATCCCGTGGTTCCCAATGGGCAACACCTGGTTCCCTCGTACTACTAACAGACACCCTTTGAGACCCTCACCAACTCCCCTCCTTGCTTTTCTTTTACACAAAAAAAGGAACGAATGAAGAACTATTTGTTCATTCCACATCCTCATGTCTTGAGGCACTCCTTAAAAGATCAAAAGATAGACGTCTATTCGGACCCTAAAAGTAGTGGAAGTTCATTGACACGACGAATCGGGCAATTGTGGGGTATAAGGGGGTAAGCCAACCTGTGCATAGTCCGTACAGCACAACACACACATCCACACTTTTCTTCTCCCTTCAGACCAGAGATAAATATGCCGGGGACCGTCGTGATTTACTACCTGGCCCCGCATACACAATAACATTTGTGCAAAGTGGATGGATGGAAGGGGTAGATGAAAATGTGTTTTTGGAGTTTGTGTCGTTCATCCCATCTTTCTGTCATTCTGAGATTCATGACCTTGAGAATGGTTGAAGTTACATCAGACTAAGAGAATGTAAGTTTTTGCTATCCCTTCTCCTGGTGAGAGTGAGAGGAGGAAAGGTAGAGGAGTCCGAGAAGAAGTAATCGGTCTCCCTGGTCTACTTCGACCTCCTTCTCCCATCGACGACAAGTCCAGTTCATTTTCCACCAGTCTTTTGATTTTGAAGCTGCTCCCATAATTGTCGACCCAAGACTTGATCACCTACAACGACATCACCATCACCATCATCATTCACGGTCAAGAATAACAATTTGTCGTCGTCGTCGTCTTCGTCACTCTGCTGACCGGCATTCTCCTCGTCATGGTCTTGTCCTCCTTTGACCATTTCAAGTTCCACATCATCAACACAAACCTCCCAATCTCCTTGAAGTCTCCAGAATTCCTTTTCGTCGTCCCATATGTAAAAATCCGCAACCACCTCGAAGGTGTCGACACCAGTCCCGAACCCCGGTATGATTTTGGCGAACCTTTGGAAATCCACCTTGAAACTTTGCATCGGACCACCACCGAACAAGAGTAGAGCCGCCCTCCATACGTTACTACCTTTGGGTATATCTGGAGATCCACGAAACAGTGACGGGAAGCCAGAAGACTCTTTGGACGTCGGTAGCTTCATCAGGTTCAATTGAACGCCGACAAAAACGTCATGACCCTCGACGGAAACATTCCCGGTAGGTCTCAAGGTGACCGTACGCATGTCGAAGGTTCTGTTGTGAGTGTCGTCCGGGTCGTAACGACGTCGTCCCAAATTGTGAAGGCTGAGTCGTGGCCATGGGTACCCTGGTTTACGAGAAGAAAACAACGCGTTGGGTGCCGAACTGGCACACAGCAAGTCCGAAGGGTCAGGAAGGTCGGGTAGGGCTTTCGCCACGTTGACCACCTTGAAAGATTGAAAATAGACTCCGTTGTATTCCAGAGCTTCGTTAGGGTCGCCCATCCACGGGTCGAAACCAATCCCCGAACTGTTGGTTTCAATGTCGTCAAACTGTTGAAACTATCTATTAGTCTCGCCTGGGATCTTTGGGCGTACAAGGTCATATAAGAGAGAGAGAGGGGGAGAGCTCCAACGTACGTTCAAAGTGACATTGTATCTCTTCTTCCCATGGTGACTCTCGTTCTCACCCAGGGGAATCTGGTCACTATTCGTAGCGGACACGACCACCACCGAAAGTCCCGTCAAAAGGATGATTAATGTCGAAGTAAACAACATCGTTAGTTGAAGGCGCCAAAAGAGAATCTGAACGTTTGTCGGCAGTGGACAATCTTCAGTTGTATGGTTTGTTGTCATTTGAGGTTATACAAAAGCAGGTGCCTATTTGAAAACGAGACCCTTGATGGGGACCCCGCACAAGGCTGACTTGTACGGTAGTAACATCAATAGGACCCTGAACATTGTTACAGTGACGATTACGAAGTAGGTTTGGCAAGTCAACCCTAGATCTGTACTCCGTATGTGGTGAGGATTTACAGGGAGTCGCTAGGAGTTGCTAGGAGTCGCCTAAGGATCGATTGGGGGGGTGAAAGGACTTTTAGTGTAAAGGGGGCTGGAAAAGACAATACGACAACCAGTAATCGGACTTTGAGCAAAAACATACACACCCACGAGTATGCTTATATACAGTATGCTCTTTATACACATACTCCATACCTTACTGGGTTTCTTATGCACGCAAAATACCTGCCAATGGTGCCACTACAGATTCACATATGACTTGCCAGATCTCGGGGTCATCCCATTTCTGTTCTTGCTGTAGACAGACACTCCTGACCAAACAATATTCCAGTGCCGTCCTGTAAGCTTCCGGGTAGGCGTCGTTGGTGCTGTTATCAAACCACAGCATTGCACTGACTCGCCTCGGCATGGACTCTGTACACCCAGGGATCGAGGGACGCACTTCCTCCAACGTCTGTTCGTGCCAGATCTCGAGTAGCACGATCCCCAACTCGACAAGTTCATCCTTCAAGGAGATGTCATCGTGGTTGGTCGAAGAGGTCGTCGTCGTCGGCGGCGGCAGATTGGCGTGTACGGGTGGTGAGGGAGAGCTAAACGAAAGAGACAAGAATGGTCGCTTCACGTCAGGCTCACGTTTCTCGTTTTCAAGAAACATGACATTTTCTGCCGACAACATTGGTCGTGCCCAAGGAGTGCGAAGGAGTTGGAGGAAACTGGCCGCCAGATTCAGGGCTAAACTCAACTTCGGTCTGTAGAGAATCTTTCGACCACTCCCACCACCACCAGCTTTGTTGTTGCTGTTCCCCCGTAGCAATTCTCCGAGCACGACGGAGCCCTTTGCCCGGCAGACTATGAACTTTCTCTTCTGTGAGATGTCGGCCGCGATTTTCCCACCCTCGGTCAAGGCGAATATGGCATGCTCTTGAATCTTTCGACCTTCTTCGATGGCCGAGCAAATATCTTTGATCTCTCTTGATGATGATGATGTGACCGGAGTTTTGGAAGGAGATATGGTGATTCTGACTTTCGAGCCGATCGACTGTGTCTGATGAAGCGCATCGCTGGAGCTAGGCATGACATGTACTTGCGACTCATGCCAAAGGCTGTTTTGCGAGGGGTCGCCACCAGAGAAAATCAACTGAAAACATCGATCCTTGTTGGCGTGTGATGATGACGGCAACCTCTTTTCTCGCTTGATCTCTTCCACGCGATCTTCCAGAAGCAATCGAGCCTCATGATGTTGATGGCACTGAGAGATCCACGAATTCGCCATGGCAAGATACAACATGTCGGCTTGGTGTCGAATTTCCATGTACGCTTTTGCCAGTCTTTTCGATTTCAGGTTCGAATTTGCAACGTTGGACTGATTGTTGGACGACATGAGCTCAACCAGTCTCTGCATGGAATCCAACCGCGACTCCAATTCTCTAATCTCCTCGCTCAATTCGTCTTTGACGAATTGGACTGTGATGCGCGCAACCAGGTCAAGCTGACCTCGTTTCGCATTCTTGTTCGCTTCTATGATCTGGGAAAGCTCGGCGCGTTCCTGCAAGACCGTCAGCCGGGTTTTAGGGTCAGAGGCAACTGGTGTTTTTTTTACCTTCACCGGTGGTGCGATCCTCGCAATCTTTGGGACTAGTCGATAGACTATCTCCTGACATTGCCGCATTGCTTCTGTGATGGCGTCGTAATTTGGACCTAGATAACTGGCAACGGCATTCTTTACTTCATCATCTCGCAAAATCTCCAAAGACTTTGCGGACAACGTCTCTGGCGTTTCGTAACCACTGTTATTGAGTATGAAACGGAGAAGCTCTTCGAGAATCTTCAATTGGATCGTCAGTCTACAGGTGAGCACTTCCACCACCTTTCGTCTTCGAAAACTGCTCCGTAAACTCTTGAGGCCTTTCTTGTACAAATCCAAGCCTTCAATGAGGATCGGAAGTGCCCCTAGGATGAGTCCGGCGACTTCGATGCCGGACATGGTATTGTGTGGTTATCGTGGTCGAATTTGAGATGGAAGTGGCTGAATCGTTCACCACATCAAGAACTAGTGCGAACTTCTTCAGTCGTTGATGGAAAGAAGCACACCGACCTATCCTGTAGGGAAGCGCTGAAGGTGCAGGCGGCTAATAGCTTGGGAAGTCCCATGTCTGGCTAGTTACAGTACCTAGTTAAGCATGATTTGGGCCATGTCTGAGAAATGATAGGCAAGCGTTTTCAAATCCTTGCCCGGTGTCAGTGGGAGAGAGACAGTGTTATTGATTGTTTCTGAAGGGATCAACCTTACCACGAGGCAGCGCTGTCGTTTGTACTGTATTCTTCAGAACCACCTTTACCCTAGTTGATACGGATGGTGTGACAAGTTTGCTCACCCTTAAGATAGCGTAGCGAATCAAGATGCCAATGGGGGTTTCGCTACTGATCAGATCCGCCGCTGGATCGTACAGTACAAGCATTCGCCCGTTGAAGAGTGCGATCGGATACCAATGACCCACGGATTCTTCAAGGACGTGCAAATAGGCGAGCGATACGGCCTGCCATTGCATGGCGCTTGTTGAAGAACCAGGGTCCAGCCCAGTAGGAGGAAAGAGGAGCCTTTCAGGGGCGAAAACGCGGTGTTTGTCTCGCACAACACTAGAGCCAGCGGGGCATGATTTGAATATCGTCGGCGCCTCGCTGGATCCAGTCGGAAAGGGACTCGGCATCGTCCCGGGAGAAATGACAGCGGCACGGCGCGTTCAATACATCAGTACTTCTGAGAGCCTGAATAGTCAAGCCTATATTTCAACGAGTCTCTTTGAAAGAGTCTCTGCTATACATCAAGTCGTTGGAATGTCCAACTCCCACACCGTAATGAGGAATTCCCTGGCGATGACAAATGTACTCGTATTAACTGCGACGCCTTTATCAGGATGAAAACAACCCCTCTGGCAAGGCTGGCCCCGGTGGGAAGAAAGAACTTCAACCTTTTGGAACAAGTAATTCAAGGTTTCAAATCTGGTCTTCTCGAAGATGCCGATTCAAAGAATCATGACGCATTTCTGAACGAGTACGAACGATATCGAGTATGGGCGATTGAATCCGGACTGTTGGTTCCGGGCCACGGCTCCCTCGATTATCGCCTACGCGAATCAGAGACTTTGACGGAATTGTTTGAGGTGATCCTCAACGGCCTAGCCCAGAATCTAGAAGAGACTCTCGAACTTGGGCGTCCACAGAAAGGCGGCGAGGGTCGATCTCGCGAGCGACCGGATATCACAGGGCCACGATCTGACGACCAGGCTTGGTTTGAGAACGAGAACGACGACGACGATGATGATGACGACGTTGAGCCACAATCATACATTGACATCCTCCTTGAGGTCATTGTAGGCTTTCTGAACCGGCTTTTCAAGTTGTCTACAAAGATAAGGAATCCTTCCACAAGACTTGGACTCTCGAGAGCTAGGTACTTTGAGAGCATAGACGAAGCCACTGGCGTCGACCTCATCAAAGCGTTCGCACATTATGATGACGACTATGTCCGGTCTATCTTCCTCCAATATCGTCTGGAAGCTCCTGAACAGAATCGTGCTCAAGAGAAACAGGAGCTATCTTCTGCGACAGCACCTCAAAACTCCTGGCACAAAACCGAGGCTTGCGAATTGTGTCAGTCCCAAGGCTCGGTACCTGAAGGCTCCATCATATCGGACGGAGATCAACCGTATGATGGTCTCGATGAGGACGAGCAAAGTGATGAAGACAGAAGACAACTCCAGAATCAAACAGGGACACATTATTTGATGCACCGGATTGCGCGCGCAAACAACCAGCGTCGCCAACAATTTGGCTACTGGAAGAAGCATTACAGTAAATTGCAGAAGCATACCGAGATCGCCTTCCACACACCACGACCAAGACTTTTGGTAGAGCATGAGAGGCAGCTTGATTCTGTCCCCGTGGAACAACAAGAACAGCACTTGAATGTCAGATCAGCCCGCAGTCCATTGTTCTCTTTGTTAGCTCCGCCAACAGTGACAACGGCCACAAGATTGGAGCCGAGCTTATTGAACAGCATAGATGAGAAGTCGGTAACATCTGTATCAGAATACGCACCTTCTGTATGGGCTCCGGATCGTGAAAATATCGGCTTCCCACCGCCACCGCGAAAGCCAGTTGGTGAGAAATTCTTTGAATGCCCTTATTGCTTCACCATATGTCCATCCCAGATTTTGTCGGATAAGGCATGGCGGTGAGATAATTTCTCAATCTGTTTAACTGAGCTGACATCAGTCAGAGCACATTTGATCCACGATCTGCGGCCTTTCATTTGCACTTATCCCGACTGCCAGAGCGCTGGCCAGCTCTATGACACACGAGCAGCGTGGGTGGAACATGAAAACACCATCCACAGAAGACAATGGCGGTGTCCAGAGCACCCTGATTCACTCCATTCCTCATTGCAATCTTTCGAGGCACACGTCAATGCATTGCATGGGTCCGACGCGACCTACTTGCTCAGCAACACTTTTGTACAAGCCTGCCAGTCGTCCTCGCCTGACTGTGATCGACCATGTCCTATATGCCTCTCTTCTTCCTTCAGGAATGTGAAAGATCTACAGTCTCATGTCTCACGGCACCTGATAAGAATGTCGTTGTTTTCCCTGCCACGCTCCACTGATGCTGACGATGGTCGGAGTCAAGTCGGTTCTGATATCGCAGTCGGAGAGGTGCTGGATTCGAGAGCTGATGACGATGAGATTTCGTCTGAGGGCGGAGAGGCGTGGGATGATGTTGCAGAAGCGGCTAGATCTGGAGACATTGAAAGATTGACGAACATACTTCGGGAAAAGCAGGAAGACGGCATAGCTGTCGAAGTACTAAACTATGCTCTCTGCAAAGCATCAGAAAGAGGCCATGCAGAGATTGTGGAGCTACTTTTGGACAACGGGGCAGACATTGAAGCCTCAGACCGGGAATTGACTCCATTGATGGAAGCGTCGACTCTGAAGAACAACATCGAAGTGGTCCGGTTGCTCCTCAATAGAGGTGCGGACGTCAATGGAGGTCGCGGCTATGACACCCCCTTGACATTTGCGGCCGGAAATGGTTATATCGAAGTCGTGCGTGAGTTACTGGCCGCAGGAGCAGATCCAAACAAGATGATGAACGACGGGTATAGCGCAGCGAGGGCGGCAGCAGCAGAGGGTCGACTTGACTTCTTGAAATTGCTCATGGAACATGGTGCGAATATCAATGTACCAACATCACCTGCCTTACCCATAGCAGCGTCCATGGGCCACAAAGAAGTGTTTGAACACCTTCTTGCGAGTGGAGCAGATATTGAGGCAAGAGATGTAAACAGCTATACCGCCTTGATGGGTGCCTCGGCAGGGGGTCATCAACAAATGTTCGAAGAACTATTGCGTCGCGGTGCCGATCCCAGCCCTGTCGATGAAGATGGAAATACGGCTTTGACCCTTGTATCGGGGACCAGGGGAGAGAAAGTCGAAATCGCCAAGATGTTGATTGACAGTGGTGCTGATGTAAACCATGCCAATACAGCTGGCGATACCGCATTGCATGTCGCAGCAGCAAGAGGATACGCAAGTATGGCGAAGACCTTGATAGACGCTGGCGCAGATCTCGAGAAACCGAACCAAAAGACTAACACGCCGCTGCAAGCTGCTTTAAAGGCCCGCAAATATGAGGTCGTGAACAAGCTTTTAGAAGCAGGTGCAATTGGAAAGGCGCCACCAGACCCTATGGACGAGGTGATCCTGCCTCAGCCAGCTGGAGGCGCGATACCTTCGAGGAAATCACCCCCCAGACATCCAAGACATTGGTCAATCGACACTCCCCCATCATCGGAAAAGGCTCCACGACTGACACTTCTCCATGATGTCGCAATGACTTCAATCCTGACTGGCGTAAGATTTTCTCCAGATGGCAGATACTTGGCAGTGGCCGGACAGGCTGTGGCGTGGTTGGTAGACCTCGACGACGTGGCCAAAATGTTCGAGCTTCCACATTCAGGGTCAGATCATGCTGATCTATACGTTCGTTCTATTTGCTTCTCTTCGGATGGAAAATCGCTCGCAACAGCATCCGAAGACGACATAGTACGACTCTGGGACGTCGACAATCTGAAAGTGAGACATATTTTCGAGCACTATAGCCAAGAGCTACTTTCGGTAACCATATCGCCTGACAACAACATGATTGTGTCTGGCTTCCGTGACGGCAGTATATTCATAGATGACTGTGCCACGGGGGAGCCAATCAGCAGCTTCAGGATAAAAGGGTCCGCTACCTCTGTAGCTTTTTCGCCGGATAGTCACTTGTTGGCAGTTGCAACTGGGAGTAGCAATGTTTTCATCTGCAAAGACCTGCGAGATGCAAAGGTACCCAAATGGAATCTCTCAGAGATAACGCAGTCGCCCACCGACGCCGTATACAATGTCGCCTTTTCATGCAGCGGGAAACAATTGTATTGTGCCAGCCTCGACAACAATATTTATAGATTGCACTTAAAGGAAGAAGGCGAAGATGAGTCAATGCGCTATTGGAGCGAGGTCTTGCGCGGGCATGAAGTAAGTTGACCCTTCTGATTCTTGTAAGCTTCTCATCAAGTATCCAGGACTACGCCCTCACTGTGGCACAGACGAGAGACTGCCAGTGGATTGTGTCCGGATCCAGAGACAAGACGATCAGGGTATGGTCCGAGGAAACTGAGGAGTCCGTGGCAATTGTCAAAGGTCATCAAGACTCTGTCATCTCAGTTGCAACGTGTCCAGGGAAGAATCTCATTGCCACTGCTTCTGGGGATATGACTTTTACGGTGTGGCGATACGAAGTCGAGTGAGAGCCTGAGATGTGACTTATGTTAATAAGATACTGCGTACATACTCCGTAGGTAAGGGAGTAAAGTGGCTAATTAATAATTGACCGGAGTTATACGGCGAAGCATTATTTCTGATGCGGCGGGCGGGTGCCTATGACTCAATTTTAGTGGATCGGGCGCAGTTGATGGCAACTTCTAGATACTCGCGAGGCGGTCACCAACTTGCCTCACTTTTCTCTTCATTCTTACTCTATACTTCCACCTACCATTTCATCTCAACTCATTTTTTCCCACTTTGGACCCCGACAGAGCAATTAAAATTGCTTCCCTCCCAATTCCGGGATTCTCTGTGCTCCTATAATTATATATAATTATCTATATCAGTACAGCTCGAACCTTTTCAATGTCTGAAGACTGGGATTCCGTCACCCGCATCGGCAGCAAAGCCCGGGGCCCTGGCGCTGGCGGTGTCGATCGCGAGCGTGTGATCAAGGGAAAATCAGCCATCAATGCCGCCGCCCGATCAGGAGCAATCGTTGGAACCGAAAAGAAATACGGAACCTCCAATTCCGTAAGTACAGTCTAGCTCCGGCTCTCGGAAACACTGACTTATGGCATCACGCAGAAACCCAGCGTTGATGGACAGCGAAACTTGAAAGTAGACCTCGCCGATGCTCCTATCGCTCCAGACAAGGTCGGCCGAGATGTTGGCAAGATCATCGAGCAGAAAAGAGCAGCAATGACGCCGACACTTACTCAAAACGAACTCGCCCGAAAATGCAACACCACACAGAAAGTAATTCAAGATTTCGAGAGGGGAACAGCCGCTCCCGATCAAAAAGTCTTCAACAATCTCGAGAGAGTCTTGAACGTCATATTAAGAAGCAAAGATGAAAAAAAGATTGGTCAACCCAAGTTCGCCCCCAAAAGCAAATGAAGAGCTTCGCATTCACCACGCGGATGACGAGTATATTTTGGTGATTGAGCATAGAAGAGTTGGATACTGCTCTCATTACGCAGTTATAGAGGATCGTCGCTTTTTCATCGATTTGGCACTTCCGAAAGGCGTCGGGTTGATGGCTCACACATTTTGGATTTATCGCTTTGAATTTGGGGGGAGGAATGTGTACCCATTGGCTATAGGAAGAGATGGATGGTGATTTTTGGATGAATGTGTCGGTATGATGATTATGACGATGATGGTACCGACAGTAACCAGATAGGCTTCTGTCCGACTAACGACCTGTAGGTAGTTCTGTTCTCTGGTAACATGTGTTCTGTTATGTTCGACGAAAGTTGAAGCGGAAACGTAATCCAAACCAAGTTGTTCAATCCCTCCAAATGCTTACTTTTTTTCGCCTTGCTTCCGCGCGAATGATTCTATATTCTCAGGCGAACTCGTGCCCAAGTCATCAGCATGTCAGAACGGGCAGCTTGCTTCACAGCCAAATACAGCCAAACAAAGTGGACTGATCGGGCGGTCAGTATGTATTGACCCCAGACGATCAATCTGGTAAAAAGATACTAGAAAAAGAAGAAGAAGAAGAGGAGGAGGAGGAGGAGGGCAACAAACGAGTAATACGATATACCGAGTGAATACCTACCTGGGTACCTTGTGAACAGAACAAAAAAATCCTTCAATACCAGAGTGATTAGGTAGGTACACAGTATAAGTGTGTGAATCAAGTTTTGTGGAATGCGTCAAACTGCAATTACCTTGACAACATTGGATATCGTTCGATTAAATGTTTTCTTCGAGGTATAACGACTACGACTACGACTACGAGTGACCACGGTATGGTATCATGACACGTCTGTCCGCCTGATGAGGTTCGACTGAAGTTATTTTTCTTTTTTTGAGAATTGATTGAATGCCGACTGCTTTCTCTGTCTCTCTTTCTATAAAGTCTTGTCTTCTTTCTACGAGTATCTAGATGCCTAGGTAGTTTGTATGAGAAAAATCCAAAACACAAAAACGCAAGACAACGTTGCAAAAAGACTATGTTTGGCTAGGGATAAGCCAGGCGCCCCCCTTTCGAAAGCTCTGGCCAGATCAGATCAGATCAGATTTCTCAGAAAAGGATCGGCCCCCCTTTGAACGAAAAAACCCCCCTGCTTCCAGATGCCCGGCTTGGCCGGCTGGAGTGCTGCTGGGAAGATCTGATCTGCTCTATTTTTTGGCTCTCGTCTTGATGTGAAATGCTGATTCGATTGTTCTTTCCTCATCATGGTGGATCTATCATGTGGAAACTCCAAGGACATCCCCAGAAAATTCGTACCTGGTTCGGCGATGGGTGGGTTTTAGATCAAACAGGACGCTGCGTATCCGTACGCTAGACAGTTGTTTAGTTCTTCAATCCCTCGCCGGCCAAGACCTTCTTGAAGCGGCGCTCAATGGCCTCCATGAACTGAGAGGTCGTGACCCACGCCTCGCGCTCTTTCTTGCCACATGCCAACGCAAGATCCTTGGTCATGATGCCGTCCTCGTTCACCGTGTCAATGACGGCCTTCTCCAGGCTCTCTGCCCACGTGACAAGCTCCGGCGTCTCGTCGAGGTTGCCACGCTTGACCAGTCCCCGCGTCCACGCGAAGATACTCGCGATCGGGTTTGTGCTGGTCTCCCGGCCCTTCTGGTGCTCACGGTAGTGTCGTGTGACTGTTCCGTGGGCTGCCTCGGACTCGTACGTCAGTCCGTCTGGGGTGATGAGCTGACTTGTCATCAGACCCAGTGATCCGAAGCCCTGCGCGACAATATCACTCTGGACATCACCGTCGTAGTTCTTCATCGCAATAACGAAGCCACCGGCGCTCTTGATCATCTGAGCCACCATATCGTCGATCAGTCTGTGCTCATACCAGATCTTCTTTGCCTCGAATTCCTTGGCATATTCCTTGTCATAGATCTCCTGGAAGATATCTTTGAATCGTCCATCATACGCTTTGAGGATCGTATTCTTGGTGCTCATGTACAAGGGGTACCCGCGGTCAAGCGCAAACTTGAAGCTTGCGTGTGCAAAGCCTCGGATTGAGTCGTCGGTGTTGTATTGTGTTTGTGCAATACCGCCGGTGGCAGGGAAGTCGAATACTTTCACGCGCGTGGCCTCGCCACCAGACTTGGGGGTGAACACCATCTCAAGTGTACCGGCTTCGCGAATGACTTCGTCCTTGGCACGGTACTGGTCGCCAAAGGCGTGACGGCCGATGATGATGGGTGCTTCCCAACCAGGTACCAGGCGGGGGATACGTGGGATCACGATGGGTTCGCGGAAAACGGTACCACCGAGGATGTTACGAATGGTGCCGTTGGGAGAGAGCCACACTATACGAGAGAAAGTCAGCGACTGCAGTTTAGTCTAGACCAGTGCCAACAGAACACCCTCAAAGACGTGCAAAAGACCAAGAGGGGACAACAAGGTGGGAGGGGAGGGACTCAAAATGCGTACTCTTCTTGAGGTTGAATTCCTTGACTCGGGCCTCGTCAGGTGTGATGGTAGCACACTTGACTCCCACCGAATACTTCTTGATAGCCTCGGCAGCGTCGATCGTGACTTGGTCGTCTGTCTCATCACGGTACGGTAGACCCAGATCGTAGTACTTCAGGTCGACGTCGAGGTATGGGTGAATGAACTTGTCCTTGATATCCTGCCAGATTATACGGGTCATCTCGTCGCCATCGAGCTCGACGATTGGATTCTTGACCTTAATTTTCTGCGCCGCCGCGCCCGAGGCATTTCGACTTTGTGGCATGTTTCCCACTGAGATCCTCCTACTCTCTGCTGACAATCTGTTCGAAGCGACTGAAGCCATCCGGAAAGAAGGTGAGGAGGACGAGAGTGTTCGTCTAGTTGCAGCGCCCACCAGCGCAGTCCTGAGCGGGTTCATGGGGAAGGCGGTAGATGCACGAGGTGGATTGCGAGCGGTGACGGGTTAGTAAACCGGAAGGCGCCACAGGTTGACAGATTCTGATACGAGTCGTCCCGAGGATGTTGTTCTCGAGGGCATGGTTTTGCAGCTTCTCGACTCTGCTTCAGTCGGGTCTTGCGCTGTTAGCTCGGCAAAAGGAGCGATGACGGACTCTGAGCCGAGGGGGAACAGGCTGAGGTGGGTTGGTGCGCACGCATCGGACCATCTCTGTTGCGCCGACGTGGGGTTTCCGGGCGTTGAAGTAGGAGCGATCTCGGGGCTTCTCTGGGTGAACTTCACAGGCGCCCATAGGCACAATAGGCGCGAGATTAGGCCACCGGATCCGGGCATTGCTGCGTGAGTCCCGAAAGCCTTGCAACCCTACCCCATTTTGGTTGAGTCTTCGGAAGCGGATTTCTCGTAGAAACACAGATTTCAAGAGTCTTTCTCGAAAAGAAAAGCCATCCCAACAACTACCGCGCGCCCTTGGCCTCGAGTTCGGGTACTGTCGCTTCTCGAACCCCTTCGACAATTTCCGATCCTCCACTCTCCTTCCTTCTCGCAAACCTGACTGTCCTCAAATATGGCCGACAAACTCCGTACCTTGCAGCAACTCGAGTCCCTCCAGGCCAAATATGTCGGCACCGGCCATGCAGACACCACTACATATGAATGGAAGAACAACATCGTTCGGGACTCCTATGCCTCATACGTTGGCCATCCTCCTCTGCTCGCATACATGGCTTTAGGGATGGGCGAGAATAAAGAAATTGTCCGAGGGCAATTCATCGAAAAAATGATCCGAGCGAGTGGTCCTCCACCCGCGAAAGATGAGGATTGAAGAGCAACACTGTCCCCAATGAGAGATCAAATTTACATTGGGACAGACTCAATGGAATAGTCACTTGAAGCGCATCAGAGAGAGTTATTGTCGTCGGAATGGATTCTACGACACAACTCATCCTACTCGCGCTCTTATGCCAGGGCCGTGCTTAGAATAAGAGGCGGTGACCGGTACATTATTTACGCGACACGCTTGATATGCACCTCGTTTGGGAAAGCTGAGGTGAAAGGAACTCGACGCTAATGATTGAGAAAGGCGCGAGCAGATCAGGATGATCAGATTTGGGATATGATGATAAAAGATACCCCGGAATTCAACACAGATAGAGAATTGAACCTTATCAGATACCAATATTTGCAGCAAAAAAAATCTTGCATATTCTAATCAGGACTGTGGCTCAAAATTTGCAAAGTCTGCCATGTGCGACTTGCAATCCCAGTCCATCATCATCATCCAGAAGCGAAGTGGTCAATCTCTCTGGTGAAGGAAAATTTGGTTGATTGCTCCCAATCCGGATACATCACAAAAGAAATGTAGTTCTGAGGGTGAAAGGCTGTTGCTGCTTAGCCCAATCAATCATTCATCACTCTCCCGGAATCTCCTGCGCCGTTTGCCCATGCACGCCTGTTTGACATAAGAATTTCCCAATTTTTGTGGTGTGGAACCGTAATCACTCCCCTTGAGGTGACGCCCTTCACAGCGAAAAGGCGCTTGTTGTTCTACCCAAATCCCTGATCGTAGCCTGTTGCGGCTGAAATTTGACATTATAAGAAATAAAACCATCATTAGAATATGCCATTGACAATGTTGCTGCCAATCGTGGCACCAGCACCGAAAATAGCGGCATTTCCCATCTTCTTGCCAAATTTCTTGCCTTGCTCTTCCAGCTTGCTGTATTTCCGCCCATCAGGACCAGTCGTCATGCCACCTTGGGCTACTTGGAGTGGCATGTTTCCATAGTCTGATGGCTGAGGTTGCAAAGGGGGCCGTCCTTTTTCCTCAATGACATTGACATAACTTCGAGGGAAGATGCCTTCCATGTTGGTACGTTCATTGCGGCCTCGCCACCCTAGAGATGATGATGAGTATGGACTGTAATCAATAGTCACAGAGACGGCACTTACAATCATTGTTCATGTGCTCTGTAACCTGTATCCGGTCCCCTTGCTGTAGCGCCAGGTCACCAGCATCTGTGGGGGTATATGCATAAAGCGCCGTTGCAATTGATAGTATCTGTGGTGTCTGCACATATGCTGGAGGAGGTAAAGGTGCAGGTGTTGGGACTGGGGCATAATGTTCCTTCAGACTCATGTTCGAGAATTGATCAACTGGAGTGTTTGTTGAGACATTATTGACGGGGGTCTGGAGAGGAGCATGTAGAGGTGTCTGGGCTGGTAATTGAGCGAGAATGGACGATAGCTGTTCAGGGGAGATGATGGAGGAGTCTGCAAGAAATTCAAGTTCCTAATCATTGTCAGTTGACCATCCTGGTGATGGACATTGAGGTTACCCACGGTGCGAATGGTACGGAGGGAGCGGTTGGTGAGGGCGATGGAGGCCTCGGTGGCCATGGTATCGCGGGGGATAAAGTAATCGGACGCGTACGAAGGAGATGAGGTCGAGAGGAAGGACAAAAAAAATCGATAGAAATGAGTGGAAATCTCAACCCTTCGAAGGTGAGGTGTCGTTGATGAAGAGGGAGGAGGTTGAAGGTGAGGCGCAGTTTCAGAACTAACGGGTGACAAGTGTTGGAAAAGCACCGGTATGGATACAAGTAACAGGCGGGTAACAATGTAATAATACAAGTACTGGGTCATAAGTCAAGGCATTAGGCGACACACAGTGCAGGGCAATGCATAACACTTGTCTCACAAGCCGCCGAGCTGGAGCTTTGCCAGCCGAGGGAAATTGTTTCTGTCTGACAGATGCATATAACAGCATCGAGCACAGAATTTTGGCTGTAGCAAGGCAGTGTCTTACTCGTCAGCACTTGTCACATCCCCTTCCGGTAGTTCCTGCACTACTGTAGGCACCAATACGCGACAAGACACTCCGGTAACAACGGAGATTCAATTTGGGTTTAGCGTAGGATTTGTAGTGTCCATCTGCCAGCCGTGGCTTTTGCTGTCGCCTTCATCTCATCTCACAATGGACAGCGGAGGAATGTCCTGGTTCACTCGTACTACAGACCTATCCCAACCCTGACTGACTGCATGTTTGTTGCAAACGACACCTAGAACCTCAGCAAACTGGAAAGAAGAGCCTTTTTCCTACATGGTTCCTTGCACCAAGTTCTGGGCTAGCTCTAGCCTTGAGGCTGCTATATGCGTGATGCCGTGTACCATTCCCATCTTCGGTTCGGAAACTTGCATGCAGGTGAAAGAAGATAAAGAAACCTGCCCAGACAGTTTCGGCTTCATCTATCTTCTTGATGATGCTGCCGATGCAGATTGTCGGCTCGGTGCAGTCTCCCATCAGGTTGGTACAGTCACGGTGAAAGGCTAGGTACATCCTCAACAAGACCTCATGGGCTATTCGGAATTTCGCGTCAGTTTTCCTTTGTCTGTCAACCTTAACATTCTCAATTTGGTTCCGTTTGATTGATTTGATTGTTGTTGGAAGATTGTCTCATACAATCTTCATGCTGCCTCCCTGCCTATTGCTATGATTCGTTTGGCACAATCACAAGCTACAAACGGCAGAGCGTCTTCACTATAAGATGATGTAGACTCTCATGCTGATGCTGTTGTTGCTGACTATTCCCTCTGTGGACATCTCAAACCCTCAAATTGTATTCACATCTTGGAAAAATATACCTTCATCTTACATCACGGACGTGTTATTCAGCCCTTGCCCATGCAGATGCCAGCAACACATTCACTGACAATACACAACAATCCTATTGTGAGTCTTCTTTCTGTCACTCAAGCCATTCGGCTATTCACGCACTACACGCTTGCGCTCTGTTGAGGAGCCATTGACATGTTACTGTCTTCACTCGGCGACCAGGTCTGAGGGTGTAAATCATATTTATATCTCTCCACCACACACGATCTCAACTTTTCCTCTACCCAATATCAAGTCTCATGTCAAAGCTGTTGCAAATCCAGCGCTTTGGCTCTTGAAACTTCCAGTCTTCTTTGATCTTTAAATTAAATATATGACTGACTCAAGTGCTCTCTTTTCTCAGACCACCAAACAGGACGATACCATGGCTGAGCAAAGAACCCTCAAACCACAATTCTTCTTGACCCGCCAAAATGGCGCCATGGTCCCTCTGGTGGCAATGGACGAAATGCCAATCCACGTACAGATCCGCGGTGTCCCTCGAAGCCTGACCGCATTCGAAATTGCTGGCATGACACCTCTCGGACTCGTGGAATCTCGTCATGAGTACCACATTGTTGAAGCGATGAACAATATGAACAACATTGGTCATCGAAATACCACAACGGGCCAGAAGCCAACAGATCTCTCCTCCTCGTTCGTCCCTCCACAGATGCGACTTGCTCCTTGCCCTTCACCAATTGTCAAGTTTCCTGGCAATACCGAACACCTGAGTGAGACAGGCAGTGCCTCTCTGTCCACGGAGGAAGGCAAGACCAGCACTCGTCCAGGGAGCTCGGGCGAATCAAGCATTCACAGCGACGCCGCACTACCTGCAGTGCCGGCTTGGAGGCAAAATGCGACCACGAATGTCACCGCGACCACGAGCAAGGTCGAAGAGAGCAAGAACGCCGGCAACACAGCAACAACTGCTGGCAATGTTCCAACTCCATTGACGGGCAAGAAAATATACTGCTCGTATTGGCTCCGCAAAGGCGAATGCGACTTTGCTCAACAAGGGTGCATCTACAAACACGAGATGCCAACAGACCTTGAGACCTTGCAGAGTGTCGGCTTCACGGACATTCCATTGTGGTACCGCCAACGTTACGACCTGGGCAGTCTCAACGTTGAAAATGGCCGCAACAACCCAAGTTTTGGGGTGGCAGATCGCAACAAGCCCAGCCCACCGCGAAACTTCCAGGTCGGCGACAATGCCAAGCGTATGATTCGCAATCAGATCGGCCCGGTCAATCGCTCGTACTCCCCACGGGGTGGGCGCGCAAACGGTCGCCGACAAGACGAACGCCGGGCACAACTCGAAGCCGGGGAGAAGAGGCAGAGAGAGACCGATGCGGCGATCGAAGCCGTCATCGCTGCCGAGGCGGAGCGGGAGAGGGAACGAGAAGCACTGATGAAAAAATTCCCGTGCCTGGCACCAGAGAATCGCGGCGTGTTCGTGGGTCACGAGGACCTCTTGACCGAAACGTTCAGCAACGGCGAAGAGCCAAACGACATGCACGCGCAGATCAGAAAGATCGAACAGGCAGCATGGGAGGAGGAGCAGACCGAGCGGCAGAAGAAGCTGGAGGAGTTGGAGGAAAAGGAGATGCAGCGGCCGGAGGGCAAGGCTGCGGGAGGGAGCAAGAAGGGGCAAGGAAAGAAGAAGGGCGGGAAGGGCAAGAAGAAGTAGTACTAGGGGGTGGGTTGTGGTGATGGAGATGGGGGAGGCTTGGAAGAGTGCCAGAGTGCCTCCAGAGAACTCAAAGAGGGTCTTCTCCTTTGTCCTTTGTTGTCAAAGCCGTTGCCAGCCCTGCGGACGAGTTTCTTTTCTTTTTGGCTTGCTGAATCAGAGAAAATATAGATTTCTTTTTTCTACAAAAGGCTCGAGTCCAAGTTCCATGTTTCAAATGTTTTTACACGTCCAAAAGCGCAAAGGTCCTCTCCCTCTACAATGTCCTTTGCCTTTGTGCCTCTGCTCCCCAATTGCTCTGCGCCAGCGTTCGAACGTAACTCTGAACCGCCTGCCGACCGTCGGGGAGGGCAGCGGCACCAGTCTCTCCGGACTGTAGGAGCAGCTTCTGTTGTTCCTTTCGCACCTCCGCCAGCTCCTGTATCCTGCCAGGCTTCATCATCCACTTCTTGGGGAACCAGTGCTTCTTCTTGGACTTGTGGTGCCGCATGTCGAGCGGGATGTCCTCGAATGTGTCCTTGCCGTTTCTCGTCTCGTCGAGGAGCTTGTTAATCAAATCTCCCAGGTACCGCTTGTTTTGCGCGGCGGCCTCGAACTTGTCGGTCGACATCTTCACCATGTCCGTGTCCGGGTTGTATCGCACGCCGACGAGTTTAATCAGTTTCATTCGTTGCGCCTCCGTGAGGTTCGGCAGATCCTTTGTGCAGAATTGAACCACCACCTTCTTCGCCGCCGGGTGAACTTCACCCATGTACGTCGTGTACCGGAATCTGAGGGGGGTGGCTTGTGTAGGTGGTTTGAATTCTTTGGCGTATTCTGTTTGTGTGTGTTAGCCGTGGTAGCCATATCAACGCGAGATAACATGCGAAAGGGGGGGGGGAGAAGAGGGTACAAAATCGTGGTTGGTTAGGTAGGTTGGGGGACCTTACGGTTTAACAACGGCATATCCCATGCTATCACTCTCGTGTACTCTCTAATCTCACGGTGGACTTCCAATTCACTGTGTGCCACCGATGTGATGGCCGAGTCGTCCCAGGCCGGTTCTTCGTCGTATTGACCAAACTCGTCCTCCTCGTCGGTCCAGAAGCCGGAGAGGGACGGTTTCGTCGCGATGTCGGGGAAATCGAGCGACTCGGTTTCCTTTTCGACCTGTCGGTCGACGTCGTCCACCGCACCATCGAGCGCACTCTCGGCCTCGGCTGACTCAAACATGGCTTCGTAGTGGTTCTGCAGCGCCAGGTATTCCTCCTGGTCGGCCTTGGAAAGCATGTCGTAGTCCGCACGCTCTTCGGGGCCGAGATCCGCCACGGTGATCGGCGAGCGAGGCGTGAGGTACTCACTGGGGTCGAGTTTCTCCGGGTCTTCACTGTCATCGAGAGTGTCCTCATCAAATTGAGCAGAGGTCGGTGGAGGCCGCCGAGAGTCTTCCGCTCGCAGAGCGCAGGTGGTCGAAAGAGGTCGGAGGAAAGAAGTGGTGGCATTTTGATTGCGGACGAGCCATTGAGGTTGGCATTTTCGTTTCACAGGTATCTGTCTGGATACTTGGTACAGTGTGCGACATAGATGTCGCCCTGGAGTGGCCATGATGGACTCACTGAATTTACAATATTGGCTGTCGGAACACTGCCATGTGCATTGGAGAGCTTTGAAGCATTTAATTTTCCCCGAGAATTAATTGCATCTAGCGGTTCTTGGGATCTGACGTATAATTCCGTAATTACGGTGAATCATGCGCCACTATTTGTCCCATGTCTGGAGGTCCTCATTATTCCTCTACTTCGTACTACGGGAGTATTTACTAGATATACGGAGTCTCGTCAAATCTAGTTCTACAACACTACTCTTTCCTTTTTTTTGGATATGATACAAATATGTCGGCCGTGGCACCATCAGATATACCATTTCGGAAGAGATGTTTCGTGACTATTGGTGCTACTGCACCCTTCAACAGCCTCATCAAGGCCGTACTCGCCGATGACTTTATAAGCCAACTACAACAGCTGGGATACAACGAGCTGCGGGTACAGTACGGCGACCATGAAGGTGAAGCCATCTACACGCAACGAATCAAAGATCTTCAACCAAGGCTCAGCAACGATAAATTTGCCATCACCGGGTTTGGGTTTGATAAATCAGGACTTGGTCAAGAGATACTGGCCATCAAAGGACGCTCGCCAGAGACGGAAGGGACTGTCATCAGCCATGCCGGTAAAGTAACCTTTGTTGAACTTGTCAACCAAACGTCAGGAACAAGCTGACGTTGGTACTATACAGGCTCAGGCTCGGTTTTGGATGTTTTGAGAGTGGGCATCCCGCTCGTGGTTGTGCCCAACACCGATCTACTACATAACCACCAAGTCGAACTCGCCGAAGCTCTTGCTAAGCAGGAGTATGTTATCTATGGGAAGATAGAGTAAGTGATCTCCTATTGAATGGCTAGTACCACATACGTTGTTTCCATTTGCGCTCCCGATAGGACGACGCAGGTCTGACTCTCTCTGTTCTAGTGATCTCGAATCATCTCTTTCAAGCATCGAAAGCCTACGGATCAAGATGCGAAAGTGGCCGCCACTCCGCTCCGGGGAGCAAAAGTACGGAAAAGGCATCGTGGATGTCATGTCCGAGGAGATGGGATGGCAGTTGGATTGAACGTCCAAGAAATACGAAACACAACTGAGTCTTAGAATCTCATCCCTCTGATCAGCCTTCCCAAACCGAAACCAACTTTCACTCTATGGCAAGTTGGTGACGCGGATCAAAAACCGAAAATCTTCCAGTGAACCAACTCGACCGTCGCATACTAGTCAGGTTAAGTGAGACTCGACATGCAGGCCCTACAACTACTGAAGCCGCGGATCGAAGGGTCAGGAACAAGGGAACCACCCATCGGGATCGTCTCCCACGAGGTACGCCCATGGCTGCATTCGAGGTACTACGGAGGTTACACGCGTACCAGCCTCCAACATTCCTGGCACCTCCAACATGGACATCCCCCCTGCGAGCGAGTAATGTGGTCGAGGGCAGGCTTCCAGATACAAACACCTGCGGCCGCATCGATTTGGTCCAGGGTCTTCGAGTGCAGCCAATTCAATCTTCCGCAGGGTTTGGATGTGAAAAGAACACGTGATGGATGGACCACAAGACGAAGTGAACAGCAGCATGAGGTGTTGTATGTCAAGGCTACTCAACACAATATCTCTCATGCTTCAGATATCAAGAGTGGACAATACGGAGTACATGCTTGAGAGATTGCGGGAAAAGCCCACATTTCCTTTAGTGAGGCTGTAAAAGATCAATTAGCAAAAGACAAACCCTCACTTTGGAGGAAATTGCTTTGTTTTTCTCCCTTTTTTCAGTTTTTAAGAGAGGAAATGAGGCGACGTGTATTTTGAACTGTCAAGGCTGGCCTATCATAAATATGGTATCTATCTATCTTCAGCCTATTGCGAGAACGTCATAATGTCATATACATATTTATATATATGTCCATGGCTCGCCTGGAACAAGAAAAAGTAGAAGGATTAGAAAAATTGGTTCTTGCATTGGTAGCTCACCACCGACACGGGGATTTCAAGAGTCTGGTTTCTCCCCCCCCTTTTCCATTTGGGAGCGTTTCATCCAGGGAGAGTCGATTAAAAAGAAACAAGAAGCGCCACTCGACCCCGTCAAGGCCGATACCCAAAGGTCCAGAAAAGACCGCGCCAACACATCACGCAAAGAGAGGGGCGCCCTGTGTCACGGAGTTTGGGTCAGTGAGACAAAATCGAGTCCCCTTGCCCGTCCTCGGAGGCCCGACGCTCCGCTATCCTGCGAGCCCTTTCCCCCAGTCTACCACACGTCGGTTCCCCCGAGACCCGTGAGACCCTCCACAGGGCCCCCATCATGGCCTGCATGTCTTCGTGGTCCTCGTCCAGGGCCGCCTCGACGAACGCGTCGTCCTCGATGAGGTCGTCGAGGATGAGCCGGTGTTCCTCCATCAGATCGCGAGAGGTGACCTCGACGGCTTTTCCGAGGAGAAATCTAAACATGACCCGGTGGTACATGTAACCAAGGTCGATCTGGATTTCCGGCGGCCTCGTTTTGTTCCGGGTGAGTCGGACGACGGGTAGGGCCACGACGATGGCCTCCTCGAGTCTCGCGTGGTCCTCGGCCGGGCGCACGTGTGCCTTGACCACGACGCTCTCCGACCGCGGAAAGGCCGTCCCGATGAGTTTGACCGTCGAGATCCACCGACGGTTGTTCTCGCCGTCGACGTGGGCCCAAACCACCAGGCGTCGGACCTTGTGGTTGACGGGCGAGAGGGGCCAGGTCAACCAAGAGGAAAAGTCGAGGTTGCCGTTTCGGATCTCGAGCACCACGCTCGACATTAGTGTAGTATAACCTTCGTGGTAGATTTGTTTGCAGGTCAGTAGAGGTTCGAAAGTTTGGTTCCACGTCAACGGAGCCGACGGCCGGTCCGTTTCTTCTTCGGAACAAGCGTGGCAGTCCAGGGAAAAAGTCTTGCTTCGAGAAGGCACCGCGTGTGCATTTTCAAACGTCGACCTCCATATCTTGTCACGGATCTCTCGAGGTAGGCCCAGAAGATGTGGCGTCGCCATCGTGGTGCGCGTGTGTGTCTGTGTATGCGGTCGGAGTCGTAACGTCGAGAGAGATGTTTCCTCTTTCAGAAAAGCATCGATGATGTTGCCGCATCGCCAGCCACGAAAACGGTAGAACCCTTGCAGGCAATTCGAGCGTGGTTTTCAATCACACGAGAAGCCATACACAGCTCCCATTTTGCCTCATTCCGCAATGTCGACAATCAATCATGGTTGAAGACTCAATGAAGATGATGGCTGTCGATTGATAACGGGGGTCGTGATAGACTAAGGAGTACTCGTCATAACTTATACACATCGGATAAATACTTTTTCCGAGCGTTTCAAAGCCATCTTCACATACACCACAACAGACACAAGACGACAGCCAGGAACTCGGTGATATGTAGCGAGGTATACCTACGGTCTAGAGTACACCAGGGTAAGGGATCACCGAAAACAGACAGTATTGGATAACGATGAGTTATGATTGACCTCGCTATGCTCTGTGCACACCATCTCCCATGAAAAAATCCACCTCGACGGTCGCTAATGAATGAATGGATCTGTGAGTCCATGGGCCACCCACCATACGACTGGATAGAAGACTCAGGTTCCATGGCACCTCGTCGTCCGCCAAGTCTTAAGATAAGTTGCCATTGTCAAAATCATCATCATCTCCATGTTGAAACCCCCTAATTCAATCCCGCATGTCGGGTTTACCGTAATCAACTCCCCACGTCGCGCCACGCTTGCGCTTCGAATCCAAAATCTCCGAAGGTTGTAGCGATGACTTGTCGGCACCGGCTTGATCAGTAGACGAGACTTGGTGGTCATGATTTGCGCGTAACTTGCCAGCATTCGGGTCGTAACCATACAAAATTCCACTAAGGTACTGATGTTTGGTGTTCTTCTCCTCTGCTTTGTGCTGTTTCTTCTTGCCTTCATATGCTTGCGCCTCGTCCTCCCTAGTCCTGAGTTCTGCCTCACATGTTCTGTTATTCGGTTCTTGCTGTCGCCTCAAGGCCTGGTCTTGCGCCTCTTCCCTGGCTCGCCGTTGACGTTCCACGTCTTGGGCAAGTAGATCCTTCAATCCCTTGTCTTTGCTGGCAAATATTCGACCGAACAAGCTAGTAGCCTTTCGTTGGCTTCCTGGTGATGATTCTGGAGATGAGGGTGGAGAAGGTGCACTTGACGATTCCATACTCATTGTTCTGGAAGATTCATCGCCAGGTGACGCTGAAGTCGAAGTCACTGGAGGATCGATTTCAGACGACCATTGCCCCGCAGTGTCAGTCATGGCTGCGAAATCAAAGATTGTTCCTCAAGGCTTTGCCGCGACTGAGGATTTTGAGGTGTAAAAAGGCTCGAGCTGAATCGAGATGCTCGCTGTTCGCGGTTTTGGCGACACAAAAGTACGCAATGTATGAAAATCGCAAGGGCGACAACGGTAATGATGGGTATGAGAAACGGACCGATGAAGGTGACTAATATCTCTGAAAAAGCCATAGGTGTGACCGTCAAACGCTTGAAACAAGTGACACGAACCATTGTAGAGGAGGCTGAGGAACATAGCGTCCATCGTGACTTCCATCCCCAGGCCTGCTCGTCTTGTGTCATCACGAGCAACGGCAATCCGGTTGTTGATTGAAGCCACTAATTTCATAATTCATTTGCATGCCACGGCTCATTGTCATGCTTTCAATTCCAAATCAGCAATGTCCAATGCATTTTGCGCAGATGCCCCGCCTGTAGACTCTCGTCAACCCAACCTAATTCCACCAAACGAAACGGCTGGAATCTCGGTATACTGCTTTACTGGCAGCATAATGTTGGGTGCCCTAGTCGGGAAAAGTCGCTGATGCAGCTAGATCTTTTAGGAGGCACATGGATTGTTCAACCTGATTATTATTCTCAACGTCTGCTCTCGTTCATTCCTGGAGGAGCGCCCATGCCATATCCTGGCGGCGGAGCTTGGCCTGGAGGTCCAGAGGCGTTTGAAGGGCTTGGATTACCAGGCACATTTTGTTGAGCTGGAGGAGGAAAATTCCCTGGCGGACCACCTTGAGGGGGGATCTGAAAGTTCGGAGGAAATCCGCCGGGAGGAGGGAATGGCATTCCAGCAGGGAGATTAGGCGGAGGAGGGCCGTTTGGTGGGAATGGTGGGAATGGCATGCCACGACCACCTGGAGGAGGAATCATACCTCCGGGTCCAGGTGCAGGAGCCCCAGGCATGCCAAAGGGTGGAGGGGGCATGCCTGGAAATCCCGGCGGTGGAGGAGGAAACCCAACACTTGCTTGTTGTAGCATAGGGTTTACCTGGCCTTCGGCAGTGTACGAGGCGGTGATCGAGTCGATGACAGATTGTGCCTTTTCATGACCGATTTCTAGGATGGCATTAGCACCTGTGCAGCTCTTGCGATTCAATCTTCTAACGACTCACGTTGATAGTAATCCGTCACGTTTCGGAGATGGTTCCGGCCAGAGTTATGGGCTTTTCGCACCGACATGGAGTCGTGGGTGAGGTAGACATCGCAGTAGTCGCAAAAGAGTGCTGAGAGAGTCAGTATTGATCATTCATTCACCAAGGGGTAAGAAACTTATATTTCGGCATTTTGAGAGGCTGAAATTTTCCACAGTCAATTGTAGAATAGCAAGAGAAGTATGCAAAGGTTGGCGTATCGTTACGAGATCGTCAAGTGCTTCTATCGGACGAACAACAGTCAAGACAGAGATGGAACACGGTTTGTGAGGTGGAATTTCTAGGCGGTGGCAGAATTCCGTATTGCTAAATTACTGGGCTGTATTCGTATTGTACTCGAATCCACGTCGCGTCGTGACTTGGGGCCAAACAGTTCTCCGTACTCCGTAATAACAATACTGGGTGCTTCAACGCGGCTGCGCATCTGGCTTCAGGGAGTGGAAATTGTTGATAGTCGTTTCTTCCAACAGCGACCATCTACCCTCATACTCTCAGCTCATCATCTACGCCACCTGATGGCTATTCAATCACACCGTCTCTCGTCGTCGTCATGATGACTACATGATCACGTTGATTCTGGTTGAAATAAGTTGATGCCAACATGGCCGACGGGGGCACCCTCCACAATGTACCGATTGTTCTAGACAATGGGAGTGGTACTATTCGTGCAGGGTTCGCAGGCAACGACCTTCCTGGAGCATATTTCCCATCCTACGTCGGTCGACCGAAGCATGTCCGGGCGCTCGCTGGAGCTTTGGAAGGAGATGTCTTCATCGGGCCCAAGGCGCAGGAGTTGAGGGGCCTCCTCAAGATCCGATATCCCTTGGAACATGGAATCGTCACGGACTGGGATGATATGGAAAAGATATGGACATATGTCTACGAGCAAGAATTGAAGACGCTGAGCGAGGAACACCCCGTGCTGTTGACCGAGCCCCCACTGAACCCGAGACAAAATCGAGACACTGCAGCGCAGATACTGTTCGAGCAGTTCAACGTCCCCGCCATCTACATGTCCATCCAAGCAGTCCTCAGTCTTTACGCCAGCGGCCGAACCACTGGTATCGTTCTCGACAGTGGTGACGGCGTCAGTCACGCGGTCCCCGTGTACGAGGGATTCGCCATCCCGAGTAGCATTCGCAGGATAGACGTGGCGGGACGGGATGTGACGGAGCACATGCAGCTTCTGTTGAGAAAGAATGGCCACGTCTTCCACACCAGTGCAGAGAAGGAAATTGTTCGCATCATGAAGGAGAAAACAGCCTACGTGGCTCTCGACCCCCGCAAGGAAGAGAAGGACTGGTCGCAGGGGATCTGGAAGAGCGAGAAAAAGGAGATTGAATATGTGCTGCCCGACGGTCAGAAGATCAAGATTGGGGCTGAAAGATTTCGAGCGCCGGAAATCCTGTTCGAACCTGAACTGATTGGACTGGAGTATCCTGGTGTTCACCAAATGGTGGTCGATGCCATCAACAGAACGGACATGGACCTTCGCAAGAGCCTGTTTGGCAATGTCGTGCTGAGTGGTGGTACAACATTGTGTAAAGGATTCCCTGACCGACTATTGTACGAAATGCAACGGCTGGCGGTCAAGGACATGCGCATCAAGATCTTTGCACCTCCGGAGCGGAAGTATAGCACGTGGATTGGTGGAAGTATCCTGGCAGGGTTGAGCACGTTTAGAAAGGTAAGTTTTTGTCATGGGATGGCGACATGGCACGCAATACTGACGACGGGGGTTAGATGTGGGTCAGCATCGACGATTGGCATGAGAACCCAGACATCATCCATACCAAATTCTCCTAGGCTGGCCTGAGCTGAACGTCAGGGGGAAGGGTCACGAGTGCGATTGCAGACCGACAGAAGGACATGACCAGGTTGAGGCCACCTTGGCTGAACCAAGATTTTGGTCGAGCCGCACACGACTTGCCGGCATCCGGAAACAGAACAGGTTGATGGCGGCCCAAAAGCCTGATCTAGATGACAAGCTCTCGCTTTCTGAAGTCTGCTGATCAACTCAATAGATCGGTCACGGCTGTCTTTCAAAATTGCATTATGCGGGGATGGGACAGTAGCCGAAATCCGGGGTGGGAAGTCGGTCGAGTCGAGTTGTTCTTGGAAATGTGGACAGCAGGACCTGTCATTATTGACGGCCATGAAGGGAAAGAAGAGGCGCAGTTTGTCCGGGAAGTACTCGGATGGGTACAGAGTACTCGTTTGAGCTACTCTGTAGAGTTCTTCGTACCTGATTGCTTCGAGAGTCTGTTGGCATACTACTGGTACTGTACCTCACCCTGACCTCCTCGTAGACTCCAGGGGCACGACACGTGTCGGATGGGCTGGTTCAGGAACGAGCATAGTTTGCTTCTCTGTTACGAGCAGAGTACAGCAGCATTGGACGGAATGCAGGGGAACAAGGCAGTTGAGAAACCCGTACGCAGTACCTGGTCAAGGTGTCAGAGAAAGAGGAGGTGAGAGGCATGTTGTTTCTATTACCCCCAGGAAACCTCAATCCCCGCCTAGCAACATGATCGATTACCCCATAGTTTCTCACGGCAAGGCTCGGCATGACTAAAGTTATTGAAGTTTTCATCTTCTCTACCAATCATGTAAATTCTATGACAAGCGCCACAATGGAGTTGGCAGGACTTGATTGCCACATACGACGGGCGCATTCTTGTAACAGGACAGTACCTCGTGACTCCGTGACTCGTACAGTAGCCAGCTAATACTCGTTTCGACTAGTTACTGAGTACTTTCCCTACGAGTAAAATTCCTCATAACGATACGGAGTACAGGTTGTACCGTAAGTACCTGGTACCGCTGGAATCCGGGGCAAGGGGGAGCCACACTTGTTGTCATACCGGCGTGTTCCTCTTGTCTCAATTTCTTTCCACTCCGTATTACGACTCCATAACAAGTAAGTACTGTAAGGTCTTCATCGTGACCTTGCGAAAATTTTCATCTGGCGTCTGGCGCTTTGCAGTTAACGGCATCTGGAGCGCCCGCCTGGACGTTTCCATCGAGTAATCAAATCCTCCAGACTTGGTCCTTGTTTGGGCTTTGTGTCATTGATGGCGACATCTTTGCTAGGCTTTTACGACCACGTTTGTACTCCGGTACGGATACTCGATGTGAGTGAACCTGCATCCATGCGCCGCCCCCCCTATGCGAACACCACATAACAACATACCTTGGGAAAATTTGCATCGAACCACACACGCCCCCATACCCCTTGTCATGATTTTCCTCACTAGTCGAGTACTTGGACTCGGGGGCAGTAGATACTTTGTTATTTAAAAACATTCTCAAACCCCAGATTCTTGAAATACTCGTGATCGTCCTCTTTTTTCTTAAAAGATCAACCCACCCTAAACATTTTAAACGTACAACTTTGTCTTTTATTTGACAGACAGGATATTCATCTGAGCAGAGCCTCGAGCTTGACCATATCAGCATTACTGTTACAGTACTATATATCTCCTGTTGACCGAGAGATTTGATCATCTCAAACCATACACACAACAAGGATCGACCTCATCCTCTACCTCTACCTCTAACCCACCAATCAGAAATACAAAAACCTCACCACCACCACCACCACCACCTTCTTACCTACACACATACATTACATTTTGTATACAACCACAGATATATATATTCACAATGTCGATCTCATCGTCGACGACATCATCATCACCCAAACGTTATTCCATAGTCGAACCACACCCTTCGGTCCCTTCATCACATTACCTTTCCACGGGCCGCGGGGGGGCGGGCAACGTGACCCGAGCGCCCCCGTCCACCACCAGGGGGGTCGACGCCAGCGGTCCGGCGGCGAGGCTCAACCTCGTCCACCACCAGTCGTCTTCGTCCCACCCCCGGAGGCAGTTCGTGGCGGGTCGGGGGGGCGCCGGCAACGTCCACCCGTCCTCGGAGAGGGCCATTTTCAGTTTCGACGAAGAACTCGAACGACAACTCTCTCAGGAACGTCACGCCGCCCCGGTCTACCACGTAGGTCGGGGTGGTGCCGGGAACCTGGCCACCAGCAACAACGGCGTCAGCACCACATCGTCGACCGTCCCCACGGCCAGTCTCTTCAGCGGCAACGCCGGGAGACCGTCGACGACGACGACCGGCAGCAATCGAGGGTGGTACGACGGTGGTTACTACGACACCACGGCCACGGCCGGCGCGGCCGGGACCGCGGCTCGTCGTCGATCCAGCGACCACAGCTTCACTTCCCACAGCAGTACGGGGAGCGAAAGTGGTGCCGACGTTTTCAACCGTGGCATCAAAAAACGGTGGAACAAGTTGATGGGTGTCGGTTATTACATGACTTGAGTTGAGAACCATCACCATCACCACCACCACCACTTCCTCTCCCCCGACCCTCACGGACACTCACACCGCGTGACAACCTCTTTCTTGTTCTTATTTTTTCTCAAATCCATCCATCATATCATCATTTGGCGTGGCGCTTTTCCGGCCGGGGACACAACACTTATCATTGGGACATCTTTTGGGTCTTGGGTGTCAAAACATGGGAACCAAAACAAAAGGAAAGGGAGACCGAGGAAACAACGATAACAACAGCATCAAAACACCGGCATTTTATATTTTCCCCCGTCACCAGCATCATCATCATCATCCTCATCATGACCTTACGAAATCTCATGAACACACTTTTGTTTTTTCTATTTACTACCGAAAAAAGCCACTTAGCATTTATATGCATCATATTGCATCATTTTTAATCCCAAAAAATGGAAATCTCTACACTTGAATTCCTTTCCCTCTTTTTCTCATCAATGCTCTACAAAGTGAATCCTCCGTAAAAGCAACTCGTAATCGCAGACTGAAAAACAAAAAACTCATTCGATCCTCTTCTCCACCCCTTCTCGACTGACGGTAAGATACTTGACACCCTTGTACGGTCTCACGCCGTCTCCGAGACCTTTGGACCTTTTCACATCCACACTCAACGCATCGACTTTGATCCCACTCGGCAACCAGCCCTTGACGCTAAACGAGACAGAAATCGACCGAGGCATCAGTGCCTTGTTCGCCTGTGCTCTTCTGCTCGTCGCACCCTGATTGCTCCCGCCGCTATTCCCGGCCCCGTCATATCGTCCAGAGTGTTCAGGGACAGTTTCGTCATTGTCTTCGTCATAGTACCCAGCCATGGACCCCGACTTGCCCGCGTCAATCACTTGAACTTCGTCGTCGATATCCTCGGATTTCAGCGGCCCAATTACACATCCTGTCAAGGTGGCCACACCGTTGACCGACGCGCCGTCTTTGGTCGGCACCTTCCATTCGACCACCTTATCAAATGCGTTGAAAGTAGCTTCGCCCCGTGACGCCTTCAGTTCGGTGACGTTACGCACGTCTTGGGGAAAAGGAATTGTCACCGTGACCGCTTCCAACGACGGAGCATTGGAGCTTCCGCTACCACTGCCACCGAAAGCCAATCCTCCGAGGGCACTCGAATTGGTCCTGGAATTGCTCGGCTTCGTACTGGAGGCGACACCGGGGAAGTTGTTGTTGAGAGTGAGTCGGGCTTCAAAGTCGGAACCACTGGCTCCCGTCGCCGGTCGTAGATCAACTGTGGCCGGTAAGAAAATGCGATCGGTCTTGCTGGGTGGCGTATCTGTGTTTAGGTCGGAGGGCATGAGGTCGGTTTCGTACCCCGCGAGCATGAAACGCCCATCCGGAGGAACAAACGATAATTCTCCAGGATGATCCTTCCACCTAGAAAGGCGGACGCAAGGGTGGAAACCTGGAATCTGCATGGTGCGAGAGATGCCTGATGCCTTTGCGCTACTCGTGCCACCAGGAGCCGAGAGTGTCAATAGTAAGTCGGGCACTCCGGAGATCTTGGCAGTGAAAGCTATCGAGCCATGAGAGCGGGCCGATATAGGTCGACCTGACGGGGCGAATATGACAGCCAAAGTCTCGATGATGTCGACGTAGAGCTCGTTTGATGTATGTCGAACATTCGGTTTACGCCAGGGTATGGCTGGCCCGCTCGGTTGTACTGCGGCCGGACGTAAACTTGAGGAGAAATTGCTCGATGGTCCCAAAGATGGCGATGATCTGTATTGTCAGTTTTTGCTTTCTATGGGTCTGGATCGTAGAGTGGTTCATACCCCGGTAGTCCAACCTGTGTGAAGAGCTTCCCCAACACGGAAGAAACTTCAACATTCTCCCGCAGCGCGTTCGGTTCTGTATTGCACACTATGCCTCCATCGCACATTTCACCAAGTAGTTGTGCCACAATCTCATAGTTGTCTTCGATCTTGGTCGCCAACAAGGGACTCCCAAGAAAGTCTTCAAATACATCCACCAGGCGATGAAGAAAGTCTATGATTGCAAGAGATGGTCCATCTTTACTCGAGACTGCTATTAGCAGCAGGCTAGAGTGAGATATTGAAAAGGCAGTGACCGGAGGTGCGAGGTCTGAGAGTTGAAGTATCGAAGGTCGAGGGGAGGGACGAGTGGTGAAGCTGGCTATGAGAGCCTGGGGTATGGGTGGGCGTCCGGCATATGTATGCTCGAGCACACAATTACTATATCATGTCAGCCTCGGAAACAGGTCACACTATACGAAGAAAACCTACTTGTGGTCATCGAAAACATAGAGAGCGTCGATATTGACACTCATGGCGAGAGTGGTCAATACAATGTGCATGCGATCAAGGCCAATGTCATAGTAGATGAGCCGGCGCTTATCGCTTATCTACACGTGGTCTACTTGCCCTGACCAGGAAATCCTTGCACGCTGCTTTTATAACTAATATGATTCCCCTTTTGCTCCGACTCTACTGCATATTCGGCCTGTATGTGATCTACAGATTGCAGGACACAAATGCTTCATGATCGTCAGGAATCACGACTCTATTGATGTGGCTCCTCTGTATGACTAAGTCTACATCTCTGGAGCCTATGCTCAACGCCATTTTTTGCATTCTGCAAATCACAACTCCCACCATCTGCTGAAACTTCATAACACAATCATTGCCGTGGTCGTTATCTCAAACTTCCGATCCCAACCTTGAGTTCAATATGCAATACCAGCTTCTCCATGGCCCTGAAATCACCGATAGAACCTCCGGCATCCTATCATGAACTCCACGCAACTTACTCCGAACCATGGAAGGCAGACGAACCGGCTAAACAGGTCACTTCTTTTTTCCTTTTGATTTACTTGCTGGGGCGGTCGATGAAACACTTTGAGCTCGAGATGTTGCAGGTGAGGTGTTTTTACTGCCTCGACCTGATTTGACCGCTTTGACCGCTTTGTTCTATTCGGTGTCAGTCAAGGAACGTTTTATAGATAGAACAGATCAAGATCTCACCACAATACCATTCTTGGCCTTCTTCTTCACAGGTGCCGCCTCACTGTCGTTATCTTCGTCTTCCTCATCATCACGGTCACGACCTCGGCCTTTGCCTGAACCATGACCATTGGTGAGCTTCTCTTCTGGGTCACCAAACTCTCGCAGGACTGTGTTGAGCAAAGTAGTGCATCTTCTGCCAATTTCGACGGGAGTTCTGCTGAGGAAGAACCAGTCGAAGCGGAACAGTGGTGACTCGCGGATTTCGTCACGAATCTTGTCATATAAGCCTTCTCCGTCGACACCATGTTTGTCCAGCATAACCAATAAGAAACGATCCTCTTCTTCTGTATACACCTTCTTGTTTGTTGTTGAGACAGTGTAATTGATCTTGAGTTGTTGCAAGGGAACACGGTACATCTCCATCTTCTTCCGAAGGAGCTTTCGCTGAAGATTGGTCTTGCGCAGTTTCTCCTCACCAGCCTCAATGGTCTTGATGTGCTTGTCATAATCTGCAATCTCGGTGTACCGCTTCCAGAACACCTTTGCATATTCTTCAATCTCATCAGGTTCTTTGCTGTCGACTTCATTTGCAATGCCTTCATAGTTGTTTCGGCCAAATTTGGCAGATCCATTGATGAACTGTTGAAAATCGCGTCGATTCCAGTTGCCAAAACCGTGCTCCTGCATTTCAGCCTTTTTCTGCTTCTCTTCCTCAGTAAGAGGCTCAGCGTTGTCAATTTCATCTTGATTTAGTCGTTGATCTGCTTCACGATCACTCAAATCTTCCTCGGTTCCGTCAGCGAGTGGCACCTTGTAGCCGATTTCCTTGTGGTAGTAGGCTGTCTCCTTCTCTTGAAGCTCCTGAAGTCCTGGAGGAAAGAACTGCCAATCGTGCACGTTCACCTGTTTTGGAGCTCGAGGTACTTTGGGCTTCGGCTCAGCTGGTTTGCCCCCTCCTGTTGACAATGCCTGTTTGTAGTACTTATCCACAGAGTAGAATTGTTCTTTGCGTTCTCGTTTGGCAGGGTTGATCCAACTAACAGCAATATCCTTCCGGCGTTGGGTGAAGTCTTCGCCGTTCCACTCGTATGCATTTTCAGACGAAAACTTTTGCAAATCATCGATACCGAGCTTTTCGTACTTCTTATTCAATTCTGCGGTACGAGCTTCGCCCCGCTGCAGAATTTCGTCGATATCATCGAGAGCACCAGTGGCTCCTTTGGTCTCAAAGACCTTTTCAGCGCCGTGTTGAATCATGTTCAGCAAGTCATCCTTGGAGGCGGCCTGCTTGACTTGTTGTTGAGCTCGTCCTTGCTGGATAACAAGCTGATCCAAGCGCAATTTCTGTGCTGCTCTCTCTAGCACCTTTTCTTCAATGGCATTTTCTGTAACAAAGCGGAATACTCTGACTTGCTTCGTCTGACCAATACGATGTGCTCGATCCATAGCTTGCAAATCAGCTTGTGGATTCCAATCACTGTCATAAAGAACAACAATATTGGCAGTGGTCAAATTGATGCCCAAACCACCAGCACGGGTAGTGAGCAAGAAGACGAACTTTTCAGAGTCGGGCTTGTTGTAGTCGTCGATGGCTGCGATACGGTCCTCATGAGCAGTGCCACCATCAATACGACAGTACTTGTGACCTCTGAAAACACAGTAGTCCTCGAGAATGTCCAGAACTCTGCTCATCTGAGAGAAGATGAGTACTCGGCTTCCCTCTTCCTTCATTCGGTTCAAGATCTTGTCGAGAATGATCATTTTGCCAGAGTTGTAAACCAAATGCTCGTCCGTGGTGTATGGAGGGCCAGGTTCAGCACCTTCAAAGAGATATGGATGGTTGCAACATTTCCGCAACTGCATGACAATGTTCAGAAGTCTCGTCTTGGATTCTCGCTTGCCACCAGCGCCATTTACAGCATCGATATCTTTTTCAAGGATTCTCTGATACCATTTGACCTGCATCTCAGACATACCGACATACAGGTTGACTTCCTTCTTTGGTAGCAAGCTCTTCTCGACATCACTCTTTACTCTGCGGAGTAAGAAAGGTCTCAATACTCGGTGCAACTGTTGAACAACTGTATCTTGATCGTCGTTTTGGCTCGAAAACCATGAGTCAAACGCCTCGGAATCTCCAAAGACATCGGGAAGAAGGAAATTGAGGAGTGCCCACAATTCATGCAGATTGTTCTGCAGAGGTGTTCCGGTGATGAGCAATCTGTTTCGAGAAGTGAACATTCGGATAATCTGTGCAAGCGACGACTCCTCGTTCTTGATTCGATGTGCTTCGTCGACGATGATATACTCCCAAGCGAATTTCTTCAAGTGTGACTTTTCTCGGAGAATCATTTCGTAACTTGTGATACAGACATCGAACTTCTCCTCGATAAGTCTGTCTTGGATCAGGGCATGACGGTCATCCTTGGCTCCCTGAAGGACTAGTACATCGACCTCTGGGGTCCATTTCTTGAACTCTCTTGCCCAGTTGTCCAGAGTTGACTTGGGAACGGCGATCAGGTGTGGTCCTTTGATGTCGCAGATATGGCGTAGATATCCCAGGAAGGAAATCGTCTGAAGAGTTTTGCCGAGACCCATCTCATCAGCGAGGATACCGGAGATACCGTTCTCGTGCAAAGAAATGAGCCAGTTCAGACCTGCAACCTGGTAATCTCGCATTTCGCCACCCTGGATGAACGCAGGCGAGTCTCGGAATATGGTCTGAGATGCCGTACCACGCTTTTCATCGCGCAGCAATTCTGCATCTTCTTCTTGTTCCGTCTTTCTCTTGGCCCCAGCTGCGGCGCCACCTTTACGAGACACGCCTTTCTTTGCTTTGGCCGCATCATCAGCGTTCTGTCGGTCTATCTCTTCCACAACATCTCTGATCTTGGGGTTGGGGTTTGTCTCGATGAAGTGGCGGAAGAGGTCCGTAAGGCCAAGGAGATATTTGAATCGTCGAATTGTGTCATCCTCTTTAGACTCATCTAACTGTCCATGTTTTCTTCCCAATATGCTCTTTCTCAATTGAAATGCTTCCGAACGTCTCTTGCGACCGTCCGGTGCCACGATATCACCTGCTACGCTACTCGTGGTGGTATTAGGATTCGTATCTGAATCTGTGTAATCTGGCGTGTCGTCCATGTACCGATTGAGATGACCAAATGAGGGTCTGCGCGGCTGGATAATACTATGAGCATCTGTCATGGAGATGTCGGCTACTGAGGAGTTTTCAGAATCCGTTTGTTGGGGTTTGATAGGAGCCATGGTGGGCTTTCGGCCGGAGAGGCCTGTTGAAATAGTTCAATGGATGCAAACCACGCGACTAAACAGAGATGGAAGCGGGCATGGGGAGTTTGCTGATGATTCGTGCGGCGACGCGATGAAAGACACGTCTGTGGCCGTGGAAGATGAGTGAGGGAAAACAAGGTCGTTGAGTGTTCTTTTGAGAAGATATGGAGAGGATGCAGAGGGAAGAGTCGCGCATTAGAGTGACGTGCTGTGATTGGTAGGCACGACACGCGCATAGTACTGGCAGCAAAAAGTTAACCACAAAGTCGGCAAACATGCCGTATGGGTGACAAACAGACCTCGTTCCAGTCTGACAAAGCCTGACCTCTGTCTTAACGTCGTTGTTGTAGTAATCCACCACCTCAAACGTGCACAGCCCCACAAAGTCACGCGCGTCAGACAAGATGTTTTTCTTTGTACACAGGCTTGGCAGGAGACCACACTCCAAACTGCTCCACGTGACGGGAATTCTTACATCCGCTAAATCGGCCTTTCCAGAATGATGAAAGCCGCCGCAGCTGTTTCTCAGTGAATGACCAGGGTTTTCGCTGTGATAGGCATCCTCCCACCTTCAACTGTCCAACCTCATCATATTTGCCAGTGCCACAGCATCACAGCTGGGCATACCGAAGGACTTTCATCTCCGCCATTTCACAATTCACTCGCTTCTCCAACTGTCAAAGAACTTTGATTGTCTCAGCGGTCAGCTGCCTCGGCCACCACGCACCAACCAACAAACCCCTCCATCCGAGACCAATCTACCGCTGCCTTGACTGATTCTACCGACAACTGATCACGGATCAAGAACAAGCTCTCAGACCTCGACAGAGAGGTTCCCTTTCATTGACGCCAACATGGATTCTATGAGATCTCTCAACACCTCACTTCCCTCTACTCGGCCTGCACCTCCTGAGCAACTTCTCCAAGCTTTCCGAAACGCCGCCCTATCGGTGACAAACTTGTATAAGAGCGCTGTAACAGATCAGGGATCTGCTCGACAAGCTGGGTATCAGGAAGCACTCGAGGATCTGTTAAGCTTTTTAGATCGGGAAAACCTGGGCCTGCAGGATGGTGAAGGTTGGAGAGTAAGACAATGGGCGACGGAACGATATGACGGAAGCGCCTCTCACCAACAGGGCACCGAGGAGGATGACGATCGCAGCGAAGTTGACCCAAGACCTCGAAGTGTTTCTCCGGTCAAAGAGGAGGGGTCTGCACCTTCAATACCTAGTCGAACCGAAGCACCCAAGGTTGAGTCTTCCACACAGACAGAAGAAGCTTTGCCGTCGAGGGACTCGGAACAAACACCTCCTACACCTGTTTTCCATTTCACTGGCAACATGTCCTCGAACGAACCTGAGAACATGCAAACCGACGAGACTGTACAAAGTGTCGACGGAGCTGATAATAATACACCATCTAGTTCATCCGGTCCTGCTATCCGGTTAGAGCTTTTGAACAACTACGGCAGTCGAACTCCTCATCGACACGGTGGCCAACGGAATGGAACTCGACCCAACAATCGAGAATTCACCTTCACGTCAGGCACCAAACGTAAATTACAATTTCCCGACTTTTTTGACATTTCCAACATCGGACCGAGGGACAGCTTTGGCGGTGGTGCCGGCAGCAACAAACGGGGCCGGCTATCATAAAGTTTCATCCCTCAGGTCAAGTAGACAAATTTTTGCTTTGAGAAACGCAACGCAACGCATTTTCTGAAGTTCAGAGCGAATCTCTAGTATCCGACATGATATGGGGACTGGGAAGGGGGAGGCATTGTTCACGACGACATGATCAACAGCATAGCGTATTCTGTTCATTAACATGCATCAACATCAATCATCATATATCTGTCAGCTCATGTTTGAGCAACTCTTGGCACTTCGGGGGTGGTTTATTTGGGTCGGACAGTACCCTAACCTACTTTACCTAGAATATTACGAATGAGGGTTTTGTTTTTCAATCACCTGGGTTTAGCCACGTAGGTACCGGTTCCTTTCTTGCCTACCTAGATAGGGATCCTCGAGCCTAGACGCAAGATACTAGGTAGACTTGATAACAGTTGACCTCGTTTGAAACACCACACAGAGCCTTCATTGGGTCTCTTGTCGGCATTAATAATTGATGTGTTTTAACCAGTACTCAATATTTGGGGCTTCAAATCTCTGTCCGCTAGTATTACAAGTCAAATGTACAACGTATCATCCCTGGTGAGGAGAAGATGAGTACTTTTTGGTATGTTCGTCGATTGATTAGACTACCTAATTGAACATTCGATAAATCCCCAACCCGACCAGCGTGGCCGACAACGACACAATCCCTAATTGTCGTGAGCCGTACTTGTATTTCGACTTGCTGAGTTCGATGACCTTGCGTTGAGTCCGTAACTGTTGCATGCCAGAGTAATACGTGTATACTCCCAACGACGTCAGGGCGGTCGATCCTGAAAAAGAACAAGACCAGATTAGTTTTTTGAGACCATTGATGGAGATGAAGATGCTGTCGTCGCACTAGAGTTGCGTCGAGTGCAGTAAAAACGTACCCAGAACCCTACAGGATAAACAATCATCATCCTTGTCAAAAGCTTTGGGGTCTTCAAAGTCGTCGAATTTTTGACCCTTGTTCATAGGTGAAAAGTCCTTGATGGCCATCTTTCTTTCTTTCTTTCAACTCTTCTCTCTCTCGGGTTCACGTTGGTTCTTTTCGATGGTTCTTCGATCAAGCCGTCCTCCTGTCAAAAGCTTCCACGGTGCCACAAGTCACCCTCGAGGGATCAATTAGAAGCCCATCGTCGTCGTCGTCGTCGTCGTCGCAAATGATGAAACAAGTTGATATCGATAGATGCCTTCTTAGATTCCGACCCCTTTTTATCTGTTGCCAACGGGGGCAGGGAGAGTACTTTGGTTGTAGGTTACTGGTTATTAGGTGTTTAATGCTCCTCGAGGATTGAGGTAGTTCTTGTGAGAAATCCTGATGTGAAGTAGACCATAGGTCGAAGTTTACCCGGTCATATAAAAATCCATAATGATGAGGTTCGGGATTCTCTGGGATAGGTATTTAATTACCCCGAATTGCCGCTTTTAACGAATCGCGTAGTCCGCGAGCATGTCAACCACAAACCCGCCCACTCGCTGGTATTGAATCATATCTTTCGACGAAATGATTCCGGTTGAACAATAGACGATGGGGACATGTGTTGGTGAACACACCTGGCAAACATGGAGAATGGAAGACGACTCCTTACACCACAACTACAAATCAACGACCACGACGGTGATAGCAGAGCATCTCAAGAACAAAAAGTCAATGATGAGACTTGGGCTGTCATTGGGTTCATTTCACCCTTCCGACATGAGTCCTTTTGTCTCTGAAATATCGAGCAGTGACAAGCGCAGGCTTCAAAACATCCAAGTGATGCCGAGCAAAAGTCCTCAAAAGTCACCACCTCTCCTCATGATTCACGAGTTTTCAACCCTTCGACAATCAATTTGGCAACATTCATCCCGGCCAACGCCGATGTCTCCATTGTCGAAATAAAACTTTCCATACCAGAAAGATAGTATAAGCCTCTATCCTGATCCTCATCCATCTGTAGTGTAAAGTTGACAAAGGCCGTCCTCGGCAATTCATAAGGATAACTATGCCACATTTTCTCATAGAACCAACTCACATCCTTTTTCGGAAGAGATCCAAGACTGTCTTCTTCGTCATCATCCGACGGAGGCCTGTACTCGAAACCAAGAAGCTCAGACAGGAACGATCCCGTCAATGGAGCAGGAGAAAATATCTTGTACAGGTACTGCGTCGACTCCTCAGTCTCCTCAGTTGAACTGTCAAACTCACTCATAGGTCCGGCAAAACGCCCATCACTTTCGGGATGCAATACTTTCAATGTACTGATCGACCAGAACCCGGATGGCCCCACGGCTTCCACACCGTGTCGAGAGCCGAGTCGCTCATTCAAGTCTTCAGGCAACGTTGTGATGATCGAACTAGGCACGTCGTCTTGCTCGTCATCACCGAGACCAAAGAAGGCCGGCATCGGCCTGTGCGGGGACGTGAACAGCGTAACATACAACGACACATACGGGATTTTGTCTGGCGGGCTGAGTAATTGGGGCGTGAATGAGATGTTGGCAAACTGATACGGCGCCGCGAGGATGACCGTGTCAAAATCAACCTCCTGCTCCCCAGTCCCAGCCGACTTTAGTTCTTCATTGTCGGTCTGTAAAAGATAGGTTCCCTTGGACGTACGTTCGACATGCGTGACGCTGGTGTTGAGAAACGCTCTCTGCGCAGAATTCTTGACCATGGTATCAAAAATCTGCCAATTGCCGCCGTGGACAGCCATCGCACCTTCGATCGCCATGCAGACCAGTGTCTCGAGTCCGTGGATGCCACCGAGATTGCTTGCATAGTTGACGCGGGTGCTGGCTTGAATGATTTCGCGGGCGAATCGTCCACCGACACCCGCGTTCTCGAGCACCTCTTTCCCCGTTGCGCCCGTGTACGTATCCAATCCCGTCTTCATGACCGCATCTTGTAGACTGGTAAAGGGAAAATAGTCGTCGTAGAACCTCAAAAACGAAGAGATTGCCGCCTTTGTCGCGCGCTGCGTGCGGATCGGACTGAGTCCGTATTTCCACAACAATTTTGCAATGTCCCACCACCCCCGCCAGGAGGAGCTGCCGCCGTCGTCGTCTTCCCTAACGGTCTTGAAGACGAACTCGACCCCATCCCAGATGCCCAGCTCGTACTTCGCGGTCGGTGTGGCTTGGTAGATTTTGAGGGAGGGAGTGAGGTCAAAGTCTCGCGTGGCATTGTAGAGGATGTGGTTGATCTCGACAAAGATGCTGGCACCCAGCTCGACGGGGTAGCGCGGGTCTTCGAGGGCATTCACGGTCGTGGTGCGGCCACCTATGTACGGGTTCGTGTCGAAGATGGTGATGTCGAGCGGAGTGTCGAGTGAGGACAATCGAGAGAACTTGTCGAGATGATAACTGGCAGAGGAACCACCGGGACCTGCACCGATGATGGCGACACGGTGCGTTTTTTTGACCGTGGCCGCAGTGTCGCTCTTTTGGAGAGGTCTTTGAGGCGGAAGGACATGTTCTGTAGCAATGGGAAGGACATGAAGCAGGAACAAGATTAGCACGCGGGAAAGGATTGAGACATGCATCTTGTTGGATTGGCCAAACCAAGGCAAAACGTAAGTTTTTGAACTACAGTTACTTTTGGCGAGTATCTGGAAAGATTGAGGTGGTACGGATACATGAAATATAGACAGTCATCAAGCGAGGTTGAACTTGTGTCCTCGTAGGGATACGAAGTATCAGGAGACGATGGTTTTCGGTACAAGGCTGGAGGGATGCCCAGGCATCAACGTCGTGCTGGCTGAGCAAAACCCTCGAAACGCTCGAAGAGGAAAATTAAGTTGCTGTATCTGGTGTTTGATACAACGACGTGTGGAGAGATGCGCAGGTATCCCGACGGGCTCAGGCATCACCGGACAAGGCGGGCAAATGTCTTGCTGGCTGATCAAAGCTCTTGAACCACTCAAAAGAGGAAAGTTAGATCAGTTGTATCTGGTAGAATGGTGATCGGTACATTATTGGCTGGGAGGGAGTGCTCTGACATCAATGGGGCTTAGGTAGCTCAGCACAATGGACCGCCCGTCCAAGCAAAGCTCTCGAGGTCGCCCAAAGAGGAAACTTTGGTTACTGCATCTGGTATTTCTGTAGAAGGCTGGAGGGACGTCAAGTTATTGATGCCTGAATACTACGTTGATTGAGCAAAACTCTCAAGTCGCTCAAAGAGGAAGTTAGGATACTGTATCCGGTAAGGATACAGTAATTAGGTGAAAGTACTCGGTACTCGTACAAGGCTTGGGGGCGCCATCCACAGGCATCAACGGCGCTGGTGACTGAGGTTTGCGTAGGTACCTGATCAACTTCACCTCCTCTCACCACCTTCATTCACATCCAACAACATCAGATCGTCCAAAAAATCTTCAAGAAAAAAGGGCAACCGAACAAAAAGTTTGGAGAGTCGAAGCCACGACCAGCTTCTCTTTTACTTATCCCGACTATGATCACTGCCATCCCCTCGTACCTTGGTCAAGGGATGTTTATCCAGTGATCATGGAAACCAGCTGACTCCCAGTTTAATCCACTAAGCTGGTTTCCAAGAATAAGCCCCCCTCCGAACCATTGGGCCAAAGTGGCGGTTCGACGTGGTGAGTCTTTAATAGTGGCCATCAAGACATACTTTGTTGAGGGAAAATTCACTGGAATAGATATATATACTCCATAACTAGGATTACTTCGGGCCTCTTGAGTATCATCTCTTTTATTCCTACCGAGATGCAAGTAACCACCAACCAGGCATGATAGTCAGGCACTAATGTCATGTTGGCCAAGTAAAGCGCTCTCAAACCGCTTAAAGGGGAAAGTTGGGTTACCGCATCTATGTCAGAGCATCCGTCCTCAGGACAGCCATCCTTGGGCATGCCGCGGTCATGATTTTCAGGCATCAAATGCCATGTTGGTTGAGTAAAACACTCATGAATCGCTTGAAAAGGAAAGCTTAGCTACTGTATATGGAAGGGGAAGAGATAGTACTCAGTTTAAGGCTTAGGTCCCCGTCAGCCCCCAAGGCACAATGTTCAGGCATCCAATGCCATGTTGGCCGAGCAAGATACCCTCGAAGCGCTCAAAAAGGAAACTTGGGCTACTGCATCCGGTAGGGATGAGACGGTACCGATACTTAGTTCAAGGCTTGGGGCAGCCTCAGGCATCCTCAAGCATGCTCAGGCATGAGATTTAGGCATCGAATGTCTTGTTGGCTTAGCAAAACGCTCCCGACAGGCTCAAAGAGGAAAGTTGGGTTACTTCATTCGGTCAACTTCACGTCATTGGCGTCTTTTCTCCCACAAGGCATACTCCGTACAAGGATTCTTTCCTTCAAGAAATCCGAGTATCTGGGTACGAACACCACAAAAGATTCAACATCTGCTACGAGCTCAGATTGAAACCCGCACCGTCGTTGGTGTTGTTGACAATGTTTACCCTATATACGAATCGCTCATCATCATAACTAATTCTAGGCGATATACTATTAGACTGCAAAAACTACGGAGTAATGCTGTTGTGCCCAAAAAGAGGTCTAAGATGTATTCTGGACATCATACCATGTACATCATCAAGCTCTCTGGGTCGACTCGATGGGATCCCAAACGATCCTGCCAATGCCCCAAACCGCATGAGTCTGTCCTTTCAATAATGTTAAACCCACGATACCATTGACACCCAGGCCAATATTGACTCGCAGATAAGAATGAGAAGACACCCAACAAGCCTACACTCCGACCCAGGCATAATCGTGATCAAAATCATAAGTCCTCGTTTCCATCACTTGCATAAGAACCAACCTCATAAAATGTGTCTTGCTGCAACAAAAGTAATGTTACACCAATCACCTTATTGCTGAGCATTCTGATCATGCCCAAGCATCACTTCAAGTCACCCAACTCCTCACGGTGTGATGTCTGCCACAGTAGAGCTTCTAGTTCTGCTGCATTGCAGAGCCGCCACCTTGTCCAGGGCTTTCTGCGATCCGTACCTCGACAGTGGCGGTTGAGCTGGTCGCCTCTGGCGACTGCTTCTCAATAGACATAGATGCAATAGTGCTAGTCTGTGGACTAGGTCTACCAGCAGTGTTAGCAGCATTGGAGTTGTTGACAGTACTGGGACTATTAACAGGAGCTGTAGTCGCTGGAGTCGCAGTTCGTGCTGGTGGGACGGGAGTGGCAGCTATTGGAGCAGGCACCGGTGTCATAATGACAGGAGCATTCACTGCATGTGCAGTGTTTGAAAATCCCACAAAGTTAGGGTTTCTGAATTCGTTGATAATCGCTTGAAGTTGTCGCATAATGACATGTTCTTCGGTACTGTCCCCCTCTGCCATTGAAGTAGTAGTTGCTCCATGTAGCATCCGTCTCTTAGCCGAGGCGAATATTCTCTGGTAGACTTGGACCTTACGCGCATCGGGCTCTTGCTGATACATGGCAACTTCAAATTCTCGGATTTTGAGGAGACCTGCGGTGGTGCAAGGCATATTCGGTGCCGATGAACTAGCTGCGGCAGCTGGAGAGGGCCCAGGGGTGGACGAAGATGGTCGACCAGCGCTTTGCTTGCCTGTAGGTTGCTGAAGAGCTGCTCCAGGAAACGGCGGACGGTTACCTTGTGGGATGGGGTAAAATTGGCTAGGCGGTTGGCCAGGAGGGTGAGGGCCAGGTCCATTTGGATTCGACGATGGCGTTCCAGCGGCAAATGGTGGTGGGTATGGCATGCCGTTTGGCGGTGGTACGGGACCGTTCAGACCTGCACCAAAGAAGGGTGGAGGGGGCCCTTGTGGGTGCATCCCATTGGGTGGATATGACATATTGTTTTGCCAATTCAATGGCGGAGGCGGTCCTTGTTGAGGTGGTTGACGTGGTGCAGGATTGGGCTTGGGCTTTGATGCTGCAGCTTGCTGAGCAGCCTTCCTCCTCTCGGCTTGCGGCTGTAGAGCGCCCGGTATGGCCTTCCACGCCCATCCTTTGCCCTCCTTCTTGTCTTTCTCGAAAAGTTTATTCCATTCCTGGTTCAGATTGTGTCTCACACTACTCTGCCAACCTTCCGATTCGACAATGTGAACATAGAAGGGATACCTCATCTTGATGGCTCGATAGATGAGTTTCAATGGCATGGCCTGTGGATGAATCTCCATCAAGATATCGTAAATGAGGCGAGCATATGGCTCCTGGGGTCTTTGGAGCTGCTCTTCTGTCCAAGATTCCAGAGGTGGATATGCCGGCGAGGGAGACTTTGATTGTCTGACTTTCTTCGCAGGTTGATCGTCCGTCTCACTAGGTACGTCTTGTTCCCCGCCTTCGATTGATTGAAGCACATCACCCTCCTCGCCAGATCTCTTTCTCTTTTTGTATTTTCTTTTCTCGGGCTTAGTGTCAATAGGGAGAGGTTCCTCTTTGACGACCGCAGGTTTTGCGGGATATTTGCCTTTGAGAAAAGGTGGTTCTGGTGTCCTTCCGCCATTAGCAGCCTTTGCCTCTGCCAGCTTTCGAGCCCTTTCCAGTTCTTTACGTTCACGCGTAGACATGATTCCATCCTTGGGTGGTCGACCTGGTCCGCGTTTTTTCGGCGGTATTAGCTGACCATCAGGTCCTACTACTGGGTCTGCTACTGGCGGAGATGCTTGAGGCGCAGATGGCTTCGGCGTATTTGCTGTTAATGTAATCTTGAGCTTCGTCTTACCGCCACCACGTGGAGGTGAAGTGCTTTTCTCAGGCTCATCAGATATTGGGGATGTGCTTCGCGGAGGGAGTGAGCTTTCATCCACTTCGCGTTCTTCCCGATCCGAATCTTCTGTGATTGATTCTGCTCTTTGACTGGGAAGTCGGAATGTCATCCAGACATTGGAGATTTGAATCTTTGAGCCGTCGCGAAGTCGCATGACTTCTCCCCTCTCTAAGAAACGGTCGTTCAAAAAAGCACCGTTCCTCCCAAGAACCTTCATTTCGAACCATTCTTTGTCGAAATCCCAGAAAATCTTGACATGTCGTCGAGAGATACTTCTCAAGTTTTCCAGTTCCGACTGTTCAAATGTGCGACATGCATGAATAGGAATTAAAGGGCAATTATCAGCAGTAGGGATATGGTCGGCTGTCACCGGCGCTGGCTGCTCATTGTCTGACTCAATTTCGGCATTTCCTGATTGTCGTTGTCTCGACCGTGTTTGTCGGTTCTCCATCTGCGCTTGACGTTCTGCCGTCTTGTGATAGTCGAATGGGATCAAAGGCGGGTTGATTAGCACCTCTTGGGGTTTGACGATACTACCGCCAGACATGTCAGAGGAATGAGAATCCATATGGTGAGAATCTTTATGGTCCGTCTCCTTGGGCAAAGGTGCCTCGTCGACACCGCCGAAACCGCCAGCCTCACTAACCACACTTCCCTGTACTTGACTATCACCTGGTCTTGAGACGACCTCAGGAAATCCCGATCGTCTTCCGCTGGAACTTTGAGCGTGTTCCTGGTCTGCCTGACGCGCCTCGGCGGCTCTTGCTGAAGCGGCTCTATACGCAAAGGCATCGCGACCCAATTCACATGCATAAGTTGTTATGTAATAATTTCCATCTTCGAATTCGATCTTTGCGAAAGCCTCGATTTCTCTTCGTTCAGGCGGGGGTCCTTGAGACGGCATTGGTGCTTGTGGTTCTGTCTGACCCATGGTGAAGGTATCATCTCCAAGTAGAGTTGCTTGGGATTGGTCGACCGAGTCCTGGGGGAGAGAGGAAGGAAAGGGTGGAGGGGCGTTTTCATCCATGAAGTCGTCATTGTTTAGAGGAGGGAGTGGAGGAATAGAGATGGCGGCATTCGCATTCACATTCTGGTTGCCTAGATCTGTGTCTTGCATCATATATTCACTGGCATTTGCGTGGTTGTTTGGGGTATGACCTTCACCAGCAGAAAGGCCTCGATGCATCGTTGGTCCGTCTGCCACAGTTGCGGTCTGCTCAGGGCTTATGGGTGCCAAAGCCGCCAACAGATTGCCAACGGCTTGTTGTCTTTGTTGGGCGTCCATTTCAGTCCAAGAATGACCATCCTCTGCAGGCGATTGCTCTGTTTCATCCTGTGGCTGCGAGGCGTGTCGGCGGGGGGTCGAGGGAGCGGGCCATGGTTGATCTGCGAAGTCGTCTAGATCTATGGAGGTCGAAGGGAAATCCGGCAGACCTCTAGCAGACGTCGCAACTGCCTGCGACGACATTCCGAGGTCTGCGAATTATACGAGAGGAAGGGGCGAGGGGAGAGACTGGTCGTCGTTTGGGCGACTTCGTTACCGAGTGAAGAAGATGGAGAACAAAAGTTCTGAAGTTGTTGCGGGCGTCGGAGCGAGAGTCGCGGAGTTTGGCCTCTGACCAATCACAGCCACGTAAACGATTCAGATTTTTGTTTGCGATGACAGCAACCTCGATGCCTGACCCGGCAATAATCACTGCCTTACGGATTCTCTGTCGCAAATTGACTCGATCAATTAGTCTCTCGAGTTTCTCAATGAGTCAACAGGCAAATAATCATTGACAATTGGGCAACCGTCGAGCTACGACCGACCCTTGAGCCTCTACATACTCCTACAATACTTCTCTCCCCATTCTCTGAATGACTCCACTACAATCAGGCCATGCCACCTAGAGCAAAGCAAAAGAATGGCCCTCCTCCCAAGGCAGAACTCAGAACAAAACCCACCGTTCCAAATTGGCCACCTTTGAGTCCAGTCATTCCTGCGGAGCATCTTTCAATCGAGACTGTCCTCGAAGGCCAAATTCTAGTGATTCGCAACCTTTTTACTTCTACGCTATGCAAGAACTATGTTTCCTTCCTGGCCTCAATACCCATGACCACGACCCCCGGGAAACCAAAGCGGGGAGAGGCCGTCCGCGTTAACGATCGGTTCCAGGTGGATGACCCGGTGTTTGCCAAAACGCTCTGGGAATACAGTGGGCTCAAATCACTCGTGGAGACGTTTGACGATAAAACAACCTTCGATGGTAAAGTTCTTGGGCTGAATCCCAACATTAGAGTGTACAGATACCGGCCAGGCCAGTTTTTTGATAAACATTATGATGAGAGCAATAAAATACAATTCGGCAAGGACAAAATGCCTGCCAAAACCACCTGGACTCTGTTGATCTACCTCACCACTTGCCAGGGAGGGGAGACCGCCTTCTACCCCGAGGCCACCAAGAAAGGTGTCGCACCACCTGACCCAATAGTGGTCGGTCTTGAGACTGGCATGGCTTTACTCCACAAACATGGCGACGAATGTTTGTACCATGAAGGCAAAGAAGTGCTGAGTGGAGAGAAATGGGTGTTGAGAAGTGATCTGGTGGTACAGAGATGACGAATGTGCAGTGGTGCACACTCTCGGCCTGTCGACGGTGGCTCTGCAACTTTTCGACAGGCGCGAGTACGAGTGATAGGTACGAAGGTGCTGCTTCACCTGTCATCTTTTTAGGTGCTCGGCATCAGTCTCGTGGACGGTGCCTTCTCTAGCTTCGGCCAGCATAGTATCGATGCCCTTGTCCTTTAATGCTTTCTGGTATGCCATTAGCTCCCTAGCATGGAAAAGAAAATGGCCACAATACCGTTAAGCAAGCTTTGTACTTGCGAAAGAGTGGTTCACATTCGTCGTTGGATGAAATGCCCCGGAGATATTCTGCCAGCTATTAGACGATCTTGCAAAGATGGCGAGATTGGGATGACATACTTTCAGAGTACCATTTCAGAAAACAAGTGTCATACTTTCTGTTAAACCAATCAGCACTGCCAGTAGTACATTTGAATGACATACTCCTTGACTTCGTTGCATTCTGGCGCCAATGATGCCGACATGTTGGTTGTCGTCGAGCGAGAAGAAGATTCGCCTTCCTGGAAGGCGAGAAAAGACCTGGATGGAGTTTATGACGCCGCTCGGAACTATATTAATCCGTGCCGCCTGCGCTCAAGCACCTTCCGATTGCTCATCCATACCAACCTATCTCTATGTTTGCTACTCTTGCTCAGTAAGTCTCACGGGCAGCCTTCTATCATTATGGGCCATCAAATGCGCCGAAAGGTAAATCTTGATCTTGCTAATTGATTTTTTAGTCTAGTTACCCTAGCATTTCGCCAACACTGCCAGCAATCACTTCCTCGCGCTACCTGGCCAGTCGATTTGGAGGACGATAATAACACTAAAAGGTGACGGCAAACTCAAGAATTGACCTGCTGTGAGGATGCTGGTCACAGGAGACTAAACCTGGTGTCATGCAATGAACTCCATGTGTGCCACCATTTGAAATAATGGCTTGCAACTTTGCGGGTTCCACGGCTCGAGTTTATCGTTCTCATTGTCCACGGAGAGCACACCTTTCCCGACGTCCTCCTTCAGGCATTCAAGGTCGTGACTAACTCCCAGAATTGGGTGCAGAGTTCCTTACTTTCTTGTGCCCACACAGGGTCCTTTGTATTGCCCCCAGCTTCCATGGTTGCATCACCTCCAGCAAGTATCGCTTGTGCATTCTCTGTCTCAATGACTCTTTCGCGACCTGCCTCTTCTGATACCACCCTCAGGTTGAGATCCTCACCGTGCGCAGCTTTGTAAAGAAACGCCCTGTCGGGAAATTGGAGAGCAACAAAATCCTTGACGACCTTCATGTTGACTGCCTCCAGGACTTGCTGCAACTGTACTGCCGCCTTGCCTCCGCCATGACCACCATAGGAAACCACCAGAGCCGGCTTGCCCCTCCACTCGTGGAAGAGGTAGTCAATGGCGTTTTTGATACTTGCGGGATAGCCCCAGTTGTACTGTGGAGTGACAAAGACAAAGGCCATGTACGAAGAAATAAGCTCAGACCAGGCACGAGTGTGTGCAAACTTGTAGTCTGATGCTGACTTGATCTGTGAAGGTACATCAGGTTCATTGAAGATCGGTAGAGGGTTATCATTGAGATCTATCAGGCTCAGGGCGTAAGGACGAGGGCTGGGATGAGTCTTCTGGAAATCCTTGAGTGTCTCCAAGACGAAGGTGCTGATCTGAGGACATGCTCGTGGGCTGCGCTGGCTACAGACGATGATTCCGATCTTGTTTGGTATCTGAGGCTTCAAAGCTGCGTCCATGGCTTTGGACAGATCACTGCCGGGTACTGATGAATTGGCATTTGCCGACATATTGAGATAGGATAGGTCCTGGTGTCGCACTCAGGTTGTGATTTGTCCACTGATATGTGAGGTGCGACGAGGCTGTCATATACCAGAGTGAGGATTAGGTTGATGAAGATGAGGAAGGTATGACTCGGAGTAGTAACACAGTGACAATGCTGTGACACCTTGATAGAGAGTAAGTCGATGAACGACTGGAAGAGCGAGTGGAGGAGAGTGTGAAAGAGAACAGCGACTCAATGCAAGTATCCGCAAGCGCGTAAATTGAGGTCGTCTGTCAGTTGTGCTGCACTTACACCTCAACAATCTTTCCTTCGCTAGTCCTCTTTCTTTCTTGCTTGCTTGTTGTTGAGTGTATGTGTATGTTTCTGTGTATATTGGTTTCAACGGTAGAAGACAATGGCTGAACAGTCTAATGTTATTATAGTAATGCAAGGAGGATTTCTTTCTTCGCTGTTACAAATATTTCACATGCATGAGCTCGGATTTTAAACATTTTACCTCCTTCGCCTTTAGAACAGACCATTATCCCCTGCTATACAACGGGGCCAAACCCTTGTCCACTCTCTGATCGTTCAGCTTGCAGCCAATCATCCCATCTCTTTGTCGTCGCGAGTCATGCAGGGATGCGCAGTGCTTGTCGATGCTTGTCGTCGGTCTTCGGTCCATCGCGTATCATGGCTGAGCTGCTAAAGCCGAGCGATGAGCCCTTTTTAAGCCACCATTGTCCTGCCAGAAAATCCATCCATCACCCACGTTCGAGCCTTCGGTGGCTGAAACGGAAATCCATCTTCTCGCGGCTTGCGTACTGCTCACGTCTCGATCAACGCCTGTCACAGGCGGTACGGATGTACTACGTAAGCCCTCGGCCGTTCTGCTCATGCGCCCAGGAAGCTCGCGTAAAAGCCCTTTTGCGTGAGTGGCAGCAGCTGGCGCCAATGTATGTATATAAAAGGTCAGTATTGCCTGTTATGCCGCGGCCTTTCGCACGCAGCGGATGTCTTTCTACTACCCAAGAGTTGGTGACTTGACACACCAAAGCATCGTTTGAAATCCTCTGCCAGAAACAAAAAAATAATGACTGGCCCTCCTCGCATTGCTATTATTGGAAGCGGCCCTGCTGGCCTTTCTTTGGCCAAATTGCTTCAAGTTTCCGGCATTCCTTGCAAAGTGTTTGAGCGCGACAACGGTCTGCATGACGGAGACCACCAAAATGGTTGGGTTAAATTGTACCCTCAGACCGGTCAACTCGCTCTACGTGAAGCCGGGCTCTTCGAGGCGTTCAGGAGGCTTTCCAATTCTGAAAGCGAAGTTTTGAAAATCCTCCGACCCAATGGGACACCGATTCTTGATGAGAACAACACGAAAGAGAATAAACGACGACACCACCCGTCTTTTGACCAGCCCAGAATCGATTATACCAGACTACGCAATTTGCTCCTCGAGTCCCTTCGCCCGAAGACGGTGGTCTGGGGAAGAAAGCTTGTGGCGGTGGAAAATTCACCCTCGAGCCCAAGAAAGTACGATCTTCTCTTTGAGGACAGTACTGAAGAGGATTTCGACCTGGTGGTGGGAGCTGACGGGGCACATTCTACGGTCCGGCCACGGATGACCCACCATCGTCCAGTCTATTCAGGAATCACGACTGTTCAATTTTGGGCCACCGAAGTCAAAGAATGGCATTCCTGGCTCACGGATTTTGTGGGGAACGGGTCCTGCTTCATGTTTGATAAAGGCCGCGCCATGGAAGCACGTAGGATCGGCGATGACAGCATCCAACTCACGGTGAGTGTTCGACAGGCCGAAGGTTGGCTGGACAAATGCGGCGTCGACTGGTCTCTACCCGAGGAGGCCAAGAGGAAATACCTCGAAACCTTCTTCAAGGACTGTGCGGAGGATCTGAAACTAGCCTGCCTCGACTGCACCGACCGAATGATGAGGAGGAAGGTGTACATGCCGCCGCCTGCCGGGACGCGGTGGGAGAGTACCCCGGGCCTCACGCTCGTGGGCGACGCGGCTCACCTGATGCCACCTTTTGCGGACTTGGGGGTCGATCAAGCCATGAACGATGCCTCGAAGCTGGCTCGGGCCCTCTCATCCAACGAGAGGACGCCTGCTGGCCTCGCGAGGGGGGTCAGAGAGTATGAAGGGGAGATGTTGGTGCGTGGGGAGCACGTGGCCCGGACAGCGTGGGAAGTGTTTGAAAGCCACTTTAGTGCCAATGGTGGAGAGAAGTTTGTTGGCCGCGTGCTGAGTGGTGGTGGGAAGTAAGCGAGGGAAAGTTCTAACAATGTTGTTCGTACTCTTCTTCTAGTCAGTGAGTAAGCCAGCAGAATCGACGACGACGATGACAACAGCAACAACAAAAACAACACAGCAGCAGCAGCAGCAACGAAGGAGTACCAACCAGCAAGGATATCAGGGCAAAGTAATAATCACAATACCAATAATAATACCAATACTCAGGACCGATACCAAATACCTACACCTCCCAATCCCTGTCTATCCATCATACGAGTCTTCACCTCGTTCTCGTCCTGACTGTCCCGTTTGCTTCGCTACTGAACGACAAACACCTCAGCCCCGGCACCAGTCTTGTCGATCGGCTTCTGGAGACCGTCGATCACTGCCTCGACAAGATCCTGCGCTGCGGCCCCCTCGGTGGCTTTGACGTGGACAGAGTGTCGGTCATCTTGTTCGACGGATTCATTTGTGGGTGTAGCGATGCTGCTACTAGACTCGACCGACGAACTTTCCGCACCATCCTCTTGAACGCCGACGTCCACCGTTGTCCGAGAAGACACACCGGCGTTGGTCTCGGCGGATTTCTTCGTGGCGGCGACCTGCTGCCGCGTCCTCAACAACTCTGCCAACGCGGCCCTCAGCGCCTCGGCCGGGTCGTCGCTCATGTCGGCGCAGCGCCACGCGACGAAATTGTCCGGCCTCACGAGCACCGCACCCCCGGCGCGCACCTCCTTCAACCCGGCCCACAAGTCCATCTGGTCCAGACACAGGCCCTTTGGTCTTGTGATGTCCCTGGCCCGAATCTGCGCCGTGTCGACCTTCACACCCATGTCCTTGCCCACGCTCTCGGCGGCGTCGACCCACCCCCTGCCGTCCTCGTCGGTGATGAGTACGAAGTCCGCAGCCCCAGCCCCAGCCGCGGACCCCGTCACGAGGTCGTGTGTGCTCACGACTTTGCCGTCGCGAATGATCCACGCGTGAGGCAGCCTGTGACCTGGTCTCGTGGTGGGCACGTAAACCTGGCCCTCGGGATCGACGGGGGGCGCTGGCGTGCCGTCGGCCACGAGCACACCACCAGCTCCCACGCGCGCATAGTCGAAGCCCAACTCGATGTTGTGAGCCGTGTACTCGACGTTTTGGGTGTGGAGGACGCGGCGGACGTGGTGCAAGGCCGCGCGGCCGCGGTCGCTGTCCTCGAACAGCTGGGCGAAGCGAGCGTGGTTCATCTCCTTTTGTCCCGGCACCAGGCCGACGGCCGCGGTCAGAACGTTCATGTTGCTGAAACTGAAAAACGCCCAGTCGCTGTTGCGGATGCCGATCGGTCTTCGTTCGGCCTCGTAGCTGTCGAGCAAGCTCGGCGAGGACTTACCCTGGACCACGAACGCCAGTTTCCACGCGAGATTGAGCGCGTCCTCGATGCCCGTGTTCAGACCCAAGCCTGAGGCAGGGGGACGACGGTGCGCCGCGTCGCCCGCGATGAAGACGCGGCCTTGTCTGTCAACACCAGAAGGCGAGTGGCTGCGGTACCGGTCGGCCACGACGCGGTCGAGAACCCAGTGGTTCACATGCATCACGTCCATTTCCAGATCTGGGAGCTTGAGGAGTTGGCGGATCCGAGCGGGCAGAGCGCCCGTGTCGAAGCGTTTGTTGTCCGTCATGGGGAACCCGAACGTCAAGACCCATTCTTCGGAGTGTCTGCCCCATGTCGGTCCCATTTGGAGCAGAGCGCCGCAGTCGAGATGAGCCATGGAGCCTCCTTCGGGGTTGATGAAGTGAGTGATGAGTGTGCGGTCTGTTTAAAGAACGAAACCAGTTAGTTTTACGGATCCCAAAAAAAGTCTCCCCAGAAACGAACGAACAGAAACTTGGGGAAAACCTACCATCCCAGTAATCCGACAAATCAGCCTTGAAATGAGTCGAGACGAAATCAATGATACCAGCCAGGCCTTCCATGTTGATGCCGAGTTTCTTGGTCGACATTTTGCCGCCATCGCACGCCACGACGTACTGGGACCGGTATTTGATGGGGCTCCCGTCGGCCTTGGTGGTGACGGTGACAATGACATGGTCGTCGAATTCTTCCCAATCGTTGACGGCCGTGTTGAAAAAGATGCCGTTTGGGTTTCGTTCTTCAGCCACACGACGAAGAATGGGCTCCAATCTCAAAAGGGGTAGATTTGACGATGAAACCGCCGAGTCACGTCTAGAATTGATTGTTGGGGTTAGAGAATGTTATTCCCTCTACTGATTGATTGAAATTTGTAGAGCGGTGGAATTTGGTAGGAGATGAGAGTAACTCACCCATATGCTTCGGACATGGAACTACTAGGGCCCCCCCCGGCAGCGTTCATATAACTCAACAACCGACGATCAAACGGACCATCACCACCCAAGGTCGTTCGCCACTCGACCCGGCTCATATTGTGGAGGGGAGCCGATTGCGCCGTGACCTCATCGTACAGACCATGTTGTCGAAAGGTCTCGATGGTTCGCTGGTTCAGGTAATGCGCCTTGGGGAGGATGGAAGTCGAAGGGTGTTTTTCGAACAAGACGTGAGGGACTTTGTAGGTGGACAAAAAACATGACAGAGAAAGACCGACGCCACCTCCGCCGATGATGACGACGGGAACGTCTATGATGGGTGTTGTGGACATTGTTGTGGACTAATGGATGGACGAGTAGATGGATGAACGTGAATTGCTGTGTTCCTCCTTCAAGTCAAGTTCAAAGAACCAGAAAAAGGGAACAAATGTTAGAGAGAAAGTGCTTGTATCAAGATTCACCTTGGCTGTTCCTTTGATATATGTATTAGAGATATTACCTTGGGCTTTTGTACTTATACTCTCACCGTATCTCCGTACTGCAGGTAACATGAAATATCACCGCAACCCTGACCCAGTTTAGAATAGGATCAGGACAAGCGTTGTCGATGACGGGACATTGAAAACTAGACCTAGTGATCTGACTTTCTCAGGTGATTGTAATCATGCATGACTCTCGGTAGGTTTCACAGCATCAAGGAGGGAGAACAAAGTACAGAGAGCAAGAAAGCCGTTGTCAGGCCATTCTCACATTTCAGCGTTACTGAAGCGTCCAATACCCACAATCTTACCAACACCCCGAAATTGTACGAAACCAGAAACTCAAGATACACGTATAGACCTACCTAGGTAGCTTGTTGAAAGGGGAAGGATGAAAGAAGGGGCCCGAAAAGGAAAATCCAAAAACACTACTGTTCGGCCCATTTTCTTTGGTCGCCGGTGTAAGCTTGTGTACGGAGACTCCGTGCGTACAACACCGGGTTTTTATCCGGCGCCTTTTTTCTGTTGCTGTCTTGAAACGATAATAGAATACCTAGGTAGGTGATAATCAGGCCGGTGTCTCGTAGGTCATGGACGGATGATATTCTGAAGGGTGGTTATCGTTTGCCGGAAGATTCATGCAACTGTGTAAATCAGTAGAAATAATGAGGGAGGGTTTAGTGCCTAGAACATTACCTAATTCACAGCCTTGTGCTGGCGATTGACCCTGACAAGATACAACACAACATACTCCGTCCTCTGTAAATTTAATAGATATGTGAGCATCGGTTGTATGAGGCCTAATAATGCTCATAATATCTTACGCGTATAGAATGTGTATTGAGAACCAGCATCCTATAGATATACCCTGCGGCCTACCTATGGAGTATCAGATAGGTTAATGGACCAAGGCTGTGCGCTTCCCACAAGGCTGGTGAATTGCTCTGGGACACTTCGATACATGACCAAAGGAGACATTGATATTCTTGTGATAACACGATATATGATATAGCACTAAGTTCCAAATTTATACCTTTGAATATCAACTCATGAAGTCCAATCAACCGTCAAATCAAACCAAATCATAACATAAAAGTGCATCATCAACGCCTATGGGATAACACAACATGCACTCATGTAACAAAAAAATCTCGAAAAAAATCCAGGGTAGGAAAACCCATGTCTTCGTCAAACCAATACCCCGTCCCCGGCCCTGTAACCAACAACAAAGTATCCAATCTCAAAGATGTAAGCCCTGCTCCAATACCTCCTTCAGCTCAGGACTCTGTGTCAGTCTATATGCTTCCTCAATGTACGACTGATCCAGTGAGAATCTCTCGGCCATGACGTTAGGTACCCACTTGCCCACCAATTTGTCGGGTCGGATGTTGCTTTCCACAATACGCTTCTGCAGAAATTTGCGGTAGGAATGGACACCACCTCTCAAGAGGGAAGAGTGGAAAGGCACGTCGATGCCCTTGAGCGGGATGGTGGCGGTGCCTCGTTCCAATTCGATCGGCTTGGGGAGTTTCTTGGTGGCTTCGACACATTTGGCGATGTACGCCCGGAGCTCACTGTTGAGCAGGTCTACCGGTCTGATGGCTTCGGCCACCAGGTGTCCAGCCTCGGGACTTCTGGAGAGATGGTTCAAAACCATAGATAGCGTATGAAGATTCTCCATCTGTTAGGGGAAACTTGTCAGAGTTGATGCAAGAAGTTTGTTGGGACTGGTGGACTTACCGTGCCTGCACAAACATACTGCTCGCCTTCAACGTTGTAATTCACAATCTCGAGAAGTGCCAGACTCTCGCCGGCGATCAAGCCAACGACCACGTTGAGGCCCTTTTCATTGAATCCTGTCCGACGTCAGTGTTTGAGGAAAGGCAACTACTGCACCACCCAAACTTACCTTTACCAACTCGTTTGGGATTGGCCGCCGCCATCGAATAACCAGTCTGGCCATGTTCGTTTCGGTCCATGGAAACTTGCATGCTCAGTCCGCGGTAAAACACCACATCCATAAGGTCGTGAATAGACAAAAAGCCCGAGAATGCTGACAGGGAGCCATACTCTCCAAGAGAATGCCCTGCAAACGTGGCGTCATCTTGAATGAGACCGTTGGCCCGCATGTCCTCGAACGTGGCCTTTTGCAAGATGAGGATCGCAGGCTGAGCAAACTGGGTCGAGAAGAGCAAGCCGCGAGGCTCGGAGAAGACATATGATCTTGTGGTTGATGTCAAGCCGGGCAAAACGGGTCGGCTGATGCTCGACCCATCGGGAAGTGGTGTCTCGATTTGCATGGCCATGTAGTTTTCGCGGATCTTCCGACCTCTTTTGCCGCCAAAGTGCACGGTCAACGACTTGGGGTTGTTGCGAACTATATCCAGAATTGACCAGCCTAAATTATGGCACGTCGCGTCAGTCAATATCTTTGAAAGTCAAGTCATCGTACTCACCATAAGTCTCGGAGAGATATCCGTCCACGTCGTCCCAGACAGCTTTGGCAACAGGGCTGCTGTTGTAAAGATCCATGCCCATGCCTTTGGACTGGCTGCCTTGGCCAGTGAAGACGTATGCTGTCGAAGCCTGTGCGACTTCTGCCTCCGCCTCGAGCACAGTTTCATCAGTGTCCTCGTTGTACGCGGATACTTTCACCCGCATTCTGCCTTCAATCATTCCCACGTGCTGCAAACGGACATTGAGCTTGTCTTCAGGGAGAACCATGCCCGTGAATGTTGCCGACCATCGGTACAGCCGCCGCAGGTCACCATCAGCGGCCAAATGTTCTAGAGCACTTGCTGCGACTGCCGAAGTATACATTCCGTGGGTGATGGTACCGGGCAACTCGGCCCAGTCTGCAAACAGAGGTGACACGTGGATAGGGTTGTAATCCTTGGAAACTCTCGCGTACCTCTCATTGCTGCTGGGGATTTGTACCTCGACCGTGCCGTCATCCGACCAGCCAGGGTGTCGAAGGTCGCTCTGTACCGTGGTCGATGACGCCTTGCGCTCCAGGAAGTCCATGACTGGATTGCCCACACAATCACTGTCGTAGAAGTCGACCTTGCCGATTTCTTCGAACTCGGTGTCAGACTTCCGAGCAAGGACGGTGCCAGACACTGACATGCTCTTGAAGACGTTTCGCTTCTTCCAAGTGACATTTGATTGCAGCTGGAACAGTAACGTGGTACCGACGAGTGAAGTGGTCGAGTCATGAGGCTGAAACCACTCTCGGTCGTGGAGAATAGCTGCATCCTGTCGAGATGAGATTTCGATCATCATGTCCTGTTCTTGTTTGTGTTTGAAGGTTGAAGAGAAGTCATTGAACTTGCCCTTGAACAAGAACGTCGATCGAACAGTCATCACTGATTTCCCGTCGCGCATCACCTCTGCTTCGACGACGACATATTTTCCTGCCTCTTCGATGTAGATTTCTCTCACTCTTGAGGTGGCCGAGACAAGGTCACCAATCCTGAGCGCCGACGCGCCTTTGGTGTACTCGAATGAATTGGACTGGTGTACCAAGCAAAGCAAATCACCGTCAATGTCTCGCAAGACCAAAGGCTTGGTGATGACATCCCACACGACAACGATACCAAAACCGATGGGGAACACTGCTGAGTCGCCACATACCACAGGCCCATTCGAATATGATTGTCCAACAGTAGAAAGGAAATTCTGATACATGTCGTAGGTAAGCACCATCTCTTTCCCTGAGAAGGTGCTGTGGACAGTTGCGCCGGGGTCAAGCTCCTGATCGAACCATAGCTTGCTATAGAATGACTTGATATTGAGGTTGCGACCCTGCATGACCTCGCTGAATGTCCAAGGGCTCTTGTCAGTCTGTAACTCGAACTCAAATGGCAAGGCAATATAATCATCTCTGTATGAACTTGGCTGTCGAAGCTCCACTGCCAAAGTCATGTTGTCTTTGCATGAGATCTCTGCGAGAATCTCAGGTCCGAGGCCGTTATCCTTTTCAAGAAGCACCTTACCGGCCTCTCTATCGATAGACAGTGAAGCTCCAGACCGGGGTTCCAGGATACGCCGAAGGGGACTGACTTTATAAGAGCCGTCCCGAATGATGTGATCCGAGCCAAACAAAGCACGAAGAAGAGTGGAGGAGTTGCTGCATCTCCCGGCAAGAAAAGAGGATGGGAACTGGTTGGCTATTCTGTTCGCGGAGAACAACTGGGTCTGAGAACCGGGACTCTTGCACACAAATGGCGTCTCCATTGTTGTCGGTGCGCTCGAGGTTGGCGAAGCCAGCGCCCAGGAATCTGGAGTCCCGCTGCCGCTTTGCACCAAGCTTTCATCGTCGGAGAGTGGTGTAATGGGCCTGCCATACTGTTCGCCCAAGATTTTCTCGACATGGGAATGTGCAATCCCATCGAGAATGTCCTGTGCTGATTCGTCGCATCTGTGAGAGTACTGTGCTGCAACTGGTCCGTGGAGGATGCAAACTCTCCCTGCATCACGGTCAACGACGGCATCGATATCCTCAGACTGCCACAGGGAATCCTTTTTGAAATAGTACTCGAAGTTATCATCAAGGACAGGGATAAAGTTGACAGGTTTTTGGCCACGCGATCTCGATCTGAGAAGGAAGAAGGCCGAATCCTCTGGATTCAAAATCGTCGTTGAAGCCTCCGGACAGGAGCTTGCGAAATTGGCCAGGAATGTGCGTGGATCGTCCAGAACGGCCGGTGATAGCTCGATCCGATCATCATGTGGCAGTCTTTGCAAGGCGCGGCAAGTGAAATCGTAGACGAAAGTGGCGTACGAAGGGTCGATCCACCGTTTCTGATGAGATACGTACATCAAGCTGACCATACGCTCTAGGACTTCCGTGTAGGTCATCTCTGCTACCTCGGCTACTTTGCCAGCCGACGTCCTTCCGAACCAAGGCTTAGCAAAGTCAGCGTTAAGCCTCTGGATAATGGTGTCTTTGCTCTTGAGCAACTTTGGAAGGCGCTCTTTTCGGGGAAGGTTGAAAATCTTTCTGTCCATCTCAGCCCAGAAAAGAACTCCACGATTTGCGATCTTATGAATTGGTTGCCCCATTTCTGACTGAACCGTGACAATGCCGCCGGTTGCAGCTCTGTAGCTTTTTTCCCAGTCCGAATCAGGGACGCCTGAAGCCTGACAAATGAGAAGTTTGCTTTCCAAGGACGTGTACGCCTCTTGAGCGACCATCATACGGCTGCCCAACAAAACGCCATCAAAGGGCATAAAAACGTAGCCGAACCGAGAAGCCCAAGCACCTGTCAGGTAGGGATAAGTGTCCTCGGCGCCACCGAAGCCACTTCCGGCAACGAGAATGATGTTACTTTGTCTCCGGATGGCACCGTATAGATTGAGAATAGGTGCGTGAAAGTCTTCATACGAATGATGTCCACCTCCTCGGCCTCCAGTCCATTGAAGGATGATTGGAAAGTTCGGATGAGCCTTGGCAATGTCGATTACATCTCTGATGGCTGACGAAGAACCAGGTTTAAAGGAGATGTGTTTGATTCCGAGCGTGTTGATGTATTCGGCCACGATATCAGCAGAAGGAATGCCAGCTCCAATTGTGAGACCATGAATAGGTAGTCCCTTCCTAGACAGCATGCGTAGCGTAGCGATCTGCCAGCTCAAAGTGTGCGGGCTTGCATAGATGACATTGCAAGTGACACCTCGTCCGGCTGGGAGGCTTTCCACAAGCTTCTCAATCGCCGAAGACATGGCTTCAGCATTGTAGAAACCACCTGCAGCTAACTCGATGTGGTAACCAGCTTTCATGATGGAGGAGACGAAGTCCCAATGGGTTGTTGTGGGTGTCATACCAGCAACCATCACGGGCGGGCAGCTCAGCAGTTGACTCAATTTCGTCTGCATAACCCAGTCACCGTTGCTAGAGCGCGCAAGGCGTGGCTGGAATTGCTTGCCCCAAGACTCAATCGGTGCCGCTGAGGTCAGTAGAATTGAGGAGTAGAAATCAGCAGCAGTGGCAGCTTCGGCCCGGACATCGAGATTGGTAACATCGATGATGCGGACACCTTCGCCTTCTTTCACTTTCATCACAAGATCACCGATGCCAACGTCAAACGCCAAGATGTGAGTTGCTTGAGGCAGTTTCAAGGCAGCAGGCCATTGACATTGTTCACATGCAATAGCATCCACTAGAACATCGACGAGGTTGTCAGTGCTGCTGTCTCTGAGGTCATCGGCTGTCTTGCTATGATAAACAGGGATTGCCAAACAAGTCTTGGTCATTAACATATTGCGGAGACGTAGCTTGACTTTCTCGGCTGCAGTCGATAAATAGCTCGTATGGAACGGGGCGCTGATGGGTAGAAACTGATGATGAATTACAGGCTTCCGGCTGCTGAACGGGACGCGACTCTGATCGAGTCCATCCTTTGCTTTTAAAGAGCGGAAGTATGAGTTCATATGAACCAGGGAAGTGACAGGCCCTGCTAGGACAAAGTTATCGCGGGCGTTCTCGAGTGCCAGGAGTAGTTGATCTTCTGATTTCAAATTCTTGTTGAACTTTGCAAGGAGTGCCTCGACACGGAGTCGATCTAAGCCTCGCACACTCAGCATCGATGATGGCTGACCCTCACCATTTTCAAGACACTCTTTCACGAGAGCAGCCGAAACAGACGAGGCGGGCCTGGCTTGATGGCAGTAGAAGCCTAGCCAAAACAAGAGTTCGATTGCTTGCCTCGAAATGTCGTAGAAGGATTCCCATGACTCTGCCAACGAGATCGCTGCCGCAATGACAAGACCTTGAGAATGTCCAGTTGTGCCACGTATATGGGCTCTGAGCTCCCCAGGGGTCAGGCCTAACACCTGACAAGTCGCCGAATATTGTGCCAAGCTCAGTAAGCCAATGATAGGGAAGCTGACCGGAGCTTGAGAGATGAAGTCGGTATTAGGGATCTTCGAAGGGTTCTGCAGCCAGGTACTAAGTTCAATATAGCGTCCGCAGTAGTGATCTTCGGTCTCGGGTAGCCGACAGAGCTTGTAAAGCAACGGCGACGCAACTTCATCGATGAGCTGTGCAATGAATGGTTTGTATGTGGAGTACAGGGTGGCCAAAGAAGCTACGCATCTTGGATTATTAGTACCTTGTCCTCCAAACACTGCAAACAAGTTCGCCTGGTCTTGTTCCGCAAGATCCAATAGGGCGCTTGGTGGCGTCTTGATTCCAACACATCTGGACCTGGCGGTGTAAAAAGCACAGAAAAGGTCCCTGCGAATATTGGCGGTGACTGGAAGAGAGCTTATCAGCAGGTGGACATCATTGTCCTTGAGAAAGTTCTTTTCAAAAGTCCTCAATAAGCATTGTAGAATTGTAGAAGAGGCATTATTCTCAACCAGGAAGCCGAGAAATCTAAGAATAAGCTCTTCCGCTGAGGATGGTTCGGCCACATCTGGTTGGGTGGGATGGGAGAGCGCGTGTAGGAACACGTCCCTCTGCCATCTGACCTGAGGAACAAGATCTGCGTCGATGGACAAAGTATGGCCAATATGTTTGAATAGGAGAGGGAGCTTGACAATATCCGTGGGTGTGGACGACTTCATTTTGGTGGTCAATCAGGATCTTGAAGTTGCTTTCTTTGCCGATGGCTGGAGAGTCAAGTTATTGCTTCCAGGATTCAATAGGGTCAAGCCCTCAGAAATCAACGACCACACATTAGAGAGAGAGACGAAGATCCTGCGAGCAATTGCGAATGAATTGGTTCTGTATGGGACGGAGGTATGGAAAACTCGAGGAAAGGAGGGACTTGGTACACTGACGAATGGCTTGAAAGCGAAAGTGAATAAGATGGTAGCTTCCACGCGAGCGTTTTTATGATAATATATCGGTCGGTAAAGTTTGTCCATAGCTTCGCCTCATAGACTGCCTGTCCTTGAGTTGTGACGTCTCAGGATGGATGCTTCTAAGAGATTGTCGGAGCGAATGGCAGGTTGCAAATGGATTTCACTTCGATATCCATATCAACGCCGAAGTGTACTGCTCACGGTGAGTTTCCCCTATGTCGAAGCTTCGTTGCCACAGCTAGCATGAAATGATTCCTCCAGCCCCCATGATATTGGGACGATATCGTTTCTTCCGCACAGCTTCGGCTTATTGATTGAACTGAAGTGGATCATATGCTTCCACTGGGCTGGTATGTCGTACACCTCCGGAACTCGTGCAAGGGGGAGGGGTTGGTTTCACAGCGGGCGTCGACATTTTGCGGTCTGAGAACTTGCGCGCTTCAATGCACAACGGCTGATGGTACCAAATCAATAATGTGAGGTTATTGGCAAGGGGAAATTCACATCAAGTGACTGCAATAGACGAAGCTGGCCTAGAGAATCGGCATCGGAGGCTGACATTCTGAAGATGGCTACCAGGCATTGTTGGATGCCTGCAAATGAAACGGAATTACCCTCACCATCGGCAAACCAAGTAAGCCGTGAGAGCAATCGTCTGACCCAGTATACTTGGTCTTGATTGCGATAAGATGTCTCGGTGGTCGATAGAGCCGAGAATAACGAAGGAATTACTTAGGAGAAGTGGTAGAAGGGATTACGAGTACGAGCTGGACCGACTATATTATTTTCGCTGTATGACGTACAGATATACAGCCGTTCTGGGCGTTTCAATGGCGTGGCTCAAAATAAGGTGCTTGGTCATTACAACCGAGCTTAATCTTGGCAGGTGAGCCGACTGACTGTCCATGCATTCCAACTGACCATCTAATCTCCATTAATTGGTACACCGTGAATGAACTGGTTCCTCTCACCGAAACGCAAAATACAAAGCCGCAATGCACTTTCAGCGACCCCATCGCCACGGCGATGGCCGGTCTGAGCGAGATACTGGCGTGGGACGCCGGTCAGATCGATCCGGCGTATTTCCCTGACTTGGCCCGTCGTGCGATTTCCGCAAAGTCACCGAGTAGCACCAGCGGTGCATGGCCAGCAGTCAGCGACGCGCTGCTGAAACCCGGTATGGAGCCGGCTACTTATTGCAGCACAGTCGCTCAAAATAGTGCATATGCAGAAATTTGGGTTCGTGTTGAATTGAGTTGCTATAACAAGTTAAGAGGACAGCAGCGGGCAACATTGGATTGCTCGGCCCACGGCTGGACTTGGTGTGGAAAGTGAACAACAACATGTTCAAGTGCCTTCTTTTGGTCATCGCAGGATCACTACTTGCCTCGAAAAGAAGACAGAACTCGCAGCGACCGACCAAGTACTCATCCTTCTGATTGATCTAACCCCGCAGCCATGGCAGTCATCTCTGCTACGAGGTCTGAGGCTTTGCCAAGGGCAGATACATTCGAAAGCAAACAACAGCTATTGGCTTGCAAACTGTTGATAGAACTTTTGTCGTATGTCTTGCCGCAGCATTTTAACCCGCTACAGTATACTGATGGTAAGCACAGGTACCAATTTGCATCACCAGTGAGATGGTAAGTGACGGTACCGATCGATGAAGCAACACTGAACATATTTGATCCTAGGATCGAGACGCAGAAAGAAATGCTACGCAAGGCAAATGGCATTGAAAGATATGTCGAAATCGGGCCTGCCCGAATTTTAGCAACAATGATTCAAAAGAGTGCCTCTCAGGGCTATTCGTCCCAGGCTGCATCTCACTGGTCTCACTTCCGCTTCCTCTCTTCAGCCGACAACAAAAATGACATTTATTACGAATACTCAGAGCAAACCCAACCAGACCCCTCAGGTCGGGCAGGCGCTTCTGGAGCTAACGTGACTGTCTCTGCCAGTCTCGAAGTCAAGGTAACACCTCCGCCTGCTTCAACAAATGTGAATGCTAGTGTTGCGACCAGCATGGAAGCTCCCATCATGGCTCCTGTCATTGCAGCATTATCAGTGCCTGACGCTTCCTTACTTGCCAATCACGTTGTGCTTGCCATTACCGCCCAGAAGCTGAAAAAAGCCTTCGATCAAGTGCCAATCCAGAAAACCATTCGCGAGCTGTCTGGAGGTATGTAGTAGTCTGTCTAGTGTCTGACGACGACTTTGCTCACTCAATGCAGGAAAGTCGACATTGCAGAACGAGCTAATTGGCGACCTTGCCGCAGAGTTCGGCAGCCTACCGGACGGCTCAGAAGATCTTAGCCTAGAAGCACTCGGTGAAAGCTTACAAGCTTCTTTCGCAGGAAAGCCGGGCAAGCAGCTATCGGCTCTCATCTCCAAATTTATATCCGGGAAAATGCCTGCTGGCTTTAACCAAGCAGCGGTCCAAGATCATCTGCAGGAGAAATGGGGACTGAACAAAAGCCATGCTCTGATCCCTATTTCTCTAGCAGTCACTGCAGAGCCAGCTTCACGACTGCCAGATGCCAACTCAGCAAAGGAATTCTTTGATGCCCATACACTTCGCTATGGTGCCTTTGTTGGGATCTCTTTGACGCCGTTGACTGGCCAAGGAGGCGCCCTAGCCGTGCAAGCTACGGTGACAGTTGATTCAGCCGGCTTGGAAGTTGCACGTAAGGAGCAGAGAGACTATCACTTAAAGCAGTTCGAGCTCCTGGCTAAATACCTGCAAATCAATCCCGACCTGGAGCACGAGAAATTACAAGAGCTTGCGGCTTCTGAGAAACTACTGGAAGAGAAATTGAACCGGTGGGCCGCCGAGTTTGATGACCATTTCTTCGACGGAATTCAGCCCCTGTTCGACATCCGCAAGAGCCGCACTTACGACTCCTGGTGGAACTGGGCAAGGGAGGATCTTCTCAGACTCCTCAGTGATTTTCTCCATCAGCCGTTCAATATCGAAGGCATCGAAAGCGATGACAAAGTCCAGAGCCTATTAAGCAGATTCGAACCAAGCTGTTTAGACATTGTCCAACGGACAAACGTTGATCCGCAACTGAAGGCTTCTTCTGATCTTGGCCGAGAGATTGCAAGGCTGGGAACGACTGCTATGGGACTTGACCCAGTCTTCAAGTACACGCTCCCCTCGATGCGGCCAAGTACTAGTATAACAGCCACAGGCTTGGTCGAGTACACAGAGGTGCCACGGACCATCAACAACTACAGTTCCTTGGTAGAACATGGTCGATTAGCGCCGACAGGAGAGCATATTCCCTTTGTGCACATTCGACGACGAGAGGACGGGCAAGAGTGGAAATATGATCGAGAATCAACAAATCTATTGCTCTCTGCTCTTCAGACAGGCACGACCTCAGGCATCACCTTCACCGGCAAGACGATTCTCGTCATTGGTGCTGGTGCCAATTCAATTGGGGCAGAGGTCGTCAAGGGTCTCTTATGTGGTGGTGCACGAGTCATTGTGACGACCAGTCGTGCTGTCTCGAGCACTGCCAAGTTCTACCAACGCATGTACCGCAAGCATGGTGCTCGTGGCTCTGCCTTGTCCGTGGTTCCGTTTAATCAAGGGAGCAGAAAGGATTGTGAAGCCTTGATCGAGCACATCTACAGCCCCGGTTCAGTTATTGGCGAGAATCTCGATTTCATCATCCCCTTCGCAGCGATCCCAGAAAGTGGAGCCATTGATGGATTAGATAGCAAGTCAGAACTCGCCCATCGCGCCATGCTCACAAACATCCTCCGACTTCTCGGGTATATATGCAAACAGAAAGAAGCACGCGGTCTTGATACCCAGCCAACGACTGTGATTCTGCCCCTTTCGCCAAATCATGGTACTTTTGGCGGAGATGGCATGTATGCGGAATCTAAATTGGGGCTTGAAACATTGTTCAACCGCTTCCATTCCGAGAGTTGGTCTGCTTATCTCAACATTTGTGGAGCTGTCATTGGTTGGACTCGTGGAACGGGTTTGATGAATGCAAACAACATCGTCGCGGAGGCAATTGAAAGCCACGATGTGGTTACATTCTCGCAAGCGGAAATGGCCTTCAACATTCTGGCATTGATGACACCTGCGATCTCCACACTTTGTGAAGACGACCCGGTTTATGCTGACCTGAATGGCGGCCTTCAGTTCGTGCACAACTTGAAACAAGAAATCGTCGCCGCCCGGGAGAAAATTACAGACACCAGCAAACTCCGCAAAGCATTGATACAAGAGCGCTCCCGCCACCAAGTGGTGCTCAAAGGCTCTGAAGAGCTCGAAACAAAGTCTGAGGGAGTGGATCTTTCTGCGCGTAGGGCAAATCTCAGCATGGCTTTCCCACGACTCTCGACTTACGAAGATCTGACGCAGGGTGTCAAGGAACTCGATGGAATGCTCGACCTCTCTCGGATTGTGGCAGTCGTTGGGTTCTCAGAGCTTGGTCCTTGGGGAAGTGCACGAACCCGGTGGGAAATGGAGCATCAGAACCAGCTTTCACTTGAGGGCTATGTCGAACTCTCCTGGATCATGGGCTTGGTAAAGCACAAAGATGGTGAGGTCAATGGAAAGCCATATACTGGGTGGGTCGACACCGAAACCCAGCAGCCCGTCAAAGACGAGGAGTTCAAAGAAAAGTATCACGACAAAATCATGAACCACACAGGCATACGCTTCATCGAGTCTGAAGCCCTTGGCGGATATGACCCTAAACGAAAGGAATTTCTTCACGAGATTGTGACTGAGGACGACTTACCTGCCTTTGAAAGCTCCAAAGCAACAGCCGAAGCGTTCAAGTTGAGGTATCAGGACAAAGTGACGATCGAGCCAATCTCCGGATCCGATGAGTATAAGGTGCGCATCAAGAAGGGCGCGCATTTCCTTGTTCCTAAGGCCTCGGCCTTTGACCGAGAGATTGCGGGCCAACTCCCCAAAGGATGGGACCCGAAGACCTATGGAATTCCTGAAGATATCGTTCAACAGACAGACCCTGTCACTCTCTACGCCCTTTGTTGCGTTTCTGAGGCTCTTTTGTCCTCTGGGATCCAAGATCCATACGAGTTGTACAAACACATTCATGTGTCAGAGCTAGCTAATTGCATCGGCACTGGAGCAGGTCCCCTCCTCGCAATGCGCGGCGTATATCGCGACAGGCACCTCGATAAGCCTGTGCAAAGCGACATTTTGCAAGAATCGTTCTTGAACACCATGGGTGCCTGGATCAACATGCTTATCCTATCCTCCACAGGGCCGATCAAGTCGCCAGTTGGTGCATGTGCTACCGCAATTGAATCTCTCGATATTGGCTGTGAGGCGATTCAGGGAGGCAAGTGCAAAGTAGCCATTGTCGGCGGTTGCGACGATTTCCAAGAAGAAATGTCGTATGAGTTCGCCAAAATGAAAGCCACGGCAAGCAGCAATGAAGAATTTGAGAGAGGCCGGACACCGCAGGAAATGTCACGCCCAAGTGCTGCATCCCGTGGTGGTTTCGTTGAATCTGCTGGTTGTGGTGTTCAATTGCTCATGAGTGCCGATCTGGCACTCAAGATGGGCCTGCCCATATATGGAGTCGTCGCCTATACTCAGATGGCCAGTGACAAAATTGGTCGATCAGTACCTGCACCCGGGAAAGGAATCTTGACGGCCGCCAGAGAGTTATCAAGCCATAGCGACTCACACCTCTTGGATTTGGAATTTCGAAGAAATCAACTACAGGAAAGCTTCAAATTGGTCAAGGTATGGGAACAATCACGTCTCGAAGAGGCAAGGCAGCGTCCAGATTATTCCGAGAGGATGGCCCAGGAAATACATACTGCTGCTACGACTAAAATCAGATCAGCCAAGAGGACTTGGGGCAACGATCTCCGCCTACAAGATCCTCATATCGCACCCCTCAAGTCGTCGCTGGCCGCTTGGGGCTTGACAGTTGACGATATCACAGTTGCGTCAATGCATGGGACATCAACCAAAGCGAATGACACCAATGAGGCAGATGTAATCAACACCCAACTGACACACCTTGGCCGCACTCGAGGTAATCCCATACTGGCTGTTTGTCAGAAATCATTGACGGGTCATCCGAAAGGCGCGGCAGGTGCCTGGCAGTTCAACGGGTGCTTGCAAATGCTTCAGACTGGAATCGTGCCTGGTAACAAGAACGCCGACAATATCGAAGGCAAGTTGAGGCAATACGAACACATCGTGTATCCCATGGAGGCCATCAGACCAAGCAGCGTTGACGCCACAATGCTGACATCATTTGGGTTCGGCCAAAATGGTGGTATCGCAATCGCCGTGGCATCAAAGTACCTTTTCTCTGCAGCTGGTAAGGCCGCTTTCAATGAATACAGAGCCCGTGCGACCACGAGACAACGTACTGGCAATATTGCATTCCAGAGAGCATTGATGAGTAACTCCATCTTCAAGGCCAAAGAACGTTCACCATGGGACAGTTCCGATGCAAGGCTAAAGGAAGTTCTCCTGAATCCTCGAGCCCGCGTCTCGCGGACCGAGAGTTCAGACACTTTCACTTTCAAAGACGCGTTGTCGATTTCCGACGTCGCCTCGGCCGTCAACACTCCACGCGAAGAAATGGCTCAGGAGATGTTACTCTTCAGCTCTGTCCATTCCATGCTCGGCGCGTCTTCCCTTGCCCCTCCGAGCCAGCAGTCGGTCGGCATTGATGTCGAAAACATTGTCGATGTTCCGGTCGACAATGAGAACTTTATTGGGCGTAACTTCACCGTGATGGAGCGTGAGCTCTGCAGTTCGAAGCCTGACCCAAGGGCGTCGTATGCAGGGCGCTGGTGTGCTAAAGAAGCCGTGATGAAGAGTCTTCAAATTGCGTCACGAGGACCCGGCGCAGCTATGGACGAAATTGAGATTCTCCATGATGATTTCGGAGTTCCCAAGGTCGAGGTACGTTTTGTTTGTTTCTATTTCCGTTTATTGTTTTCGAGAGCAATGCTGACATTGAGTTCTCACAGCTCTTCGGCAAGACCAAGGAGGCCGCAGAGGCAAAAGGTGTGAGTGCGGTACAGGTCAGCATTACGCACTCGGCAGGCACAGCGACAGCGATAGCACTGGCATCGAGAGGGTCATGATCTGGTTACACGAAGTAGATTTGTTCTTGTGGGTTGTTTGAGGGATCATCATCGGGGATTTATGCATTGTCGAGGCGGTTGGTTTATTTGGACGGATTCAGATGTATCAGCGTTAAGTCCATTTTTTTTGTTATATTCATAAATTGTCAAAGAGGTTCTTCCAATTTCTCGTGCAGAGTCTGTCTTCAAGTTCAGAGTTGGCATTAGGTGCATTCTCAGTACGCGATCTGGAACCAAATCTCCAATGGCCAATAAATGTTCCTACAAAGCCTTTTCAATTCCAAGTCCGCACGAAACCGAAGTTGAGTGTTGGCTTTGTCATAGGACTGGTTTCATCGCCAGTTTCAGAGTCTTGGAGCAGAGAAAATCATGGTGGAAGACTCTCGAATTTGATAGAGTAACCATATGTATTGGCCGTCTCGCTATATGCCTTTTCTTATCCAGCTTGAAAGCATACGACTTGAGAGATTAACCTAGCGTCTAAGAAACTCCCAAAAACTCCCCCTTTCGGCCGTGTGAGAGAAAACGAATGAAATACTCCATCACATATCCCATATCCTTCTTCCTTTCATTAACGTCCCACCACCAAGATCTAGGCTTCGATGTCGTGAGCCACCCTGGCTTCATCATTTCTCACATTAACCGTGACATCCGATTGTCGCCAATATTCAGCTCTGAGTCTAGATCCCCTGTTTTCGTTATTTTTGGGAAGGACTACATTGTCCTTTTCGTCAACGGAAGAAGACTCATCCTCGGAAGAAGAAGAGGTCACCTTGGAGGCTGCTTCTTCCACCATCTTCGCCTTTTTGGCCTCCGCTCCTTGCTTGATGTTCTTCCACTCCATGATCAAGGCCGGCAGAATCGACGCGGCACTCAAGGCGACAGAGACAAAGATGCATCTCGTCACGCTGCTGTTGAAGGCCGACTCGACTTGAGGAAGCAGGGCACTGGGGACGATACTTTTCAGATCCAAAATTCCCGCACTATCGAGGTTGGACACCTTGACTCCAGGGATGACGGACAATTTTTCCTGGAGTAGATTCTGGAAGATGTTTTGTGCCACAGGAACAAAAATGGCACCACCGAGGTTCTGACCAAAGAAATTCAACGCCATTCCAGTGCTAATGTCGCTGCGTTCGAGCACGGTCTGAGCGGCCATGTTGACCGTCTGCATGGCCATTCCCGTGCCGAAACCGTACAGGATCTGGTAACCGATCCATTTGGAACTGCCGGAGGAGGGCTTGAGCTGTGTTAAAAGTGCCGCTCCTACGGTGGTGAGGATCGGAGACACGAGTATGGGAGGCATGTAGTACCCGACACGTTGCGTGAAGCCACCCGCCAAGATGGTCATGATGACCAAGCTAATGACGAGCGGAAACAAACTGATGCCGGCGTGGATGGCAGTTTCTTCCTTGACTGCCTCGAACCAGATGGGTAAAAAGTACACGATGGCGAACAGGCTGCCGTTCAAGAGAAACAAGAAGATGACCCCCCCGAGGACGGAGCGTTGAGTGGCGATGCGCATTGGTACCGTCGCCGTCGCCGGTGTGAGCGCCTGCAAGACCCAGAAGGCCAGGAACAAGACTCCGCACGTCACCAAGAGCCCGATGACCTTGCCGCTCGACCAGGCGTACTTTGAGCCACCCCACTGCAGGGCGAGGACCAAGCATACGATGCTCGGAACGAATATGAGTGTCCCCAAAGGATCCATCCGGAGCACTTGTCGGACCAGGCTGAGCTTCTCAGACGGAGGTGGCTTGATGTGTAAGAACAGTACTATCGAGAGGATCGTGAAGGCGCCGATTGGCAAATTGATGTAGAAACACCACCTCCACGAAATGTTGTCGGTGAATGCTCCGCCCAAGAACGGCCCTAGAACGGAGGCGATACCGAACACGGCTCCAAACAGGCCATAGTAGATTGGTCGCTTGTGCAGAGGGATCAAGGGGACGATGACCATCATCCCTCCGGTGAAGATACCCGAGGATCCCAACCCGGCGATGGCTCGACCAATGATCAAAGCGATGGAGTTGGGAGCCGCACCACACACGGCCGATCCGATTTCGAAGAGGACTATCGAGCCCAAAAAGACATTCTTGATGGAATAGTGTTTGTAGATCTTGCCAAACACCAAACTGAATGACGCTCCCGTGATCATGTAAGCGCTTCCGTACCAACCGACGTCGTCTAGGGAGTGGAATGTGTCCGTAATTTCTGGAATGGCAACTGATATGATGGTACGGTCCTGTCGATTGAAACAAACGTCCTCGAAGTCAGTTTTATCGTCACTACCCTACATAGCTTGTTCCAAAGACGAAGCTGACGACTCACCAAGGCCACCACGAAAAGAGCACAGTACAGACCCAACATCACCATCCAGAACTTGATAGTTTTGGGCTTGTAGTTTTCTTCGGAATCTTTCTCTACATGTTGGAGAGCTTTGGCGGCCTCTGGATCGCTGGGAGGAGGTGGAGGATCGACTTTTGCCCGACCCTGGCGTGGTAGAGACGCAGTCGACAAGACGGGTGAAGGGGCGTCGGCGTCTTCTCGTTGAGCTCGCTCATACGACATGGACGCAAACTGCTCGAAGTCGGTAGGTGGTTCAGGCGGTGCAGGCGAGGCTGTCCGCTGAGATTTCCTCAGGGAAATGAACGATGGTGGTCTTGAACGCATCTTTGCTAGGGTGTTGCGGTGGAGATGGAGATTTCTTTCTTCCTTTCTCAACATGTACCACTGTAGGTACCCTTTAGGTGGTGCTGCGGGATCAGGGCAGTTCGAGATACCAGCGCATGGCACTTTGTATCACTTCAGATATGTATGTTGCTGCTTCTCACACATATGTATCGGGACCGGGGGAACGAGATGCGTATCAGCAGCCTCCCCCCGGTTGTCATGTTACTCTAGGTGGCCCGAGTTATTTCATTCTTGGGCTGAAAAAGTCAAAGAAATGCGCCGATGCAGGGGGTGGGGAAAGAGGATCAACACAACACGGGCATCAAAATCATCATCGTCTCTTCTATTCGCGCTCTGAATTAATTCCAAGCGCGCCATTCTCACGGTGATAAAAGCGAGTGAGTGACATGTGCTTCTTCTCAAACTTTCGCTCGGATTCACGTGCGGCATTCTGACATCGTAACGGGCATTCATTCAAAAGGACCATGGAACGGTGAGCTATACGATGAGAAAAGAGAATCCTCAGACCCCTGTAAAGGCATGAGACGTCGATGACAGCAAAGACAAAAGGCTCGGGCGAATTTTAGTTGAGCTCGCGCCGGCTTTTAGGGGTCGAGCGATGGGCATGGAATGGGCCGTTCGATGCCTACGATAGGTACCTATGGGGCCAGATGATTGGCCAAGGCCCACTTACAGCCTTGCTAGACGCTCGGACTCCCATCGGTTCGGCATCAACATCTCGGCCTCAACAAACGGAGCTTTACCGGTTGCGGAAAAGCACCGGCGAATATTTTGAAACGTCGCCCATGACGCTCTCCAATCAATTGGTGTTTTGCTGCCCTCAGGAGCCTGTCGTAGTCTGTCGTAGAGCCGACGCGATCTTTATCTCGCATCCCGGCCTTGGAGATCTCGTGTCTCTTCCCGCTCGGCAGCCTGCAGCGAGGCGTTTTGAAGGGGAGGGGGCGGGATTAATGATGTCTGTCTCTTCGCTCGAATGGGAAACGAGACACGTAGCTACGCATTGGGCGCTTGCACGAGAGAGATAAACATAAACCCTGGAAAAATCTACAAGAATAAGAACTTCGGTCTTGATACACAGCGTCAATTGATTACCTCCCAGCACTTTCCTCTCTTCCTGGTTCCGTTGAAGTACATATATATACCTCAGTATATGTTCGCCACGTCTCACAACAACAACAACAACAACATCATCATCATCATCTTCATCTCACAAAATCCACTTTGGCAAGGCTGAATTCACATCGCGGCATTCCTTTGAGTCATACCTACATCCATACAGACTCAGTATCAGCACAACTTCTGCAAGTTCCCATATTGATATACAACCCCCTTCATAAGTTCAACCATCAACGGTCCCACAATCGAACATGGCCAAAGGCGTCGCCAAAATCGCAGTGGTGATATGCAGCAACAGAAAACCGCGGGCCAACCCTCAAATCGCCAACTTTGTCTTGGAAGCCATCGAATCCACTTACCAAGACCGCTGGTCTCTCGAACCGGCCCTCAGAGTAATCGACCTCGCGGAGAGAAACCTTCCATTCTTCGACGAACCCGACGTCCCGTCCCAGATCCACGACCACACCAAGTACGCGCACGAACACACCCGCGCGTGGAGCCAAGAGGTCCAGAGCTACGACGGCTTCATCTTCGTCTGCCCCCAGTACAACTGGGGTTACCCGGCCGTGCTCAAGAACGCCATCGATTATCTTTACAATGAGTGGAAGGGGAAACCGGCCATGATCGTGAGTTACGGTGGTCACGGCGGTGGCCGAGCCGCAGGCCAGCTCAGACAGGTCTTGTGCGGAGTGCACATGATCCCAACCAAGAAGCATGTCGAGTTGGCGTTCCCTAGCCGAAGTGTCTTGCTCGAAGCCGCGTACGGCAAAGACCTCGCTCTCGACGGGTTCAACGCGAAAGGAATCTGGGGTTCTCAACGGAAGGAGATTGGTGATGTTTTTGCCGAAATGATGGATCTCTTGAGCAGCAATGTGAGTGTCCTTACTACCGCTTAGCAATTTCAAGGTCCACCCACACGAGACCATCTTTGCATCCGCTAACAAGAGTTTTGAACAGAAAGTCGGAAAGGCTCTAAAATCAGCTGCGGTTACCTTTGGATATGCGAAGCAAGAATTGCGCAAGAAGTTCAAGAAGGGATCGACAGCAGAGGGAGCGACTGGAAGAGGCGAGGCGCGGAGTGATGAGTAATGCGGTGAGGTTCTAGGCAAGGTTAAACGTCTTGGGAGTTTGCTCAAGTCAGGGAGTCCCTTGTTTGAACGAGGTTTGATTTTTGTGTTTGCGACTCGAGTTTTTGTTTAGCGGTGGAAGCCAATGATGCGGGTGATTTTGTGGACATTGCGGTTTATTCGTACAGTCACTGGGATACTTAGTAGAGTTCCTTTTTCTAAATAGCCATATGTGGAATTCGCGTTGTCACGTCCTGAATGAACCGTTTTATCATTTACTGTTACTCTCAGTTTCTGTCAAGATGCTACTTGCAAATCTTGTTTCGCAATGCTAGCGGCTGCAGCACTTGTGGATAATGTACGGTATTTAGCCCAAGGCTGAGAAAATTAGGGGCCTTAGACTGTGCCTTCAGACTCCCATCTCTCCCCATATCGTATATTATAATGTTTCGGCCACCGCCGAATATGTCTTGAAAGGTTGAGAGAACGTATTCAGCGCTTTTGCCTCGGCATGGCGCACGAAATCACCCAGCCTCAAATCACACCTGTTTATTTACCGCGTAAAAGGACTAACCCAATTCCTAGCAAATCCGCCGTAAACCCACCGAGCACGGCGCAACCCATATCTTTGGTCCCTGGAGAATGAGGCCTTGTACTACCATTCACCATCCTCGGCTACCTACCTGCCCAAGGCACAGTGGATGATGTGACGTACTCAAGTTTCTCTCACCAAGTCCACGGATCCTCTCTCCTTCAAGTTTCCTCCCGTGAACCACAGTCGCAAGCTTTTCTCAGTATCTCGCCCCTTCGGCTATGTATTGCAAATTATGATGCGCTCAGAAAAAATGACCGAAGTCCAACTTTGGAGGCGCATTCACGGCACAAACCGCGAACCGCGAACTTCGACCCGCGTACTGCTTCACTTTCTTCTTGCTTGTTCCGGATGCAAAGGCGCAGTGTGGCACAACGCACGGCGTAGCAAAAAGGCTTTCTTGAATCTCGAGCAATGATGATACGATGATGTATGTGTATGCCTTGCCTTGCCTTTCTCCCGTCCTACCCCTGTCCTTGCCTTGCATTTGCCTTGTCGTTCATATCGCCTCTTGTCCTCTTCTGCGAGAAGCCGCTCCTATATGTGTCAGATGTTCTCGCCAAGTCGCCTAAATGGTTACTCGCCCTTGACAAAACACGATCACGACCAAGATGAAGTCAACAAATATAATGCTTCTGAACTGAAGAAAGTATTGAACACGGTATTGCACAAGCACAGCGGAGACCTTGTGTCCTAAACAGTCCTTGCGGTCATCAATTTGATATTACAATCACGATCACGGAACGACCATCACAATGTCATACGAGATACATGCATGTAAAGCCGCCTTGGCGAGCTTCAGGACAACTCAAGGATCCTCAAGTATATCGTTGACTTCAGCAACATCGATGGCAGTCAGTACGAGTACCACTTCTACTGCCTCGTCGTCGTCGTTGACCACGGATCCGGCAATAGCAATAGCAGGAGCAAGAACCTCATTGTTGTCGTCAGCACTTCCTCTATCGACCATCTCACCCGACTCAGCCATCGGCCATCATCATTTCGGAAAAGCACCATATCTCTCTCAGGTCGCCCTTTTAGGAGAAGTGCCCTCGAAATCCGTCGATGTCCCAATCACGTCCGTCTTCCTCGTCCTCTTTATCGTCGGAGCCATAAGTAACATGATGATCTTCCGAAAAAACAAAGCGCAGGGCCGACTCTTCATGCCATCATTCTTTCTGTACGTCTTCTGCATGGCCCGGACCCTCAGCTGCGCTCTACGCATCTCCTGGGCATTCTATCCCACCAACGCCTCCCTCTCCATCGCGGCCTTTATATTCGTCTCGGCCGGCGTCCTGATTATTTTCGTTGTCAACCTAATCTTCGCCCAAAGAATCGTCAGGGCGATACAGCCTCGCATCGGATGGAGCCCAGCATTCAAGATCTCATTCGTCATCATATATGGTCTTACGGTGCTCCTTCTGATTGCGACGGTCATCTGCATCGTCCACTCCCATTACACCTTGAATCCAGACGACTTGCGAATCGACCTTCACATCGAACAAGCCGCCATAACATATTTTCTTTGCCTCGCATTCCTCCCGCTTCTGCTGGTATATGTGGCTCAAGTTCTCCCACGGACGAGGAGACCCGAAAAGTTTGGAACTGGATCCTGGCGATCCAAAGTACGGATTTTGACACTGGGTGCTGCACTCTGCACGTTCGGCGCAGGATTTCGCACGGGCTCGAACTTTATGAACCCCCGGCGTGCGGATGATCCGGCGTGGTACCATTCCAAAGTTTGTTTTTATCTTTTCAATTTCACCATCGAAGTCCTGGTGGTGTACCTTTACCTGATCACGCGAGTGGATAAGCGCTTCTACATCCCCAACGGATGCAAGACGGATGGGGACTATACGCGACCACGACAACAGATTCCCTCCTCTGGGGCATCGTCCAGTACGGTGGTCGTGGGCGAGCCAGAGAACCTGAAACGAAAGGGCAGCTTGAGTAGCTACGCGCGCATCTTCGATGGGAGCTCGTCCACGTATTCGTGGCGCGAGGAAGAGAGGGAGAGAGAAGTCAATCGCAGATATGCCAGTGATGGGGAGGAAGACCATGAGCGTCACGTGCGCTCACGTTCAATCTCACGCTCGCATTCTCCGTCTAGGTCGTACTTGTCGCAGGTGGAAATCAATTGGGGATCAGAATCGACCTTGCAACTCCCCCCTGCAGTGGCACCGAGTAGGATACGAGTGGTGGATATGCAAGAGGCGCCGTACGTGGACATTGATTTCCTCCAAGAACGTGATCATTACGGCCAGCATAGAGGTGATGACTGGTTCAGGTTGGAAACTCCAAGGGTATCAGGGACTTTTGAGAGGTGAGATTGGAGAGACGGAGAGGGTGAGTTAGGGGGGATGGGAGTGGAAATGCGAATGTGAAGCAGGCCTATTTCATTTGCGATTGCTGTCATTGGAAAGATCTGAGTGGTAGGCCTGTCTCATTGGCCTTTTGGGAGGATTTGATATTTCATGGGCATGAACAAGGAGTTTGGGAAACATCGACAATGATGATTACAACCTGACACAGAGATATTTTACTCTCGAGACCGACAAAGTCTGCCATGACGAGATCGAGATCGAGAAATGAGACAACGAAACCCTCATTCGGATTATGCTCTATGGTCAAAGAGGCGACTTTGGGAAAGTAAATTTCCTTCTTGGTCTAGAGAAGAAAGCATGGTAGAGGGTATTCTGTAACATTTTGTTCCGTAGACGAGACCTATTTTCCACCCATGCCATGGACAGTGTACAGGATCAATGGCAATATGGCAGCGATAATCTAGACTAGGTAGGGTTTGCGATTTTATGTGCTGAATTGTTCTAGCACGATACAATTTCCACTCTTCTCGGCCCATTCTTTTCTTTTTTGTGGTGTCGAGCCCCCCCTGAATTCGCCGACAAGCCCGACAGCCTTATCGAGTATCACTATCACTAACAGTTTTCTTGTCTTTCGGGGCATTTCACATGTACAGAAAGACCCAAATGGCCATGTACTTCGGCATATTAATGCGATGGAAGCTAAATCTGGGGATATTGTAGTCATTGTAGTCAGGTGATAAGATAGAGAACGCTTTTCATTTTATAACGCCGAAAAGGATCAATGCCATTAGCCTCGTCTCTTTTAGGTCAAATCAGTCACTCAGGGCCCAGAAAGGCGTCGAGGGATCACTCACTCACTGCTCGCTGCTCGCCCAGAGACAGAGTACTCGAGTCCGACAAGGCCGGGGCCGAGGTAATTGATTGATTAAGAAAAGAAGGACGAGACTTTCAGACACGAGTACCTACAGTAAAGACTGGAAAAGGATACCAGCAAAAAGGCCATCCTACCCTAACCTACCCTTTTCGTCATATTTTTCTGAGTCCCTTGATCCTCTGTATTTGACAGCTTGATCGTCTATACTAGCCCGTGTGCAACACTTGAAAGCCTCCTACTATACACTTGGAAATCTCAAAGACACGCCTTGTGCCATCATGGGATTGAAAATCATCGTCGTCGGTGCCGGTATTGGTGGTCTCACTGCCGCTCTGGCTTTGAGACAAGCAGGTCATTCTGTCGAGGTAAGGCATTCCTGAACATTCTTTGCTCTACAACGAGTCCTGCTCAAAAGTTCTAATATTCTTCTGTGACTTACCTAGATATTCGAAAAATCAAAATTCGCAAAGGAAGTCGGCGCAGCTTTAGGGTTGACACCAAATGGTTCACGAGTTCTCGCGACTCTCGGCTTCTCATTTGAACGTGCGAGAGCAAGGGAAATCACCAGCTGGGACATTGTCGACGGGGTGAGTTTGAGGTTGGCCAAAAGTATGGATTTTACCGGCCTTTCCAAACAATTTGGATTCTCGGCCTACGCCGTACACCGCGTCGACTTTCACACCGAACTTTTGCGCCTCGCACAACAACCTGGGATCTCGGGCGAGGAAGCCGTGGCCTTGCATTTGTCCTCTGCGGTTGTCGATTGCGATCCGGTCGAAGGTTGGATCCAGCTGGCGGACGGCACCAAACATTACGCAGACCTGATTGTGGGGGCCGATGGGGTCCATTCCGTTCTCAGACCTCTTGTGACGGGATCTGGAGATGCGCCACATTCGACGGGACTCAGCGCCTTTCGGTTCTTGGTCCCAACCTCTACCATGTGCAACGATCCGGCCCTGCAGGATCTGATGGAGTGGAAGACCACGGGTGCAGCGACTCTCGCAGACCCCCAAGATGCCCTTCCCCAACGCCACATGATGTGGTATGATTGTCAAGAGTGAGTTTGTTTTTATAATGTCCAATATCTGGCAAGACCAGAAAGAAACTTGAGGCAGTATTCGGGAATGCTGTCTGGCACTTGGAAATCCACTGACAGTCGTAAAACATTTTTAGTGGCGAAATCCAAAATTTTGTTGGAATAACTGCTTCACGAGACATTCCTATGGGAAGTGATGGTATTCCTGGTTCGTACTCTCTCTGGAAAAAGGACTTCTGAAAAAAAAGGGGTTCCGCTGTCAAACAAAGCTAACAGACTGACTGTTGGTTGTGGCGTCACAGATTTCAATACTGCCATGCTTGAAGACTTTCATGCATATCATCCTGACCTCAAACATGTCATCAAGATTGCAGGAAACGTCACTTGCTGGCCTCTCAGCATTCATGATCCTTTGACATCTTGGACCAAGGGAAAGGTGGTTCTCGTGGGGGATGCTGCTCATCCGGTAAGTGTATCTAATCGTCGACGTTTTTTGGGGGGGTTCTGCTCGGAGCAATCTTTGACCTGACCTATCTGTGTCTGTGTAGATGTTGCCATTCGGAGGTCAAGGATCCAATCAGGCAATCGAAGATGCAGGGGCGTTGGGTTATCTCTTCACTGCAGTGGATGACGTTTTCAAAGTGTCGGCACGTCTGAAGATGTTTGAGGAAGTACGCATCAACAGAGCCTCCATTATTCAAACCTTGTCCACTCAGAGAGCCGGAAAGGAAAAGGATGTCGAAGAGGCGTTGAAACAGTATTATGCTCCTGGTGCAAAGATTCCCGGGTCATTTCCCGAGCGCAATTACGATGCTTTCAGGTGAGTAGAGCTTTGGAGATTTCTAGCCCTTTTATTTTTGTTTCTCTGGTCGACTTACTTATTCTCAATTCCACAGTCACAATGTACTTCAAGCTGCCGCTGATGTTTTGGCGACGTCAAAACTGGAGCAGGAAGCCCCCGACAGCGCGAGCACCGAGGCGTACATTCTTCCTCAGATGACGCGGGACTATTTGAGCAATCAGATGATGAGTCAAGCCGCGTGATGAGCGATGAGTGATGATGGGAGTCGAAGCAGTCATTGAGGGGAGATATTGTCGAAAGGTGCTGGGTGGTGTTTTGGATACGCAGCATGGTGTCCGTCGGTTCATAGAAGCTCAGGATATAAAGTGGGCTGGAGCTTAGATAGCCATTCTCAAGTGTTGTCTTGTCCTTGTGTTGTTCTGTCGCTGGCTGTTGTTGTTGTTGCTGCTGCTAAAGGCATGAAATGAAATGTGTTGACTCGCCATCATCTCGAACAGCTTGCCTAGGCGGATGCGTATTGTTGGCCTGCGTTACCTCTTATCCGCCTTTGACTTTTTACAGACAGCTAGTGTGCCCATGATACTGATATTACAAGGGTATAAATCGACGAATATTCCGTAAAATATTAATGTGTTCAAAGTATTCGCCACGATTCCGCGCAGCTTGAGAACACGTCGTTTAGGTATCTTGACGCGTCGATCACGTGGTTTAGCCTGGAATGCTTGATTATAGGGTCTTCATCAGTACCTCTTAGGCACGCCTAAGTATATGGTATAGGCGAATCTTCCGCCAATATCGGGGCCAGATCGGTGCCTGGGCACCTGCCTATTTAGGCATCTAGTAGGCCAATATTGAAGCCCGCCAAATCTCTGCTGTGTAGATTTTCTGTTCATCATCTCGCCCGCATCATTTCTCTTCCACGTTTCTCATAGCCATCTCACCACACTCTAGAAACAATAACAATGATGTGCTCCTTTTCAGCTTGCCAAACCCGGGGCCTTGACCGTCATAAATTCCGTGAATGTATTGTTATGGAGCTGCTGGACAAGAATCGGATTCGGCTTACTACCGAAAACACCCGCCATATGAACGCCGACCGGAGTCTTTTCCAGAAATACCACACATAGTGTGTGCGACCCAAGGAGCATCCCTTCAATGCACCGGCAACGCCAAAAAACCGTCCGGTTGCCGTCTTCGGCCCCGGGTCATGGGTATAGGCGCATGGCATCCGTGATATACTACCGTCTCACGTGAAACTCCCAGGCATGTCGTATATACGCCATCCTGTCCAGCTAATACCAGTAGTCCAGGTGCAGATTCGAGTGCCAGCTACAGACAGATTGCTACGACATTCAGATGCTTGGGTAGCCAAAGTACGCAGGCATGGCTGGATCAATTTCATTCTTTGGCGACGGCTCGCTCCCTCTGCATCCAACATTCTCTCAGATCCTTCAGGCTCGAACTCAACGTTCACTACTCTCCGTTTTCCTGCACAAAGCTAGGCTTGCACTTCAAGATGAGATCTCCCAAGTTCCGATACCAGATAGGAAGGGCATGCCAGACTTGGCAGAGCTTGAATGCTTGATTCCCAATCCTGCGGAGAAGCAGCCTCGCGATCACCAGTGTCTGGCTCCTGCAATGCTTGTTATCATTCAACTGGGGCAATTCATCAGGTGAGCTCAGATCGCCCTCTGTGACGCCCATAGGTTGATTGACATCTTTGACTACAGTTGGTATGAGAACCACCCTGAAGAACCTTATCCCGGTCCAGAATCATCATTCGTTGTTGGATTGTGTGTAGGACAGTTGTCGGCTGTTGCGGTCAGCCTTGCTCGGAGTTTGGTGGAACTCCTCCCTCTTGCTATCGAGTCTGTCCGCTTGGCGTTCCGAACTGGCCTCACTGCGACCATGGTGAGAGACGAATTGGAACAGGGGGAGAGCTCCGAGACATGGGCAGTGCAGAGCTCCCGTGCTTTGGGGCTAGGTGAGGATAATCTACTCGACACCATCCATAAAGAAGAGGTCAGTAGCAGCCAGCCTGCGTTGGTTGAAGTAACGTGGCTTACCATATTCTTCAGGGTATACCCGAACGCAAAAGAAGTTACATTAGTGCTTCATTCGGCAAAGCATTCACACTCCAAGGCCCTCCTTCTACGCTCGATAAGATCGGCCATTGGCTAAGTTCAAATCGAAAGTCCTTACCACCAAACTCCTATCAAAGACTTCCTATTTATACCCCATACCATGCACCGCACCTTTATTCCGAAGAGGACATCAAGCGTATCCTGAATTTCCCAGACACTGATGACTCTAAATATGACCACACACCATGGGAGACGACAAAGCTGCCTCTGGTATCGCCAGTCACCGGGAAATATTACCAGGCAAACAGCACTCGCCATTTGCTACAGTTGGTAATGCACGACGTCCTCAAAGCGCCCATCGAGTGGAGTAATGTGACGGCAGGATGCGCGGATCATGTCGCTGCACTGCAGCACGGAGAGTGGGTTGTGCGAGCATATGGTCCCACGCTTGCCGCTGGCAGCCTGGTAGCGACTTTGACGAAGGGTGCACAAGTAAATGCCATTCTGGATGGGGCTTCTGCTGCGAAAGGTGCTTCCTACTGTGGTGTTCCGATGAATGAGCCTATCGCCATCGTGGGTATGGCTGGTAGATTTCCAGAAGCTGCGAGCCACGATGAGCTTTGGAATGTACTCGAAAAAGGCATGGATTGTGCCAAAGTCGTAAGTCTCCACGAAGTATACTCATTCTATTGTGAAGGCACAGCTAAAATGGACAGATCCCTGCCGATCGCTTCGATAAAGACCTGTATGTCAAGAATGACGGTGCAGCTAGAAATCCAGCTGGAACATTGTACGGCTGCTTCATCAAAGAGCCAGGATTGTTCGATGCCCGCTTTTTCAACATGTCGCCACGCGAGGCTGAGCAGACCGACCCACAGCAACGCTTAGCACTGGTAACAGCGTACGAAGCCCTTGAAATGTCAGGATTCGTCCCAAATCGGACTCCGTCAACACAACTTGATCGTATTGGCACATATTACGGTCAAACCGGGGACGATTATCGAGAATGGAATGCCTCTCAAGACGTCCAAACATACTATATTTCCGGAAATGATCGTGCATTCGGCCCAGTCAGTTGTCTGAACTTGATGTTCTTTGCTCAATCTGCTAATGAATACTACAGGGGCGTATAAACCACCATTTCAAATTTGGAGGCCCAAGTATGAGTATCGACACAGCTTGTTCCTCAAGTGCTGTAGCTCTCAATACAGCCTGCACTGCCTTGTGGGCCAATGACTGCGACACAGCTGTGGTAGGCGGCATGACCCTATTCACCAGCGCTGACACTTTCTGCGGACTGAGTCGCGGTCACTTTTTGAACCACACTGGAAACTGCAAAACCTTTGATGATGCAGCTGATGGTTATTGTCGTGGCGAGGCTGTGGCAACCGTGGTCGTCAAACGTTTGTCAGACGCCAAGGCTGATAACGACAACGTGCTGGCTGTTATCCTGGCTGCTGGCACCAACTACTCGGCTGCCTCTTCTTCAATCACTCATCCACACGGACCGACACAAGAAACCCTGTATAGGAGACTCTTGAATGATGCTGGCCTTCACCCGTTCGATGTAGATTACGTCGAGATGCATGGCACCGGCACACAAGCCGGAGACGCTGGCGAGATGAGTTCTGTGAGCAATGTGTTTGCCCCTGCTTCACCAGCTCGCCCACGGGAACATCCTCTATGGCTGGGGGCCGTCAAGTCCAATATTGCTCACGGAGAATCGGCTTCTGGAGTCACCGCTCTCATCAAATCGCTACTGGTTTTACGCGAACAAACAATTCCTCCACATGTCGGTATCAAGAGCGGTAACATGAACCACACCTTCCCGGATCTCCAGCAGCGCAATATCAAGATAGCTTTGGGCGGGCCTGAAGCATTTCCCTGCAAACAAGCACGGAGACGTAGACTCATGGTCAACAACTTCGGTGCTGCCGGTGGTAACACCGCTCTGTTGCTTGAAGAAGCGCCCCTCCGCGTCACCAATGTAGGTATGGACCCAAGAGCCGACCATATTGTTGCAATCTCAGCCAAGACACCAAAGTCGATGAAAGGCAATGCTAGAAGCTTGTTGGCATATCTGGAGAAGCACCCAGAAACCAGCTTGTCTGATGTCTCATATACTACCACGGCTCGACGTAGTCATTTCACTCAGAGACTGTCACTCATGGCATCATCCATATCACAATTGAAATCACGGCTTGCGCAAGTTCTCGACACGGATCCTACGAAAACGGGCAAGCCTTCAAATATCATATTCACATTCACCGGTCAAGGATCGCTCTATGTTCCTCTCGCCAAAGAACTTTTTGATTCCTCGAGGCAATTCAAGTCCGATATTCTCCGGTTCAATCAAATATGCCTAGATTATGGCTTTCCCAGTTTCATGCCTGTTATTGAGAGCGAAAATGGTGACATGGAAGGATTGTCCCCTGCTCAGACCCAACTCGCTATTGCGTCTGTGCAAATGAGTCTTTTCCGCCTCTGGACCACATGGGGCGTTGTTCCAGCAGCGGTTGTTGGGCACAGTCTGGGAGAGTACGCAGCGCTATTTGCAGCTCGCGTACTCTCTGCCAATGACACACTCTATCTAGTTGGAAAGAGGGCTCTCCTCCTGGAGACAATGTGTTCACAAGGAACCCATTGCATGCTTTCGGCTCACGCTGACCTGGCATCGCTCAAGAAGCATCTTGGAAATCTCTTGAATGATCTTGAGGTTGCTTGTGTCAACGGACCAGAAGATACTGTTCTCAGTGGACGAGTTGACATTGTCGAGGAAGCTCGCAACAAGCTAAAAACACTCTCGGTCAAGTGTATTGTTCTCAACACTCCGTACGCCTTCCATTCGGCACAGGTTGACCCAATCCTTGCCGATTTTGAGGAAGCTGCACGCAGTGCTAGGTTTATGACACCTCGAGTTCCTGTTCTGTCACCGCTTCTCGCATCTGTGGTCAAGGAACACGAAGTGCTTACTCCTAACTACGTCTCAAGGCACGCTCGAGAAGCTGTGAACTTCTCTGCTGCATTGAAGGCCGCACAGCAAGACGGCTTGGCTTGCAAACAAACAGTATGGCTTGAGGTTGGGCCCAAGCCAATTTGCCTGGGTATGGTCAAGGCAACACTTGGAGACGACTGTCGTACCATTTACTCTCTTCGTCAAAACGAGAATTCTTGGACTAGTGCCGCGAAGGCTCTAGCTTCACTATACGAATGTGGTCACGATATCAACTGGAACGAATACCACCGCGATTTCGAGAGTGGGAAGAATATGCTTCATATTCCGACGTACTCCTTCGAGGAAAAGAACTACTGGATTGCGTACAAGGATGATTGGGCTTTGAGAAAGGGCGATGATGTCTCAAAGCAGACTAGTATCGCTCCTCAGACTCAAGCTGCTCAGATAACCACTACGATCCATCGCCTGATTTCACGAAAGCAGCAAGGTACCACTGTCTCAATGGTCTATGAGACAGATCTTTCAGATCCTCTTCTTTACAAAGTTATTTCTGGGCACAAGATTAACGGGTTGGCACTTTGCCCGGCGGTAAGTCCTGGCTCTCATCTTCAGACAGACCCAATACTGACGATTTATAGGGCGTCTATGCGGATATGGCTCTCACGGTTGCTGACTTGTTCAGGAAAGAGTGCGCTTTTGAAGTTCCTACCACCGGGATCAATGTGACCAATATGACCATCCTGGGCCCAGTCACCGTTCCGGTGCCTCGAGTCGCAAGTCCTCAACTTCTGCAAGTCATAGCAAACGCAGAACTGGAGTCAGGAAATATTCATATCGAGTTCAAGACACAGTGCCCTCAAACGAAGAACTTCACCATTCCAAATGCCAAATGTCAAGCAGTGTACGGCAGTGATCAGGCATGGCTGCACGACTGGTCAAGGTCTGCATATCTTGTGCGAAAGAGGATTGAAGATCTTGAACGTGGAGTGGCAACTGGCACAACCAACAAAATGAATAAGAAAATGGCTTACCACCTCTTCTCTCAGCTCGTCGACTACAGCTCTGCATACCAGGGCATGCAGGAAGTCCTCGTGGACACTGAAGAGCTCGAAGCTGCTGCACTGGTCAAATTCAATGAAAGTCGAGAAATCGGTGACAACTTCTTCGCCTCTCCTCTCGCAGTTGACAACCTGGCCCAGCTAGCAGGGTTCGTCATGAACGGCATCGGCGCAGGCGATTCTAGCTCTGGCGTGTACATCTCACACGGCTGGGGTTCACTTCGACTCTCGCTACCGCTAGATGCTTCTAGACCTTACCGAGTACATGTCAAAATGCAACCACTGGAGAAGTCTGTGATGGCAGGCAATGTGTCAATATTCCAAGACCAGGTGATGATCGGCATGATTGGCGATGTTATGTTCCAAAATGTGCCTCGGTCACTTCTCTCGACCATGCTGAGCCCCCATTCTTCGGTTGGGACTCGACAGTCTGCTGCTTCCCACAAGGCCAGTAAATCGCCGGCACTAGGACAAAAGTCTGAAGCCGCGATGCCTCGACAGGAGTCACCCTCGGCAAAGGCTCTTAAACGAGCAGAGGACACTCAAGCCAACCTAATCTTGAGAGTCATTGCCGAAGAGATCGGTGTCGATGCATCAGAACTCAAGGATGACAGTGGCTTTGCTAACCTCGGAGTGGACTCTCTACTTTCATTGACCATTATTTCGAAGATCAGAGAAGCTGTCGGGATTGAGTTGCCACAGTCTACCTTTGCAGACTGTGAGACGGTAGGAGATCTCAAGGCTTTACTCGGTGACACTGGGTCTGCGACTGACACCGCCTCCGAATCTTCTCTTGAAACACCGCCAGAATCTGGCATTCAAACACCATACCCCGTTGCGGAGACTTTGTCAAGCCCCGCCGACAACGACATGATCGAAGCTCTCCACATGACCCTTGCTGAGCAAATTGGGATTGACGTAGAAGAGCTTGTTGCGACTGACGATCTATCGGCCCTAGGAGTGGATTCCCTAATGAGTCTCAGTATCGTCGCTGCGCTTCGGGAGAAGATGGGAATAAATGTGCCTCAGGATATGCTTGCCGAAAACACGTCCCTGAAAGGTATCAAGGCAGCACTCGACCTTGTACCGTCACCATCACTGCCAATCCTGTCCAACCCGGTACCTTTGAGGTCAGAAGTTCGACCGCATGCTGCCACCGGTAGCACTCGCACGGCAAAGTCATTTTTGCTGCAAGGAAACCCACAGACTGCATCGCAAACAATTTTCCTCTTTCCCGACGGCAGCGGCTCGGCCACATCCTACCGTCGACTTCCAGAGATCGCAAAGGGAGCTTGTGTCTATGCCATTGATAGCCCATTTCTCAAGCACCCAACCGAGTACACCTGTTCCTTGTCCGAAGCCGCGTTACTGATGGCGAATGAAGTTCGCACTCGGCAATCCTCCGGCCCCTACATTCTGGCTGGTTGGTCCGCTGGTGGCATGTACGCCTACGAAGCTGCCAGACACCTCATTTCGGTCGGAGAAATCGTCTCCAAACTTATCCTCATCGACTCTCCTTGCCGAACAGATTACGGGCCCATGCCCCAAGATGTGCTCGACTACGTCTCTCGATCGGGAGTGATCGCGGGAGAAGGCGCGGCTACAGCGGCTCCAGAATGGCTCGTCCGACATTTCCAGTCGACCATTCGGGCAGTTCAAGAGTATACGCCGCAGGCATTCGACGAGGAAAACTCGCCGTCCACGTACGTCATCTGGGCGGCTCGGGGTGTTTTTGAAGATTGGCCTCAAGCCGAACTCGCCGGTCTCGACCTCACCGACGCCGTGGCTGCTTGGTTGCTGAAGCCAAAGACCAGCCCAGGAGCCAATGGGTGGGACAAGCTGCTCTCGGCCAAGAAGATGAAATGTTCTTCGGTGAATGGCAATCATTTCAATATGGTTCACCCTCCCAACGTGAGTATAAACCTAACCCCCAGCTGATTATGGATGTTTTGCTGACATGACTTCCTAGTGCGCTTCTCTCAGTCGGGCTATCGCAGGTGCCGTCGGTGAGGACGATGCTGTAGAATGGACTCGTGCTTAGCCTGGTTGTGGTCGGTGTCTTTTCTTCTCGGTCGACGCTGGACTTACTTAGGCTGACTACCAGGTTGAAAAGGGGTCATGTCATCGGGCATCTCTCTTTCCGGTTGGCTAGACAAGGAGTGCATTGAATTGTTTAGGTACAGGATCTATTTCTCTGTTTATACGTAGATGGTGGGAAAGGACCTGATGGTTTGGTGTTCGTTGGTAGATTTTCTGTTCAATGGCATATCTTGTTTCGAAGCACTTTTTCAGCTCTCGTTCCCATCTCAATTGTCAAGCAGCAAATCTACTGCCCCATTTCAAAGAACTACCTCCGTCATCAAATCATCAGGCCATCGAGGTGCATCTCTTCCATTTCCCCTCGTGCCCACGTTGTACTTTAATTGAACTTCAGAATCGACAAACCGAATCACGGGTCTCACGGTTCTGACAGTCACACCACCCAGGGCTTTACTTTCTCGGTCCTCGAAAAACTCCGCCTTGTCGAAGAGGTTGGTATTTTCTTTCATCATCTTCATGTATCGTGGTATAGTGTAATTCATATTATGGCAAGACCTGAAAACCTGTCGTCCATTGCGATGCCAAACTTCGTTCCAGATTGGTTCAGGGTATTCACCCACCCAACCCGTAAGCCACTGATTGTAGTAGTTCAAAGCAAGATCCAACTTGTAACTGCCTCCCCGGTCGGCTTTTTGTATCAGTGCGGATAAGACCCCAATGACCCCGACGATGCCCGTCATGTAGTCACTGTTTGGGAACACCGGGGTGACGGGTTCGTCGTTTGATAAACCCATGGCCCGGCCAAACCCGGCGGACACTCCTGTGCAAGCGTCACTGATCTGTTGCCACCCTGACCGTTGACTCCAGGGCCCGTGCCAGCCGTAACAGTTCTCGCGGACCGAGATGATGCCCCTTTCGGGCCTGTCTCGAACGAGATCAATCATCTGGTCCTGGCTGAAACCGTACTTGTCCAGAACCCCCGGGCGATAACCCTGGACGACCACGTCGGCGTCACGGATCAGGGTCCGAAGTTTGTCTCGCCCTTCTTCCGTCTCGAGGTCGAGACTGCAAGACCACTTGCCCCAGCTCAGGTCGACGTGTAGCTCGCTGAAATCGACAACGTTGGGGGAGGTGACTCGCATGACGCTGGCGCCCAGCTCAGCCAGACCCCGCGTCACCGCAGGGCCGGCGATGACTCTGGTCAAGTCGACGACCTTGAGACCCGCCAGCGGTCTGGTCGACGAGGTTCGTGCCGTTGATTGCCACCAGTGTCCTGGCCGGTGGGCGGGAACCGTGTTGACTCGGTACAGCTCGAACAGACCGACGTCAGCATTGGCTTTACCTTGCTCAGTCTCACGGAACGAGTCCACAGTCTCCACGACCACGCCTGCCTGCTTGTACACGTCGGTGATGAGGTGCTGGAGTTCGGCCGATGGCATGTTGGCGACCTTTTGGATGCAGGGTTGTACCGCCTCCTCAAAAGTCTCGAGGTCGGGACGATCCTCTGGGAGACCGAGACAGTCGAGTGTTGGTTTGGGGTTCATTCCGCCGTGAAGGTGGAAGAACCGGTCATCCTCGGTTCGGTAGATGTTGGTGGCACAGGTGCGGTACGGGTTCGACCACATCCTGTGAAAATCATAGTTTGGGATTCCAACGTCTTCTAGTTTGTCCATGTTTTGTCCCCTTCCGATCGTAGTGTCTGCATGATCAATCGTCCAGACCAAGGCCGACATGAAGAACAATTGGGCATGGTCCACGTTGATATTTGCCCCTGACAAGTCGACGTCGTATTTGCGTTTGACAAGTGCCGCGATCATACATGCCTCCAGGGCTTTGAGGGACGCGACGGATTCTGCGAACCGCCAATTGACGGCGATGGAGGGGAGGTCAGAACCTGTAAAGACGACGCGAGACGCGAACTGAAGGGCTTCATGAGGGATGTCTTTCTTGATCTTGGGATTGTCAAGTAACGCGTGTAAAAGTAGTCTTTCGGACTCGGCTGGAACAGAGTATGATGAGGTCGTTGCTGTCGACGTCGTATTTGCCATGATTAAATGACTGGTTGGCTGATCTCTAGCTGGAGGACAAACAAATAGAAACCTGCAAGAAGAATGTCACCTCTTTCTCTCGTAACCAGTACGTAGGCGTACCTACGTGGACATGCCCACTGATTCAATGTATAACCTACTCGGAGAATGTTGTCCGGGACGTATCTACACCTGACATATCGCAGATATCGACAACATCTGACCGCATGATACATTTCCCCGGGGGGTATTTGCGAAATCCCCATGGGAGGTGAACACGCTGAGGTAGATTCAATTTATCTCTCCTACGGCCGCAAGAGTGGTGGACATACCGTAACTGACCCAAGTTTGATGTAAAGTGGATATTCAGACAGACAGGTTCCACCGTAAAGCTGATTCGATGTTCATCACTCCCAGAGTTAGCACACGCAATTTAGCATGCAGTGTTCTTGGAAAATAGAATGTCGAATAAACGATCCCCTTAGAGTCTGTTGGGAGCATGGCCACGAAAGAATTTAAAGGTACGTTGCCTGATACGGAAGTCGACGGAAATGCTATGTGGAGACCCCACAATGCCTGCTCCTGTGGTTGCCATTGCCAATGTACAAGGAGAGCCTGGCCGAGAAGAGAAATAGTAGAATGTATATATATGTATTTATCAACATTTGCTTGACACCTTTAGATGTTTATGGCCAAGTTCAATCATAATGACCATCTTACCCTGGCTTCGCAACCACGTTTTCAATCATGACGACGTTCCCCCCTTTGCTCTCTTCCTGATCACCGCTGACTTTATGATCATAAGCAGCTCTTTCAACCTCATCAAACAAATGTAGAACGGTCGGGTTAAGGAATGGTAATACGGAGGTGCCGACCATCCCAGCTCTCTTGGAAGAAGGGTCGATCCAGTAGTATAAATTCCCGAGTCCACACCAGGATGCGCTACCAGCTTTGCGACCATGCGGCATATCGATATGGTTTAGCATCAAACCCGCTGAGCAGCCGCGGGCATCGGTGGGTAGAGAGGGCAAAAGTGTGCCTTCCCGTGAGAGGATTGGTATTGTTGGATGAAATCTACCCAGACCAGATTTGTCGACCTCCAAGGGGAGGAGGTCCGTGAAGAGGTAGTCCTTGACAGTTTCCTTTGCGAGGATGGTCCTTCCTGTCGCAGGGCTACTCCCCTCGTTCAATAGAGTGGCAAGCAGCTTCGCGTAGTCATTGAGAGTCGAATAGATGGAGGCACCCCCACCGAACATCTCGGGTTCTTCAGCATTCTTCAGGCTTGGATCAGCAACTAGGCGGTCGTCCATGTCATAATGGACGACGAGCTTTGCCCTCCCTGTCCGTGGAGCCGCAGCTGTGTCTTTCATCTCCAAAGGCACCAGGATTTGGGAGTTGATGTACTCGGGGAGGGGCACCTTTGAAACCGCCTCGACCACAAAGCCCAACCAGTCCGTGCTTATCCCATAAGTGTACTTCGTCCCCGGGTCGGCGACCAAAGGGTATTCAAAGTCCGCCCAGTCACCGACGGTGTAATATTGCACAGGTTGCCGGCCTGTGGAAGTGCGCCACGCCAGTGTTGGACCGTCGAGAAAGTCGTAAGAGAAGCCTGCCGTGTGGTTCATAAGCTGGAGGATGGTTGGTTTTGATTTGGGCGGTCGAAGGGATGGTACCGAGCCCTCCTCTCCTTCATGCGCACTGTGATCGAGTACTTGTGTTCTTGACATGGCCGGGACGTATCGTTCCACATGGTCTGAGGCTGACAGTTTGCCTTGTTCGATAAGTTGCAGTGCTGCAATGGTGGTCAACAATTTGGTACATGAGAAAATCTGGAGGACTGTATCCGCGCCGAATACAGGTGCATCCGGATCATCCATCTGAGTCGATCCGAACGTCTCTTTGAAGATGAAACAGCCTGTTTCATCGACGACAAAGGCTCCGATTCCAGGGACTTGCCCATTCTTCACAGCTGATTTGAAGAGGTCCTTCAATCTTTCATCCATGATTGTTTTATAAGATTCTGAGGGGTTTCTAGAGAGGGACACGGTGGTGAGGGAGATTCAAGTTGATGCAGGAACAAGGTGGCCTCAATGGAAGGGGGGGTCTGAATATATGAACGGAGCTGATCCACAGAGGTTACATGTACACGAGTATATGCAGCGACAACGGCCACCTATATATCCCACCTGAAGAAAGACATCAGTGTATTGCGATCCCGACTCTACCACACAAGTCGGTCACTTAATCCGTGTAGTTCTGAAAGTTGCGGCTCGCGTGGAGTCTCATTCGTTGCCCCAGCGGGGGGTAAGCGGGTGTTCTGGGGTATCCAGGAATCCTCACGTCTCAGAGATCTGCTTCTCCCTTCGAAGAAAAAGGATTCACAAAGGAGTTTGGGAAAGAGGGGATTTTCCGCGCTCGGATCGAGGTGATTCTTTCGGCCGTAAAGAACAGGAGCTTGACGGAGGAGTGAGGTCCATTGAACAAAAGCTTACATAACATGTCCGAAAGGGGTTTTGTATCACAACGTCTCCCCTCTTGCTTCACAGTCTTGAAGATTCAAGGATTTCATCTGTGAAGGATGCTTGCCAGTGTTTTGATATGAGGCTCTGCCCCTGGCAGTTTGTGCCTTTTTCCTGATTGCTTCAGCCTCGCCGCAAGTCCATAATTTCTGCCAGCCTTCGGACCGTGATTGGACGGTGGTTACGACGGGCTCGTGCGTGTCGACAACCTAATAAAGAAGCCTGGTGTTTTCCCTAATTACTTGCTGTATCTATGCCACATACACGTAGATAAGACATCAGCCGGATGGTATGACTGGCGTTCGATTGAGCAGTGTTTTCAATGACTCTTGTCTAAAGGTTGCTATTGATCCAAAGCCATGAGGAAGCAAACGGGCACCAAGTCAGCCTCATTTCAGTCTTACAACAACCTCATCCCAGGCTCATGAGAAGGTAGCGTCAATGCACGGCTCTACCAGGGATACTATAGCTATTTGCATACCTTTTCGGTGGGTGCAGGTCAGTCACGCAGTGAGCGATGCTGCTGTACCATCGCCGATACCGCAACGCGCTCTTGACCGCTCTTGACCGGTGACACTGTCAAAATCCACGGAACTATGCCCCAGTATCATGCTTCAAGTGAAGTGAACCTTGGCTACATATGTATGTATGGCACATCTGCAAAAACATACACAGACCCCTAGGCATGCCCTGGGCATCCTCCCCCCACGACCATAATCCACCTTCGGCATTCAAAATCGAAACCCGGAATTTCGCAAGCATATCCACACGCGTTTGAAGGTATTACTACTCGCCCACACGGGTATAGAACCCAAAAAGGCCCTGGTAAGCGAAGCAAGGATCGGCCGGTCCGATACTTGTGTGACAAGGCACGAAGCTACAGGCCACCACTACAACCCTACCCACACCCCCCTGACGCCATGTCTTCTTCCCCAGGCCTGTGTGTACTCGATCTTCACTGGAATTTGTGAAACACCTACGAGTACGAATACGCGGAGATCAGATTACAAACTAGTATCGCCAGGTCAGGCCAGGTCATGTGCGATTGTTGTTGTCCCGTATAGGGTAGGATAGTTTCCACACCCCCCAGATTATCTTCTGTGTTGGGTTGTACAACGTACGTGGAGTTCCTGGGCCTTTGGGGGAAAGCTATCATGACGTGGATCATGGTAATGTCCATTCTTGGGCCCTAGGATCCATGTACGTTTGTGTCAAAAGGACAGACAAGGGATCCCTGGGAAGAAAAACAGCCACTTTCGCACGCCGCACTATGATCGCTCGGACACACCGCTCTTGAGAGCTATTCCAAGAAAGGAAGCGGTAACACGACAGGAGGACGGAATACAAGGCTGATAGTAGTGATGTTCTGGTCTGTTATGTTGGTTCTTGTGTTACGGTTACAGTTTGTGTTTCCCAGCCCTTTTCCCCTTTGCAAGAAGACTCTTGGATCCCAACCCCTCGTAAGGAAACAATGGGGCAAATAGAAGCGGCGGGGTTCTTGGTTGTTGCTGATTTGTCTGCGTGTGTGTGACTTGAAGGATGACTGGGGGTTTGATGCAGGGCTTGGGAGAGTCAAGAGGAGTGTTTTTCCTCTTCCTTCACTTCTTCACCGCTCGAGCGAGTATTGTCCAGCAACCCTTGTCTGTCGTTTCATATATATTCTGTTCTCACCCAGCAATTATCCAACCAATCCCTACCTCATCCACACCCCTTGTGTGTCCTTGGATGACGGTCAACGTATTAGATCAAGCTTGTGCCCTTCCACACGCACTCTTCGAGTGCCTCGACCGCACGTTTTCACTTTGACCGCCTTATCACCACCTACCACTCTGATTAGATCAATCTCGGCCCTTGGCCTTTTGCACAGAGATCAGAAATAAAGAGATCAGCCAAGAAGGCACGAATCCACCCATCAAGATGCCAAATATGGCCTACTAAACGAAGGACGATCGTCGATCTATTTATCAAGCAGTACCAGGCCAGAAAGCCCTTTGCAGACCTGCTTGTGTGAGAGCATTCGGGAAACGGGGCATTTTGCCCTGTCGAGAGTGGTGCAAAGGGAAGGATGGAGGGTACTCGGCTCAATACTGGGATGTTGCAGCTGGGAGTGGAGGTAGTACCGACAAGAGACCTATCGCTGCAAATTGCCTCGAGAGATGGGTTAGGCTCTCCCTGTTCCTGAATAATGGCCACAAAGAAAAGGATCTGTCGATCATTATGGTACTCTGTGTACCAAGCCGACATGAGCCGGTATTCCGAATCAATATGACCCGGTCGAGGCGTTGGGAAACATACTTACGAGAATTGGATGTCGAGAGTGTGACTGTCGTTGGAGTGAGCAGTTACGTGAAGGCCATGGGGCTGAGTGAATGACACAGGACAGTGCTGTGCTCATCAGACCATGCAAAAGGTTGAGTGTTTTGTCAAAGTCCACCACGTACGTAGCCTCCAGGGGAGAAGGCAAAAGGAGCCAAATCTCATTGTTGTGAAAGTGAATCTAATTATGCTGCGTGCTTCTCCATTGACATATAGAGAAAAGGGGGGGGAGAGAGACAAAGAAAGCCTCGAAAACTGCTTGGTAGCCCATATCGTATGTCTACCAAACCAAAACCCACAATTGACAATGACCCTTCCGCTCAAATACCAGCCATTTTCCACCTACGACCTTCTCTTTTTTCTTTCCTTTTAACAAAACTGCATATTTACGCCTGACCACTTGAACCACATCTCACACCCCTCAAGAGAATATAAAAATAGTACCAAGGCCCTTTTCGAGAGTCCACCCTTGCTTTCAATGCTTCACTTCAGGCTCCAAAGTAGAGAGAGAGATTGCTGTAGAGATGGCGAAGAAGAGATAGTGAGAGGAGTGAAGAGGAGATGCTTAGATACCAGCATCTTCCTGTATGTACACCTCGTCATGGCTCCAATAGTTTTGCCAAACATCACAAGTGTCGACCAACGCGGACGTGTCCGTGAAGGTGGCCATAATCTCATCCTGGCGTTCGACAAACTGTAAGCCCAGGCCTTCGCTCGAGTGGGCGGCGATGTGACAGTGCATCAACCAGGCGCCGGGATTGTCGGTCTTGAAGGCCATGATCATGTAACCGTTCAGAGGCACGGTGGCGACGTCACGCCTCGGCGGGTTCGTGAGGGTCAGGTCCACTGTGTCGTTCAAGGGGCCGAAGCCCTGGGCGACGACAAAGTAGTCGTGCCCGTGGAGGTGCATGGGGTGGGAACGGTTGCGGTGGGAGATGTCCTGGATGCCAAAGTAGACCCACTCGTCCGACACGCTCAGGGGGATGGCGTCGTAGTTGGTGAAGCCTTTTTGCGGGGTGTAGCCCGTGTTGGGCCAGGAGGTGTTGTGGTCGTGGATCATCAGGTCCGTCGGGGCAGAGAAGTTGACCCAGATGTAGGAGCCGTTGAGCGTGAACAAGAACCCGGCCGGCATGGGGACAAAAGTGTAGTTCAAGTTCAAGAGCGAAATGGAGTCCGGGGCGGGCACGTCCAGGGCCACGTGAGGGACGAGCTTGTCGTAGGGCTCGTCCTCGCAGTGGAAGGGGTAGTCGGTGGCCGGGTTGGTCGTCGTGGGCAGCGCCGTGGAGTTGGCGATGCCGGCGTAGCGCACGATACCCAGCGTGTTGTTCCACGCGTCGTTGTCGCAGCAGGATCGTTGCCAGATGGGTCGGAGCCAATAGTTGTCCGGGGGTGCATTGGCTTCGACGATGATGTCGTACCTCTGGCCCATGGAGATGATGAGACTGTCGGTCGTGTAGGGCTCGAGGGGCACAAAATCCATGGCGATGACCGTCAGGCTGTGGCCGTCAATGGCGAAGCGGAAGTGCGAGTACAATCCCGTGTTGACGAGGCGGAGGCGGTACTTCTTGCCAGACTCAAAGGTCATCTCGAACCGTTCCCCGACCGTACCTTTGCCCTGGCATTGCGTCGTGTTGTCCTGGTGGCAGTCGAAGACGTTGGTGCCGTTGATGAGAGAGTTGGCCTGCGAGGGGGGGCCGGTCGTCGGTCTGTCCCACCACCACTCGTTGAAAGTCGAGATGTGAGCCCAGTCCATGAGCATCAGTGCCCCCAGGTCTTCATCGTAGTTCGCGGTGGCTGGTCCATTGATCACGATGGGACCAAAGAGACCCGCCGAGTACTGGAAGCTAAAGTGCGAATGGTACCATGACTAGAAGGGGCGGGCCACCGCCGATATCAGCGTGCTGCTCGACCAAAACATAGCTTCGAGAGAGGGATAGGGGATAGGGGGGCCAGGAAGGAAGGGAGGCCTTGTTAGGGCTGACTTACCGATCCATACTGGGTTGCTCTCCATTTGTAGGTATAGGTCTGACCGGGAGCCTGAAGCATTTACAAGAATCCACCTGGTCAGTGATTATTTCTTGAGTGATGACTTTTGTGGGGTAAGGAAGTAGCAAGGTCAGCTCTTCAGAAGCAGACGTACAATCGGACACTGAGTTACACCCGGAACGCCATCGAATTCGTTGTTCTCCTGCTGCCTCAGGCCGTGCCAGTGGATAGTGGTCCCATTGTCTTGCATCTTGTTGGTCACATGTACGATGACTGCGGGCCGAAATGAACGTCAGTTTGTACTCAGTCAAAATTGTTCGCTATATAGCGTGGACCATCCATCGGGCCGGTAGCTTGTTTTACTTACCTTCGTCACCCCAGTCTGCGGAGATGGTAGGCCCTGGAATACTCCCATTGAAGACAAGAACCTGCTGTTCATAGCCCTAGAAATAGAGACACGCGCATCCGGGTCAGCGTTGTATTTCTCCATAGAGCACTCCTCAGATTTGAGAAGGAGGAGGAAAACTTGTGCTCACATCAGGGGCCAGTGTTGTATTCTCTGCGACCAACCAGTACTCTCGCGTTACACCCGTATAGGGAACATCATCGTACCAATTCGTGTCGATCGAGTAATCACCCCAACATTGTCTGGAAGTCGGTGAGTGTTCACAGCCTCCCTGAGACTCGACGTCAGATTCTGACAAAGTGTAACATGGTTTTGTGTCGTTGTAAACGAAGTCTCGAGGCTGAGCAGGACTCTTCGGCAATGAAGCCGCCTGTACTTGCGCAAGGCAAGCGGTCAAAGCAATTGCCACTGTCAAAGAATACATAGTGATCGTCAGTTACTTGCCTTCTGGATAGCGATTTCTAGATGGCAGTTGGCTCTTCTTCAACGTTATGTACCATGCTGTGTCACCTCGGTATGCAAGGAACCGGCATTTCAAAATTAGGGCCCTACGTTCTCCCAGGAGATATTCATTCTCGCGTCGTCATCAATAATTGCCCGTGGCACCCACCGTTCTTCGGGGTTGTCGAACAATGTACCTACCTCGTACTTGGTGGTGTAGTCCCTGAGCAGCATGGCATATGGTCGAGGGCTGAAACTCAAATAGGAAATCCGCCGCAGTTCAATGTCGAGGATTCATTCTTGAAGCTCTGGTGCGAGTGGTGAAAACGCCGGAGAATTTCGTGCATCGAATGATTTGGTACTCTGTAAGATTGGTTGAATGCTCGCCTTTGACCGCCGGCTAAAACCGTCCGAGATCGCAGCCACCAATAAGCAGTACTCGTGGATACGAGCAGGATATACGCCGGGAGATTCGGAGGAATGGGCACTGAGGATGAGATCCTCACGTTCATGTAAGTGTGCGACCAGGATGAGCACATGTACGACATGTGGTGACCTTGCAGCTCGCATGGGGGAATGACTGGTTTCCATTGAAGAATCAGGCCACTCACTGGGTGAATCCCGGACGTCGCAGGATCTGCCCCCTGGTGTGAGTGAGAACATGGTACTCGATCGATATCATTCATCTTTCCCGCGTCTTCTTCGTAGCTCTAGCGAGAGCGTGGCATCACCGTATCCGTAGGATGCCTGGGAAAGGGGTGGGTGTCTCTGTGGGCTTTTTCACCGAGAACCCTCCACCAGACCGATTACAGAGTAGCGTATATGCCGTACAAGACATTACAAGAACCTCTAAGCATGCAGAAGCTCTTACCGGCGCGCTTGGCTTCCTGCCTTGATCTGAGTCAGGTCTGCAGGCTTCCCATATCTTTATCCATCTGCCTGATAAGATCTCTGTGGGTCCATTGGGGGCTGCATATAGGACGCGGGATGGTCACCACGGGGCATAATTGGGTGGACCCCAGCAACTAAATATTGTTCTTTCATTCCCAACATAAGGACTCCCAATAGTTAGTTCAATCTTACGCTTTGGGTCCCTTTTCAACTTCCCACCATCGGTGCATTTCGCTGGGAGAAATAAATTTCACCATGTGTACGAGTACGGGATGGTGGATAGCTACCGTAGGCTTTGAGCTTATCAAACCATGTCGCGGGGGACTCAAAGTCGCTGACCATCCATCCTATTGAGAGCCTCGTCAGATCAAGATCGAGGCTCTGTTCCCGGTCGGTAATGGGCTGGAATGATTTCTGATCAGCATCGCAGTACCCGTCTTACTCAGTATCTGGTTACATTCGCCCTAGGGGCTGAGACAAGCCCCTATCAGATAGAATATAGCCATAATCAGTCAGATTAGATACTGGTTCCCTTGTTGAGGACAAGGCCACTCCTTAGCGTACGTCGATCATGCGCCATTCAAGCCACCAACTGCATAGGCTCTGGGTTACTCTCCCTTCCGCTAACAGAACGTGTTTCAATCGAATATCCAAGTTGGTTCTGCTAAGCATGCCAAGGGAGACGGCCCTGCATTTACTTCACGTTCTCGCTTAGAGGACCCTGACAGCGCATGCCGCTTGTCATTCTCGTTGAGATTTCATCTTCTCACCCGTTTGACAGTTGCGCATTTGCATGATATTGATGAGCTGTCCGAGCGCTACCGACGCACGACTCTGCGAGTCCTTCACAGGTGCTTGAAATATATCGGCTATTCAATCCTTTCATGGGGAGACCCCGGCGAACAAATGATAATCTCGCCGCTGAAACCAACCATAGGACACACTGACCTAGCGAGTGCTTCAAGCCTGCTCTAGCGTTTCCATGTCCGGGCAGTGAATGCGGCCCCTGCCACCGTGTGGCGCCTCCAACCTTTTCCCTGCATATCCGGCACCTTAGAAAGACAAAACAAGCTATCGCAAGAGCCGGCCGGAACGAAGTAGACAAAAATGAAACTGGTATTCCCTTAGTACCATAGATTGATTCGCCTACCCATAACGCCTTTCGTTTGAACAATGTCTATTCGATGAATCAAAGACGCCACTCCATTAAATTTGCAGACAGCACTTGCACACTAGCCTCCAACCCCTCCAACAGTTTGTGTAGATAGCTTGTGTATGTGTCGCCTTCTCGCATCTCCGCGTCACCTGGACATAGGCGTGGGAGAGACTTCTTGAGAGATGCCAGCACGATCTGGATCTTGGCCAAGATGCGGGAAAAAACGACACCGAGCACCAAGAGACTCTCATCTCCCTTGATTTCGTAGCTGCCCAAAGTGAATTTGGTATCACCTTGCTTTGGCGGGAAGTCGACTTGTTGTGATTTGCTGTTATGCCCGTGCATCCAGTCATGTGGATTCGATTGTGAGAACATCCGTCGTGACGCACCCTGTAAGAGCCGGGTGACAGCTCTAATGCTCATGGCTGATAATAGCAGGACTTCTCTGTGCTGGTCTTGTTGACATATGCGGCATTGCAGATATGTGTCCCAGGACTTCAACCCCTGTTCCACGCCATTCAGAACGACGTCAACTGGTAGCTCTGATAGCCCTTTCAGCAGTTCTTGGAGATGCGCAAGTAGCTTGGCGTGACGATGCAGACATTGGCACCTATTCTCGTCGAGGGATGCATGACTGTTGGGCGCCAGCAATGGTGAAAAGGCTAAGGCTAAGCCGTCGGCATCTGAAGCGGACATTCCAGAAGATTCATTCGAAAACCACGGCTGTAACATTGCAGGACTCCCACCAGCACTGTTACAATTCGTTGAGCATTTCGATTCAGTGCTGTTACTGTTTGTTGTAGTCTTTGAAAGCGGTTCGGAGGTAATGCCAGAAGAGCTTGAAAAGCCAATATCATCTTGTTCAATAGATTGTAGGATTGAATCTCTCAGAATCTGAGAGGGTGACATTGCGGAGAAATCTGCCTCGGTGGAAAGAGGAAAATTGTCGGGGAAGATCTGCATGCCACAGGAATGCATATCGCCTGCACCAGCGTCGGGATTGAAGCCAGAGCAGAGATCCATGGGGTCGACACTTAGATCGTTCGCGATCATTGGAAAAGGGAAGCTGTGTTGATAGACAGCCGCTGGGTCATGGATGCTGCTGGAGAAAGTAGGGAAGTCGTGGCCGGGGTTGAAGTCGAACGGAAGGCTGCTCACACATTTTTGACGTTGACCACGCAAGTCTAGGTGTGGGGTCAAGGGCGAAGAAAGACCAGAGGCAAAAGAAGAGAGAGACGAAGACGACGGTTCGGGGAATTGGTATGATGATGCATTGAGCTGATTCGGAGGGACTGAGATATTTCGAGGATCGGGGTAGCTGTTGGTATGGGCGTTGATGCTACTTCCGCTGTTGCTGCTGCTGTAGCTCTTGCTCAGTGATGTCCGTGATGATCCATTAGATTCGCTTCGACCATGATCGGCTTTCGTATTGTCGCTGCTTTTCTTGTTGCGTGTTCCTTTTGGTCGTCCAGCTCGGTTGGACTGGCTGTAGACGCAGGTACTTCCAGAACGCTGACATCGGGTACAAGGGCTACTGCCACAGCACTTGGTTTTGGCACCGTGGCAAGCATCACATGCTTGACGGAGCCTCTTGTTTAGCGAGGGTGACGGCTGGGCAGAGTCGTGAGGGAGTGTTGAAGCTGGAAACATGGTTGCAAAGGTGTCTTAGCGGTTTGTAGAAATGATCTCATCAGTAGCAAAGTGCAAGTTTGAAGCCTCTCTGTCTCTCTCTCCACAAATTGAGACTTTCGACTTCTCTTGTAGCATTGATCTGACAAGCATCGCGAGGTCGTCCGTGTCACCCATTCAACGCGTGAAAGTCGTCGAGACGCCGATTGGATGGGGCCATCGGTGATGGCATTGGACAATGCATACCCTCATCAGGACTGCAAAGCTCTCTGACGGACAGATGGGGACTGGAACCCAGGACGTTGGGGGCTGTTTACACAACGATACTGCGCCGCGTTGCAGATGGGAGTCCTCAAAAGTCAACTCTCTTTTTTTGAATCACCGACGACCAGCGGAACAAGCCAATGGAAATTCCCCAGCCCACAGCCGGTTCAGGGATCCCAGCTATACTACCTTGAGCAAGAGATCGTCTCATGCAAGCGCCGGCGCCCTACGAGAGGGAGGTCAAACTACTGCATCTTCAACATGTCAAGTGTCGGAGCTTTTTCTGTGACCAAGTTGACTAGGCTACGATCCTTCGCGATGCTCGCTTTACTATTTCCGTCTTATCTTGGGCCACTGACACAATGGCACCGCCGTCGGTGAACGTGGCGCACGGGAGGTACGACGGGAGACGCTTGATGCTTGACTAAGCCCAGTCCTCTTGCGAATAGGGGGGTCCGAGGGCATTCCTGTTCCGCAAAAATTATAGGACGCCAGCCTCACCGTCTTGGTGTTGCTCAGGCCTAAACGAAGCACACCTCATTCAACCCTATCCGAAGTCTCTGTGACACTTGTGACACCTGTGTCCTTGCACAGTTACATATTGCTGCATTTCCTATAGCAGGGACAGGGTGTCGTTTAGACATCCCGACAATTACGCTTTTACGATCCAGCTATGACTGTGCAGATGCCACATATTGACGGTCAGCACCACAGATCAGCTTTTAGCTGTTGATCGTTGGCCATGAAGGAATGAGCTCCGTACGTGCCTCTGTTCGTTGCCCAATGCTCAGTCTGATAGCCTACAGGGCTGCGACGAATTCGGGTTGATTACCGGATACTCTTGTCCTTTCCTCACCGGCCCAGCGATTCCATGCGAGATGGTAAAGTATCAGCATGCCGGTTGACCACTCTTATGAGCCACTTGTATATCATTCTGGTGCTCTGGTAGCAAGTTCTGACGGGGCTTGTGCGTGAGCTGGACGCCGAGATGCATTGTGCTGCAGGATGCTTTGCATGTTACCTTCAGGCAGGTGTAGGTCCAATGGGACACTAGACGATTATCTATCTGGGTGAAGCCAGTCGCGTCACGAGCACGACTTGCAGGGCTGCATTACACCTGCTATGTCGACGATGCATTCCTTGTGTACTGATGATCTGCAGGGACAAGCATCCCCTGGTAGCGTTGACCGTAACTTGTGTCTGGCAGGAATGGTCCACAATCCTTCCACAGCCAACTTGATAACCTGCAGAAGTCGGCGTGAACCTAGCTAGGATGGTCAGATTTCCAGATGAGATTGCCTTGTCAGATGAAATCGCCTGAGAATACGATAATGCAGGGAAGATCACGCAAGATGTACACTGCTCGTTTACTTAGTCGACCGTGTAGAATGTATGGCGGACTATTTATGCCTCTTATGCCATACATGGGGAAATTGGAGATTTCAATCTGCGACTTTTTTTTGAATCTCACAATCGAAGTGTCAGAACGCCATTCAATCGCGCGGCGAGTCTCTCAATCTTGTCTGGTCTGTTACAGGCAGAGAGCTTGTTGTCATCATGGCTTCCGAAGAATCTCACGAAGCTCCGGTGGATCTGACCGCAGATTTCAAGTCCTTTCAAGACCAGGTTCAGAGCGCGCTTGTTAATGTAACGAGAACAGCAGGCCGCGTTTCGAACGAGGATCTAGGCTTTCACCGCTCGTCCAGCGAGAAATTGTCTCGTGCTCTTGATCGCCAAAATGCTCATCTCTTGCGTCTCACGAACAAGTTGCTCAAGGCTGCCACTACCGACACGAGTATCAAACCCCCAACTCTTCAGAGCCCCGACGGGATTGATGACAATTGGCGACGAGTTGTTGACATAGTAGATGATCTTTTGGAGAAGGCAGACTCTGCTCTGGACGAGGTCTCTGGTGTCATCAAGCGCCACAGTCCGAGTCTGAAAGAGGGAGATGCGCCTTCACAGAATGCAAAACTCGCCAGAGATCGCTTTTCCCATGTGATGCAAAAACCACAAGTTCACTTTGAGAAAAAAGTCAATAACCATGAAACAAAGCCTTTCAAGCCTCTACTTCGTTCCAAGCCTCATGCGAAAGTGCCGCTTGAGGAGTGCGTTGGTGAGGAACAATCTGGGTAACTACCTTTTATCCTGTTCAAGGTCACCTTCTGACTGTCTCCCAGGTACAAGCACCCCTATGCCCCAGAAATTGAAGACTACACCTATCCACCCAGCGTTTATGAGACTAGTTCGCCCATTCCCTTCAATCCACCTGAAAACACGGAACCGATCTATGTTGACACCGAAGAAGGCGTGAAAGAAATGCTAGAAGAGCTAAAACAAGCCACAGAGATAGCCATTGACTTGGAACATCACGATACGCACTCCTTTATTGGTATTGTCTGCCTCATGCAAGTTAGCACAAGAGAGAAAGATTGGATCATCGATACCCTCAAGCCATGGCGAGAGAATCTACAGATGCTCAATGAGGTACTGGCTGATCCCAAGATCCTCAAGGTCTTTCACGGCTCAAACATGGACATGATCTGGCTACAGCGAGACCTCGGTCTATACGTTGTCGGCCTGTTTGATACATTCCATGCCTCTATGGCGCTACAGTTCAACGGAAAAGGCCTCAGGCACCTTTTGGAACGATTCGCCAACTTCGAGGCACAAAAACAGTACCAAACCGCGGACTGGCGGGTTCGACCTCTACCCAAGGAATTGATAGACTACGCTCGTTCAGACACGCATTTCCTTCTTCATATCTACGACAACATGAGGAATATGTTGATCGAGTCTTCCACTCCCAACGAGAATCTGGTTGATTACGTCCTGCGAGAGTCAAAGAAAGAATCTCTTCAGGTATACGAACGTCCAGTGTATGATGCAGAGACCGGACGTGGCTCCCTAGGCTGGCTGAATCTTCTCATGCAGCGATCAGTGTCTTTTGGACCAGAACAACTCAGTGTTTTCCGAGCAGTGCATGAGTGGCGGGATCGCAAAGCACGAGAGACCGATGAAGGATTACAATTCATCATGCCCAACCATATCATATTTCAAATAGCAGAAAGCATGCCGACTTCAGCATTCACCTTCCATGCCACGGTTCGTCGCAACACCAAGGCGATTTCGAATTACCTTCCGGAATTGATCGAGATTGTCAAGAAGGCCAAAGCCGAAGGAAAGGAAGGGAAGACTGTGCAGGAGGTCCTCAAGCATGCCGAAGACGTGTATGGTATTGTCCCTCGTCGTGGGCCGAGATATTGGCCACGGCAACAACAACAACAACAGACTACGTTCGAAGGTGTAGGTGCCACGTTGCAAAAGCTCGTCGCTACTGCTGCCAATGAAAGTGTGTCGTCTTCTGCTTCCCTGGCAGCTGACATGCCTATTGCCAAGCGATCTACTTCTTCCCGCTTTTGGGGCACAATTACACCACAGCATGCACATATCGCGACCGAGACTACTACGGCTTTCGCTGCTTTAGCGTCTGTCCTTCCACTACACACCGCTCACAATTCAGACAAGCTTTCCCAGCAGCCCACAGAACCAGCTCCCGATAATGCTTCGCAGCCTGCAGTGTCTGCCGAAAAAGACCAGCCTCAACCTTCTCAACAACCCAAGTCCAAGGAGATATTCACCTTGAAAGAACGCTCGCGCTCCAGGAAACGTAAAGCAGGCGAGACTGACACGATAGAGGATGAACCTGCCACTACTTCACCAAATGTGGCTGACGACTCGGTTTCCATAAACCAGGATCAGGAAGTTGCTCACGAAGCAGCACAAACTCCTGACCCAGCATATGCAGACAAACGCCTAGCAAAGAAACAGAAGAAGGCGGAGAAGAAGGCCCGGAAACAGGCAGAGAAACTCGCTGCAGAACAAGCTGCTCAAGAAACCAAGCCTTTCGATTACGCGGGAGCAGAATCCTTGCTGACACCAGCTGCTCAACCGGCACCAAATACTCATGGTACAAAGAAGATGAATCCGTTTGCGAAAGCGCTAGACACCGGTACCGGGGCGAGGCGAAGCAAGATGGGTAAAGAGATGAGCGGAAAGTCTATGACATTCAAATCGTAAAACTTATTTCTTCAGAGCCTGAAGTGGATTCGATTTGGACTTGGACAAAAAAAGGCCGCTTATACTTAAGCTTTGGGAGGGTGAGATTGATCTCTACTGGGAGGCGAATACGCTGGCTTATTTTTTCGGTCTATTATGCTCTATGTCGTTTTGTGCTGCGGAGAGTTGCCTGGGTCTCGTAAGGATCGATGATGAGACGATGGAATGCCTTGGACTTGACTGAGCAAAAATGGGGACAGAGGCTCTCTCTCTCTCTCTCTCTCTCTCTCTCTCTCTCTCTCTGTCTGTCTTTTAGGGGCTCGTTTAGTCGTAGAATAACGCCGGTATGGTACGGTGCGGACAAGGTCCAAAAGTCAAGCATTAGACAAGCTTGAACAAGCTCAAATACAAAGTAAGCATTAGTTATGGGCATAAGCACGGCGGCAATGAAAAGACATATGGAGTGATTAAGATTATGATATAAGGGACGGAGTATGATTACTGTACTTTCGAATTCCATCCAGGAGGGTTATTTGTGGTGGTGATGGACGGGCCGAATCCGAGATTCTGGGTAGTATTTGTTTCTCCTTTCCGGTTTCTTTGTTTCTTTGCAGTGTCTATTTCTATCCCAAAGTACCTGTACAAAAATCGCCGAAAGGTGGTCCCTAGGTACATGCTTGTGTCCTTACTCACATGTGACTCCACAAGTACCTTGGTGTTTGTAAATGTGAGTCTTTGGGCCTTTTTTTTCCCCCAGGACGTTGGGTACATACAGTACGGAGTATACTGTGACAGACCGGGTCGGTGGGGCCCGGGGGTTGGAAGTCAACAAAAGTGGAGTGTGAGTGGTCCGGTATTACCAGAGGTATTTATCACTCCGACACCTGAGACAAGGAGTTAAGTCGAGGGCCTAACAGGTGATGCCTTGACAATCAGATGCCTGACGGCTTGCCTCGGCGGGTTGGAGCCAAACAGGTATGTATAGGTGCTGTACTGGTAGACAGATGTTTCACCTGCCTACGAGTAGGTACGGATACCTCGTCTAATTGTAATCCGTCGTGACCCTCTCAGAAATCAATAAATGAAGAAAGTAAAATGATACGATCGCAGCCATCATCCAAATCGACACCAACAGTAAATAGAGCGAGGAAGAGAGAGAGAGAGAGAGGCCAACACACTTTTACATCAGTTTACAGTTTCCCCCTTTTCTGCCCCCGATGAATGTAAACAAAACACAACGGCGAATGATCATGTCCAAAGGAAAATGAGAAATGCATCAAAGATTGCACGAGTCCAGATGGTAACAGGAGGTGACGAGACAACGAAGCTGCATGAACAATAGGTCCAAGGTTAGTTGTGTTTGGTACGCAACAAGCACCTGGCAGACATAAACACAGACGGGTAGGTACACCAGTCCGCATATGCAAAGTGCATTGATGAATTCAATTGTCGATTCTCGAAAAGAACCCTGCAGGATACACACACAAAACCCCGACATGAAATATCAAGTTCCAAAAAGAAAAACAGAATCTTCTCGCTCTGTAACGCCGAAACCCTCTCTCTACTATTCTGGATATGAGACTCGGGAATCCTGATTCGTGTGTGCATCATCAGCCTGACCTCATGTGTGAATGATAAGACGGCTGTGATTGTAGTAGTGGTAGTAGAAGTAGTTATTGGTACGAGGGCCACACACGCAAAGTAAGAAGTGTGTATACCAACTGAGATCTGCAACTCTTGTTTCTCTCTCTCTCTCTCTCGCGCGCGCGCGCGCATCAAAACCAACCACAACTTCTTTCTTTCTACAGTGCGAGCTCGGCCTGCATCCTCTTCAATTCTTCTTCTTCGTCTTCTTCTTGCGATGTTTGTTTGACTGTCGCGAGATCGTCAGTGTTACTGTAAATTGTGGGCTCCCATGCGGATGATGACTTACTCGGAGCATTTGAGACGGCAGGTAGTCTATTGACTTCTCCCGTGACGGGTGTAGGACCAGTGCTGATCATCCTCTCATCCATGGCCTCTTGTTCGAGGCCTTCCAATTCTTCTTCGAGATCCGCCTCGTCGATGGGCTCGCCGATGGGTGCATTCGTAATGGCACTGGCGATTTCTTCCCCGAGGGCATGTTGCTCGCGTAGTTCGTCCATTGTCTGGTCGACCTTGTCGATCGTCAGGTTGCCGTGGATCTGTTTCATGGCCGCGCCTGCGTTCTTCATGGCGTTGAGGGTCTCTTGGTTGATGTTGGCGGCCTCGATGGAGTAGATTTGTTGTTCGATCTGGGCGATCTGTGCCGACGTCTGTTCGAGGGTTCGCTCGTGAAGCTTCTTCCGTCGCAAAGCAGCTTTTGCGGCTGTACACCATTTACAAATGTCATGTCAACATACTTGTATCCTCGGTCTGAGCGGGGGTTACCTGCTGCGGCGCCTTGCTTACCGGTTTTATTCGTCGATATGTTCTTTCTTGCTATGGCGTCTTGTTCTGCCATCTGGCTTTCCAAATGTTTTTCTCGTTTCTGTAACATGTCCAGCTGCTGCCGCAGCTTCAGGATGGCGTTCTTTGGTGCATCTCTTCTCGCTTGGGCTGCTGCCCCTCCAAACCAACTCCACATATTGAATCTTGACGGCCGACGACAGCGTTGGCTCGACGACTATCGGGCGAGGGTACGAGGCGCGGTTCGCCTAGGCGGGGAGTGAAAAGCAAAAGGTCTATCCGGTGGGTTGGACAAAAGGACTCGCTCTGCCTAGGACGGCGATTGTTATCGCGTGGGCAAATGATCGAGGATCCGACGGCTCCAGGAACTCGGCTGGACGATAATGAAAGGTAGAAGTCGTAAGTGAGAGAGTTAGGGAATCAATCTTATACACTAGGGCACGAGGAGAGATCAGATGGTGGACGAGAGGCGGGCTTTGATGAGTTGCCTGGGAACGAATCTGGAAGAGTCCAAGTGCATGACATCGTTGGTTTGCTCATCGGCGGTGGCTCGCGGCTGGCCCAGAAACCGAAGGTTTGCCGAGCACTAACACATGAATTTGCCAAGGCACTATCCGGACTAATGTTTGCAACGAGGCTGACCTGGCGTGAGGCTGAACTTGATTCATCATTATTACATCGAGATCTTTGGCCACCAAATACTCGTCATCGTACAACTGGCCTAACCAAAGCAAAAGTCGTGATCCCCTTCCTGACAAGCATGCCGTCGCATGTCAATAACTTCTCCCCACCATAGTTCCTGGTCGACCATGATTTGGCTGGCCCAGACTTCTGCCAGAATCTCCGCCGTCGTGGGAAACATCTGATACCCGAATACTCCGTACCATCGCTCACAGTATCCGCGTATGAAATCCTTGTGCCGTTGATCATCGGTCTCGGCACCAGCTAGAAATATCGGAAGTAGTAATTGTTTCAAAGTGTCGGACGACGTCCGTATGGAGATGACGTGGTCCAGACACAGTCGGCTCAGATACTTTAGTCTGGCACTCCTTCGTGCCACGGGTACATTCTGATCCGGGAACACTCTGATGGCGTATATCTGTAACGAGTATCGAATAGCCTCACAACAGTGATATCGATCTCTCGCCTCTTGTAATTTATCTTCATCCGCATCTTCGGCTTCGAGGTCTTCCTGCAGAGGGCGATGGCCCTTTAAATTCGTCTCAATTTCGGTCACGATTTTTCGTAGTGTCTTTTGGGGCATAGCTTGACTGTTTACTTGCCCAGCAAGATGGGCAAATTGCATTAGTGGGACCAGCAATTCTCGAGGAATGCCAATGAGATCAAAAAATGTCCAGAAGGGCGAACTTTCCCACTGAAGGACTGCTTCGAAATATGTGTAGGGCATGACTGGAGCACGTCGTGATAGTAATGCCACAACGGCGTCCCACCTCCATTGTGTCAGTGGTGCCTGGAGAAATAGTAAGATGAACAACTTACCATAATAGCATGGCGACTTGGGTTTGGGTCCTGAAGGACAGTGACCATGTGTTGACGCCACCGGCGAGTTCAAGCAGTGCATATGCGTTACTCAGGTGAGTCCTCCATGCGTTCAGAGCTGACTGGACAGTCTGGGAGAAGGAATTAGCATTCGACAGGTTCAGTGTAGTCAATGCCCGAAAAGGGGGGCCCGGTCTCACATCAATGCACCACAAGGCAAGTAAAGTGTCCAGAGCAGGTAAGCTCTGATTATGAATATGTGAACTCTGTAAAGCTTCTTTGTAGAGCACCATCGATTGGTTCTTGTGTTCGTAGAATTCCAAAGGAGGCGCTTTATCTTGCCGATAATCCTTCCGGTGGTGGCATGCGAGCGCAATGATCGCATGGAATAGATGTTTTGAGCCTCTCGACGTTTCCCTGCGATACCTGAACGGATTGATATCCAGGTCGATGGTGATCGGGTATTTGCAAAATTCCTGGTCGTCTACGGAGTAATAATGGATGAGCATAAGCTTTGCCAGAGTCAGCAACACCACTTACATCTGTCCAGCAAAACTGAAAATTGATCCACCACATTGGCATACTGTACATGGGGCGGGATGGAGTTCATAAATATTTGGTTCATAGCAAAAGGCGTCTGATGGTGGGCTTTGGTAAGGGCCATGGAATTTTGATACTGGCCTGCATCGACAAACTCAGGCCAGGGTGGTGCGAAAGTTGGATTGCGTTCTTCATCAACAGTCCACTGATCGGTGACATACCCAGAGGTTAGGATTGGGGGTTCTTCTGTCGCTCCCCCAACAGACCAGATGGTGTAGGTGCCGTCTTCAGGATACATCGTTTGTGTAGGATTCATCATGGTCGGAGGCGCATACTCCACCCCAGTGGCATCCATCATCTCTTCCGGCTTGAATGATGATCCTTGAGCGTTCATATGCCGATTTTCCTGAAGCGGAAAGTCTGCAGTCGTCGTTGTCGCTGTATTCGACAGCGGCTCTGGCCGGGCATCTTTTGAAGTCACTGAGTTCTTTCTCACGTGCTTCTTCCTCTGCTTGGGCGGCCAACTCGTCACAAATGCGAATTCACGCTCAGCCTTTCTCGAAGGCAGAGCTCTCTTTATCACCCCAGCATCACTCCCCGACGGCTTTGGACTATCACTGGCTTCCGCACGTGCTGGCGCTTTATGTCTCCGTCGACTGTCGTCCCCTCGGCGGGATGGCAGGTCACTGCCTTCCCAGACTAAACGTGTCTGAAAGCCGGCGCATTTCTCCCCAGCTTCCTGGCAAGTCCTGCATATCGGCCGTTGTCTGTCACACTTTCTCTGTTTTGACCTGCACGAGTGACAATCCGACTTCGCGAACGCCAGAGAATTCGTTCTCGGCGGCACATTAGTCATTATGCGCGCAGAGTGCGTGCTTGAGCAAAGTGGCGGTGAATGGCTTCGCCAGCGACACTACTAGTGATGATGTTGTTGTTGTTGTCGTCGTTTCTTGACTAAACGGTTCTCAATATTTGCTGTCTGTCACGTTCTGGAAGGTAGTGTTGTTGAAGGATCGTCGGAACATGACGTTTGAAGACCACAGCGACCCTTTTTTTCTCAAATCGTTTAGACGAAGATCTGCCAAATTGAGGGCAATGTCGGAAGTCAGCGCGGAGCTCGGACCAAGGTCATTAGGGCGTCTTTTAGGTGGCCATCAAGCAAGCCTAGCAGGAGTTTGGCAACGCCCTTTTGAGCCTCCCGTCACCCCCCTTCAAGAGCTTGGCCCAGGCAGCAAACGCCTATTGTACGGAGTACTCGTACCAGTACTTTGAAGAGACACCCGTCTCCACTGATAAGGGGGTCTACTGATGCACCTCGCCGACTTAGTAACGCATTCGATGCTGTTGGGTGAGTCTGTCCCCGCCACATCCTCTCTCTCCTCCCTACAAGCACAGTCCAGCGCTCATACGATTGTGGGACCCACCGCCTGGACGAGCCTCTCCGGCGGCAACTTGCACTCTAGCTCGTTTAGTTGGAGACACCCAGAACCTCTCAAAATCTCGCTTAGATGTTACAACGGGGGAGTGAGCACGACAATCCTTCCCCCGATCACACGCACACTCACCACCACGGAGTACGCGCGGAGTATACAAGAGCCAAGGGCCGAGGGAATGATTGTGCTGCAGTGCATTAACAATTTCCTGCCGTAACAGGCTGGTCTATGTAGTGTATTAAATAAACGAGAAATTCCGCAGCGCGACTCTATTTGCCGCTATACCGTCTCTCGAGCCAACGAAGAGGGGCATACGAAACACCGGTGAAGATGAAGGCCATGATGACCCCGAGTTCCCCTCCCTTTTGGCCAATTTGTCTCGCAATAACTCCCACGTACCAGGTCTGGTTCATTCCGAGTACGGCGCCAACGATTCCTAGTAGAAAACTGAGAACTGCCGCGGCACCCCAGGGTAGCTTCGTTTTGTCGGCGTAACTCTCGACATTGTAGCCAGTCTTTCTGCGGAAGATGAGGTCTTCTTGCAAAACAATCATAAACAAGGCACTTGTCCAGTACCCAATCACACTCAAAAAGTTGGAGATGATGGTCATGAGATGAGCTCGGCCTGCAATTCCGCAGATGGCGTATATCAGGACCGCGACCAGGGTCCAAAACAGTCTCGGAATGATAGCAAAGTAGGTTGTCAGAGCTTGAATGGACAAACCCGCAGAGTAGGTATTAGGAATATTGTTTGCAACGAGTCCTAGTACTAGTTAGAAATTATCTTCAAGCACTGATGCGCAGATTCATCCTTACCGAGGAAGAATACCACCATCAGGAATGTACCAAAGCCATGGACAGGCTTGAGAGCAGTGCCAATGAGGGCACCATAGCCCTTGGTAGTATAAACCTCCATCCACTCCGGAGTGCTGCCGAGAGAACCACCGATGGCCAGGCCAACTGATTGGAAAAAGACCATGGGAACGGTGATGCCGACCCAGGTCAGCGAGAAGGTCTTCCAGCGCGGCGTCGTGGCAGGGTAAGTGATGTAGTAGTCAGACGCAATTGGCAAGAATCCAGAAGCAGAGCCAAAGCAAATCGTGATCATTGTCAAGAAACTGCCCGAGAAGGTCGCTCCGTGGGACACGTTCGGTGCACCAGAATCAAAGTGTCTCGAGGCAACGGCGCAGAGGATGATGGTCGCAATGAATCCCGGGATGAAGGCGTATCGCTCGTAGAAGTGGACAATGTTGTAACCGAAACCAGCAATAACGAATGAAAGGATGGAGAGAATGATGATGCCCACCACAGTCGGACATGAACCTCCGGAGATGTAGTTGAGAATCTGACCGCCAATGACCACTCCGACGAGGCACCACCCGAGCTCGGTGATGGCGTTCACCAGAGCAACGAGCTTGCCTCCGTACCAGCCAAAGGAGAATCGAGCGAGAATGATCTGTCGCAGGCCAAGTCGTGGACCGAACGTGCCCATGAACGCAGCACAAGCAGCTCCCAGGCTTGTGCCGAAAAAGACCGCCAGGAAGCCATTCGTCACGCTAAGGCCGAGCCATGAGGGACCGGCGAGTATGCCAGTCGCGACGGTAGAAATGACGGCAGAGCAAGAAAACCAGAGAAACATCATGTCAAGATAATTGAGGTTCTCATCACGTTCCGTGGGCAAGACACGCTCGATACCACGACTCTCGATGTGGAGTTTCCGGTCCAAGAGATTCGAGTAGTGCTGGACAGTTTGTAGCCATCGCGGACCACGATTTTCGAGCTCACCAGCACCCAGGCCTCTCAGCTGGCTGACTCCTTCCGGCTGGGTGGTTGTCTTTTCAGACATCATGCCTTTTTCTGCCTGGGATCCGAGACTCGCCGCCTCAGCAGGTGATGCTGTAGTAGAGTCCGACTGTGTAGATGATCATCAGCCTTTTGCGTTTAAACAACATTAACTTTGGAGTACGAACCATGGAGTTTTCAATTGATGGATGAGCCTGCGTTCAAGGCTCTGAAGTCCTACCCTGATTGCCAAAGGGTACCGATGTCCTGAACTTTGTGCTGGATGAAGAGCAACAACCATGAGGTTCAGACGTCTAGTGACAAGGAGGCATAATATGTTCCTCGTGGCAATGGAACACGGCATAACCCGCCAGAAGCGAAATTCCTTACTAGGCAACCCAATTTCAGTAACGCGCTCTTATCATTGCAGACGGACCGGCACTGCGACTCGTGTGGTTAGTAAAAGGATCTAGTCCTTGTTCACTAGCAAGTAGTTAGCTCTCTTGCCGCTCTTGCGAACCAATATCATGTCGATGTTTATATTGTGCGAGGCTGGTTGTGGGTTTCGAATATATGGTCGCTGCTTTAGCACAGCATTGAGGTGAAAAGTGAGAGGACTAACAGAGTGCGACAATCCCAGTCTAGCACGATTGCTGCCCGTTCCCCGGCTCAACTAGCAAGGGTCTGGGTGCATCCAGTCTGCATGTCGAGAGCCAGTGCTTCGACGGACTCCCGTCAGGGTTGGCGCTCATCGGGTGGTCGGCTTGTCACCTGGTGGAATGGGCAGAACTCGGTTGCCTCCAGACACTTCGGTGGTCTGTGTGCCCCACGAAGGCATACAGTATTCGCCCGCTATTGAGAACCAGTTCTCATTACCTCGTTGGGCAACCGAATATTCGAACATTCGATAAGCGAAAACATCCCTTGTCCCAAAGTCAGGTGCCCGAATTTCCAGAACAGATGCCTTTTGGGAAACCGAACACCGAGCCAGGCTCCGTTATGTTGGACACTTTTGACTTTGCCTATGCAACAGAATACTCCTTGCGGTGGACTCCATCAGTGTAATTCCCGCTTTGGGAATATTTCAGCTGCTCGTTATTAGGGGTCCCGTATTCTGGTAGGTTGAATTTGAGGATTAAATGTGTCGCGTCTCGTATACTTGCGCTGAAGAACGTTATTACAAGCGCCGGAACCGTCTTTCTCGTCGTTGAGCAGGAGTCTTCCGTCCCAGGGATTTGGTTCCGACAACGTCCCTTCCACTTTTGTTTGCGCGACGATGGCGCAACAAACCCCTTTGCCTGTGATTGATATTTCGCCTTATCTAGACCCTGCATCGACACCTGCTCAACGTGCAATCACAGCCAAAGATGTCGACAGTGCCTGTCGAGAATATGGCTTCTTCTACCTGGTTGGGCACGGGATAGACGAAGGTCTACGACAAGAGATGCTCCGTTTGGGCCATGAGTTCTTCTCCTTACCCCAGGCCGAGAAGGAACAGATCTCCATCTTTAACAGCATGGATCGAGTCCGCGGATACGCTCGACTTGGGGAGAATGTGACCTCTGGGAAAAGAGATGTTCTCGAGGGATACGATATATATCGAGAGTTTCCTGACCCTTCCTCGAAGATGCTTCGGGGTGCGCAAATATGGCCCTCGCGACCTGCCTCCCTCAGAACAACGGTCCTCGATTATGTGTCCAAGTTAATACCTGTCGGCCAGGCATTGATGCGAGCTATGGGCGATGCCTTGGGAATAGAAAACGGTGCAGAGGCTTTTGAGGAGATTGTTAAGGATCCTTTCTGGGGCCTGAAATTTAACGGTTATCCTCCTCTCTCGACACCAGACCTCTCGGAACAGGAGAAGGGCATCTCTTGTGGCGAGCATACAGATTATGGAGGTTTAACATTCCTACTTGCTGATGATCATATCAAATCAGCTTTGGAGGTCGAAGCAAAGGATGGAGATTGGATCAAGGCTGATCCCATCCCTGGGGCTTATGTTGTGAATATTGGTGAGTTCGATCAAGAACAAAGATAAAACGAAGAAGAACAGGGTACTGATTCCTCGCAGGCGATATGGTCAATGTTCTCACAAATAATCGTTACACTGCAACCGTCCATCGGGTGATTCACCGGGGCGACACACCGCGAGTTTCGATTCCTTTCTTTTTTGAACCATCTCTTTCTACCTTGATTAAACCACTCCAGGGTTGTGGAGATGATAACGTTAATGAAAAGGCTGCGGCTAGCTACTATGAACATATGTGCCACATGCTGTAAGTCAAAGAGGTGCCCTTTACTACTTCTATATCTAACATATGACAGTTATGATGGACGATTTGTAGAAAGTGGCAAAGAAGTAACGGAGATGCTTGTAAACGAAATATCGTTAAAAGGTTGAAGTGGTCGAGTCTGTATAAAATAGCATGGATTGGACGACTTTCTTTACGGTCAACATAGCTAATGTGTAACTCGAAAATCCGTCAACCTGGGGACGGGGGAAGGTGTAAACCCCCTTCCTGAGTTAATTCGAAAACTACTGTAGAAATTGTGGTGTAATAGCAATAGGCAATGCATGGTGGAAAGGCTCGAGGCGTGGGTAACTTGGTGGATAGCGGACGGTCCTCTTGACGTGCCCTGCTCCACACCTTCTCCGTTGCATGGATCTGAGAAAGGGCCCAACGCCCAGGGTACTGGTCCCTATTAGCCTGAGCATATCATAAACCTTCTCAAGCCAGTCCAGTCCGTTTTACTACCAATTTTTTCTTCCTTCTCCCAATATAAAGCATTTCGAATCGTCACAGCCAACAATCCTTTGCTCAAATACAATAGACAGAATGGCGACTCCAACTATCACGTTAAAGCCTTCCGGCCAGAAGGTCGCTCAAGTGGGATTTGGTCTATGGAAGGTAGGTCGAAATCCTGTGGGCTCAATACTTCAATCACTAAACAATGCACAGGTGCCGAACGACAGCACGGCAGATGTTGTTTATGGTGCCATCAAGAACGGTTACCGCCACTTTGATGGTGCCTGCGACTACGGTACGTTTGTCGGAGAGCTACTGTTTTTTGTTTTTGTTTTTGACTTACCGTTCAACAGGAAACGAGAAGGAAGCTGGCGAGGGTATCAACCGAGCCATCAAGGACGGCTTGGTAAAGAGAGAAGAAGTATTCGTTACCACAAAACTCTGGGCAACGTTCCATTCTCCGTAAGTGAAAAGAAAGTCCGACATGCCATCGGCCGGAGAATCAAGGACTAATTCTTCTGCGATAACTAAGAGAACATGTCAAGCAAATAGCAAAGAAGCAACTTGCCGACTGGGGTCTAGAGTATTTCGACCTCTATCTCATCCACTTCCCTCTCCCACTTCAATACGTCGACCCGGCCGAGAGATATCCTCCCGGATGGTCGATTGCTGCTGACAAGTGGGAGACGAAGACTGCCGCCATTCCCCTTGCTTCGACCTGGAAGGCAATGGAATCTCTCGTCGATGAGGGCCTCGTCAAGAACATCGGTGTCTGCAACTTCCAGGGTGGATTGCTCATGGACCTGATCCGCTCAGCCAGGATCCAGCCAAGCATGCTCCAGATCGAGCATCATCCTTATCTTGTGCAACCTCAGTTGATGGACCTGTGCAAGGATCTCGGTATTGCCATCACGGCGTACTCAAGCTTCGGACCTTTGAGCTACCGTGACCTGCAGAGTCCCAAGGCCATGGGCACTTCATTGCTCTTTGAGAATGACGTGATTACCTCCATGGCAAAGAAACTTTCCCGAACTCCGGCTCAAGTTCTTCTGAGATGGGCGGTGCAACGGTAGGTCTACCCTTCGGATGTGCACCGACAAGGCTGACACGAGGAATTACAGTGGTCTAATTGTCATTCCCAAGTCGAACGATGCAACGCGCCAGAAGCAGAACCTCGATCTATTCTCCTTCGAGCTTTCTTCGCATGAGATGGACAACATCAACTCTATGGACAAGGGCTTGCGCTTCAATGATCCGGTAAGTTACTGCTTACAGCAAAGATATATGTGATGTGGACTAACACAGTGTCAGGGTGACTACTTGAACCCCCCTCAAAGAATCTTCGCTTAAGATTCTCCAGACCACCAGCACTGCAAGGTCTCTTTTGTCAATCAAAAGTAAGACGTCAAAGCTGGACTGCATTACCCAGCAGAATAGCCAACACCGGCAATATTTGGTTGTTGGACATCATAGCTTGTGCCATTACAAAGATGAAGATGTATCTTAGGACCAACTGAATGTTTGACCACAACCCATTTCTTGCCCTCTAGCGAACAGTATGATGCCGCAGGAGATCACGAATAGAACCTATATTGCTTTCGCATGCATGCATTGAATGATGTTCCCTCAGCTGGTTTTTTAATTCGGCGTGGCCCGGATGCTCAATCTGGTGATCTTCGGGCGCCGCCTTTAGATGGCCAAAATTGTCTCGCGTTGTTTCGTGATGGTGACAGCGACGTGCGTTTGTCGTAGGGACTTTGGTAAATCGCATCTGCTTCCCTGCTCGCGGCAAAGAAGTTTTATTCAGCAACCATTTCTACGGGTAGACTCTTGTTGATACTTTAATTCTCTAGGGTTGTCTCTCGTGGGCTTCACAACTCGATCATGACTTCGTGGTAATGAACGACAGCTCGACCAACGGGCCAGTCGCGTCCGTGTTTGTCTTTCTTCATGAAATTGCCTCTCTACCACCTGAAACCAAGGTGAGACTCTTAGGCTGGTATGCTTCAAGCATCAACCAGCACCCTTGGTACTGACTTGACCCACTCCAGTGTTGTGGACTACGACATAGTCAAAGGACAGCTCGTACTAGAGCACGCCTATCCAAGCCACATCCGACCTATTCCACGAGTTTCGGTCGATGTAAAACTCATCCTCGAGACAGTTGATGCATCCCTACTCAGAACGGGTGCTTGGGTCAACATCATCGGCTACTCAAGACTCACGGGGCCAAAGAGCCGCAGAAACAAGGCAAAAACACAGCAGGGGTCAAGAGTTGAAATTCCTTCCATGCAAGCAGTTTTGATGTGGCCTGCGGGAGCTCTCAGAGTAGAAGACTATGAGATCACTCTCGAGGAACAACGATCGGCCCAAAAACAATCAAAATCACTTCATAAGTGAGCGTCTTGACCGGCGTCGTCAATACTGCTAAGACGAGGCGCTCGGAAACCGAGACAGCTTACTATCATTTTCAAGCCGGTGATGCCAAAGATTATTTCATGATCTCTGATTGGATGCAGATAGACAAGCATCTTGCCCACAACGCACTGCGCGAGGGGGAGTTGCTGGTGTGGTCAGATTGTCAATTCGCCTGCTAAGACCCGGGATCCCCTTGGGTCTGGATGCCTCTCTACGACTGTGGCCGGGAAAGTCAAGGACTTCCCACGGGGCGAGAGTTCGTGATGGTGAGGGCTGTCCGGGGCCAGAACCGTTCAGAGATCTTCGTCTGCTCAGGCAACTAGAACACTGTCCCTGCCACATTACCAGATGGTTCCTTTTCGGCCGGATCATTCATCACACAATTTTCAAGAGACCCCATAGCCTTGAAGATATCAGAAACCAAAGCGAAGCTGGAAAGAGGTTGAATCCACCATCGTCGTCAGATGGAGAGAAGTTGTCTGAATGCCAGAGCGAATATCGTTTCTATTCTCGACGCCATCTATTTCCAAATGTATCATCCATCTACTTACTGTAGGTCAAAATGTCTTACTGTGGCTTGTTCTCGCCACCATCAAACTTCTGCATTTTCTTACGTGTTCAGACTGGACCCTGAATTGGGTTCGTCAAGATCTCCCGAAGGGGACTAAGATTCGCTTTGCCTATATCACCAATGTCCGTGCCATTGCATATCCCAATCACTTACATCTCTCATGCTGCCCTAAAGCCTGCTTCATCGACCCAGACGCCAATTCCTACGCAACCCAAGTCGAAAGGCCTCAATCGGCAATACTGCGGTCTACCTTGAGGGTGCTCTCGCTCACGACTATCTGACTCGTACAACTCGGAAACCGGTGGTAACCAACACAATGATTTCCGATATCGACCTGGCCTCGACATCGAGCCTGCCACCACCTCCAACTCCCTCGTCAGATCAAGCCGGTTCTACGATGACAACTGCAGCAGCTCAGTCCCCCGCCGTGTCTCGACTAAGCGAAATGGCCATGCAAAGCAGAAAGTCGGTTCTCTACTCTTCAGGCGACTTCCGAAACAGCTCCATACCGGAGTTGCGCGACATGAAAGCCGACATGATGTGCAACTGGCTGTACCAACAACAGTTGGAGCGGATGTGGTCGACCAATGGCCTGGAGGAGGGCGTGGTTCTGAAGAAGACCAAGGACGACTACAAGTGTGCCCCGGCCGACCTTTTGAGTCATCGGGATGGGTTTTTTGATGCTGTACAGAAGCTCAATGTCAAGGTAATACTGAACAACCCTTTTACTCCATCGTTTTTCCCGACGAGTCAAGATGTTTTCTTGTTGGTTTTTCTGACTATGCATGTATGACATTCCTAGTGTGCAATGACCGTCAACACGCGCATCATCAAGCTCTTCCTACAAGACGACAATCTCAGTTACGTTCCATTGGAATCGGGTTTACGATTGCAGATCCTGCCCAGCATCTCACACCTGCCTCAATGCCAGAAACACCACTTTGCAGCTTTCATCCGAGACCAACAGATCCTCATCGTGTGGGACGACGATCCGAACCACGTCCTCAAACGAGTCCAAGGCATCGAGGAGCAGCTCATCAGTATGGTGTGGAAGGAAGAAATGGACGATGACGAGTCCGTCGGACCGGTGGGCGGGGGAAGTGCGATGCCCAGCACCACCCACTTGAACCCCGACAACGACGGCGGTTCTTCAGATCTGGAGCAACAGAATCAAGTTGGTGCGGTCGCTCCTCGCCGTCAGGTGGTCTTGATCCAGTCGATCCTCACGGCCGTCACGCTCGTCCTGCTCGTCGTTGCCATCGGCAGTGGCTGGCGGCAGATCGCCATCGAAATCATGGTCGACAAGAACTGGATGCGCCTCGCTTTCTTGCTGGTCGTGCCGTTCCAGTGCTGGCTGGCTTTGTTCTTTATGCAATCCGTCTCCGGTTGCGTCGCTCAGATTGTCGGTCCCATCAGCCAGATGAACGCCAACACAAAGTTCTTTTCCGGCCAACCGCCACCCCGGCTCGCGCGCTCGGCCGTCCTCCCGCACGTCACGATCCAGTGCCCGGTGTACAAGGAAGGCTTGTTCTCGGTCATCGACCCGACGGTCAAGTCCATCAAGGCCGCCATCTCGACGTACGAGATGCAGGGCGGCACCGCCAACATCTTCATCAACGACGACGGCATGCAGCTGATCCCACCCGACCAGGCCCGGGAGCGCCGCGAGTACTACGACGAGCACAACATCGGCTGGGTGTCGCGTCCCAAACACAACCCCAAACCGGCGACCGCGGAGGAAAAGGCCTTTGTCCGGGCCGGCAAGTTCAAAAAGGCATCCAACATGAACTACGCCCTCAACGTGAGCACGCGGGTCGAGGACAAACTGCTGGCCCTCGTCACCCGCGACGACGATGACGGCGACGACGCCGAGGTCAGTCGGCAGCACCGGAGCGCTGAAGAGGAGCGAGAGGCGTACGATCGGGCCCTGGCCGAGGTCATCCTCGAGGACGAAGGCCGCACCCAGGCCGAAGGCAACGTCCGCGTCGGCGACTACATCCTGCTCATCGACTCCGACACCCGCGTCCCCGTCGACTGCTTCCTGGACGCCGTCAGCGAGATGGAGCAGTCGCCCCCGGTGGCCATCATCCAGTTCGCGTCGGGCGTCATGAACGTCACCGACACCTGGTTCGAAAAGGGCATCACCTTCTTCACCAACCTCGTCTACACGGCCATCCAGTACGCCGTGTCGAACGGCGACGTCGCGCCCTTTGTCGGCCACAATGCCTTTCTGCGCTGGAAGGCCGTGCAGGACGTCGCCTACGTCGAGACCGACGTCAACGACGGCGCCAGCAAGGAAAAGTACTGGTCCGAAGCCACCGTGTCCGAAGACTTTGACATGGCGCTCCGGCTCCAGACGAACGGCTACATCCTCCGCCTGGCTGCGTACGCCGGCCAAGGGTTCAAGGAAGGCGTCTCGCTGACGGTCTACGACGAACTTGCGCGCTGGGAAAAGTATGCCTATGGATGCTCCGAGCTGATCTTTCACCCCTTTGCACAGTGGTTCACAAAAGGCCCTCTGACCCCGCTCTTCCGGAACTTCATCTCCAGTAACATGCCTCTGCCCTCGAAACTGACCATCATGGCTTACATCGGCACGTACTACGCCATCGGCTCCGCCTGGATCTTGACCCTGCTCAACTACTGCATCGTCGGTTGGTTCAATGGCACTCTGGATCACTACTACATCGACAGTTTCAAGATCTATTTCGCCATCATTCTCGTCTTCACGGCGCTGGGGAATCTTGCCCTCGCCATCATGAGGTATCGCATTGAGGAGAAGACCCTAGGATCGGCGCTGTATGAGAATTTCCGATGGATACCGTTGCTGACAGTCTTCTTGGGGGGCATATCCTTGCATGTGTCGCAGGCAATCTTGAGCCATTTGTTCAGCGTTGACATGAGTTGGGGTGCGACGAGCAAGGAGGCAACGGACACAAGCTTCTTCAAGGAAGTTCCAGTGATATTGCGCAAATTCCGACTGACATTTGCGTTCTGTGTGGTACTGAGCCTGGGTATGATCATCGTTGCGGGCGTCGGTCCTCTCGGTGCATTCGTGCCCTATGACTGGCAGATATCTTTTTTTACGGCGATTTGGCCATTGGCAACTGTGGTTGGTAAGTCTTCTCTTGTTTCGATACTGCCAGAAGATGTGATGTGGGCATGTTCTGACAAAGATGGTCTTTTAGCTTCGCATGCATTGCTGCCGCTCGTGCTGAACCCTGGCTTGATGCAATTTACATTTTAGAGTTGGCAGCAAGCTAGGTATATTGATCTATTTGAGTTTGGGGTGTCGACTTCGAAAGACACGATACCAGACCGCCACACCGTCGGCCTTTTTCTTTCTGTGTGGCTGTGAGTGAGTGAACTGAAGATGTTGATACCTAATGACCTCGAGGCGTCAGTCATTCCCGCCAAGGGTTTTTCCCGTCTGCTTATTTTCATAGTTGATCATTAATAGAATCCTCCTGTACAATCATCGGTCCTTCATCGTCAGGACGTGATGCACACAGCCACGTTTTATTTGCTCTTCCGTCGACGCTGATCATTGGTCTGGCTCGAAGTCGAAACGACCAGTGATCAACCATTTGTTTCTGAAATCCCTAAGTGCGCATCTTGGCCTCGGCGGCGGCCACATCAAACATTCAGGTGGGATGCTTCCATATCTAGTGACGGGGGGTAGCTGGATGGGATACTCAAACCTAACAATGAAGCTGCCATCTTCCGTCTGACCAAGTATGTGCCATCCGTCAGGAAAGGTTTCACCGTTCTCCGCCGGGTTATCCGGGAAGGTTATATACGGTATCAGCTTGCGCGACCACTTCTCCGAGGGGCTGCGAGTCGGCCAGCCGAAGTACATCCGGACAAGGCTCTGGGCTTGCTTCATCACTGAAACGGCCCGTTCGCGGTCCATGGCGCGGATGAGATGGGGCGTGAAGAGCTGGAAGGGTTCCGGGAAAAGCGCGGTCAAGTTCTCGTTGTTGTTTTCGTGCGCGGCCAAAACTTCGATATGTTTGATCCAGGAGATGCCCACGCCGAGGCCGTACGAGTTGTTGGCGAAGAACTCGCACAGGCATTTGAGGCAGTGGAACCGGACCGTCAGTTGGTTGAGGAGCGGGAGGATCTCGTTCTTGACGAGTGCGCAGACTTGAAGTAGGACAAGCCCACTGTTGCGGATGAGTGATTCCAAAGCAAAGAAGCGTGAGAGGTAGTAGGACGCCTCGGATTTGCCGATGCATGTGGATGCTTTGTTCGGGCGCGCGACCGACGCTTCACAAAGGGAGACCTCGATCACGTCGGGGAGCAGCTGTCTGTAGACGTTTAGGCGTGTTTCGGCCGGTAATTCCAGAAGGGGAAAGAACCGTCTCGGTGGACGTTCATAGGGAGGAAAGGGACGATAGGGCAAGTCGACGGTGGGAGAGGGTTTGGAGGTGGGTGTGACTAAGCTCATGGCCATTGGGGCAGCCACCAATGCCTGCCGTAGCTGCGTTGTAAACTAACGTTGTGGCGAGCAGTACCAGCAGTTCTTCGCTTGTTCAATACAGGATCTGTGATTGTGTGCTGCCGTCTGTTGCAGACGAGAGAAAAGGATAGAGTAGAAAAGGATTGTTGATGGGTGAAGGAGAGGAAAAGGAGGGAAGAGTGATGAGATGTTGCGGTCAGGTCGAGGTGCATTAGGCTTGGCGAGGCGTTCAATAGCGCCTGCCACATGCAGCTTGTTGGGCTCGTATTGCAATGCATCATGCAGCCTGTCACACAAAGGCAGGGATTCTGTTGGCCCCTGGTGACGATGAGATTAAGAAGGGGTTGAGTAAGGGGGCTGGTGAAAGAACATCCGGTCCGTCAGCGAGATGGGGTTCTTCCAAAGTACATCGTTCTATCATTGAGGATATAAGAGACTGACAAAACAACCAGAATATCTGCTTTCGAGTAAATTGGAAAATTGTAGAGAGTTCCTTCGTGGTCCATCAAATAGTGTCGAGTCAAAATCGCAACAGCATCGACAAGGTTGTGATTCTTTTTTCCCTTCTTCTGTAAAGACGACAATGAAAAGAATTTCATGATATCTCCACGGTAGATCAGCAACGCTAGTTTCCCGCTTTATCCACAGCAACATTGAACTGCAAGCATTTCCCGGGGGATCGTTAGCCTTTCTCATCATCTAGATCTCTTTGATGGCCTTGATTTCCCTCTGCTCGATAAATTCATCAAAATGCTTCCGAGCAAAGACTCCTCCTGCAAAAACCGTCGCCACCCATTCAATCCAGGCCGGTCTGGTAATCTTGACGTTGTGTTTCTTGAGCTTAGTCGTTGCGAACCATATGGTCTCAATGCCATGAAGGCCGAACAAGGTGTAGAATATGATGTCTTGGACAAGCTTCGAGTACCTTGCCGCTTTGGCACTTCTCGCTAGGATGTGGTCGTGAATGACCGAACGAGGCTCGATGAACTTCCTTCTTGAAGAGAGAACCATCAAAGCGGCGGTGATCAGAGTCCCGACCGCTTTCCGGCCCTTTGGTAGTTCATAGTCGTCGATTGTGAGGGCTGTGGCTTTATGGGTCGCCATTGCGATGATAGAGTTGCCGCGTCAAGCCTGCGCAGATGAGGGTTGTATGGGAGAAGGTCAGAGAATCCCAGTCTCCCAGACCACACCCGGGGGGCGTTTCATATGGCTACTTCTCTTATGCCTTCAGTGCCGGGACAGTGAGATGCGAAACGGACATGGTTCCCCGCCCTTTTCTTGCGGGGGGATATGTGGAACAGCTGGCTGAAAAGAGATCATTGGCCTACCCTTGTCAAGAGAAGTGATATTCGTTGAATCGTCAGGTGAGGAGTACGCACGGCCGGAGCCTCTTGGAACCCAAAGAGGCAATGGACAGCGAATGTTGATGGAAGCGGGAGTGCAAGGACCACAGATTGTTGGTTTGGTACTTGGGCTATGGACGAGGATGTGTGTACTCCGTGTTCCCCGTACCAGGAGAGAAAGAGGAGAAGTCGGGAAAGGGAAAGCAGGACGAGGGGAGATTGCGGAGCGGGGGAAGTGGCTTATCGATAACAAAACACTCCTTACTGTGACGGGTTAGACGCTGAAAATCATAGCTTACATAAGTCATTTTGTCTGTCCCGAGTCAAATTTATCTCGGCGCAGGCAGGTGGAAAAAAAGATAGTCGAGGTGCAAATCCAGCTTGACTTCCTCTCGTTGCTCAAATGGCGCCATACGACAGTGATTCTTCCGACGAGGATGGCGACTATTCGAAAACGAATGTTCTCCTTGGCTATGCCAGTACAGATCCCACCGACGACGACGTCAGCCACGTTGGTGGCTATCCTACTTGGTTAGATGCCAAACATCCTCCTCCAGCGACACTTGCAAGATGCAAGGTCTGCAATGGATATTTGTCGCTCCTGTTGCAACTCAACGCAGATCTCCAGCAATACTTTCCACGTGACGAACGTCGCCTACACATATTGTGCTGCAGAAAGAGAACCTGTTCAAAGAAAATCGGTAGCGTGAGAGCTTTTCGAGAAGTCAAGAAGGGCGAGGTGAAGGAGAACAGCCAGAAGCAAGCGCCTCAACCGCAGCCTCAACAGTCACAACCGCCTCTTGGAAATGCGCTGTTTGGCGGCTCCGCGGCACCACCATCAACGGCGGGCACCAATCCGTTCTCCATGTCCGGGTCATCGCAGCCTCCAGTGAACCCTTTCTCGTCTGTCGGCTCTCCTTCAACACTGGCGGCAAAACCTCCGCAACCTCCTGTCAACGAACCACAACCTCCCATCGAGACGTTCGCAGACAAACTCAAGATCTCGGGGGACTCAACCCCTCCTCGGACGAGCAAAGACCCTGTTGAACCTTGGCCCGACAACTCTGAAGCCGCCTCCCCCTTTCCGTCATTCTATCTAGACGCATGGCCTGAAGAGCTGGAGAAGGAACAAGAGGAAATCCCGGCCGCCGAGGCGTCAAAGGCGAAGTACGATTTGGATGATAGCAGCAATGGCGGTGCTTCTGAAAAGGATGCGTTTGAATCTACCATGGATAAAACATTTCAAAAGTTCTCTGATCGAATATCTCAAAATCCAGAACAAGTCCTTCGATATGAGTACAAAGGCGATCCTTTGCTTTATTCGGGCGCAGACAATGTCTCTTCGAGGTTTGTGGTACCGCACGGGAAGTCCGGCGCAGTCAGAGGCATGCCCAGGTGCGAAGGTTGTGGTGCTCAAAGAGTTTTCGAGTTACAACTTGTGCCCGGATTGATTTACGAGCTAGAAAAGGATGAAGTGATGGATTTAGACGATGGAATGGAATGGGGCACAGTGATTGTCGGGACCTGTGTGAACAACTGCGGCATACCCGGGGAAATCACCTTTCGTGAAGAGTGGGTGGGTGTGCAGTGGGAGGAGAGGGTGGTTAAGAAATGACATGAAGCACGGCGATAGACATATTATTGTCACTTTTCGATCACAATAATTCCCGACCTTTGCAGTTCCAGCCCAAGTCGATTCCGCCTGCTCGTGGGGATCCAGAGTGGGTGATGTTCGTGGCGCCGTTTAACGGATTTGATAGTATGGTTTCTCTCGAACAATAATAGCCGTGATTGTTCGCTCTCGTTCCTTTACTTTGGCCTGCTCAATCCACGATATGCTGCAAGCTTTTTGGCATTGAAAAATAGCCGACATGAATCGCCCGGTGATGACCTGTTTCTTCTTTTTTTTTGTCCCCCGTTCAGCCCATGTCACCCTAGTCCCCGTTAGGCTACGAAGCTGATAATGCCCTAGCTACGACAAGGAGCAACGACGAGAACAAGGACAAGGATGAGGAAGAAGGTACGATAGTACGGAGGAGTAATAATAACAATAATGTCACCGACGGCCCACGATGAAATGATTTGATGAGTGAGATGATCATCGATCAACGATCAAAAGGTGAGTATTACCTGAGGTGGTACGGAGTACTCCGTAGGTAATTCCGGCCAAGCCCGTAGTTAATTCCCCCATATTATTACTTGCCATCCAACGTACGGATACGAGTATTATTACTCGTAATCCCTAAGGGCGGCTACCCCAGAACTAGCGCGCCACGCTAAGTCGCGTAATGACGCGTGCCGGAAATTTATCCACGACGTCACTTTGTTTTTCTTTCAAGGTTTGTTTTCTCCTTTTTTTTCGGGAGGTGCTGTTTTGAGCTGTCAAAAAAAAAACTTCAACAACGTTGATCTTTGGTATGTAGATACGTGGTAAATCTTTCAGCCTCACAAAACATGTCCTTCTGTGCTCGAGTTCAAAACGCATGTTCCAACCGTAAAATGATGGCTCGTGTTCGCGCTCGTAGGGCGAAACGATTGTGCAATCACTCGTAAAAGTTCCCACTTTTACTCCGTAAATCCCGCCGATCATCAGCAAAACCTTTGGAACGCGTCCTTTTGTTTGGCGTTACCACTACACACCATGAACTCGTTTCCCACTATACTATACAGAGTACGGCGTGGATGTACAGTAGATATCTCTAGCTCTTGTCTCCCTCCTGGTCAGATTATTATTATTAGTAGCCGGTATGCATATACTTGACCATGTTGAGACATTGAGCCGCATGGTGCCATGCATGGTACATGGTACATGCAAGTAACTCATTTACTGTAAATGGGTAGTTCCTCCGTTGAGGCGTGCGTGATATGAGCGCACACACACACACACATAAGATTGCAAAGTTGGCAAAATAAGCAAGTTGTGCCGTTCCCCGATCAAAAGATCCAAAATCGGCCTTGTACATCTGCACATGCAGGCCTCGCGTGGAATACTCGGTACGTATCTACTATTGTAGGTAAAGTGCAAACGAACTAACAGAGTACTTTTACGAACTACAACTTTATATTTTACGTATATGTCATCTCGGAGTTCCCTACCCTTTGACCTTTTTCGTTGGATACTCTTCTCTACACTACGACGCAATGATTGTGTACGGGACTGTACAAGTAGTAATATCACTATTGTACAAAAATTCCCCCTCTTTCTTGGATCTACCTTTTTTAAGACTACCTAACTCGTACAAAAAGGATCGGTGCCTACAGAATTTGTTTTTACGTAGACACCGAGTTTCCCTCTGAGATCTTTTCCCCATCGATAATGTTATAGTCCTCATGATAGTCGAGTAGCCCTGCAGCGTTGATTTCGCTAAAAATAATATGGGTTTGCGTGTAGGGTACTGAGTACGGAGGTAGTAGGTAGGTAAGCACGAGATCCCGTAATCTTTTCTTTTTCTTTTTCTTTTTCTTTTTCTTTTTCTTTTTCTTTTTCTTTTTCTTTTTCTTTTTCTTTTTCTTTTACCTGGTATACTCTTACGGAGTACTAACAAGTGAATTCGTTCGGTAGCCCCAAAAAATTATGCTCACAAAATAGTCACGAGATATATCTGATCATGAAGTATATTTTCAAGCGTGATCAATTTCCCGTATGGAGAGCACATGACCCTAACATATCTCACCTTTTGATCAAAAGGGGAAAAAGAAAAAGTCAAAGTTGTTAAGTGCATGCATACATCAACACCATCGGCAGTATGGAGTATATTGTATAAAAGGTACCCGCAGCGGGAACTTGATGGAGTAGACAGGTAACTCTTAAAACAGGTATCCTTACAGTAAAGGGGGGGGGGGAGTGGGCAAAGGTGGGAGGAGGTGGGAGGTTGGGAAAAGCTACCTAGGTACATCAGGTAGGTAGGTGCTCCGTACGGGAGTATGTACGCACTCTACTCTCGTACTTACTACTGCAAGCACTTTAAAAAGTGAAAGATGTCCAAAATGTCACGATGATGAACGATGATGATGGATTCGGGTGGTTAACCCCCTTTGGAGTATTGTACTCTCCGTACCTCGCAAATCGACTGACGTTACGGATTACCACCCCCAAAGTGCTCCGTAGATATGGGAAAAGTGCTCCGTAGAGACGAATCTTAATTGACATGAAATGTGGCTTGCGAAAAATCAAGACAAAACCAAGTTAAATGTGCTCCGTAAGCCTCCCCCTTCCCGCAAAGAAGGAGGATGCCGCGTTCTGTAATTTCGCACACCACCACAATTCATACACGAGGGAAAATCGCCAAATGCTTAGGCGGGTCTCATCAACAGCAACAACGGTGTCAGCTCAGCCCGTGAGCAACATGAACTAAGAAATCACCCTACGGAATAGTTCAGTCAGAAGCTCCAGTACATCGTAGATGCTCGTCGATCGTCTCGTCAATCCCGAGGTTCGTACCTCAGCAAAAAAGGGAGTGAGGGGACTCAGGAGAACAGCGTGCGATGTGACCAACACGTTTCACAGGCCTTATTTCACTCAGACACAATCCTCTTTGCTGGACCGCAACTCTGTGCAATGGTTACTGTACAACCTATTCTTATTGCATGTAGACTATCTACATCAACTACCTACATGACAGTGCAATGGTGATTAGCAGCAGAGGGATAGCATGGCCTCTTGGCCATGTCAAACATAATAACGGTGATGCGATGCATGGTGAGCCCAGACACACGTAAAAGCAGACGGCCAGCTGTTGAGACTCCTGTCCCATGATGTTCCTCCTCGTGGCGTGGGTGCAAAAGACAATTTCAATCCAACTCTGCCTCCATTTGCATGATCCTCGGGCAATCTTTTGCATAGTTCCCAAAAGCAAGGAACTCCATAATCCGAATCGTCGTATGTGTCGTTAGCAAAAGACAAAAGATTTGTATGCTATTCGTGACAGTTTGATTGTTTCATGACACCACTATCAGGTGTCGTTTCTTGTTTCTTTTTTTTCAATGTCGTAATGGTATGATATATCAGGAGCGAGGGATGAGTTCGTCGCCGAGCTGGAGTGCGAGACCTTGGCTAGTCGGGGTCTTGCGTTGTATTGATGGACTTTCTGAAGCAGCCAGGGCGTCAAAGTTTAGTCCTCTGCGGGCAAATCGGCTAGGGGTCTTTGCTATGCCTGGTGTTCGGCCACCCCATTGAGCCTGCGCAGGTGAAGGAGTGACATTGCAGAAGTCGGCGAGGTTGAAGCCTTGACCGGGAGTTTGGAGTGCACCATTAAACAGCCCCAAATGATTCCCTGGAGTCGTCATGACTGAAGAAGGGAGGTGAGAGTGTTGCGAAGGTGGAGTGGAAGGTGGCTCCCCAGCGGTAGAACCGCGATGGATATTGATCGCAGGGGAACGAGAAGGGGAATTGGCCAAGTACAACAGCAAGTCAGCTCCGGCTTGCTTTGCGTTGACATTGAGTAGACGTTTGGCAGGTGGAGGGGTTCGGGGAGGGGACGAAGAGAGAATGCTGCTCGAAGGTTCGTTTGCAAAGGAGGGCATGCTTAGATCATGATCATCGTCGTCAGAATGAACATCAAACATAGGAGAGTCGTCGTGAGATGTACGTGGCAGGGTAGGGTCGCTTTGGAACATTGTCTGATCCTGGAAAGACTGAGTCCGTCCCAGGACAGGTGAAGACTGTGCCATGCGTGGGTCTTGCTTCCAGCTCATGCTGCTCGATTGTCGATCGAGACCGGTGGTCGACGACGACCTCACTCTCTTTCTTGCTCCAAAGGGAGGTTGCGGGACCTTGAAGACACCATTGGAAGGTCTCGAGAAGCGATTGTTGGCGATAGAGGACATGGGAACAAAGTCGTCGTCCGAGGGGGAGGATCCATCAGAGGGCAAGTCATCGTCGAGAAACGGCCTCTTCCTCTTCAGCTTCTCGGTGACTTCGGGCTCGATGGTAGAGAGAGTTCGATCCTGCCAGCCATTCTGGGCTTTGAAGCTTGCAAAGGCCAGACAATCTTGCAAATTTCGAGCAACCTGAAGAAAAAAAATTGGTCAGTCCAAGGTCGACTCAAGCGAGCAAAGATGGTGAGAAGTTGGGTGGGCTACCTTTGCAATTTCCACTCTCCGCATCACCTTTTCGGCGACATGAGCAGCAGCAAAAGCATGTTGAGGCTGCTGCTGCTGTGAAGCCATGTTGTTACAGAGATTGGGAGTGACCAACATGAGGACTGATGGTACTGAAGACAGGATACAAGAAGGAGAAAAGGTCTCAGAGTGTCAAATATGTATGTGGTAGTGCTTCGGTGGACGTCAAAGCGCAGGCTAGGAAGGATAGCGCTTGTCAGGTTCACCTTTCTAGCCGTGACTCGTGGGGCCGGCTCCTGGCCAGGGCAACGGGGAATGATTGTTCGGATGGTAACACTGGCGACCTCCTGGCCAGAACGGTGCGGAATATGGCTCGTGTATACACTGTACGAACGAGAATGTGGCAATAACAATGTAGGAGACGGACGTGGTGTCTTTGAGGAATAGGAATGAGGAATTTCCCTTGTCAGCGAAGAGTATGGACAAAGTCTGCGGGTGGTAGAAGTCGCAGTTACTGTACCCCGTAGGCACGGCAGGATTGCGACGGCCTAGTGACAATAGGGAGTAGTGAAGCTGGTGAAGCTGGTCAGCCCAGTGACTGGTTGCGGTAACGGGTTAGGCCTACGGAGTGCTATCTACCTACTCTACAATGCCCATCCATGCAATGCGTCTTCTGGTGCCTGTAAATGACTCGGTGGTTAACCGATAGCTGGAACTCTCTACTGCTACGGAGTACGGAGTAGTACCAGCTAAGTAAGAGGGGTTGACCAGCACCAGCGACAATCATGGGTTACAGAGACCTTCAAGCCCACTAAAATCCAAGGCCGCCTGCCTCTCGCCGTCGCCAGTGGCTGGTGAAGCTGTCCAAACCCCCTCGTTATCGAGACCCATTGGCCTACACGCCGCAGCTGAGCTTTCACCCTACCACTCCAGATGGCCTGTGAGATTGGCCGCCGCATTGGTCTCCTGCATGCCCTTCCAGTACCGAGTAGCTGCAGCCATAGACGTCTCTGGCTTGGAGGCCATCTCAAACCCACGTTCAGCCCTCGCCCAATTACGCCCAGCAATGAGCCTTTCCCATCTGCTCGTTTGATTCACTCTTAAACGTTGTCACCCGATCAGGCGCCTGCAAAGTACCACCTCCAAAAAAAAACCTGAAGCAAGCCATCACATAAAACACATTAAGAGCTCGGTTATCTCTGGAAATGTGGAAAAAGAAAGGTCTCCTTTGTGCCCGCCACCTCGAAGCCTGGCCGTGCTGCGGGTATGACCTAGACATGATTGATGTGCTGTCACTCGACATTCCTAAAAACCTGCCGCAAGCAAACGAGAAGAGTTTTCTGTCTCCTTTTTCCTCATGTCACAATGGCCAACCCAAAGCCTGCGTCCGGGGAAAAAGTTGCCTTCCAGGAGAGGCGTAGAACTAAAGGCGCCCAACTCAGGAACCGACCACGCTATGCTTAATCACTAACCGTTTCCTGCCACCAGATCGATTTGAACCCAAGCCAGGAACTTGGTCGTTGGACCCTGTTGTCTGATATCGGCAAAGGCATAATTTCGGTAGAAATGTTATATTCCAACATCTGGCTATCAGGGCGGTACGGAGTAAGACCAGAGTACAATACAGGTACGGAGTAAGGAGTACCTCCTTGCAAAATACAATCGAAGAGCGAGTTCCGAATTATCTGCACGGGGTTGTTATCATCGGTGAAGCGGAATCTAGAAATTTGACACCTGAAGCTCATCGAACATTCTGGCACAGATCGGAATGTTGTCGTGTGAGTATTCAAGATGCAGAGAAATTTGAATTGGTTCTTCTACCCGTCACTTTTGCCTGATTTCTACGAGTACTCTTGCTTTCAGAATGGAATTGTCTTCCACACCCCTGGTTCTATATAACAATGAAAGCATTTCGAAGGGTAACTTACCTACTCCGTAGACGGGTTATTAATCTTCCCCCTCTTCTGCCGCTACTACTGCACAAGACATACATAAGCTGCATCTCGGAAATCGTTACCTCCAATCTTGGCCAACAAGAGGCTCTTACTGCTACAACATGTCCCACTGAAGCGCGCAACATGTGATATTCATGCCTTTTTGTACTGGCACAAGTCATGTATGCATTGTCGACGTTCACCTCTTCGGAAGGCCGGCATCCAAGACCTGGCCAAGCATTGGTGAAGGGACCATCAGCTTTTGGTCGTTTGGGCTTTTGTGTGAGGCAAGGTGGACAAAAAGAATTACATGGAATGTTGTGTTCTTACTCCGTAACGGCTAGAATATATTGACCTTGCTCCGGATGTTTTGATGAACAGCACTTTAAAATAAACAAATCCGCTGCAAGAGACAACGGCTTATCTTGTGGTGTTTCTTCCGGCCAGCACTGCACAAATAGCTGCTTGTACGGAGTACCTACCTAGGTACCTGCCCGCGGTGAATGGAGTATGCAGAACTCAAATGCTGGGTACGTGGACGACGGAGAATGAGACACCGATAGCAGAGATATGGAAAAGCACCGTCGCCAACCAGCAGCTCGCTAAAGCGCCACATCTGCGTCATGAATTTTATAGCCAGAAAATCTGCCCTCCGCTATGGTGAGCCTGGCCCTAAAAACCAAGTTCCAGGCCAAAGGACAGCGATAACTCCGGGCACCAAGCCCCAAGAGGTTTAACTGGAACCAAGCTACGGGCGTCCCCAACCATGCCTAGGTGAATCCTTCCCCACTGATACGTTGCCCGCTAAGCGGACTGCAACATTCCCACACCTGCCGTTTCACCTTGAATTGACGAATCGCACTTGCTTGGCCACGCATGTTCAGGTGATGGGATTTCTGCCACCCACATGTCTCTAGCTAATGCTCAGTAAGGTAAGGAAGATATCGTTGACACCAGGCCGGCAAGATACTTTTTCGTCCTCGCCGTCATTGCTGCAGTCCATTGACTTCCGGTCGCTTGTTTTTTTTGTGCTCTACTACCAGAACCTCGCTCGGCGTATCAACGACCTTCACCGTCACTCGGTTTGGCCTCACCACACTGGCCATATCGTCCTCACGCCCTCGCCTGGGATCCCCGGTCAACCCGCCTCTCCCGCCCGCGAGAAAAAGCTCCGTCGCATGTGCATGTGTCCACAGTCATTACATACCTCCACGAGCAGCATTCCGGCGCATTTGACCAGGTCAATTGCCATCACACCTAAGATCTTAATGGTTGATACATAGAGACACACATCCGACCACAATGCCCTTTTTCAGAGACCTCCGCAGGCGCTCAAGGGCGAGCTTCCGGACCTCCGACTCTTCAACGGATTCCAATGGTACAGTTCCAACTGCGAAGTCGTCGTCGACGCTCAATTCTGCCGGAGGAAGCACGACACCGCCGTCTACATACCATGCCAATGGCTCTACATCCAATGTGCTGCCCGCCGCAAAGACGAACGGAGACACTCCTCCAATCCCTCAGCGACCTAACGTCATGGTGCCCCCATCGAACCGCAACAGCATGATAGTATGGACCGTTAAAATTCTACACCTGCGGGTAAAGCTAACAAGCCGCAGACTCTATCGCCGTCGGTCTCGAATGGGGCAATGCGCGTCCCTCCACCTACTTCTGCCTACGCTCCAAGAATCACTTCGATAATGGATAACTCGGTGGTATGAAAAACAAAGATGAACTTGACGGACAACGGCTCACAAATGCGTTAGGTTTATCAAAAGGTGCTTTTGGTGAGCGGTGAGATTGGAGATCCGAACATGAAAGCCCTGGATGGCAACTTGACGGTCCATCACGATAAGGACGGACAGGCTTTCCCACCCACAAATTGGCCAGTATCAGATTCCTATTTTAAAGCTCTGGTGTATCTGTCTCCCGGGTGGAATAAGATACGATTCGATTTCACCTCCCCCAAACTCAGCTCCATCAGCAGCGCTTCCGCGCCGACAGCACATGCCTCGTATATAATGTTGAATTACCTACCCCTAACCAGCGCACCACCTCTCCATTTGGTCATCCTTGCAGGCAAGGATTCACCCTGCACATACGACGCAGTTCCACACCGGGCACAAAATGAGGGCAATGATCTGTCTATGGCTATCAGAAAATTTCGAATGGCTGCGCATTTGTGGCAGGCATTCACGGCGGAACAAATGTACAGATACAAATTTGGACGAAGATGCTTCAGATTCGATGAAGAGTGGCAAACAGGGACACTGTCGATGCGTGATTGGGCAACAGGCCAGATGAAGAATGAAACTAGGGTGCATGTGGTCCGGTCGGACAAGACTACTGCAGAGCTGCGAGATCTACAATATGCACAACAGCATTCTCCAGCAGCCCAAAAAGGAGAACTATATTCAATCGCCGCAGAAGCTGTCAAGAAGTACTTCAATATTCGGCCCGGGCAAAAGCAATATGTGGCATGCCTCCTACTTGATTCTCACTGGGATCCCGAGGCAAACACCATCCGCGGGCATGCCGCGTTAGGTGGAACCAGCGACGAGCTCGGGCTGGCAATTTTTGGATCTCACGCCCTCCAGAGCTACCCATCGTGCATTGAGGAGGTCGTCCCAGCATTTATGGATTGCACAAAAACCGACACTCAATTTGTGGCAAACGATTGCAACGAGTCCGGAAGCAGTTGGGAAGCAGCAAACATCGGCATCGGTGCTCACTTGCACGAGGTCGGCCATCTATTCGGATGTCCCCATCAAACCACCGGCGTGATGCTTAGGGACTATGTGCGCCTCAATCGGACTTTTGTCAGCCGCGAAGCATATTCGACAAGGACCAAATCACCCGGGCTAAAGGTCTGTCGCCAGGAAGACGAATGTGGCTGGCATAGGCTAGATGTTCTCCGGTTCCGCTATCATCCATGCTTTCGGATACCAGGTGATGAACCTACTGCACAAGACGATAGTATCCAATACTATCCCATTGGCAATGGTAAGATCATCTGTTCAGCAGCCACCGGAATTGCCTTTGTGGAGCTCTGGCTCGAGGGCGATGACTTGTGCCGGTACTGGATCGATTTCACGAACACCGATTCTCGCAGCAGTCTCGCTAGGCAAGTGATACTGACAGAGAGCGACCTTCGCAGTCGCCTTCCAGAAGATAAGAAGAAGACCAAATTGGCTCTTGAAATCTTTTGTGGCGGTTCGAGGAAAGAGAGGATTGACGACATTGACATTCTTTTGTCCAAAAACAACGTTATCAATCTCCCGCATGTCCGACTAGCACCAAAACGAGACGAAGGATTGACCATGAACGCCTATAATGGTGTGAAGGGTCTGAGCAAATCGTTTGATTCCAGACCAGGTTTCAAGAGCAAAAGGCTCGGTCATTCGCAATTGGAAGGATCCAAACCAGAGGAAATAATCTTGGAAAGCACATGCCTCCAAACGAAGCTTTTGACCTCAGTCAAAGTATATTCCGGATATGCTCTTGATGGAATTGAATTCTGTTACGAAGATGGCCACAGTCAGCTGTTCGGGAAAAGAGGTGGTAAGCCAGGGGGTGATGAGTTCTTCCTTGGTAAGTCAACCACCAAGAACAAAGGGGCCCAAAATCTAATCTTGACAGACACACGACGGGGTGAGACAGTACTCGGATTTTATGTTCGTGCTGGGCTTTGGATTGATGGTATCGAGATTTTGACCAGCACTGGACGGAGGTCGGGGGTCTTTGGCAATGCCAATGGTGGTTCAGGGTATGTTTACTTGTCGCTTTCGAATACTTTCGCTAACCACCGTTCTAGACACACTTTAATGGCTCCCCGAGGTTACATGCTTGCTGGCATTTCAGGTACATGTGGACCATGGATAGACGGGTTTCAAATCATCATCACTCGGTGATACTCTCTGAGATACGATAGCCGTTAACATCATCATCTTCATCATCTTCATCATCGACAACGACAACAATCGAATAATGCCACCTCATCTGCAGAACGGCAATATCGCTACGATGGGGGGTGAACTCTACAGGTGGGAGGCATTCTCCAAGCAGGCGCAGCATCACAAAATGGGTCATGGTTATGTTCTCTCGGTTGATCATTTTAGGAGGCCGGTTTTCTACCTACGAACATGACTAGGCATACGACAAGTGGGAAGGTTGAATGGGCATAGGACCCCTACCAGGGTGAATTTAATCGTTGGGAGGGTTGAAGGCAACGCAATTGGGGATTAGATGTCTTAATAGACGGCAACGGGCTTGGTGATATCGAAATGATAGGCCTGTTGATATAATTTTGAGCATGAGGATACACGCAGAAATATGCACTGCACGCAATACTGGAATTTGAAGCACGTCAGCTTGTGGCTAAAGGGCTGACGGGTGGTGGAAGAAGGAGGTTTAACAACTTATGATAGGTATGAGTGAAACAATACTGATAATGAAAGGAATAATGATATGGTTGAGTGACTGATTTTGTGCTTTATATTCTGAGGGGATGTTTTTTTTGTGCATGAGAGCAACGTTGGTGATGGACCTTCGGTTTGGACAGGACTGATGATGGTACTGATTTGGATTTATGAATGATTTGAGGAAGAAAAGAGCTCGTCATTGTGTGGAAATGCGTACTGTATGTGCTTTTCTGTTTCATGCAGGGGTGCATCCCTGAGCCTCGACTCAAGTCGGTTTTTCGACACAGATTAGGGGGTCCGTGGCGGCGGGACAGTACATGGAAGTGAGGTTTTGACCGATGACGAAGGTGTTGGGACTGAAGGGGGGGACAGGGAACAGCCATATGTGCGGTTGTGTGTGGTATGTGGTATGTGTGTGCTATATATGTGATATCTTGTCAAGGGACTTTATCAACTTTTCCCGAGTTCAGATGGGATATGGCACAAGAGAGAGACTTTTGCTTCTCTTCAAAGAAAAGAGGCAACCATTGTTGAGTCGAGTCGAGAATTGTGTGCGTGTGTGAATGAATTTCTTCGCAATTGGGGCGCCCATGTGAGTACATAGTAGTGACTGATTGTTGCCATGTTTTTACCCTAGGAAAACTGTGTGTGTATGTGTATCAAGATTGATGATAATGGACGATATTTCCAATCAGAGTAAACAAACATTTCATACATGGGAAGCTATCTTGTATACCTTACCTAGTAAATAGGTAGGCAGATGGTCTGTTTCTCTACAGGAATATCACTGTTTTACAAAGTAGATGGATACCTGAATGGTAAACAACCTCACCTGACGAGACATGTTCTTTTGTCGTTTTATCTTGCCCATCTCGCTGGATGACTCTCCGAAATCAGTTTCGTTACCCGAGTCATTAATCCGGTACTCATTTCCTTCTTGCTCACTTTTTCATCTCTGCTCCATGGGTGATATTCAAACATCAACGTACAGTGAGGTGGCTTACCAAAACAGTCCTCGAGCGGTCAATACCTTAGGTAGGTATTGATAGAAGCCACCTCTTTTTTTTCTCTTCGTTTTGGTCACTGTACGTAAAAAAAAGTCGTCAATCACTCTTACCCATCAACCCCGGTATTATTTCAATAATTCCTACTACTATTGATATATGATGTGGCATCTTCAATCACAATATGGCATGTGTATTGTTTATCGTGATCTACATAAGATATGTAGAGATTTGGGGGGGTGGAGAGGACTTTTGACATAAAGATCTCAATAGTGAATGATTAGGATGGTCTCACGGACAGCTGAGGTTGCTACTCCTACTTGACACATACACACAAACACACACACTCACGCACATATCCACATAGTCAGTGTCGATGTCAATAATGTCAGTGTCGTGAGAGTTGTTGAGATACTACGTACACAGTTTAGACCCAAAACGACTTTCCTCAAGGTACAAAGATCAACATGTACGATTATACGAGAGAGAGTACGGAGTTACACAGTACGGAATAATTTCGTCCGGTTATTGCTGCACAGTGTGCAGAGTTTACTGTTTGTCGCCCACTGAAACAGATAAGTAAAGTATATATATATCCAAAGGCAAATCATAAGATGGTCAAGTTGTGTTTACAGTGTACATACAATATAGTAGTACCTAGGCGCTTTCTGCTGAGCACAACACAGATTGGTAGAGTACTGTAGTTGTAGAGTACAGCAGGAGTAGCAGCTATTTACTTGCCCCGGATATGAGGTCCGGGCGTTTCGATTTTTTTGGATGGAGACTTTTCCCATCAGACGGCGGACGGAAAGCTCGGACGGGAAGTATTATCATTGCGGGGCGTGACAATAATAATATCCGAAATGGATCCTTTTTATCTTCTCGCCAGGGAGAGTGGGTTGGTGTGTTGGTGGGTGGGTACTGTAAGAGAAATCATTATGAAGGCTCAAACCAAGGATCAGACTATAGTATTGTGAATCGGTCTTCTCTAGAATCAGAACTCGTAGATCGGGACATTATCATCATTGACCGACTTTTTGTGTATATTGTTGTTCTCTTGTCGACATGTTTACTGCATTATTGTGTGTAGATCTCAAAGTACTAGTTACTACCGTACTCGCACTGTACATACGGAGTACACACTTGTACGTACAGTGACCGTCAGTCTCCACCAATAGCTTCTAATTACGATCTCAGTCAAAAACCAAACCCAATCTTTCAGCTCGATTAGTCTCGACCGACCCTCATACGAAGGGACGACATATACTCCGTAGTTCTCAAAGGGTCTTTTCTTTTTTTTTCTCTCTTTTTTTGGCCATCTGCCGAATTTACTGTCCCAATGCTCGGACGCTCCGTTCAACAAAATAATCTTGGAACCGATACGCGGAGGTTATGATCGGCGGAGTGTGATACCACCCAAACGGGGGTCACAACCACCCACGGCCACTACGAGTTACGACGACGACGACGACGAGACAAGTCGGGTTCTAGAGCAGGACGAAAACGCCAAAAAGGTCAAGCCACAAACTCATGGCATGACTTGTCCGGGGCGATCGCAGCACGTTACGGGTAAATGATCAACAGTCGCCCTTGCGCGAAGGAGGCAGTATACTGTGGTACGCCACACTTCGAACGGGCAAAACGACGAGAGACGGGTGGGTTGACGCCACAGTGTGGCGCATGCACCACGTACCCTGTACATACATACTCTAATACCCGTAAGTATAAACTCTGTACTCCGCGAGAGATACTCGTAGTCCAATCACCGACAAAGAAACTCCACCAGACTTTAGTTAGGGCTTTATACGGATACTATCTTTCGGGTTCGGTGTTTTTGTGACCGCTTCGACGCTTGGACACTTGGGGGGAGGGGGGGACCTGTTGGCTAAACATGTTTCAGCTGGGGAGAGAGTCCGGGAAGTTTTCTGACTAGACTTTGGGCCGACTCCGTGAAGGAATTGGAACTTTTGTTTTTCTTTTGACTTTTTTTTCAACTCTCTTTTCTTGATGGTAACTAGTAAGTAGAAGTCCATACTCGTCACCCGTCCCTCTTCCTGCGTGCGCCAGTGGGACGGACGGACAGGCAGGGAATAACCCTACCCCCCCGAAAAAAACCAATAATGTAACGGCAGAGAAAAGTACGAAAATAGTGGTGGTTTATTTCTTTTCTGGACAAAGTCAAAGAACTATTAGGTGTTTGGAGAACAAAAAAGTGTGTTCTGGTCTGGGAGTCTATGGAACGGGGAACAGAAAACAAAAAAGTCAAAACATCGACAACGAAAACGAAAACGGCCGCCATGCGCGCCCGCTCCAAATCAGTTTTGGTTGGATTGAATTTACCGTCGTGGTGGTCGGGGG